CCCCCCCCCCCCCCCCCCCCCATCTCCTAGGCTCTAGAACCTCTTATCATCATCATCATCGTCAACCTGGTTGTTCGGGAAAAAAACCTAGTAGTAGATATTGAGCTGTGAGTCGTCGGTTTACTAGCTAGCTTAGCAAGCAGCTACATTACCTTCCCTTAGTCAAGAGAGGCGTCCTAGAACTAAGGTAGGTATGTGTGAAGCATCTTCCCGAGAGTTGGTACCTAAAGTACCTCAAGGTTGGTAAGGGATAAGTCTCTAATAATAATGATAAACCCTCTCGAGAGATCCGTGTCGTTCGTGCACCCATTGAATGTTTGGGGGGAACACCTTGGCTGATGCTAGTTCCATTTGTGATGTGAAGTGGTCTTGTACCTACCTGATATTGAAACCTCATTGGCTAGATTCGTTTTCAGCCAAGCTCCACTTTTTTTTCTTTCTTTACACTCTTCGCTTGGAAGTTACAGGTACTTTGGATGTTTGATTGGCTCTTATGGAAAATTTGGTCTACTACCTCCTACGTACTGGAGGTATAGCGATTCGAGGCTTTTTTGTGAAGAACTGGATGAAATGCTTCGGTACATGATGTTCTCTGGTTGGCTGTAGAGTAAGAGGAGTTCATCAATGATGATCTGAGTATAGGTATGTAGCTATAACAAAGCCCCCTGGTTGTTCCTCTTATCATGCTTGGACATTGATGATCCTGAGCAGAAGACGGGAGTCGATGTGTTCCTTTTTTTTTCTTTTTGTACCTACTCTATCTCCTCTTTTTGTACTTTTTCTCTTGCTAAACAATCAATCTCGATACGCTTGTTGACGAACAAGTAGGTCTAGTCGAGCCTGCTCTTCCTTCGAATACTACCTCAATCGATAGATTCACGACCGATATTGTGCAGCTACCCTGTTCTATTCGAGGAGGCCAAAAGGGTGTACGAATGAGCAAGATTGCAGGAAACTTGAGAGGTGTGGGCACGGACACACGATACATCGAGTCTGACTTGAAGCAGGTTCCATCTGGAGGGACATATGGATGAAATCCCGCCTCCAGGACTTGTAGAGGTATGTGCTGGTACAATGGCAACCCATGTCGATGAACCTGGTCCATGTCTTGGCTTGCTAGTCGTGCCTTGGCTTGATCGCGGTATACAATTCAACAATTGTGCTTACAGACTGCCCGGCCTTCCTTTTGTATCCTGGACGATATCACTTAGGCACATTTGGCCTGGCCTGGACACACGCAGAAGATGAATGGCCGAGAGTCCATCGAAAAAGACGATAGGTACAATCTCACAAGTTGCTCAACTTCAACAGATCTATCCAAGTTCTCATTCACCCAGCTGCGAGTGAGTCCCAGCCAAACAAGGACCATGAATGTTGTAGCCTGGTGGATGCGTCGTAGATCTTGGCATCAAGATTATGTGTAAACCTAATCTTCGAAGCCGGTCCAGGATGCTGACGAAGAATCCTTGCGGTAAGTGGCGTGAATGGGTGCCACCACCCTCGATGTTCAACCCTGACAGTCGTATTACAGTGGCTGGTGTGCCAGAGGGCAGGCAACGGGTTCGGCGAACGCGAAAAGTACTACTAGACTGCGAATAGAAACTGACATGTACTGCACACACAGCACGCTCTCGTACCTCTTGTTCTCTCCTCCAGCAGAGCTCTCAGAGCCTCTGGACGTCACCGCGGATTCATCCCAGGTCGACCGGAGAATCGGATGTATCATGCGTGCCCAGTTTGGTGTTTTGGCGGAGCAGGCCTTGCAAGGCTAGAAAGTTGGCACATGGCACACAGAAGCACCTCAGTGCTCCCTCCCACGAGTCAGGATACTCAATCAAAGCAGATCACATTGGTACCAAGCACGGTTGTGCGTCGCTCACGTCCTCTGCTGTCCATACATCAATTTCATGTTGTCGTCTTCCCATGGTAAGCGATTCGGATAGATCTCCCACCCTGAGACACCACCTTGCCAGATTAACAGGCCCATCACTTCTGGCTCCAAGCGGAAGCCCAAGAAGACATGTGCTCGTTCGGCATTCCAATTGCGTGCCAGTCGTTTCTGGCTCAGTGGCATGCGGACACCATACGGGTCCCCCGCGAAGGCATTATAGGCCCGGTCACGTTCGCCCAGCTGCGTGTAGTTGAGTTCGTCGAGCGTGAAGGGCGGGTTGAGACCTTGCACGCGTATCCGGTAAGGTGGCCACTTGATTGCGGGAGCGTGCAGCTCCAGAAAGCGGCGCTCTTTGAAGGCGTGCGTGACGACGGTGATGTTCTTCGGGTAGGCACCGGTCAGTTGTCTGAAGCGGATGATGGAGAAGACGAGGTTCTGGTAGGAGTCGGTGGCATATGTCTCCAGGGCGAAGCGGACTCCGGCAGGAAACAGGGCGGGGTTATGGTTGACGATGGCCTTCAGGACGCGGGCGTAGCCTTCGGCTTCGCTGCGAGGAGCGTTGGTAGTGAAGCCGCCGGAGAAGACGAGGAGGGCCTCCGGGTTGGCATGCACGGCCAGGGCCGCAGTCATGATATGGGCGATAAAGGTCTCATGTTCACCCGGCTTTCTCGCGAGCGGGTCAGAGCGAGAGAAGGGCTGCAGAATCCATTGATCCTCCGCTGTGTTTCGGCCGTCGCCCATGTAGATGCCGTGGCAACATACCAGCACGAGGTCGGTGGTCTTGGCCACGTCGCTGCTTTCCACGAACTGCTTGACTTCGGTCATGGCGCCTGTCTGTCCTGTCGCCTCCCCTGTGTCTCGTCCCGGAAGCCGGCAGGACCAGGCGTTCCTTGGGGGTGGTGACGGTGGACTGAGCTACCAACTACTGAGGTACCGGTCTGTCGTCTGTCGTCTGTCGTCTGTCCGCTGGCTTTACGCTCAATGTACATGGGAATCCTGGAACACGAAGGTGTACCGAATGCATACAGTTGTCATACACTACCTACCTAGGAAAGGTAGCTTCATGTACTGCGCATATACACAGTGTGTCCACCGCTCGCCCGAACGACGACGCTGTGGCCGAACGGCAGCGAGCGCTCTCGTCACGGCTGATCTCCGTCTACATGTGCCCTCCATCTCAGCCTCTCAGGTACAGTACCTGAGTCTTGATGACTACCTACTACATATACCCGCCTTCGAGTGAGACAGTGAGTGGTCTTTTCCATTCGTGCGTGCCGGAGCTATGTATATACCCATTAGTTACTGTATCGGGCTATTGGCGCTGGCGCACGAAAACAGACCAGTCCGCGGTGGGCTCGCAGAGAAGCTGATGGCTGCGCCGTGGACGTTTGGAAAACCCCTGCGACAGTGTGCAAAAGGGCCCGTGCAGTGGCTGGAGCTCCAATCGGCGTCAGACCGTTGCTATTTTCAGGCACCCCTGTCGCGTGATGGGAGCTAGCAAAAGAAGAATTGCATTCGTTGGACGCTGCACAGCACACTACTAGTCATACTACTGCACTTACACCAAGCTCTTCCCGAAGCAGACCAGTGGCAAACGCAATGGAGGGCACAGCGAGGCCACAAGCTGCTGCTGAATGCGGAATGCGTGATGCTGCACGAACGGGCGTACTGGATGTAGGAGGTCTGGTATGGGGTTGCTTGCCACCCTGATTGTACTCGCATCCGCCGTGTGGACGAAATGGAGATGCCTTATAATGCACACCGCCCGATCCTGCGCAGTGCGTCCCTCTTTCCCGCTGGCACGTCGCCATTCGCAGTTTCGAAACAAACTAGCATCACGGCTGATCCTCGTTAAGGTGACCCACAGACCCTTCGCGACAATACATCTTGGCTCAAACACAGTCTGCATCCCCAGCTCCGCACGTTCACTCAGTACCACTTTTTCTTTGACTGGCCGACCGTCATTCTTCCTTTCATTATCTCTGTCGCACGCGCGCGTCCTGTTCACCCCTCCCCCGACCGCACCACCATCGCTTTGTCTCCCTGCACCTCTCATCACCCAGAAGCGTCTTCGCGGCTTCAGAGAGAGCAGTGCGAAAGAGGTCTACGTCCGTCCAGGTGACGGACCTTTGACCAGCAGCCCCCAGACCCAGTCGTTGACAATCGACTGCCCTTAATACCCGCGAAGCACAAGCGTCATGGCCTATCAAGGCGTTGGAGGCGGCCACGGTGGCTACGACTTGCACGATACGCCCACAGGCAGCGCTGTAAGTAGCGGAGGGGGCGAGCACGTGAGCAGTGCGTCCGCTGACCACGAGACAGCAACCCTACCACCAGCCTCCGCATCGAGACAGCGACGACGAGGAGGTCGAACGCTCACTGCTCCACGGAAACCCGAACGGCCCATTTCAAGGCCCCTTCGACGAACCTCACAGCAGATCAGGCACGCCAACCAGCCACGAGCCCAAGGGCTACAGCTTGGAAGAGTCTTATGCTGGTCACGCACCGCCCTACAATGGATACCAGGAGTATCACGGCAGCGGGACCACTCTTGATGACCCTGCCTATGGCGCTCCAGACCGCGCGTCCAGCCCATATTCGAGGAGCGACACTGGTAGCACGGAAGCATGGCGACAGAGACAACAGCCTGGTGCTGCAGCAGGCGTGGCAGGTCTCAAGCGAAATGCTACCAGAAAGGTGAAGCTTGTGCAGGGCGCTGTGCTCAGTGCAGACTACCCAGTACCATCAGCGATCCAGAACGCCGTGCAGGCAAAGTACAGAAATGATCTCGAGAGTGGCAGCGAAGAGTTCACTCACCTGCGATACACCGCTGCGACGTGCGACCCGAACGATTTTACTCTGAAGAATGGATACAATCTCCGGCCTGCCATGTATAACAGACATACTGAGCTGCTCATTGCCATCACATACTACAACGAGGACAAAACCCTCACATCGCGCACGCTTCACGGTGTGATGCAGAACATTCGTGACATTGTCAACATCAAAAAGTCCGAGTTCTGGAACAAGGGCGGTCCGGCGTGGCAGAAGATTGTTGTATGTTTAGTCTTTGACGGCATCGACCCGTGTGACAAGGGCACCCTGGACGTGCTGGCAACAATTGGAATCTATCAAGATGGCATCATGAAAAAGGACATTGACGGAAAAGAGACGGTTGCGCACATTTTTGAGTACACCACACAGCTGTCTGTGACTGCCAACCAGCAGCTCATTCGGCCGCTAGATGATGGCCCATCCACGCTTCCCCCGGTGCAGATGATGTTCTGTCTGAAGCAGAAGAACAGCAAGAAGATCAATTCGCATAGATGGCTGTTCACTGCTTTCGGACGCATTCTGAACCCCGAAGTATGCATTCTGCTGGATGCTGGTACCAAGCCTGGCTACAAGGCGCTTCTTGCGCTCTGGGAAGCCTTCTACAACGATAAGGATCTTGGAGGAGCGTGTGGTGAGATCCATGCTCTGCTTGGCAAGGGCTGGAAGAACCTGCTCAACCCGCTCGTGGCCATCCAGAACTTCGAGTACAAGATCTCCAACATCTTGGACAAGCCTCTGGAATCTTCCTTTGGATACGTCTCTGTGCTTCCCGGTGCCTTTTCTGCATACCGATTCCGTGCCATCATGGGCAGACCTCTCGAGCAGTACTTCCACGGAGATCACACGCTCTCGAAGCAGCTCGGACCCAAGGGTATCGAAGGCATGAACATTTTCAAGAAGAACATGTTCTTGGCCGAGGATCGTATTCTCTGTTTCGAGCTGGTTGCCAAGGCTGGCAGCAAGTGGCATCTGACGTACGTCAAGGCGTCCAAGGGTGAGACTGATGTGCCCGAGGGTGCAGCAGAGTTCATCGGACAGCGTCGACGATGGCTGAATGGTTCCTTCGCCGCCACTCTCTACTCCCTGATGCACTTTGGACGCATGTATCGCTCGGGACACAACATCCTGCGCATGTTCTTCTTGCACATCCAATTGATCTACAACATTGCTACTGTGACCTTGACATGGTTCTCCCTGGGTATGTGTCGGAGCAGGAATGATGGCATGAACAGAGTACTGACATTCTCATAGCTTCCTACTACCTGACTACGACTGTCATCATCGATCTTGTCGGCACTCCTGGCTCTTCAAACGACCAACGGGCTTTCCCCTTCGGCAACACGGTGACACCAATCTTCAACACGTGCGTCAAGTACATCTACCTGGCATTCCTCCTCCTGCAATTCATCCTAGCTCTCGGAAACAGACCGAAGGGTAGCAGATGGACCTACATCATCTCCTTTGCGGTGTATGCCTTGATCCAGCTCTACATCATCGTGGACTCCTTTTACTTGGTCATACACGCCTTTGGCAGTGGTACTGGTTTCGTGGTCAATGAGGGCGCAGACGAATTCATCAAGTCATTTGTGTCTTCGACGGGTGCTGGCATCATCATTATCGCTCTTGCGGCCACTTTCGGTCTGTACTTCGTGGCATCCTTCCTGTACTTGGACCCTTGGCACATGTTCACCTCGTTTGGACAGTACCTGCTCATGATGACAAGTTACATCAACATTCTCATGGTATACGCCTTCTCCAACTGGCACGATGTATCATGGGGTACCAAGGGATCTGACAAGGCCGATGCACTGCCCTCAGCGACAACACAGAAGGGTGCAGACGGCAAAGCGACAGTGATTGAAGAAGTCGATTTGGCACAAGCCGATATTGACAGTCAATTCGAGCAGACAGTCAAACGTGCTTTGACGCCATATATTGCACCCAAAGAAGACAACAAGAAGACGCTCGAGGATTCGTACAAGTCTTTCCGAACTCGTCTCGTCACATTCTGGATCTTCACGAATGCGCTCCTCGCGGTGGCCATTACGTCGGACAACTTTGACAAGTTTGGATTTTCGACAGGTGCGACAACGAGAACGGCAAACTTCTTCCGAGCCTTGTTGTGGGCTACGGCAGCCTTGTCGTTTATTCGCTTCCTCGGATGTGTGTATTTCCTGTTCAAGAGCGGACTGCTCTCGTGCTGCGCCAAGAGGTAAAAAAGAGGACTGGTTCCGACAAACAAAAAGATGTTGAATTCGACAGTGAGATGTGCTACAAGTGTGGTTTTTCTGGTATGCATTGCGCAATGGAATTGCTGTGGCAGGGATTGGAAAGGCGTTTTTGAGCGAATCTATGCTCCATCTCCATGGGGCTCGGCACGGCCGCAACAGACTGCTTTCAAGGAGCATGAGCACAATCGGCAGTTTATTCACGTGTAGTGTACCACAATACGATGTTCCCTTAGCTCTTGCCGCCACATGGGCGCGTCCCTACCTTTTAATGTAGCTTGACCTGTCGTGCGCACGTGGCGGCGCGACAAGTTCGTTCCCCGCAATGCATGTGCAAAGCATGTGAAACAAAACTTCCACCTCCAAAACTAAATAATACGACCAAACAACATGGCCATCACCATCCTCGCCCCCACGCCTGCTGCGGCACCACAAAAGACAGCTCGCAACTATGATGCCGACGACAACGATGCCATGCTCGATTACTCCGACTCGAGTGAAGACGAAGAAGACGGAGGAGCCGATAGCATGGAAATTGACGCTCTCCCCTCCGGCCACTCCAACACCTCTCGCCAGCTCATCACCCCCGGCATGATCATCACCTCCGATCCCCAATGGATGCGCGGTCACGGCACTTTCACCGCTCCCTCCGACTCCACGTCCGCCATTCGGTCCACCGTGGCCGGCACCCTCCAAAAAACCAACAAACTCCTCTCCGTCGTGCCGCTCCGAGCACGCTACACGCCCGAAATCGGCGATTTGGTCATTGGTCGCATCGTGGAAGTGCAGTCGAGGAGGTGGAAGGTAGATGTTGCAGCGCCTGTGTTGGCGAGTCTGCAGTTGAGTTCGATCAATTTGCCAGGAGGGACGCTGAGGAGGCGGACGGGGTATGATGAGTTGAATATTCGATCGTTTTTTGGGGAGGGAGAGTTGTTGGTTGCTGAAGTGCAGAGTTTATTCCAGGATGGTAGTGCAGCGTTGCATACACGAAGTCTGAAATATGGAAAATTGAGAAATGGATATTTCATGGCGGTGAGTGGCGTGGGTGGTGGGAGTGGAGTGGTGAGGTCGAAGAGGCAGATTTTCACGATACAGACGCGAGGAAAGGGAGGAGAGGTGGATGTCATACTGGGGGTCAATGGGTATGTTTGGATCAATAAACACGCCGAGCTGAAAGAGCAGGGTGATGCAGTGGGACTGAATAAGATCGAGGAGACGGTGAGTATTGGGATGTACTCGAGTCAGAACGATGAGATTGGGAATGAGACGAGGAGAGAGATTGCAAGGGTTGCGGGCTGTATCAGGGCACTGGTGGAGGGGAGTGTCAAGGTCGCCGAAGAGACGGTAGTGAGGGCATATGAAGCTAGTCTAGAGTTGGATGAGCTAGAAGGAGAAGAAGAGTACCTAGGTGGGGAGAGAGGAAGGCTCATTGCGGACATGGTGGTAGCCGGCAGTGGTCGCTGAGGAAGAACCTGTCTCCTGGGAACAGTCCCGGCAATCGACAACTCACTTTTCCGAGACGATAACGAGGCCCTTGAACCATGAGGCTAGACTTTCGCATGGTGCTGCATTATCAGAGTGGAATGCAGCGCTCTTGGCCATGTCTAGATCCGGCGAGATTACAACGTTTTGGCGAGGACAAAACCGGCATTGCAAGGCCCTTTCTTTGTCCAACACTTTCTCTTCCCGTAGAGGGGTCTCCAGGATCAGTCTCCACTTCGATGCACATAGGTTCTTCTTCAGCAGCACACTCAAGACGGCACCTAAGAAGTTGTCTGCAAACAGCGCGCCGATGAAGACGAGCGTGCACTCACGACCCCAACACAGGATGACTGAAAAGAAGAAGAAGATGAAGAAGAAAACTGACCAAGAGACATTGGCTTTCTATCCCTAGGTACGTTCCAAACCTGACTAGGTACTCGGAACTCGTGGGTCAATCAAATAGCAGTTTCTACTACCTGATTTTTCGAAAGCTTTCCTTACCGGTTAGTCCAGAAGGAAGGTGGCCACACACTTTTCTCTAGAGGTGAAAAGTATCTAATCACAGCAATCGCGGTTTCTGCTGAGAGTAGTAAGTTATAACCTTTAGGTAGCTATATAGTTACCTTTACAGGTAGGTAGGTAAAGCTGGACTCCAATCAGAGGGCGTAAAGTAGCGATGATCTATTGGAGCTGTTGCCGAGTATATGTTACCTTATGTACGTGGTCAACTTAGGTTAGTAGGTAGGTAGAACATGTGCGGGTGACCTGAAGAGGCGCTCAAGAGTGCTAACCAATCAATTAATTAATGAATGTAAGGTATCATGCCTATATCTTCCTATATATCTTCCCCTCAATTCACATAAGATCCTCATAACATGCACCACGCAGCCAGCAAGCAAGCCCCAACATCTAGGTAGGTAGGTACCTTTTCTATCTAACCTCCCAATCCAGCACTTTTCTACAACAAGTACTGAGGATACTGATACCGTGCTCTACCAACACCACCACCACCACCAAAAGCACCAAAAGCACCACTACCACCATACCTGCTCCTGGATGATCTATTATTCGCCATATCCATCATCATCATCATCCTCCTCCTCTCCGCACCAGCAGCACGAGCAGAAGGATATTTTCCGCCCGTCTCGAAACCATACACGGGAACAGGCATTCTCCTGCTACGGCCCCCGACAACCTTGGCGCTTCTTCGAGTCTTCTTCTGTTGCTGATTTTGCCATCGGACATGTCTTTTCGGATCGATGCGGTAGGAGGATGTTGGTGGTCCATTAACGTTATCATCATCATCATCGTCATCATCATCATCATTCATAACGAGATCACCAGAGTCCGCGTCGACTCGCCAATTCGTTGGACGACGAGGGGTTCTTGTTGGGGTGGTTGTTCCTGCTGCTGTGGCCAGTAGTGATGGATCAGAATGCTCGACGAAGCGGAAAGCATCGAGAAGAATGTGGAAAGCTTTCTTCGCAATCACTTTGGCTGCGCGTGTGAAGGTGCGTTCACGTGCACGCCCGGCGTCCTGGTATGGTTCCGGTGCAGGGGAGGAATATTCTGCAGCGAGGCCTCGGGGATAGGGGCCGGAAGGGCGACCGACGGGTTGATAACGTCCGTGAGACTGCGTGTCGGAAAACATGTGGTGGTGGTCGGGATTGCGCGTCACTTCGGGCTGGGCGCGGAAGGTGTATTGGCGCGTTTCCGAGTCGTATGCCTCGGGAAGCTCTTCATCCTGATCTAAGTCAGTATAGATAAGGTACCTAGGTGTGCGCATGGTAGCTCTCTGCAACACTGGAACTCACATCGTATTGATATCTTGCTCTTCTGGACATGTTTGCTATGGCACTGCGCGAGCTCAAAGTCGGGTGAAGATGGATGCGAGTACGATGCGGTAGGGAAGCATTAAGACATAGCTTGGAGGTCCAAGTCTCTGCAATTGTTCTTCCAGTGTGTCCGGATCTGGAGAGTTCGGCCAAAGGTAACAAAAGACGAGTATGAACAAAGACTTTTTTGGTAAAGTCTTCGACTCGACATCTCGACTTTCCAGTCATCTTCCGGATCTGTCCATAGGCTCGAGAACGCTCCAGACTACAAAGAAGTGATTAGGTGCTGCTATGCGGCATCGTCATTGAGATACTATTGTAGTAGCCCCTCGATCACATAACTACTCGTCATGGTCTCGTCTTCCATTCCTTGTCCATTTTCGTCGCCGCAAGAGAAGAAACTGATCATGATGCGTCTGTAGGCTTGATGAGGCCTTGGAGTTCTTCTTGTCCTGATTATCACGTGAGCTGTCCAGCATAAAAGAGATCGCAACGTGAGTAGAGTGCTTCCTCGTTGTGCTGTATTGGCTCAAAGCCCAAGTTGGACAGATGCCGCAATGCCGTTCGACTGGGATCAATTTACTGGTTCGGGAATGGCCGATGCTAGCTGATGTCAAGGAGGCCGCGAGGCGTCCGCCGCCCGCCAGAGCCCGCCTGAGTCCGTCTTTGGTGCAACTGATAAATTCGCCAATGGAATTTGCATATGTCAGCAAGTGTGCAGCTGCTGCCAATAAGTCATCCAATGGAGTGTGCATTTCCCGCATAGAGATGAAATCTCGTGTGCACTGCGTCGAGCAGGGCTAAACTTTGATTCAAGATGAATTGATTCCAAACGAGGAAGTCTTGATGATTACGCGTCGTCGAATGCTGCTGCCCACTTTGATGAACCTTGACCGAGATCTTGGGCAAAGGCCTGACAGACGCGCATATGGAAGTCGTAGACCAGGTTGGCCGCACCCGGATACCACAACTGTGTGGCTCGCGAGAAGTGTGATGCAGAATTTGAACAATAACCTGGAAGGTACCATCGCTCGAGACAGACGCGTTCAAGTGAGCAGGTCACTACTGCCAACCAATACCTAGGAGTATGCGAGGTCAGGTCATATCATTGTTGCAGCCTCTGCAATTGATGGCGCAAAAACAACCAGAGCTTCATATCGGATAATCGCTATACACCTTTTCGCGCAGGCCAGTTTCCGCATTGAAGATGTAACGAGTAACGCGAATGTCAAAACGGTTGGCAGGCTCATTTACCAGGATTCCGAGATGGTGCACCCTCTGATGTTCCGGGGGGAAAATGGAGTCATCGATGGCGGAAACACCACCACCGAGACCTATTTGTACCAGAGATGGCACGGGATGACCCAGTCCTTCCTCTTCAATAGCGATCAATCGCGCCACGACTTCCGCACATGATCTCGCACCCCACAAGCACTCCTTGGCTGGGGCCTTGAGGAGCAGCTCCAACGCCCTGCGGCGCAAAGACGGTATGCGACATTTGGTAGCAGCCCAGTATAAAGGGGGAATGGTACCGACCTCGAATGTAAATATCGAGTGCTCGCCAATTCGATTGTGCACATAGATTTCTGACAACCGAATGATCTCTTGAAAATGAGGAGTGCATTCGTCGAAGATCATCTGTGTATGCGTGTCCATTGCGTGCATCATGATGACTGCGAGATGATAGAACATCAACAGTGTCGCTGCGGCCTCATTCTCTTCGGGGCCGTGGGGACACATGTGCCGAAATGAGTCATACCAGCGCATCCACCGCCGTTGCAGTCGAGCTTGTCGCTTTTGCATGTTGACCGGGTCGCTGAACAGCTTGCGGTCGCCTAATTGCATAATCATTCGATGTTCTGCGGATATGTCGCCGTGTCTCCACGATAAATCGTACAGGTCCTCATGTTGCTCATTACTAGCTATTCTCTCGGGCTCGGATTCGAGCAGGTCTTGCGACCGTTTGCCCATGTGCGTTGCGTGCCCTCCTCCGCCTGAAGGCTCATGAGGCCGAGGAAGAGGCGGTGGCACATTCGCCAAGTCTTGCTCAGTGAGGGAATTATTGGCAAAGGCTGGCATTACGTTTGAATTACCTTCTGCGACTGCTCCCTTGCGAAGATCACTCGTCAGTCGAAGGGTGGCATGCGTCTCGCCGAGCAAGCGGAATAACATTGCCCGCGCGTCCGACAAGGTAGAGAAGGCGGCCGATTCGGGGGGTGAATGACTACTCCATTCGACGAGGTCATGCTCAGCAGGATGCCCAAATGAGGAAGCGAGGACGGAAATGCGAGCAAACATCTGTATGATGGCGTCGTACAAGGCGGGATTCATGCCTTCGGGACACGTCGAGAAGTGTCGTGTCAAGGCACAGCCGGTGACGACAAGGGAGACGGCGCCCAAGACATGATCACGAATGATCTCTATACAGATGAAGAGGGCGCAACTGAGCAGAGCCAGCTGCGGAGAGGCGGTACCGTCTGCCATTTTCTGGTCAAAGCGGCGGATGGCGCGATTATAGTACCTCAGGGCGGCGGCGTCATGCTCGTCGATGCTACTACCTCCACTGGGCCGCTGGGTGGCGGGATGGACAGCGGCGTGCACATGACTGGCGCGAGGGGAGTGTCGGGGGTGGTGGTGGTGGTGTGGCGAGGGCAGGAAGGTGTTCCTGTACTGCGGGTGCTCATAGAGAGTCGACAGGGCCAGCAGCGAGTCCAGAATCAGGGGCTCGTGCTGTGCCAGCTGCAGCACATGGCCGCACCAGAAGTCTTTGTCGAGCACGCCGGCTAGACGCGGCGCGGTCCAGGACAGATAGTAGTCAAAGGCGCGCCTGCTGTCGTCGTCTGCTAAGCCGAGAGCGAGCGAGAGCTGGCGACCGATCAGGCAGTTGCTGTTGTTGTTGCTGTTGTTGTTGTTGCTGCTCCTTCCCGGGACAGACAGCTGCAGATGGACATAGCCGTCGCAGCGCCGCCCACTGCTTCTACAGCGGCCGCACTGGGGATGCTGTTCGTCGCACTTGATCCGCCGCGTCTTGCACGTGAGACAACCAGCTCTGCTCTTCTTGCCGCCCACTCGCCCTTGCCGTTTGCGCGCTTCTAAGATGTGGGCTGCCGCTGCCGCCTGCCAGGTTACGTCTCTGCTAGAACTGGACGCCTTGGCGGTAGTCTTTACAACACGAGTAGAGGTAGAGCCACTTGCACGGCCAGTTGACGACATGTCGCGCGCATCATTAATATTTGACTTCGCAGGGGCACAGCTTAGTTCTCACTCTTCTGTTGATGCGTGGTCCCCTCCGCCCACGGGAACATCCGCTGGTTCACACTAGTTTTACCAGCTCGTACATTACAGCACATTACAATATACAGCAATACCTACCTTAGGTACCTAGGCTAATAGCATGTTTCTGACTGGAGCAGTTACTCCTCAATAATTACCTTACTCCTCACGTCTACGGTCTGGCACATGCACAAGGTAGTTCGAGGGGGAAGCTGCGAACCACAGACCCACTCCGATCATCCTAGCTACATACCTACCTCCTACCGGTACCTTACCAACATCTCTAGACCTCGGCCTTGGAAGCGTCTGTATAAGAGTATGAACAGCTGTTCGCCTCGCCTCGCCTCGCTTCCCGCCCTTCCCCTCTCTTTCCTTCTCCCTTGAGACGACTCTGTGCTCTGCCAGTACAACGACCCCATCGCAATCAGAAGTTTCGATTTCAAGTCAATGGAATACGTAGCGGAATTCTTCTCCCTCCTGCTCAAGGCCATTCGATAAACGACTGGCAATTGACGTAACCGCTGTCGGATCACAACTCCCGTCGGCACAAAATTTACAACCGCCAAAAAACAAGTCAGCATGACTCAAACCCAAACCCCCATCAATGGTACCGCCAATGGCACCGCCAAGCCCTTCGAGAAAGATTCTCGCTTGAGCACTGAATCCGCCTACGATCTCACCATCAACCACCTCCAAGACCTCGTAGCATTCAAAGACACCCCGGCGGGATTGTGCCTCGTTTCCAAAGTCGCCCTCCCCGCAGGAGCTCACTTTGCCTATTTGACCAGCCACCAACCTCAACCCCGTGCCTCGTGGAAAACCATCCAGACTTCCAAAACCACCCACACCGACCCGCAGAGCGCTCTCCTGTACATGAATCACTCGTGTGCTCCCTCCTTGGAAGTCCACACCTACAGTCCCGACGCCAATGGGAAGTATCCGCAAACGCCCCAGCACGGTGGCGATTTGAATGGCGACGCGGCAGGACTCACGAGTGTGGGTCTGGCGGGCGAGGTGAGAGTCTCGAGGGATCGTGCGGTCCAAGTGGGCGATAGTTTGACCTTTTTCTATCCTTCTACCGAGTGGAAATTCGATCGTGCGTTTGACTGTCTGTGTGGAGCGGGAGAGGGAGTCTGTGTGGGCAAAGTGGAAGGTGCGTCGGCGATTGCGAAGGAGGATTTGGGCAGGTGGTTTTTCAATGATCATATTCTCGAGTTGGCGAGGGAGCGGGATGGGAAGTGAGTGGATGGACGAATGAATGAATGAATGAAGAGTGGTGGGAGGCTACAATTCAACATCAGTCTTCTGGAGATTTTCTTGATGCTCGACGACATGTCTGTTCAACAGCTACCAAGCACGAGCGAGTTTTCTATATACGTTTTTGAAGAAAGAAAAAATATGAATGTCCCGCATAACTGATAGGCTGATATTTGATATATGTAAAGGAATGGAGTCGCCTATAGCATGACAGGTAGGTACCTTTTCATGTACGTGACTGTTGAAGTCCAACGATACTTTGAGACTTTGGCCGAATCAGGAAACAAAGTCCCGATGACTGTTCCTCCTGGACTCTGACCACTGAAGAGACCCTTTTTCGCAAAAAAATGGTCATTGCAGCTGGAACACCCGCTACTTCGTCATGCATGAGGTATTCAAGCATGAGCAGAAACAGCAGCAGCAGCAGTGCGCTGAACATCCAGACGCTTAAAGCCCCCCATTTCCGCCACCTCCTTCTGCAGCGCCACCATCTTCTTCTGATCTCCCGTAGGATCCACCTGATCACCCTCGGCAGCCCAATCCACCAAAAACTCATTCGTATAATTCGGCTCAAACGACTCATCCAACACCCCCAAGCGTTTTCCATACTTGGTGACTTTCTCCCAATCGCGTGGGACATTTTTCAAGTCCTGCGAGAAATACGCAAAACTCCTCTCGAAGATTTTGCGGTTCAGAGGCGTGCCCATGACGGGTTTGAAATCGACGTATTCGGTCCATGCTTGCTCGGGATGGGCCAGCACGAAATCGGTGGCGCGCTTGACGGCGCGCATAAAGGCTTTGACTTGGTCTGGGTGCTCGCTGAGGAATTTCTCGTTGCCAATGTAGAGGATGGAGCAGAAGCAGCAGCAGCCCAATTCGGCGAGTTCGTCGATGCGGAGCATTTGTACATCCGACTTGGGACGCTGTTGCGAGCTCAGCCATTCCTCGAGTTCGACCATTTGGACGTTCTCGAGACCGATGCCCGCGTCGATTTCGCCTTTGATGATGGCTTTGGACACGTTCATGCCGCAGCGCACGGCCGTGTAGTCTTCGGGGCTCATGCCATAGTGGGAGGTGAGTTCGTCGATTTGGATCTTGCCGAATTCTCCTACGTAGCCGATCTTCTTGCCCTTGAGCGTGCGGAAGTCGGTGGTGATGCCGCTGTCCTTGAGGTACACCACACCCGTAAAGGGCTCGTCGAGGAGCGACCCGATGGAGAGGATGGGGAATTGGCGAGCTTTGGCGGCGAGCGTGTGAATCATGGCTTTGTAGCCGAGATCGACTTTGCCACTTCCGATGATCTCCGTCACGTCCTGCACTGCTGTCAGGTCGTGTGAACTCTGGCCGCACTCCTCCACCATTGCTTACACTGGGATCGTTTGGCTCCAAAAGAGCAACCTTGATGTTCTCATCCTTGAAATAGCCCTTGGCCTGCGCCAGGTATAGGGGAGCGTGGTATGGCGTTGCGTGCCTTGCTGCATGTTAGTTTCTGTTCTTTCTGCTTCTCACACTACAATGGAGGCGAAGCTACCAGTTGGTCAGGAACGTGATCTTGTCAGTCGACATTTTGTCTCTTGCTCAAGTGGGTAATAATGCTGCTGAAGTCAATACATCACACGATCGTGGAGACGGGAATAAGGGGATGAAAGCATGTCCCTCCGCAGAAATTACTCTGTTCAGGTTCGTACGGTATATCTCAGATCACTGTCCTGCCCATATCACGCTCCGAGGAGACTCATGATTACAACAGAGACAAGTGAACACCCGCATGCATTTGATTGTGTAGCTGTACGGTACCTTGAGCATATCTCTCGAACCTTGCAGGCATTCTCGCATCGGACCTGACCTCCATCATCTTGCTTGTCGTACCGGTGTGGCTGTGAGGGTGTTGTTGTTGAACTCGGCTGATCTGGAGTGGATGTTGAAGAAGAGCAGCGTCTGTGTGCCATTGCCAACATTTATTTGTGCTCATGGCGGGGAAGCTGTTGGAGCGGGACCCACATGAGGTTTTTTGGCTTTTGCTAGGGAGGTCCAATCACCGACTCTCCGACCTGTCACGTGATGAATTGTCCGTGTTCAACAACTTCATTTCCTGGCCGTCTTCGTTGCATACTCCGCCTGCAGCACCACTTCCACCACTCCCAACTGCGCCCCGACGCCCACACTGCTCTCGTTATATCCCGCACGACCTTCCGTCCACTTCAAGCTCGCAACATTCTTGTGAGGCCCTGCATTCACGACCTCGATCGCAGCCTTGGCACTCGCGTTCAACACCTCCATAATACGGTCTCTGGTCTCCGGCAGCAGCGTCGCGGTCATACCCATCCATCTTGCGAGATATGCCTTGAAAGTCTGCTGGTCTGTGTTGCATGTTCCGCTATCCTCGCAGCGTTGTTCGTACAAGATGTGCGAACTATTTTCGGCGAAATTGGACCGCGCTGCTGAGATGAAGCCTTCGACGTGCAGTAGCCAATTCGTTGGCGCAGAACCATTGCGGTCTGCGGACGCGGAAACACACCCAGTCATCTTATATGGCGGCGCAGATGTAGTATTTGAGGAACATGAACCTGGAGACTGAGAAGGTGTGGGTACAGAAATATTTCGGTATGCTGACGCCGGACTCTGTTCAGTAATGTTATGCAATGGTGCAGAGTCATTGCCAAACGAATATGGACTCCACGACCGAGAACATGTATGCCGATGCATGACTGCAGCACCATACATGAATACAGCAACGTTGTATGACCATCTCTCGTCGCCCACGTCACTGCAACCCGGAGCGTGGACGCCATCGCTTACTTGATAAGTGGCATTGTCGATCAGGCCAGCCTGGAGTGAAACGTCGAAGATTTTGTTGGCCCAAACTTCGTATTGGCGTTCTTTCGTGATGGCAGCTAGGCGTGCAGCTAGCTGGAATGCCAGTCCCTGTGTGATGGCATTCTTATATTCGTGACCCGAGCTAGTGGTACTGACTTGCCATCCTATTCCTCCCTTGCCAGGTCCACACATATCTGGTTGCCATCGCGAAATCACAGAACCGAAAACGTTCTTCGCCAAGCAGAGCCAATCTGTGGAGGGTCCTTCCTCGGGCACAGGAAAACCATACTCTGCTGCGCTAATACATGTCAAGCCCCACCAAAGAGCGTCGTCGTTGCCAGGACTGACGGCGCTGAAATCATTGTCAGGACCTGCTTGAGATATAATGCCACTCGCGGTCTGGTTGGCGTATGTGCAGTTGCCCGCGTAATGCCAGTAATCAATCATGGTGTTGTGCGTGGAGGCTGATATCCATGCTTCCCATGGTTGAAGGGCAGCGAGGAGTTTTGTATTTGGGTCAAACTTTGACATTAAGTTGTCCACTAGGACACCGAGTGCGAAATATGAGTCCGCTGAGGTGTCGATGGAGAGTTGCTTGGGTTCTTCGGCATGGGCTTGGGCAGAGAATGCCATGACGGCCATGGAGAGATGCTGCAGCAACACCATCGCTCCAGCTCTGAGAAGTGGTGACTATTAACTCAGGTCCGCACGGCGCGGCAATGATCAAGTTATAGGGGGACATCAGTGCAGTTTGCCAAAAACAGCCATCACAACTGTCTAGTGACTCTAATCCACTTGACCTTTCCGTATTGTGCGAGTGCGCCAACCAGCAGAGCCGAAGCGTGACGATACAGTCTTGTGAGATAGCATGCATGATGACGGTTTGTATGGAGGCCAGTGATCCCAGCACATGGTAGCAAAACCTCGACGGAATGCTTGGGAGATTGTGATAGATCAGTGGCAACAAACGTCCATAGCCTAATGACAGAGCCATGTTCATCTGACCTTCTACGACGTGTGAAGCTCGAGACTCTTGAGTGCTTCCGCCGCAGCGTGATAGAAATCTTGTGAGATACATACTTGAATCAACGGAAAGGCACCTCAAGGTCAGAATACCAACCTACCTTACATAGATACAGGTACCTTGACCTACCTGACCTTACGCCAAGTCCATTTTATATCAAAACAGACTAGCGTTCGATACTTGCTACAGCATTTCGCGCCCTCTTTCTCTTCTTCCTCCTCTTTCTCATCCACTTCTTCGAGAAACACCGCCTGCCATGGAAATCCTCCCCAAGAAAGCAAGCAAGCAAACAAATGACGTGCAACTGCTTCTCGGCCCTATAGATGCGCCTTCTTGCCGAGGCAGAGCGTGAATACCTACCGATGCTTCCAGTTGCTTCTAGTTCTAGGTAACATCCAGGTACATACCTTACCTTGCTACATGCAACTGACTCTTACCTACCTGACCTGTACCTTCCATTACCTTACATGTACCTTACCTACCTAAGAGTTGCTCTAACCCCACGACCTTCGCAACAACATGAATCTTCACACATCAATATCCTCTTAACAGTACAGCAGCACACGTCCTCTGCCATGGCGTTCCTCGTCGAAAACGATAAACGGTGGATCGACGTCGATATAGGCACTCGAGCCATTGCCGCGTTGTTCCGCTGTTCATTCGTGCCGTACTCCTTAGGCACCAAGAGGGGTTTCAAGGAGCCCAAACCCAGTGCACCGACAGATAGGCATCTCTACATGCTATTGCCGCACGCCATCGGAGTATTTCCGCCTAATCATGACTACGATCTTGTCGTCGTGGCCACTATGACTGCGAAAGCCTTCTTCAAATTTGCTTTATTTGCTATAAATGAGCTCGAGGCTACTAGACTCGCTTCACCCGCTGGAAAAAAGCTCGAGGCTACACTCGTCTCTATGCCTAATTCTGATAATAAGAGTTTGGATATGCAGTTCGCGAGTTTCCCGGATCAGAAGATAAAAGCCTGCCACCGACTCGTTTTCAGAGTGCACTACTGCAGAGTCACGCATGAGAACGGCCACCTTCTCTCAGCGCCGGAGAAGATAGATTTAAATGGCTGGATGTTCAACCGAGACCTGCTTGCTCGACTGCACGACTCAAGACACATGTTCAAGAAAGTGCGGGATCTGGACGCTGTTGCGGATTCCTGGCTGTTGCATGCACCAAGCTCAGTGGAGTATCGTGCTGCCCTGGTTCAGCTCATAGTATGGGGAGATCATTGCGGCATCCTAGGTGGTCGTCTCAATATGCTTACTCCAGAGATGCTGGTGTTCTGTTTTGACCAAGGCTACGCCAATATCGACATTCGAAGTATGGATGAACATTTGGATCGAGCAACGATCGCAAAGCTACTGGAAGGGTGCATGTACAAATTTGTCATGGGATCTCATTCGAAGGAGGGTTACCTATCCATCGTCACGCCATCGGGGCGTACACTGGGGCGCTCAGTCAGTAGAATTGACACCACGAAAGTGGTAAGTGACCGGCTAGGTACCTGGAATGCACATTGGGGTCGCAGTGTCCCGTCGCAGAGTAGGCCGGCATGGTTGAATAAATGGACCCGCAGACGATACTGGCTCGGCTCTCAAACGCTCCTCCCACTATGCTCACTGACTTTCGACGAATAGGCAACCATGTGCATAAAGCGAGCGATCACACGAGATATGACCTCAGTGAGCCAAATTGCGCTCGATACGCATGAGGGCCGAAAGCGTTTTGTGGCAGAGCACGAAATGTTTCTCAAGATCATCGTGCACTGCTGGGAGCCTACAAAAATCGCCCAAATTAGCTTGGATTTTTCCCAGTGAGCATGCTTTTCCAATAGTCCCGATGAGATTCGATCAGCAAAGGTACATCTCAATTGGGTCTTTGAACAAGAGCTAACCGTGAGCAGCATCCTCCTTGCACTGCAGGCAAACGTCCGGAGTTACATGAGTTACACTGTCAAAACGCACATCTGGCCCTTTCAAATTTCTTCGCCTAAAGACGTCGCTGACGGAGAAGGCTGGGTAAACTACATTGGCCTCTCCCGGTCTGAAGCAATTCCAGGGCCCGAAATGAATTTTTTCCCAGAAACCATTCGAGGGTTAATCCACGAGCAGGCTCAAATCGATTTCGAAAAGATTGGCATGGATCACCCGCTCTTCGATCGCTCAGCGTCGCATCTCGAGATCAGAGTGGGCTCACAAGCCGAGTTCTTTGGCAACGAGGCGGCAGCCAATCATGGGCTCGATATGAGAGAAGATGTGGACTAGGCATTCATTTTAGACGGTCAAGAGTGGTCAACAACGCCGATCCCAGTGGACATGACGGATCCTCTCAAGCAACCGGCCGCCGAGGGTTGGTCGGTGGACTACACGAACAAGTCGTCGGATACGCCATCAGGAAACCCAGAGATGTCCATCACGCCAAATAAACCGAATGGCTCGGATCGCTCCGACAATTGTGCAGAAGAGAGTGAACGGGTTGGTCACTTGAGCAATGAAACAAAATCACCGCTGGTGATCGAAAAAGCACCTGATATGGCTGCTGGGACTGGAGAGTCGGGGGGACCTGAGCAATCGCAGGCTGGGCTTGAACATGGGGCACGGGAGCAAAAAGACTCGGAAGAGGAGGTGAATGTAACACCAAAGGCAAACTTTGCGGAGCTACTGAGACAAGTTGTCGAAAAGTTGTTGGGAGCACCGCCGCCTCCTTCTATTGCTGCTGGCCCGTCGACAGCGAAAACGATGACCGTTGGCCCCTCGACAGCGACGACAACTTCTTCTCCTACTGCTGCTGATGCTGGCCCGTTGATGGCTAAAATGATGACTGCTGGCTCTTTGCTAGCGAAAACGATAACTGGTTCCAGGGCTGCTGGCCCTTCGACAGCGAGGACGACAACTTCTTCTGCTCCTGCTGGACCCTCATCCACATCCAGAACCACGACGAAAGCCACGAAAGCTCGTCCAGCTTTCACCGAAGTTCCTTCTGACGCCTCTCAACACTTCGGTACAGCTGCACAAGCCATGGAACGATTCAAACACGACCCTCTCCATGCTGCGAATGAATACGAAGTGGGCTATGAGGATCCCTCTGTTCCCAATAGTGTGATCTGGAAGCGCCTGGACCAGTGGCCGGAGCATACGGACGAAGAGGACTTCATTCCCGAGAATCGAATCAGGCAAATCAGATTTTTTGCACATGGCTGCGATGAAGCGTGGATCGTGTGGTATCGGGGGCCGAGAGTGGACGAGACCGATAGGACGGACCAGGAATCGAAGTTGTGAGAGGAGATGAGGTCCGGCCGGGTGATTGCATGTTCGGTTAATCATCGAGGTTCGTTCATTGTTTGTTTTCAGAGATTGATATGCGCTTCTGTCGTTGGGTGATGAATAGACATAGACAGAGTAGAGCTAATCAGAGCGATCACTGTCGTCTCCATGGTCGCCTTCTGCTTCGCCATCGACAAGAGGTACGATCCGGAAATCTACAAACGCAGCTCCATCTCCTTCGCCGTATCCTATCTCGACGAGAAATTGTAGACTGAGAACGCCATCTTCGTCTAACCGCAGTGAGACCTTGGAAGCAGATTGCATGGCCCGTTGAGCAGCCTTGACACTGCTGAATTTGTAACTCGCTGCAGTTTTCGAAGGGCACTGAAAAGTTTCAAGAATGGGTGTTTCGGAATCGGTATGTGTGGTGAAATCCACCATGGATGATCCCAGAGGCCCCGATGCACTGAGAGATAGGTTGGCCGTACGGGAGTCAGGACTAGCTTGAATGGTCAAGTTTTGCGGGTTCATGTTGCTGAGCTCGGAGAGTGTGTCTAGCAGGACTGCGGAACGCATGATGGCTTTGAGAGCTAGACTCTCTCGCCGAAATGGAATTTCTTCGGCAACTTCTGCTTCATAGGTTGTGAGGTCGCAGGTGGTTGTGACACCGGCTTCGGACATGTGGATGCTTAGGGGACTTCCTTCGCCATCATAGGAGAATGTGCAAATACCGGCGACGTGAAGGGGGTGGTTGAAGGCGTTTTGGTTGGCGTGTCGGTTGAGACGATGTGCTGCAAAAGCAGAGTAGTCATCGGGACGCTTAGCTGCGCTTGGGTCGGGCACACTGAAGATGTTCAGCGTTTCGAGAAGGGAGATGAGGTTGACTTCGAAGATGGGATGTTCAAGAGGTTCGTCTTGGGAGGAGGGATCTGCCTCTGGGATGGTGTACTTATAGGACGTGAAGAGGTTCTTCTCGAGATGTACGAAAGCCTCCATGACACTACCTTCTTCTGTGCTCAAGCGGAGCCCATCGGGGGTGATGCGCACAGTAGCGCTGCATTTCATTTTAGAAAATGAAATGCAGCGGAGGAGAAGGAGAATCTGGCGAGCGGAGGAAGAGACGGCAGAGAAAAGAAGTGGATTGGTAGTGGCCATGTTGGAGGTGGCGAATGTGTAGCGCTTCTGTCGTGGGTATCCTAGTTCTACGTGATCGCTCCTCAGTCCGTCTCTTGATACTGTCCTGATCGTATGAAGTGCGCCAAGTGGAGAGCAGCAGTCGAGACGACAAAGAAGGCGGTCAGGCCGCAGGCGAGGATGAAGAGAGTCGATGTCACAGGGTGGAAGTGCCTCTGTGCTGTTGCCGCTGTAGCCATGTCAGTAGCTGTTCGACCAGTATGGGCAGATAGCTGACGACGGCGCGTACCCTTTCGTCGCTCCACAGACGGTGGTATGATGTCTTCTCTTCTCCGTTCCTGGCGCAGCGACCGCAAGGACAGCGGCTTTACCCTGCGGTTGCGAGGCGTCGGCTGGTCGTGCGGAGAGTGCGATCTATACATAGACGCCGACTGCGCAGATCATGTAGACGGCGCCAAAAGCGAAGGCCAGAGATGCGGGCACGGCGAGGACGGGCAGGTTCTTGACGGAAAGGTCTATGCGGCGAGTCGCATTAGTTTGGATACAGGCATGACGGTATGGCGATGTTGGACGGGAGAAGCAGGAAAGAGAAGTGAAGTGAAGTGCGAAACGAAGAACTCATGGAGCAACATACTGAGGCCGAAGAGAGCCGTCAAGACGAAGCCAATGGAGAGCAAGACGAAGCCCACCAGGAGCTGCGCGTCTTTGCCAACGGCGGGGATGAAGGGGCTGTTGGCGGAGGCCTCCCACAGTGCGAGAGGTGATTGATCCGACATTGATGTGAGGAAGTGTTGGTCAATTGATTTCTGCTCACTGATCAAGTGCGTAGACGTGTATGTGGCTAGTGTAACAGCACGTGTGAGAGAGAACAGCTGGAGGTGTGTGCTAGCTCGCTTAATTTGGCCTTAGTTCCTACCAGGATCGCATTTGCCTCCGGCTGTTAGCGGCATCTTATTCAATCTCGTCTCCACTTGGTACCTGACCTATTATCCAGACACACCTACATCCTTGAGGCACTGTCTTACACACATCAACGACAGAGGCAGCGGTACTGGCGCATGACCACTACACAGCATGTCCAACGTGAAAGAGGAGAAGAGAAAGGCGGACGAGGGAATCAATGGACATGATGCGAAGCGTCAGAAGCCCTCGGTCTCTCCACCGCGACGCGATGTAGGAGATGACGGAGGAGAGGGCGGAGCGAGCAGAGAGGGACTGGGAGAGGCGGCACCATTCGACGATGGAAGGGACGACTCCGACGAAGACGCATTCACCATCAACCACGACGCGTATCCCGAGAAGCCGGCGGTCATCGAAGAGCGTGCCGGTGACATTTCTTTCTACGTCGTCAACAACGACGGCAAGCCTTCCTCGCACATTATCCTCACCGGGCTGAAGTGTATCTTCCAGAAACAGCTTCCAAAAATGCCCAAGGACTACATCGCCCGCCTCGTCTACGATCGCACGCACCTCAGCATAGCAATTGTCAAACGCCCCCCGCCAGGATCCTTCGCCGAGTCTAGTAATCTCCCCGGCGAAGTTGTGGGAGGCATCACATATCGTCCCTTCAGGGGAAGGCAGTTTGCCGAGATCGTATTCTGCGCTATCAGCAGTGACCAGCAGGTCAAGGGCTACGGCGCTCATCTCATGAGCCATCTCAAGGACTATGTCAAGGCGACCAGCGACGTCATGCACTTCCTGACGTACGCCGATAATTATGCCATTGGCTATTTCAAAAAGCAAGGATTCACAAAGGAAATCACTCTCGATAAGCCAAGGTGGATGGGCTATATCAAAGACTACGAGGGAGGAACTATCATGCAGTGCTCCATGCTGCCGAAAATCAGCTATTTACAGTCCGGCCGCATGCTGCTCAAACAAAAGGCTGCCGTGCATGCAAAGATCAGAGCAGTTTCGAAGAGTTATGAAGTGCATCAGCCACCCAAGGCATGGAGAAACTTAAAACCTGGACAGGCTCTGCCCGAACTTGATCCTCTCGACATACCCGCAATCAAAGCAACTGGCTGGTCTCCCGACATGGACGCCCTCGCCCGCCAACCACGCCGAAATCCCTCGCACAGTCTTTTGCTAGGCCTGGTCTCGGCTCTATCGACCAGCAGTAACGCCTGGCCCTTCTTACAGCCCGTCAATGGCGACGAAGTTCACGACTACTACGAAGTCATCAAGGAGCCCATGGATCTCAGCACGATGGAGCAAAAGCTGGACAAGGACCAGTACGAGACGGTAGAGGACTTTGTCAGGGACGTATTGCTCATCGTGCGGAACTGCAAACGGTATAACGCGGAAACGACACCATATGCCAAAGCTGCCAACAAGTTGGAAAAGGAAATGTGGAAGAAGATACGCGAGGTGCCAGAGTGGTCGTACTTGGAGCCAGAGAACTTTGAGAGCACTAATCGTAAGCCGGAGGATCAATAGGATGTGCCACCGCCGAATGGATCCTTCTTCAATCCACCTGATCCGCCTGACACTCGCAAACACCGACGTCCATGTCTTTGAAGTAGCGGACCAGGCGTTACTTGCCTTATGCTTGGGCACGAGAGACACGAGATATGAACTTATTAATGACTCTCTTTCTTTACTCAGGTAGGTATACTACCTTGTATATATATATGCCGAACAATGAGCCACGTGCGCCCCGATTGATGCATTCGTACATGACACATGTCGCGAACACCTTCCACCCGACCACACGCCCATGCTCGTGCTCCACAGCCGACTAATACTCCATCGCTACCCAGGTAGGGACAGGTACCAATAAATTTCCATCTAATCAAGCTTCCTGCTATTGCCGTATCACTACCCAACACAGTTCTCACAGCAGCCTTTTTTTCAAGAATGAACCCAAGGAATGCACGACGCGGACCTATCATCAGACCCCAGCAAAGTCGTGTGACTCGCCTATCGCCAACATCATCTGCAGGCGACGGGTGACTCGTGAAAATGCTATAAACTTACCTATTTCCTTACCGAAGGTTTTCTGCAAGACAGTGATCTAGTTACCTTACAACCTTATACAAGAATGTGCTGGGCAGATGCAAGGCCGTTGAACTAGCAGTAACCGTTGTACTGGTCTGGTAGATATAGCAACGGAGATGGCGAAGGGTTTATGCACTACTTGGACTTAGGCAAGCAGTACTTAACTTGGGTGTATGTGGCGCAAGGAGAGCGCGAGGAACTACGAACACCGTCAGCACCTATTCATCAACTGTGTCTTGTAAAAGGAAGAAGAGCAGATTTTGAAAATTGCCATATCAGAGGTTTGAGAAGATTGTATTAAGCTGGCGTGAAAGCATGCTCAACCAGAGTATCGGCTGAGAGGTCATATGGCCCCAGCGCTTGTCATCATGGTAGTAGTGAGGTGGTGTCTATATGAGAAGAAGGTGTGTGGATGTGTTCTCAACTTACCCAGGTTTTTCTGCGCTTTGGATGCCTGTGTAGGTAAAGCGAGTTCTTCCCCCATGGCGAAGCAAAAGTGAGCCGACAGACTACCTCCTGGGCATACCTGGCTCGTCTGCATCTGCTGAAGAGAATGTGCGGTGAGCTCTGGCATGGCTCCCATTGACTTCGAGGTTGATTTTGGTTTTTCAACGTGACTTCCTTGATTCAGCTGCCGCCACGAACTGGAACCTGCAACCGTAGCGACTGATCTGGCCCAAGTCCATCAGCCAGATTGTCTGCAGCAACTCTCGTGATTTGCGAGAGACACGCTCTCCAAGGGGGTGGTTGTCGTGAATGTGTAGCCACATATCTTCCTTCCTGGCGCTTCACTTGGTCATGGAGGATGAGGTTGATGCAAACAGTCAATGAAATGGCGGGCAACGCAAGCGTCTTGGTAAGCGAGCGCTAACCATAGCTGATCCTTATGCGCAACAGGCTCCGCGCTACCTTCCTTGGTCCTAGTCACCGTTCACCAACATCTCCCGTCACACATCTGGTGTAAAAGCTCTCTCTCAGGTTGAGTCACACAGGCAGGACCCAGTCAAGAGGCTCGCTAAAAAGGGCGCTTGAATTTCACTCATCTCACTGTTCCAAGTTGCATTTCGACTTTTTGACTGTCGGCAACATCCTGACTCCAGAGCCGCAAAGTTGGGGCATTACGGAGGTACCTCCTACAGCGTCCGCAGCAAACATGCCGTGCTCCCGATCCCCAGGTGATCTGCATTCATAACTTTTCAAAGTTTGTCGGACAGCACGCATATGCGAGACCGCCAACCGCTCTCCGAGTCTGGACAATTCGCCAGCACGCACTGTCGTCAAGCAACGTCGTCGTCAAGCATCTTCTGGGAGGTAATCAAACTGTCAGAAAAGTGTCGGCCGTCCGTCTTTGCGGACGCGTCCGGTGTCCGGCTTCAGCCAAACTTTCTCGCAAAAATACCTAGTACCGTGCACCTCCTACCTCCCAACTCATCCTGCGAAGCTTATCGGCTGCTGGGCCTGGGCTCGTTGCCAGTTGGCAACCCAGCCAGAGCGGCGCTGAGGTGACGGCTGCTAACAGGACGCCAAGAAGCGTGTACGACAGACGGTGGCTCCATGATGATTTTCTTTATTGATCGTTGCTGAAGCAATAGAACATAGGGACGGGTGGTACCTTATACAAACATGCACCGTGTCAGGTGGTGGTGGTGGAAAATTGGCGCAAATTCTGGACTTCCGGACGCAGGGACGTCCCAGTCGTGCCGCGTCACGAACCGAGGATCCACACATCCATGCTCAAGGTCGGCGTCCGGACCGCTCTGACGTATCCACGATTATTGATCATTGCATCGTGTTGATCGGCCATCCGGTCACTCCGCGGCGCTCTTGGTGCCATATGAGATGCGCAAGCAGACGAGAAGCAAGCAATAGGCTCCTGCATCTTGTCCTCGAAGCCCCGCGGTGTTGGAAAGAGCATGCAACGCATGCTCGGTAGCGCTGCGACTGGTCATTTGATCGACTGCTGCTGCGACTACGCCCGGTCAGCAGCAACGAAGAGATAGAACATCTTTTGCGCCAGCGTCTTGACCCGAAAGAGGCGTGCGCGCAGTGCTGAAGAAGCGGCAGAAACAGAGACAGAGACAGAAGTTCAAGCAAAAGGAGACCCAGAAGCAGGAACGCTCGACGACATGTGGCAGCGCGTCAAGACTGGTGGGAAGGCGGGCTTCGATAAAGCATACGCTGCTCTCGACAAGCTGGGGCCGCCCATCAACAACTTGAGCAACAAGCTGGGCTCGGAGGCATTTTGGCCGACAACGTTGGATCAAGAAAGCGACAAGGCTGCGCGGATATTGAAGAGCTTCTGCAGTAAGGCTGGCGAATGGTGGTACACAATTGAGTGCTAACGAAACGCAGAGGATGGATTCTACGTCGACGAGGAAGTGCCGCCGGTCGATGGGCCCAAGCAAAAGCAGAGGGTGTTACAGAAGATTCCAGCACATGTGATCCGCGAAGCCAAAGGACTCGCCATCTTCACAACCATGAGGACAGGTCTCTGGATCAGTGGAGCAGGTGGTTCAGGAATACTGATAGCGAAGAAGGAAGATGGTACTTGGAGTCCTCCTTCTGGAATCATGCTTCATACTGCCGGACTTGGCTTCCTTGTCGGCGTGGACATATACGACTGCGTAGTTGTGATCAATACACAGAGGGCATTGGATGCCTTCACCAAAGTGCGATGTACACTGGGGGGCGAGGTATCTGCTGTAGCTGGTCCTGTAGGCGCAGGAGCCTTGCTCGAAACATCGGTTCACAAGCACCAAGCTCCCGTATACACCTACCTCAAGAGTCGCGGATTCTACGCGGGAGTGCAAATCGACGGCACTGTCGTGATAGAGCGCATGGACGAGAACGAGCGATTTTACGGACAGAAGCTACCAGTGGCTGATATACTTGCGGGCAAGGTTCGGCACGCGCCATACGAGGTGCGACGCCTGCTCGAGACCATCAAGGCGGCGCAAGGCGATAGCGACGTGGACGATTCCCTGCTACCCACCGAAGCCCCACCCGCTGACTACGAGATCGATGATGGACAAGCATTTGGAGTGCCAAAGCTTGATGATCCAGATCCGTATGGCGTCCTTGCACTCGAGAAGGAAGGCATGAGTCTCAAGGAAGCTGGCACACAAAAAAGAGCATCTTGGGCAGAATTCTCTTTCAATCCCAGTCCTACCTCGCCCATTTACAATGTATACAGACAAAGCCAAGAACTTGGTGCACGATCTGCTAGTCGGCGAAATAGCTGGCGGTCTAGTGCTTTCAGCATGGACCCAAAGACACCAAGCTCGTTGAGAGGTAGTCTTGACCAGCGACGATCATCGGTCATCATGACGGACACTTCAACACAAACAGACCTCTTGCCAGATGGACCTGTGTCGCCGGGCAGGAGAAGTATTGGCGGTCACAGTCAGCATAGTAGCAAAGGCAGCTTCACGAATGGCCACTCCTCGTTCATGCAAGGCGTGCCAGAGCATGAGGTCCTGAAGACCCCGCAAGAGCAGATTGACTCGACCAATATCTCCACTGCTAATGGCTACTCGACACCTCCACATACGCCGCCAGGCATCTATGACACTCCCGAAGATTTGCCAGAACGCGACGACGACCAGTTCGACGATGTCCAAATCGTCGAGCAGCCTGTGCTGCAATCGCTCCAAACTGTGCAGCCGACAGCGTCGAAGGTGCTTTCCAAAGCTCGACTGGTGAATGTACCGAAGCGCGTTGCCCCAAAGTTGCCACCGCGGAACCCAGGTCGCAATCTGCCTGTTGTGGTTGGAGCCACGCCCGTGTCTCGCACTCCTTCGCCGACAAAATCCGCAGCGTCTGCTACTTCACCTGCCGAGGAGGTATCTATGGCAGTCGAGCCGGATTTGACGAAGTCTCAGGCGACGAGCACAGCCCTCCAGGGCATGGATGCCACCCCAATCTCTCTTATGGCCGAGTCCTCCGGTGCCACCACATCAGCTTCAAAGCTTCAGACCATCCATCTCGAGGAAGATGTTTCAAATCATCTCCGCCCGTCGACAAGTTTAGAGAAAAGTGAGCGAAGTGCAGAGCCGGTAGTGGAGGTGAAGGAAAAGGAAAGCGAGATGGAAAAGGAAAAAATGCCAGGCGGATTTGACTAGGCGGCAGAGAAAAGCGAGGGACCAAAAGATATGAATTATGAAAGCTGAACTAGAAGGTGGAGTGAGCCGGCGTTTCTTTGGCGAGTACCCAAGTTTCGATGTTTTTTTATTGTCAGCCAGATCAACTGGACAATTGTATAACACAGGAGCATTTCTTTCTATCCGTTGTCATAAATTATACGATAAGGGGCGAGTCTGTAGACTAGGTGCGATCGATTGCAACAACATGTTGTTCGGATAGTACATGAATGTCACTAGGAGGTATGTGGTGGACTACGACCTGTGTGCATGACTGCATGTAAGTACCTCCTAGAACGATCAAGGATCAACCCCCTGTATCCCGCTCGATGGCCGCAATAAGCGAGACGGAGTCCGGCGAGCGCTTGTAAGTTGTAACTACCTTCAGCTTAGTTCACTCACAGAATCTCTCATTGTTCATCATCTCACCCCAATGCATTTTCTGGCGGTTCCACTCTCGCGTGTTTCCTCCTAATCGGCAACTTCCCTGGCTACATGCAGTCTAGTTCACACACCCCAGAGAGGACAGGAGATGTGACCTGATCGTGCTGGCCTGTTCCGGAACGCGACTGCCGACTCCCTACATACCTGACGCTTCCAGTGTACCTTACCTCGACGGACTTCCACGACAAGGAGGGTACATGTAGCCTCGCGATGAGCGCACACTCTTGACTCTTCCATGTGTCGGCCGATGCGCTCTCTTCACCTCAGCGACCCGGGGTTCTGCACGCCCGAAATTGCACGCCCGAAACAAGGCATACCTACCTAGATAGGAGGTACCTACGGCTACTTAGGTACAATACCACACCCTCCTCCTCCGGGCACGGCACAGCGAAGAGGGAAAAAGAAATCGAGCGCCCCGTGCCTAGACGGACGATTTTTCCCTCGCACTACCGGCTTCCTGTTCCTGCTCGCTACTAATGCGCCGGACTCAGTGAGCATGCAGCTCTGGCGCCTTCGAAAGGCGGAGTCTCGCGCTTACCAGAAGTAGAAAGAAAAGAATAGAAATGTAGTCTCCACGGGCGCGAAAGCGAGGGCAATGGTACATGTCCTTCAATTCTCGCCGTTGCCTCTGGCGCAGAGAGAAGGTCAAGCACAATGTTGACAGCATGGCGGTTCCAAGTATTCGTCTCATTATCGCGCCATGCTTGTGAGAGAGAAGAAGAAGCTGTAGGAGGTATGTAGGAGGTAGAGAGACATCGGAGCGCGGGCAGAACCGAAACTCTCGGAGCTGGATGATCAACTGCACGTCAGTAGTCACAGGACTTTTAGTCGTGATAGTGCCCCGAAACACAAGACAGGTCAATGTGACGAGACGCGGTTTGTCAGCAATACACCAGGCTTGTCTCAGTCGTCCAGGAAGGATTTCTGTTGACTGTGAAGCCCCGTCGACAAGCGCAACGGAGGACGGAGGTATCAAGCTATCAGCATCGGCGCCACGAGGCCAACACACGCCTGCATGAACCTTGGATGCTGGCTGCTGTGAGGGGCGTCCAGAGGCAAACATGATAGACACCGACACATGTCTGGTCATTATTGCCATTCCAGGACACTAGCAGGCGACCACCTGGAAAACATACAGACCAGGTCCCGAGGGCATGCACTGTCTGTCCCATAGAGGCTGGGAGCTCTATGGGTGCTGGGAGGTACATGTTCGTGGTAGAAAAAGACTTTCGCGGCTCGCGGTCGCTGCGGTAGCTTGCATGTTGCCGCACACCTCACTGCTCAGTGACGCAAACCGCATGCATGTGCGCAGTGCGCACGCAACTAGGCCTACTGGCGCATAGCCTTGCGACATCGGCTGGAACCGAGCTGTATTCTTTCTTCTCTTCTCGATATTTCATCTGTTTTGCCCGGCATTCTAGCGCTTCGTATCCACCGTATGTCATGGCTCCCATAGCGCAGCTGCAGTGCTGCACAGTGATCGTTACGGAATGCGTGTGATTGATCAGGAGACGCAACTCCGAATGGAGAACGCCGGGGGTCTTGATAAATACATGTTGTACCATCTTTACAGTGGCTGTCGAACACTTTTTTCGCTTACCCCATATGTATCAGCTACGGGTTACCCGTTATGGCTAGAGGTACACACCGACATCTTACTGGAATTGGTTTAGTACACAGATCTGTCTTTGAGGCCAAGGCAGGCGGGAGTGCGCTTACGCAGAATAAACTACACCTATGCATCGACCGAAGAGGAAATGGGGAGCAAAAAGAGGAAATGATGACGAGGCGTGAAGACAGGTAAAAGCCCCGGGCCACGCGAGGCAGCTCGCTGGCCACAGGAGCGAGCATATGGTAAGGTACTTCTTATTCTTTCTATAACGACAAATGCGCCTAGTCCAGAGGGCGAGAAAGATGCGGCTACGGTCACGGACTCTAACTGCTTCAGTAGAAGGGTACGGGGTGAACGAAAGCTCAGCTTTATCGCTGGCTTTGCTACGTCCATCAATGATCAGGTTGAACAAGCAGGGACGAAGTTACCAACTGTCTTGATCATCGATCACGATTCACGCGAGGGTTACATACGTTGAGCACGGACGACGCAGGCGGTGCAGCACGTACAGCAATCGAGGGGGGTCGAGTACATATCGGTATGGCACTAAACGGTCCTTTGCACTATGGAGGCGCACTTGCCGCGACAGGAAGCCACTAGGAGAGAGTATAACCAACTTTTACGTCGACGAAGCTACGAGAGGTAACGGCCGGCGTGTCGACGCTTGCTTTACGGACTGTATGCGGGACTTGCGGGAGCTGCAAATGCAATACAGATACATCTAGATATACATACCTGACCAGGGCTCCCGGTGACCTCTCGCCCACCCTCTTGCGCACTTGTCGATTCTATCACACGAGCATCATCCATGCATAACAAGGTGGATCATGCACAGATCTGGACAATACGCGTGAGGGAGGGCCCGGTGAACCACGGGGTTGTTTTTCAGGACTCAGGGCCGCCTTTGATGCTTCCTACCTCTCTACTCTTATTATTATGAGCCCACGACCTCCCAACCAGCAGTGGTAACCATGGCTCTCTCGATGCTCCGTTCGCGATGTACGGTGGATCATCTGAGGGCGACGTGCCTCTTCGTTGGACCACGACCGAGGCCAATGGCGAGACCATCGAGCCAATCTGGACCTTTCACCACTCAGGCAGGGATCATTGATCGGAGCTACGAGCATGTCTTTGTGCCATCTGATGTTTCTGCACTCCGGCCCGTATCGTTTGCCCCAGAGCCTCCGCGAAGACGCCATCTGGCTTACTGGCAACACATCCGGATGTGGAAAGATGTCTCGGAGGAAGACTTTTTGAGCTACCGCTGGCAGGCAAGTCCATGTTGTGCAACCGAGCGATTACTGACGCCGCACGTGTATTGACGACATGTGCTTTTCCAGACGAGCAACACCATCGATCGGAAGGACAAGCTTCTCAGATTCCTCGAAGGCGTTCTTCCGGAGCGCATACCACACTCCCCGCATGTCCAGTCAGCATGGTCCCATATCCGAACGCGCGAGGACTTTCTTGCAGATGTCGAGGGAGGCATGAAGGTGGCTCCAATGTCGGTCCGCTTGACACCGCACATGCTGAGTGTTGCTGACTGGTGCAATCCATTGGAAGATCCCATTCGGAGGCAATTCATTCCTCTGCGATCCACCAGAAGGGAAGATCACCCAGCGCTTGAGCTGGACTCTCTCCACGAGGAGGATGACTCGCCTGTCCCAGGTCTTGTCCATCGATATCCCGACAAGGTGTTGTTTCTCGGTGGGTGAGCACAGTCCTGATGCTCTCGTTGATGGCTGACTGGCAAAATAGCAACCAGCGTGTGCCCTGTCTATTGCCGATTCTGCACAAGATCGTACGCGGTAGGAAACAATACCGAATCTGTCATCAAAGCATCGCAAAAGCCCACGCGCAAAAGATGGGAGGCCATGTTCCAGTACATCGATCGCACTCCTGCAATACAGGACGTCGTAGTCTCGGGAGGAGATTCCTATTACCTCCAGCCCGAACAACTCCACATGGTCGGAAAGCGATTACTGCAGATTCCACATGTCCAGCGGATCCGCTTTGCATCCAAAGGCCTCGCAGCCTGTCCCATGAGAATCTTCGATCGCGACGATAGCTGGACAGACGCGTTCGTTGGACTCAGCAACCTCGGTCGCTCGATTGGAAAGCAAGTCGCAATGCACACACATTTCAACAATCCGCAGGAAATCACCTGGACCACCGAACGAGCAGCCCGATATCTCTTTGAGCGCGGAGTGACAGTACGGAACCAAACCGTCCTCCTCAAAGGCGTCAATGACGACCTCGCCACCATGTCCGCGCTGATTCGCAAACTCGCCGATTTGAACATTCAACCGTACTATGTCTATCAATCCGACATGATTCGCGGCGTCGAAGATTTGCGAACTCCCTTGTCGACCATTTTGCATCTGGAAAAACATCTTCGCGGAACGATTGCGGGATTCATGACGCCTTCGTTTGTGGTGGATTTACCTGGAGGTGGAGGCAAACGGTTGGCGAATAGCTTCGATAGCTATGATGAGGAGGCTGGAGTGAGCTATTGGAGTGCACCGGGAGTTGCGGGAGATGAAGTTTTCACATATCATGATCCTGTACAGTGAGGAGAGGAGAAGAGGAGAAAAAGGGAAAAAGGGACATTTCAACCTCCACGGCTGCTGACAGACAAGACAGTCGATCGAGAGAGAGAAAATAAAAAGTTGCAACAAAGACAACAGACTAGGGGGATAGAGCGGAAAAAACTGCTTTTGTGTGTGTGTGAGTGTGTGGGTGGGTGGATGAAAAAGAATGAGATGATGACGTTGATTATAAAAACGACGACGACGACGACAACGACATCGACGACATCGACGACGAATGATACCTGTACCTGATAACACCCATGTGTTGTTGTATGTGAGCGTTACAATGATATGGTACCTATCAACATGTACATAGTAGCAGCGAGGATCAAAAAGGGGAATCAATCGTACCTAATTACATACGTACGTGTCTAGACTAGATAAAAAGTAAAGGCGTTTTTTTGGGGGTTGACACTGAGATTTTCATTGCGTACCTTAGGTAGGTACATACTTATTGTCTACCAAATGCTATAAGTAAGAAATGTACAAGGTACAAGGTACAAGGTACAGGTAAGGTAGTTTCAAATTCGGTCCATTTTTATGGAGGGCATTGACCCCAAAAACCTGTTGATGGAGTTTATTGATTTTGTTGTAATACAGTTACAAGGCTGAGAGGGCTGTCACTTCGTGATTGTGCATGGCCGTCCCAGATGTGAATTCGTATGGAGTCCAAGACTGCGTTTGGAGCGCATCGCTGAGCTCAGGGGGGCAATACAGGCTATCGATGTACAAATGAGTGCGATCACAAGCACGCAGCCAGTCGCGGAGGAGACCTAACTTTGATTTCGTGAGAAAGGTACAGGAAGTTGAAACGTGCTTTCTCTACAGTTCAGCAGCAGCATCAGAGTGCGCCAATGGCCAACACTGCGAACTAGATTCTGTAGCGGGCCATTGCACTACCGCCGAGAATGATGGTCCCGATACCTGTCGCGGCTACGGGATCTTCTGCCATCACCACGATCACGATCACTTCTGCCCTCATTTCTGGATTGTCGCTTGGGACTGCGACTTCGGGATCTGTGCCTGGTGGTGCCGCGCTCAGTGTGCTCACGTTTGGACTTTTCCTTTTTATCAAACACATAATCGTAGTGCCGCCCACTGCCACCATCCCTGCCCTCACGATACTGTTTCCTCTTCTGTAGGCTGTCAATGCCACCGAAGCCCCCACGAGACCTCGCCGTTTTCGAGTTCGTGTTGCTTCGCCAGTCATCCGCGATCTTGGACACACTCTGCGAGAAGTCCACGTGGATTCGGTGATCGTCAATGAGCACACCCTGCATTTTGAAGTAGGCGCGTTCGCAATCTTCCTTGTTAGCGAACTCGATGAAGGCATACTGTAAGCTATCGCCTGACTTCTTGTCGCGAATGACTTCGCATGATAAGATTTTGCCAAATCGAGAGAATATAAGCTCCAAGTCCTCATCTCGTGTTACTGGGTTCAATTTGCAGACGAACAGTATCTGCTCAGGTGGCGTGACATCAGCGAACGGAAGATCTCCAATGAGCTCCAGCGTAAGAGCCTGCGCACGCGCTTCACGTTCTCTTCGCAGCTTTTCCATTTGCTCGGGATCTGTGTCGTCCTTCAGAACTTCGTCATAGGCAATTCGCACCGTTGCTCGTTGCTCATCAGATGGCAGCGGACTACCTGGTGGTTTTATGAGGCCCGGCGGATCTTCATAGGGATCGTCCAGCACGACAGTGTGGAGAAGTCTGATGTCCTGCAGAGGTCTGCCTTTGGAGTCCACGAAAGCGGTATTGATCTTTTCTAGCGCATCGAAGCCCTCTACGACCTCTCCAAAGACTGCTGCTTTGCCGTCCAGCTCCTCTAGACCATCGCCAAGAGTTATTATAAACTGGCTGCCCGCCAGGCGCTCGTCGGGATTCGACTTGGAGGGCGTCGTTGCCATGCTCAGCGTGCCACGCTCCTTGTGCTTTCTCTTACTCGAGAACTCGGGCTTAAACGTCGCGCGATCGGACCTCGATGGGCGCTTTGTCCCGCCATCAGGGAGTGCCCATACGGCGCATCCACCGTCACTATCCTTTGACTCGGGGCCGATCGGATCACCAGTCTGGAAGGAGAAGTTCGGTAGGACATTGTAAATGGGCGAGTAGTTGTAGTATTTGATCTGGCAGAGCTTCAGGAAGCTGTGAGTCCATATCTTAGCCATCTGATCAGCCAAGGCACATCGACACCAGCGTCTGCCATCGCGACGCACACGTGGGATCCAGCGCCGACTTACTTTTCACAGCACTTCGGAGCATCGTCGACGAACAAGTCGACGGTGATGTCGCCGGCAGAAGTCTCGAGAAGCACGGACATGGCGCGTGTAGGTCGACGACGTCTCGTTGTTGCCAAGTTGGTTCCAATGAGTAGGAGGTGGTGATGGACAGAAGAAAGATGGGGGTCCTAGGTGTGTGTTATCCAAGTACCTAGGTAGCAGGAGGTACATGTACCTGAAGTTCTGAGATTAGGTAAGCTACAATTGCCAAGCTGGGATTCTCTGCCTGAGGCTGACATCCCACTCCGCTCTCGCCATGTGTCACGTGTGTATTCCGCCAATAATGTCAAATAGGCTGTAGGCGAAGGTGATACGGCAGGGTCGGGCAGAGTGGCAAGTGGTGCTTGTGTCTGTGCTTGTGCAACATCTCGACTGTCTCGACACTTCTTTTTCACGCGAGTCATGTCAACAATAATGCGGCGCGCGCGGCAGGGCTGGGCGGGCACTCGGAAGAGCAGGACCGTCCGGGGAGTATCTGCCTTTTGAGTTCGCGCTACAGCCGACGCAAGGAGCGCAAGTGAACTTCACATAATACATTGCACCAACCCTCGCTTCTACCGTATACCGCATCATATCACCACTTCACTCCGACGACTACTTCTTCGGGGCTCTCGCCGTGTTCTCCGCTCTCCGCGTCTGCTGCGCTTCAGCAGAATTCGCCCCCGACTTTCACAACCCGCGATATGCACGCCGATCCTTCTCGGCCGCAGGCTGGTTCTGATGCCGGTCGGGATGCGTCAGAGAGCGCCTCTCTGTTGAGGCCTCAAGTCGCCTCTGCTGCCACCGTCAATATCGCCTTGGTAGCGATGACCGCCTCGCCGCCAGCGAGTGCAGTCTCTGAGGCGGTGTTGCTGGCGGTCTGCAGGTACCCATTACACCTACAGAACTGCGCACAATCGATCAGCAGTGCCATGTTATCTGCTGACTGGATATCTCTGTAGTCATGTTGTTGGGCGCGAGACGGTGACCATCTGAAACAGGTCACAATAGACATCCCGTGCTGCTGAGATGTCGTTCGGCGGACATCAATGGAGCCTGACATGCAGCATCTATCCGCCGCATACATGATACATCCCGTTTTGATGTATTCCCCAGCCGCCTTCGCCTCCGAAATACTGATCCCCGACAGCGGATTCGTTGTCCTCCTTTCAACTGCGCTATTCACCACATACTTGCCTTTGTAGACGTGCACGGACGGATATCCAGGATTCCTCAGAGCCAACACCACACTGTGTCGTACCGCGCTCAATCAAGGTGTCTTGCATCAAGCGGAGCGGGACATGGCAGATCCCGAACACCTCACATCGCTTGAACAGTCTCGCTCGTGCGATGTTAGACGGCCGGCAACGTGCAGTGAGTGCGCCACTCTTGCTGGCTACGGCTACCGGGCAACTTTGCATGCGGAGATGACCGCAGACTGCTGAATTTATGATCGCCGACCAGACGGCATGGCGGTTCTCTCTAGTTGTGTGGCTGAACAGTTTTTGGCCAGCCGCGGCAAGCAAGCTATTGGGCCATGACCCGCAATCCTCTATTGCGCGCCGCTTCGACCCAGATAACGCCATCATGCCTGAGTCTACCTGAAAACTTGCCAACACTGACTACACGTGGCTTGTGAAGACATCAGAACAAGGTGGCAATGCTAACTCTCATCGTTGACAGACAGCTCACACAGCTGTAACGCGCAACACGCTGTGTATCGAAGCCTGGGCTGGCTAGGCGCATTCTATGTTTCAGAGCCGGAAAACTTTGTGGTATTTGATCTCACGCAACTTGACTGTGGAGCCAGCATAACACTGTTAGAGAGCCCACTCTTATCGTGTCACCTCAGGCTACGTGGGGCCTCTACGGCTTCCACCAGAATCTGCAGGTACAGGTCGACGCATTCCTTTCGAGGAGATCTGCGCCTCTGCCAGGGGAACAAACATGCAGGTAATGGCGACGATCGTGCTGTAGTGGGTACCTTACTGCGTTTTCTGCGACTACCCGTAGACCTTAGACCAATTGTGGGCTGTTTCCAGGAACATAACCGTACAATCACAAGGAAATGATGAGGAGTTGCACTGCTACAAATGCACTGGTCTGGAGAGCGAGTCGCATATCCAACCAACCCAGCTGCGACCGAAAACACTGATGACTGGTTACCTTTCTCGATCTTGGTTGGACGTCTGCTTGTGTCTCTTTGTATAACACAAACGACCTCCCGACTCAGGATCTCCTGAGATAGATTGCAGTGTTTGCTAGCTGTCACTCTTGGTTCTCGGCTCAGCTCTTCTCCTCCTCAGCTGCTCGCCCTGGATATCCTAGAGTCGATCTGACAGGCTTCCTTCTGGATCTTCGTTTCTTGCGACTTACATCACAACCACTCGATCGTCCCTCAATACTAACGGGTCCACGTCCTTGTGTCTTCCTGGGACTCTCAATCGTCGCTTCGAGGCCTTCACGCGTATACAAGATGATGATGACGCAGTCATACTACGGCGGCGAATACGACTCCCTTGGTCGATCAAACTTCAGAGCCCCCCTTGGTGCTGTTTACTATGGCCGATCAGTCGCTTACGATCATCCATATTATGACTCAGCCCACCACGAACTCCGCTCGGAATACCCAGGTCGCCCAGGTGCGCGTACACTAATACACGAGCACAATCCAGACAATGGACCTGGTAGCAATTCGCGCCGTCGCATTCAAGTTGCAGTAGGTTCACATAGCTACTAGTTCAGTTCACGCAGCTGAGCTAACCATCGGCAGTGCTCTCGATGCCGGCGACGCAAAATTAAATGCACTGGGGATCCCGGCGACGGTAGTGGCTGCTCAGCTTGTCGTTCAGCACAGGCAGATAAGTCGTCGTGCACTTTCATTCGTGTATGGCTCGCCAACCTACGACGGAAACTTTCATTGGACTGACAGGTGAGCAGGTGGGCAGTTGCGAAATGCCAATGCCTGGAGTGGAAGCTCTGCCTACCAGCAGCACCAGCGCATCGAGTTCCATACCAATTTCAGCTCCGTACACCTCGGAGGCGTCCTCAAGCTCGTACAGCAGCAGCAGCAGCATGGAGCAAACAAGCCACAGCCGTCCATCGTTGCCAATGCTACACACGCGCATGGCGTATCCAGAACACGAGTCGTACGAGACTTCTCCGGTCGAGGACTATACCTATGCCTCGAATGCACCTCCAAGGCACGATTCCATCCCAAGCAACTACGGCACCGAAGGTTTTCGTCCTTACATACCAGAATCAATGGCACCTTCTTCTGTCAACGCTCATATGTACTATGAGCCAGGCGCGGCGTACAGCTTTGGTAATCTACACGCAGCCCCAGGCTATCCGTCAAATACATCGATGGCTCGATTGCCCAGCGTCACAGGCGATAGTTTCTCGCCACTCAATATGAGCTCTCTGCACTCATCGCTCCCCACGCAGACTGTGCAGGAGAGACGACTGCCGGTGCCATACAGTCAGCAGCAAGCATCATATGCTTCCACAGAAGTGCCGCAGATTCGCCCGCTTACATCCTTGACCGAACCACAGACTCGCGCTCAGCCAGGTGCTACGTACAGTCGCAACAGCATGTCTTGGTCTATGGCCAATCCTGCCGTTTCTCGCAATGCATCCAGCAACGGATTGTCAACGACTACCTCGCAAGGTCATCCCGTCATGTCTTCATCTAATTCGGAATCCATGCATAGAGCACCTCCCATACTTGGCTACCAATTCAGTACTGCAGGAAGTCCGGAAATGTCTCCAACAGATGGTTCGGCGATGTCGCAGAGCTTTTCAAGTACTTCAAGCTCTTCGACCACCGGAGCACCTATGCTGCCGCCCCCGAGTGTTCGATATGCCGCCGCTCTTCCGACTGTGGGTGATGGTTCACGGCGACCATCTTCCTCACAAGAAGGTTCCACCAGCCTATACAGCTTCAGTTCCGGGCGGGATGCAGCGGGCACGAACATCAATCAGGCTGATCAACAACAAGGCTATACTCATCTTCGACACCTGCAACCTCAACATGCAACTAGTGTGGATGGGCTCCGCCGAAGGTCTTCTCAGGATCAACAGCAGCAACGCGCCGCCACGGCACACCGCATGTCGGTCTCGAACCTTAACGCACGCTACTAATACTACCTAGGTATCGGGGTATTGTACGCACCACCCTGAGCGCACACGCTGCCCACATGTCAGGCATTGACTTCCTTGGGCAGTCTGGTACTGCCTGCTGGCTGCGATTAACATTTTCGCTTCCACAGTTCGAGTACTCGCGATGACTTCATCAGCGCGCGTTTCTATGTATCTGCAGCATTGTGTGACTGATGGGCGCTGCTTTTGGAGAAATTGCGACCTCAGTATTTTGTACTTTGAGCCTTTCTCGGACAAGATTCCTGGAATTCGGCAGGCCGTGTATGCAGGATTGCGGTATTCGGCGTTTGTTTGCAAGCCTTTATGTATCACAGAATCGTCTTATCCAGCACGGCGTGAAAAGAGGAGGAAACCACAGCATCACGATCATCACGACCAGGCATAGAGGTCTACCATCTCCCGCAAGGGTACCACAGACAGGTCGAATGGGGTTACAAAAGTGTTTGAATAGCGAGACATCGGCGTACTGTTTTGTAACAATCACACGGTAGCTAGTCTTTTTCGGTTGGAACTGGACTGTAATGGCCAATGGAGGGAGGACATGTCATGATTACGCATAGAACGAGTAGCCACGCAGTCAAGGGGGACTTTGGAGAAGGAAAGAAAGAAAGAAGAAAAAGGACACAAAACGCGAATGAGTGCAGGATGGACATTTGGAGAGGTGGCAAATGTACAACAGGAGTTCACATAGTCCTCTAATTTGCTGGTGAGCCTTTACACAAGAACCGCATTCGCCTTTTACTCTCTCGGTCCTCAATCTTCATGAATTCTCCCATACGGACAGGAGAGACTATGACAACCAACATACATCGTCCTAAATGAAAACGTAGCCGTCACACACCGCCCAAGATCACACCTGCACAGCGATAGTGTTCCAATAACATTTTCTTGGCCATTGTAGCACAAAGAGAAAGAAGAAAAAAAAGAAGAAAAAAAAAACAAGAGGAGAAAAAGACCATAAAATGGAATTATCTTCGTTGAATGTATATATGTACATGTCCGTCCAAGCGGTGCGGTAACCTGCATCTTTAAAGTATTTTCTTTTCTTTTCTTCTCCCCCCCCTGGTCCTTGAGGCAGATCCTCTCTTCGGCGACTCTGGTTGTTGCACCTGGTTTTGATAATTTAGACGCTGCCGAAAATGCAGCTCGCCTTTTTAATCCTTGGCGTAGCAAACCGAAGATGGAGAGAGCGGTTGTGGGTGGTTTTTTTTTTGTTGACAGCGCTTGCTTGCGCGCGCGCTTGCTTGCTTGCATGGACGTGGGGGGTTGTGGGACAGAGGGTCGCTTTGGGATGTTGGTGAGGACGAGGGTGAAAGGGAGAGAGAGCAGGTGGGAAAGGGAGATGGAAGCGATTTGGACATGAGAGCTGGTCAATATCTTGCTGTAGAACTACCTACATGCTGCCTGACGCGTTTGCCAAGAAATGCCTGAAGCCTGACACGCGACTGCGCGTCGTCGTGTTGTCGAGTGCGGGGATGACGAACAGTGTCAGAAGATGTCAACAACCTAAGATGCTGTCTATTACCATGAGATGAGACGAGATGGCATAATGCCTGATGCCGTGAAGAAGCAGACCATCAAACAGGCCAAAGCGTCCTTCAAGGCTCGCGGACGACCGACTCTCTCGGAGCGCGAAGCACGACAACTCGAACGTGCCATCGAGCTCGAGCAGCGTGCAGAGCGCGCACAAGAGGCAGAGAAGCGGCGTGCGGCAGCGGCGAAGCTACGAAGCGAAAGAGAGAAACGCGCGGAAACACACAGGCAGCAGCAGCAGGTCCAGCTGGGTACGCAGCGACGATGTGATCGGTTTGGGTACAAGAGTAGCCAATTTCACTTGGGCGCCTTTTTTGGCATGGAATCAGCAACTAACACCACCTCCACGACGAAGACGACGACGACGACAACGACGACGACGACGACTAGCGGACAGGGGGGTAACGATGACCGGGACGGCTTTGGCGACGATGACCTGGATGACGAGTCTCTTCTGGGCGCGTGCGATGGACCAGCCACTGTCCAGATGTCCGTCCCAGCAGCGCAAATGTCAAAACCTTCTGCTGCGATGCTGATGCCGCCGCCGCCACTGCCCGGTGCGAGTGTCCAAACAGCCAAGACAAAGCCTGCTCGCGAGCTGGAAGAAGACTTTGGCGACTTGTTTGACCATCTGGACAGCTGCAGTCAGATCGCCCGAAGCTTGGGAGGTCCGGCTGTGACCTGCAATGAAGCTGCGGGATGTGTACAGCAGCCAGTGCAGCCGGCAACGTCAATTCAGATTCCTCTAGCTCCACCGTCGCCGCGTACTGCTGTGCGTAAAGCACAGGTTTCCTCACTGTCACAAGCGCAGGACGACTTGAGCGACTTTTTCGACGACCTGGAAAGTGCTTCACAGATCGCGCGGGAGCTGGATGCTGGCACGAGGGAAGTGCGGAGAGCGTCGAACGCTAGTGGCAGTTCGTTCAGCTCTGGTAGTCTCGAATTGACAGAAGAAGACATGGAAATGATGATCGATCCCAAGCCGCCGACTTCCATATCCCGACAAGCTACACCAAAGACGACGCTCACGCCACGTCCGTCAATGCTCCCCCCGACGTTGCCTACCACACGCCCTCAAACTAGACTTGAATCCAGCAATTCTCGGGTGAGTAGTGCGATCAGGAAGACTAAACCGGCCATAAGAGGGCCATTTCTTCCTGCTTCTTCGCTATACTGTTCGCCGGATCTCGGCTTCACTTCTACACAGCTGGAGAGTTTCATCGATGATGATTTGCAGCTCACACAATTTGGCTGATCAGATACATTGGCATGCTGCAGTGCGGATCGATAAATCTTGGTGTTCTAACTCGATTTATGGATGTAACACTAAGTCAGTCAAGAATCTACTTCCCGCAACTGTACTACGCGAGCTCTTTCGAAATTTCGTCCGCGGTCGTCGCAGGGACTTTCTTGTCAGACACTTGGTGGTCAACCACCACGCCATGGGTAACGCTCAGGCCGTCGTCCATATTGGTATCTTTCAGCCAATATCTCAAGACTGGCAAAACAAAGATCGGTCCAGCAGCACAGAACTGATCAGACATTAGCAGGGCTTCTTGAAGAGTGTTCTTACCATAAGAAATGACCACATACCGCCCATGCTGAACCAAACATGAACTCCTTGGAGTAGCCGGCCAGGTCAAGACTATATGCAGCGATCTGGCATCCCGCGTTCAGGAAGCGATACAATGCTGAAAAGACAGCAAGCTGGTCAATGTTAGCATGCATTCTACAAGACGCCTGTTGAGGATTTTTCACCTCTTCTGTCTTATTGCTGAGGGCTCCGATGAACCAGTAGCAATAGCAGTTATACGTGGAGTCCATGTAACCGTACATGACGAACACGAAAGCTGCAATGGCATATCCATGGTCATAAATGTCAACACGCTCCACTTCATCCCAGTCACCCCGGGTCCGCTTCATGATCCAGTATCCGCCGAGCCACAGGGCATTGAAGGCGATGAATACGTAGACCAGCGCCCACCACGCTCGCTGCCTCCTACGCAATGGCAGGAGGTCGGTGAAGATGCGCAAGATCCAGGGTGCGATAAGCTGGACAACGCCGGAGAGGAAAGTGTTGAGCGCGCGACCACGGACGGTGAAGTAGATGCCGTTGAAGTCGTTGTTCTGATAGATGACATAAAAGTTGACTGCCCACATCATAGGACAGAAGAAGATGATCCACCTGCGACGAAGAATCAGCTTGAGGCGAGGGTAAAGATGTGTGTGTGTGGTGCTCTCACCAATTTTTCTTCAAGACCAGAGCCGATGCGACAAGCTGCTCTTTGAACGATTTTTCCTGATCCTGCTTCAAGACCACTCTGGACCCATCCTCTCTCACAATCTTCCACCATGGACAAAGGAACAAGCCCAGGAATGCCCCACAGAGCATCAAGACCATCATCCCCATGTAGGTCCCATCGTTGACTCTAGACCCGTTATTCGTCCCGGCATTCCAATTTTGGGCCACAGGAATCGCCGCACCGATCACGACACCAAACTGGAAGATTGTCCAGAAGATACTCACATACAAGCCCTTCTTTTCCTCGGAAGCATAGGCCGTGATTGCAGTGCCCTCAGCACACCAGAGAAAAGCGGCAGAAAGGCCGCACCACGAACCACCGAAGATGACGAATTGGTAATTCTGCGTGTGGTTGTAGCACCAAAGGGAGGCGGCATAGGCTGCATAGCCAAAACCTCCAAAGCAGAGCGTCCATTGGAGGCCAAAGTAATTGAGACATGCCGGTGCGATCAAGCAGAAGACGGTGAAGACGCAGTAGAGGGCAATGTTGGCTACATCGGAGAGCCAGGCGGTTTGTTGACCAGCGCCACCGATGAATGTGATCACATTGTACATTCCCACGGTCATGAAGAGTACACAGCCGAGCATGCAGGCTTGGATTCGAGGATGGCTGTAGGCTGGAATCGTGAGACCGAAGATGTGGTACGGATCCGGGAGCTTCAATGGAAAGCGTTAGGAGTGCTGTGTGGGAAATCATTTGGGGGCTCGTGGGAGGCAACGGATGTCACACGTACTTTCGAGGCACCTCGCATTCGAAGATCTTCGGACTCATCACTACTACTGGAATCGTCCTTGAGCCCGCGGCCGGGGAGTTCGAAGCAGAAGCGCGCCCGTTTCGCTGCCATGTTCGTTCGCTGTGACAGAAAGGTGCAGGCAGGTAGGTGTAGGAGACAAAATATTTCAGAATCTCAATCACTCCAGGACACGATGAGATTTGGTATCTGATCTACAGTAGTAGTACCACACAGAAACACAGGCCTAATTGAGTTTTCCGTAGTTTGTGATGCTGTATCATTGCGCGCGCGAAGTACCGAGAGTACACAGGGGTTATTGTTGATACAGTCCCTGCGAACCACCAGTTACAACAACGACGGTGATGATATGGAGGCACGATAAGCATTGTTGCCTCATCCGAAGATGGAGAGCTCGTGCGCGGTCAATGATGTTTATCTGTGCCATTGATTGATGGATGATATTGACTTTTTTTGCTTCGCGACAAGTAATATGCCGACACTTACTGATAAGCATGTGAGATGGAGCGGGGTCTCAGCGTTGGTCGTTGGTTGTGACAGGGAGCCAGCCTCAGTCAGGGGGGAGTGCTGGAAGTTTGAACTACATACCGACCCAAGTACACTCTATGTCCTACTAGGATCGGGATGGCTCACGCCAAGCCTGATACGATGGGACCAAGCGGCTGGGGGAAATGGAATCGCTGTGACTTCATGTGGCCAACGTGAAGTGAAGTGAACATGATTCATAGTTAGCACCATCTTCGAAACGCTCTGAGCCGACGAAGATTTGATCAGACTCTTTTTCCCACCAAAGGACACGGAATTATTCACTTGAGCTCGCACGGCGAGGTGAACCGAACCCGAACCCAACCGGACCGTCGTGGAAAATGCCTCGAGCCATTGAAAAGGACGACTGCTTCACATGTGCTGCAAACAGTCGGTTATGCGACCGACAACTCCATCGATGCAGGACGTGTACAGATAGCTCAGAAGTGTGCCGCTATCCCGTCTCGTTGCGTTGGAGAATTGAACCGTCTTCACGACGAAAACGGCCCATACTAGGAAGCAGACCACGTCGTGTACAATCGAGCAGTGTGAAACGATCCGATACCTCAGAGGTTTCGCAGACACCTATCTCGTTGTCCGCAATCAACACTCCCACAGAGACATACAGCTCGTCCTTTGACCCCATCGTACCAGAGGAAGATACAGATTCAGCGGTTCAGGATTTTCCCCTGTGGTCTGCTCTGAGTGAAGCCGATGAGGGACAGTTGATGGCTGCCGGCTCCTCGGTCAACGACGTTTCGCTGAATATTGCGAATGGAATTTCCCATCCTCCTCCTGCTGTACTGGACGTATCCGACTGTTTGATCACCACTACTACTACTTCTACTACCAATGCATCCGCAAACTCGCTCGGTGAAAAGTCTTCTGGGCCATCTTCATTGCCAGCAGCAGCATCAGCAACTCATGGATGGTCCCCGAATGCCCAATTTTACCAAGATGCAAACCTCACCAAACCCTTTGAAATCAGTAGCCTCTTAGATCTCTGTACGTTGCTTTTCCCCACTTACTCCCCCCCCATTTTCCTTTTTCTTTTCAGAAAAGATCTTGTGCGCCAACAACAACAAAACATATAAACCGACTAACTAACTGAATAATCCCCCACCAAGACCGCAATCAACTCTGCAAAATCCCTGTCACGCACGATTTTCCCGCCAACCCTTTCCGCTGCGACACCACACCTTCATTACTCTCGATTCACCAGACGCATGCTATTGTCGCTATTACGCTCCAATATCTCAGTCGAGCGCCCTCTCCGGTTTCCAATCAGCTTTGGCTGCGACATGTGGCGAAACGAGAACGGGAATTGGCGTGTAAGGGACGGAAACAAAGTGGTGGTGGTGGTGAGGCTTTTTGCTCGTCGGAGTTTTTGGATACGCTGTTGGTTTTGGTGACTCTTGAGGTGAGTTTTTTATTTTTTACTTTTTGTTTACTTATATTTGGGATATCACTACTAAGTCTTTTTTTTCTCATATATAATAGCACATGTGTCGAGGCGCAGGGCCCTGGCAAGGTCTAATCCTCGACGTCATGTCCATCGTCGAAGGGGCCGGTGGCATATCACAAATGACACGCTCTCCACGCCGACAAGCCCAACTCGCCATGTTTGTGTGGTGGGACATCACCATATCTCTCCTCTCTCGGCAGCGAGGTTTCTTGTCGCAGCAATATTACGACTTTGTCCTCGGGTGCGAGTGCGAGGAATGGAATTTTGAAGATTTGACGGGAATTCCTAGGAGTTTGGTTTCGGCTTTGGTGGAAATTGTGCAACTTACACAGGCGCAGAATCGGATTGTCGGGATGAAATGGGCGTTGTTTGATGATTGGAGAGTGAGAGAAATTGAGCGGGATTTGAGTGATTCTGCTTCCTTTTTGCTGCCGGATTTGAGAATTGGTGATGAAGTCGATACGGATGAGATGATTCAGCATAAACATGATCGGACGGCGTGTATTCAGGCTTGGAAATTCGCTGTTCGTTTATACATTGCACGAGTATTCCCCTCCAGCAGCGGTGGCGGACAACAACAACAACAACACTACCACCACCAACATTCAGCAAAAATCCTTTCTCTCGCCCGCCAAACCCTCGACGCCGCCCGCTCATGCCGCTCCACCTCAGTCATGAGCAAACAACTCCTCTTCCCGATTTTCCTCGCGGGCTCCGAAACCAACGACGCGTATTCACGGCGCTACGTCGAAGCATATTGCAAATGTTGGTACGCAAAGACTCGCTACCAACTCTTTCCGGATACGTTGCAGTTGCTCACGACGATTTGGAATCTTCGCGATTTGGGCCATGGAGATGATCATGAGACGTGGTGGGGATCTGTGTTGGCGGATTTGGAGGATACCACGTTGTATCATGGGCGGTTGGTGCGGATTCATTATCTTCTTGGATAGGGTAGGTTTGGGTATAGGTGGGAGGATGGGAGAATTTGATAGATTTTATGCAGAATTGAGAAGAGAGGAGAGAGTTCTTATTTATTCATGAAGAATATCTAATTATGCAGGTGCATCAGATACCATATCCTTACTTCCCTGTTGTTGTTTTTTTTGCAATCAGAATCGTGCGATTTGGCGTGCAATACGAAAAAGAAGAAAAGAGGTAAAAGAAAAAAGAAAAAAAGAAAAAGAGCACATACCTGAATACTAGGATCCAAAACTACCCTCGGAGTCGTCGAATTGACCCAACCCAAAAAGGGCTCACTGAGAGCATATCCGCAAATATCTTGAATCTCTCGAGGAAGCGTTTTGACCTTGTCGAGGCCCATGTTGAGATAGTGATTTTCTTCTTGTCGCAGCCAGCCGCGAGTCATGAAGCACGAATATAAGAGACGTTCTTCGTCCGTGGTGGTGTTGGCTCCGCCTCCGTGGTAGCAGGATGCGAGCATGATGAAGCCGTCACCTGGAAAAATTAGCCCGTGGGCAAAGAAGAGAGAGAGAGAGAGAGAGAAGAAAAAAAGAAAAAAAAAGGAGAAAAAAGAAAGAGGGGAAAGAAAAAAGAAAAAAAGAAAAACACCAACCCTTCTCCAACTCCGCAAAAGCACACAACTCATCCTCCGGCTGCCTCTCATGCTCCCACAAATGACTCCCCGGAATAAACCTCGTACACCCATTCTCCCTCGTCGCCTTCTTCCCCGCCACAAAAAACCCCACTCCCACATCCCTCTGCAAATCCTCGGGGTACACCTCAACTTTCCTCGCCACAACATGATAACACCAATCATCCCGATGCAACGGCTGCGCTGTCGCTCCCGGTCCAATTGAAAAACACACAGTATTCATAATTTGCGGCAAAGAGGTTGCGTAGGTTTTTTTATGGCCGCTCCAAAACCAATTGGTGGTGCGGAGGAATGCCGAGCACACGCGTTGGTAGAGGGGGTGCATGATGATGCGCGTGGCGCAGGTGAGGGAGGAGGGGATCAGGTTGTAGCAGCGTCGGGTTTGAGGGGGGAAGAAGTCGCCTTCCCAGGGAATGTCGGCGTTGAGGTAGGGGCGGAGATCGGCTGGAAGGGTTTTTTGAAAAAGGGGGGGTTAGTGAAGATGATTTTTTTTTTTCTTTTTTTTTTCTTTTTTGAATGGGGAGAGGGTGTGAGGGTTGGGTTATACATACTTTCAATTTGATCGAGATGTTCATGAGCAACGGCGTTTTTAATGATACAACCTCCTGCAATCTGGCATCATAACCATCACCCAACAATAGGAGGGAAGAAGAGTCAGCCCGGGATGCTTTTCGTGTACAATTGATGATGACAGGTATATATATATATCACACCTTTAATGCCTTCACAACATCCTCTACCTCGCAATCGTTTTGCAAGACCGGGACAGCAGGGACTTTGGTCGATTTTCGCTGTGTGGCGGAGGCATCATCACCATTTTGATGCAACGACTTCTTCTTGCTCTCGTGGTAGCTTGTGGGGTCGGTATGTGCGAGGCCGAGTCCAGGCGCCATAGTTTGGGAGTAAGTATTGATTGATTGATTAATCGATCGATGGAGTGAGTGAGTGAATAGACATGTAGTAGCTTATAAAGGCCTGTTCTGTATGGGTTAGAAGTTATCAATTCCCCTACTCCTCCCCCCCCTCGTCTAGTAAAAAATACCAGGCAGGCGTCGCCTAGTCTACTACTTACTTTACTGTTCAACAGTCTTGCTGACATATACCAAAAACATACCTTTTTACTTCCAACTACTTCTACATACCACTTGTTGGTCAAATGTGAGAGAGACAAAGCCATGTAGCTTCTTCTTCTCAAAAAGGAAAGTCTGCCTATCGATATCCCATCCCCAGTCCCCAAAATCTCCAATATGCGATTGGCTGGATATCAAAAAAACAAACCTTCCCAGATGCCCCCTCCCCCCTAACCCTAACCCCCCATGTCAGATTTACTTGCATGGCAGATGCTGGAGAGGGGGACGGGCAGATAATGGGGGGGGATTGAATTGAACCGAATCCGATAAAAAAAAATCGAGAAAAGCTTTCTATCTACATATCGCAGACCTGGTATATGCTCGCGGGCGTGCCCTGCGTGCCTGCGGCCAGTGGGCGAAGGGCGAAGGGCGGGTTTTGGGGGTTTTTTTGATATCGCATATTATGACATACACACAAACACACACACACATACACACGTCACTTTCACTGGCTGGTAGTGATGACAGCCGTCGGGCGATATTGATTCACTAGGTGCTGGTCGTTCTGTGATGACAGACTTTCTAGAATAATTGATGAGTGTACATGCCTGATTGATGGAGGAAAAGAAGAAGAAGAATCACCACACCATGAACCTCTCACAAAAGCCTATCACTGATGATATAGCGCCTACTACAGATGAGGACGAGATTATCGGATATGCGGATCCATGGATCGTGTCACCAGGAGACTTGGTAAATGTCAAAGTGTCCTCTACCGACGCCGAATATCGTTGGAGCTTGATCCGTTTGATCAATGGACTGCTGCCTCTCCCGGAAGCACCACCGCTACGAAGCGAGATTATTATTCCTGAGAGCAGTAAGACGCAGCAACATGGCTCTTTCAAGCTGGCGGCTCCTGGGTCTTATGCTGTTGTCGATAGCTGGCCACTGGAGGGGAACAACACAGTAATGGAGGCAGGAGGACGATTATCGGGTGTTCGCTTGGGATTTTTCGTACAGCCGTGGATGACCGAGTGTCGGCATTTGCAGACGTTGGTTTCGACTTTGGATGTCGACAGTTTGGCTGGGTTTGCTCTATTCCTGGACACTTCTGGTCAGCTATGTTGTATCGTTGGGGACGGCAGTACAGTGCAAAGACAAAACACGGGCATTCATCTGCGTCGATGGCGATGGTCACGCATCAGTTGCACGATCAAAGGCAGACAAGTGCGCCTCCAAGTTGTACCAGTGTCGCGCTTGGTGGAACCGGCACCTGCAAGCTCAGTCTTTGAGAATTGTGCCATCAACGAAGTGAAGTTCGCGGGAAATGTGCCGCTCACGCTAGCTGCGGGCTTCTTTGGTTTCGAGCAACAGGCCACACTCAAGCCCGATTCTTGTTTCAGTGGCAAGCTCGACTCCTTCACACTGGAAACTCAGCATTCGACAGCAGGAGACTTTTCACTCTGGGCACAATATGACTTTGCCAAAGACATCAACTCGGACCGGGTTGTGGACACTTCTGGCGCCAACAGACATGGACAGTTGAAGAATGCACCAACCCGAGCCGTCAAAGGCCATGATTGGGATGGATCAGAACCAGACTGGACAAAGGCCAAGTACGGATATGGCGCCATCCATTTTCATGACGACGACCTCGACGATGCAGATTGGCCCACAGATTTTACTGTCACCGTCCCAGATGATGCCGTCTCCGGCGCGTATGGCGTGGCAGTGAAGGGCACCAGTAGTGGAACGGAAGACATCATCACCTTCTTCGTCACGCCAAAACATGATCGAGTGACGACTCGTCGTGGCGCTCCAGTGGCCTTCGTGATGCCGACTTTCACATATCTGGCATATGCCAATGAACGCATGTACGATCAAGACCGTGCATCGCGCCTCGAGCTGGCGGGAGGCGTGTCCATGCGAAAGGACAAACACTTTGCTCGCATGAATCGAAGGTCGGATCTAGGCATCAGCATGTACGACGTCCATAACGATGGCTCGGGGGGCGTCTTCTCCAGTGCCAAGCGTCCCATCCTCAACATGCGTCCCGACTACATCAACTGGGCCTTTCATCGACCTCGTGAGTTTCCCGCCGATCTTCTCATGCTCGGCTTCCTCGAGAAACATTTGGGCAAAGGTGGTTATGATGTCCTGACGGAACACGACCTTCACCTCCGAGGCTTCTCGGCAGTACAGCACTACAACGTGCTCATCACCGGCTCACATCCCGAGTATCCGAGCCTCACAGAGCTGGACGTATATGCAGAGTACCTCAAGACCGGAGGCTCCGTCATGTACTTGGGAGGAAACGGCTTCTACTGGTGCTCGGAGACCCATCCGGAGCGACCACATCGCATGGAAGTCCGGAAGGGTGATCAGGGATGCCGATCCATCACTTTGCCGGCTGGCGAGCGTATACATCAGATCAATGGCGCACATGGCGGGCTTTGGAGATCTCGCGGCAGAGCAGCGCAAGTCATGTTTGGCGTCGGCAGCGATGCTTGTGGCTCAGGTCCCGGAGTTCCATACCGAGTGTATCAGCATGTCCTGCAGCAGAAAGAGTTCTCCTGGCTGTGGCGTGATCTCCAACCGGACTCTTCCGGCAACCTCCTGGTCGGCAGTGAGGGTTTCGGCGGCGGCGCTTCTGGTGATGAGATTGATCGCTTGGACTATGACCTGGGTACGCCGAGCAATGCTGTGCTCCTTGCCACCGCGAATGACCACGATGATAGCTTTGCTCTCTTCAACGAAGAGGCCATGTTCCCCATGATCAACACCACAGCTTCTGTATGCGATAAGGTGCGTAGTGACATGGTCTACTACGAGACGAGTGCCGGTGGAGCTGTCTTCAGTGTAGGCAGCATTAACTGGTACTGTTCCCTGGGCTGGAAGGCGTACGACAATGATGTGGCTGTGCTCACGCGGAACGTGTTGGACGAGTTTATGCGGAAGGGGGCAAGTAAAGGAGAGCCTAAGCTCTAGCGACCTCGAAGCTTTTTCATAGGCAATGAAAAGATCTCCAGATTGGTCGCTGTATAGCTCAAGGCTACCGGTCGTTGCCGTTGCACGTCGTCCTTGCTAGTGACTTTGGTAAAGTCCAGCGGTCTTGAGGGTGGTTCCGACGAATTTCCGTCCTTGATGCTATCCAAGTAGTAGATCAAGCCTGCTCAAAGCAGCGTAGCCAATAGCCACATCACGGAGAGAGAGGACTGACAACGGATCTTTTCCCCTGCCCTGGTAGTAGCATCATTCCCCACAACTATGCTCCAAGCTATCATTCCAGCTGTGTTGTTGTGATGGGACTCGCCGTGACACGCAGGGTCTTCTGCTTGGGTCACACCGTCACAGTAGTGAATAGGTAGCTTCTTCCGGGATTGTCACAAGACGATTGCGTACTGCCTGAGCCCTAATCCGCCGTGTAAAGTTGCCAATCACTCTAGGTCGCCGTCCCTCGAGCCCTTTCATGCATCTGAGCCCGTTTGACGATATCGGCGAGCTTATTGCCATCCAGCCGTGGAGCAAACCGCTTGATAGGTTTGACAAGGACCGGCGATACCACCTATTGTATCGCATTTCTCCATGATTACCCCGAAAGCTTCAGAACTTGGTCTCATCATTGTATACTCCGCAGCCGTTGTGCATCCTGCAGGCTTCTTGGTCCGACCATACATTTCTCGATACGTCCCACGTGCGAATGCTTCAATCCTGGTCTTCTCTCGGTCGTTGCGGTCCAGGTGGGCTCCGTAGAGGGGTCTAACCTTCTTCCTTCTTCCTATCCCAGTATGTACTTGGACGCCTCTGATCTGGCGAAGTGGTGCGACTTTCCCCTCAATCGAGCTGGTTGTTGAGAAGATGATTATTGGACCGGCCCTGCTCTGGCTCTGGAGAGATGCCTACCAGTACAGATGACACTGGTAACTGGCCTGCTCAGTTCGCTTAAACCCTCATTCGAGGCATGTCTTTCTGTGTTTACACCTTTTCCCAGCATTCTCCTGCTTCCCTGGTTGATTTGGATATTATTGGAGAAGAGATCGAAGATGAACTTTCAATGATATACATGTAGCCGATGTTCTACCGGATGTTGTGATCCCGTGACGACAAAAGTCACATGACATGCTGCCAAGTTTCACGTGCACAAGAGCAGGTATCTCTCCCATATTGCCTAGATTCCTCTCATAACTGGCTTCCTCTTACATACCTGATACCTCCTACACATGCAAGAATACGATTACGAGGAGTTACATCCCTTGATACAACCAGTCTCACCGAGCTGACGTCCACGTTTGATTCCTTGCGTGGTCTGCGCAGGCTGTATGTACGCCCTTGACCTCGTCCGCACCAAAATATCCCTCATGCGGAGACTAGCTACCTTCTACAGTAGTCTTGGCTCTGGTGGCAGATGGTATGGTAGTCCATCGATGTTCTTCTGAGAGGGTCGGCAGCATGACACACAAAGAGAAGGTCATTGTTGGCTGTGCGTCCCATCTAGATCTCATGCTGGCTGGAAGCGGACACTTGTATCTATAACAAAGAACAATGGCCATCGCTCCTTGCCATTTGACGACGCTCGTCAAGCAAGTGATGAGCTCGCTAGAATGATGCCCACTGTGCCACTGAGCATGGCCACTCGTATACCTCCCGCCGCAGACGAGGGCGGCCGTGTCATCCGCGTTACTCGCCATGTACAATACCCAGCAGATCACATGTTCCTCAGCAGCAGAGAGCCCTCCGAGATTATGCAATACGCTCGAGACGCGACCATGGCCCGCGGCCGCATCCTCTACGAAGTCATAGACGCATACCGGGGACAAAACGGCGTCATAGGCTATATCGTACCTGCTTCCATTCTCTCCGAAGCGATCCAGAATGGTCGAAAGATTAATGGCAGCGCACAGCATCGTCATCATCTGTCTCAAAAAGAGCGAGCTGCTTTTGCCGATGCACGTCGAACAGTGCTAGACCAGTTTCCCGGGATCGATGAGACTGCCGTGAGGTTGGTGGTTGAGAGACTACTGAGGCCACATGGCACGCATATCACAAGGTCCAACATGGAAAAGGCGGTCGTCGATTACATTATTTATATGTGGACATCATATCGCTTCCGAGTCGATCAGGGCGAGTCCAAAGCATCCGCAATGGAGGCCGTCAAGCCGCGCGTGAGAGAGCTTTTGAAGACTTGGCTGGCTCCCAATGTTCCTACTGCTGGGCTGTATGATCTCTGGCGACGTTGGGACTTACTTGATGCCCGGATGGAAGGATTCCACCCATCAAGCGCGCTGACATACTACGCGGGCAAAGAGACGATGGCGAACTTGGTGGGCAGGTCGCGGGCTTTTGCATAAAAGAAGCATTTCGCGTGATGATGCTCCTGCACTCGTGTTGTAAAGACTACCGCCAAGATCAATCTGCAACACCTAAGACTACTTCTTGCACAATCTGATACCTAGTTCTGTCTGTCCTCAACTTGGCTCAATATGAACAAACTCTCCTCATGCAATACGAGAGTTCTAGACTTCTGGTTACCTCAGACAACATGCAAGCTCCAAGCTCAAGCTTTTCTCCACATTTCTATGGTTCTCAACTGCTCTCCGCACTCGTCATCAACTATTGAACTGTGTTGGTTCACCAAGTAAATGACTCTCAAGTGTGACTGTGTAACATCCCATACACCCTGCTCCGTCTGCGTACACTCCTTGGAAAGGTGGACAAGAATAGGCGGACACTGTTCCCGGCGGCAGGCTAATAATATCTACCTACCTGACCTTGTGTCCTGGAAGCCCTGGACTGCTGCCATTATCCATACACTTTTTGTTTTACCAATCTCACGGATTTCATGCCTAGAACAGCGCTCATCACCGACGGTAGTAGCATTGCAGGGATCGCTTTGCTCGACTTCTTGAAGCACAGATGTTCGCGAGACGAGTGGGCTCGAATCGTGGTGGTATCCCAGCCTGGAGCGCCGAGGACGAACAACAACAACAACAACAACAACAACAACAACAACAGTGGTACCTGTAGTGATGATGCCGGAAGAGTTCATTTTGTACAGCTCGACTTCTCTGAACGTCCACGTGCACTCATCGAGCACATGACCGAGTCGTGTGCAGACGTGACCCACGCCTACTTTTGCTCTTATGCCCATGAGGACAATCCGGTGATATTGAACCGCGCGAATACCGCTCTATTCGAGAACTTCCTTCTCGCTTTGACTTGCGTGGCACCAGGCTTGGCAAACTGCACGCTCATCCACACCGATAGCAGCAGGTATTACGGCTCGCATCTCTGTCCCGTGCCTACACCCTGTCGTGAGGACGACCCTAGACGGGGCGACCCCGAAGACAATTTCCAACACGCCCAGGAAGATTTCCTCGCCACGCTCCAGACCAACCAAGCATGGACCTGGAATGTTGTCCGACCAGAGTCTATCATGGTTGATACTAGTAGTCCTAGTCCTAGTACCACCACCAGTAGTAGTACTACTATTACTACGCTCGGCAACAGCACTGTCATAACGGATCCGCTGTGCACCAATCACAACAATCACAATAATCTTACTCATCATCATCGTAATAACAACAACAACAACAGCAACAACAACATAGCCTTGACATTAGCCATGTACTTCCTCATCACCCGAGAACTGGCCGAAGAAGCCAGGATGCCCTCGAATCAGCGATACTGGAACGGAAGTTCCTCCTCCGCCCTCAGTGACTCGGCCCTGCTGGCCCAATTCACCCTCTGGATTTCCATGACCGATGAATGTGCCAACGAGGCCTTCAATTTCGCCAATGGCGACCATTTCACTTGGCAATTCATGTGGCCCCGCTTAGCTGCCTATTTCGGCGCATATGCCACTCCAGACCAGCACTTTCGACTGACTGAGCCCGAAATCATAGGAGGAGGAGGAGGAGGAAGAAAAAAAGTATTCCCATTGCAGCAAGAGTTTCGTCTTGTTGACTGGGCACAACAGGATGATGATAAAAAGTCCGTATGGGAGAGAATGTGTGACGAAGCAGGTATCCCAGAAGCCAAAGCGAGCTTCGAAGCAGGTTGTTGGAGTACATTGGATGCACTGTTTCAACGCACTTGGTCTACGACATTGAGTATGAATAAAGCGCGGAAATTCGGCTGGACGGGGTTTGCGGATTCGTTTGAGTCCTTTGTGCACGCGTTTGAGCGTCTCTCGGAGAATAGCGAGATATTATAATGATTTTTCCTTGCTGAATCTACCAGTCTACCTTGCCTTACGGTCCTTACCTAGGTAACTACCTACCTGATTGATTGGAAGATTCCATCTTGGTATGTATGTGATCGCGCCGATAGATTTTCATGTACAGTACATTCCTAGGAGGTACTACTGCAGCCGCGTATCGCCTTTCATCGCTATAAAACTGGTCTAGCACCTACATTTAGTCTAGCGATTAGATTGGATACACCAAGGAATGATTCGAATGAATGAATTGCATATGAATGGAAAAGAATACCGATATAATACTTTTATTTTAATACCTACCTTAGGTATGATATCGTATACCTACTAACCTCTATCGGAAACGCCAAGACATGACCTGCCAAGTGGGCTCGCTCGGTTTGGTCTCCGCCTTTCCTCCATCGCGCACCTTCACATCATTATCATCCACATCAACATCATCATCATCATCACCATCATCACACATCCCAACTAGTCCCCGAAGCTACAGTACTAGGTACGACAGACCTATACCAAAACGCCAAGCCACCGAGCCGAGGGAGGCTAAGATATTCTTCTTATTCTTCTTCTTATGCCATGGATGCCAATGGGCTTCAGCAATCTAGGTACTATCTAGTCTTCTTACTACTAGTCTACTAGTCTACTACTACCTGACTACTGCATCGGCGGAATCCGATCTCACAGCCACCATCGCCAAGGTGCGCTTTTTTATGCACAAGAGGGGAATCCACGGGAACGCCAAGGAATTGTCCTCTCAATCCTCCCTCCCGCTCCCTTTCTCCCTCCCTCTCTCTCTCTCTTCGGCGCCGATTTTTTGCCTTGGGGGAGGGGGAGAAGAGAGTTTGGGGAGAAGAAAAAAAAAAAAATATGAAGAAATATGGTTATATAATACTCACTACTCGCAGGTGCGTGCTACTTGCACAGAAACAGCACAGTACTGCTGGAGACCATGTGAACCCGGAAGTTGTTTTTTGGTATTCTCTCTCTCCCTCTCCTCTGGGTGGCACACGACTGTCTCTTCGTTATACAGCTATGAAGTTGTGTACATGTTGATGAAAGAAGGGAAAAATCAACAATGTGCGCGCGATACTACTTCCATCCCCAACCACCGCCATCCTGCCCCTCCTGGAACTCGTGGATCTGGGTAATTTCGTTGCTCATGGCTTGTGCCTTTGTTGTTGTTGGCATTGTTGTCCTTTTTTTTTGTTCTTTTTTTGTTCTTTTTGTTGAAAACCTGAAATTTCATGTTGTAATGTGCATGACCTGCCAGAAGAGAAAAGACGAATTATGGATGCACAGCCTGATTCATCGCGTGTGTCAGCAAGAACCCCGATCGCTCCAGGCGAATACATTTGCTGTTGGAATTCTGCCGTGACTATCCAGCTGTTTTTGGTGTAAAGAAGAAGAAAACCAACAAAAAAGCCAGAGCGTGCTCGCGGGAGGCTTTCCTCATCATGTGCGTGTGCGTGTGCGTGTGCGTGCGTGCGTGCGTGCGTGTATGTGTGTGTGCGTGCGTGTGTGTTTGTGTGTGTCGGACATTCTCGTTGGACTGATGCGTGCGTAACTACATGTACCTTACTCTCGGTCTGGCCGGCGGCTTCTTTTCTGATATGAGACTGTTTACTGTGTCTGGCAATTCGGGTTCGGCTCGTGAGCGGGCTTCAGATCTGTATCAGGTGATGGCGGGATGGCGACCATGGCCAACAGTCGACGGTACTTATCGCGAGCGGTCTCGAGGAACACGAACGCTTCCATGTACGTTTCCATCGCATCGAAAGGCAAGTGATGCACCTGGAGTCGCTGCATCACTGTCCCCACCACCTCGAGGCCGTTCTCCGGCACCTGATCGCTCAATGCAAAGATGGTCACCAGTGCCCAGAGCAGGATTTGGTCGTACACCGGCAAACACACGACGCTTCGGGACAGATCCGTCACCTCCTCGCACATACCACACATATCGATATCCTTTGTCCCCGCCTCTTCCGCGCTACTGGCCAGGAATGTCACCAGACTCACTCCCGCAGCTTGCAGGATGATGTGGACTTCGAGGTTGATCCGCTCGCCGTCCTTGTCCCGCGACCAGTAGTCCGACTCGGTGAGGACATCTTTCAGGCGTGGCTTGGTGTTGAAGCTGAGCACCGTCGAGGCGAGTTCCCGAAGAGTCCGTGCTCGGTCGGGGCCAGGGGGCATCTTCTCGACCTTGAGTACCGCTTGACAGCTGCGCACCAACCGCTGATCCAAATACGTCCTCCCTGCCGTCCATGCAAATCCCGCATTCGTCTCCGCCTCCAGCTCGACGATCCTGGGAAGCTCCGGCGAATACGTCGGCCCTGGCTGTTCCACGCCGGTCTTGGTGCCAAAGGTGTTGGCAAAGGTCATAATCTGGCCCTTGAGATCGTGTGGTTGCTCGTGATCTTTGAAGTGCGGCTGCAACAGTCGGAGTCCGTCACAGTGTGCCTGACACGCTTCCCGCGACCCAAACCAGTGCTCCCAACTGCCCAGGACCGCGATCCCTATCAGCAGGCCGAAATCGTTGTGGAAGCCGGCCGAGGAGGCGTCGAGCCTCTTGTTGATACTTTTAATCGCCATGTGTCGGAACTTCAGTACCATGATCTGTGCCGAAGAGGCGCTGCCCATCTTCGAGCCCACCTGGGCAGCAGCCGCCAGCATCAGGGACCAAAAGCATGCGGGGCTGGCCAGCGCCATTTGCGGGAGTTCTTTTTGCCATGAATAATGGCGGCCGTAGCGGCGATCGTCCTGCGTGGGCAGTCGTAGATCCAGTAGGGGAGCGACATGGCCCATGAAAACCTTGAAAAGTGAAAATAGCACATTCGAGTCTTTGATTGAGTCGAAATCTATCGGTTGCGTTCGAAACGGGTCGAATTGTCCACAGGCGATGGCGAATGCAGCGGGACTGGTTATTTGCGGGAGAGAGGCCTCGATCTGTCCGTACTTGGTGTTCGGCTCATGCGCCGACACTGCGACCGAGGAGGGCTCATACTGGCGACGATGTGCGCTGGAGCGCTTCTGGTGCGTCGCTGCGATGGTGGCCTTGCGTCGTCCCGCCGATGCCAAAGCTGCTTGCCGCCGCACAATCTTACGGATGACTGCAGGATCATTGCTTTCCGGTAGCTCTTGTAGGTCGTCTGGTTCTGGCTTTGACTTACTCCGAGGATGCAGCGATGGCCTTTTACCAGGATTCAAGACAATGACACCGTGCTTGCCCGTCTGCATCGTGTCCAGAATGCACAGAAAAAGTCTCTCTCCGGGTGGGCAGCAAGCTGTCGATGCGAGAAGTGCTCCGTAATACCATCGAGGAGTCTAATGCGTTGCCCTCCGTACGTACGATCTTTCCGGTTCCGGGTATATGTTGTGGTGGTGTCTGGTTTACGCTGGTCGATCACTCGATCGGATGCAGTTTCGTTGTGCCAATATGATGGGCAGGGGCGGGAGGGCCAGATCGAAAGACAGTCAGCATAGTTTATGGGATAAGTGAGCCGCCCGCAAGCACCGCCGTCTTGGTCTTGCTGTCCTGTCCCTGCTGTCCCTGCTGTCCTCTCCTTGGTGAGAGGGAGGCCCAAGGACAATCCAAGAGCAGCAACAAGCGGAGCACTGGAGCAGAATCACGCACTCCGATCAGCGGACCACTAGCGTCGGTCGCCAAGCATAATGCGGATAACGCTAGCAGAGCACAGCCGGGAGGAGCCTTGCGGCTATTCGCGTCGAATTTGCTTCTATGGGACCAAGCCTCGTCAGCGTTCAGGGGTACGCAATACACTCAGGGCTCACCCCTGAAAGCCCCTTGTCCAATGAGAAATCGCTCCAGATCCTCTTGGTCGACTCGAAATGCCGACTTCACCTGCCACATTTGACACGTGATGATGATGATGATCTCATGAGCAGCCTACGATACAGCCATCTATAGCGAGTCTGTTTCGGGGTTGCTGGCCTCCTTTATTTTCCCCCTTTGACCTTCATCTGCTCTCCATTATCCGGCTGCGGCTGCTGCCACACTGTACTGCTGCTGGCCTGCTGCTGTACGATCACACAATATGCCTGTCGACATGCTTTCTCCTGCAGCACCGACCAGGACACGCATCGAGTTTCCACACCGTCGGAGACATTTAGACTTCCAGCAGCACAGGCAGAACAGCTACATTGGGGCATGAGACCACTACTTTTCTCCCGGGGCCTTCGGGCTCATCAACCTATATTGACCACTGCTCCACCGCGACGAGGTCCGAGGGATGACAGTACCGTCGACACTATGGATCTGTCGTCGTCCTGTCGCGCCCACGACCGTGAGGACATGGCGAACGATCATATGTCCTCCGCTCCGCCGCCAGCTTCAGCAAGGCGTTTGACCGAGCTGCTCTGACCCTGGCAGTGCTTGCACGAAATGACTATTGCGGCAAGCAGTGCGAGCAGACGTTACCACGTCTTCCATTCTCGGACTGCAGACGTATCCCGGGTATCTTCCGTGAGTCTTGGCAGATTTTCCAGGATTGCAGCAAATCAATAGACCTGAAGGGCTCGCGTTTTACCCCCCACGCATTACACTTCAAGGCGGAAGAGAGGCCGTCGCTCGAACCTTGATTCATAGACGGTTCTCGCCGGCAGCAAAAGTGAGTGAACAAGCAGCACGGCCACCACATTACTCGTCCAAAGTGACCACACGGTCCACACCCACAGCTTGGCCACGACCGCACGCGGAGCATACCGTGTTGTCAGACCTTGTCAGCCACTCTGAGCCTGGTGTCAACCACGCTCTGACGTTGTCAAAGCTACCAGATGCCTGGAAACCTCGCAGTCTGGTATCGCAGGATACTCGTGATCACTGATCACCAGTCACTCATTACTCTGCTGGCTGGCTGGCTGGCGCCCCTCGACCTGTCCGCAGGAAGAATATCGGGCGAAAAATGACTAGAACCTAGTGAAGAGATCATACTGCTACATCATGCGCCGACTATATGTCTTTCCAGCTGGTGAAGCCGCCGAGCTCCTCAATAATAACCTTTCCCCTCGAACTGTCTATTATCGCAGTCTTCAGTATTTAAGCTCTCCTGACTACTGCATTGCAGCATTAAGCAGGATTGATCATGTGGTTCCGAAAAACTAACATCCCTATCGTTGAAACGCCCAGGAAGAACGCACGAGACACCAGGAATCGTTATTATTGAAAGCAACCAGCGAAGAGAGTGTTGGAAACTGCGGACGCAAGCGCCACAGTGCTGCGCGGACTTTAAAATTCCCCCAAGTCTGATGTGTCGAGGGTAAGCTATTGCTCAAAGGCTACTGCTACCTCTTCGCTAGCATTTTTTTGCCAAAAGAACGTGCTTCCACAATACGGTCGAATCTGCATTCCTGTTACCTTAGTGAGCAAGGAACGCCCAGGGCTGGTCTTTTGATCGAAAACGACTCGTTCTCATCGCGGTACTAAGTCGACACTCGAACGAGGCCAGCCAGACAGACCCTCAGGCAGGTCACTGTCGTTGTTGGTCCTTCACACAGTTGGTACGTTAGTGCAAAGTCAGTACTGACACGAGTGATGCGTGGCTCACCTCTCTTAAGGTTGTAATTATGTGCTATTGTTGGCTGGCAGACGGTCCGGGGATGCTCATAACCGGGTGCCCAAAAAGAAGCGCCTAAATGCAGAGCCCTGTCATCATGCTGTTACAACAAATCAAGAAAAAGATCGCACATATGGCCGGGTCGCCTCTGTCTCATACACATCATCATGCCACAATTTCGAACACACCTCCATCGTTCTTGGTGCCCTCCCTCCCCGCCGGCATCATAACTTCAAACGCATCGAGCTTGGGAGCGTTCGAGAGGAACATATCCTTTCTTCTCTCCACTCCATTTCGAGGAAATCAAATATATCCTTGCTACACAACCCTCCCCCAAGAAGAAAAAAATTTCAGTCGCCCGCGTTCCATGGTCAAGTCTGACAAGGCGAGTGCATCACAACCACCATCACCACCACCACCACTACCACCAGGTACCACATGTCAAGTCTACACGACAATCCGTGGCGATGGCAAACAACGCCGCTCAGGAGACCTCGAAGCGGACTCCGACGGTTGAACAACAGAAACAACAACAACACCACCCCACGAAAAAGCAGCGGCAGCAGCAGCAGCAGGATGGTGGAAGGCCGGACAACAACAATAACAATAGCAACAATAACATGCCTCCCCGAAGACTATATTGGGTCGGAAATCCTCTGTTCGCTCTCACGCCGGTCCTGTTGTCATCATCATCAACACCATCAACATCATCAACATCAACATCCTCAACACCATCATCATCAACATCCACCAAGGGAACACACGACCAACCGCGTCAGATTCCTCCTCTACCGCCGGCTTCATTGCCTTTTGCTTCTTCCTCTTCCGTCCACAAGAATCATCACAATCAAAATGAGAAAAGTGGCGGATATCCAGAAGCAGAAGAAGAAAAGGAAGAAAAGGAAAAATCTCTGCGGGATCACCGGGGGGCAAAAATGAGGAAAACTTCTCTTGGTAGCGAAATGGGGAAGAATCGAGAGAATGGTGGTGGTGGTGGTGCTGCTGCTGCTGCTGCTACTGCGAGGAAAGATGTGAAAATGTGATCGATGATGAGGATGAGGATGAGGAGGAGGATGATGATGAGAATTTCTCGCACAAGCACAGGACTGTGGATGAAAACAATCGATCGATAAATCTATAAAAGCCCATCATCGCAGCCCTCGTCGTGGGTCTCTTACGATCGCCTCAAAGGCTGAGGGAGATATGTACTACTGGCTGGCTGGCTGGCTGGCTTGATTGATATGATGGAATCTCAACGCCACCTTCAGCACGCGCGACGATGAATGAAAAAAAAGCGCCTTTGTGGTTGGTCTCCTGACTCACGTGTCATGCTTCGGTCCAATAAATGTCATCGTTCAAAATTGGAGAAAAGGAAATCACCACCCCAGCAAGCAGGGCAGAAGGTACGCCATCACTTTTGGAACGAAAAAAAAATTGCATCCGCTGACGATGATATGCTAGAGTTTCATAGACTTTCTAGAAAAGAATTTCCCCAGTGGCTTTCGAGGACGCCGAAAAAAAAAACATCAATTTTTGGGACTATTTTGCGTCTGCATCTGCATCTGCATTACTCAAGAGGGATAGAAGGAATCGCTACTCCTCAAAAGTTAGGTAAAGGGGCGGCGGCTATTCCCATTCTCTATCGATATTATTATTTATCATGCATGTAAGATATATATCTATCTACTGAACCCAACGCGAAACCTTTGGCCGGATTATTCCTCCGTCGTTCCATTCTACGCCGTCAAACCCCGATTTCATAGCCCCCCCCCCCCCCCTTCCCCTTTCCCTGTTGATACAGTTTTGCTTTAGCCTCGTGATTCTTGGAACGATGGGACCAACCAAAGATGCATGGCAGAATCGTCCGTGCAGCAAAGGGAGAGAAAGATAAAGAAAAAAAAAGACCATATCTGCAGTCTCAAATACCATAAGCCACAGACTGAATAAACCGAATAATTGGTTAGTTGGTTATTTGGCTGGCTACCCGGACCGGTGGACACTTACTTACTCTTACCTTATTCTCGTATTCCTTTTCTTTTTTGTTTTTTTCATCTAGTTAGGAGGAAGTTCTGAAGCCTTGTTGATGTTCCCTGCAAAAACTACATCGTTCTTCTTTATCGTCAGCATCGTTATCGTCATCCGGCTATATTCACTTGTATATATATGTATGACTGTATGTATGTTGTCGAGAGAGATTTTTCTGAAACAAAATAGAGGAATATCCTTGTAGGAGGTAGTAAGGTACATTACCTACCTATACCTATATAGGCGAAAGGAATGCTGAGTCAGCAACGGCAAACTACCTTAGCTTACCCTAAGCCTAAGGTATCTAACGCGCTGACCTTACCTTTAACCCTTGCCACTGCATACTATCTATCTATCTGTCTACATACCTGACTACTCTGTACGCTGTACTCTGTACTAAACCATCAACGCAAAAATTTCAATTCCCACCACAGCATACGAAACAGTACTGCTTTCACATCCACCCCCCTCCTTCTCCGCACTCTCTCGTCAGAACAAAAAAAGGAAAATGCCAACCAAACTCCTCACGCTCCACCCACCTCCTCCTGCTCGGAAATCTGACACCAACACCAATAATAACAAGAATAACAATAACATGATGACATTCGAACTCCCTCCCAATCACAAGAGCAAGAAAAAAGGCAAAAAGAAAGAAGAAAAAGAAAAAGAAGAACCTCGAAAATTCGATTCTTCGAATACTTGTTCGGTGTTTCTGGATTCTGCGATTTTGGAAAGGAAGAGAAGAAGACGAGAACGAGAACGACGACGGGAAGGAGGGGAAGGACAGCGGCAGCAGCAGTAGAGAAATGAGGGTTAGGAGAAGGAAACAGAGGAATCACGACAGACGAGGAAAAGACACAGGGGAAAAGAGAGAAAAAGAGCATCCGTCATCACCACGTGAAGAGAGTACAGCACAGCACAGCACGGCGACAAGCACGGATTAAAACAGTACGAAGCGAGTTGCAAAAACACCAGGCATGACCGAAAGTAGTGCTTGTGATAGTGTCATTGATCATTCAGAGTTATGGCTGTCATCATACAGTCGGGGTCATACGAGAGATGAAGTAAGTCTTTGAACTTGCTTCGTGCTAGCAGCAGTAGTAGTCTGCAATCAAAGCAACGCTGCGCTTCAACGCTGACAATAGTAGTAGTAACAGTAGCAATTGATCAAATCCGGCCGTGGTCCCCTTGGCCTTTCCCAAATGAGGTACTCTTGCCTACGGGACAAATACCTCGTGAAGTTCCACCAATACCCTAGGTGTACATTATCCATGGACCGATGAAAGACAACCCAAAGTCAACATGCCGATAACGCCAGTCCTCCTGCGATCATTTCCAGTAGGCCCAAGTTCATATATGCCAGTCATCGCTCCGCGCTCGTTCGCATGATGATACACGCTTCCAGGGGTGGTCTCCATCAGTCCAGTCTCGCCTGTACCAGCTTGTCACGAACCAACTACTGGCAGGTATAGGATGGTCACTTGTTCAATCTATATGTGACGGTTACACAGCCTCCTCTAACGCCAAACTGGCTTCGAGCCTCCTGCGCTTCCTGGCACGATGCTACTAACACGGGAATGAGGACGACCGTTAGGCCCGGTTGGCGTCTCGCGTGGAGTGTTCATATCGAACATACTCTGGCGATGGCGAAGTCCCTGTACTGCCCGCGCAACAGGTGGTCCATTGTTCTTGACAACCGATCCAGTGCGCGGTGACAGAATGTTGCTATGGCTGGCAGATTCGCGAACACCAATCCGACGTGCATGTGATGCCGAGAACGATGTATCGGTTGGGGACGACGCCACCACCGGCTGCGCTGCCGTGGGACTGCGCCGGCGGTGGGCACGGTCGCTGGCACGTTGACGAGCAGCGTTGCTGCCAATCGAGTTGCGACCACTCACCGAAGAGCGCTTCTTCTTGGCCATTGCTGCGCGAATCTGCTGAGACGACTCACGATCTGTGAATGAATGTTCCAGGTCAGAACCAGTAGATCCATCACTATGCTCCGAAATGGTCTTCACCGAACGCAATGTACTACTATGTGGTGCACGATTACCAAGTTCCCGCAGAGGGCTCGATTCATCGTCGCTAGAGAACGAACCTATACCGAGAGAAAAGGTGGGTGCGGGAGGCATGATGGCGGGCGAGTCTGAGCCTGTTTTGCTCCCTTTGGTCAATGCACCAATGGCAAAGCGACCAGTGCCGGCTGGAGTCTTGCGAATCTCGCTGTTCTGTGTGGGGGCAACGGGCAAAGGGCTGGATTCGGGATCGGCATCGTTCGCATCAAAGTCGGATGTAAACTTGGGAGGCTCAATACTCGTGGTCGAGTCATCATTGCTAGGGATAATGGGAGGCGTTGGAGCAGGCATCTTAGGTGTTGGTTGAAACTCGACCAATGCACCTGGCGTGGCTCCATCTTCGGCACCCTCGTCTCTCCATCTGACTCCACGCTTCTTTGTCGGCGACCTCTTTTTGGGAGTGCCTGCACCGAATGCAACCCCTTTGCGTGCCATACCCCCGAGCTTTTTGACATGCCTCCTAGGACTTGCCGAAGTGCCCCGAGCAGGGCTAGAGCTTTCGTGGAGTGATGATGAGTAGTACATCTCGGCCGCCACATTTGCTGGGATGGATGAGGGTACAGCTGCGGGGAGGGATGGTCTGGGTTGGGACGAAAGCGAAGCGCGGCTGGAAACGGACTGTCGTATCTTTCGCTTCATCGGAGAGGGTCCCATTAACGATTTGTGTTTGCGTGGTGTTCCCGAACGGCTGGGCGCCACCGCTGCGGTGATCTGGAGACCGCCGTCTGGCCTGATGATTTGTCCGACGCTGTCGGTGCAGGCTTGCAGGAGCTTACCCATGATCTCGCGACCTGCCTGCATCGCGTCCTCGTCAGTCATTTGCGTGAGCTGACTGATAATGGCAATGGTCTCAAATTGCGTCGTGAGCATCACATTCATCAGCCCGGATTCAGCCGTCTTCTCGGCGTCCAGCACCATCGCATGCATCTCCAGGTCCGCGCGATTCTTCAAGATCTCCACTTCCTTCAGCAGACTTGATGCCTCAGCACAATCAGCAGTAAAGCTATCGTTGCTTTCCAGCTGACGCAAGCCGTCTTGAAGTGCGGTGTCGATGGCCCGGGTCCAATTAAGCTTGTTTAACTTCTGGTGGTGATGCTGTCGACTGTGTTCCAGCTCGGTCAGAATGCCCGTTGCAGTCTTCCTCATGGACACCATGGCAGGCGCAGGCTCCTCGTCCTCGCGGGTTTCGCAGACTTGGTCGAATGCGCCCACCCAGCCACTGATTGCACCAATACGACGTTCTGTCTGGCGCAGTCTGCAGGTTGTATTGATCCTCTCCTTGCGCTCAGCAGCAGAATGATCGTATGCCAGTCGTACACGTTCGATGCTATCCTTCAAAACGCCATCCAATTTCGCCTCTGCCTTCTTGAACTTGGAAAATGCCTGTTTCTCGTAGTCTTTGAGGGTTGCTTGCAGCTCCTTGATCATTGCCATTTGCTCGTCGATCTTCTTGAGATAGTCCTTGACGTGACGGTCCACATTGTACACATTCCTGATGCTCTTGGTCTGAATGTTCTTCGCCCGGTTCGCGTATCGGAGGGTATTTTGCGTCTCGTCGAAATGCGCGCTGCTGGGGGACACGCAGACGATCATGACAGTCCGACAATTGCCGCCCAAGCTGAATTTGAGCAGACGCGTCAATTTGGAATTTCGGTAGGGAACGTGATTCTTCTTCCGTGGATCGCACAGGGCGTTGATGCAGGATCCGAGGGCGAGGAGGGACTTGTTGATGTTGGCACCCTCGAGCAAGCGCTCTCCCCTATTCTTCGTGGCCGAAGCGCGTTCGGAGCCTGCCAGATCGATAATGGAGAGGGTGGCAAAGGTGACGGGCTCGTTGACGGCGGCGTCACGGTCTTTGAGCGCCACATTGACCTGTAGGACGGCGTGAGATCGGGACGACGTGGCGTTGGCTTCGGTTGGTGACTGGGTGCGCAATGAATTGCCCTGGATGACCATATCCATGACTTCCTGCACGTTCTGCGGCTTGAGAGACGTGAGGCCGGCGACTGACACGGCCTGGTGGGAGTCCTCGCGCAACATAAGGCCCTGCTTCCCGCTCGAGCCAGCTGGGGCGAGCAGATCCCGGATGGTCTCGTTGTAGATCTCGAGATAGGACAGCGTCACTTCCACCTCCTTCGACTCTCGCAGCTCTTGCACCCGTTCGAACAACTCCTGCATTGTCATGAAGATGATTCCCGGCGACTGCACGGTACCAGTGATGGTATGCGTCTTTCCACAGCCCGTGGCGCCATATGCAAAGACGGTGGCATTGTAGCCGTCGAGAACCTGATCCAGCAGGGGCTGTGTCGTGGCGGCATAGACGTCGCATTGGGTGGTGTGTTCATCGAAGACGCGATCAAAGGCAAACGTCTGATCTTTGGAGCGCTTGCCCTGCGGCATGCGGCCAAATCTCTGCACCGCATTCTCTTCGGGTGGATCGAAGACTCTGGACAGACAATGTTAGCAGGTCCCCTTCCATCAGTGCACATTGCCGTGCTGCGTAAAGAATGAACGTACAGGCACTTCTCGTCCATGACCTTGATCACGGGGCGGATTCCCTTGCCGCCCAGCTTGGGCTTGGGCACGGCCGCCATGGAGCCATCGCCGAGGAAGAGAGGACCATCGTCGTGGCGGGTGAGCTGGGCGGCTTCCTGGATGGTGAAGGGGCGCACGCGGATGGTGACATTGATGCTCGACGCGCCATCAACGGGCAGCGCGACGGCCATGGGAGACGGTATTCGGGGTATCCACGGGAGGCAAGTCGGATGTGAACAATTCTGCTGTCACCATCGAGCAGGAGCGACTGGCAGCGATGACGGCGTGGTTCCTATGTATCTCTCCCGGTGAGTGGTGTGGAATGCGGATAGCAGGTGAGCACCCAAAGTGATGGGAAGCGAATCTCAGGGAAGCAGTAGGAAGGGAGGGAGGGAGGGAAATGAAAGAACGTCTGGGTGCAGTGCAGTGCAGTGGTGGTGGTGGTGGTGGAGGTGGTTAAAGCTCTGCTGCTCTGGCAGGTTGTGACTTGCAATCACCAATCTTTGGACCTTCTCTGCGGTCTGTCGCGTGTTGGCAAGCTGAAACACCTGCCAAGACAATCAACTCGCCGTCGTCCTGGACAACCAGGAGCGAGACCGAGACCCTCTCTGATCAATCTGCACGTGATCACGTCTACTCTGCTCTGCCATCTTCTCACCACCCACGGACGTTCTCATGCTTGTGCTCGACCCGATTGTCCACACCTCCTCCTCTTCTGCGCACCTTGTTCGGCGACACACACATCGAGTCCGTCCCTGAGGAGAGAGAGGCTTTTCCAGTTTGTTCTGGTCTGTACAGACATCACTCGGCCACCGACGCTACATGTGCTTACGGGCATTCTCACTACTGCTTCCTTGTCGCCTCGATATCATTCGCGTGGACCTGCAGTGGCTGAAACTGTTGTTGAAAGACTTGCTCTTGGATGCATCGAGTTGGAAGGACAACGGACAGCAAAGCGACCATGTGGGAACAGCGATCTAGGGATAGAACAAACACAACAGGTGTAGGTACCCCTCGGGTGTGGCTCCTCGGATGATGCAATGCGGTTGCGCGGAGACTGAGCTTCGCTTCGCTTCATCTGCTACTGTGGGTTTGGTGGGTGTGCAGCTGCAGTCTTCATCTAAATGTACGTAAGTGGTAGGAGGTAGCTACGAAGCGAGGAGGCCAACCATCGAGGCAAGTATGTAGGTCAAGTATTGTGCCTCTCTCATCTCATTCCATCCATCATGCTCCATACCCTCCGCATATCTGCCTCACGACGTCTATCACAAATCGCTGCTCAGACGCGAAACACTTCGAGCGCAAGCATGAAGGAAGCAGTGGTAGCCAAAGGGCCCACGGTCACCATTCAGGATGGCCCTCTACCACAGCCAGGGCCTTATCAAGTGGTCACGAAGGTGATGTACTCGGGCACAAATCCCAAAGATTGGTAGGTGCCTTGTGATGGAGCGAAATAATGGCTGCGTAGGTACATCAGGACTGATCGAAGGTGCACACAGGAAGCGACCAGAATTTGTACCCGACGCGAGACCAGTGAACCAAGGCGACGACATTTCTGGTATTGTGCATGAAGTGGGCGAGCGTGTCTCGGAGTTCAAACCAGGCGATCGCGTCTTTGCTTTTCACGAGATGATGCAGCCGGGAGGCAGTTATGCCGAGTATGCGGTATCGTGGTCTGCTACGACAGCGCACCTACCTGCACACGTCTCGTTCCAAGGTACGCGACACACCTCAGCCATGGCTTCCTGACATATTGGTGTCCCCACTAATCACATCGTCTCTCAGAGGGCGCTGCCATTCCCCTGGCCGCTCTGACCGCAGCGGTGGGCCTCTTCGCCCGCCTCCAGCTCCCAGCACCATTTACACCTCCTTCAGCTGCCATCAATAAGGCTTCCAACGCCTCTCGTCCTTCCACACCGCTCATCATATACGGCGCTGCCTCGGCAGTCGGCTCTTACGCTGTGCAACTGGCTTGTCGCGCAAACATCCACCCTCTGATTTGCGTAGCAGGGAAGGGCACTCCACACGTCGAAGGCTTCATCGATCGAAGCAAAGGCGACACCATCATCGATTACAGACAGGGCAACGAGGCTGTTGTCAAAGGTCTGAACGCCGCTGCCGCTCAGCATGGTGGCAAGATTGAGTATGCATTCGATGCGGTATCCGAAAAAGGCAGTGTGGAGAACATTGGACAGGTACTCGACCAGGAGATGGGTCGCGTCACTTTCGTCCTGCCTGGGAAGCAATACGATCTCCCAGGGAACATCAAGCAGAGTCTGACCACGGTCGGGAGCGTCCACGGCGTGCCTGATGATCTGAAAGACTTTGGGCACGTATATTTCAGGTATATCGCGAAGGGACTCGAGGAGGGCTGGTTCAAGCCTCAGCCACAAGAGGTCATTCCTGGTGGGCTGGAAGGTGTGCAGACTGCGTTGAGCAACTTGAAAGAAGGCAAAGCGAGTGCTACAAAATACGTGCTGCGTATCGCGGACACACCGGGCTTGGAGGCACATGAGCAATGAGTTTACAGACTGGCTTCGGCTGCCCCGTCGAGCGCTGCGATCAACGGAGGAGTAATAGCCTGGCGGCATAGAGTCAAGCGTCGCATATCCTCTGATGGATCTACTTTGACAGCTTTCAGCCTGTTGTCCGGAGCACAAACTCCAGGCATGACGGTGTTGCACACACGACACGCGCAGACTGCGACCACGTGCTCACGTTCACCAGTACACTCGCCAATCTCGCGTCTACGTTCGGAACAAAGACTTGATGCCTATGAATAGCTCCAGTGGCCATCTCATACCGCTATGGCATTGTCGTCGTCTCGAAGCCTTGACAAAGCAACCAACCTATTCATTGTCCATGCAAAGATGCCGCTTCTTAATACATTACAGTGGCAAGTTTGCTCTCCCATCACTTTCCACGTAATACTTCTTTTCTGCTGAACATTTACCGCCTTCGTTCATCATGGTTGACAGAATCAATAACCGTCATCTGAACAAGAACATTTTGGAAACTTTCGGGCTGGACCCGACCATTGGCCAAACATTTTACGACAGCGATTCCGATTCTTCTGGCTTCGAAGAGGCAGAGCGGGTCGATTTTGGTGGAGATGCCGCATCGCCGACGTGGAATGCCGGCGTTGGTGCTTTCCGGAGGCATCACACGGTGTTTGTGAACTATCCTGCGCTCAATTTGCTGACGAGTCCGACAGAAGAGTTTCTCATGAACAAGCCTCAAAGTCCCAAAGAGCGCTATGCACCACATCCTTTAGTCCGTGACGACGAAGTGATGCGACATGCTGCTCGCGACAAGATTACAGATAATGGTTTTTACTCCGTCTACAGATGTGACCAAGATGTTCCCAATCCCTGCGTCCGCGAGTTCACCAACTCCGACATCTTCATCGATGTGGAAGAAGCGATCAAGTGCCATGGCAAGACCGACCTCAGTGTAGTGATGTTCAAAGACAACGCACGTCCCGAGCTTGGGCCTCAGATCCGGATACGCCGCTTGACGAGATTCATTTGGGGGAAAATAGTCGATTACAACGAGCAAGACTATACTTTTGTCCTCAAAGACTTCCTGTCAATGACAAAGATTGGTTCGACCAAAATCAACCCGACGTGGTTTCAGGACCTCGTTCATCTCATGGGTGTCGAAAGTGACCGAGCCGCTCGCTTCATCGCATTTCAGCTTGAACATTATACAACCACCGGAACCCCACGCAAGGACCTTCTTGACAATTACACCAAATTCCACAAGAGCTTCGGTGCAGAACCTCGCTGGTTCGAAGACTTTGATGCACATCTCTCCCTCATCGTCCAGGAGCACAAGACCCCGGCGTACAAGCTGGCCCCGAAGTGCATGTACTGCCGTCTCAAGTGCGAGCTCGACGTCTCTCTCCCTTGCTCCAAAGACCACGTCATCCACGAGGCATGCCTCATGGGAATTTGTCGTTCCACAGACATCGTCAAAGTTGCCTGCCTCATCTGCAACACCCGAATCTTCACCAACCCAGACCGCATCAACGAGCTAAAATTCAACGTCCACCCCGACGGCCTATTCTACCACGATGACCGCTACACCGACTGGGAAAACTACGAAAAATCCTGCTCCGACCTCGACAGCACATCAGCTTCCACCAATACCTTCCCCATCACCGTTAACCGCACCTTCCTGTCCCACCTCTGGCGTCACGTGGTCCGAGAAAGCATCGAACCCAACATTCCCGAACACCTCCGCTTCGACGTCCCCGACGAATACACCCTCCTCGAATCCCTCGTCGAAGGCCAATTCATGCATCTCGAAGGCGTCCGAACCACCATTGCTTCCCTCGACCGTTGGATCAAACGCCGTGTGTATTTTCGTTTCCGATCCGATTTCTTGAAATGGAACCTCGAACAAGCCCTGACTCCCGATGAGAAGAGAATGCTTGCACGTGGCAGTCATGAATTTATGCAGAAAATCGCCTTGCGAAGAGGGTGGTACGATGCGTATTTGAAGAATTTGAATCGCACGTTGCAGTTCTTGTCCATGAGGTGTTGTGCCTGTTCAGCGTCATCGTCGTCGTCATCATCGTCGGAACAGGGACAACAGGGTATTCATAGTGTGTATGGTTACCATTGGCATGGTTATCGAGACTTTTATAATCCCAGAATGGTGGAGCGAGAACAGGAGATTGCTACAACTGCGAGAAGGGAGATTTATGAGTGGCAGGGGAGTCAGGCGGGAAAGAGGATGATGGAGTTGTTTGAGATTGAGGTGAAGAAGGGGGAGGGAGGGAAGAGTCATCATGGAAGCAAGGATGGGAGGAAGGAGGGGAGGAGGGAGGGAAAGGTTAGGTGAGGTGGGAATTGGATGATCGGGTAATGAGGATGTTATTCGATGAGGATTTTTTGTTATTTACATCCTATGTACATATGCGCTGGTCGTGTGTAAACAAAGTATTTGTAGAAGTGTTGTGTGACACTGTTTTATTTTCTTTTTTCCATTAAAAAGAACTCCCCCGCCCCCAACCCCCATTTCCACCGTCTCTTCACGCATTCGTAAATCTCTCTTCGAAACGGTATACACAATCAACCGAGGCATTGAATATTTCCATGTTGTCTGTCAAGCAAAAGCTGCTGGTCTCGACTCGTCGGGTAGTATAGAGGACAGGATGAATAAGACATATATAAGTCAACATGGGATATCATTCAACTTTCTCGTAGTACATGAGTCATCATCTCTTTGTTTCAATCACCAAATCATGCGCTGCCGCCCAGTGTACCTAAGGTAGGGACTCCCAAAACGCCTTGTTCTTCTTGTGTTCCCCCTTCATGTACTCGTGAGAGCCATCGGTCTAACTGTACAGCTTCTTCTCCACGCCAACCATACCGTGCACATTACCTTCGGCCTGTGCAGAAGCAGTTCGGAATTCAAATCGCACCTCACCAGCACGCACTCCCTTTTGCAGTGCCTCTACGCTGGTGATACCGGTGTCTTGGAGAGAGTGTTGCACACCCGCCATGAGGTACGGGAGGAACTTGGTCACCGAGCCGCGGTCGAGAACAGAGCCAGATACACCCTGAGCAACAAGGACTTTGTCACCCTCGGAAAAGTAGCGTGCGGTACCGGCGTTCTTGGCAGTGTTGTTGGCCTTGTCACCAGATCCACCGGCCTTCTTGTCCTCCATGGCGTCAATGGAGCCCATACCACGGTATGTCTTGCGAAGCTGACCATCGGGACCAACAACGTATGCGCCAGGAGATTCGGTGGTGGCGGCGAGAAGACCACCCATCATGATGGTGCTGGCGCCAAGAGCGATGGCCTTGACGATGTGGCCGACGTTCTGAATGCCTCCATCGGCGATACATGGAATGCCGAATCTGCTGGCAAATTCCGTGACGCGGAAGACGGATGTCGCTTGTGGACGACCAACAGCCATGACTTCTTGCGTGATGCAAGCGGAGCCAGCACCCATACCAATACGGAGACCATCGACACCAGCAGCAATGAGGGATGCAGCCTGATCGCGAGTCACGACATTGCCGCCAATGACATCTAGCTTGGGGTAGTTTTGCTTGATCCACCGAATCATCTCGATCTGGTACATCGAGTTACCCTGGCTAGAGTCGAGGATGACAACGTCAAGACCCGCCTCTACCAAGGCAGCGAGACGCTCCTTGTCGGCCGGACGTGTGCCAATGGCAGCGGCAGAAAGCAGTTGCTTAGTGCCTGGCACTTTGGTCGCGAGAGGGTAGTTCAGGTTCTTCATCAGATCGCTTCGGCTGAGCAGAGAGATGAGATTGCCGGAGTTGTCCACGATGGGAAGCTTTCCCTTCTTACTCTTGCTGAGAATGGCGTTGGCCTCCTTCAAGCTGACACCCTGCTGTGCTGTGACGAGCTCAGTGGACATGATGTCGGTAACGGGCGAATCGAGATCGGCATGGAACTGGGTGTCTCGTGGCGTGACGATACCGATGAGCTTGCTCTTCAGCTGGCCGCTCTCTGTTTCGAATCAAGTCAGCGGTCATGCTCAGAGGGGGATGTTCGAGCAGTGTGCAGGTGTGATTTTTGATCGAAGTCAGAGAATCAAGGTATCCCCAGCGCACCGAGCACGTTGGCAAGGCACGTACGGTTGAACGAAAGTTAATATTGTGTTTTGGCATCATACGAATGGGAAAGAGAGAAGGAAGAGGATGTAGCCTACCGGTGACTGGGAAGCCTCCAAAGCCCCATTTCTCCTTCAAGGCGATGGCATCTGCGACAGTGGCTTTCGGGGAGAGGACGATGGGGTCTGTGATGAAGCCGTTTTCGAAGCGCTTGACCTTCATGACCATCTCGGCCTGCTCCTCGACGGAGCAGTTGTGGTGGATGACACCGACACCGCCCAGCAGGGCCATGTGGATGGCCATGTTGTGCTCAGTGACGGTGTCCATGGGCGAGGAGGTGAAGGGCGTCTTGAGGGTGATGTTGCGGGTCAATTTGGAGGTGAGGTCGACATCGCTGGCAGGGAAGCCAATGTAGCCTGGCAGCATGAGGAAGTCGTTGTAGGTCAGGCCGCCAGTCTTGGTTTCGTCCATAAGTTCGTGCACCGAGATGCCATCCTTGCGGCCATATGAGGATTTGAGAATCTCTAGAGCCTTGGCTGGGTCCTCGAAGCGCTCCTCGCTGTCGCTGGCGTGGCCATTCGCACCGCCGTTCAGAGACAGAGAGGCCATTTCGGCGGCGGGCTTCTTCAGATTGACGCCGTCGTAGATTTGGTCGCCGCCGTTCATGGTCGCGGATAGGTAGCTGATTCGACTGAGTCCGTCGGCGCAGAGATTGCAGGAGATGCCTAATGTCAATCAGTTATTAGAGGTGATTCCAGACACGCGACACACAATGCAGACTTACCCGAGGGGAAGAAGAAGTTCTTGAATGGGCGCAGAGAAGTTTGACACAAGCAGAAAATCGAAAGCGCGCTAGGCTAGATCCGCCGGTGCCTGATCTGATCTAATCTACCCGCAAGCGAGGGTCAAGCCGTGGGACGTGGGTGTCAACAAACAAACTACTCGAACGGGCAACTGTGTACAACCAAGCTCAGGGCAGGCCAGGCTACCAATCGCCTCTACGTTACGCCGTTACCATTCCTCCTACACTTCCTCTGCTATACCGCTGCAAATCCACCCTCTTGTATGCTTTGCATCGTCTCATGTGTCTGTGAACAGACGTCTCTCTACGCCCCAATGAGGACGTCGGTCAATCTGCAGTGGGACTTTGCATAGCAACCAGCAGGACGCGCTTTCCTGGCTTGCTGCGACCTCGATCATCACACCACCACCACCTCTCTCCCCAGACCAGGAACGACAGGCAATTTGACTGGGGGCAGTCACCGTCAACACCACCACCACCGCCGCCGCCGTCGCCGTCATGCCTTCCTATCCTCACTTCTCGTCGCCGGCGTCTCCTCACTTCCGCCAGCACAGCCCCACCAAGTCGTCGCCGCTGCGGCATATGAGCACGCGTTCCAACAACAGCGAAGCAGATCAGTCGAGCCTCCCGATTCGGCAGCCTACCGTTAGCAGTAATGCGAGTTCCGGATACAGCCTGGGCGCACTGTCTGGGAGCGAATTTGCTGGCAGTGATCCCTTCTTAGCACGGACGACCACGAGCGCGAAGCGGGAACGATCAGAATCGCCTGTCAAGAAGAACGCCGCATTTGCCAAGTGGGAGCAGCGCGAGCAGGCCGAGAAGGAGCAGAGCAAGATCCAGCGGAGTCCCTCCAAGATGGATGTCTCACCGAAGAAAGTGCGCGACGATGACTGGCGGGCAAACTTGGGGAGGAGTGAGACGAGAAGTGTGCTGAGGCCAGTCGCTGAGAATCGGAGTCCACCTGCAACTTTGCCTCCGCCTCCTATGAATGGCCTTTCACACGTCCGAACAGAGTCAAAAGAGAACATGCGCGAACGACCGCCCAGTCGGGAGATGTTGGACTCGCCTTTCTCATCGCCCACAAAACCGCCGGCACATGCTCGAGAGTGGAGCGAAGATATGGCCTTGCGACCTGCGAAGTCGCCGACTCATGTCAAGTTCGCAAGCGAGGGTGCTGAATTGCGGTCTCCTTCACCCGAGCTCCGATCGCCTCCATCGCCTACGAAGAACAGTCTGGCAACACTCTCTCGCTCCGATTCTATGCGCGCAAGCACAAGACCATCGAGAACGAAAGGTCATTTGCGATATGGCTCCACGGACATGGCTCCTCCGCAGCTAGATGGCGAAGATATCGGCCAGCTGCAAAAGTCTTCTACGCCTCAACTGCGGCATCTCAGTAAGATGGCTGCGCAGAATGAATCTACTGAAGATCTGAGCGTGCATTCTCCTGCTGAGCAGGTGATGGGCCTTGCAGGGAGGAGAAAATTGCAACGATCTGGAACTGTGAAGCCCAAAACGCCAAATCAATCGCAATTTTCCTCCCAATACTCGAGCACCAAATGGATGGACACGCAAAGAAAGCATTTAGCTGCGTATGAGTACCTTTGTCATATTGGAGAAGCACGAGCTTGGATAGAGGACGTCCTAGAGCCCGAGAAGTTGCCTCCTATTGTGCAACTGGAGGAGGCGTTTCGAGATGGTGTCACTCTTGCAGAAGTGGTGGTCAGGCTTGCGCCCAAATTATCTCAGGAGCAGCAGCAAGGGCTGGGCTCGAAACGGATATGGCGAGGGTCGCCACTCACTTTCCGGCATACAGACAACACTGCGCTTTTCTTTCGATTCCTGGCCGAGATCGGGCTTCCAGAACTGTTTAGATTTGAGCTGATCGATCTATATGAGAAGAAAAATATCCCCAAGGTCATCTACTGCATACACGCAGTCTCATGGCTCTTATTCCGACAAGGCATCACCGAGTTCCGAATCGGCAATCTGGTGGGTCAGCTCCAATTCGAGGAACATGAACTTGAGGCTACGCAAAAGGGCATCGATAAGAGTGGTGTTCAGATGCCCAATTTCGGTGGCATGCGCGAAGCGATGCAGATCGAGGAAGAACCAGAGCCACCACCACCCACCGAAGACGAGCTGCTGGCTGAGCAGGAGGACATGATCGTTGACCTGCAGACGCAAATCCGGGGATCCCTTATGAGAATCAAGCTTGGGAATATCATGCAAGATCTATGGGACGTGGAAGAGTCAATAGCACACCTTCAGTCCATTGCCAGGGGAGGCTTTGCTCGCGAAATCTTTGACTTCAAGTACACCATGCACAACGCCAATCAGCAATTTCAAGCGGCAGCCAAGGCTTACCTGGTGAGGAAACAACTTCATCGGAAACGGGAAGCCTGGTCGGAAAACAAGGCCGCGGTAGTCAAAGTGCAGAATCTGTGGCGTGGCCGACAAGCGAGAGCACAGACGAAGACTGTTCGCAAAGAGCTGCAAATGCAACGGCACGGGGTGAAAGAACTGCAAGCTGCACTTCGCGGTGCAATAGGACGTTGGCGGGCTGGCGACTTGTGGCACGAGACCAGGACCGAAGAGAATGAGGCCAGAGTCGCCGAGTTCCAAGCAGCGGCCAGAGGTGCCCTTGAGCGCATGCGTGTGGGTGGAATCATGAATCAGCTCTGGGACAAGGAGGATACAATTACCAAATTTCAGTCAATGCTACGCGCTCAAGTTGTAAGATCGTTACACACAGATACGCAAGAAGAGTTGCAAACGACACAGCAGGGTCTGGACATCGTGAAGCTGCAGGCAGCTGCGAGAGCTATGATCGAGCGACGACAACAAGCGGTCGCGCATGGGGAACGCAAATATGAGGAACCCGCCATCGTCCAAGCCCAATCCGCCGCGCGAGGACTCATTGCACGATTACGACAGGCGCGAACATTGGGCGCACTCCAAGGGCGCGAGACCACGATCGTGAAGTTTCAAACCCTGCTGCGAGCACAGGCAGTACGATCGCAGCATCAGGACACTCGCGAAAATCTTTCTTCGCAAGGAGAGCAAATCGTCAAATTCCAGGCTCTTCTTCGTGGCCAAGCTGAGCGCTCACTATACCAGGATGTGCGAGAAGAGCTCCAAAAGCACACTGAAGGTGTGAAGAGCCTGCAGTCAGCGGCTCGAGCTATGCTACATCGTAAAAGCATTGGCGAGAAGCTTACTGTGTTGGAAGAGCAGGAAAGTCAGATAACGGCACTGCAATCTCTCGCAAGGGCGTATACCGAACGGCAGCGCATCTTCGATCAGCTTGTCGGCATGGAAAAGGAAGAAGAGAGCATCACGCAAGTACAGTCTCTGGTACGCGGGCTGCTTGAACGAAGTCGCATTGGCGAGCAATTGGCTGAAATTGAGGAGCACGAAGCGGCTGTCGAAGAGCTACAATGTGCAATTCGTGGCTTCCGAGTGCGCAAGCAATTTGCTGACAAGCGCAAGCACTTCCGGGAGAACATGAAGAAAGTCATCAAGCTGCAGTCGTTCGTCCGTGCCAAGCAGCAAGGCGAGAGCTACAAATCCCTGGTCAATGGCAAGAATCCACCTTTGCCTGTCATCCGTAAACACGTCCACCTGCTCACCGATAGCAATCTGGAGTTTGAGAGTGAGATTGAGTCGGAAAGGATGCGAAGACAAGTGATTGAGAGCGTTCGTCGAAACGAGCTGGTCGAGAGCTACGTCGAAGGTCTGGATGTCAAGATCGCCCTGCTGGTCAAGAACAAGATCACACTGGATGAGGTTGTAAAGCATCAAAAACATTTCGGTGGATCGGCATCACAACTGCTACGCAACGGTACTCAGCTCGCACAACCGTCTGGCTTGGATCTGAAGGCACTCAACAAGAACTCTCGCAAGAAACTCTCCGGCTATGAAGAGCTGTTCTTCTTCCTCCAGACCCAGCCCCAGTACCTGGCGAGGGCATTCGCTGTGCTTACGCAACGAGGGCTAGCCGAGAAGGAAAGCAAGCATTTTGAGCGACTTATGCTCACGTTGTTCGGCTACGCACAGAAGAGCAGAGAGGAATATCTGTTCATGAAGGTTCTTGCTACGAGCAGCCAGCAGACGATCGCACGATGCCAGAACGTAGAAGATTACATGCGTCAGTCTGGCGGTACATTCCAGCAACGGCTCACTCTCAACTACCTCCGTAACCCGCGCGAACGATCTTATCTCAAGACTCTGCTCGGCGGTATGATCAGAGATGGAATTTGCGGACAAGACCATCTCGACCTAGAAAGTGATCCCCTACAGATCTATCGTGCCATCCTCAACAACGAGGAGCTGCAGACTGGTGTGCCATCACAACGGCCACGCGATATCCCTCGAGAGATGGTCATCAGACAGGAGGATGTCAGGCCTAGATATGTCGAACATTTGGAAGATCTGCGCGACCTTGGAGATGGCTTCTTCTCGTCTTTGGAAGAGTCTTTGATTCGCATGCCGTATGGGCTTCGGTACCTGGTCACCGAACAGCATCGCGCTCTTTGTGCACAATTTCCTCGCGAAGATCCTGGTGGGTTAGCCATGCTCGTAGGAGCGTGGCTGTGGAGAACATACGTCCTTCCAGCGCTGAGAGAGCCTGAGATGTGGGGAGTGGTAGATCGTGGTCTCAGTCCTGCCCACAAACGCAATCTGGCGCAGGTTGTGACAGTACTCGGCCAGGTCTGTAGTGCTGGGCGCTTATTTGGTGCCGAGAACCTCTACCTCCAGCCTCTCAACAACTGGATCAGTGAATCTCTCGACAGGTGGTCAGAATGTCTGCAGCATCTGTTCGATATCCCTTCGCCAGAGGAGCAATACCACGCGGACCAGTTCTCCGACTTATATTCCATGACCAAACCGGTGCTTTATATCAAGCTTGCAGACATCTTCGCGCTGCACAGCCTGATCTCAGACAACATCTCTGCTGTGGCACCGGACAGAAGCGACCCTATCAAGGAGCTACTGGCAGATCTAGGAACAGCGAAGAGCAATGAAAGCGATCTTGGTGGCGCTACTAACGGTGGTGAAATCACCTTGACGCTCAAATCGCGCTTCACGGTCCAGGACGATCCAAGCGCCGAGTCCCGACAGCTCTTCACAGCTACGAAGCGACTGGTCCTATATATCATTCGCGTACAGTCCGGATCCAACTTGATGGAGATCCTTCTTCGACCCATTACGCACGAAGATGCCGATCGGTGGATTTCACTTGTGCAAGAAGAGCTTGCTGAGAAAGAAAGGAGTAATCATCGACCAAATCACAAGCGCTCGACGTCCCACTTCGACCCTCGTGCATCAATGCGCTCGAGCCGCGCACTTTCAGTCTACAGCGAAGCGCCATCGACTTTCTCCGAAGACCGCCGCGACCTCATTGATCTGCAAGGCATGACATACGCCGAACTGAAGTCTTCCTGCCTGGAAAACATCCTCCAGCTCGAACAGCCACACATCCCACCACAATTCCGCGTTTCCAGACACAACAACTACCAGGAAATTCTCAACGCTCTCGCAGCCGACATTCGACAGAAGCATCGCAGACGAATCGAACGGCAACGTGAAACTGAGACTACGCGTGCTACGATCCAACAGCTCGACACGAAAGCTCAATTCTTGGAAGATCAACTCAAGTCCTACAACGACTACATCGAACAATGTCTGCACACACTTGCCAACAAAAAAGGGAGCAAACACAAATTTCTCATGCCTTTTACTAAGCAATGGTCTCATGAACGCGAACTGGAGCGTGCTGGCAGACAGCCGAAGTTCGGATCGTACAAGTACTCAGCACGGCAGCTTGCTGACAAGGGCGTGCTGTTGAGTTGGGCGGGCTACCAACAAGAACACTGGGGCAATTTGAACATTGTCATCAGTTCGGATGAAGTTGGTGTGTTCCACTTGGAAGCTAGTTCGGGGAGTATGATGCTACCTGGAGCGAGTGCAAACCTCTTATTGGATGACCTGTTGCAGGCACAATATGACAATCGCAGCAGTATTAGTGTGTTTGAAGAGAGTCAACAGGGCGGAGCGAAGTTGGCGGTGAATTTGTTGCTGCATTTGGTTTTTAAGAAGTTTTATAAAGATGGGTAGTTCGTTTATGCCCACATGCACACACAAGCACACACACAGAGAGAGAGAGAGAGAGAGACGTAAGGATGATGAAGCATATGATGGGGGTTTTTTTGTGTATAGCGAAAGGTGTTGGTGGCGTCGCAAACGATGTCTTGTGATTAGAGACAACCTGAAAAGACAGGGGTATATACAAGTATACATACCCCGAGAATGCTCTGTTTTTGTTAGGGCGTCGTATAATTACGTGAGCGAGCATGATTTACGAGAAGAGAGATTTCATCTACATGTATCGCACTCTTCTTTATCATACTTCTTATCTAATGCTGTGTGTATTACTACCTCATATCGCGTCTGTTCTGGATGGAAATGCAATACTACATGTAGGTAGGTAGGTGGGTAGGCACTCTTGGGCCACTCTGAGGGAGAATCCAATCTTGCATACAAGACACGAGGGAAGCCGACCAAAAAAGCCGCAAAAGAGAACAATCATGCAGGGCTCATGATATCCGGCTTCACTGAAAAGTTTCAGCATTGAAGTCAAATGGCGCGAGACCACTGCCAAGGAACATGCCGTCCATGCCACCACCAGTTACTCCCGTCATATCTGCCATATTGAGATCCATTGCCTGCTGAAAGTTCGATCCCCAAAGCCATGGATTGTTCGCATCGAATTCTCCACCATTACCACCATAGCTGGCACCACCTTGCTGATAGTTGTTTTGCGGATTGTGCTGGTTGATTGGAAACTGTCCATCTGGCTGGTTTGGATGCGGTTGCGGTTGCGGTTGCGATTGTTGGCTGTAGTCTGCTGGGAATGGAGTGTTAAAATTCCAGTTCTGTCCATCGCCAGGCGCCTGGCCAATCTGTTCCTTGTTCACGTCTGTCGCGGTCTGCGCCAAGAGGTGAAGCGGTGTTTGACCACTTTGATCGCTTTGTTGCTGTTGAACTGGATTTGGTCCCGCGTCTCCTCGTGCCTGTGTTGCGACGTTCTCCTTGTGCTTGGTAAACCAATCCCTCAAGATTGAGAGGATGCGAAGAATCTTCGGATGTGGTCGATATTCTTGCTCAGTTGGCACATTAGCAAACATGTCAATCAGGCCATTAATGTATCGATCGACATCGATGTCTTCGGTGGTCATCATCTTCGACATCTCGCTCCCTGGCGTCGTAACAGCAACGTGCATCTTGATGAGGACTACAAGCGCATACGTGCATCGCACAAAGAAGAGCAGCATTGGCAGTGTCTTGATCACGTCAGGATCAAAGCGGAGCATGCCATCAAGTACACCATGTGCAGCATGACGGCAGGCCTCTAGTGCTGCGATCTGGTTCTGCGTAAGCTTCTCCGATGTATTGTTGACAGACTTGAGCGATTCTTCCGTGAACGGTAAGCGAAAGTCCTCGACGTTATGATTGAAGTGTAACGCAATCTCGTGAAGGTAGAGACTGGCTACATGTTCAAAGAATCTCAGACTTGGGTTGGTTTTCAACTCTGGCGGAACTTTTTGGATCCAGTCTTTGAGATCAGTCTCCAGAACGTTCAAGGCGTAAGTGACTTTCGGGTCAGTAATACTTATACTGGCTGTATTATCGTCCATGGAAAACTGAACGCTGACGTCTTCGCAAATGTGCTGAATTTTGATGTGCTGGCAGAACAGCTTGTCGGACGCTGGCGCCTCTGGGCTTGTTTCCAAGATCTGAACACACTCCTCCATGTACTTCGTCCAATGCACAAGGTTTGGTCTGCGAAGCACCATTGAGGCCGAGGCGCAGAGGTAGTAACAACCCAACCAGGCTCGTCTAGATTCCAGGCTATCCGAGTTGATGCTTGGTTTTGTCCGCTGCGACCCAGGCGCGCTATCAGAATGCGCTGCTCCAAAGCCGCGCCTGGCTTGCGCCGAGTTGAATCGCTTCCCTAGACCGATGTCCATAGCCATTACAGCTGCCATATGAATGATCTGATAAAAATTGGTCTGTTGGGCCTCCTCAGGAGGCTTATACCAAAGCGCGAGAACTTGCATGGCCTGAATGAGTTCGACGGACTTGGCGCCATTCACGACGACAGCGTCTGCTATAGCCTTGACTGCCTCGACTGTCAATTCTCTTGTCACCTCGGCAGGCAATATGCCGTACGACGCAGCAGAGAGAATGCTCGCGTACAGGATCGGCTTCTCCTTCCAGATCTGCTCAGCTTCGGTGCCTGGCGCGAAGACCACAGCCGGCATGTGCGGTGCAAGCTTTTCGATGTAGCAATTGAATATCTGCGCGCCTAACGGAGGGTCGACGAGGGCGTTGATCCTGTCGGCAAAGTCCTGTGGCAAATTGTGGGATAATCGCGCGTGCGGCGCGAAGTCTGAATTGAGCTCATCGAAGCGCTGCGAGAGGTCTACCTCGCTGTTGCTACGAGCAGCGTACCTTCCCGCTGGCTCTGACTTGACATCCGGTGTTGGAGGCTCTTGCGCATCGTCATCCACCCGTCGACGTTTGGCAGGCGGCTGCATCGATGAAGGATCATGGGCCTGCTCAGCGGTTTGGTTATACTGCTGCAGCTGCTGAGCGGCTTGTGCATAGGCTCTACCTTGCATATCGGCCGTAGGAGCAAGACCATACTGTAAGCCATACTGAATTGGGCCTCCTTGCTGGTGGTGGTGGTGCTGTTGCTGGAGGACAGCAGTCAAGTGGTCAAGTTTCTTTTCCAGCTCGGCGACTCTGCTGTCCGCCTTTTTCTGGCGCTTTCTACTGGGCGCTGTGATGAGGCATTGTCGTCCGGCCTTTGCGCATCTACGGCACGGAAGCTCGGGGTGTGCTGGGTCTTGATCGCAGCGCACCTTCAGTCCGCGGCAGGCCTCACACGCGCGTGGCCGCTTGGAGTCGTCGCCGCCGCCGCCGCCGCCCTCGCCTGGAGTGTCATTGCCGTCCGAGACGTGGCTGTTATCGATGCCATCCTGTGCGAGCTGCTGATACTGGGGAGTGGCGCCTTGCGGGCTGGTCTGATTGCTTCCGCTCGCGATGCTCGGTGCGCCCGTGCTCTGCGGGAGGGGAGTGGGCGTCTGCGTGGCTGGGAAGCCGTAGTATGGATTCGAGGATCCTGGCGAGTGCTGGGGATAGACTCCGACGTTCGAGTTGGGGGGCTGCTGGTGTTGTTGTTGCTGCTGCTGGTGTTGCTGCTGCTGCTGCGCGTATTGCGGCTCGAAGCGCGGCGGCGGCGGTGGTGGAAGCGGTGGTGCAGAGGCGGATTGGATGTTGGCGCTGCTCGAGGGCGCACTGAGAGCAGGATCTATGATATGCTGTCCACTCATTCTGTTGCCGTCTGTCCGTCTGCGCCGTCGGCGTCGGTGGGATCGGTGTCGCGGTATCGAATTGCCCGTGTAGACGGGAGGCTTCACCAGGGCCAGGGTAAGGGGGGGCCCGCGTCACGTGCGGGTATGGAGCGGATCCTCAACTTTTTTTCCACGCCCTCATGGCCCATGCGCTCACTCCTTTGCCAGAGACATCTTAGAAAAAGGGGCCAAGTGCACTATTTCCGTCGTGGTAGAACTGGAACACGTCTCGCACGTGTCGCTACTCTAGCCATGCGTAGCAGTGACAAAGAATATCACTCCGGGCTCACTCCGAGGAAGACAGGAGGCAGTTCTATGCTATGGAGTATGGACAATGCCGACTGTCATGGCCCATATATGTATGTACCTGACCTTATATACATACACCATCGGGCCCGCTGCATAGCACGAGTCCCTATCCATACAGTGATAGTTCTCTATCAGCAACTCTTGAAGCACGCCTTTCGCATATTGCCTAATTGATCCCTCTTTGCCACATTGATCATGAGATCAGGCTCACCATTTCCACCACAACAAGCCACAGTCCAACCGAAGACCTGGAACAAGGCGCTCAAAGCAAAAATCATGCAGGCTGCCAGAAGAAAGCCTCGCTACCTCTTCTCATCTGCCATCTTGAACGACGACATGGAGCACAGCGCGATGCTCACGCGTGATGGTATTGTGCCTCAACTGTTCAGGCATGGATTCTATGGCTACTCGATGTCGAAAGCTGCCAACGAGCCACCTCCTTCTAGCATCTTCTCTATGCCCCTGGCAGAAGTTCGATACCACAACACCACTAACTTTCTAGCACGAGGCCCGCATAGCGAACGGAGCGCAATGTGGTCACTGTGGTTCTCCTCCCTGCGCGAGGCAGCCGAAGAAGCTGTCCTCCGAGAAGCCATGTCTACTCAATATGCCCCAGTTGCCCATGAAGTCTACATACTCGTCATGGACACGCATAATCTGTCCGACGACAATTTGGTATTGCACGAGTCGGACAAGTATCTCTTAGAGGATTGGAATAGCGTTTCAGAGATCCGAGACTCATTTCTGACATTTGGTGTAATTCCTGCAGAAGCCTTCGAGATGGTGCCACTAAGTGTGCTTCGCGAACACACATCGTATACAGGAGCTTTGAGCAGCGCTTCATTGGCACCAATCGACGTTTTGAATAAGCATGATGCACCAAGAGATTTAGCTCACGCAATCCACCTGGCTCATATGTTTGGGCAGGCCTTTGGGCCTAAGCTCGCGCTGCCTGTAGCATGCATAGCCATTACCGCTAGTGCTGGAACACACACGAATGATGCGGGTTCGCTTGGTAAAGGGTCTACTCACGAAGCCGAAATCGCAGCCGCTTTCGACTACTATGACATCCCAGAATCAATACTGAAAGACCGCTCGATCGTGAAGGAGAAGCCATCGATTCACGTGAGCCGTGACACTCGTCGCGGCTTGAGTCTATTACGGATAATCGTCAAGCGCAAGCAGGGTATACTAGAGTCAAAGGCAAGATCCATGCTTCAAGACCAGAGTACAGACGCGAAAGCTACAGACAGAAGATGATGACGGGTCGAGTGTATACACTGCAAGAACTCTGTCGAACGTGAGTACAAGTCACACTATAATTGGAGAATCGTCAGGGGGTGTTATTACTGCCGCAGCTGCTACTGCTACTGCTACTAATACTGATATTAGGAAGAGGCGGTTGCGGATGATGGTGTTGTGAGGGAGATAAGAAAGCTTCTCCGGACGATGACCCCAGTGGACTGTGGTAGTTTAGTGGATACTACCAGCGTGGGATATACTGAATGTGTAGCAGCAGCGGCATAAGTGAATTATCAGTTGGATGGACACCAGGCAGAGACTGGACTGGTTATGCTACAATGCTCGCTTAGGGTTACCGCCCATGGAGCTGGTCTTGCTAGTCATTGTCAGTGGCGTTGAGACGAGACCATACGAATTTCAGCGGCAGGAAGCGGACATACATCGTGGACGCTGCGGCAGGTGAGACGTCGGTGGAAGGGTGAGGCAACAATCAAATCACAAGTAGAAGTAGCGGGAAGCTGATGTTCATTGTTCAGTACATGCTATAGAAGAAATATCACGAAGGCTCCAGATCACTGTAGACACGAAGAAGCAGTTGAAAGCAGAGCCGATGCCCTCCCCCTTACCCCAAGAGCCCTTGACGTGTCCGCCGCCACCCACAACGTGAATGGACTGTCATCCACTGGTTCTGCCAGTCTGTCATGAGGTCGGATATTCAAGCAGGTCTCCCTTGCAAGATACATTTCTTCTCTTCGATTGCAAGGCACTCTGCACAGGTAGGTGGGTTGGGCTCCAGAGCAAGATAGACCGAAGCCGATCGTAGAGTATAGATCAGCGTCCTCGAAGAGCAGTATGATCCTAGAGACATGTACATATTATGCCTGTGTGTTCCAATGTAAGTGAACATGCTTCAGGGCCAAAAGAGTTTTCTTCTATGGTATACGCAATACTTTACGAGTCAAGGCTGAGAGCAATTTTGAGCTTGTCGGACATGGTGATTCTCTCCAAGCTGCTGCTGCTCGATCCAGCACTTGTTTATCGGTGCTCCTGATCCCAGGTGCCTTGAAGGAGGTCTGTTCGTATGAAAGACCACGAATGACCTTTGCCTTGACGCCTGACGTCCCCAAAATGAAGATCAGTCGAGGCTTTCCATGCCTTCGAGTGAGTGCAGCTTGTGCGGCGTGCACTGCCTGATGAGGTGTATGGCCTCCGTCCCCTCCCAGATCTTCAAAGGAGTAGTGTGAAGATCGCGCGGTCTTCGAGACGGCTTATGTAGGTCGAGAGGCGTGTGATAGTGGACTGCCGTTGAACCAGACGATGTTAGTGGATAAGGAGGGAGGAGGTGTAGTGAAGAAAGAGTTTGGGCCAAGCATCTACCGTCCGCTCCGGCTTCCGCTGTGGCAAGCTCTATGCTACCTCATGCCTCCGACATGGCCCTCTTCACTCTCTCACTGCCTCGACCATTCCCTCGACGCCGGCATCATCTCATACCCACCGCCAACACACCAACAACATCGGCGGCATGCTATTGAGCCCGCTCGGAGTCTCCGTTAGGGGCAGTCGGTGAAATGGACCGCCTCTGCCCTTGCTGAACTCGTCAGGCCATCATCAACCAAATCCTCCATCGCTCGGTCGTCCGCAACGGTCGTCCGCAACGACCGCCACATCGCCAAACTCTTTGCGCTCACCACCCTCCTACTCGTTGCCTCACCGTCCCTCACGTCAATAATTCGAAGGGCGCGTCACAACCGCCCGTGGAATTTCGCCGCCAGTCGCCCTCATGGGGTTCACAACGCGCAAACCAGCTTCGACCGGTCGCTGCAGACGTTGAGCAGAGGAAGTGTCGCTGGAACCGCGTCTTTGCGGCACGGCAGGGCACGGCAGCGGAAGCTCTTTGCACAACACAAGCTCGTCGGGGCCTGGGTTTATTTATTCACCGTAGCAATACGTTGAAGGGCTACCTCCGCGCGAGCTTCCTGAGCCGCTGAAACTGTCAACTGCATGGGGCTCCATGGCCGTCGTGTACAGGCGCGATCCTCGCCGACCAAGCATCTCGGCCATCAGCTCTGCCAGTTCTGCAGCAAAAATGACCATGGCGATGCCATCTTCCTTGGCTGACATCGGAAGAGATGGCCTAAATGCAAGCGACAACGGTAAGCCGTGGCTGGTCACTGTATAGCCGCACCGTGTAGCCTACTTGGCCTCGAGCCTCGACTCGTCGACAAAGAGAATCATGTGTTAAGATAGCACGTGCACCCACAGCTCAACCAATGGAGAGTATACTCCGGCCACGACCGTCCGGATAGCTTGTCTTGTCCACAGTGCCCTACTTCTGAGAATTTCAGACCAGATGCATGTTTTGCTCTGTTCCCCGCATCTCGCGGATCACAAATACTGCTCATGCGACTCACAAGTTGCGTACCACATATTCTCTTTACTACTAGGCGCCGCCAGCTCAGGCTGATGATGCAAGTACGCCACTCTCTCTTGAGATCTCCGCGACCAGTTCTTCCCTCTCGGTAATAGGTCCTAAGACCCAAGGCTCTCAGTTCTTCTCGATCTTTTTCGAGTACGCTTCATCGTTAACACTGACCCTGCTCTCGGCATTTGGACCGATATCGCCCAGCATTGCTGATGAGCAGGCTCTTCTCGGCCATTCGCAACGATGACTCCAGGTCCGTTGCCGAATCTTCTCTTGTTCCACCAAACCCGTGAGCAGCTGAAGCTGGTCTGCAACAAGAATGAACATCTGAGCCCCATGTCGTAAAGAAGCATGCTTCCCAGATGCTCGCATGGGAGGCGTTGATCGGGAGGGCGAAAGGAGACAGTGGAGATCATGCGAAGCACACGCGGTCAAGATATGTGATGACATGGCCGCCGAGAGATGGCGTTGACGTGAGGGCAGTGTCTGAAGCCGAAAAGCAAGTCTTCTTTGTATCTCTGCCACGCAGGCCAACGATGTCAGCGGCTGTGCTTTCCTCACCAAGCCACCAGTACCGCTCATACCGAAACACCTGGCCGCTGCTACTTCCCTTGGGACAAGGCAAAGCAACTCTATGCTTGGCTGGGGCTTGTTTCTGGCGCGTAGTGCATTTCGCCGGAAAGACGGCGGTTGGAAGACCATGTTGCTGCTGTTTCGACAGTCTCTTGGCAATGTGCTTTATACTCTGGAATCCTCCCAACTAGGTGGAGTACGCCTATACGGTGAGGTTGGCCATGCCAAATACAGCCTCCCAAATGGCGTTTTGGCTTCCCGGTCACCCCACATCTGATATTTTGCAGCATTTAGCCCTTGCTATGGGGCTCCTTGCACTTTAAAGAACCCAGCTAGAAATCTGGTCGACTCAGGAAACCTCTCATTAGATAGCCTCCACAATGACGAGACCCCATTGGAAGCCTGGAGGCATCGATGGCATCTCTGGGCATGCCAGGCTCCCGGTCAGTGGGCTCTAGCTAGAGGCGACCGCAAATCCGAGAGCTTGCTCCGAAAGACGATTCAATCGAGGAATCTCGAAAGATCTTTTCAGTCCTCATGGAAGATTCGATATATGGTATTTCAATTTTGAGAACTGCGTCAGACTGTTGACTTGTGGCTATCTGCTTCCCCGACGCTCATCGAGCCCTTCGACAATGATGATGTTCTATCTATCTCAAATGATTCTAGACGATCATGAAGTCTGGACCTATGCCTCGAGCTATTCTGCCATGAAAGACTTGAGGAAGGCATCTTATGCAATGTCGTGAAGGGCGGCCGATGGAGGAGTGGAAGACGTGCACGATACGGCTAACGAGAATGGCGAAGGATATCGCGAGGCACGACACAGTATTCACTAAGCTTTTGTCAGGCAGTGATCTCTTTTGCCAGCCTCAGTCATGCTGTCACTAGTGGAAATCGCGTCAGCTATCTCCGCTAAATCGGAAATATGAGTGCGAGACAAGGATTACACGGTCATTGATGGCTAGCCCCATTCTCCCGTAGACGTGGAGGGGGTCATCATTTCCAGAGAAGCCTGCCAGTTTTATCCGTGTCTGGCTTCCTCTTCAACGCACGATCTTCTCATTTTGCCCAGGATGGCCAGCGGTCAATGAGCTACCCAGACTAGATCGAGTGGAAGCTGGCACGGTGGACGGAGTTTATGGGGATGAAATGTGAAGCTGTCGTGATGAAGGGTAGGGAGGAGGGAGTTCAGTGACATTCCACCCCGGTTGACATGCAAGTCTGGTGGGGACTGGATCTAAGGCGATGACGCCTGCCGGTTGTCTCATCTTTCTGCGATTTGTTGGCGAGACTGTCGTGGTGCGCACAGGATGGCATATTCTTTGCGTGCCCCATCGCCCTCCTGTCCGTCAGCATGTTCCGCTCGTGTGAGACCTGCAGGGCTGAATTCGCACGCAAGTCTCTCGATTCTTTGTGGCACTATCTTGGCTCATGTACACTGAAGTCTCTGAGGTGGTGCCGCCTGGTGTTGGCGACCTTGTTGCTCCCCTCTTTGCGTGACAGGTTGCGAACCCATGGTGATGACGGCTTCTCTGCAGTCTCTGCAGACCGTTTTATTGCCCCTCTCTTCTAGCAGCGAGTGCGGTATTGGGCGATCAATTCTGGCTTGGTGGTGGTGGTGGTTCGTCTGGCTGGGACTCCCGGAGCACCGCCTTGCGCGCAGCTGCCTCTTGGTTCTGCGTGGGAGCATGGTCGGCCAGGAAATGGGCTATGGTGAAGAGGAATCATCGCCACAAGCAAACTCACCACGCGTTCGCGGTCGCAGCAGCGGCGGTTGCGGACATTGTCCGCGAAGAAGAGGGAGAGCACCGGCCAATATGGCCATTCGGGCTTGTCCTTCAAGAATGCCTTCAAGAAGGCACGCATTGTGGTGGTTGTTGTCGTTGTCGTCGTCGTTGCGCTTTTTTGTGGGATGCGGAAGGATGCGCGAGAACGAACGCAGAGCGTGGTCGCTGAGGGGGATGAGGTTGTGATGGTAGTTGCTGATCAGAGGAGGATGAGGAGGAAGAAATGTAGAAAGTCGGTATCGACGCACGCTGACGATTTGCAACACTGAGGCGGTGCTTGGCGAGGTCTATGGTGAGCAAAGAGTATGGATTGCCATAACTATCACTGAAGTCTAGACTAACGTGTATGCTAGGGACTACTAGATACAGCTCGCTGCACTCTGCCTAGGCGACTGACCTGCCACTTCGCCGTCGTGCTCGAGGGGCGCTGCTCCTCTAAGCCCTCACTAAACCCAGACGCCCTGTCGATGGAAGCTTCCCGGGGGTAGCGTAGATCAGCGCAGCATCAACGCCGCAGTCACTTCGTAGCGAGCAGCATTGTTATGATACGGACGAGACCATTTCCGGGGCGAATAGAAGCTTCGCCTGGCCGAGGATGGTCTGTATGGCACAAGCTGTGGTGCAGACGCAGACCGTCGTGTAAAAGGGGCTGCGAGCGGGCTGCTCTCGGAGTAATGCCAAGCAGCGTCGAAATACATTCACCCTACGCAACGCTCGGTCCAAGTGCTCGCGTTGCTTCCTTCTAGAGCGACGAGTGACCGTTCCTCTTCCTCACCACCACCACAACAACCACCACCACCATCCTCACGTCTGACTTTTTCTTCATCGGAACCATCCACGCACCACCCTTTTCACCACCCTTCTCATCACTCTTTTCACCACCCTTCTCACCACCCTTTTCACCACCCGCCTCTCGACCTGTCTCGCATCTTCCATCACATCGCCACTGCACCATCCCTATCAAGCACATCACCGCCGCCAACATGCGTCTCAGGCACTTCGAAGTTCAGCTGCAGGCAGTCGACCTTAACAACCACGTCCTTCCTGTCCCTCTCCAAGAATTCGCCGTGAAGTACTGTGAATACGCCGACAACAGACTCGTCGACCACAGCGGTACACCCTATCCCGCAATCTTCATCATGCCTGACGCCCGCTGACCCATCGCAGACATCACCACTGCCCCGCTGATGACTGCAAAGGTGCCAGCTCTTCCGCTTGACCATTCATTCGAAGTCCACATACAGTCGTGGGTGCACTCGCCACCATTTTTGTACAAGAACGACACCCGTGGAGGCGCCTGTGGTCCACTCGTGTGGCGCGTCAAGACTACTGTCGATGGCGCTGAGTCCCGTCACTGGTTTGACGCTGGCACCACGTGGCCATTGGTTCTCGTCAGCAACTTCGATGGGCCGTTGCGATTCCCACAATACCGTCGAGAGATATCAAACCTTCCTTGTCACACAGCCCAACCCGGAGGACGAATCAAGGTCGAGATCCAGGAGGGTCGCTATTTGAACAAGAGCGGAGATCTCGATGAATTCAACGAGCGTTTCCAGGTGCTGGCTGTGCACGGCATCTTCAGCTTCCAATACGTTCCACTTGGTATGTTTCATTGGCGACGATAATTAGCGCAACCTCGTCGGCGGCGCACCGCAATACACTGGTACTGACTTGCAGATAGATATTCTCCAGCGTGACGGCATCGCCTGGCCAAACCATCAGCACAGACTTGAGATCGCACCTCACCTACGGCACCTCAATCTCGTGCCCAGCCTTTGGAGATCTCCAGCCGATCCGTCGCGATTCGAGTGGGAGTTTCTTCCGGCTCGCCGTGACGGCAACGGTGACCGTGACACCAGTCGTGCGATCGCTTCCTCGTGGTCGCTGAGAGACATCTTGGGAGGGCCACCGCCAGCTCCAGGCGGTGGTCCCTCCGGCCTGACGCTGCCGCCGATCCTTGACAGGGTCGGAAATCCTGCTCCCGTGGAGGCTCCGCTTCCGCGTCTCTCGGCAGCGTTCAGCTACCAACCCACCCCAGCGCCGACCAGCGACGCCCTTGAGAGGCTCCGAACTTACCCTCTCCCCTGAGCTCGCGCTCATGACAAGTACCCCGCCGAGCAGGTCGACCGCGATATTGCGGTCGAGGGAAGGGCCGAAGCAGAGAGGGTGGGTGTAGTACGTAGAAAATTGAAATCGAATCATTCAAATTGAGATACGTGTGCCTTTCCCAAACTCACCCACCTCGTCCAACACAGCCCCGCTCAGTGCCGTCTTTGATGACCCCGGCAAGAAGTAAAAGATCATGTGCGGAATGTGAAAGAAGGTTTGCCTGAGAAGGGGGAGGGGGCAACCATCTGATGAGTTGAAAGTATGTATAAGGTAGGTATAACAGAGATGTATCAAAGAAAGAGTAGCTACAAGTGGAAGAGAAGGGTTGACTGTGGAATACGGTAGTTAAGGTAAGGTAAGGTACCCATTCGTTCGTTCCATTTGAACCAATCTGATGATGGACTATGGAACTAATCAACTTTCTTTTCTCTCTCCCCCCCCCTCTCTCTCTTCCAGCACTGTTCGGTGTTTATGGACGACGGCTTCGGAGCCATGGGAGACGGTATCCCGGATGACCGGGTGTTCATCGAAGGGTACGCCTACCTTCAAGGGTACGTCCTGCCTCGGCTTTTATAGGCGCAAATGAAGCTGTCCCCCAAGAAAATTCGTCTATTTACAACAAAGATTTTCGCACTTGGGGGATAGTACTACCTAGGGGGACGGATGCTTATCAAAGACGATTTACTAAGGCGGATTAAGGAATAGCTAACCCTAACCCTAACTCCCTACCTCCTAGTCCTAGGTACACCTATAAAGATATATACCTTCACTAGGCGCAGAAGTTAAGAATACTGAACATACGGTTCGAATAGATCGTAGGCAAAAAGGACGCTGTGGCAGAGAGTCTTAGTCGGATTATATTCGAGTTCGATAACACAGACGAAACCATCAAGGAGACGCCAATGATCAAGGATCTGGCCAACGAGATCACCGCTCACCAACCGGGGGATGAATGGTCTCTCTCACTCTCTCACACACACACTCTCTATATATATGTTCCGCTACATTTGTTCTTCTGGTTCTTATTCTTCTAGTTGATATCTTCCTTGTCTTTGCCTGTTTACGTCGTCGTCGTCGTAGTGGTAGCAGGTGGAATGCCTGTCACGATAGCCAAAGCATTAGCTTGTTCCATCAAAGGATCTCCTCCTGTGATTTCATTGATTTTGCTGAGATCGAATCTCTTCATGCTTGAAAGTTTTGTTGTTGTTGTTGCTGCTGTTGCTGTGGTTGTTGATGTTGATGATGATGATGATGATGTTGAAGCTATTGCTGGGAGTTGGAGTAGTGGCTGGTCATGCGCACCTTTTGCTTGGGCTGCTAAGTTCTTGTCGGCTTGAGCTGCGTCTTCTGCTGCGAGATGGTCTCGGCCGGTTGCGAAGACCTTGTCTGTAGTTTTGCAAATGGTAGAGATTAGTTTGGGAATTCTTTTCTAAGGTCGGGAGGACATAGGTAGAAATGGATGACGAGGAGAGGGAGAGGAGGGATAGTATATGGACGTACCGAAATCGTACTCGAACCATCTGATTTCGGGGTTCAGACCTGCGAATTTCCAGACCCCGTTGATCTTTTTGTACCAATGGTGGTTGTATGAATGTGCGTGACCTTTGACCATGACAGTGGTGCAAGTTTCGTCCGTGTATTTCTGGTGCGGGACACGAAGCTGGTGATGTCCAATGATCTCGTCGTCGGATACTTTCTCCCATTTGGTGCCTCCGATGAAGTGCTGTGTCTTCAAGGTGGGATCCCCCAGCACGTGAGGATCGCTAGCCATTTTAATGAATTCTTCTGCTGGCATTTCCTCCCAGAGTTTGTTCAAGAAGGACCGATAGTCGATTCGAAGGGTGGGAGCGATACATTTGGACAGTCGGTTCCAATCTTTGGTATCGTAGCTGTCGGCCCATTCGTACACTGCAGCCATGCAGCCCTGCATTTCTGTGAGACGAAGAAGCTTTGGTCAGTCTTGGAGTCGTTCAGGCGTTCATTGTGCACCAAGGATACAATGTATGTGTGTGAGAAGAGCTGCTTGGAATGTCCAAAGCAGATCTGCTCGCATCAGAAGACAGTATATACTGATTGCGCTCAGTCCCAGTGAAGGTCGCGTAAATCCCTTATATTGCACATCATGTGGTCTTGTTGGTGGTGATGATGAAAGTGAAGAAACCGAACTAACCCTCGAAAGTAATCAGCTTGACCGGCTCAAGCTGGGTGTTTGCGAACCCCGTCATGGTTGCGATCGTGTGGTTCGAGGCTAGGGGAGAATGGTAGTTGGAATGCCTCCGGTGGTGTGTCTAGGTTAGGTCGTAAGTGAATACAATGGCAAGTGGAAAAGGAGACGCGCTTTGCCCGGACGTGCTCTTGAGACGGGTCTCTCAGCTCTTTAGTACCACCCGAGAGTCCCAATATAGCATTGGCATACTTCTAGTACTGGACTACTAGCTATAGCCTATTGGTGCTGGGTACGAATACTTGCCCCCCCACTACCGATCCGATGATGGTGGGGAGCCGGTCGATGAGGTCAGGTTGTTAGTTCGAGCTGCTGAACGGGAGACTAAGGTATTCCAATGATGAGACTGCGAGTTACACGAGCTGTTTCGGAAAAAACAAAACTCCAATTACTGCAGAAGCATACATATGTCATCTCAAGCGGTATGTGTGGATGGACGAGGATTGATGATGAGGATAATAGGGGGTAAGGAGGAGGGAGACGACCTTTTTGTTGATGAACTTTCTAGGAGGTAGCTCTACAGTACAGTCAGCGCGGAAAATTAGTTCAGCCGAGCTCACATCTATTTTTGGCTCCGTTGCTGGCTTGGCTGGTCAGAGGCTCGAGTCGCGTAAACAGAACAACAAATGGAAATCGACCAAGCACATGCAAGTGAATGACAGCAACACCACCACCACCTCCACCTCCCCCACCACCACCAACAACAACAACATCGCATTGAATACCATGGACCATGAAAGCTTGCGGACCGCTTCCACATATCTGAATAACCTTTTGCTCGCCCGTGGTTTGCTGCGCAACGGTGATGCCATCGACTTCGTCAAACCCTCCAAGGAATCCCGCGCTTCCATCATCAACCTCGTCCACGATCTGATACTACGCGAGGACCGCGACAAGGAGAGCCGCGAACATGTCGCCTTTACAGTGCGACAATTACGCGCCGAAGATGCCCGCAAGGCACAGGAGATTGAGCATCTGCAGGCCAAGAACGAGCAAACGTCGAGAAGCGCAGCACAGGCGCAACAAGCTCAGCGCGTCGCCAATGCAGAGGTCAAGAGGGTGGAACAAGCCATGAAGGTGTTGCAAGAACAGGCTGCCAAGCTCAAGACCACTCTCGCCCAAGTCAAGACGCAGTGCGCGAACGATGTCAAGAAGAGAGATTTGGAGCTGCAACGGCTCAAGACGCATCTGCAAGGCCAGCAGAGGGGCACGAGAGTGGGCATGACAGCACCTTCAATGACTGTGCGGAAGACGATACAGGAGCCTGTGCAGGATGTCAACGATCCGGCTTATTCCTTGAAGCAGGAGACAACGGAGTTCTTGACACAACTCAGTCAGGGCTTGAGTGATGAGAACGATGGCTTGATCAGTCTGGTGAGAAGTGCACTGGGTACCATGCATGAGCTGCTCGGCATCCAGCACAACGCCCAGAGGCAAGTTGACAGCGCCATTGGGAGTTTGGGAAGCGAACTGGCTGGCAAGTCTAAGAGTCGGAGTGCTGGGAACAGTCTACTATACCCAGCACCGGAGACGAGCTATGAGGTGCTGGCTGCAGATCTGGAAGGTACGCTGGAGCATCTCAAGGAGATATTGACGAATCCCAATTTCGTCAGCCTGGAAGAGTTCGAGAAGGAAGTAGAGACCCGCAATGAGGAGATCGAAAGTCTCCGAGAAGGTTGGGAGCACATGGAACAGCGTTGGCGAGAAGTGCTAGGCATGATGCAAGGCTGGGTCAAGCGCATGCATACTGGAGACACCATTAACATTGATGATCTTCGAAAAGGCATGGGCTTGGTCACGCCGAACAGGAGGGGCGAGAAGAAGAGAAGAGTGGAGCCTGTGCAGGAAGAGCCTGACACGGAACCAAGCGTGATGGACAGCGAGACGAATGAAACACAATCACCCAGTAGTAAAACTGTCGAAACAGCGCCGACGACAGCACCTTCACAGAACACCTCTTCCCTGTCTGCAAGTGACGGCATGCGAAGTCTAACCAACAAGCTGGAAGACCTCAGCAGTCCAAAACGCAAACGCGACGTTCTCGAGCCCCCAGACCTGTTCGACTTCCGACCTACTACAGCAAACAAGGCGAGCAACAGATCTACAGTCGGACGCTCACCACAGGGCACAGGCAGCAGACCTACACATACTGGTCTGGCTGATGTGTTCTCGCCTGTTGCCCAATCTGAGAGCAACAGATCTGGAACACGGCCTGTTTCTATGCTGGAAGAAGATGAAGGTGACGAAAGCGAAGAGCTCGAGGTGCCACAAATGACCATCCAAGAGAAACTCAGTGCTGCTCAAGAAGAAGCAGAGCAAGCCGCTCGTTCTCAGTCTGCTGTGAATAGCAAGAACCGTACTACATCTCGTACAGTCAAGTCATCATCCCGAAGACAGAACATACAACCTGACTTTGGACTTGATGGAACGACGGATACGATGCCTGTACATGGAGACGACACGCTGGGGAGATTGGAAGGAGATGATGCGCTTGGAAAGCTAGACATGGGCGGTAGCCCTATGGCGAAGAGGACTAGAATTCGTGGTCGGCCGAAGAAGAGGAAGAGTACCTTGAGTAGAGACGAGTTGGCAAGCTTGTTAGTTGTGGATGATGAGCCAGAGTTTTGACAAAGGGTGAGGGGAATGCGGTAGGACTCTCCGACTTATAAGTATACATTGAACGAAAAACGTGGAAAAGGGCAAGGAATCTGTTGGGTAGTGCAATGCAAAGAAAAGCTCATCTGTAGAGTACAAAAGAGGACCGGAGAAGATGATATCCAGAACTCGCGGTCGTTCCCGATAGACATGTACATATGTACCTATCTAGGTACCTAGGTACTCACCCGTGATGTCTGTTAGCCATGATATAAAGCTGTTCTGCACGAATGCGACGTCGTGACTGCCTGCGGTGAGAGCAAAGGAAAAAGAAAGGACTTTGAACAAGCCAAATCTTTCCAAACCCGACCTCAATTCAGCAAGAAAGAGAGCAAAGAAAGAGAGTGAAGAAAAAGAAAAAGAATGGTCAACCTCTGAGAGGTCGTAGTAGGATTTTGTTGAAGACGGTGGGACTCGAACCCACGCGGAATTACCCACTAGTAAACTGAACTCAGCGTACAATTGTACACATAGCAGCCTGAAACTCTGGTTTGGTTGTTAGGTCATGATCCTAACTTTGATGTGGCAGCATGTAGTAACTTACAGCGCCATAACCACTCGGCCACGTCTCCCCGAAGCTACACAAGTGGATCTCGAAGTGAGATTGTTGTGTGCTTGGTTGATGAGTAAGCTCGATATCTAGTAGATTATATAGCTCGTTTAGTAAATTAGGTTCAAGGATGGGGAACGTGCGTGGAGTGCGGCCAATGCCAAGACTAGGTACTACTGTAAGGTACTCGCAGTTCTCCAGCTATTAGGACGACTCTCCGAGTCTCTGCCCGCGATAGACAACCTTTTCTACATTAGCTTAGGTCCTCGTGTTAATGCAGACAAACTCTCAGGGTGTTTTCACAAGGGCCTGCATCTGTACAAGAGGACTGGATGTGCATAATCTCCACCGTCGCTTGGAGAAATCCGCCGCAGATCATGGCAACACAGCCTCAAGCTGAGAGCAGACATCCTGCAGACTTCACTCCCTTTTTCCCAGACATGATGTCCCAAGTACCAAGCTGTGAACGATGGACAACACTCAGGAAGGCCTGGAGGAAACTGAATATCTACAAGCCCGCACCATCAGTAATGGAGTATGGGAGGTCATGCTGCAGAGGACGAATCGAGAAGTCTTGTTCGGCAACGCTGTGACGGCCATTGCAAACGTGCAGAGAGAAGCAGAGCTGGTGTTGTCGAACCTGCAACGCCTATCGCCAGACCTCGCATCTCTCTTTGGAGTTCGAACGCCTACCCAGATCTACGACACTCCATTCAAGGTCATCTGCGAAAGCGACACGGGGAATTTCCCTTTCGGCAAAACCCAGCCCGTGAAGCAATTCCTCGCCGTGAGCTACTGTTGGCGACACGAGCACTACGACTGGCCTGCCGATGGCTCGCGTCCCCATCCGCCGTGGCCTTTTAGCAAGCCTTTTGTCGACGCCGTTTTAGAGGAGAGGGGCGTTGTCAGTGAAAGTGGCAGGCATCCCGACTTTCGTCGCGAGTGCATCTTCGTTGACAATATGTGCATTGATCAGCAGGATGAGCACGAAAAGCAGCGGAGTATAGCTATGATGGACGTCATCTACAAGACTTGTCGAAAACTCGTGATTTTACTCGAGGATGTGGTCTTCACGGAAGCAGAAGTCGATGCAGTCGCCAGTATAGACTTTGACCACATTACTCCAGGACCTGAGCGCGAGATTGATGATTTAGTCCTACCCCACTTGATTTCTGCCTGGCGCAAGCTGGAAAAGTCACGATGGTGGAGTAGATCATGGTATTGATGTCGTTCTGCGCCTCCGCCGTTTTCTCTACTGATGAATCGCAGGTGCTGGCATGAATTTGAGGTCAATGAGCCATGGGACACGCTACGATGCAGCTACTATGTGCACTGCGCCACTTTCGTCGTACTGAATACTACTGGAGGAACGTTCAAGATGAGGTGGCTCCAGCTGCTCTGGATCAAAGCCATGACAGGACTTCCTGGTACCGCCAACACACAGGCTCACAGCGCCGAAAAACTTCGGGACGATTTGCGCTGGGCCATAGCAGATAATCGTAATTCGAGATACGGAGACTCGGCGGAGCGTCAGCACGGGAGCACCAGATCTAGTATTATGGCTCGGCTATATGTGATCAACAACACACAATCCACGATTGCTACCGATCTGATATCTATTGCTATGAATCTCAGTGGACTTGCTCTGTTCCACCGGGGAACGAAGCCAATGACCAGAGCCGAAGTCGTCTGGGCCGTCGCAACGTTAGCCCTGGCGGCTGGAGAGAAGAGTCCTCTAGCGCTCATGACAACCACGATGCTAATCATAGATGGGAAAGAGTCTTGGCTCTCGCAACAAGCGGCAGAGTTCGATACCAATTTCCCGCAGTTTATACTCGGCAGCAATACTGGACTCCATGCCATCACACCTCACATCATCAAGCTGGATCTGCTGTTCTTCGAGCATCCTGCGCAGTGGGCATCCGAGAATGATATGGCATTCACGTATCGTGTCTTTCCAGCGAACGCAATTCCGACCACTCCACCACGATACCGCGGCAACGCACAGTCTCAACCTCAGTCGCTCGTGGACGAGTCTTGTGAAATGCGAATACGAGTCTTTCTTGCCCAGGCTTGCCGATGTGGACTGGAATTCGTTCTGCGCTTGTGGGCTCAGATCCACCGTGATGTGGTACAAGAATCGTACAGTCAAGGCATGTACAGGGCGTTCGATGCTAATGAGGCGCTCAAACAAAGTGCCATAACGCTGCTGGCGCACCTCGCAGTTGAAAAAGACGTACCAGCCTCAAAGGAAAGCTCTTTCCTAGAGAAACTCCTCCTCTTTCTCACCTGGCTCACTGATCCCCGATCCACGTACTACATCTCTGCATCTTGCCTGCGGATGCCTTGCGCGGAGAAGGATTTCGCGCTCATAAGTGGGCCCACGATGCGCAATCTCGGAGGCCAGATGGACCAAAATAGGTGGAGACTTGCCATTCCCACAGACCTGCTTGATGCCTCCTGTCAGATGTACAGAGTGTGGGTGCTTCAGCCGAAAGCAGGTGGCGGATTGCGTCAGTCGCACAATGGGTTGTGGGAAAATACAAACGGAGAATATACGATTATGGGGAAGATGCTGCTCCTGGGGGAGCCTGATCAACTGCTACCAGACTCGGCTTCAAGAGTCAGAGAAGGGCAGAGTGTGACGGCTTGAGGGCGGCCTCGATACGCTCTCTCCATCCGAGATTATTTCAATGCGGCACAGCATTCAATAGTACAGTTTCTGGACACATGGGCCACCCAAAATGCATCTGGATCTGTACAACTCGAGACCAGCAGCGTGTTGGGGCGATATGTGGAATCGACACTTCGTCCGTGCTTACCTGAGCGCATATAGCAATTCTAGAAGTGTAGAATTGGCGCTTGCGCAACGACACGGCAGCCAATCAGAGGGCTGCACTTGGCGAAAACACCTCCACTCTGAAACCAAGTCCAGTGACTGCAGCCTTTGCTATTGTCGTCCATCTCTCAGAAGACTCAGAAGCGCCCACGTCGACTGCCTTCATTGGCCTGTAATGCTCTCCGACTCCTCCCAAGATGCCGACAACATGGCAGCAACCCGGTCGCCCGACTCCCGGCGTTTCTCTTCCGAGAACAACACGCTCACACAGGCGCGTCGACATGTCGCGAGCACTTTATTCTAGACCTTGCTATACCGCATCTTGGCGGACTAGACGGCCATGCGACAGTGCGTGATTCACTATGCGCCTGTTGACCGACCTCATGTCTTGGACGTGGTTTCGCCTCAGTCTACCAAGATCCACATCTGGGCGCGACTTCGAGAGAAAAGTGGCACATCGCATCCACATTGTGATGCATCACCTTCGACGCCGCACTCAATAAGATCCCGTATTCACTCACTCGACGAACATTCCTTCACCTTCGCTCCAGTGTTGTGTGTGTGCTTCAAAGCCCGTCACTCTGCCCACCATGTCTGGCTTCCCTCTTTGTACATAGCCCATTGTTGCCATTTCTTATTCTTATCTTCTTGTCTTTGTTCATTGACAAAAGCGCAGGCCGCACAAAAGCCATTGTTGTTGCATTTTTCACTCATACTATAAGATCCATTGTGCTCAGGCCAATCTTCTCAACAGCAGTTCACGCTCTCTAGAACACTCGACACACTCCCTACTACTCCTTCACTGAGACGTGATCGAGACACGCATACCATTCGGCTGGCCCGATACTTGAAGCATTACCTACCTTCACGACAACGAGACCGTTCAACAAAAGCAAGTGACATACCTGAAGCGAGCCTTCTCCTTTGCCACACGCAGTCCCCCAGACCCAGACTACACGACCGGTATCATCATACTGCACAAACATGCATCTTCCCACAGCATCCACGAGGTGCTCGACCATGTGCGCTCTACTCCCAGCACTTTTTGCCTTTGTCCTGTTTGCACCACTCGCAGTGGCCCACTCATGGGTGGAGGAGTACCAACTCATCTCGGACAATGGATCCTTCACTGGGCCCCGAGGATACGCAAGAGGCTATGTCCCAAGAACCGACCCAACCTACAACGGCTTTTCCAACATGTGGATGTTGCCTTCGCTCGATGCACGCAACTCTGATGGCACTGTCCGAACCCGAATCAACGACACCGACTCAGTCTGTCATCCCGCGCAGCGAACATCAAACTACACTGCGACCTTCCCCAAACTCAAGGTTTCCGCAGGCGACTACGTCGCCATGAAGTATCTGGAGAACGGTCATGTCTCGCTCCCGTGGAACATTACCGGTAAACCCCCAGGCGGTGGCTCGGTGTTCATCTTCGGCACAACCAAACCTTCCGACGACGAGAAGATCGCAGATGTCATGCAATGGAACAGAGCAGGCACAGGCGGCAACGGCAACGGTTGGCTCATGACAGCTCAAAACTTCGACGATGGCAGATGTCACCAGATCAACTGCGGCAGCATCTCGCAACAACGACAAATGCTCCTACCCAACCACGTCGCCGGTCAGCCCACTTCCACTGTGGAATCTTGGTGCGAGAATGATCTCCTCATCCCTGAGAACATCACATCCGGTACCTTGACGACCTACTGGGTCTGGCAGTTTGGCACGGAGCCCAACATGGACTGCAACCAACCCGCTGGCAAAGATGAATACTACACGACTTGCGCAGACTTTGATGTGGTTGACAGTGCAGAGATGGAAAAGGTCGCGGCGCAACCTGCGCAGTCCATGCCTGCTGCCGAATCCAACCCACAAACAGTCGCTGTATCCGACTATAAGTCCCGCACCGCATACACCACCTCTCCCGCACTCATTCTGATGAACGACGACAAGATCTCTGGACCGGTCCCTTCGGCCGACCCTGCGTTCGTCAGCTCGTGCAGTGCTCAAGCGAGTGTCATTTCCGCTGCAAGCTTGGCATTGTGGCCAGAAGTCTATGTCCCAAATTCATGTGAAGTCATTAGCACGTTTGGAACTGCGGCTGCGAGCGCTCATGCCAAAGTCTTTGATGCTGCAGCGGCAAGCTATACCAGCGGAGCGGAGAACGCATACAGCGAGGCATTCAAAGCAGCGGGCATGGCTGTTCCAAGTCGAAAGCCTTGGAGCTATTCCGCTGTGCCGAGTACTGGTATGCCAGATGCTGCAACCGAGCCGACTGCGACTGCAACTGCAACAGGATATGGAAGTTCAGCCTCCTCTACCTCTGCTTCAGGAGTCCTTGTCACCCCGATATCAGCTGCTCCATCCTCCTCGCCAACCGCATCGAGTGATGGCGTAAATGAGGGTATGACAACCATCATCACAGTCGTCACCATGACCGTAACTTCCCCTCTCAGCTCTTCGACTCCGCCGGCGTCTTCACTCACCTCAGAGACCGCCTCCTCAACATCAACATCAACCTCCTCCTCCTCCTCCTCCTCCTCCTCCTCCTCCTCCTCATCCTCCTCCTCCTCCTCCTCCTCCTCCTCATCACCACTCACATCCTCCACCCCAATCCCCTCAACATACTCCCCGTCATCAGCGGGCTTAAACATCCCCACCGTCTCGACCGTATCCGGATATGCAACGATTATACCTTATAATCATAACGGTACAGGCTCGACGGCCCAACGGAGAGACGCATCATCATCAGCGATGAGGTCCGAAACAGGGAGAAGAAGGACACATGCTCGAAGTTGGTTCTTTGGCCATTAGGAATGGCATGGAATATTTCCATAGCGGGTGTGTGTTTTTTTCGTCTCGGGGAAATGAATGGATGGGTTATGCAAAGGAAAGGAAAGGGATAAGAGGATTAACAGAATATCCAAGCTTTTTGTTGTTGTTGGCAGGTTTTGTTGTTTGGATGGCGCATTACAGTACAGTACACAGTGGAGTAGTGGATGGATAGACAGGCAGAATAGACAGACAGAAAGACAGACATGGCCAGTTATTAGCGTTGATTCAGCGTTTGGACACTACGTATAAATACACACACACACACACACAGACTCTCTCTCTCTCTCTCTCTCTCTCTCTCTATGAGCTGTAATTACCTTGGCGTTTCTTGTTGCTCTATATGATATCACCTGCAAGTAAGGTAGGTACCTTAGGTAGTACCTATTTGATGGTTGCAAACCTGAATACATGTCTGTACTTCTTTCTTTCTTGATTCCACATGGTTCAAATTTTGAAGAACAAAGCAGTCAGATCCCTTGGTGGGATGGACAAAGTCAAAGATGGAGCGTAAGGTAATTTCATGCTGTAGTAGAGGCTGGCCAGCTATGCCACGCCATGTTTGGAGGACTTTCCTCTATTCACGCCATCGTCATGCTTATAGTACATACGGCGTACGATCTAGTAGTCTCACGTCGTGTCTGTCACGCACGTGTGTGACACTCACAGATCATCATCAACATCCATGCCACCATCAGCTTGCCCATTCCCATGAGTAGCAGCACCATTTGCCTTGCCATTGACCCTCGCGCTGCCCAAGCCATCAACAGCAGATGTAGGTACACTCGCCTCCTTGTCGATCATCTGTCTGCTGACGGATACAATGTTGTCCTCGATCAACTCTTGACCGACAGTCTCGATGTGCTTCTTGGGGTCCACCTTTCCCACATATCGCGTGCGAAGCTGCTCCTTCGTGAGTTCAGTCTCCTCTTTCACGCGCTTCTCGTAACCTTCTGCAAGGGAAACCAGCTTTTGGAGATTTGCCTCATTCCGCGTACCCTCTGCTGCAAAGTCCGGCATCGTGAGGGCTTCTGTCCAGACCGTCTTGTGCAGGTTCATGAGCATGGCTTCTTCGAGAGCAGTCTTACGGTACCCGATCCCGATGGAATAGTAGTGGCGATTCAGTCCGTGAATGAGAGCTTGAATAGAGGGCTTGTTGAGGTGGCCCAAGTTGGAAGTTGTCTGCCGGGGTTCTTGACCAAGCATGAGCGTTTGTGGGTTGATGAGGCGGAAGGCGTCAATGACAACCTTGCCCTTGACGGACTGGATGGGATCGATGACCACGGCGACGGCACGTGGGGTGAGCTGTTCAAAGGACTGTTGAGTGTTGATATCGACGGACGAAAGCCAGCAGCCGAAGCCGGGATGTGAGTGGTACCAGCCCACGACGGTCTCTGGTCTAGACATGGTCAGTGACATATAGAGAGCGTAATGCGCGCAGGGGATAAGAAGCCCTCACCTCCCCGTCTGTCTGAGCATGTCCATCATCTTAGTCTGGAAGACGGGATCTACTGCTTCCACCGACACGCCTGTTCCTGATTGCGGCATGGCAAACACATCTACCACTCGTACCGTATAGTCATCGACAAACTCGCCCAGCATCAAGCCCATGACTTCCATCGGCACACCAGCTCTTCCGTGCCTCAGCATCTTCAGTAGTGCCAGAGACGAGATGTAGACTGTTTCCGCATTGTCGATGATGTTGGTGTCCTGAGCTGGCGCGCCTCCACCACCACCCATGCCTTGTGCGGCCGCTAACATTCTAGATAACCGGTCCATGGCGAATGTCGTGTGATGTGGGCGAGAAGTGCTGATGCACTGGGTCGAGAGAAGTAGTCCAGGTGGAGATCCGGCGGCGAATACTTAGATGCGATGGGCGATTTGGAAGACCAGCGAGAGAAGCGCGGAGAGAGGGTGGTATCGGAAATTCTGGATTATAAGGGTGACGACGAGTTTGAGCGGGATGGAGAAGGTGGTGTCGAGGATGAGGCGTTGTGTTTGTGTATGTTCATCACTACGGAGGTTATGTAAGTAGTGAGTCGGGCTCTCTCAGGCAGCTGGCAACGCGACTACCTACCATCCATCGAAGTCAGTGCACAAGCTCCAGTCTTGGCACCATTAGTATGCGAGGGTCCGGACGGTCACCTTCACCTTATATACCACATAGGTCAACTAAGTTACTGTACTATCGCCCAAAATCCACTTCGAATCCAGTAGCACAACTGTGCTGTACGCATTACTGCGGCGCAGATCCATACCCGTCTCCATCGGGAGCAGCAGCAGCAGCAGCAGCATACTCTCACATCGTTCGCGCGAGCAGTAATCCATCGACATTCTGGTATAGCACTTGCTTCAACCACCCATTATGCCTCAAGGCGCTGGTGGCTATACGCCCCTCGACGCGCCTGGCACAGGCACAAATGCCGCTCCTTCACAGCCCAAAAAAGTCGCCTACTTTTACGACAGTGATGTGGGCAATTACGCCTACAACGCCGGCCATCCGATGAAGCCGCATCGCATTCGAATGGCCCACTCCCTGATTATGAACTACGGCTTGTATAAGAAGCTGGAGATATATCGTGCCAAACCCGCGAGCAAGTACGAGATGACACAATTCCATACCGACGAGTATGTCGACTTCCTGCAGCGCGTGACGCCTGACAACATGGATAACTTTATGAAAGAGCAAGGCCGTTACAACGTGGGAGATGATTGTCCAGTGTTCGACGGGCTATTCGAATTCTGTGGCATCAGCGCCGGAGGGAGTATGGAGGGTGCTGCTCGATTGAATCGAGGCAAGTGCGATGTGGCTGTAAATTGGGCGGGAGGTCTGCACCATGCGAAGAAGAGCGAGGCGTCTGGTTTCTGCTACGTGAACGGTATGTGCTGGTTCTTGCAAGCATGAATGCATCATATAAACTGACTGGGAGCGCATACAGACATTGTCCTCGGCATCCTTGAACTGCTTCGCTTCCACGAACGCGTCCTCTACATCGATATCGACGTGCATCATGGAGATGGTGTCGAAGAGGCTTTTTACTCCACCGACCGTGTCATGACCGTCTCTTTTCACAAATATGGCGAGTACTTCCCTGGTACCGGCGAGTTGAGAGATATCGGCGTGGGACAGGGGAAGCACTACTCTGTCAACTTCCCTCTCCGAGACGGCATTGACGATGCGAGCTACAAGGGAATCTTTGAACCTACCATCGGCTGGGTTATGGAATACTACAAGCCCACTGCCGTGGTCCTTCAATGCGGCGGAGACTCTCTTTCGGGCGACAGACTGGGCTGCTTCAACCTTAGTATGCGAGGGCATGCCAACTGTGTCAACTTTGTCAAGAGCTTCAATTTGCCTACTCTCGTGCTTGGTGGCGGAGGTTACACCATGCGCAACGTCGCGCGTACGTGGGCATACGAGACCGGCCAGTTGGTGGGTGTTGAGATGGGTCCCGATCTGCCCTTCACCGATTACTACGAATACTATTCCCCCGACTTTGAGCTGGATGTGAAGCCCAGCAATATGGACAACGCAAACTCCCCCGAATATCTCGAGAAGATCAAAACGCAAGTCCTTGAGAACCTGAAGCGCACGACACAACACGCACCAAGTGTGCAGATGCACGACGTCCCTCGCGAGCCACTTGGCATGCATAACTCTGGTCCCGATGGTGAAGGCGAGACATTTGATGAGCGGGAGGCGAGAGAAGACGACGAGGAAGCTGATGTGGAAGAGAACAAGGACCGTAGATGGACCCAGCGTGCATATGACAAGCACACTACGCACGATCTCGACGATGAGGACTCCGAGGACGAAGGGTTGAATTACGAAAATGGTCTGAGAAAACCGCCGAATGCCAGGAGAATCGGAATCATGGATGTGCAAAATGTACATGCTCCTCAAGACGACAGTGGTGCCAACACACCTGCCGATGATGATTCGCGTAGTATCAATGGCGACGCGGACGACGATACCGATGGTCTCGACACCAACATGCAGACAGATGGCGCTGCCGAAGTTGCCGAAGCGAATGCCTCCGTTTCGCAAGCCATTCTGACCGATAAGGCTCGATCACCTGGCCCAGGGTCTCTGACTTCGGCGCCACAAGCAAAGGCTGAAGAAGCCTCGAACCAGTCCGAGGTGGGTGCAGAAGATGATGGTGACGAGGCGGATGATGAGATGCAAGACGCTCCGGCTCCGGCTCCGGCTCCGGCTCCAGCTCCAGCTCCAGCTCCAGCTGCACAAGTGAACACGCCTCCACGCTCACCTGCTGCAACGGGCGCGCCGCTTGTAGCAGACGATGTGGGAGACGAGAAGGAGGATGTGGAAATGCGAGACGAACCTGCGCCAGAGAAGCAGGCAGAAAAGGAGGAAGCCAAGCAAGAGCGCGAAGCGGAAGACGCCCAGGCTGAAGCCTCGACAGAGATTGCCAAAGGTTTAGCGCCAGCGGCATAGTCTGCGCAACGAGAGTCTCCGGCAAACACGAATGGATCACGTCACAGTCTTCGCAGAAACAGCGTACAAGTCGGTGAGGAAGATGTGCCGTCGACACCAACGAGTCCTATGACCATGGATTCGGAGACAGAGTAGTCGAATGATGGAATCTCTCGAGCAGTGGCGACATGCTCGGTCTGAAAGCGTTGCCGATCAGACGCAACAGCCTCTCCCTGCAGGAGCCCGGCGAAGTGCGATGTTGGGGGCAATGGCGTAAGGCTTGGTTGAAAAGCGAGCAGAAGAGCTCAGAATGGCATGACAATGGACACAATGGCCATGCTGCCAGTGATGGGGATGCTTATCGGGATTAGCGAGGCGTACATGAGTGAAGGTTGGGAACATTCAGCATAGCACTGCGCCATTCTTTACGGTGGTTGAGAATACGATATCAGCAGGGACAGCTTTGCTGCATTGGTCAGTGGAACAGCTCCTTTCCGTAAGAAAGATTCAGACGTGTATAATGATGAGCAAGCAAACCGAGAACTGCTCTTCGCCTCTGCTGTCTCAAGTCCAAATAGTTCCTACACTGACCCCACAGTGCAACGGCAAGGCTGACCGCATCTCTCGCGCGATACCCTGTTTGCAAAGGTGAGTCGATTGCGGACCGCAATATGAATCCAGTGCGATGTCGTGTCGAAACAAGATGGGCGGTCTCATGTTGAGGACTGCCACCTCTCGAGGAGTCGTCCAAGACTCGTCTTCCCGGCTTCTGATAGTGCTGTCTCTCACGTGAACTTCATTTCGGGTCATCTGTTACAAGTCCAGCATTTACTGCGTCCGAGTAGTTTTGGGGCACGCCTTTGAAGGACAGTCGACAGAACCTGAGCCCACTGTATATACCAAGGAGACGGGAGATATTGCAAGAAGGAGGGGGAGGGAGCAGCACGAATGAGAGTTTCACATGGCTTTTCCGCCAACCGCTGCATGAACGGCCCGTCTGTGATCGACATGTGGTTGCATTGCATCCCGATCCCGATCTTCCAATCTCCGAAATGCAACTCACACTCTCCACCTCCCTTCCCCTTTCAGCTCCCACGAACGAGAAGGCATTTCTTTTCTCAGACCGCCAATTCCAATTCCGCCATTCGCTACTCTTCCAAGAAGACTTCAATCAAAAGATGCATGCACTTGACCCTCCCCCACCACCACCACACTGGAGTCATGTCCTCATCCCCTTGGGCGCGTGTGCAATAAGATTATTCAATATTCATGCCAGCGCTTATTAGTATTACTAGTGTCTGTTATAACGTGCAGACTGCAGAAAAAGATGGAATCTGGGAAACAGCCAACCGCAGCAGGTCCACAACGGCTTCAAGTCTCGATGCATGTGCGACGCGCTTGTCTCCCCCCAAAGCAGCTTCTGCGACGATGCGACTCTGCGACGATCCAATATGAGTGGAGTGGGTTGCGGCATGTGCCCATGTTCTGGACTGGGCCCCCCACCGTTGACATCTCGATGACTTCCATTTGTAGGAGGTAGAGAGATTTCGCACTTGGACATTTTTCCTCCAGTTTTTGTTGTTTTTCTTTCTCTCTTCCTTCCTAGGTACTGTACAGTGTACACCGAACCGCACTTGACACATTCACTCTTTTCACTCCTGTCGTTACTGCTTCCTATTGTCGGTCTGAACTTCCTTCTCAAGATATTAGGAGATTGGCTGCATTCCAGGAACAATTTCACTTGCATACCAGCCTTCTGAAACCCAATATCACACGACACCAAACACCCGCTACTACGACTTCTCCACGCCAGATACTTACACACTGCCTACGAAGAAGAGATTCCTCCAAAGAACAACAGCAGGAGAGCACACCTGTATCAAGGACAGCACCAAAGAACGACCAGAGGGTGACGAAGTGCGCCCTCGCACAACCACATCCACGAAGCAAACATACCTAGGTATATACCATACCGCAAGGGAGAAAGAACAACAAGAAAGAAAAGAAAAAAATGGCTGTTCCCCGCGACCCAGCATTCTGGAAACGCTTCTCCACAGCCGTACACATGGACGAAGAAGCAGCTCAAAGTCCCGATTTCAAACAAATACATCAGTATGTTCCTCCCCTTCCCTTCCCATCCCTTCTTCACACAAACATCCCATATCCACTCTTGTTCCTTTCAGATCCATTCACTGACTTCTTTTTTTTTCCTTTCAGAGATTCCTGGCTCGCACGACAACAACGCAAATCCTCTCGACGGACATGGGTCTGTTATGGATTCTGGATTAGTTTTATGATCATTGTGGCTGCAGTCGTCATTGTCATTATTTGGTTACTCAATAATGGATACTTTGCTGCTGGGGGCAGCAGTTCGAATGGAAGTGATGCTGGGAACTGACAGTTTTGATTGAACAGAGAAAAGAGAAAGGAGAAAGAAGAAGAAGAAGAAGAAGAAGAGATGGTTTGAGCCGGCTAGCTGCCACAGATGAATTAGGCGCTATGATGTGATGATACTCTATAGAGGATATGTATGGGAACAACAGCGACATAGAATGCATATAGACTGAGACGAGACTTTTGTGGAAAACGCCCCAAAGGCTTTTCATTTTTTGTGATATCGTACATTCTAGCAGCTCAAGCTGCTTGGTTAGTCGGCATCAGGTCTCTCCCATTTGTGACCGACAAATTACGAACTGTGGTGAGGTCTTTTGTCACCTGGAGCGTACTTCCTGACTACCCGAGGAAGATATCGCCTGCTACAGCCTTAATAGTGTTGCTGCAGTGCCCTGGATGGCACACCCGTCTCCATCCTTCTCGACCCGAACCCGCCTGTTGAATGCGAAGCTTTGCTCTTCGCGGGCCCAGCTCGGTTCACCCGGCTCATCGCTGATCTCCCACACGTTCCTCATTCACACTCTGTACTGGTATTTCCCTTTGGACTCACCACCTGCTTGAATCTCAACCTCAAACCGTTAGTATCTCGGCTTCAACGGCTCGGGGCTAGCACTCCTCGTCACACTTCTCTCATCTCTTCCTCTCTCCCTCAGCCACTTCTTCGTAGCCAACTCCAGCTCCCTCTCCAATTCCGGCCCGGGCTCCTTGCGATGAATGAAGTTGCAGAATCCTCCTCGCACGCATCCCTCTCCCGAGTTCAATCTGCAACACGCCTCTCTAAAGTCCGTAACGGGAGAAAGCTCGCAGTAGATTGGTCTGGCAGCATACCATCTCGAATTCAACGCATCGCAAGCCTTCTGCGCCGAGTCCTCGTATTTGAATCTCGCATACACATTTCCGATCAAATGATCGTTGTTGTTGTCGCACACCACGACCTCCTCGATCTCGCCGTATTTGCACATCTCGCACCAAAAGTCCTCGTAGAAGGCATCGAAGTGGTTCTGCAGTTGTTGTGGGTTCATGCGCGACTTGTTGTCGTAGGCAGGGTTCTGGTAGAGGTTGGGCAGGAGAATGGTCTGCGAGTAGGATGGTTTGACGTGTTTGCGCGAGCAGCGGTCGCCGTGGCGGCATGCGCCGATTTTGTAGTAGAAACTGCAGTTGACCTTGTCTTGTTCTGTGCCGAAGATGGACGCGAGGTAGTTGGCCATGGTCGCGTCGGAGTGATGTATGTGTTGTCGAAGTGGTGTAAATGCGCCCTGGTGGTGCGCGACTGCAAATGTGCGGCGTCGATGGTGACCGTGTGTGAGTTGGTGTTGCTTGTCTCGCGACAGGAAGCTCAAGGCTCGCGATGCTTATGTCAGCTGGTTTGCTTGGCTGGAACCTTCCAGGACTTCACTCGTCACCTTCAAGGTACGGTTGGCCTCGGCTCTCGTAACTCTATAGCAGTCACAGCTCTATTATCAAAACGCGAAGAATCACCCGGTAATAGTCCTACTGAGATGAAGGCCACGTATTTCGGCTCAGGATCATCACACTTCATTGTTGTTGCACAATATCGGAACGTCCTCCCAAACCGTCAGTAAGCTCAGTTTATCCTTTGCCCAGCATGAACCGCCCAGTCGTGATACGAGCGCACTGCTTGTTACTCGCGTGGCCCCGTGGCAATGTACCTGCGCAAGTCAGAGTGAAGATGCAGCGTGTTCGTAACAATGCTTGGGAGGCGCCAAGTCATATTTGACGCCGAGTCAAGCTTCAGAACCATACATGTAATGGCAAGCATTTGAGGAGAGGTTCATTTCACAAGCACCACCACAAGTTTGACGTTCGCCGCAGTGCACAAGAGGGCGGAAAAAAAGAGTGGGCAAGAGACGATATGAAAGATTCAGGTTCTCGCTAGCTATAGTGCTCCTGAAAGAGCCGTTCGAGCCACCCGCCCGCGAGAGCAGATTGGGCCCCGACCTAGCTAGCGAAGACAAACACTCCGTCCTCTGCCTAGCGCCATGCAGTAGATAGCCCTCTGTTATACAGAAAGAGCAAACTCCATTGCCCCGAAGCTCCATTCCCGCTGGAGACCGAGTAATGCCGCTGAAGGTGTAAAGCAGTTCGCAATGTGGCGATTAGATCGTCGCATGTGTCAGTGTTATGTTGATGTTGAAAGGGTTGGTGGTAAAAAGTGTAATGTGATGATAGGAAACTTTTCTGTGATCCAGCAATCTGACCGCCGCCGTTTGGTATGTGGTATCAGCCTCGATATGATGCATGCATGGATTCATGCCATGAGAGAGAGGGCTCCTTCTCCGTCCTGTTTGATAGCGCCGCGTGTTCTCGTTCTCGTGGGTCGTCGTAAGAAACGCAGATGTTTGCATGCAAGTAGTAAAAGGCAGATCGTATGTTATAACCTTCGACCAACTCCCGCTAAAGTGCTATCATCTCAAGGCAAATGGGACGTAAATGCGCTTACTGTATGAAGTCAGCATGGTGCGAATCACAAATCGAAAGATCAAGCTCTGACCTTCATAGGAGCAAAGTTGCCATACGGGTGCTGCGGAGGCATGCCCATCGACGGATAGACTGGTGGAGGGGGCGCTGGGCGGTACGGTGTTCCAGCTGGACCGGAGTTGTTCTGCGAACGACCCCAGCTCAGACGAACTCGCGAGTTCCCAATTGGATATCCTTGCATCTGGTTGATGGCCATCTCCGCAGCGTGTCTCTGTACGAACTGAACGAAACCGCATCCCTTTCCTGGAGGGATCTTGACATACGTAATCTCGCCAAACCCTTGAAAGAAGGAGCGCAACTCATCCTCAGTCACATAGCCAGACAGACCCCCGACAAAGACAGTGGTATTGTTGGGATCGGTGAATTGGTTCATTGGCTGAGGCGCACCATAGTAGCCCATTGGCGGAGCTCCCATGCTGTACATGCCTGGCATCTGGGGTCCACCAGCAGCAGGGCCGCCAGGCATGCCAGGCTGCGGCATTCCACCTGGAGGGACGGCAGCACCGCCGCTCTTGTTCTTGGGTGTTGCAGTGCTGATGCGCATAGGTCGGTTGCCGCAGTACACACCTTGCATCTCGTGTAGAGCCTTCTGCTGGTCCTGCTCGTCTGCGAATCGAACAAAACCATAACCGCGGGACATGCCAGAGATGGGGTCGCTCATGATCTTGGCCGACTTGCATGATGGGTACTTGTTCTGGAAGAGTGACATGAGAACGTACTCATTGACCTCCGGTCCTAGATCGCCCACGAAGATGCTATACTCGGGTCCCCTATCGTCGCGAGAGCGGTCGGCAAGGCCTCCACCACTAGCCCAGTTTAGCTTGAACTGTCGGTTGGAGTTGGGAATGACCTGTCCGTTGAGCTGGAGAGCTCGTCCGGCAGCGTCTGGGTTTTCGAAGTCGACGAAGCAGTAGCCTGCATTGGATCTGTGCGCGCACGGGTCAGTCTCTCCCCACAGAGATCGGCGAGTCGCATTCATGCACTTACCCGGAGAATTTGTCGCGGATCATCTTGACATTAACCTGATAACCCATTCCAAACCACACGCTGCGGACGAAGTTCTCGTCGATCCAAGGCTCGAGTTCGCCCATCCTGCCGACTGTTAGTATGTTCGACTGTATGACGCGCCGCACTACTTACCAGAGGGTTGTCTTCTGATCGCCACCCTGGTTGGGACCTGGAGGGCCCTGCTGTCCTGGCGGGCCCTGCTGTTGCTGGAATTGAACCTGTTGCGATGGGTCCATAGGCTGACCCATTGGAGGACCTTGCTGTTGTTCTTGGCCCGGTCCTCCGCCAAAGCCGCTCTGCTCGAAACCTCCCTGCTGCGGGAAGCCGCCCTGCTCTTGGCCAGGCTGCAGCTGCGGCTGGGCACCGCCTTCTTGAGGTTGGAAGCTCATGTTGTATTGGAGTGGGAAGGGTGCGATCGTGGAAGTGATGTCGTAGTCGCGTGCGTGCTGACGTGGTCGAGTCTGCGTGTCTGATCGTGCAACGGGGGCGGTTAGCATGGTGGAACTCGAGTGCGCATGGCGAAGGCGTGATATGGCAGAGTGGTTGATGTGTGTGTGTGTGTGTGTTGGGGGTGGTAGGGGAAGAGCTCACTGCAAGTGAAGCAATAAGGATGCTCGCGCGCTCGGCCGTGACTCGTGAAGCTGCTGCTGCTTGCTGCTTGCTGCTGCTGAAAGAGGATGCGCCCGAATGCGAAACCCGAAAGAACGCCTTTCTCGCTCCGTAAGTGAGGTCAGGAGATCGCGAAAGGGAAAGGTATTTGCCGAAGCGAATTCTAAGTCTGCAGAGGATGGTGAGCAGCAGGCGCGCGAAAGTGGTGCGCGAGGTGAAGCCGCAAGGCAGGAGTGGAGATTGCGCGCGAGGAGGAAGCAGCTGTGCCCAGTAACCCGGTAAAGGCGCTGCGCAAGTGTGCAGAAGAAGGCCGGGGGAAGCTGTAGGCAGGTAGCGGTAGCTGCTGAGGGCTACGCGAGACTGGGAAGAGTGTGGGCGTGTGCGATAGATGAAAGTGTGGTCGCAATAATGATGCTGGGTCTCTCGCGGCATTGCTAGGCCGCAGCACAAGTGCGCACGCACGCACACACCAGCACATTCGCCCGCCGACGACTTCCGAGCGCGCGCGCGCGCCTTGTGGAGAGAATGACACACTGGAGGTGAATTGCCGGCGGCCATGGAGGGGAAAAACTCACCAGTAGAAGACGGTCGCTGAAGTAGTGATTCGAACGCAGCACCCGCGGAATGAGACGCCGAAAGCAAGCAAATCTGAGGATGAGGCGAAGACTGTAGCGATGACAGAAAGGCGAGAGACAGACAGAAGAGGGAAGCAGCAGTGAGAGAAGAGCGGGAGAGAGAGGGAGGGAGAGAGAGAGAGAGCAAGAGAGCAAGAGACAGAGAAGAGAGATGCCTTGGGGCGGGGCGCGAGAGGCTAGAACTAAACTCTGTTCTCCAGCCAGCCCAGTTGCTGCTGTTCACACACGAGGAGCACCGCGCCTCTTGTGCCGGCAGCGCCGTATTATTATTATTATTTCCTGCAATTATATACGGTAACCTGCACGTGCAAACCGCCTACGTCTGGTCATCGTAGTGCCTGAGATACCTACAGGTTGGTATATACATGAGGTACTCTTGAAAGAGCGATGCAAATCGTCTGGAGACTCTCGGTATGGGCCTCCAGGTGTGCTCTGCGTTGTCCCGTCTCGTCCCTCTCGTCATCAAGTGAGCCTCTCATCATCATGAGACAAGAGTTGATGCCCAGAATCCTAGTCATTTGGGTACCCAAGTACAGTACATCCCATACTTTGTGCAGCGGTGCGGAAGGCATGTCCATACTCCCCCCGATATCACGACCCGACGAAAGGCGAACCTCAATGACGCCTGAAAGAATGATACCTCAGCCACCATCCATCGCGCCGGTATCCTCCTGCCTTGCTCATGAAACCGCTACATGATCGCCCAGTCGTTCGCATACACACGGTGACAGCTGCATAAAATATGATTGATATGGACGGGGGTGGAAGAAACCCAAGTTTCGAGAGTTCTGCGCTACCTAAAGGTAGGTAAGGTAGGTATGCACAAGGTAGAATCTTGACAGACGTGACATGAAACAGCAAACTGGCTTCGCATTTTGGGATTGCTCTGTCGTGAGTCTCAGGTTTGCGCTGATGGGTTACCTATTGATAGGTACATGTAGGTACATTATGGAAACAGCTGCGTCTGCACGTTGACCTCAGGGATGACGACTACATATGCTGCCCATATGGGCGGCCCTTGCCGATATGTGGTGACTGCATCGGACATGTTCGCATGTAAAATGTATGGCTGTCGCGAAAGGAGCACAAGCTGACCACAGCTTTGAACGAAAGATACTGGAAGTGAGCAGAGGAGTAAAAGTTCACTTTCAGGTTTTTGGTGTTGCGGAATTTGCGGTATTGAGGTCTTCAAAAGGCATGCAGGGGTCGCGTTGTAGGGGGTAGCATGATCATGCAGGAAATTCCTTCTCTCTGCCTCCAACCTCTACGTTCCAAGAAAAAGAGTATGTTCCTCCTGCTCCAGCAACACACGTTGCCACACCCGCTATCAACGAAGGACCGTCGATGTATGTTAAGGAAACGTCACTCATAATCTATGCAGCGGGCTTGGCATCTTCGGCCGCTGGCGCATCGCTGGTGTCCTTGGACTCGCCCTCAGCAGCTGGTGCATCCTGAGCAGGCTCGGCCTCGGAAGAAGTCCAGAGAGTCTAGCGGGGAGGTCAGCGGTGTTGCCATACATGGTGTACAGACATACATGTACTTACCAAGTTGTCACGGAGCAGTTGCATGATAAGCGTGGAGTCCTTGTAGCTCTCCTCAGATAGGGTGTCGAGCTCTGCGACTATGTCAGTGGATTTCGATGAGAACAGCCCACCAAGGCACTTACCAGCAATAGCCTCATCGAATGAGGTCTTGGCCATTTGGCAAGCCTTGTCGGGGGAGTTGAGGATCTCGTAGTAGAAAACGGAAAAGTTGAGGGCGAGGCCAAGGCGGATGGGGTGAGTTGGCGCGAGATCAGTGCTAGCAACCTCGGTGGCAGCCTGGTACGCCTCGAGCGACTTGTCCGCGGAAGTCTTGCGCTTGTCACCCATGGCGAACTCAGCCAGGTAGCGGTGGTAGTCTCCCTTCCTACAAAGCAAGCACACGATTAGCGTCGCAAGCTCGGTGAATGTGTGTTGGACCGGACATGAACGTACATCTTGTGATAGAAGACCTTCGACTCGCCACTCTGGGCAGAAGGAATGAGGTGCTTGTCCAAAACCTCGAGAATGTCTTCGCAGATCTTCGCCAATTCGGCCTCGATCTTCTGGCGGTACTCCTTGATCAGGGTCACCTGCTGCTCGTTGCCCTTAGACTCCTCCTTCTGCTCGATGCTGGTCACGATGCGCCAGGAAGCACGACGAGCGCCGATGACGTTCTTGTAGGCGACGGAAAGCAAATTTCGCTCCTCAACGGACAGTTCCTGGTCGGCGGAGGCAACAGCCTTCATGTTCTCGACCATTTCTGGCGCAGTGTCAGCGAATGTGGTATCGATTGTAGAGGCACAGGTGACTCACCCTCATAGCGCTCAGCCTGCTCAGCAAGCTTCGCGAGGTAGACGGAGTCTTCGTAACCCATTTTTGCGAGTTGGTGTTTTCGTTCAGGGACTGTAGCGAGTGGCAGTGTCAGTGGTGTAGCTTGCGCGAAAGGACAGCCGCGAAAAATGGTACGAGCAGGACTGGCGCGATGCCCAAGTGTGTATGTGGGTGTGTGTGAGAGTGTGTGTGTGCGTGTGTGCGTGTGTGTTTGCGAGAGTGCGGTGTCTGAGACGCAGTCCTTGAGCGGCGAAGGAGGTGCCGTTGATTGACGTGAAGTGCGCAGGAGCGGTCAAGGTCGATTCGAGTAGGAGTAGTCGCGATCACGGCACACCTAATGTGGCTCGAGACATCTCTGGCCCCTTCGCGACGCCGCCCGACCTCGCTGTCGCCAAATGCAGTCGCAAGCTGTTTTGGATGCCCACCGCACTCGTAGCTTGATGCCCAGGACCAAGGCACACACACACACGCACGCACGCACGCACGTACACCCCCTCTTTCCCCACCGCAACTGCCTGCAGGTGAAGGACCACACGGGGAGAGGCACTGACCTGAAATGCGGTTGTAGGTATCGAAAGAGAATGGCGGCGATAGGGAGGAATTTTGGTGTTGTCGAGAGATGAAGATGGACGCGGAGGCAGTGCAGAGTGTAATGTCAATGCTATGATGATGCAGGCGCAAAGTGGGATCCCAGTCACGTGAAGCGTGCAATTTGAGCTTCTCTCGCTAGGTGGTAACATCATGGCATACCTGAGGACAGGCTGAGGTGCAATCATAAATCCACGCACGACCTTCCTACGTGCTACTTCATGATTCCTCCATTCACTCATCTTTCGACACTGGCTCTGAAACCATCGCGTCGCTCCAGCCGGTCTTTCCGGTACGCCGCGCGCTGCGCAATGTTTGGTTTCACTCGCTTTTGCACTGGCAAGTCCGCTCAATCAACCAATCAAATTGCTGGCGACGCGTCCTGAACAACATACTGGTCAACGGCTACAATTGTCGTACTGGGGTGTACATCACATGCACGGCACACTGAGCCAAGCTTTCCGTGCAATAAACGAGCGACCCCCTAAAGCGTGGTCAAAAATCAACCTATACCTACCTCACAACAAGCTCTCATAGAGTCATAGAGAACCGCAACAGGCACGCCTTGTCTAATGACCATATGTTAACTACATTGCGCTGGGCCGATCGGCTTCGCATCGCAAGGGAGGCCTAGTAGCTATTCCGACCTCGGCACTTTTGCGATGCTCGGGAGCCCAACATGAAGCTGGCGGCTTGTACGCCACTTAACTGCCAATAAATGTCATTACATAGCCAATCTGGACGTCAGAACAATCTGAGGACATGCAGAGAGATTCATACACTCTCACAGTTGACAAGATTATACGCTTACCATGGCCGTGGATCATTGCTCGATGATGGATGACAGCATCTAATCTCGCATGCTCGCCATACTAGGACGCTGAGCTCAAGGAACCAAGTGGACGGATTCTACTACGGGGCCAGGGCGACATGCAGAAAACTACTGCGGATTGCTCTCATCTATACTTCAATGACGATGCCAACGTCCCATTTCTTATCGCAAAATCGACAATGCCATCACTGTTGCAAGGGAAATCCAATTCCAAGCAAAAGTGCCGGCTCCTCAACATTGTGATGCTGATAGCTGAGCACACCAACACCTCCAGGTTCCATCATCAGGGAGAGTGGGAACGATAGATCGTAACCCAACCATCTCCTTGCAAAAGCTCGGGTAAGGTGACCATGAGCCACCAGGACGACGTCTTTCGGCTCAGCATCCTTCATATGAGGTGCTTGCAGCTTCTTGATCTCAGCAATGAGACTATCAATGCGAGCCGTGACCTGCGCGGGCGATTCTCCACCTGCACAGCCATCGGTCCAGATATCCCAAGGGCGTTCGGTATCGAGACCTTGCTCTTTTCGCTTTGAGCGGATCTCGGCAGGTTTGAGACCTTCATACTCGCTGAACATGTCATAGTCAGTACTGTGATTTTCTCTCGGAGGTGGAAAGATGCAGACGAACCCGTAGTCCCATTCGGCGAGAGATTCGGTGATTTCATAACCATCGTTTCGTCCAGATAGCAATTCGTATGTTCTAATTGCTCTTGTCCGGGGCGAGACGAAGACTTTGGCTATTTTCTGGGGATCCAACAGTTTCCCATTACCATATACCATACGTCCCGTCCCTCTGACTTGGTCTTCGCCTTCTGCTGTCATGAGGATATCCGTCTTGCCGGTATGCTGGCCTGACATACTCCACAAAGTCTGCCCATGTCGGATCAGGAAGACCCTCGGTGTCGAAGCATCTTTGTCCGGCATCTCTGCTGCTCAAGTCTGCAAGTCAAGATATATTATGTGGATTGTGTGAACTTAGTGACGACGACCAGAGAATAATACTCGTACTGTCAGTTGAGGCTCAGTTGTTGCTCAGTACCGAAAAGCGAAAATATGCCGATTTGAGCGGGCTTGCCCGACCATGTTCGCGCTACTGGCACTGGCATCTTTGAGTTCCAAGTCATCAATAGGTGTCTTTTGCTTCTAGACATGTGCGTGCAATATTAGGGAGAGCTTCGAACCGCCATACCCTCTACCTCTTACTCTCACAAGATAGCGCGAATTGATATTTTCTGGAGGAGGAGATGCGATGCCGTCTGTACCAGACAACCAGAGTGTCTGCCAAACACTATGACGTCAAACGCAGATTTCGCCCCTCCAAGCGGCTGTCTCTGACGGCTCGATAGGTATTTAGGTGTCTTTGCTACCTGGTAAATGTACGGTAAAAGGGTCCACGGACAGGTACATGTACATGTGTTTTTGCACAATAAGATTACTAGGTAAGGCCGCCCGTAGGACATAACGTATCGAAATACTAGGGAAAGTTCGTATATACACTGTAGTGCAGGGACTGCGCATTGTCTGGCTACCCTGCCGATCCCTTCCAAGCATGCTGCATGCACTCCTCGTTCGTCTGTAAATCATACGTTCTGCATACACTTCCCCCGTCAAACAACGCAGCCAAGCACGAGATATCGAGTTGTAAAGTCGCGCTCTCTTAGAAGCAATTTGAACACCGACACATCCAGCAGCCCATATATCGACCGGTTTGCCGTAAGTCGTTTCGCTTTCCTGCTCCGGCGCCAGATATCCTACAGTCTCGGAATTTCTGGATGTGGTAGGTAGCTCCCAAAGCACTGGCAGTCTAGAATGAATGGGCTTGTGCTCGCTCTTGGTGCTAGCAGGATCTGGTCAACAAGATCACTGAAGCCTTCGACAGCGGCTTTTCCGGACGGCAAGAGGACTGCGACGATACCGTGTCGTTGGAAGAGCTCGTCACGGGTCGTTGGTGCAAGAAGGATTGGGAATGTCAGGTACAGTAGTTGTCATAGTGGCACTGACGGGAAGGAGAGGAAAGCATAGAAGCCATATATAGAGGTCACGCCTCCAAGAGAAACGATGAGCTGAGCCATTTATGTATGCGCCAGCCAGCACACGCAACTATAGGTATTCTACTACTATGGCGAAGAAAAGGACGCATAGCGACAACTTCGACGCCCCTGGACCAACGAAGCGCGCTCGTCTCTCCCCAACAACCCGTCTTCTCTGGTTAGGCAGAGAGACAGCCAACCTGGCATAGACATCCTATATACGACTGTGTTGTTCCTTTTGCCATCGTCCAAACCCTCATCAAGACCAACTCACTCCCTCTGTAGTACGCTCACTAATGTCCACCGACACACGCTTCACATTTGAGATGCGGATATGTTGTGTTATCGCAGCAAGTCTTCTTCCCAACAAGCCAGTTGAATTTTTCACGGGTAGTAGGTACACAATTTCCGGCATCGTCGTAACATGCTTCTTCTCCAGCAGTGAGGCAGAACTTGCAATATGCGGTAACATGATGCGGAATTTGCAGGAGGCACAGAACTATTCCCAGGTGCAGAGCTAGGGTCTTGTATGTGTTCATTGTGGTGATTTATGGTGTCGTGGGCCCAATCCTGTCTGTGATCGGCTTAGCCACCCAGTCGTTCAGCTCGAAGCTCGAAGCAATCTCACATATAACGTCGAGCAACCAGTCGTGCTAGTAGAACCTCGTAGGGATCGGTGACAGTACAAAGAGCAGGGCCTCTAAGTCTGGCGAGCTACTTTGGGAGCGTGTGTTGAGTAGGTATGTTTCGATAGCAGGTGCGCACTCTTGGAACAGATGCGGAGATAATGATCCTTTATATGTATATACGTATCTTCTGCCTTGTCGGCATCTATTACTTCGAGCTCATGGGCTCGAAACTTTTTGCTTAGCTACCCTGCTCTTTCCTCAAGGTTTTACAGAGGCAGGCGACAGGTCGATAGCATTCTAGATTTCTAGTACAGCCTATCAACAGTACGGATACGATGCCGGAACATTCTCAACTCTCAAAAACCGTACTCCGGGAGAATAAACAGTACAAGGGAAGCAACGTTACCTGAGATTTCGCCTTCCCCTTCTACTGTAGGACTCCTGCCCTTACACTGTTGGTTTTGCTCTCCTCCCTTGCATTGTTGGTCCCACTCATACAGTACTGTTAGTCCCCTAGCTACAGTATGCACTCTGGATGCCCTTGTGCTGTTGGTCCCTCGTAACGCCAAGCCGAACGTTATCAGCTGTTAGGACCCGCTGTAACGTTATTAGGATAACGGGGTACGTTCCTTTGCAGTAATGTCTCTCGTCCTGGAGGGAGTAAATCCAAACAGTAAGTATTAGATACTTGAAATAAGTTGAGCACGAAGCTCCTCTCTACAGTAAGAGAGCGTCGTCTACCTTATGGGAAGCTAGGCCCTAGGGTTTCAAGGAATCGTAAGATCATAGGTAAGGTATATTAAAGTTTACCCAATAAATCCTGATATGTCCTACAGGCCGGCGGGGCTATAGGCAGCCCTTGGATTCGTCTAACCGCAGCCCTAGACGTAACACACCTCGACATCTCGTTATCGACGTAATATACTCTACCGCCCAAAGCCCGCCTGAGGCCTTTGTCGCGAGTCTCGCGACTCTCCTTTACGAATCTGCCTTTACCTCTTCAAAATACGATTGTTAATCGTAAGTATACCTTACTACTATATACTTATATATATAAGTTTTTAGGGCGATTAATAATCGGCTTCTACGAGGCAGATTCGTAGGGGAGTAGAAGGTAGTACGCGAGGTAGCGGTACGATAGTCGCGACTCGCGAGCGGCGAGGTACCTTCGCTTTTTTTTCCTACCTTATACGTCGATAACAAGAAGCGGAATCGCGGACTTATCGGAGGTAGGTATATTACGTACTGTGTAGGTGTATTACGTCTAGGGCTGCGGTTAGACGAATCCAAGGGCTGCCTATAGCCCCGCCGCTACAGGCCTGCCCGTTGGTGGTACGGAATGTTCTCCTCCTCCTCCTCCTTCTCCTCCTCCTTGTCCTTGTCCTTGTCCTTGTCCTTGGCCTTCCCTTCTCTTTGTTCTTCTCTTTGTCCTTCTCTTCTGAATTTTAGGTAAGGTAGCCCTTAGGGCTAGATAGGCAGGCAGGCAGGCAGGCAGGTAGGTAGTAGGTAGTAGGTAGTAGGTAGTAGGTAGGTAGGTAGGTAGGTAGGTAGGTAGGTACCTTAGGTACCTCTTGCTTTGCGCCTACGGTGGGCCATCGGCAGACCAGCCACCACCTAGCAGGCGCCCGTAGGAGGTATGCGTTGGTTGGATCTCTAGCCAATAAGAAGAACAGTGTCCACAGTGAAGACCATTCTTCTGGCGCAGCAACCTCTCCATCACTATGCCAGCACTCATGGACTTTTGAAAAAAGGTCCAGGCCACGAGGATGATATCAGACACAAAGCTGAAGCTCGACTGCGTAAGGCCCACCGGTCAGGTTATTAGGTAAGCTTTTTATAGGCCGAGAGAGACGGCCCGCCCGCGCTCGGGTAAGCTTGGCCTCGACTCGGTTGTTTGAACGCCGATCTCATCTTCATTTCATCGAAGTCCATCTTGATCCGCACGATCAAGCTATTGCCGAGAACGACGTCTGGTGTCATCGTGCTACGAAAACAGCTTGAGACCCTGGTACTCGGCGCTTGGAGTTCGCTCGTCGCTCAGGGCTACCCGCATACCGTCATCTGTCCACACCTATCTTCGCATTCGAGCTTCGGCCACTACATGTACTCTTCCGCGACACTCGACCTGTCATACATATAGCCTATTACAAGCACTCGTTGACAAGGATTGCATCGACTTGCGCCAACATGGGTCTGACCGGCATCATTAACGGCATTCTTGGCATGCCAAAAGCTGCCGTGAACATGTACAATCATCCCAAATTCTGGAACACCCAAGATCTCGACTGGGGATACTCAGGATATCTTCTTGCTGCATGTGTGGTGGGGCTCATCACAGTAGTACTATATGGGAGCTCCATCGGGTCCGATGTCACTAAGAGGACCGACAACTTTGGCATTGCCACCTCATCTGAAGAGAAATCGGACTCCAGTAGGCCGCCTATACCACCACCAACCGAGATCACATCCCTTCGTATCTACCCTATCAAATCATGCCGGGGAATCGAAGTCGACTCGACTCGGCTCAAAAAAGCCGGTCTCACGCTCGATCGGAACTGGATGTTCATCGACATGTCCACGAAAAAGTTTCTCACCATCCGCAGTGACCCACGCATGACCCTCATCGACACCTCCATCAGCGAGGGAGAAGGCGAACACAAAGGCCAACAAATGCTAGACATTTCGATCCACAACACCGAAGGACGAGTCTCCATTCCCGCATTTCCCTCCCAATCCTGGCTTTCCACCAACACCACCCTCGAGACCGTGAACATCTGGGACAAAGATACCGACGGCTATCTCTACGGCGACGAGATCAATTCCATCTTCTGCAAATTCTTCGACAAGGACGTCTCTCTCGTCTACAAGGGCCCGACATACCGCATGGTAGCCATCAACGGCACCAAAGAACTCTATGGCAAAGACACCCCCCATCATTTCGCCGACGTCATGTCCCTCCAAATCGCCAGCGAAGCATCCATCAAAGATCTCAACAAGCGTCTCGGCCACCAACCCCATTCCCCCGACGCCCTGACCATCGAACGTTTCCGCCCCAACATCATCATCCGCGGCCGCGACGACCACCCCTGGGAAGAAGACACGTGGAAGCGCGTGCGCATCTCCACCTCCATCCCGTCTGAAGAAGCTCTATACCGACTCGATCTGGACGTCGTCGCTCGCTGTGCGCGTTGTCAGGTTCCCAATGTGAATCCCGACACGGCGGAGAAGCATGCCAAACAGCCGTGGGACACGCTGATGAATTTCCGGAGAGTGGATGATGGGGGTGTGGCGAAATATAAACCCTGCTTTGGAATGATGTGTATTCCGAAGAATGAGGGCAAAGTCGCTGTAGGGGGTAGATTGGAAGTTTTGGAGACGACGGACAAACATCTTTATGCACAGAGGGCTTTTAAGGACTTGTGAGCATAGCGTGGCTGGGTGGCGGGCTGGAGATGGCGTGAGCGACATGTTGCCGTAGTACAGACAGTAATGTAGCATAATGAACCCAGATTCAAGTTACGATTGGAATGCCAGTCTAAGGTCCTTAGTAATTGATCAGCTGAATGGTCCCGAGAGCATGACTGTCTAAACGAGGGCGCTCTATGCCTATATCTCGCTTCTCCGATTGTGTTGTCGTCCCACTCCCCCAAGAGGAAAAGAAAGTCACCCCCCGCGCCTAAAATGCACTGTACTCGCTCCAGCTCCGACGCCCATAATCATGATCGGTCCCTCTCTCTCTCTCTCTCTCTTACTTCATAACCCGATCAAATGCTTCCCCCTTGACATTACCACCCGCCATAGCACTCCTCACATTCCTCTTAAACCGATCCCTATCGCTCATCAAATCATTCGCGGCCTCTTTGTTCAACGGATCGCTAGCATTCGGCTCGAGGAACAAGAACTGCAACCCCACAATCACCGCATTCAAATTGAGCACAGGTTTCCAATCTTCTCGGAGAATGTTCAAACAGACATTGCCTTCGAGGTCGATGTTGGGGTGGTAGATCTTCTCTTTGCATTTGACTTTGGGTGGTTCGTGAGGGAAGTTTTGGCTGATGACGAAGGAGAAGTTGAAGACTCCGCCTTTGTAGAGTCCTTCGTCGGGTGTGAGAGTGAGGGTGAAGTTGAGGATGTCGTCGGCGTTGGGGAAGTGCGTTTTCATGGTGGAGCCGAGGGAGAGTTCCGAGAGATCTGGAAGGAGACAAAGTTAGTCTGGTAAGATGCGACGTTGGGAAGGATGATGGGAAGGACGACAAGCAGGTATTACTGACCTTTCTGGACTCGCAACTGCGCCGCCGTGACCTTCTTCTTCTTCGCGCCGCCCGCAGCAGCCTCGCTCTTTTGCTGCTGCTGCTTCATGCTCCATATCTTGAGCATCTTGGCGGTCGGGGTCGAGTGCCGTGAGTGTGTATCAGACGCGGTGGAAGTATGGCCGAAATGCGACAGAATGGGAGGTAGCGGTCGTGTACTCGAGCGAGAGGGCGTATGGATGTGAGGAACTTGAAGTGGAGGAGAGGATAACAGATCCAGTACCCTAGGTCAGGTAGGTATCGATAGATCCGATACCTCCAGATTTAAGGTTCACGCCACTTTCTCCCGCGTCAGGACCTCAGGCAACCAGGTCAAAAGTGAAAGAATCGGAACTCTGCAGTCCTTCGTTTCACTTGACTTCACTTCTCCGTCGCGCTATTCACGTGCTGTCGCGTTCCTGCAGACGCTTCCGCTCCAGGTCCAGACGCTCAAGCTCGAGTTGCCGCTTCGCGTTGCTGATGGACACTTCGTTCCACGACGAGTACAATTTGGCGGCAATGGAAGGGCCGAGAAAGATGACTCCGGTGAAGATGATGAGTCGACGGAGACCTCTTCGTGGAGACGGTATTCCTCGCATGCCAGCTTTCCTCGGTTTCTCTCGCTGAGGGATGTCACACAAAGGGAGAGAGATGTAACTGATGATGGCCCCGCGTGGTGGTGCGATGGAGAAAACGGACGTGAACGACGCAGTCCGTGCAACTTTACCTTCACGCGACGATCATTGGTGGAGCCAGACACTGACATCTACTGCGTCTACATTGCCACAGCAGAGAGCATACTGTTATTGTTCTTGCAAAACGAAATACACGGCACGGATGTCAGCAGCTTGTATCAACGACGAGAATATGCATTCATTGTTTCCTCTCGCTACCCAATGCCATTTTACAAAGATGGTACATCTCCTCCAATGTGTATGTGCGAATTGAAGCAATACCAAGCAAGTGAGCAGCTCTTACACCTCAAATACCTCCTGCACGCCGCGCCAGTCGTTCGCAGCGCGCTTATCCCAATAGCTGCCGTTCTGCTTGAGCGTCCATACCTCCTCGTCGCCTTCGACATTAACGACCTTTTCGAAGAATTGTGGCTTGTATGACTGCCCATGAGTCTCCAAAACCTTTCTTCGAGCACGCTGTCTCTCCTCTAGACGAGCCTTGAGTCCCTCAGCCTTATCAGAATCACCTGCCTCAAGAGCCTGCTGGTCCGGCCGAAGACGCGAATCCGTAGGTGGTAGATGACCTGCTTCAATCTCGGTGATTTCGTTAAGGGCCGCCGCAAAGGTGGTGAAACCATACACTTTGGCTGAATTGGGCACAAGACCGCCAACTTTCCAAATCGTCTCATCCGTATCTGTCCGCTTCAAGCTGTCGGTCCATTTCCCAACCAGCCCAATGTCGGACGGTGAGTCGCCTTCCAGGATTTGCACAGTCAATTCTTCGCTGCGACCTGAAAACATGCCGCCGGCCTTGAAAGACACTATTGCACGCAAGCCACTCGTCTCGCTTTGCACTGTCATCGTCTGGACAGGCTCAACATACTTTTCACCAGCAATGACATTGCGCAGGAAGCATGTGGCTTGATTCCACGAGAAACGTTCGCCCGAAGCGTGTAGGATGACTCGCGCTCTTCCATCATTGTTGAGCTCGACTGACTTGCCCCAAAACTTCTGCTCCGGCTTTGGCGACTGGAGATAGCACCAGCCACCATTTGTGAGACTCTCGGCCTGACACGCCATGCGTACTGGGTGATGGCTGACCTTCTCGGCTATGAAACGAAACCCCAGATCTTCTCTCACGAGTTCAAACGTCTCTCCAAGCATGGGATTGAATGGCTTGCGCAGAGCGCGCTCTTTGACTCGATTGTAGGAAAAGAAAGACACCGCGAATGCTGACACATACATCAGGCGCTCGGCAGGAGTGCTGGCCCCTGCTGCGGCGTCGAGCAGTTGCGGATACTCGACACTCTCAGCCAGACGTTGCAAGAGAGACGTCGGCTCGTTGGCTGTGACTGGCATCGCAACTTGGCTCAAATCCTTTCCTGCGTTTTTCCGCAAGAACCCGATGATGCTGGGTGGCGGCTGTCGCGGACCTTGTATAGTAGTCCTTCGTTTGGCGTGCGGTAATGGCAGAGGAGGCAGCTTATCAGGCTTGTGCGGAAAGAGAGGCGATGGTGATCCTTTGCCGGCCGGGGAGAAAGGCACAGAACCTGCAGGGCCGTCACCCGCATCACTACTGGTATCTGAATCTGCCTCTGAGCGGTCGTCGAATAGATCTTCTTCCTCATTGTGTTTGTCGAATTCGCTGGAACGCCGAATATTGAGCAGCTGTGACGGGTTCTCGCCACCATCGGTGGCATCGAAGAACTCTTGGTCATCTGTCGAGTCGATGGACATTCTTGAGGCGTTGGTCGGCATCGCAGGTTGACGCCGATTCTTACTCTCTGCAATCAAATCGGAGAATTCTTCAACGACTAGGTTGAGGTCTTGGAGTAATGCCATACACCGTTCATGCACTTCCATGTCCGGGTGCGGAGTGGGTGACTGGAGAGTCTGTCTACTCGCACGTTTCTGCACAGTCAGGTGCCCGGGTTGAGGAGAGCTTGGTCCTACCAGCCCAGGCGATGGTACTGCTAGCTGTGCTGACACGCTTCTGCGAAACAGAGTTGACGGGCTACGTTCCGCGCTAGCTGTTCGCTTCCAAAACGGTCGCTTACTCTCTCGTCGCTCGTCAAGCTCAGGAAAGTACTGACTTGTTGATTCGTGCGAGGTAGTGGGACTGGCGTTGTTGCTACTACTGCCAGAGGTGGTCAATCCCAGTGCGTTGCTGGGTCCCAAGGAATACTTCGGATCGGTGTCTTTCGCCAGTACCCTGAGAGCATCGCGCGTGCCCGATACTTTGCTAACCAGCTGCTCTACTCGAGCCCACTCGCGCTCCTCTTCGGGATTCAGCGACCGAGACACTGGAAAATCGCGCAAATTCCTCAATGGCGTTCCAGGTATCGAGGACGAAGCTGTGCTGGACGCCCTATCTAGCGCCTGCCGCCAGCCCTCATAATCCTTCTTATTCCGTGACTTGAGATGCCACACCTCTGCGCCTGAGTCGACAGAGAACTCGCGAGTCTTCTCGTCCACACCTACGGCACATAGCGAGAGAGGCACAGCGCCACGAAGCGCGGAAGAGTGTCGATTCCTATAGTACGACAAAGTCGAGCTGGTAAAGTCCAGCGAAAAGAAACGCTTCGCGTACCCTTGGCCCTTCTTTCGTCTCTTCTTGTACAGCGTGCCAGTGTAGAAGGTGCTGCCCTCGGTACCCTTGCTCTCTACTCCACCCTTTGAGTTCGGTCGTGGATCCTCCAGCACGGCTCGGTGCAAGTTCGACGTCAAGGAGTCACTAGAGTCGTTCGTATGTCTGGTTGGGGGACTGCTGCTCTTGCCAATCACAGTAGTAGAGCTCTGGTTCGAAAAGGCCTGCGAGTAGTGGAGGTGATGCCCTGACTTTGGGGGCGCGTCCGTGGGGTGGGTCATCAGCACGAGGGTGACATTCTTCGACATCTGTTTGGAGAAAGTATTGTCAAAGACCAGGCCATATGCGCCTCCCTCTCCTACAGGCACGTCATATCGCCCCATGGCCACTTTATCTGCCTCGCATTTGCCTGCCCACGCAACGGACTTGATGCCCACGGTATGCAGCTTGTCGAGCACCTCACTTTTGCCCTCGGACATCGATGCTCGTCGCGACGTCTGCCTGTGTCTCTCCTGCCCATCGAGCGCCGGGGTCGTGGGAGCATCTCTCGAAGAGGTCTCCACAACCTCTTCATTTGGTAGACCTGCGTTTCGTGTGCCAGGATGCTTGAAGATGCCAAAGTTGATGCTCTTCTTGTGGGGCTGAATGGACCAGGAGATAGAGTGGTGCTCGGCGACCTGAATCCAGCGTACGACATAGCTCTATAGTAGGGCCACGAGTTAACACATGTCATAATGGCCATTTGACATCCATGGCATAGCAGTAGGTACGGACCTTGGAGTGCACGACGACCTGCTCTATTCCAGCCATGGCCGAGAGCGTGACATTCGAGGACAAGAAGCTATTCGGGACTGTGGAGGCGGTGTTCAATACGCATGTGCGCGCCTTAGTGCTGCTGGACGGAGGACTGTGGAACTACGATGTATACATGTATTCATGCGGCGACATTTGTCCTGGTGAGTTCGCATCGGACGCCGCGTCGCCGATGCGCGATGGTGATGCTGATTACTGTACGAGAACGAGTGCCAATTGCGTGAGAGCAGCTCGTGCACCGGAACAGCTGATGAAAAGCGGCGCCGGATGGCAAGACGAGTGAAGGGCGGAGGGATAATTCAATGCTGACCTGAGGCTGATGTAACTGTGCATTCACGAGTGCGAAAGAGGAACCTGGAAGAGAGTGAGAGGCAGAGCAGAGCCGCAGCGGGAGGGAGAGGATGACAGGGGTCTGTGCGCAAGGCGGAGGTGTACTTTTTGCTCCGCGAAGTCACTACCTCTACCTCTCACATGTACTACCTACTTACCAACCTACCGTACTAGTAGAACTACAGTACTGACTCTCGTATCGACGACCACTTTCGCAAAACTATCGCTCTCACCGCCTCTAACATGTAGCTCTCAAATGACAGAGCTATCAATCATGGGAACCACTTCCTCCATACACGATATCACACTTCCGCATCTTCCGCACTACCTTACCATAGCGGCCTACCTCGTTCACACAGCATGCACTCAAGCAGCAACGGTGTCAGCGGAAAGCTCGAGCTGCTTCTGCAGAGAAAGAGACGTGAAATGTCTGCATAGCTATGGCTCCGAACCGCTTGCTTTATACTCGACCACGTTGTAGTGTGATCAACATTCGTTATTGTCCGAGATTTGGTTTGTTCTGCGAGAGGCGCCGATACTAGAACAGAGTAGAGTACGTAGTCGGTGACCAGTACTATTGTAGGGGTATACAGACTGCTCGCGGACTAGCTGCCGGTCCTGGAACGACTTGCGGCCTATGTCATCAGTCGGCTTATTCTTATGATAGTACTATGTAGTTACTGACTACCTGTATGTACTCTGCTTCGATACCCCGGCGCCTCCCGCGAAGCATACCACATCTCGGATACTACGAATTTATTGATAGCACAAGTTAGCTGTCTGAGAACTAACTATGTAAGTCCGGGCAGCCTACGGAAGAGATCCAGTAACCGTCGAGGCGCCAATACCCCACGATATCGACAGATGCTAGTCCTTGAATCGTTCTGGCTACATGTAGTACGGACTTCAACGCGAAGAAGGTACACGATGGCCTACTAGGAGTGGCAAGTTCAGCAATCGCTGTGGAACGATCTGGTATGCGTCTTGTTCCCAGAAGTACACGCAGGCAGGAATGGAAGGAATATTTCAGATTGCCATGCGTCGTGGCCATTATAGGAGCTCCTTTGCTTCCGATTTTGATCTTTTGACCTTTTGATCCGGCAGTACAGCTCGATCGGGTATTCGTTGGATTAGCCGATTGCGCACACGCGGATTATCATGAGCTATCGCAAAAAGCTTCTTCCTGGACGAGAGATATGTTTTTGGTGTACTTGTGTGCCTTCACAGTCCCGCTATTTGCGTAGCAGATGTACGTGGACTTGGGGGTATTTGCTGGGATTCCATACGGTTGTATCGACTGAGATTGAGTTCGCGCGCTTGAACTATGGGATGGGGATGAGAGCGAAGACTAGATATGCTCCTATAGGATAAGTTGAGTTGGTAATAAATTGTTTGCAGCCATCTCCGAGTCTGCCTCTCGTCACTACATGTACCTCCTACGTATACATACATGTACATGTAAGGTATTTATATAGGCAAGGTAGCTAAGGTAGGCAAGGATATCCTAAACGACGTCTTTCATGTGACAACCTCCCCCACGCCAAGCACTTCTAGTCTCACCTGACGACCACCTGCATGAGGTGTCCAAGTGAGCGCATCCCTTATCGTTGCCAGCACACAGCAAAGGTGCTATATCATATACCATGGACCTTCGATAAGACCGACATCTCCTGACCGCCGCAGAGACTATGCCTCGCCAACGAAGAGGAACCGCGTCATCGTCCAATACAGTCAACAACGAGATCCCCAGCAGCAGCCATGGCCCACAGGAACTGGGCTCCATGTATGATTATCTCGCCAAAATCATACTCCTAGGTCCCTCCAACAGCGGCAAATCTTGTCTCTTACACCGCTTCGTCAAATCCGAATGGCGCATTCTATCCTCTCAAACAATCGGCGTGGAATTCGCGAGCAAGATTGTCAAAGTCGGAGACTTGGGAGCCACAAATGGCACGTACCGCGGAGGGAGAGACGCTGTCACTCCCAGAAGGAAAAGGATCAAGCTACAATTATGGGACACCGCAGGTACCGAGAGGTTTCGCAGCGTGAGCAGATCATACTATCGAGGTGCGGCGGGCGCTATTTTGGTATATGATATGAGCAATCCGGAGTCATTCCGTGGGCTGGGAGAATTTTTGCACGATGCAAGGGCGATGGGAAGTCCGCAGTTGAGTGTGGTGTTGGTGGGGAACAAGAAAGATTTGAAAGAGGATCCGGAGTTGGCGATGAGAGAAGTGCAGCAGCAACAGGAAAATAGTCTGCTGGATGGAGATATCTTTGGGAGTATGAGTAGTCGGACTGGGACTATTGGACCAGGAATCGGTCTGGGCAGTCAGCAAAGAGCAACTGTTGCGCAGACTGATAGTGAGGGAGGTGCCATCAGCACCAGCGTCGCGGCGAACTGGGCGAGCCACCACCGTATACCTGCTGCTCTGGAAGTGAGTGCATTGTCAGGAGATGGCGTGGAAGAAGCTTTCAACAAACTTGCACAAATCATCTTGACGAAGATTGAGCTCGGACAGATTGATCCAGACGATCCTATGAGCGGAATACAGTACGGTGATGCGGATTACTCCAGATTTGACGATGGATCAAGCAGTATCAAGTGTGACGGGCTCACGAGTGACGGCTATGTTCGCAGTACAGGACGAAGAAGACGGAACCGTGGCGTATTAGGGTTTGCTGGAGGGGGAGGAAAGTGTTGTTGACGATTGGATCGTGCAGCGTTTGTGAGCGAGAAAGACATTTTCACTACCTACCTTATGAGTTGACTTCGCATAGCGAGCGTGCTTTGTACTGGTTTGAAGCGGCAAAGATACCCCATCATTCGCTTGGACACAGTGAGAGCAAACAGAATGCTGCCACAGCGGATATGTAGATACGTCTAATCTTAATGTCCATCCCAGTCCCGCCGCTTCCCAGTTTTCCTGCATGAGGCTCGAAGAAAGTGAAGAGTGCAGTTCCACAATATCTGCCTCTGATCACTCGGGCATGTTTCCACAGTGCAGAAAACCGCATCGCTATCCATTAGTACTCCTCGGATAGCGCTCTCTGCTGCAGATCAGCTTCTTGTTACTCCAAACCCGCTTCCGTTGATGCCGTCAGCATGTATGATTGGGGCTTGGTATTGGTTTTGCTCAGCTGCCTCTTCTTCCTCCCAACTGCATGTACTTATTCGGGTTGATTCCGTCCGATACCAAGCTTACCTCAATGCGGAGCTCGACCACAAACACTACGAATCGCGAAAGTGCTGCCGAACGATCTCATACAGGTTTCTTTGTACGACAAGCACGAGTTCCGAAAGCGTGGACGTCGCGTAGTTCTCGTCAGAACAAAGAAAGACCTCTACCATAGGTAGCTTCATGCAACATGCAGCGTAACTAGCAGCGGAGCACTGTTCCTTCCAGTCGAGGTACTTGAGAAGTCCTGACAAGTTCCAACTCTGAATGCCACATCTTGTTCACGATGTCCGCCACCAGAAACGAAGAGCCATTTGTCCTCAACGGGGCCGGAAACCGACGACGCTCCCACAACTTATCGGAACCTCTGGATCTATCGCTTCTTGCCATTGGTGCTAAAGTCATTTCAGACACCGATGATAAGTCCAATAAGGAGATGCAAGGAGGGAAGAAAAGCCAGCTTCAACTTAATATCGTCCCGCGGCCATTGACCGAGCCACTTCGACCGCCACAGTCGCGAACTTCGGGAGAGAAGAGAAAGACGTGCCATGCAAGCTGAAGGGGAAGGGGGATAAGATGTAGATCGAGCAGCGTTCTCTGATGGCAGATCAAATTGAGATAGCCCAGTTGTACATCATTCGAATGTGAGCCATTATCATGGAACCAGTCAGATTGCAGAGGATACCCAACACCATGTCTTCACGTCGCGCATACACTTTGCAAATCGGTGCCACACTTTATGTGGGCATTCCAGGGTCCCGAAGACTTGGATGTGTTATGACTCGGTGTTCGTCAATGAGCTAAATTGAGCTTGTGGCAACATTCATGCGAGACTCAACTGCAGTTGAAAACAGTGACCAAAGACTTACCGTGCTCTGCGCTCTATCCGCGTAGTCTTTGGAAATCCCAGGCTCAGGCAGAACCAGGCTTGTACTCGTATCCTGCGTTAGCCGTTCGTGTTATGATACATGTACCTTACCATATACAATCTTGAACTTTATCAAATACCTGATATTCACGATAACAAAGGAACTACTTGCTGGATATATACATGCCCGGTTCGCCACTTCAGACAACGTGGCGTTCCAGCACAGGCACGTCCCCTTCAGTTCCATTGCGCGCTCGCGGAGCTTTTGGTCCACCAAGCTCTTTTTCAAGGCCATCGACAAACGTTCGTGATACAGACGGCTGTGATATGTTAGCTGCGGCAATTTGGAATCCACTATGTGGGCTCTCTCACTCTGTCTGGGTAGTATTGGTAAACAACACCACAGAGCACACCGACAGCGCCGACGAATGTGCCGAGCAGGACAGCGCCCCAGCCCGGAGTGAAATGTGTGTATGATTCTGTCGAGAAGATACCGAGAATATCGTTATCCTCGTGGACTGGCTCGCCATAGTTTCGTCGTTCTTGCTTGTCCCACCTTGTCCATGTTAGCGGGTGTTGTTCTTCCCTCGGCATACTTGAAGGTGCTCACCAGTCGCCATATGGATCGCGGAACTGCCTTTTGACTGGCAGAGCCGATGTCAGGCTTGGGTCTGGATAATTTCCGTTCTGTGGTGCCTCTTGTCAGCGTTCCTGGGCCCAATGCGTGCTTCCCATGCCTATTCCCTTAATCCTTCTGCCGTTCTCCTCCTTCTTCTCCTTCTCCTCCTCGTCCTCTTCCTGCTCCTCCCCTGACACCCTCATCTCTGCAGCTCAGGCTGACATACCATGTTGGGGTCGGACATTTCCAGATCCTCCGACGCATCTTCGGCCTCACTCAAGCTCTTGTCGTCCGTTGCTGGTCGTCGAGATGGAGAGGCATAGGTGCGCTTCGCAAGGGCGGAGGTGACGTTGACGCTCGACGGACGCACGACAAATCGAGGCGCTGCGCGCAAGGCTGATCGGAGGGCGGCCATAGTGTGTTCTCCTCCTAGTATTGTGAGCGAGATGGAGAGGTTCGTCCTTTCCCACTCGCGACCCATCACAACGAGCTATTGGGTTGACCATGCCGTCTGTCGGGGGCTTGGCAACAACGGCCCGCTAGAACTAGCGCCTTCCTCGCCAAAGCGCGTTCATCTACCACATGGGTCGCAAAAGTCGGGTACATCGACTTGCATCTTATTTCATTCACGTTTTAATCGAAGACTAAGGTGCTGACTTCATGCATCGGGTTCACTTGGGGTACCTAGTCTTGTTGGGGAAGTTCGCGTACAGAGAAACAGTGGTATAGAGTGATTGTATGCTCGGCTCTCATGATGAATCTTGGACGAAACGCGACTGAAGTGTTGTGGATATTATGAGCCCTCTTGATCCGGCTTCGACGCGCGAAATCGACGCTGAGAGTGGGAGCCACCACGACTTCGAGTCGCTCGAGCAGCCAGAGGCGTCGCAAATCCGCGCTGAATCACTGGACGCCCCCACTCAGGACCCGACGATTGCCATCAAGGCAGAGCAGGATGAACGGCATGGCGACGGCGACCGCGATGCACTCGAGAACGCCGCCGAAGCGACTATCAGGCCAGATACACCACCCAGCAAGAAGAGGAGGGAACCCGAGGCTGACTTGCACTCTTCCACTCCCGAGCCAACGCATAATCCCAACAAGAAACGCAAGAGGGGCGCGAGTCCGCCTTGGCAGTTTCCAGTTGCGGCGCTGTCTACGCTGAAGTCCGCTGATGGTCGGAGAGTTTCAGCCAGACACTCCAATGTAGGCACTCCTGGGTTATCTGGTTCAGATGCAGAGACGACAACTGCCAAATCGACCAAATCGCGGGCACGCAGCCAGAGTCAGAGCACTCCCGCAGCAAACTCACGTCCGCCGTCTCCACCCTGGAAGAAGTTTGAAGCACAGGGGCCCACCTCCATTATCGTGGATGGACAGCGTAAGAGCGGACGTGCCAACAAAGAGCTAGTATCCAGTCCTAAGCGTGTGAGTCCGAGGAGCAAGAAGCCGGTGAACAAGCTGGGCGCAGAGAAGAAGACTAGTAATAATGCAGATACAAAGCCGTCTGCAAGCAAGAGTATGGGAGGAACCACTCGCAAGGCTGAGCCACAATCGGACAAGCAGTCCAACGCGGATTCAAAGAGGCCGGGAAATGGAGTGGACAAGCCGTCTGAGTCCATCGCAAGCGCACAGCGAATCGCAGAGTTGCAAGCGCAGATTGCAGCTTTGCAGCCTACTCGATCATTTCCTACTCCTACAAAGCCGGACTCGCCGCTAGTAAATGGGGCCAAAGGCAGCACGGGAAATTCGAAGACGAAGTTGAAGCGAGAGTCGTCGCCAGCTTTGCGGCGCAAAATGCATAGCCCCAGCGGTGCATCACTCGGGTCACCAGAGCGCTCAAAGCCATCACCCCGGCTGAAGCTGAAAGTTGCTCCCCGGCAAATCATCCCACCGCCATGTCCACAAGCACAGATCCCATCGCCTTTACTCCCGCCCCGACTGTCAATATGGCAACTCCTCGAAGACTTCGAGTTGCAGGAGCGGCTAGCACCGTCTATCGAGAACGAACGTGGACCGAAGAGCGTAGAGGAGCTTGCGGAAGAGGAGGAGAAATTTGTAGCACGCGAAGCCGCCGCCAGGAAGAGGCTACTCGAGGCAGCCAAACCAGGAGGAGCATTGAGTGCAGAGAATCTCAGTCTGTTTCGCGATGACTACCAGCCCGAGCCGCCGCCACAGTATGGGCACCATGATCATTTGGCAGCTCATGCACTACATCTCCGAACGCTTCAAGTCCGAGAGAAGACTCAACATCGGATGTTTGCCAAAAAGCTGGCGCAAGAGGCTGTGGATGCGTGGAAGGCTAGGAATGGACCGACGGAGGAGGATTTGATCGCTGAGAGGAACAAGATCATTGACTACGTTAAAAAACAAATCGTGGTTGACATGAAGGCGAAGTGGGAGATGGTAGAACTGCACGTCAAGGACATGAAGCGACGAGCATGGGAGAAGGAGCAAGAGCGTGTTAGGGAAGAGAAGTTGCAGCAACGGCTTAAGCACAGCGAGAACCTGCTAGCAAAGCAGCGAGGAGTGGCAGATGGCGAAGGGGACAGTGATATCGACATGGATGAAGATAGCGCGGGCGATATCGAAGAATCGGATGCAGATGCTGAGGAAGATGATGACGGGGACACCGAAGAAGACTCGGAAGCGAACATGGACAGCGAGGAAGAGGAAGAAGAGGAGGGTGAGATGAGCGAAGAAGCCATCGCAGCGTACAAGGCAGAACGAGAGGCCGAGCGGGAGGCAGAACAGGAAGAACTGCACGATATACCGCCCCCTGACAAAAAAGATGACGTCGCAATGGATGAGTGTGACGAGGGAGATGTGACTGGACTCTCCGCGCTGGAGGCTCCACCCGAAGATGGTCAACCTAGGGATCGGGATGCTGCACAGGCCGATCGCTTGACGGACGCGAATGTACCACACACACGAGGTCATAGCTCTGGGATCGCTGCTCTGCTCCTGGACAGCAATGAGGCAGATGACCACTTGTCTTCTGATGAATCGACCGACATGGATTCGGAAGACTACGATTCGGACGAGGACATGAGCAGTACTGGAGATGAGGCTGAAAACGACGACGACGACGACGATGACGATGAAAATGATGCGAGTGATGATGCAGGGCTACCTCCAAAGATGCGAAGTTCATTATTGGGATTTTTCAGCGACAAGGATCTGTTGGGGGAGAAAGATGGCGGTTTGCCTACGCCAATGACCAGTGTAGAGAACGGCGGCGATAACGATAACCCGCGGCCGCAATCCGAAGCTAGATCCGACGCCCAAGGCGAGGCAGGTGCTGCTCCGAGTACGAACGACGTGATGAAAAGCGCAGAAGAACCTCAACGCGTCTCGGACTCACGAGACGAAGACATGCCGCCCGTCGAAGGCGACATTGACGCCGAGCTTCAGGAGGTCGAGGAAGTGGACAGAATGTCAGAGTCATTTGATACAGGCCTCACGAAGACACTTATCCCTGTACCGACCCTCCTCCGAGGTACGCTTCGTTCCTACCAGCATGCCGGTTTGGACTGGCTCGCCTCACTGTACCGGAATGGCACAAATGGCATCTTGGCCGACGAAATGGGCCTTGGTAAGACTTTTCAAACCATCTCACTGTTAGCCCACCTCGCAGAAAAGCACGAAGTCTGGGAGACGCATCTGGTCATTGTCCCGACATCTGTTATTTTGAACTGGGTGACGGAGTTTCAGAAGTTCCTGCCTGGATTTCGAGTGCTGGCGTACTATGGATCTGCATCGGAGCGTGAAGCGAAGCGCAAAGGATGGACCAACGACCCGCATCATGAGGATCGAGCGAGGAGGGGATATAATGTCGTGATCACGAGCTACAACGTGGCATCGCAAGATATCAATGCAATTCGCAATCAGCAATGGCACTATCTCATTCTCGACGAAGCTCACAACATTAGGAATTTCAACAGCCAAAAGTGGCAACTGCTCATCCGCCTCAGAACGAAAGCACGCCTGCTACTCACTGGTACTCCACTGCAGAATGATCTGGCAGAAGTCTGGTCTCTGCTTACTTTCTTGACTGCGGGAGGCGATGGAGAAACTTCGCATGGTGAGCTCGAGGAATTTTTGAGCCACTGGAAGGATCCTGTGAAGGAGATATTCGACCAAGGCGTGCAGAAGATTTCCGAAAATGCCCAGCGTGTCATTGATCAGCTGCACGTCTCTCTTCGTCCATTCCTGCTCCGCCGCAAGAAAGACGAGGTTGAGAAAGATCTCCCGAAGAAGATCGAGAGAGTGGTAGTCTGCAAGCTCAGCAAGCGTCAACGACAATTGTATCAAGACTACATGGGTCTCGCATCGACTCGGGATACTCTCGCCAAAGGCAGCGGCGTTCAAGCCGGAGCAGTTTTGCTGAGCTTGCGCAAAGTGTGCAACCATCCTGACCTTTTCGACCCACGGCCGATACAGACGAGCTTCGCCATGGAGTACAGTCCTTTAGAGGGCTACAGCACGCGCGAACAGCTTATTCGACGCATGCTAGGCTTTGCCCAGGACACTCCCCTCAAACTGCTAGTCACCAACAATACCACGCTCCGAAAGTCAGCCACAAATCGATCCCGGCAGCTCGCAGCTGGAAGTGAACTCAGGCGCCAACTGAGCGAGCTTGATTCTGCCGCAATCGACAGTAGCCCCGACCCTTCCACGATTGCTGGGTCCCGCGCTTTGCAACGTCTTCGACTGCGCGAGCGTAAACTGCAGCAGTTACGTTCTTGCATCCAGGTCACGGAGTCAGCGCTAGAGAGTGAGCCTCTGATTCCAGTAGACCTCCGCGAAGTTGTTACAGTGAGCCGAGGCCAGCCATATCTCTTCAAGCCTAGGGTGAATCCAGTCGCCAAGACCTGGCACGGGCATACACGACTGGGTCAGAGACCGCTACGCTTCGAGCATCTCAGCGATTGGCTTGTGGCTGAGGACACCCGCCTACAACGTGATGTTGCGACCCTGGATAGCTACGCTGATCGACTGCAGGAAGTCATCGTGCGCTTCGCGTTCGTACCACCGGCTGTGACTGTGCCTCTGCTGGACTACGCGATACCGCCGAAGGTGCAAGAGTCCATCCGCTCGTCGCCCCTGTATCCTGTCGATCAAGATTTCGGTCACGAGGCTCGTGTGCGGAGCTCCATCGCTTTCCCCGATAAGCGTCTGATTATCTACGATGCCGGCAAGTTGCAACGACTGACATATTTGTTGCGGGACCTGCAGTCGCGAGGTTCACGGAGCTTGATCTTCACTCAGATGACGGGCACTTTGGACGTACTGGAGCGCTTCCTCGGCTTGATGAATCTACCTTATCTGCGACTGGACGGAAGTACTCCGGTCGAACGTCGACAGCTATACTCAGCTGAGTTCAATCGACCAGACTGCAAGTATCAGTGCATGATCTTATCGTCTCGCGCGGGTGGCGTGGGATTAAATTTGACAGGTGCTTCATCCGTCATCTTTTACGATCTCGACTGGAATCCTCAAATGGATCGCCAATGCATGGACCGTGCCCACCGGATTGGACAGACGAAAGATGTTGAGGTGTACAAGCTGGTCAGCGAGAAGACGGTCGAAGAGAATATCCTGCGGCGTGCCAACCAAAAGAGTCTGCTCGATCAGACGGTGATTCAGGATGGCCACTTCACGACCGAGTATCAGGTCAAGCGGGGCGGGGATGAGAAAGATGATGAGGTGGAGGGAGCGATTGAAGCCTTGCTGGGAGGCGACGAGCACGCGACGACGACTGCATTGGCTTCGGTGGAAGACAAGGAAGATGTACAGGCGGCGAAGGAAGCCAGCAAGGAAGACCGGACGGACGACGTCGACTTTGGCGATCGCTCATCCAAGGGACCTTCCAAAGCCAATACTCCCGGACCAGGCGCAGCGGAAGATGATCCTATGGAGGAGATCGAAGCCGAACGCAAGGGCCACGTTGAACTGTACATGATCAAGCAGATGGAGCATTTGCTTCACGGATGGGTGTATACTCCGCCGGTAGCCAGGCTGGACAAAAATGGCAGAGACCGCAGCCATCGGCCGAAGAAGAGGATTCGGTAGGATTAAACCGGGCGAATGGGATAGAGTTTTGGGTTGGGGCAACGGTACTGCCACGATGGCTATGTAAGACTAGTCGAGAGGTGCGGGCACGAATGGGTGTGGCTGGATGAAAGCCACTGCATAGAGCAAGAGTTCTTCTACTTACTGCAACAGAGGCAGTGCATCCCAAGTGGAACTCTCCAAAGGCCGAAGGATTGGTGGAGATGATCACGTACAGCAGTGGCATACTATAGCATACCTGAGGATCGCGAGAGATGGAGAGTATTTGCAAACGCGCAACATGAGCGTACTTCGTACCTCCTGCAGTCCAGATCAGGATGAATCGTGGGACTCTGTCATGTGATGCCAAGTCGGACGGGCAGTTCATCCGAGAGCGGCACAGCACACAGAGCATCCATGGCACAGTGTGGCACAGCCGTCACAAGCGTAGCATCCATGACGCGCGCCCCGCATCATTTATGGTTAATGACGGGAGTTCCATGAATTGGGTGGCCGACAGGGTTTATAGGTGTTCCTCCCGTCCTTTGGCGTCCTTGGCAGAACAGAGCGTCATTCCACAAAGACTTGCTTCCACTGCACCCACACTTGCACACTGCCCAACTGCCTCTGTCCATTGTGGTGAGGCCTTCGCTTCACCTGAGAGACGCCACCGCCACCACTTCGACATATATACCCGCGACTGCTCCTCCTCCACCACCTCCTCACCTACGTACCTCCATCCTGGTTATTCATCTCACAGCACTCACAAGACTCTCGATCGTCTTGTGCAGGATACGCCACACAGTCACAGTTCCTTGCACCCTACGCGACACACACTCCCACACCGCAACAATGAGGCTGCCTCAAGCGATCTTCTTCCTGATCACGCTTTTCACACTTGGCCATGCGCTGACGCTGCCCGGCTCTCTCGAGGAATTCACAGAAGCGTCCACACAACTGTTCAAGAGAAAGGGCGGAGGTGGTGGAGGCGGTCGGGGCGGCTCAACGTCCTCGGGCAGTAGTAGTTCCTCTTCAGGAAGCTCTTCGGGAAGCTCTTCTGGGGGCTCGCGCGGCGGCTCTGGCTCTGGCTCCGGCACTTCCTCCGGCGGGACACGGGGCGGCTCTGGCTCAACACGTGGTTATGGTAATGGCGGCAGATATTATGGCGGCGGTGCAGCATCACCCTATGCCGCTGGTCAACGACGAGGAGGCCTTGGTGCTCCCCTGCTTGTGGGCGCGGGTGCACTTGCCATCTTCCCCGCTCTTGCGCTGTATGGAGCCTACTCGTACGGATATCCTTACTATTGGACTTATCGCAATAACACGAGCGGTCAAAATGAGACTCATCCAGCAGAGTGCTGGTGTGGGAGATATAATCCTTGCGGCTGCGACTCGAACAACGACACGGATTACATCAATGCTGTCGCGAACAATGCGACTGCCGCGAAATTGGCTACGTTGCCAGGAAACAGCAGTCAGACGCTTGTTATTGACGGCACCCTAGCGAATGGAACGACTGCTCCTGACAGTAGCAGCGACAGCGCTGACAGTGGTGCAATGAGGGTAGGAGAGATGATGGGCTGGTGGCCTATGATCGCAGCTGCAGTTGCAACTGCTTATGTTTTGTAAGATAGGGCTCAGCGTACGATGCATTTCATGACTTTACGATTGGAGAGGAGCAAGAGATCAGAACTGAATATACCCAACGCGTGAGAAAAGTAGCAGCAGCTGTATCATAGTTCAGACCTATTGTATAATTTCGGTATAATCTCAAAAATATCCCACCCCGACTTGCGCCAGATTCTGGCATACCCAACACTGCTAATCGGGACATAGCAACATCGAAATGATCTCCCCAAGCAGTCTTTGTGTCGAAGGTCTGATTTGGCAAGAACAAAGGACATTATTGCTTTCGCCGCATCCGACCCAGTTCGCGATAGAACAAAGACATTGATTCAGCTTGACTGTCCTCGAGAGACTGACTTTCTCTCTACACAACAACGATAGTATTCACTGCTCAGGGAGTGATCATCATACAATCGCAATCATGGCCGAAGGAGCACTGGCTGCAGAAGCGCGAGAGCTCCGAGAAGCGCAACACCTCTACGTGCTCCTCGAAGCTCAATCGCACAAGGTTGCCCCTCTCACACTCGGAACCACCAATGTTGCTTTTCGCGACGCGGCCATTGCAGCGTTCAATGGACTTTCCACACTCGCGAAAATGGATCTCGGAGACACGATTCGCAAATTTCGTCTCGATAATAAAGCTACGAATGACCTATCTGCTCATGTCATTTATGCGCAACGATTTCGAGGGGCCCCTGGGGACGATGATGATGTGCTGAAGCATGATGGTGCCCATTGGAGACCGACGGTTCAATACTTCATCCGGAGGAAAAAAGAGTACTTGGCTGCTGGTAGAGAGGCTGAGGGGGCTGCTACATCTTTGGTGCAGGCTTTGCAGGATTATGATTTAGACCAAGAGAGAACCGTGAACTTTTTGCAACAATGTATCGAGTACTGGAATGCGAAGAATACGCAGGGTCAGGCTTCGATCGATAGGGATTTGCCTTTGTTGGAAAATTCGGCGCGGTTGAGGATTGCTGATATGGAAAAGGCGAGAGCGGAAATGCTGGCGGAAGAGAAGAAGGAGAAGGAGAAGAGGGCGGGAGAGGAGGCAATGGCGGAAGAGGAGGAGGAGGAGAATGCAGATCAGGATGTAGTAATGGGAGATGTAGGAGACGTAGAAATGCAGGATGCGCCTGCGGTGCTTGATGGTAAGATCGATTCCATGAATCCCGAACAGACTTTGAGCTAACGATGAACGATGGCAGTGACCTGGCACGGTCAAGTGCACTTGGGCGCCGGATCGTACGGCACAGCAGACTTATGGGTGGGAACTCATCCGGATATGAGCATCTGCCATCGAGTAGTCCGCAAGAATTGTGACCTCCGACCAATTTGGTCGATAGATTCATTCTGGACCGACGGGGCGCCAGGCAATACGGGCAGCACTGCAGGCACTGGGCCCACAGAGTGAGTAACCAGTCACCAGTGGCTCGTCACGACATTGATCACTGACTCTTGTTGTAGAATCCAAGCCCTCGCCGACCTTGCCAACAAGCCTGGATCAGATGCCATTGTGGCGCTTCACAACTGGCGCCTTCGCCTGGGAGCACAGAGAGCAGATCTCTATCTCGAATACTGCCCTTACGGCGATGCCTTCGACGCCGTGCTCCACGGAGACTACTACAGCCGCAGACATGGTGATCGCAAAATCTTCCCCTGGGTCGACTACAGCAGGGCGGGGGACATTTCCCTCGTCCCCGAACCCTTCATCTGGAGCACCTTCCTATCCCTGGTCATGGCCGGCCTCTTAATGGAGCGCGGCTCCTTGGAAAAGAACCCAGACGATCCCCAACAACAACACTGGCCCGTCATCGTCCACCGCGATCTCAAACTCGACAACATCTTCATGGGCGTCCCCGCCACCGACCGATTCCGCATGTATCCCCAAGCCAAAATTGCCGACTTCGGCCTCTCCCTCATGGCTCCCCCCAACGACCCTCGACCCATCCACTCTCTCTTCTGCCACGGCTCGCCCGAGCACGCCCCACCCGAACAGCACGTAGCGCTGACAGACCGCCACACCGGCGCCCTCGTCCGCCAATCCACCCAATCCAACGTCTGGGGCATCGGAATCATTTTGCACTCGATGCTCGCGGGCGAAAACGGTCCCGTGGCAAACAATGCCACGTGGTTTGATTGGACCAACCCAAGTCGAAGAGAACCTCCTGAATTTGATCAAACTGCACGAGGATTTTATAGTGCGGAATTGAGGAATTTGGTTTTGGCCTGTTTGCGCTTCGATGCAGAGGATCGGCCTACGTTGGATTATCTTTTTGCCGAGGTGACGAGGTATACTACTCCTGCTACTGGTGGAGGTGGAGGGGACGATGAAAATGATGAGGACAAGGCAAAAGGAATGCGGGATTTGAAAAAAGAAGATGATGAAGAACGATATGCGGATTTGTTGACGAGGTATCGAATGCAGTGTGGGAATAATTTGGATAAGTATGCGGTGGGATTGGCGTTGCCCTTGACGAGTTTTATGGCGGATCGGACTCCTGTGGCGACTGTGCCGGCGCCGTTGATGCAGATTGCTGCTAGGATGGGTGGGCAGTAGGGAAGTGATGAGATGGGATGAGGGATGGGATTGGATTGCATTGCATTGTTGATGTGAGGATATGGGTTAGTGAGGTGGGATCTTTATGTAGCTGTAATGTTGTTTTTTTTGTCATTGATGTTGTTGATGTAAATGAAGCTGCTTGGCAACTCCCCTGCGAACAGAGAGAGAGAGAGAGATGGTGGAAGAAGTTTGATTAGATGTTGTCTTGCGAGTAGATTGAGAGAAAGATGAGCTTCCATTAAAAAAAAGTAGTATGCATCAACAGTACAACAACAGCATGGATGAATTGATTCACGAAACCTCGAAACGCCTCGCTACGCTCATAACGGACATATATACATCTTACAAAAAATTAAAAGCCAAACGAGTCCAACAGACTATTAGCATCAGGCTCCTTGAACTGCGTGGGCTGCCGTCGATCCTTCTCCTCTTTGCCACCCTCCTCCCCTTCTGCCTTCGGCTTCGCAGCGTTCTTCTTGGCCTGGATCTTGGCCAGCAACTCAGCTGCTTTTGCCTCCCGTGCAGCCTTCTCGTCCATGGGCGCAGACTGTGCCGGTGCAGGATCCGCGAAACCGTTGAGTAGCGAAGGAGGTTCGGCATGTTCAGCGGGCGTGGAAACAGGCTCGCTGACCGTACGATCAGGCAGGGTCGCGAGAGTTCCGTTGGACAGACCATTTGTGGTAGGCAGAGTGCGAGCAGTGAACTTCCAACTTCTAATCACATCCAAAGCAAGAACGGCAAGTCCCATGCGTCCCAATATCTTGGCAGAACGTAGCACAGCGGTATACTCATGCTCACTCGGCGTTTTCCGCAGCTGTGTATATAGGAGCAAGGTCGCAGGGTCATCTCGCTGCCACACTTTGACGATTCCCTCAATAGGCTGTACCAAGATCTCCACAGCTTGCATTTTCTCAAGGCGTACTGAATGACACCAGCTCATCAACCAGCGATCACCGTCCTTCTTCGCTTCCGGAAGGATTCGATCAGCGAGAACCTCCCGCAGGACTTCGGACCCGTCACTGCAATACAATCTTGCTACAGCAATCGCGAACTGTACATCATCACACTGTCCTGCGAGCACATTGCAAGCATCAGCCGCATTGTCAGCAAGAAGAAAAAATGCTGCTGCATAGTGGAAACGCCGTTTGCCCATCAACGCATATGCATTCTTTTTCGCAGCTGTCTTGGCATCGGGTTGGCTGAAGTCCTTTTTGAGAAAGTTGGTCGTTGACCTCTGCTCACGATGCCACGTGGCGATTCGCCAGAGAGCCGCCAGAGTCTGCTTCTTGTGTAAGGCCAGGTAGTAGATGGCAGCGTGCGTGGGATCTGGTGGGGAAGTCGAGCGATATGCGGTCTGCGCCATCTGCTCAAAGGCCTGCATGAGCGCTTCTCGATCTTGAAGCCACGCCATGATACCGAGACGTTTCGCGATATCCCAAGTCAGCTTGTTGTCATAGTGTAAGATCAGAATGTCCAGCAGCGGCTGTTGCGAAGTACTATGGTACGCCATGACGATTTCACGCCATGACATCTCGGGTACAAACCCATGGTCGTGGGTGTATTGTATTTCAGCTTGCGTGTTAGTATTGGCCTGTCTTTCCCTTGCCTGGTGCGGCAGAAGTTGAAGTTTCCATGTAAACAGGTACCACAAAGCATTATGATCGAGGCCATTATGGTGATCGCGCAAATACAGAAGAGCGTCAATGACATTGCTCAAGCGCCGCTGATCTTTTCGCAATATCGCCGGCAACTCCTTCTCGTCAAGCTGATCTTTGAGCTCGTTGGCAGTCTCTTCATCGAGCCAAGCATCGTCTGTACGTTCAAGCAGGGTCTGGGGATCTGCACCCAACATATGATCGAGCTCATCTCCAGTACTCCAGAACTTGAGCTTGGAAGCAAGTGTCTTCAGCAAATAAACTGCGGCCCAACTATGGCCATGTAACACGAGTCTCTCCAATGTACTCGGATGCCAGGCAGGCAAATGTCTGCTGAGGTGGTGCGCTAACACAGGAAGCTGCACAGTCTTGGACTCTTCGGGGACGTCTGCTGACTCCAACACGTGGCTGTCAATCTGGTCAAGAACTGCTTGCGGGCCTGCAATAAACAGCGCCGTGCCCGCAGCGACAGCCAACGATCCGTCTGCTTGCCATGCCAGGCCTGTAATGTTCACTCCAAGGTCCACGATGGAAATACGTCGCACGAATTGCCACGACCGCATGAGGGCGCTATCGTGCTCATACCTGCTTTGGAAGAGAATGTCAACGCTTGTGTCATAGGCTACTGCGACAAAGCTCTGTCGAGCCCTTAGTGTGAAGCATTTCGCACTGTGTACGATACTGTCGACACCCTGGCAGTCCTCGATGAATCCATCCCGAAGGTCGATTATGGATAGTGTCATGCGAAGGGAGCTCACAAGGGCAGCAACCTCTGCATTTGCTGCAAGCAGAATGCCATCTTCAATTCCTGTTTCGTAAGTTGCGCGAGAGTATGATGCAAGGTCCGAATGCTCGTCAGTAGAGGTGGCAACTTCCACTTGGCCGCTCGTTGAGAGCGTCACTGAGCGACGTCCGTAAGCAGCCTCCACAACAAATGTATTCACAGATGGAGCATGATCTCCGTTGCTCCTCGTCATCTCCCTCGGTCGGCGAGTTGAGTCTGTGAGTTGCCCGCTCCACTCGTCGAGACTCACGCCATGCCAGGAGCTAGCCAGTGAGATGCGATCCGCACCGGGAGCTGAAGTCGACATGAACGACTCAATGAAGCCTTGCCACCACAAGATACTGCCATTCTGAGCCAGGCTGTGTATGAGCAAGTGGATCTTGTTGTCCTGAAACCAAGCAGTCGACATAGCAGGTGTGTTTTGGGGCAGCTTCAGGGGTAGTCCTTCAGCATGTGCGATGTGGAACGGCTGCAGAGTCGAAGGAGTGGCTGGCCGTCGTTTGTGACCAATGCTCTGGAGACCCCAAGCAGACATTCTGCCCTGTCCGTCGAGGACGACGACAACGTCCGGCTCCTTCGAGACCAGCTCTTTCAGGTGTTCTTTTGCATGGTTGATCTTCATGTCCTGTGGTAGGCCTATGGCGCTGTTGAGTGCCGCCGCGAATTGATCGCAAGGCAGGATCACAGCATAGCGGGCAGGCTTTGAGTTGAATGACATTCCATTGGCAGACAAGCTCGGCGAGTCCGGTATGGCTGACACTAGATCAATCGATGTATGTAGAAACAGCATCTCCAAGTCGTGTATGCCGCCGGTACGCCACACTCGCAGCACACCATCCGTAGCGATAGTATACAACACTTCGTGCTCCTCTTCGTGCCGTCGACTGATGGCACTACCTCTCCGACGTTCAGAGTGCTCGTCCAGTGGACGCCATTCGATATGGGTCACTGCTGCCGGATGTGGGAGGTACATGTGGTCAAACAAACCCTCCTCAAACGACAAGCGTCTCCAAATTTTGACCAGACGATCGTAACGCGCGCGGGTCGCGATCAACGTGGAGCTTGGACTGAACGTAGCTTGCTGAACAGGTCTAGCGACTGGCTTCGACCACAATGGCCTCCGCTCGTCCAACTCCTCGCCATCGAAGGTGGAGGTCCGCGGGGAACCGATCCGCGAAGTGGGCAGGCTGGAGAAGAGTATGAGAGAGCGACTGCCTGCAAGGAGCGCCTCCCCTTCATTGCTCCAGCAAACGCATTGTATCTCCGCTTCCGCCTCGTCTCGTCTCAATAACAGCGTCTTTTCCCAGGAAATCTTGGTCCAGCCTTCCGCAACCGGCTCCAAAATCACCGCCTGTGCCTGTCCCTCGCCCGCGACGATCAGCTGGCCCGTCTTGGGACTTGCGGCGACTGCTGTGAGTGGATGCGGGAAGGTGATGGCCTGGACGAGAACATTCGGCGCAGATAGCACGTTCAGCTGGCAGCCGGAGATGTACACAATGTATCGTTTGAATCGGTAGATGAAGGTGGTCGTCGCCTGCAGTGAAGCGGCGGGAGCTCCAGGCAGGATTTCCGAGAAGGCAGTCGGCGTCGAGGCCTGCCCAGGCGAAGTCGAGGGCATGGCAGAGGAAGCTATTGTCGTGAGCGATCGAATGTCATCTCCGTATGGCACCAGAACTACACCAGGGCAATGAGATATCGCGCGTCAATATGAAAAAGCCCCAATATCATCACCAGCAGAACTGCGGGCCAGAATCAGTGCAGCGTGTGACCAAAAAAGTTGGTGGTTGTGTACATGTATAATGTATTGTGCTGTACCAACAACATAACACGACACGTGCATGCAGCATCATCTCCATCGTGCATCATGCAACTCTAAATTGCGCCGTATTGCGGTATTCGAGACCCTAGTTCAGCTTACATAATTTGAAAACATAACAGGCCCACTTCAGCTGGTGCCCGTAGAAAGAAAAGTGATACAAAGGTAAAAAGGTATGATATAGCATACGACATTTTATAGCGAAAAATAGCTCTCCAAGTACCACCACGGCAGCCAGAGTGAAGATGCAAAATGCAATCCTACTGCCGAGTCAAGACACATGCATGTTCCTAGCGTTCATTCATCAGATTCTCCCTTCCCTCTACCTCCTAGCTGACTAGTATTCAGGGGCCGAAACCTCAGGTCACAAGACGTGCTTCCAACGGAACATCTGCAAGCGATGGAAATCCCGATGAAGCCTGTCCATCATCAGCAGCGCTGTAGGCAATCTTCTGCAGAGGCGGATCGATGCGTCGATGATGAAGATACCAATCCTGGACAGCATGCTCCACGACCCGCTCGATATCGTTTCTATTCTCCAAAGATGAAAAGTTCGCGACAATGAATTGCTTCACAGCCTGAGCGTTCACGAGCTGCAGCCCTCGCTCGCGGTATTCGTCCAAATCCTGCCTTGTGGGAAAGCTGTAGTAGGCCTGTTTGCTCTCGTCCTGAGGCATCAGATCGAATTCCTCGCCTCTCTCGAGCTTTGCAAAGGCGTCCGAGGCGACTTGGACACCAATGTCATGCAAGTCGAGCAAGTTCGACAGCATGTCTTTGCCATAATCGATTTTTCCGCTCTGCATATCGACCAACTGCCCGGCGTCCCAGTTCTCATCTATGCTGTGCAGCGAGAAGCTGAAGCGTTCTTCTCGATTGGCCATGGCTCGGCTCATCGTCATGACGCCACGATATTGTGGAAGTGCTCCTGGATGCAGATTCAGAAGACCGAGTCTGGGGGAAGACTGGAAGTGGTTGATGATTTCCCGGCCGAACTTCTGATAGCAGCGGATAGACATTCCGACGTCGATGTGGTGATGGGAAGAGAGTCTTGCGATGAACTTTGGGTCGTTGACATTATTCACATGTTCGACCAGGATCCCGTACTTCGTGCTCAACTGGTCAACAGTCACGAACGGGGTCCCGTGCGCATGGTTGGCACCGAGATAAGGGACAACATGCTCCCGGAGCAGTTGTCGCTCAAAAAATGCCAGTTCTTGAATCTCAAACTCAGGTGTCTTCTTGCTCGCTTTATGCGCTGGTAGAAAGACATATGGCATGTGTCCGTGACGAATGAGCTGCGGGATAAGCTTACTCACGATCAGTTGCGAGCTAATATCTGTACCAATGAAGAAGGCAATGTGTAGAGAGCGCCGAGCAGGCACCTGAACGATACTGTCCACGATACGCTGAGCGTGTGCGACGTTACGGTCAATGGCGGTGGAATAGAAATGAGTGCCGCGCGTCAGTGAGCCAATGACATAGAGCCCCTTGGATGCCATCAGAGTGGTTGGATCGACTCTGATGCCCCCAAAAGGATCGGCCTCAACCAGTCCAGATCCCAAGCAGTTGTGAAGCAGCTTCGAAGAGATGCGCAAGGCATTGACATCCGGTCCGGTCGCATCGACAACGTAGTCTGTATAGAGAAGGGGATTGCCGCCGATGGCGTGATAGGGGATCACAAAGCCACTGTCAATCTTGGCTACCCGACCAGTCATCTGCAAAACACGGAGCTGGCCGACCTGCATCATGTTGAGTATCCTCTTGGCTGTGGCAAGTGGCATCGCATGGCGATATGACATCCATATGCTCTGATACTCTTCTAGGAAGACGACTTTCTCTTGCGGCGATAAGGCGTTCCAATACCTCTCGACGACGGGAGCAGTTCCAGTGAGTACGTCTTGCCAGACTATGTTGCCACTCTCCGCGGCTGATATGTCTTTGACAAGGTCTGACTCGGGATCATATGGTGACGTTAACACGCTGTGCCAGTCCAGGGGTTTGGCATCTTGCTCGATGCGCGCTCGAATTGCCAAGGTGAGACGTGTGAGCGCAGCATCTGACTGCCCCTCAAGTTCTTTGGCAATCTCGAAATTTTTGTAATTGGCAGGTTTGGGAGGTAGAGCAGACTGGACCTAAAGTGGTGGATTAGCATTGATCGTGGATGTTGGTACCATTCCTGCTCACCTTGGGTAGTCGGCCACTCCTTGACACAAGATTTATTGGTCCCGTGTGTCCCTGCGACTCCAAACGCAAGGCTATATCAAGCGCCGTCAACCGAGAGCCAATGACACTGACGGCCGCCTCTTTCGGAATGCTCTGGAATTGCTTGTTGGGCCACGGGTTTGGGAAATATCCACATTCACCTTCAAGGTAGTTGTGCTTGGGTGACATGTGGTTGCCGAGAGCCAGTACCACATCTGTGGCCACGTACTGCCGTCCGGTCATTGTTGTGATAGTATAGCCACTCTCGGATCGACGCAATGCCACTACTTCACCTACATGACTGTTAGCAGAAGATCTATATTGTGTGATACAGCTGGAGACTCCTCGGCCGCTGAGCGCCACTGAGCTCCAGCAATTGCGAGGGAATACCAATCACTCACCAAATACCGGGAGTACCTTAACGCCTAGGGAAGCGGCTTCCTCAACAGCGGATGTAAACTGATCCAACAGGTACTCGCCATAGAGCGTCCGTGGCAGATACGTGCTGCTGCCAAGCTTCTCCGGAGTCTTCGATTGCAGCCACTCAACGAAATGGCCAGGGTTATCTGGACGTAAACTCATAGTCTCACTGCGCATGTTCAATCCCGTTCCTTCACATGCCGTCGAGTATGCCAGTCCGGGCCCGAAACTGCTCGACTTCTCGAACACCAATAGCGTCGTCAGATGATGACCCGCCTTGACTCTGGCGATCAATTCTGTCAGGATTGCAGTCGCACATGCTCCGCCTCCGACAATGGCGACATCGCCGGGCAGAGTTCTCCCATCCGAGATGGTTTCGCGGTTCGTGACTACCGCCATTGGGCCCGTTCTTGAGATGATCGCCCGCACAGTCTGAGATTATACTTCTCAAGCGTTCAGTTAATTCTGAGTGTATAACGAGAGCAGAAAGGCACATGAAAAGAAGGAGGTAAAAGTGGAAAATTGAAGGAATTTGCCATCGATTGGGCAGCGAAGATGCTGCCTCTTGTCTTGATACCTACCTAGGTAGTCTGCACCCTTCAAGCGGAGAATATTTTTCCGAGACATACAGCATACTAACACATCCTCTGTGCCTACATCATTGCCCATACTGGCAGCAATAGGGAAGCGGAGAGTACTTCAGCTACCTTCATGCACACGCAGGGGCATCTAGGAGGGTTCGTATCGATCAGCCAACCGGTCCATTGCCTGGGTATGGAGACCATTGATTGAGAGCGAAGCGAGGTTGATCAACGAGGGCCTATTCGACAACGCAAACCCGCGCTGATATCATTGCTCTGTCGCTGGATGTAGGTACAGCTGCGAGGATGTTGGATGTTGTCATCGAGACGAACTTGGCGAGTCATCTCGATGAATTGTTGCTTCGAGCCCACTTTTCGGCTCCGTTTTCGTACGCAAATCCGCAGCCCCGAGATTTCTCCTTGAACAACTTGGGGTATTTTGACTTTGCGGAACCATCGGGCCTGACCGTTACGGGCCGTAGTGTGTCGGGGTCGCCGCCAGCCGCAGAGCCTCCGTGATGCGATGCGATGATCACCTTCCATCGACACAGTCATGCACGCAGGTTGGCAGGTCAACGAGAGGAGGTATGCTGGAGTCTTGTGATTGATTACCTGTATACACCGACATCAGCATTCTCCGTCTGCCCAGATCTAACGCTTTCGAAAAGCTGGAAAACAGGGACAGAAACTTTTCATTTCTGCGAACTTCATCCTACGTTATGTTAAGCCTTCCAGGGTGCACCAAGTGGTCGCGCTAAGCATCATTAATTAATATCTGTGGGGGTTGCCTGTGTTAGAAGGAATCGAAGCTACTAATGGATTCGTAACAATGGTAAGCAGGTCCAAAGTTGTTGCGCTGCGATTCCGCATGCACTGTAAGAAACCGCGCTATGTGGATCGCTAGATACAGCCGATAATGAAGAGATTTTTCTCATGCATCACCTCACTGCATCTTGGCAAATTCTTCGAATAAACCTTAGTACTACCTGCAGGCAGATCCTATCTCTATCAGTTGTTCGTTCACTCGTGCTCTGAGTGATATTGTCATTCAATCTTCCAGACCGCGTACCGAGCCCGCACACGACATAGACTTACCTCCGATGCGGCAGAAAGAGAGCAACGATGTGGGTCCACCTCCAGATGGCGGCACACTGGCCTGGACACAGGCAATGATGGGGCACCTCGTCGCCTTCAACACCTGGGGCTTCCTGGCCAGCTTCGGCGCTTTTCAAAGTTACTACGAGTCGGACATACTTTCCTCGAATTCGGCCTCTGAGATAGCCTGGATCGGCTCGCTGCAACTATTCTTGATTTTCGCCGTGGGCACCATATCTGGTCGTGCGCTTGATGCAGGACTATTCAGGCCAGTTTACATCTCTGGCTGCATACTCTTAGTCGTGGGCGTCTTTTGTACCTCTGTGAGCCATACCTACTGGCAAGTCTTCCTCGCACAAGGGCTCTGCGCCGGCCTGGGCTGTGGATTGATGTTTACGCCGGCCATTGGACTCGTTGCAACATACTTCTCGACGAAAAAGGTGTTCGTTTTGGCTTTCTTCCTCACAGGTTCTGGTACTGGTGGGATAGTATTCCCTGTCATTTTCGGTCAGCTACTCAATCGAATTGGCTTTGCCTGGACCGTCCGGGTGCTTGGGTTCATAATGCTCGTCACGAGCGCTCTCACTATTGCACTTTTCCGAACACGCCTGCCACCTCGCAAAGCCGGTGCGTTGATCGACGTGTCTGCGTTCCGTGAGCGGGTATACGTCCTTTACATTGCAGGCATGTGGTTCAACTTCTTTGCCTTGTACTTTGCCTTCTACTTCATCAGCGCGTTTGCCCGAAACGTGATCGGTCTGTCGTACGAGTCATCGTTGCACCTGCTGATCACCACCAACGGCGTTGGCATCATCTCTCGGCTTACTGTTGCGTACATCGCCACGAAGTGGATACAGCCGATCACAGCCGTCATTCCATGCGCTCTCATTGCCGCAGTGCTCATGTACAGCTGGGCGGCAGTCAACGATACCGCAGGGCTGTACGCCTTCGCAGTCTTGTACGGCATCGCATCCAATGGCTTGCAAGGTTTGTGGCCAGGCGGGTTGTCCAGTTTGATTGTGGATGACAGCAAAATTGGCACACGCATGGGTATGGCCTTCAGTATTGTGAGCACAGCTCTTTTGACAGGATCGCCGGTGGGAGGAGCGTTAGTGGCGATGAACAATGGGCGGTACTTGTATGCCCAGATGTGGGCAGGCTCCTCGTTGGTTTTAGGATCGTGCTTGCTGTTGCTTGCTAGCCGATTGCATAGAAGTTCTGAAAGGAACAAAGATGGCTCGACCAACTAGGCGTCACTAAAATGGCATATGGGTCTCGTCTGTAATACGACCGAAAGATGGCTGTAATCGTATTGTACCTTACTTTAGATACATGTACCTACCTGTATGCCTTGGAGAAAGCCATCGCATGTCGCGTGTCAAAATGCCAAGATGCGCCAGACGGGCCGGTCGGTGACAGCGGCCCGCGAATGGCATATGCCACATGGGCCGACGGGCCACCGCCGCCAAAAAAGTATGCTGCATACCATACCGTGTGGTCCGAGACCTTCATTGATATGTGATAGAATTACTCCCGCGTCCACATGTCAGGAAGCGATACAGTATCTTGCCAAGGATGGGATAGCGACAAAGCTCTAATAAGAGAGAGCATCCCTCAATAGCCATACCCAAGGTTCCGAGTGATATGAGTATACTTGTTTGAGTGAAGTCTGCCCCCACTCCGAAGGCGCTACTCGTGTTGTAAAGACTACCGCCAAGGCGTATGCGAGGAGTCAACTTGCAGTACTTGGTTACACTACATTCTATTATCCTTGGAAATGGCTCTTGGAAGGGATCCCTCTGGCCAAGGAGCTGAACGTCAAGGTTCGTGGATGGACTCGGAGGGCAATAAAACCTGTAGATCAACAGATGTACGTGTGTGTATAATCTTTCGCTGGAGTTGTCGCGTCGGCAAGAATTGGATACCTGTACTATGTCCTAGGGAGCCTAAGCACATAGGGGAGCTGAGTAGGTAATGTATGTACAGTACATGTACGCAGACGATGGGGACTTGGGGAGTTGGAGTGAACTTGAATCCTTGCGTGTGCTAGCGCCTACCTTACGTCATGGCGCACATGAACGATCCGCGCGACTGATCCGTGCGCATGATGCACATTGCTCAATACGCGCGTGGACCGTGGTGGCTGGAATTTGGAAAATACCTACATGTACCTTACACACTGAGGTACCTGACCGTCTCTCGACGTTTCGACCACTTCTCTCCCCACGACACCAACATGACGCGATCTCGGCGCGCACGACCCGACGACCTGACTGAATCCTGGGACAACTTGAGCGGCTCAGAACCCTCCGACGACATCTACGACGAAGAGACTGAACGCGACGAGGTTGGCAGTGTGTACCGGTCATCGCGAACTGCCTCAAGTATGGATGCTCGCTCGCTCAGGCCAATAGACGACGACGAAAACGAGACGCCGCGTCGCAGAACGCTGCGCTCTTCTATCGAACCAGAGCTAGTCATGCCATCTTCTCCAGACGCTCGCCCTCACCACACCAAAGATGGCAGGAAGCGGGATGCGACACCGCGGTTCCGATTGAACGACAGGAGCAACACTTCTGATGCTGGCCAGATTAGGAGAGTCACAAGAGCAGAAACCCCCAGAACAAGATTGGCGGAGCGGAGCATGACCAGTGATGCTGGGCGTTATCGTGGCAGCAAACTCGGCCAGCACGATGAAGCTGATTACGATGAACCCGACGCCGATGAGCCACAGCGGGGGGCCGACTACACGGCCATGATATGGAAGGGGATAGTGAGGCCGCTATTGTCGTATGTGACAGATGTTGTGGGCCTTGTACTCCACAACCTGAAGCCGCTCTTGGGCTGGGCAGTCCTGGCGTATCTCCTTGCAGCCGTTCTGGTATTTGGATCTGGATTCCTCAACAATACCATCAATAATGCTCTGACGCCAATCTGTCGACTGCCGTTCACTGGAGGTCTCTCGTTCTGTCCGAGCAGGAATGCACCCGAACTGCAAGGCCAAGCCCAATTCGGGCAGCTCGTGCAAGCACAAAATGCATTCGAAGATGTCCTACAAATATCTACCGTTGGCGCCAACCTTCCAGCAGACATGAAAAGGAGTGAAGCCAGCATTCGTGACTTGAAGAATATCGTGCAATACTCCAACTTGCCCTCGAGGAACGAGCTCGTATTTGAGTTTAGCGGCTTTGTGGAGACAGCGCGACAGGCCAGCGGAGACCTCAGTCGATTCAATTCGCGGATCGGCAGGGCTGTTGACCATATTTTGGCCACAAACAAATGGACTCTGAACGTGATCGATGGTGTGACGGAGAAAGACGCCCAGCGCGGCTCGATTGCCAAGTTTTTCAGCAACAATTTCAATATCCTCGCGCCGTTTCAACCTATCAGCTTTTCACGGGACCTGCTGCTGGATCAGTATCTGCGCCACACCGGTGCGGTAGAAGAGCAGATCATGTCATTGATTGATGAGGCTTTGGCACTTCGCGACATCCTGGACAACCTGGACAACAGGCTCGATGTAATCGCTGGTATTTCAACTAGAGATGGCATTAAGCTCGACTCCAGCAAAGACGAATTGTTTGCATTTCTCTGGACCAAGCTTGGGGGCAATCGTAAAGATATCAAAAAGCTCCAATCTCAGATCGAGCTCTTGAACAATGTGAGCGAATACCGGAGACTTGCCTGGGGACATGTTACTGCCACATTGCTCAAGCTGCAGGAGATTCAGCACAGTCTCGAAGATTTACGAGAGCGTGTCGCACTCCCGGACACCATTGGTACACACAAGGTGCCTCTCGAGGTTCACATCGAGAGCATCAACCTGGGAATCGAGAGATTGGAGAAGCAGAGAGATGCGAGTCGACAGGTCGCAGCGCAAAACTACGAGCGCATTGTCGGAAAGGTTGAAAGTGGCGAGAAGAAAATGTTGGGCAGCGGCAAACAGGAACGAGAACTGTAGGTGATGAGATTTCAAGACAGCTCAATAACGACAGAAGAGACGAAGATGATGCATGATTTTTTTTAATGAGCGAGGACCTCTGCACAATGATACCCATATAATCAGGTCTTACGACTTTACGCGAGTAGCCATAATGTATGCTGCGCTACGTAGGAGAGACAGGACTTTTTCATGACACCGACCATCTCACTTGCCCAATCTCAGTAGTCCTCAGTCTGTTCGAGGATAAGTGTGCCGGCTGCCTGTTGTCCACGATGATCTCTGCATAGGACTGCCAGTAGGTGGTAGTAGGAGTGAAGTACCCTGGAATAGCTCTACCAATCATACTGCGGCGGGAACAGCCTCTTCCCTGATAAATCTTAGCTCCGAGTCTTGCACTTTTACTGTCCGACATCAACATACATGTACCATACCTGATATACCAAGAAGCCAACAGCAATGGCCTTTTCCTTCGGCTTCTCTGAAGACATAGCCAGCGATGATGACTCGCCAGTAGTGCCAGTACCTGCTACAGTCCATTCTGTCCCCAGTCCTGTTGCCACTTCTCAGGTACCAGTCCGATCCCACACGCTCGACGACTTGGTAGGTAAGACAAGAAAAGAAAAAAAAAATCAGACAGCAAAAAACAAGACCTCATCAGCACCTTGTGAGCCTTGTCAATAAACCAACCACCAACCAACTAATGCGTAAAAATAAACAGCTAGCCACACTCCCAGAGCATCTGAGCTACAGCACCGTCCGCATCGAGTCTCCCTTGGGCAAAATCGTATACTTGCCTCGCAGAGAGCTGTTTGATGTGCGAGCCCAACTGTTACAAGAAAATTCATCTGCGAGCGATCAAGTCGTAGAGAATTTGGACAAATCCGATTTACGATCGGGGATTTACGAAGGAGGGTTCAAGACGTGGGAATGTTCCATTGATCTTGCCAGTTTCCTTCTCGATCGCGGACCAAGGAAAGATATTGATGAATTGGTCAAATGCGATCAGATTCTGGAGGTATTTATTACCATTCATTCCCCTTATATCAGAAGAACAACGTATGCTATTGACATGCGGCTAACTCACACATCTCAGCTCGGAGCAGGCAGCGCTCTTCCCAGCCTCATCCTCTTCCGCCACGCAGTGCTACACTCCCTGAGTGATCTCACATTCACTCTCGCAGACTACAACGAAGAAGTTCTCCGCCTCATCACTCTGCCCAATCTCATCCTGACCTGGGCAGCCGCTACAACCACAACCACCACAACCTCCCCAGAAAGCAACAGCAACAGCAACAACAGCATGAATTTCCCCCTCTCAGAACCCTCCAATGGTGATTTCGAACTCACCCCCTCCCTCCTCTCCAACTTCAAAACTTCCCTCCAATCCACCAATCTCACTCTCAATTTCCTCTCTGGTCCCTGGTCTCCTGCTCTCGCGAATCTCATCCTTCCATCTGCATCCCCATCCCCATCCCCCTCTCCCTCTTTCTCTATAGGAGAAAAATCCCTCCTCATCCTCGCCTCCGAAACAATCTACAGCCCCACCTCGACCGCAGCATTCGTCGATCTCGTCACTACTTTGCTCAAGCGACGCGGCAGCGGCGGCAGTGGCAGTGGCAGTGGCAGTGGCAGTGGCAGTGGCAGTGGCGGAAACATGGGCAAAGCGGTGTTGGGGGCGAAGAAGATGTATTTTGGCGTTGGAGGGTCGGTGGATGGGTTGAAGGAAATGTGTCGCGATAGGGGCGCTGTGGCGTATGAAGTGGAGAATTCCGGGGTGAAGGGCATGGAAGGGGATGGAGTGGGGAGGGCGTTGGTGGAGATTCAGATGTTTTAGAGAGAGGGGATGGGATGACTTGGAGAAGAACTAGATTTTCTGGAATATTACGACGAACCAGGATGCAAGCACAAGTCTTCATTTTCATGGAGCCATACGAACTGATTCGGGACACTGTATCAAAACATGTCCTTTTGAATGACGACTACGACTAAATACATGTCGCTTAGGGTATCCACAAACCTCCTATACAACGCCGACGCTTTCTCTATGCAAAATCTGCCTATGCAGCCTCGTAGCTCTCGAGCGGTACATATGCACCCCGATCGCCCTCTCCATGCTTCCGCCGTGTTCCCGTGACGAGACCTTTGATCCCGTCCACTGCTGACCACAGCCCAGCTCTGCGTAATGGCAGCGAAAGCTCCACACTTTCCTCGCGCATCCAATCGGGTCTTTTCCAGAATTTCAGCAAAAGACTGCTGACAACGACGGTAACACTGGAACACGCCATCGCAGCTCCCGCCGCCAAAGGTGGAAGTGTGATTCCCCAAGGAAGCAGGAAACCCATGGCAATCGGTAGACCGATGGCATTGTACACGCAGGAAAGCAGCAGGTTGAGCTTGATTCTTCGGAAGATGGTTTTGCTCAACTGTAGTGAGGCGGGAATGTCCATTAGCTGATTGGGCTTCATCAGCACCACATCAGCGGCATCCATCGCGACATCCGTACCCGATGCAAGCGAGATACCAATGTTCGCCGTCGCTAGTGCGGGAGAATCGTTGATACCATCGCCGACCATGGCAACGGTCTTGCCTTGCTTCTGGAAGTCCTGGATGATTTCCTTCTTGCCTTGCGGCAACACTCCCGCAAAGACGTTTTCGGGCGCGATGCCAACCAAGGCAGCAACATGGTGTGCAGTGGCCGCCTGATCACCCGTCACCAGACATGTGCTAATGTTCATGCGATGAAGTGCGGCAACAGCAGCTCGGGCAGTGGGTTTCAAAATGTCCGAGAGACCAATAGAGCCCGCATAGACCGAGTCAATCGCAACATGAATAGTGGTAATGCCAGCGGACTGACCCATTTTGGACGACGAAGGACCCGATAGCGATTGTCGTCGAATGTCCTCGTAATCATTGTACTCGTCTTCTGGTGTTGTGGGCACTGCGACGCCCTGCTTTCGCAGAAACGAGGCATTGCCGATGATGATCGCATAGCGACGATTTTCGTATCCACTGCCGGGCTCAATGGATGCTGCTATGCCGTTGCCGACAGTTGCCTTGAAGTCGCCCATGTTGCCTGCCAACTGCTCGTCCACTGCCAACCGCAGTTTCTCCTTGGCGCCGCTGAGGATGGCTTTGGCGATGGGATGTTCACTGCTGGTCTCTGCCAGTCCGACCAGTGTCCACCACAGATCGACTTGCGTCTTCCACATACCAGTCTGCTCCGACTGCGAGACACTCATTTTGCCCATGGTGAGCGTACCAGTCTTGTCGAGGACGACGTGGTTGATCTTCGTTGCAGTCTCCAATGCAGCTCCACCTTTGACGAGGATGCCCTGCTCTGCGCCAACACCTGTGCCCACCATCACAGCCGTGGGCGTCGCGAGACCTAGGGCGCACGGGCAGGCGAACACGATGACCGCGATACATAGCTTGACGCACACCATGAGTCGGCCACCACTGGCGTCACTGAGGAATATCATGGGCGGATGCGGCAGGATATGGCTGAGCACCATCCAGCAAATAAAAGTTGAAAGCCCGAGTGTGATGATAATCGGAACGAAGTATCCGGCGACGATATCTGCCATGCGCTGTATCGGTGCGCGGCTCGTCTGCGCCTCCTGGACGAGTCGCACGATTTGGCTGAGTTGAGTGTCTCGCCCCGCTCGGGTAACTTTGAAGTCCAGGCGACCAGCATTATTCACAGTGCCCGCCATCAGCGCAGAGCCAGGCTTTTTGTTAATCGGCATGGCCTCACCAGTGACCATGCTCTCATTCACGTAGCTCTCGCCACGCATGACTATGCCGTCTGCAGGGATCTTGTCACCCGGCCTCAGTATGACGATATCACCGACCTCGATCAGCTCCGTTGGGATCGTCCTCTCGTCCACAGCGGAACCCGTAGCGTCGCTATCATCTGCTTTCTTCTCATCGATCTCGTGCTGCGCATCCCAGCTCTCTGCGGCTTTCGCTGCGGCGATGGGATCGGCGTAGATGGTGGCCATCGGTGGCGACAGACTCATGAGCCGTGATAGTGCCTTGGACGTCTGTCCTTTTGCGCGATTTTCCAGGAAGCGACCCAACGTGATGAAAGTGATCAGCATGGTGCTCGTGTCGAAGATCGTGGACGGCCGGGAATGTGGTGGAATCAGAATAGACACGAGCATGGCGGCACAGCTGAAGAAGAATGCAGCGGACGTGCCGAGTACGACAAGCACGTCCATTGTCGGCGAGCCGTGCTTGATGGACTTGAAAGCCGAGACATAGAAGCGTCTGCCGATGCCGAACTGGACAGGGACGGTCAGGACCAGGCAGACCACGTCGCCAAGCCACAGCCCAGGAATAATCGGTAGCTTGATACTCCCCACGTCGAGGGGTTTGATAAACATGGGCAGAAACATGCTAATCAGGAATACGGGTATGGCAAAGGACAGTGAGACTCGGAAGTCTCGCTTCCACTCCTGTATCTCCTTGGTTTTGGCGAGCGACTCCAGCTGTGCGTTATTGTCGTCGTTGTCCGCAACGAGCGCGTTGTATCCTGCTTGTTCGATGAGCTCCACAATAGCACGGAGGCCAATAATCGAAGGAGAATGGGTGATTGAAGCACGACCGCTCGCGAAGCTGAGGTTGACAGAGACGATGCCGGGCGTGTTCTTCAGGTCGGTCTGCAAGTCTGCCGTAGCTTCAGGACTGGGCAACCCATATACTTTGAGTTGGACGATGGAAGCTGACGTGGACGCTTGGATGCCTTCTTCCAGACTCGATACGACGGTCGCATCGAAGCCTTTATCTTCAATGGTCTCTGTGATCTTGGCCGTGGGTAGCAGCTGGGGATCGTGAACAATCACTGCGCGCTCAGCGAGCAGACTGATGTTGAATTGCACTACACCAGGTACGTTTTTGAATCCACTCTCCACGGCGGACGTGCAGGCACCGCACGTCATTCCTTCAATCGCTATCGTAGTCGTCGTGAATCGTTTGCCTGTGCTCTTCCTCCTTCGCTTCGGCTTTGTGGCCACCGACTCGCTCGCTTTCGTTTCCAACACTTCCGCATCAAAGCCGGTGTCCTCGATTGTCTCTGCGAGCTTCTCCGAGCTCATGATGTTTGGATCGTGTTCAATCACAGCACGCTCAGAAAGAAGCGATATGCTGAAGCTTTTAATGCCCGGAACGCCCTTGAAGGCGCCCTCCACAGCGGAAGTACAGGCTCCGCATGTCATGCCTCCTACATGTAGCGTAGTCGCATATATCCCACCGCCCAGTAAGTCCGCCTCTTCTTCTTCTCTGTCGTCGTCGTCCTCCACGTCTTCTTCGTCAGAAATGTCAAACAGTGGTGTTTCGGGACGGTCACTGCTGATGACAGTCGCATCGAACCCTCGATCATCGATCATGTCCCGGATCTGCTCCGCGCCAATCTTGTCTGCGTCGTGCGTGACTACAGCCCTCTCCATAACCAAGCTGACGGATACGCTTCCCACGCCCTCCACATCTTTCAAGCCCGACTCTACAGACGATGTGCAAGCGCCGCAAGTCATTCCTTCTACTCGTAAAGTCGTGGTCGTCATATGCGCACCAGGCGGCACTGTAGTCGGGCGAGATGACGCCATGATGGAAGAAGAAGAAGAAGAAGAAGAAGAAGAAGAAGAAGAAGCTGTCTCAGCTTGCTAGCAGGGCGTGGCTTTTGTTTGCGGCGAGAGCGGCCAAGGTGGCCGAGTTCGTGTGCGTGCGCCTCGTTCGATGGTGTAGCGAGCCTTCAGCCCGCGCGGTAGGTAGTATATATGCAATCAGCGCAGGGTATGGATGGATGGATGGTGGATGGATGGTTGCGTGCGTGCGTGCGAGCGCTGTCTATAGTGAAGAAGAAGAAGAAGAAGAAGTCGCAGACCGGAGGCGGGCGGTGGGCCACTGATGTGCCATGTGCAAGGCGTCGGAGCAGGCTCTGAGTGGGCGTCAATAGAAGAGTCGAACAAAGAGCGAACAGCGACACACGAGGCAAAAGAGGCGTGATCCATCGGGCAAGGTAGGGTCGAGCAGGGCAGGGTAGGTAGAGGAAACTATGTAGTGCTACGGTACCACCTCCTACCGGTACTAAGCTGACAAAGTAGGAGGTAGCACACGGCCGCTTCCCGATATCGCGAATCAGATGCCATTCCATTCATGGTCGGATTCCGCCTGTCGCATGGGTTCCACTTCGGCATTGTCTGCAGAAGGTTTTTTTGTATACAAAACCGTGATAGAGTTGACCTTCCTAAGCGGTGTTAGACATGGCTAGATGCCCGCCTAATGGCTAAAGCAGACTCTGCACTGCTGCTCCCTTGTTCACTGCATGCTCCCCCAGTGTCTCCCCAAGTCCCCCCACTCACCTACCCTACCTGGAACCTCCCATATCCTGTATATACCTGAGGCAGAACATTCACAAGACAATATATGCCACCACCACCGCCACTTAACCTGCGACCTGCCATGTACTCTACTTTGTACTTCAGCCTTGCCAATACTACTACGGTATCTTTCACAGATGTAGGGACCATGTGATTCCACCACCACCACCACCACCACTACTACTACTACTACTACTACTACTACTACACGTACCTGACTAACACTCCCAGTAGCACGCAAATGTCGCCCTGTTCTCGCTGGGCACCGGCCTTGGTCAAGTCTTGGTCCTCTTCTTCGCAACCTTTCGAATGTCCAAAAGTACACGAATGTCCGTTGAAGCGAGGTCAACAATGATTGGTGGGTGGCGAGGCCGACGGAAGAGACGACCAGTGGTGACTAGCGGCGGCCTTTACCTCCAAGCGTCCTTTTTGCGCATCGGAGGATATATATACACCCATTCCGAGAGTGGCAACCAGCAAATGGTTGGCCTCCGACCGACGGCCCGCTGCGACATGTTTGGGATTCCTTTTGTGCTTTGACCCTTTGACCCTCTCACAGGAGCGGAGAGTCAGGACAGACGGCGACTATGCTCGATTGGGGATGAAACAGCGTGTGCTCTACGCCTCTAACCTCCGCCTCTTCTGCAGGAATCATCCTTGGCTCACATCGGCCGCGTACTCTTCTCACACTCCTCTCTCTTCTCTTCTGTGCTTCTGCTTGCCCCCCTTGCAACCTCTTTCGTCTCTAGTTTGGCGTATACTCCTCCTCCTCCTCCTCGTTCTTTCATTGTAGCAGTCCGCCTTTCGGGCAACATTCGTTGAGTCTAGGAGCCATTATTACTGTCGTTTGTCCCATACATCTTGATCTATCTATATCTCCCGCCTACGTAGTCCGTCCTCGCGTAGTCCTTTGTCTCCAGTGGCAAGCAAAGCAACATTCACCGTCACCAGACCCGGCACTCCGCCTGAAACGCCGTCGCTGCTGCAGCGAGCCGAACACAGCAGGAACACGAACACATCGACAGCCTCGTCGCACAGCCTTTGCTCCATTATCACCACTACTCCCACCACCACCACCAAGCCTAGTGGCTGTCAATTGGAACTGTAACAGGAAGATTGGATACCTGTAGGAGGTAGACCTCATTTGCATACTTGCAAGCACGATAACAACAACAACAACACTCCGGCGACTGTGCGCCACTCCGCAAACACGCGAACATGAAGTCGAATACATTTGCTACCGCAGCGGCGTTCCTTGCAACGCTCGCGCTGGTAAGGGCAGCCGCGCCCAAGTGCTCTCCCAGCAGCCCTTGTCCGTCAGATGCGCCTTGCTGTTCTCAGTATGGTCAATGTGGTGTTGGTGCTTACTGTCTGGGGGGTTGCGATCCCATGTCGTCACATTCCCTGCAGTCGTGTGTGGCGGCGCCAGTATGCCAGAGCAAAGACTACAAGCTGGACTCGCTGGACGACATTATGCCCAACACCAAATACCTGGGAGATGCGAGCACCGCCAACTGGGTCAGCTCGGGCACTGCCGTGGCATACAACGGCGACTCGGTGCTGCTCACCATGGCCCCCAGCACCGTCGGCACCCTGCTCACCAGCACACACTACGTCTGGTATGGCAAGATTAGCGCGACCATGACGTCCTCGCGCGGCCAGGGCGTGGTCACGGCCTTTATTCTCATGAGTGATGTCAAGGACGAGATTGACTTTGAGTTCGTGGGCGACGATGTCACCAAAGCCCAGAGTAACTACTACTACCAGGGCATCACAGACTGTAAGTTTGAAGCTAGACATGGCCACTCGCAGCCAGCCAGCCAGCCAGGCTTGTTGGATAACTTGAATTTTCCCACTAATCATCGATCGATGAATACCTTAGACGAGAACATGATCCCCCTCGACGTGTCCGACACGCAAGTCAACGTGCACACATATACCATCGATTGGACGCCCGACAAGGTCACTTGGAGCATCGATGGCAATGAGATGCGCACCTTGAACCGAGACGACACCTGGAACGCCACCACCGGCAGCTACCACTTCCCACAGACGCCATCTCGTGTCCAGCTGTCGCTGTGGCCCGCCGGTCTGAGCAGCAACGGAGAAGGCACCATCGACTGGGCGGGCGGTCTCGTCGACTGGGACTCGCAGTACATGCAGAATGGCTACTACTACTCCATGGTGAGCGACGTCTCTGTGGAGTGCTACGACCCTCCGAGCGGCTTCTCGGGCAATACTGGCGGAAGCGCATACTACTACACCGGCGGCGAATTCACCAACAACACCGTGGCCATGGGCAACAACAACACCGTTCTCGCATCTCTCATGGCGACTGGCGAGAACCCAGACTTTGGCAAACCCGAACCCAGCAGCGACAGCAGCAGCACCAAGACTCAATCTGCCGCTCAAATGACCAACACTCCCGAATCCGTGCCCGGTGTGACGGGTGGCGGCAATGTCGCATCGAGCGGGAACGCCCCCGTCGACACCTCTGGAGACAGCAGCAGCTCCTCCGGCTCCGATTCCAGTTCTGGAAGCGGCAGCTCGAGCAGTTCCTCTGGCGCCGGTTCCGGCTCGGGCTTCTCACAAGGAGGTAGTAGTAGCAGTGGCAGTGACGCCAGCACGGGCGAGGCACCGCGAACCACGATTGCCACTAGCAGTGCAGTCGCTCTACTCGGATTCTTCATTGCCGCTCTCGTGTTATAACACTTAATGATTTGATTTTTGTTGCTTTTTTCCCCCTCTAATGAGAACAGCACTGCATGCAAGCGAATTGGATGGGAAGACTTTGTTTTTTTCAGGCAAAAATCTGGTGTAATTGCCCTCTCTTTCCCTTTTCCCAACAAGAGATGGACGGGCTTCCATTCCTTCTGAACAGACAGAAAGACAGACAGACAGACAGACAGAGACAAGACACTGATGATAGGTGGTATGCGGTATGCGGAACGTCTCAGTCGTTTTTTTTTGCCGCGTAGGTACTTATAGGTACTATATATGGGTCGGACAGTACCTCTCCTGTTGTTACTGCTGCTGCTGTTGCTGCTGCTGTCGCCTAATGATTGATTGATTGATTGACCGACAAAGGAAAGACTTTTTGTACATAGTCCCTCTTTCTTTTTCTTGTTCATAGAAAAGAAAATCATTATTGGTTTCTCTTTTTTTTTTAAAGGAACTGAGAATTTTACGCTTACGAGAATTTCTCTGTTTACTTTACTTTTTTTTTTTTTTCTTTTTTTCAAAATTGAGAATTATATGGAAAGAAGGAACGAACGTTACAGGTATGCTATCATCTATGAAATTGAATATGAAATTCAAAAGAGAAAAAAAGAGGATATCAATTGCGTACTCCATTCACCCCCGCCCAGTACAACTTCTCCTCTCTCTCTCTCTCCTGCATGCATAAGCCGACACACAACTACCACGTCGTCTTCTTTGTTGGTCCGAACCCCGGCTTCTGCCAGCCAGACTGGGGAAGTATCGTAGGTCTTCATGATCCGATCCGATTCGCCTATATTGACTTGCTTGGTAGTTGTGGTAGTGTTGTCGTTGGTCTTGGTACTGTTGTCGTTGTTGTTCTTAGCGGGACAGATGAGGATTCAATTCCGTTAGAGGGTGTGGATGGGGGAGTATAACGAAAATATATAAATAAGTACTTCCGATTCGCCAATATTGACTTGCTTGGTAGATGTAGTGGCGTTGGTGGTGCTGGGTACTGGTGGTTATCGGCGAAAGGATGAATATTTTTTTTTTCGTTAGAGGGTGTGGGTGGGGGGTGTATAACGAAAATATATATAGATAAGTACCCGTGGAGTTCTTCCGGAAGGACCTTTTTCCCCTAGAACGAGAGAGAAGAGTGTAAGAGAGCGCGCGCGACGCAACGCATGCATCATGGTCGTTAACTCCTCAGTGAAAAAGCGGCGTAGTGATGGATTTCGAACGCGATCAATCTGTTCTTGGTACCTGGGTCGTTTTCCCTACAGCAAAACACTGCTCAGCTTCTCTGCGCGCGCGCACATCTTTCTCTCTCGTTGGAAGAGGTTCACGCTCGCGAGGTCGACACACTGCTTTGCTGCGTCTCTTTCGTTCCATGTGAATCAGCTCGCTAGCTGGTTGGGCTGGATTGGGCTGTGCTGGAGAATACTCTATACAGTGAAGAGGCATCGGTACCTGGTCCAAGATGATTTCCACGTCCGAAGGGTCATCACTCCCAACGCGCGCTGCCTTGTCCACTTCTGTCTCTATATCTTCCTCCTCCTCTCCTCCTCACTCCAAACTTCTCTTCGGCCTCACGATCAATGCAAGATTGCACTGGTCGCCACGGATGCCATCAAGCTTTGTAGGTATCGCACCCAAGGTGCCATCATCTCCTCGAAGATGGGCAAGCCGTAATGGAGCAGTTCGCTTTCGATATATAGCTTCATTCCATTTCGAAAGAAAAATTTCCAGGCTAGGGTATATACTGATCGGAGTGAGTGATGGGCCCGTCCATGATATTCGTCGTCGTCGGAAATAGGTATATAGGCACGGGGAAGAAGACCAGATTCTGGTGTGGCTCTCTGCGGGCAAACGTCTGTTGGCAATCCGTCAAGGAACGAACGTGAACGCCTCTATAGATCTTGCCCCGAATTTCGAATCAGATGTCGGCGAAACGAAAAAGAATTTCCACGGGTGCAGCAGTTGTTAGGTTCAAGCTGGGAACACTCTTTATACAGACCTTCGCTCCATTCCGGAAAAAAGGGTCCGGGCTCAACTTGTCCATTCTCTATGCTGGTTGAGCAAGAGAGAGAGCGAGAAGAAGGGCCGAGGGTAGGTAGCAGACGAGCAATATCTCAGTGAGCTCGTAGTGTCGTCTACCTAGTCCTCTTCTCGAGTCATCCGATGATTCCATCTGTTGCTGTTGCTGCTCTTCATTTTCCAAATGTAGATTTATAGTATTCTTGTGTGATGAGTTTATAGTCAGCTAGCTCGAACGTGAATTCTCGAGGTACGGTATTGGGTTGCCAGAATGATAATATATTTATCAAAAAAAGAAATCCCTTCTCCTTTCTTCTCGTTGTTGTTATAGCTCGGCCCGGTAGTCTGCTTCTGTAGCACAGTTTTCGAACCCTCGAATTGAAGAGAACGGAGGAGGATAAATATCCACTTCGGCCGGCTGGCGTTTCGTCAAGATGGTTGTTTGATCTTGCCGAGGGGGGAGAAACCGTTGGTCTGCCCTCGAAGTCTTCTCTTCATATTATCGTCGTCGTCTTCTTCTTCCTCATCTTCGTCATCTTCTTCGGTCTAATGATCAGCGAGGCTATCGTCGTCGACCTTGGTCAAATCGGATTTATAGAGACTTTGGGTGCCAAGCTGATCGTCTCCGCGGCATTCAAAGTCAGTTGTAGCTCAAGAAGGAGAAGAACAGCGTAGTAGGTAGGTAGTCTCAAAAGGTTGCATATAACGCGTGAGTGGTAGTAGTAGTAAGGTAAAAGTAAATCTCGTAAGCGTTTCAGCTCAAGATAAGTGTTTTGAAACAAACATCAATGTTTGGCCAGACTGCAGCAAACCCATACACGGGCAGTTCGGGAACTTTGTCTCGCTGCTTGTCAGCAATGGTCTCTTATTAGAAGAAATATAGCGAAACTTGTAGGAGCGAGAGCGTCGGTGAAGGGACTCGTGAGTTGGAGAACCATCCATACCTCTTCTTGCTGCGTCAGCTACTGATGGCGTAGCTTCAACATGCGAAAATGTTGCAGAGTTGCTTGAGTTTGCGTCGCTATGTGCTACAAGAGGACAATCTCTATGGCATCGCGGGAGAGCATACCAAATGCATCTGCATCGCTGAAGGAGCGCTAGGCCCAGTGAGATTGCACAGGCAATGTACCTTACAGGTAACAGAGCACAGTTCAACGTTCACATCGTACTGATACTCGTCGGGGCATTTTGCCACACATCTGAGCGGTGTGAGCACGACAAATAGAGCGACGCAGCTCCTCAACCCCGTCCGTCATTCAGCACAACCATGAACGTTGGCTTGTCACCAGCAGCTTCGAGATAAACCTCCAACTCATCATCGAGATCGATTTGCCAACTATCGTCCGGACCATCGGGGTTCTTCACGATACCACTGATCTTGGTAGCGACGGCAACACCAGTCTTACTGGTCGCAGCAGCGTGCAAATCCTGCATAGTAGCAGCAGCCATTCTGCCATGCCAGATCTTGGGATGACTAGCAGTCAGATTGGAATCGGGCGACAGACGGAAGTAGGCTGGAATAGGCTGAGAAGGATGCTCGATCACGAACGGGCCAGGTGCCGCCAGCGCAGGATCGAGATGGAGTGGTTCGGAGGGCTGAGCGAGAGTGGTATTCGAAATGGTGATGTGAGGCGGGTAGAGATTTGGTGGATCATCACTTCGTTGCTTCGGCTTGGGTACAGGTTGACCAGCTTCGCGCAGAGCTCTTGCTTCGGCGCCGGCTCTGGACCGTGGAGCGGTAGCAGCCCAGGCAGGACCTGGCCCGGGGCCATAGCTGTTATTACGCTGTACCGGTTGTCGTTCACCACGCTTGTTCTTGTCTTCGCGGAAACGCTTCATGGCGTCACTGCACAGCAGTTCGACTGCTTTCATCTGGCGTGCGTCTTGGGACTGGAGAGCTTGCTGTAGCTTCTCATCGTTGGAGTCGAGCCATTGCTGCTTCAGGGCCTGAAAATGATCCTCGCCACTCAGCAAACGGGACTCGAAATGGTCCGCACTCAGGATCTCGTAAAGTGAACGACGAATCGCTTTGCTTTCGGTGGGATTGATGCCAATGATATTGTTTGCCTCGGCGACTGTGATCTGATTGCCGGCTACACGCATGCGCTTGGTTACGTCCTGGCATAAGACATCCAGAGCAACGCGTTTGCGGTCTTGGTCGGGCTGTACGGGGTCCATAATGGCGCGGAGGTGTATATTATCACCGACCAGACTCCTCTTCGCCTCGTCCCAGACGCCCTCGGCACACTTTCGTTTCTTGAGAATGCTCCTGTGCTCGCATATCCTCTGAAACTCGGCGCGAACGCTCTGGTACATTTCGTTGCCAAGATGCAGAATCGCTTTGCACTCGTCCAAGCTGGTCTCGGAGTTGTATCTCGGGGGCAGTCCCGGAGCGTCTGGAGGCAAGTGGCCGAAGCCTCGGATGCGGCGACGTCGCTTGTTCGAAGCTAGTTTCTGGTCGCTTTCAAGCTGGATCTGGAGCAGGCGTTGTTGACGCAGAGCTTCTTGGTCCGAGGTGAGCGGAGCCAAGATTGGCGAGGCCTCCTCATCCACCTGGTCCCCATCAGGAGTGACAGTAGCCGCATCAGCAGCTGCTATTCCTGCCTGTAAAGCCGGATCGATTCCTGCAGTCTCGCTGGTCGTCGTGCTACGCTGCCGCTTCTTCTTGTTCTTCTCGGGATCGGGAGGCTTGTAGCCAGCTTCATTGCGCAGGCGCAAGCCCAGACTCTTCCAGATCTTCGAAAAGTCGTAGTCCTTGACCTCGTAGCCTTCGGCAGCAATGGCGCTCTTGATGTCCTTTTGGTTCAGGTTGCGATTCCACAGTTCGTGAATGCGATCCGCCACGGCTGCAGTCTCCTCTGGCGTGAGCTTCTTGTTGTGACTGGGGAAGCCCCAGACGGCGAACTGGCGCAGGAAGCCCTTGCGACATGGCAGATCAGTGAGGGCGAGATGGAAAGTCTGCGAGAAATATTTCTGGATCTCGGCGGCGCTTCTGTGTTCTTGGACGTAGAGCTGATGGCAAATATCCTTCTTGTCGGTCCAGTCGTATTTTGGTGGGCGGCCCGCCCGTTTCTTCGCCCGCGAGTGCTCTCCCTCGGTCTCTCCGCCGTCTTCCATCTTCCGATTTCTGTCCCGACGCGACTCTTCGTCGTCGCTGCTACTGCCTGCCTGCCCGGATGACTACGGTGTACGACAGAGGAGATTTTGGGCCAAGCCGGCATTCCCGTGGTGCCGTCCCCTCCCTCCCGTTCCGCCATTCCCTTTTGCCGGCCAATATCAATCTTTACCAGGTACTTCCAACTCTCACACACCAACAACATTCCTGGGAGGCCACCACTCCATTGACACCGCCGATGTCCATCTCAAGTCATTCTTCCACTACAGGGAGTCACAAGCCCTATGGCTTCAGTATGCCGCTGGTATGGGACCAGCTATTGATCCGGCCATATCAATTATGCCATGGCATCTATCCTGCTTGTTGCCTACCGATTGACCATGCTGCACATCTCCACCGCGTAATGAGAGTTGATCGACTGTGATATGCCAGCTGCGATCATAATTGACTGTTCCTAAGCGAGCACCACATGGGTCCAAGCATGCATCTACTGTGCGATGCTAGCCATAACTGATCATTCAGCAGTGTCGTTTGTAGCCTAGATCATCGATCTGCACCACGAGTTCGAAGGGCAGTGGCGGAGCAAACATAGATACAAACAGACTCGTGGACATACTCACGCGTTGCAAGCGCCTCGCCGGACTCAGCATAACATAGTCAAACGTCTCACGCAAAACGCATGAAATTGGTGAAAATACCTGTGCCTTCTTTAGTCGCGACAGGTCGGAAGCCTTCATTCTGTTCGCTGCTTCCGCAGATCTTGCGTCTTGTTCGATCACCATACCGCCTGCGGCCGGAACACTCACTTCAAAGCTATGAGAGCGCACGATTGGTTCCAGGGCTTGCCATCCTGGGCACAGCAGGACAAGTCGTGGTACGACCTCATGGGAATATCGAGTAGGCCAGGTTCATTGGCCTCAGTGGCACCATCGACATCCGTGGGAGCTTCTACAAAACGACGCTCTCGAGCAGATGCTATGCGATGTCTCGAGGGAAGAAGCCAGTCCAAGATTTCTGATTCGTCGGAGAAGCAACAATCTCAAGGTCATACTAGCACGGATGGCAACAGTGGTGATAGCGAAAATGGAGATGCATGGAGTGATCCTTGGGCGGACATCACCTCCTCTGGCATTCCGGGCAGCCTACTTGCTGCGAGCTCGATATACTCTGGAAAATTGGATCCGCCCCTGTTGATGCCAGGAGTCCCAGGATGCGCGAATGTGGAGCTTCCTTTGGCACGTCAAGTCACACCGCCTCACAACAAAGCATGCCATGATGTGGACCACATTGGATCGTCGCCATCACATCCGATCCTTAGCGACAAGGGCATCGGGGCCACAGTCAAGGCTGCCCTGCGACTCAGCAGCCAGGGCAGTGTCAGTTCCAGTGTGTTCTCAGAGCCCAAGGTACCGCCCGCAGTTCACATCTCGAAGTGCCGACGAACTCCACTCTCGGTAGGCCGACCTCATCATGACTTCTGGCCACCGCAAGGCCATGTAGCACGATTTCCCGATTCTCCGTACCTGACGCCCACTGCACCCTATATTCCTCTCAAGAATGCGCGAATCTCGCCAGCTCGTAACCAAGAACATTTAGGCTGGGTCGATGCCAAGCATCAGCCTGACTGGACACGGAAAGTGTCTACACCAAGAAAGATCTACCATCAAATCGAGCATCGACCAACTCTAGACAAATCGACAGTGCTGTATGATGTGGAGATGGATCAGCAGACTGTCGGAACTACATGTACACCGCAACACGATTTCGACGTTGAATACTGTGCGCATGGCGGCGAGAGAGGAGCTCTGCTACAAGCCATAGCCGACATGTTGAACGTGTTCAATTGCTTCACTCGGTATAAGACATGAGTGACTCCATATGTCCTATCACGACTACCGTACCTAGCAAGGTTATAGGTATTTACAGTTTTCAATCGAAGACATGCATGTGTTCACTCCAATCAAAAGAAATACCTCGTCCCACTACAATGAATGACACAATTTATCCCTTAGCTAGGTACATGTAAGGTTGTACCTACTGTAGGTATATATCATCGGTACATGTACATATAGGAGGTATATACCTGACCTGCCCGGGTTCGGAACGGAGATACCTACCTGATTCAAACAAACCTGGAACTTTTTACCTCCTAGGTTCGCTCAAAGTGGGCCCGTCCGTTCCGAAAGAGAGAGGAGGGAGGGGGGGGGGGGGAGGGAGAGATGACCTACTTAGACTTGGGGCTTCTTTCGTGCACCCATCCATACAGACAGACAGACAGACACGATGGGAACGAATGTTCCGCAGGACGTGTAACCTAGGTATAAAAATGTATAAAAGGGTATAAAGTTTCATATCATGGGCAAAAATATATTCATTTTCTGAAGCTGGTCAAGTCCTGCTTGTCTACAGTAAAGCAGATAGATCTAAGGGTGGCCATTCAATTCACATCAGGCCTATCCTGAAACACCACGCTATGCCTGAGCGGGTGCAAATATTTATGCACAGAAACATCTCTCCCCGGGGGTATCATCGTCATCATCGTCGTCATCATCATAATCATCATCGCCATCAAAAGGAACCCAAGGTACCTATGGAAGAATGCTCGACCAAAGACTTTCTGCCTCCTCACTGTCTGAGGAAGAGCCCAGGCACAGCTTTCCGTCAAGCGACTGTCGTTTTCGTTTCTTCCGCCTCGGGATCCTCTGGTGCGAGGCGGCCCAGCATGTACTCTGCTCGTTGTCGTGGCCCTCCGCCTCGACGATCGGCGGTCGCGTGGGGTTGTATCTGGGATCTGTCCAAATCCAGAGATAGCGGCGTGGTCGGAGTCGCGTGTCCACGGACTGTATCAGAGTCCAGTGGAGTCATTTGCTGACGTCGTCTGCTTGCCCGAAACTGCCTGACTCCAGGCATGCTCTGAAGACGGTCTCTGATAGTGTCCGGAGAGGCGCTGTCGCTGCAAAAAGCATTGGGTCAGCAAGTTGCTCGTAGAAACACAACCATATGTCAACCAGACTCGCCCTCGAGCTTCGTCGAAAGGTTAAGCCTAGTAAAGTAATATTCGGAATTTGATTTACCTCGAGTCTGAATCTGCTGCTGCGCGCTCTCGAGCTTGTCTGAGGAGACGTTCTCGTCGGACCATAGCATTCGTAATGATTCGAGGGCAGTAGCCGGCAGGCAGGACGGTCTTCTTGCACATCGGGCACAGGCTACTGCTCTCTCGCAGAAAAGCATCGACGCACTCGGGGTGGAAGAGGTGGTGGCAGGGTAGCTCGCGCACTATAGTTCCATCCTGTTCGGTAGTAAAAGGTACGAAGTCGTCGAGACAGATGGCACATGTGGGTTGTAGCAGAGCGTCATGATGGTAGCTGGTCGACGTCGGCGCAAGGGCCGCCGGACGCGAGGACACGTTGACCTGCTCGATCTGCGTAGACGCCACTTCCTTTTCGATATCGGTCAGTCCGTGGGAGGTAGTTCGGTGAAGTGCAGAATGCGTCTTGCCGTATTGGCACAGTGGCATAGCATCAAGCACAGCTCGTGGTACGGTGAGACGCTTGATGCCCACGGCTTCCAGATCGACGTGGCCACTTTGAACTCGCCTTCGCAAGGTTTGTCGTCTGTGCCGCCGAAACAGGTGCAAACCGAATGAGGCAGATCCAATAATGGCGAGCAAGAAACCAACAACGATCAATAGGAATACCCATAGCGACGGTAGTGACCTGCGATTCCCTGCGTAGGCATGTTTTCAGCTCCAGGCCAATATTGACATACTCGTAATGTAGGGTAAAACAGACGTACCCGTGTCGATGTCAGCATGCAGCCTCACATAGTCCCGGGAGGCGTAATATTCGGCCAACATGTGCCCGTGAGGTACGTCGGTCATGTTCCCACTGTACATGGCACTGGCGCGCAGCAACAGCGCTCCGTTTGCGCCATTGACGGCGTATACTGGGAAGCCATTGGTTGCCTTCCAATTCTGGGAGCTGGAAATGTCCCACTGTGCATCATCGGCGTTGGGAGGAATGCCTGGCATACCTGGCACAAAGAACAGTATCGCCTTGGTTGGATCTCGTCTTGCTGCCTCCATATACTCCAGTGAGCACTCCCCGCTCACCCATGGAGCCAACGCGACCAGATTATAGTCATCGGGAGGCAGGTTCGCACGGCGCGTCACCGCTGCGGGGATGTATGGCTCGCTCGCGTTGACACAGGAACTGGTGGCAGCCAGAGTCGGCACATATAGCAGACCGGTCACATCGCTACCGGAGCTGGCGCCGCGACTCGAAACGGTGCGAATATCGAAGGACGTGTTGAAGGTAAAGCTGAGGGCGCTGCTGAGGAGAACGGGTTGATCATCGTGTCCCGAGGCATGCCATTCCGCGTTCTACACAAGCAAGCAGCAACATCAGTCAGCCGAGACAGAGCACTCCGGGACGTTGGATAGCGTACGTGAGATCCGTCTAGGGTGAGCGGTGGTGGTGAGATGGGAGGCAGCAGGAACGGCGTGGCATGGTGGTGGGGGGAGGAGACTCGTCTGTTGGGTACAGGTACTTACGGGCACGATAAGTGTGACGACGGTCAAGGCCTGGGCGCCTGCATTGAGCCAGTCAACGAAAAGCCAGCTCGACATGGCATTGTGCGGTCGCAGGTGAGAGTGAGAGGCGGAGGAGGGTGTATATATACATGCCCTGGAGTACGAAGAGGGTGCGCTGCCACTTACTCATCGTTCCGGTTGCGAGCTGTCAGTGTGTCCTGACTAAGGGAGTATAAGAGAAGTGGATTGACGGGAGAGGACAGAAAGAGAGAGTTACGAGCCTGAGGTGAGCCTCCCGTGTGCCTCTGCCCGGTGGGTGGACTCCGGTCGGCGAGGCTCGAACTAGGGAGGAGAGACGGGTGGAGGTGAGAGCGAGCGGATCTTCCTCGATCCGTCGTAACGCCACCGTCTCTCAGTGCTGCTCTCACCACTGCTCACCACCGCTCCCGGGGCCTGCTTGTGCCGTCTTTCCACCACCACCCTTATCGAAGAGTGGTGATATACAGCAGAACATCACAGTCGAAGACGACAGAAGAAGAGATGAAGTGCAATCGAGATTCATGTCTATTGGGCCGGGCCATCGTACATGGTGAACAAGCATTGGTCTACCGTCTTGGCTCCATCACAAGCTTCTTGGCCTGTGATGACATTCTCGGTCCACGGGTCCGTTAGTACTACAGTAGAGTCACAAGTCCATATAGTAGTGAAACTGGCTTGCGGAGAGGAGTGTTCGGGCGGGGACCGTCGAATTACCGCAATAAAAGGAGGTAGGAGGTAGACCTAACTCGAGTCCTCGACTGCGCTGTTTCACCTGGTCTCAGATCCTCTCAGAGTAAGTTGGGTAGTCCAGTCGCTGTAGAGAACGATAACGCCATCCCATCCCCACCCATCCCAGACCTTGTTTGTATAATGCCAGTGATCTGCCGAGACCTGTCAGCCTGAACTATGTGAAGGTACATCTGTACGTGTACCTTTTTATGCACCACCCGCCGCCCCGACTGTCACGCGCGTCACTTCTCAACACGCGTTTCACCACCATCGAACAATTCGGCGTGGGATGAGCTGACGGTATCGGGTCTCACGCGCAACACAACACAAAAATCATAGCCGGCACAGAATCATGCCAGCGTCCAAGAAGGGCACAGGCAAGCCTGGCGCATCCACCACATCCACTACCAAGAATCATGCCTACCGACCCTCCACCTCGAGGCAGACGACGCCGTTGACAGAAGCCTCTACGACTCCCGCCACTGCCACCCCACAGCCCTCCGTCAAAGACGCCCCCAGCGCGACCACGACTCCCTACCTCCACACCTCCATCGCTGCACTCATATCCACAGACCCAAGCATAGAGACCCTCATCGATCGCAGCAATGGCTCTGTGGCCCGCCCTGCCGACCCGCCAACCGTCCGCGAACTGCGCAACCTGCACGATACCATCCGCGACACGGTCAACAAGTTCATGGGAAAGCGAGGCGAGGTCTGCGATCGGTCCATGCGGCAGCTGGTGCAAAGGAGAAAAGAAAGGGTGCAAGAGGAACGAGAGCAGGAGGCTGCACGCGACGCCGAACGAGCTCGCATCAAACGAGAGGAAGACCGCGCTGCCAAAGCGAAGAAGACGGCAGCGGCCGCGAAGAAGAGGCAACTGGAAGCGGACGAGATGGACGTGGACGGCGTGGAGACGGAGCGGAAAGAGGTGCGAGAGAGCTTGCCCAGCGTGGGCGCCCATGGACTGGCGAGGCAGGATGGAGTCGGCGTGCATCAAGGTGAGTGCTGGATGGGACATTGGTGGTGTTTGTCTCTTTCCTCTTTTGTGCGCAATTGCGGTAGGACGGGAGGGCGAGTGTGGGTGGATGGCATGGACGCTCGAATTCTTCTTCTTCTTGCTCTCGCTTTCCACTCAACAAACCCCCACCGCCAGTCCTTCCCCCCGCACACATCGTGTGCACACCAGCAACTGTGAAGCCAAGAATCATGCTGACCAGCACGATGTCACCAGGTGCAGAAGCTCCCCCGTCGCCGCCTGTCCAGCCTGGCACAGTCGCCGCCGACCTCATGGAGACCGGCACCGCCGCCGACGACTCCGACTCCAATGCATCACGACGTGACGTGCCTCCTACCGCACCGCTCTACGAACGCATCTATGGCAAGGATCCAACAGCCGCCGAAGACACGCTCCGATACCACATACCAGAAGTGACGGACGGCATGTCGAACGAAGAGAAGCAAGACATCTTTCGCGTGCGCGAATGGCCCGCCAGCGACCTGCGAGAGCTCACTGCTGGTGACCCGCCCGACAAGGACTTTTACAACAATGCGAAGCCTGCCAACCAAGTCAACTTTTCCACCTTTCAAACCTACGTCGAGCCCTACATTCGTCCTTTTACCGAAGAAGATGTGGCATTTCTGAAGGAGCGCGGCGATAGAGTTGGTCCCTACACCATGCCGGCTTTCGGCCCGAAAGGGTACAAGGAAATTTGGGCAGCAGAGGAGAATCTCTCGGGTCAAGGACTGGAAGCCCCCAAGCAGGAGCGCAACGAGCCAAATGAGGCCCGGGGAAGCATGGATGACATGGACGATGACATCGCCGATCAAGACACTGTGAGTATGGGTCCAGTGATGAGTCGCATGTTGTCCATCATTCGACCACAGCCTAGTACGTCAACCAAGAAGGACGAAGGCGAGGATGCCAACGGCGATACGTCCATGACCAACGGCGACGACGATGCAATTATGGCGCTCATCAACGGCACCACGGACGAGCAGAAGCCCGTGACTTATCTGCCAGGGGATCACCCGAAGCCGGACTTGCCCAAGCTCGATTACGATACTCTGGAACAACGCGCCCTGCAAGAGTTCAGATACCTTGGCATCATCCCTCCCAATGCCACACCCAATTTCGATCTGCACGAAGACAACGAAGTGGCGGCACGATTGCGAACCCTTCAGCACGAGCTCAAGATCGTCAGTCGTCGCAACAACATTCGCAAAGCTCGGGTGTTGGAGTTGACGGAAGAGCGCATGGCAATGCAGGAATATGCCAACATCTCTGATGATTTGGACAACCAGGTCAACGCAGCGTATCTTAAGCGCAATCGCTCACTCGCCAAGCCCAATCAGAAGAAGGGCGCGGCATCACGCCCGGGACAGAAGGGTGTGGCGTCGGCGCCTGCTGGCAGAGGCGTCAGCGATGGTGTGCGGGCGCTTATGCAGAAGCGCAAGGACTGGATCGAGATGGTCGGTCCGGTCGTGGGGTTCGGTCGGCCTGCCATTCCCGAAGACGATGAGTCGATCTTCGACGAAGCGACCATGAAGAGATTGGAGAAGGCAGAGAAGGAGGCAGAGGCAGGCGAAGGCGAAGATTCGTAGAATGGATCTGATGCACTCGTGGAATGGATCTGATGCACTTGTGGAAGGAGAGGAAGACGCAGGCGAGGAAGACTTGCCCATGGCATGAGCTGAGACGCGAGAGGACGAACTTTCGGGCTGTGGCGATATGAGCCCCCATGAGAGTGACGACGACGACGAAAGCAGACGACGACGACGACGACGACAGTTCTGAGAGAAGACTCGAGAAAAATGGTCCAGTTGACCATGAGAGCTTTCTCGATACGAGACAGCGACACAAAACACATTCCAGCGGATTCAAACAGAGAACTAAAGAGGGCAAGTGACGTGACCTACTAGACTAGGGATACGACGACGCTATTGCCTATGCACTTGAGTCAAGCCCATAGTTTGCACCTACTTCTCGGCCGTCTTTGCGGTAAAATATCTCGTTTCGTATCCGACGTGGGGTATAGCAATATTCCATTGCGGTGCCACGGTGATGATACGGAGAGCAGGTAGGTAGGTCGTCTCTGCCCCAAAAAGGTCTCATTCCCCCATTTGAGCTTCTCGAGTGTGGTTTCTTTTTCTTTTCCTTTTCTCTTCTTTTTCTTTTCTTTTTTCTTTTCTTTTTTCTTTTTTTTTCTTTTTTTTTGAGAAGATTATGCAGTAGAGAAAGCAAGGATGAAGAAAGACTGCAGTAGAGAAAAAGGAAAAAAAAAAGATGAAGATTGTGAATGAGGTATGCAACATGTTTCTCTCACCACTTTGTGTTTCTCTCATTTCTCATTTCTCTTCTCTTCTTCTCTCATCTATCGATGATACGGCATCGGAGCAGGCGGCGGTGTCCTTCCCGTTCGATTTCGTCGACTCTCCTTCTTCCGATGATGATGCTGCTGCTCCCTCGTCGGCGTCCGTGGCGGCGGTGGTGGCGGTGGCGGCGGCGTTCGTGTCTCTCTACCATACTCTGCACTTTCCGCAGCAGCAGCAGCACCCCTTCTCTCCTTCTCCTTGACTCTTCGTGGGGGGTCCTTGGGAACGCCAAACACCGGCTCCGTAATAACGGTATCGTCTTCTCGTGGCAAACGCACCGAGACCAAATTGAAGTAATAATCGAGAACTTGTGGATATTGCATGCACGACGTGCGCCAGTCTTGATCCACGCCTTGTTGCAGTGTGTGGTTGGCCGAGGAAATTTGTGAGTGGATGAGTTGTAGTTGTGCGGCTCCGAGCGGTGGGGCGCCGTTGTAGCGATGGTAGAGGGTGTAGAAGGGGAGCGTTTGGAGGTAATTCCGATGAGCTTCGATGCGCATTGCTCGCATTTCGTTAAAGGTGGTGATGATTTGGTTGCGGGCGTGATCGAGGACCCATTTTCTGGAAAAAAGCAATTGCAAGGAAAAATAACATGTTTGTGTTAACACACACACACACATACAACACACGAGACAAGACAGACGGATACAGGTACAGATACACACACCGGATCGTCTCGGTCCAAATCCACCTGTCCCAGGCTTGATTCAGAGCCAATTCCAGCCTTTCTCCCTCATGTGGACACTCGGGGAACGGAGGAGCGCCGCATATTGCACAATTGGCTTCCGGCACTTGCGTGGCTGACATGAGTCCCACCATCGACGCTGTGCCGCCACTGGACCCGAGAGAGAGAGTGAGAGATTTTTCTTTCTACCAGATCATGTCTTGCATCGCGAGTTAGGTAGGTATGTAGTGTGGGTTGAGGAGAGGAGAGATGGTACTGCTACTTGCCGTCCACGAGAATGGGAGGGAATAATAGGTATGTATATATATATATATGTGTGTACGGGATGAGTGCGTAGGAGAGAGAGGGAGAGAGAGCGGGAGAGAGAGAGAGAGAAAGAAGAAGTGAAGTGAAAGTAAGGTAGGAATGAATAATAAGGTAATCATAAATGAGACATGGTGGGTGCTGTCAAGTCACAACTGGAAAGGGCGGTCGGTCGGTCGGGCCACGCAAAAAAAAGACCAGGCTAGTACTGTACCTCACTGCGGATACTCCCCTACTAGTACCTTCCTAGTACACGTCGTTGTTTATATGTATGGGCCATGTTGTAAGTTGCAGCGGCGCGAACAGTAACAAGTGATGCCGATTGGACGGTTCATGCAGTGATGCGTTGGCGGGCAGCGAACCCGTGATGAACGATGATGACTGGAAAGAGACTGGAAGAGTGGCCAAGTGGACGTCGAAGGGGCTCATGTGACCAATAACGACAGGACAGCCCCGCCAGCACAGTAGGGACTGTAAAGAGGAAGATGTCCCTGGTCTGCCAAGCCTCCTGTTCCTTTCATGCTCCATCATGGAACGGAACCCAACCTCCGCCTCATTTCTATCCATCCACGTACCAGCCTTGGGCAGGCTGGCAGCTACATACATGTAGGTACGGTGAGTTGGCAACATATAAGGACATGATGATGATGATGATGATGACGACGAGCTTCCAAGCCCAAGTGAAGATTCGATTGGTCATGGTGTAGGCTATATACCTTGGGTAATGTTGGATGACTGACTGTCCTACTCCTCGACGAGAAAGTGGTGCAAAAAACACATGCTCGATGTGTTTGCGTATGGGGGGTGAAGATGGAGCTGGACAAGGGTGAAAATTGTAGCCGGAGCGCACGTGGAAAACCTGCACGCCATTGTTACACACGCTTGAATAAGGTATGTAACTTTCTCGACTGCACCAGCGGAGCAGCATGGAGACTGTCCCAATCAACAGCCTTGCCGTTCCTTCACCAGCTCTGAGCCCGAAATTGCTTGCAAAAAGGCCCGGGCTCGTTCATTGACCACCGTCGCGGAGCGCGAATGGGCCCACACGCGGCTCTCAGAGGAGCCAACTCCCGCAAGCCCAGGTGAATGAACACATCGGGCTGGAGACCTTCCTCCTTCGCTGGCCGTGATGATATCTGCCAGAAACAAGAAACAAGCTCTCATGATCCAGTCAGTAGGTTCTCCTTTGCCTTCTTCTGTTGCTCGCGCAGCTCGGCAATCTCTTCCTTCGACATGTTGTAGCTCGCCGCAACTTGGTTGAAAGGATTGTCCGGGTGCTTCTCGAACTCCTTCCGTATCTGGTCAATCTTCTGCTGTCGTCGGAGGCCCTTCTCATCCTTCAGCTCCTCCAGTCGCCGCTCCTCAAACTGTGTATAAGCAGCCTTGAATCTGCGCTCGGGGTGGCGGTCGATCTTTTCCTTGTTGTCCGTCGTGAGCGAGAGCGCGTCGAGGGCGTTATCGATACCGGTTGCATTAAGCGCCGCCAGTTCCTTCTTGGACGAGGGCGCATCGAGGCCGGAGAGATCCAATCCCTTGGACTTTTTGGGCGCCACTTTGCCCTTGCTCGGCTTGCTTGGAAGCGAAGCCTCCTCCTCCTTCAAAAGGGCTTCCTTCTCAGCCTTCTTGCGAGCCGCTTCTGCTTGCTTCTCGGCTGCTGCTGCTCTGTGCAGATGGTCAGAGGTCCGTTGTTGACACAGATCGGGCGCACAAGATCATGCTTACGCCTTGCTATTGTCCTTTGCGCCTTTGCTCCATTCCTTTGACTCTGCCGCAGCCCTCTTCTGATCTTCCGCTGCTTGTTTTGCCGCCGCTGCCTCGGCCTTTTTCGCGTTTCCCGCAGCCTTTTTGGTATTTTCGGTCTTCGGCATAGCTCCAAGAACGTGCGTCTGAACTGATTCTTTGGTGGGGGGAGTGCAGACGTGAGGCGTGATTGTCAAGTACAGGTAGGTATCGAGAGAGTGACGCAGAGGACGAAGTGGGCTGAAAGTAGAACTAAGGTAGGTGACTGTAGGAGGTAGTAGTAGGTAGCTCTAGACTCTAGTGGGGTGTTGGGCAACAAATTACCTTATTCTAGGTTGTCCGTTTGCGACATCGGCCATACGGGCGGCTCCCAGCTCCCATTGCACTAGGAGGTATTTGTCCATTATTAATGCAGGTTGTAACGGTGTAACCTGTGACAGTTTTATGCAACTTTCATGGTATAGATGCTTCTACCTTAGTCTTTTCCAACCTTGCACTTCAGTCCGCTATAGGCCTGGATTTCTAACAGAACTCATTACACACATGCAGTAGGGTGCAGTCGTCCTACGAAGATGACACTCAATCGTCAAACGCACGACAAACATGGTAGCCGCTGCCGCCTGGCCTGATGCAAGCCCGTCAGCCCCCGCTCCTCCTACCGATTCATCTCCTCCACGGATTTTCGCTTCATATACAGCAGATCTAAACTATCGTCCACTCCATAAACGTCAACCATGCTGCGCGACCCGTTCCAACAGCATGAAGCATCGCCACCAGCGACACCTCCTCTTCCAGCCGCCACCGATGGCGATGCAGATGAAGCGTTCCTAGCCGATTTTCTGGACCAGTCGTGCATACTCAATGGTCAAGATCTTCCGATGCCAGCAGATCTTTGTGCTGCTGTCGCTCGCGGATGCATGCTCTCTATCTTCGACATTCTCGCCAAATGGCGGACATCTGAGTTCTTGCAGAACCAAGCCGGTGGTGAGATCCATGCCTCGTTGACAGCTCAAGCGCTTCGTCTGGCTATAGTCCAGGGTCGAGCAGATATTGTGTCCCTCTTGGTAGCTGTTCGAGGTACGCAGACTGGAGATGCAGAAATGGCATTAAGTGCTGGGAAAATCTGTAATTTTGAAGCACTGCTCTGGAATGGATAGGATATTAATGCTCCTATATTACCTACCGGACCAACAGCGCTAGGATACGTCGTCTACGATACAGCTCTGACGAAGTGGTTTCTGGAACACGGCGCAGATCCCAATGGTAGCTATCAGTACGAGACAGCTTTCTCGTGCGCGGCGGGGTTAGGCTCGATAGAGATTATTGAGATGTTCTTGGATCGAGGCGCGGATATACTTCGTAGCGACATTTTGTACTTTGCTTCCGGGCGCCGTAGGAACGCAGTCGAGGTAACGAATTTCTTGCTCAGCAGAGGCGCAGACCCAAATCGCCTCCGCTTCGATGGATTAGAGCCCGGTTGGTCTATATCTAGGCTCAAAGACGGATTGGGGACCCCTCTGCATTACGCTATTAGGAGGCATAGACTGGATGTTGTCCTTGCTCTCGTAAAGGCTGGGGCGGATTTAAGTGTACAAGATACGCTTGGTCGCACGCCGAGGATGTTAGCGGAGCTGAGGCATAATGCTGAAGTGCTTGCTTTGCTGGATGCGCACAAGTGATGGAAATTGTAGGTGGTATAGGCAGAACCACCACATACCCTACTATGCTATAATACGGTACTGTAAGTCTTAACAATACATGTAGCTATTTCAGGTTGTCTGTTTGCCACATCGGTCCCGCGGGGAAGCTCCCGGCGAACCATGAATCCCACTATTATTTACTGCAGGGCAAGGAAAGGTACAGTAGATGGAAGTTTCCATGGATTACTCTGGGCGAAAAAGGAACTGGCCAAGGCAGGTGCAGGCGACCGGGATTCTCCACGTTGACTGTGTTTGAGAAGAAATGCGATCCATTGACAGCGCTGCTACCCCGACCTGGCCTCATCACGGACAACGCCCTCGAGCTCGATCACACGCCTGTACCATCCTAAAGTACGCCACGACAGCATCTGGCAGTCCCCAGCCGCCCGCATTTGCGATTATTCAGCGCGCGCGAAGTGTGCATGGCCTGAGCCAAGGGAAGAAGCTGGGAAGGTGAGATCAACTACTAGCAGCGGGCATGCTTAGCTGGACAGCAGCTCCTTGGCCAAGTTTGAGTTGAACTGCAGGAGGAAGAGGAGGAGGAGGAGGAGGAGGAAGAGGAGAAGATGGCTCAACGAGGATCGGCCTGCTGATAGCGAATGACCGCTACTGGGATGTACCAGGTGATTGCATGGCAGCACTGGAAGAGCGTCATGAGAGAAGGCTTGCAGAGGCTGCCTACCTAGTGCTGAGAGTGTCTCTGGATGCTCTTGATCATCCGGTCGGAGCACACGCTCTTCCAGTATAGCTGCTTATCATGGATGAGTATTGGTGTTGGAGTCATGCCCTATCATCAATATAGATGAAGCCGAACGTGACACAGACTCACTGTCATTTTGCATCGTTCAGCCTCGAATGCAAGCAGCAATCTCTGTAAGCAATGCTCGAGTGGAGTATTCGACGGACCGGGAGGAGGTTCTTTTGCTGAACAATCGTTCACACTGTGTGATGGCAATGAAGCACGCTGGTGATCATCAACATCGTGTTGCAGGAAAATGTACTCGGGTTGCCGCGAAGTTCGGAGGTGCTGCTAGTTAGGTAGGACACACATTTCTCGTCCCGACGAACCCAGTACCAAGGTAAGTGCCCCCGTCCCCACGAAGCAACTTGTCGTAAGGTCACGCCCGGACGGCTATCTGCATGTTCTGGGCTCGACGGCGTCTCGGAGCGGGAATTGTGTGCGACGACGTATGCCAACCGCAGGTTCACCCATGGAGCATGTGTTCGCCGAGGTGGTGAAATCTCAATCATCGCCCTACCATATACGCCTGAGCCATCATCAGCTGAGGTCAGCGACATGACAATAATACTGCCGTAGCACCAGCAGCGCAGCGTCAGGGCCTAATACCACAAATACGGTCGAATGCACGAGTCAGGTAATGAGAGCGACTGTTCGCGGGTAGTGCCATGTCGTCGCCGACTCGCCACATCTACCGTCTCGTCTCTTGGTCGAATCTTCACATGATCAAACATCTGGTCCATGAACAGCACTAGAACTAGCGAGCCAGTCTCGCATTGATTGCATGTCGTGGGCGCCCTTTCATAATTCATTCTTGACACGCTTGGCCTTTGAGGAGGGGGTGGGGGGCTTGAGACTTCCAGGTTGCAACAAATTGCTACTGCGCCACAGTCCAGCAGCAGCCATCAGCATCCATGGAGATGGCGCAAAGATATAAAAAAAAGACCAGCTGAAACTAACTACATGTACAGAAGTCGGGTCTGACGCAGGAACGGTTATATGATCACACACATATCATCAAACGTGCTTCTCCGGCACTTCGAGGTAGGCGGTTTGGCGGTATGTAGCTACTAAACTGTGATCCGAGACCAATGCATGCCTTGCGCCCCCGACAATGCCAATCGTCACGCTAGGCGGTGCGAGGGCCGATACAGGTAGTTCTAGCCCTGCCCTGATGCCGCTGCACATGTCCGCCGAGGGCTTTTGGGAAGTTTGGAGAGAGGTCTCGGCCCGTACCTCCTAGGGGAAGGCGGAACCCCCCTCGGGATGGAAAAGTATGATGAATGAATCGATGATAGCCTGATTATTGATAAGTTGTTATTATTATTGTTATTATTATCATGAGCATTATTGCAATGCCATCATTGCCATGGTGGTTGACGAGAAATTGAGGATCGACCCCTTTCTTTTTCTTCTTATTATTCTTCTTCATGAGGTTACAATATAATTGTATATACCCTGCATGGCTATAGGGAGGACAAGCACCCGTGGCCTTATTGATAGTCACTGGCGGTCCACTTTATGGTCATTAAGGATGTTGCTGGCCGTGCAGCATGCAGCAATAAGCACGGCTTAGCACACGCTATATGGGATGGGGCCCACCAGAAGGCCTTGAGGCAGGCTATGGCGCTAGCGACTGGTGGTCCCCTGCGCGATTCGTCTTGAAACGGGGCTCCCTCCACACGAGATGCTGACGAACTCGAGCAATCAGCTCACAGCATGCTCTGGCTGCTGTCCCGTGCGTGCTGGCTCCCCATACTTTGGCACTCTGGTCTCCATTGGGTTTTTTTGCAGAGTGTAATCATCACAATTTCTCTCTTTCTCTCTCTCGCGCCCTCACTCACTCACTCACTCACTCGCTCGCTCTCGCTCTCTACCGCTCTCAATATCTCCCTTTGTTGCACTGGACCGACCCGGTATATGGTAGAATAGACCGACCACCGTGTCTGTCCTACCCCGTGTGGTGGCCCTCGTCTCTGATCGCCGGTCAACGCGGGTGGTCGAGAGAAGGCGAGGAGGCGTTCATGTGCTGGAGGAGTATGCTCGTTCGCCTACCCCTCATTGCCACTTCGACCGCACAGGACAGCACAGGACAGGAACAGGAGCAGGACAGCACGACTGGCCGGACCTGAGGACGCCACCATGACCAGGAATGCCAGGCTCTCGACCTACACCACCGCCGACGATGTCAGCAGCGTGTCTTCCTCCAGCGACAACGACGACGAGCACGATGAGCCTTCCGAGGAGTGTGAGGACGATCGCTGCCGAGGCCCACAGCTGCCCATCTGGCATTGTGTAGACTGCGACAGTTCGTACTGCAGGTATGCTACCCAACCTACCTAATAACTTCCTTTGTTCGGCTGGCGGACGGATGACGACGACCTGCTGTTCACTGCTGTACCTGTACCTATTCTAACCTCTTGCAAAGTGATTGCTGGGGATTGCAAGGACCACACAAGCCCAAGAAAAAAGGCCGCGATGGAGTCCCGCATGAAAAGACGAGCCCATTCGTGGTCAAGCGACTCCAAGGCATTCTCAACCCCACCAGAAACCCCGATATGATTCAACGGCTCCACGAAGACGATGAGTCGACCAAATGGTTCGGTGTTTCGCGAGACGCTACAGGACGACCCAACTTTGAGGACTACGGCCGCTATGCCACCCTCATGTCGAGCATATCGCCAGTCAACCTGCAGAACGCCGGCAACCGATATCCTCAGATTGTCTCCTTTATCGGAGTCACCAACGCCGGCAAATCGACTCTGATCAAGATGTTGATCAACCATGATGCCCACAATGCGAACGCCGAGAACCGGGCCATGTTTCCCTCGCCTGTCGTCGGCAGTGTCGTGAATGACTCGCTGCCTACCTCGGGAGATGTGCATCTGTATGCAGACCCGTCCAGTCATACAGAGCAACTCCCTATCTTGTACGCCGATTGCGAGGGATTCGAAGGCGGCGAGCGCACGCCACTGGGTGCGCGATCGCGAAGACATGCGGGCGCCGAGCCCGAGGCTGCACGCCCCGGGCACGTCCATACGCGACAAATTGGGTGGGCTCTAAACGAAGAATCGCGGCAACGAGAGTACGCTGTCACGGCCTTGTATCCTCGGCTTCTCTACACGTTTTCCGACTGCGTGGTGTTTGTGCTGCGCAACCCCAAGACGTTTCAATCCGCCGTTCTGACCAAATTGCTGGACTGGGGCGCCAGCTCGCTCGAGAAGTCGATCAATCAGCCTGCACTTCCACATTGTATTGTCGCCATCAACGGCACGGACCCGAGTGTAGACGACAAGGAATGGGATGTCAATTACGCGACCCAGAGCTTACTCTCCTCGGTCAAGACTGCACTCGACTCCGTGGAGGGCGTGCCTCGATTTCGGGAACTCGCAGCGTATTGGAGAAACTTGGGAAAGCACATCTACTCGGTCGAGGATCTCGTTCTGCGCTATTACAGCTCGTTCAAGGTGATTCGCATACCCGCGAAGCCACGCTACACCACGATCAACGAACAAGTGGGCAAACTCCAGGGCATCATCAAGGCCAATTGCGAGGAGTCGTTCCGGAACAAGCGACGAGCACGCATGTTGACGAATGCTGATGAGCTAAATACATATCTTCAAAGCGGATTTGACCATTTCACCAGCTACTTGGACATCCCTTTCAACTTTATGCAAATTTCTTTACTACGAAACCCCATCCCAAACGATTTCGGCGGGCACATTCTCCAATTGTGCACCACCATCAGCGCACAGCAACCCAATCACCAGCACGGACGGATCGCGTGGGTGTTTGAGAAGGTGAGTATGATGCTCGCGTCGTGTGTCTTACTGGATTGTGCTCGCTTCCGAAAGGGCAGAGTGGACGAGCTGTTCACCAATTACGAAAAGTTCTTCGACTGGGCGATGGGCGAGTACCTCGAAATGCACTATCCCTGTTCATACGTGAGCGCAGATGGCACGCGGCAGTGTATGCTGGTCAAGGCGCGCCACAGCGTCAAGGGCCACCAGGACGAAAAAGGCATCATCGCTGCAGGCGACTACCAGGCCGCATTGGATACCGATTTCCTGCCGCAATGGAAGCAGCAGCTGCGGGCTGCGATTGGGAGCATTGCCCGAGACTTCCAATATGAACTCGATCAGATCTCACACGGAGACGAGCCGTCCGTGCCGGAGGAGCGCATCGCACTGGATCTCCACATTGAGTATATCAACCAATTCTTCGAGGCCGTGGGGCCTGCCTCATCCATGGTCAGCCATGCGACGTGCTTCTGCTGCTTGATGGACGTTCCCGAGCATCCACTCCCCTGCGGACATGTCCTGTGTACGGCATGCATCAAGGCGTATGGCAAACCACACAAGTCCACGTTGCAGGTCTCCTGCTGCCCGCTCCATCGGGAGTCTACCAATTGGGCCAAGCCCGCCAATATCAGATTCAAGCCGGTGGGAGCTGGAGCGCGTATTTTGTCTCTCGACGGAGGTGGCATCAGAGGTGTAGTGCAACTGGAAGTCCTGAGATTCATTGAGCTGGCGCTCGGTCGGCACCTACCTGTGCAATGCTTTTTCGATTTGATAGTGGGCACAGGCACTGGAGGTCTGATAGCCACTGCTCTATCTCTCAAAGACCGGTCCGTCGACTCCATCACGGACATGTTCACTGCCATGTGCGACCACGCCTTCACGCCTCGGCTCAAAGGCGTGCCTGTCATTAGCCAGATTGCCCAGCTGTTCGGGAGCGCGCCGAAATACAAGACGAAACCCCTCCTCGGTGCACTGAAGACGGCCTTCACCGAGGACGATGATCTGTTTGGCTCGCACGACAAGCCACGCAATGGCGCACGTGTCGCGCTGACGGCGACGAGCGCGACCGGGCAAGAGACGATTCTGATGGCCAGCTACAGGCGGCCGGAAGATCCCATGCCTGCATATGCCTTCGAACGACCGCACGACCCGGATATGGAACTGAAGACTCACGAAGCGATCACTGCGTCCCTTGCGAGCCCGTCATTCTTCAAGCCGTTCGTCTTTCATGGAAAGTCCTACCTGGACGGTGGCTTACGGAGCCCCAATCCTGCCTTTATTGCAGATCGAGAGCGAAAGCTCATTTGGCCTGATGTCGCAGAGCCTGATATCTTTTTGTCTCTAGGCACGGGCCAGAACAGAATCACAGTCCTGCAAAAGCTGCAGGATCGCCAGAAAGACGCCACTTTGGGCTCAGTGGCTCCTACTTCCTCCCATGCGTCCAACAGTCTGAAACCAGGCGGCAGATGGCGTACAAAACGCACCGACGATGTGCTCGATGCCGAGCTCGCGTGGCAGCACTTCCGGCATTACGTCGTGCGAGACAGGGCGGAAAACAAAACTCGACGCTTTGTGCGATTCAACCCCGACCTGGATCGCGAGCCACCCATGGCGGATAGCAAGTCGGACTTGTTGTCGCTCCAGGTCAATGTGCGGAAGCGCCTGCAAACAGCACATCGGCAAGCCGCACTGCGAAACGTCGCCCATAGACTCGTGGCGTCGTCGTTCTACCTGGAGCTGCAATCGAAGGCGACAGCGGAGAAGAGCGAACAGATCTGCACGGGTATCATCAGCTGCCGCTTCGACGACGGCAGCCCCGAACTCTCCGGTCTGGGCCGGATTCTCGAGGAGTGCAGGACTGACGACTTCGAACCATACTTCCTAGTCAGGCCTGACGTGGAGCGACCTGACTTCACCTTCAAGATTGCCATCTCTCCGCCGCTGACCCAGATGATGATCAATAGCGCCACTCTGGGACTCCCCAACGTGTATATCCCGCTGCGTAATGAGAATAACCCCACTGCCATCACGCTCTTCTTGTCGAAGCACGATGGCCTGGAACCCGATGGCTTCGCGATCAGTGGCTTCCCCAGAGTGCTGCTCGGAGAGCCTAAGAATCCCAAAACCAAACGTCCTGTACGCAAAAGTTCTGAAGCGCACCTGGTCCGACCATCGTCTCGTGCAACGCAACTTGCACGAGCCGACGGCGACAGCCTGTCACTGAATGGTGCCAACATGTCATCCGGTAGATCTGAGCAAAGCGATGAATCGTGGCAGGACGTGCAATCTAAAAATGGCAGGCCCGCGAGTGCGGAAAAGAAGCAGTCTTTATCGGACCTCATCGCCCAACATCAAACCGGAGGCGGCAGCAGCATCAGGGGGAGAACGAATCGATTCTGGTCATATATTGGCAACACTCACATGGCGCAAAATCCAGATCTGTACAGTCCCGACGAGCTCGCCAAGCACGGCGTGGATGTCTCGGCCTTTCCCAGGCCTCCTTCTGCAGCGGCAAATGATCTACCTAATACTGGCTTTCCCCCCAACCCATCACCAGAACCGATCGTGGACGCACCCAGCATAGAGAGTGTCACTGCTCTCCCTTCGTTGCGATCGAGGTTTGCCGTCCCCCCAATGTCCGGGATACCAGAACTGGACGATAGGAAGACCAAAGCCGAATTTCACGGATACCATCCCGGCCCGCACCCTCTCCTCGCACTGACTCAACCCACACGATCGCAGGTCGATATCATACATCAACTCCCCACACGTGAAGCCTCAGCAGCCTCCAACTCTACCAGCCACTCCTCCTCCACAGCACAGAACTCGAGCGAAGCCTCGGGGAAACAGGACATACCCAGCATGTTTGAGACAGGGTTCGAGGAGGAGGACGACGACTGGATCTCAACATACAGTGGGGAAGAAGTCATGCTCGCAGAAGCGCATGCAAGCCCGCTAGTTCAGGTACGCTTCAAAAACGACATCGACAGCATCGTATCGTTGTACGGCGATGAAGGTAATATGTATTAGCGCACACCATAGTTGACATATGTTCTGCATCAACAGTTCCCGCATGTTTTCCCCACTCGCGCCAGCAGTAAAAGGAACCCGGCCGAGGAAAGCCCCCTAGAAGCTGCTATTTCAGGCGCTTTACCTGATGAGAAGTGAGTGTACTCCTCCTCCTACTACTACCACTAACCTAACCTAAATTTGCACATTGTATACTACATGCTGACCAACCCCTTTTCGGGGCGCATTGTAGCACGGCATCTGCGCTAGATCGATGGCTCGCCGCACAGAAACGATCGTCGGTGCGGAACAATAATGAACGACTCAAAGTAGTACAGGAGGAAGCTGAAGGAGTGGACGAATCATGATTGGGAAAAGAGTGGGAAAAGGAACGAAGGAGAGGGCGATCGCCCATTCATTCGGCTACACGGGAAAAATGAGTGAGGGGAAAGACGACGAAATTATATGTAGAGTTCAAGCAATGACCGAATGGATCAGCACCAACCACGCCACGATACCCTAATGTTATTTTAGTGTAGAACAAGAAGAACAAGAAGAATCCGCCCGCCGATGGAGGGCGGGGGGAGAGAGGGGAGGAAATCAAATATTCCTACCAACCTTTGCTCTCTCACTCTCTCTTTCTCTCTCTCCCTCTCTCAGAAAGAACCAGCTTCTTGAGCAGCAGAGATGAACCAACCAGCCAGTACCGCGCCTGTGTGTCGAGTACAGAAAATAGTAGTCTACTTCCTCTATATAGGTACAAAACGGAGAACAACAGCAAGCAATGATGATGATAATGATGATAACGACAATAATGATAACGATACTGTCATAATATCCCCGAATGAAAGATGCTCTAACTATTAATCTAATAAGAGATAGCCCCTAGCGCGCTCGTACTCTTAATTTTCTTTTTTTTTCTTTTTACTTTCTTTTTTCGTATAAACTGCTGCTGCTGCTGCTGCAACGTTATCTAGTGGAAATTTGTAATTAATTGTATAGGATATAGTATAGTATCTACTAGGAGGTAAGTAGATACGGGAATTGTAATATTAATCCTTTTATTTTTTCTTTTATTTTGGCCTTTCTCCTTTCTCCTTTCCTGTTATTTGGTGCTGGCTTTTTCGCAGGGTTGTTTGAATGTTGATCATAAGCGAGCGTCTATATCTGTTTTCCCTGGCTAGGAGAAGGAGGAAGACTTTTATGGCTGATTTATTTATTAAAAAACTAAATTTTATATCGTGGTGAAGCTGGAAGGAAGTATTCGGAAAGCGCCTAACCGTTGGAACAGAGGGCAGTGTAAATGTTGTTTTTGTTCGTAGTAAGTAGTAAGTACTAAGTACTAAGGTATAGTTAGTTTCCTCTACACACTCTTCTCTGTTGTCGTCTATTCACAATACCTACCTACCTTAATCACCATACAGACACCTTCCATTCTTTCATCTTCATCTTCTTCTCAACAAGATTTCTCCACCATCAGTATTACTCCTTCCCGCCAAACTCGGCTTCAAAATCCCTTCCTGAACAAGATCCTGCACCAGGCCCAAAATCATCCCATCACAGCCTCTCGCAGCCATAATGTCGACCGTGACGGGCAAGTACTCGTCATGCAGTGTAATATTGCTGAAATATCTTGCCGAACCCACCGGTACGACAAAGTCAGGACCGCCCCAAAAGGGAGATGCATGACTGATAATGAAGGAACCGACAGGAGGTGTTGGAGGGTCTCCGTATTGGTTTCGATAATTGATATTGGCTTGGGAGCCGACGTAGAAGAGGAGAGAGTCGCTGCATGTTTTTTCGTTGTTTGCGATTAAGACCTCGTGGGAGAACCAGTCGGCGAAGAGTGTTCGGTTGGTATTGGCTATGTCTACGGTTGTGTTGGGATACGAGTCTCCGAATTCCCAGCGTGCTGCTGGGGCGGGATTGATGAATGGTATGCGCCCGTCGTGGACTGCGGCGTAGTCGGCGAAGAAGGGATCGCGGACCAAGGCCGTCTGGCGCTGAGCGATGATGATGGCATAGGTGAGGTACGTGAGATCGTCCAATGTGACATTGACATTGCTGGTGGCGTTCCAGTGGGCTTGGATGTCGTAGTCGACCACTTGGGCACCAATGAAGGCGCTCACTTTGGACACAAAGTCCAGAAGCTGTTCGTCACCAGGGGCAGATATATTGGTGGGGAAATCATAGAGTTTGATCTGCTTGGGGTAAGAGTGCGAAATGGTCACGTTGTCCTGATAGAGGACTTGAGATGCTTCCGCCCAGAGCACAGGATCTTTGGTCAGGAAGCCAGCGGTATCGAGCTCAGGCGCAAGTGGCATGGTGTGTTCTAGGGAGACCAGATTGTGACTCGGCCGGTTGCCATAGAGCCCTTGGTCCTGAGAAGGGCCACGAATCGAGCCGCCAGTGTCGCTTCCCAGCGTCAAGTCGAGCCAGGCATATGATGCAGCTCCAGCTCCCGGACCAGAAGAAGACGAGGATGGATCTTGGTAGCCGTCTCCGCGAGGATTAAAAGGGCTGTGGTAATCAACCCAATCCTGATGATAGACATGAAGGTGTTAGCACATATATGCCTCGCAAGTAGCTCGCTTTGCTTTCTCCACCTACCCGTGTCGCCTCTTCTCCATTTGCGAATTGCGATGTGACCATCTTGCCGACAATGATGGCGCCTGCGTCGACGAGGCGCTGAACGGGAGTAGCATGTGCAGTAGCTTCGCTGTACAGGTGATACCAGGCTCTGTTGCCATTACCAGTACGAAGTCCCGCAATGTCGTAGATGTCCTTGATCCCGAGTCGGACGCCTGCCAGTGGCTTCTCTGCTGTCTTTGCGTAGTATAGCCTGGATGGCACAGCGATGGCCAAGTGCTGGCCTGGCATTCCAGCAGGGAGGACCATGAAATCGCCATTGGGCTTTGCGAGTACTGATTCCGTGAATGCGCCGGCAAGGTCACTGTAGAGCCTCCATGCCTGATAGACCGCACCTGCAGAGGATATGAAGTATGGCCCAGGAGGGATGATCATCGTGGAATTGCTGACATAGCTGACTAGAACTTCAGAAGTGACGTTCGTGGTGTTGCCGAATTTGGGAGTACTGTAGCCTCGTGGCTGAGGTGACGTGTACTGCACATATATGGCTTCGAGAAAGCCTTCTGTATAGACATCGTCGGAGTCCTTGTACGTCTTGATCGTTGCGGCCAGGTCCTTGCTCGTATATAGCGTACTATTGGCAGTGACCACAGTCAGTGGAGTGATGCCTCCCGTTCCAGCCGCCTTCCGACTGAGAGTGTTTTCCGGTGCCAGTACAATCACCGGGTCGGCTGGGAGGTAGAATGAGATCCCATCTAACACAACAGTCTGCCCTGTGGATGCAAATGTCAGAGCAGACACTTGTCGTAGGAGGCCTAATGCCACAAGCGCAAGAGCACGGAGAGGCATGTTCAATAGCTATGCTTCGATGCGAGCTGGAATCATACTGGCCTTCATAGTCTCTTGTAGTACGACGATATGAAGTGACCATCGCGGCGCATCCTATACCTATCCATGCCCACGCGGTGTGCATGCACCGGCTGCGTGCATAGGGCGACCGACCTGCCCCCTGCCCGAGCTAGCGGAATCGTAGACTCAGCATGTCAAAGGCATCTGCCGCACGATTCGCCCAATGAGTGGCTCCAAGGCTCGCTTGTACGCAGGCAAGGGCATGGGCTCCACCTGGCTGTCTTCTGTGCCTTTTCTGCCTATCTCGGCCAGGCGAAATGATAGGAACATGATTCTGTTCACAAAATCGTTATGATTGTGGACATAACAAACTGATGTATGTGACAAAGGAGATCTTGTGTCGGTATAGCTTGGACTGGGTGATGGTCCAAGGTGTGGTCAGTATACTTGTCGGAAACTTGTACCGTAGATGTTGCGATATAAGTTCAGTTCACTAGGTGAGGATGAAGTCGATACAGCGTCGAGGCGAGTCGCGTCGCACGACAGGATTCAGACTGAAGGAATCGTGTTACTTGTCTTCAAGTCATTGCACGAAGCTGAAGGACAGAGGAGGGGAGAGGATAGGAGAGGGCCGACAAAACTTGTCGCCTTGGCGCCAACACGTCACTTCAATTGGGACTCGGGAGGACAACATCCATGGATTGCATAGAAGTAATTTTACTCTTTTGGTGCTGATAGATGGGCGAATGGAACTCTACTAGCCGCTGAAAGATACAGCTGGAGGACAAGGGCGACGTGAATCAGGATTCTGGTGCTTGAAGCGCTCGATGTTGTTGCTAGAGTCTATGCTGTTTCGAAGAGCGCGCAGTGGCAGCGATAAATATCCTCGAGCCTTGATGATGATGATGACCATTACGCACGATGAACGTCCAGCGCCGGTCAACTCGAATGGCGCTGCATCATGATCATCACCAAAGATTTGCAGATATATCGCTGAGTAGCACATATAGATGTTGAACTAACATTCTCATTTCGGCTTCCACGTCTTTCCTGACCGTGCTTGACCACTGCGTCTTATTATCTAATGTAGGACTTACTAATTGGCGATCCAAGTTCGTTACGATGAATATCCGCGCTGGCAATGGAATAGCATCCATCTCGTGGGGGAATCATAGCTGGACACTCAATATCTGGCAGATGTTGCACTCATCTGTGCCAGCTCATCGGCACGGCGCACTAGTGTCGCCATATGTTCCGGGATCTCTTCACCTGCTGACCTGAGTTGTCCGCGAGGCTTGAAAAAGCTGCCCGTTTGTATAGCAGGTTCCGAGAAGGGATTTAGCAGATGGCCATCAGTTTCTGAATTGTGGCATGGTATTATCGGGTGTCGCTCATCCTGACTCAAGTACATCGACCATTCCTAATGTGCGGTGAGCAGCAGTAGCCCAATCGGCTGCTTGCCTGACCCGACTCTTAATTTTGTGGATAAGAACAACAATATCCTTTTCGCTCCCATCATCGCTCTGCCAGTCGCCAAGCTTGTGGCTGTACAAGTCCAGGACAACAAGAAGAACGTCGTACATCAGATTGATATGCTGCGGAAACGTGACATACTTGTGTATCATGGTCATGATTGGGACAAGACGGTAAGCTGAGCGCTCCGCAAGCGCTGTCCGTAGCGCACTCCGATGTCGAAGGGCAGTGATGAGGGTGAACAGCTCATCCCCGTTGAACTGTTTCCAGCCATCCGGTGGTATCACTTGGTCCAAAGCCTTTGCATATTGGCCAGTCCGTAGGCTCTTCTGCCATTCCTTGAGCTTCTTCTGTCGCGGACGATCATTTCCAGTGATGACAATGTCAGCGCCCTCGCCTTTGTAGTCTTTGCCCCGATCACGAGCCCGGACTCCTTGTCGCGTGTCTTTCTTCTTCTGCTTGCGCTCGTACTCGTCTGCTTCGCCCGCCACTAAAGCTGCCATCTTCTTTTCTCTCTCCCTCACTTTCGCCTTCTCCGATCCTGCCAATCGAGTGCGCAGAGATAAGAGCCCGCTTTGGAGGCCCACCGCTAGATGTCTGTCGTCCCTCGCGCCTTCACTGTTTGCTGCACCAGGTACGACGGCGAGGCTAAGGATTGGTGCTGGATACTTGAAGGCGGCTACAACCTCCCAACTGGCAGTGTTGTGAATTTTGACGTGGCCATCAAGTCCTCCAGTCAGAATCCGTGTCCCATGCTGGGCTGATGCAAGTGCCATGACATCCTTCTGATGAGAGGCAATCACATGTTCCGCGCATCCTGCAACAATGTTGACAATCGAGACCTCGTTGCCAGCGGCGACTGCCAGACTGGAGCTGTTCAGCGTCAGGATATCCTCTACTTTATTGGCGAACTTGAACGTCAAAGCTGCGCGACCACCTTGTTGTCGTGTGTCCCAGATGCGCACGGTTTGGTCGTAGCTACCACTGACCACCATGTTTCCGCCTTGCCCGGGCAGATATCCTCCACTGCGCACATAGTCCTCGTGACCCACTCCCGTCCACTTTGCTGCGTCCTCAGTCAAATCCCACACCCGAACAGTCCGGTCGTCGCTGCAGCTCATCAGGTCGGTGAGCACGCTCGGACTCCATCTGACAACATGCACGGGCAATTTGTGCGCATGCTCCCCTCGCCATTGCCGCAGAATGGCTCGGGATCCAGTATCGAATGCTTGCACAATCCCACTGTCACCGCCCGCTAGCAGAATACGACCATCTCGTCGGAGCACACCAGACCGCGCAGTATCGTCCACACCAAATCTGCTGATTGTCTTGACCAATTTCCGCGTCTTCGTGCTGTACGTCTGCACCCTGCTGCCGCTTGTGATGGCGAAAGAATCCGCCTGCGATCCAGAGGGGTTGTAGTCGGGGATCGTAATGGACGTGATGCCGGCGTTGTGAGGTGATGGGAGGAGAAGCTGGTTTTTGAACGTTTTCCAGTATGTCGTGTCGGCAGTCTCTGGTGCCGGTCCCGGGGCTACGCGCAGGGGCGCCACCGCCTTCACTTCCGCGGCCATGGGTTGTGTTTGTGTGTGTAGTTGGTTGGAGTCTTCAATGCTACGCCATGGCTACATGTCCCAGAGAGAAAGTCGCGATGAAGCTTCAGTCAAAAGGTGCAATAAGGTACAACACTTTTTTGCTCGGGCGGAAAATCTATTTAGCCGATGTTCCGATAGCCGTGATTCCTTGGCAGACCGCGGGCTCCTTCAGCGTCCATTGCTCCAGAACCTCACTCTCACCAACAATCATCTCATCGACGCTTCTTCCTTGACAACGCCTACCTAACAGCGACCTCACATAGCATCGCAAAGATGATCTAGCTGGATCTACTCTACCACTTCATCTCATGTCGTCTCAGGACGGTATCTTGACTTGCTGACGAAACCCCCTAATTCTCTCAGTGAAGATATAGACTTGACCAGACCAGATTGCCAACAAGACCTTCGCTATAATCTCTCGTCAACGACAACGCCCAGCATCTCTGGTCGGGCATATATGCCTCGTTTTGATTGCGGCAGTCTTGTGGTTGCACCGACTTGAATGCCGGGCGAGGAATGGCTTGTGGAATGTACTGGTTGCCCCTCGACACAACCCACGCCACTCGAGGCTACGGCGTTGACTCAACAGCAATTTCCTGTCTCGTCGTCCTCTACGGCTGCCAGAGGTCCTTTTGGCCAGCTGTAATGAAAGCGAGAGTGAAAGCATGGAGTTGCTTTCCCGCACGATGAGCAGCCTGCCATGACATGACCCTCATGAGCGAGGCTTAGGCCCTGTGTGTGAGTGCCTACAAACATTCCAGCACAGCTATCGCTGGACTGCCTCCAGGACTTTGGGTCTGGGCTTCGTCGGAACACTCATGCCGCATGCGCTCACGTGGATATTTGGTGGACACAATCGCCTGTCTGCATTCCTACAATTGCTAGCTCGAGGCAAGGCGAAAGTGTACACACACCATTCGCATGCTGTATCCTTCATTTCTACCTGAGCATCACTCTTCTCCGTAGCCACCAGAGCCTCTCGTTTACTCACTATACTGTCTTTCTTTCTCTTCGAGCGATCTCGCTCATCATGTTCTCTCTCAACACTCCTCTGCAGAGTCTCATCATCGTTCTTCTTTTGGGATGCCCGCTCACACTCGTTGCGCAAGGCCGAAACTCAGCATGTCTGATCGCCGAGAGGTTTGAACAGAGATATACTGTTCGCGAGCAGGCTGTCTCCGTCAACACCAATGTCCTCACCAACACTACCTTCTATCCCATTCCCCAAGCTGCTATCGCCATCACGAACGCACCCACCAGCATCGACACCATAACAACGTTCCGATGGACAGAGGCGCAGGTACCGATGTCAATATGGAGTCCTACGGTAGCTTCATCCACTGTCGGACGGCTGTCATCCATGGTATACACATCCGCGATGGCGACAGCTTACCCTGATCTGGGAGACTACTACGTGATTGCCGCTATGAACGCCCGAAATGTGCAGAAGAGACAGGGAAATGGAGCGGTACGTGAATCACGAAAGGATATTCCGACCAGATCAGTACGGAGGCTGACGTGCTGGACACTAGTCCTACATCAATGGCAACGGAACAGTGTCGAACGATTGCACAACCTCTCCGATTTACCAGATCAAGGCCGGTAGTCTCAGCGCCATCATTGCGAACGTGGCGTACACGTACTCTACGGACCCCGGGGTCAATTACGCGCTATTTGTACCTTCCACCGCACCGGGCTCAATCTTGACGACCTTCTCATTGTCATCTTCTGGTGGACTTGTCTGGATGAACACTGGCTTCGACGGTGGCCAGGCTCAGTTCTGTTCGTTCAACAACGGTAGCATTTACGCTGTATTTCGTGGCGCTGCGCCGAATGGTTGCTTGGGCGTTCAGTTGACGCTTTTCTCGACATCATCTTGTGCTGGACTCCAGCTTTCCACAATCACTGGCCGTAAGAAATCGTACCCAACTTATGCCATCTCCGTGCACATGCTAACCTCTGCAATCATCAGCGACGGGACGTGAGTGAAGGCAAGGAAATGAAGTACTGATCTACTGCTAATGATAAGCTAGCAACTGGTCCCACTGGTCGTAAGTATGGAGAAGTCTTGCCGTATCGATCAACTGCTAATACAAGGCACAGCAACCGGTCCATCTGGAGGTGATTATCGCCCAGCACGCTTCATGCGGTGGCAGCATGTACTGACAACATTGCAGCGACGGGTATATCGGGAGCGATAGGCGCATGTATACCCCAAGCACAGGAATAGGTTTCCAGCTGCTAACCAAATAACAGGCTACTGGAGTGAGGCTTCATCCTCAAACGTGCTCGTATGAGTGCTCGCTGATATAATGAACGCAGAGCCAAGGTATCCAGGGTATTCAAGGGTAAGTAACACTCCAGTATCCTGCTGTAATAATACTTGTTTCTGAAGCTAATACCGTGTCTAGCATCCAAGGGGTATTTTTCCCCCAAGCAGTACACTCGACACGTTTTACAGCATACTAACAAGACCGTTCAGCCGACCGGAGTCAGTGGACAAGTTGGGTACGTAGAAGATCTCCGACGCCTGAAGTGAAGAAAGCACAATTTGTTGACGATCGATATCTAGCGCGACGGGATCTGTGGGCCGTAAGATCACTTTCTACTTGGAGACTGTTGTTGCTGAGGATGAAGCTTCCTCCGTAGCTCATGCATGCGCTCGTCTCCGCTTCTCGATTGTCTGTCTGGCTTTGTTTGAGCATTGTCTCCGATACTCTCGGGCTGCAACCAATCTCAAGCGATCAATCAGGGCGGAGGTTTGCATGCATGCATGAGCTATGGGCCATCAGCTAGCTCTCCAACAACAGTTCTTCCCATCTGAAGTTGAAGTTATGCGCTAACATATCGCAGCGAGTGGAGCTCGAGGATGTAAGTCTTCTCTGTTTCTTTCATCCATCTCTGACCCCAGTTGTTCGCACTCTTGCTGACTTTTCATTCCAGCAACCGGAGCTACAGGTAGTGCCGGTCCATCTGGTCCGTCAGGTCCACCGGGACCAACTCCCTCGGTACGTGTTAGCAGCAGCCTGTGGAGGCAGCCTCCCCATCTCCAATTTTCCTCGTCAAAGCGAGTTCAGAGGAGTCTCTACTCTCTCGGGGACATTGTGCTAACCATTCCCAATCTGGTACGCTCTCATATCATATATAGGCCTACGTCCAATTCGGCTATCTCGGCTGCTTCGTCCAAACCGGCACCAACGGAACGGGCGGCAGCATCGGTCTCGCACTCCCCAACTACGGAGGCTCCTACACCAATGGCGCAGCAGGACAGTGTCGAGACGTTGCCATTGCCCAATCCGCCATTTACTACGGCCTCGTCAACGTTGATATCACGACCGTGTCATGTTACTATGGGAATTACATTACTTATATTACATCGTAAGTTCCTCTCCTCATCTCCTCTCCTCTCCTCTCCTCCCCTCTTCTCTCTATACAGAAGGATATCATCCATTTCATTCCATTTGATTCCATCCCCATCTTTTTACAGCGCTAACGATTGATTGTCATGACTACAGACAAACGGGTGGAGGAGGCTTAAACGGAGCGACGGGAGATGCGGGCGATAACAATTGTTATCCGTGCAATGGCGGACCGGTGCTGGGGTCGATTGGTGGGGCGTGTGGAAATTTGACAGTCGGCACGGAAGCGATTTATGCTAGAGGGTTTTGAGAGAAATTATCACTCACTTTTCAGGTGGAGGAGGTGGAGGAGGAGGTGGAGGAGGTGGAGGAGGAGGAGGTGGTGGTGGTGGTGGAGTGATGTAGTACGATAGATAATGCCACTGTCAGAGATTGATCCATATTGGGAAAATGTCCTTTTGTTATTTTTTATTCTAATTTTTATTTTCTTTTAATTCTGAGCCAGTTATCCATCCATCCTCTCGTGCGGTATACTATAGCAGGATAAATGGATGAATAGAACATGTCTCGTATAATTCGGAGAATTCTGGGGGAAATTGGAACCAAGTTTTGATGCTGCCTCGTAGGTGGAGGTGGCGACCCGACGTCTCGGAGAATCTCCGTACAAGGCCAGAGAGTCCCTCAGACTTGGCGTCGTCGCTTTAGGCCGAAAGACGTCTGTCGGTAGATGTGTTCTCCGTGTGGCGCAGCAGAATTCAGAGTTACAGTAGAAGTCGCCAAGGCTTCGATGCATAAGGTAGTGACTAGACTAGGTTGGAGGAGGTATCACCTGGACCAAGATCAGTACATGTAGGAGGTAGTCAGTACATGTAGTCAATACCTCTGTCGGACATGTCTTCTGCCGGCAATTCCATTCTTCCCTGACCTCTAGAACCATCGTACATTCATTAGAGCCAGATTCCCCGAAAAGACAGAAAAGACTCCGACAAGACAGTGAATACCAACGGCCTTCCCTATCCGGCCACGTCCGCATTCCATCCACCCGGGTGCATATATATACATTCAATATACTGCTGCAGTTTTATCAGTGATAATGAACGGAGCTGGAGCCGTGTAGGTACGAAACTGCTCGGTAGACCCCCACCCGTCTGCTGCAAATCAATATATCATCAATCCAGTAGCCGATTACTGACATATGAAGAGCAATAGCCGGTGCCGGGCTACTGGGCTGGGCTTCTTTTTTCTTTCTTTTTCCTTTTCTTTTTTTGTTCTCCTATCATATTAATGCTTGTATCTGATACCTACCGTACCGTACCCTTTTATGCAGAGACGGAGAGATGGAATGCATGGGGAATGCTTTTGCTGTTCTGGGGGGCCTCGGCTCACATGATTGATCTTGTCGCCGCACCCGTTGTTCTGCGTACCTCTGTCCCTCCGTAGGACCGTAGCAAGTAGGACGGTAGGAAGTACGGTAGGTAAGGTAGATGTACTTAGGTAAGAAACAAAGGTGCGCTGCTCTTGGCGCCATCAGCTGGTTTCAAGGAGCGAGAGGTACCGCCTTCCGCAGTTTCAGTCGCTGTAGGAGGGAAGTGGAAGCCTACCTTAGTAGGTACAGGTACATACCAACAGGTACCTACTCACTCACTGGGTGGCGCAAAGTAAGCACCTCGAGTATGGCTTGGCATCGGGGCACGTGATATATTCTCGTTTTCCCTCCCTCTCTCTATCCCGCACGGTATTTCGTCTCTCTGCTGCCACATTCCACCCCCAACCACTGCATCCATCCACCCTCACACCCTCACCACCCTCACCCTCTCAACATCCCACCCTCAAATCTCCACCGAGACCCGCAACAAACCCTCCAAATCCGTCCATATCAGACTCTTCCACATGCCGCTAATCCTCCCGCAGTCTCATTGATGTTTGTCTCCTGCCCGACTGGGACCTTTCCCGTGACCATGACCAGCAGCGCTATCAAGCTCGGAATCCGACTCCGGTCGATAATTGCAATCGGTCGACATGACCTTTGCCAAGCCGTCTCAGCACGCTAGCCGTCTGCAGCACTTAGCACTACTACTCTTCTAGGCAATTCTGGGCTTCCCAGGATCTTCTGGTATCGAACACAAGCCTAGATTCATCTGCTGTTTCATCGCTAGTGCCCTAGTGCCATACCATTCTACGAACCACAAAGCAGAATCTGTTCGTGACCTTTCCGCCCATGACGACCGATGACTGGGCGGAACACACACCGCATTGGATAAGTGCACCTTGAACAAAGCCCGCCGTCCATGCCTCGCTCGCTAGACATGAGACAAGCACTACCACCGTTCGATGTCCTCGGCAAGCCGTATCTATGTACCTAACCTACTCGACATTTCAGCGGGATAAGAGCCGCAGAGTCCCATAGGTAGGTACATGTATAATAGACGTGGCAACCTCGTCCGTTTTTGATTCCTACCTGAATTTCCCCTCTACCTCCTCCCCCTCCTCCGCCTCCTCCGCCTCCTCTGGTCTCCTCTAGTCCGTAGGATCCCATTCATCATGCGCGCGACCTTCACCTCCCTCCTGGCTACAGCCGGACTGGCTCGCGCCGCTCGCCCCTACCTGGAATTCCCCGACACGGGAGCAGCAGAACAATATGGCACCATTGAAGCTGGAGGCGCATTGCCCGATGTCGCGACGGTCGTGGGACTGCCCGACTTCCAGTATCTCGCCGAGCAGTACATGAACCTCACGGCCTACACCTACTACCGCAATGGTGCCGCTGGCGAATGGTCCTACCGGAATAACCTCGAAGTCTTTGAGCGCATGCGCTTCCGACCCCGCGTCATGACCCAAGTCGATAACATTGAAGACTCCCTCCCCACCACCATTCTCGGCTACAACTTCTCTTCGCCCTTCTTCATCTCTCCCTGTGCGCGCGCAGGCTATGCCGGTTCCTGGGGCGAGCTCGGCCTCCAGGCAGGCGCTGCAGCCGGCAACATTCTCTATCAAGTGACGGATTTCCCTTCGATTCCCAAAGAAGAACTGCAAGCTGCTCGAGCAGAGGGACAAATCACCTTCCAACAACTCTACATTGACCCGAGCAACGACACGGCCACACTGGAGCAAATCCGCGAAACCGAAAGACTAGGCTTCCACGCCATCGTTCTCACCGTCGACTCGGCCGCCGACGGTAACCGCCACCGCGCCGCCCGCTTCGGCGTCGGCAGCGCCGACTCCTCCTACTCATCCATCACGTGGGAAAAGTACAACTGGATGCGCTCGCAAACCGACCTCCCCATCGTGCCCAAGGGAATCCAAACGGTCGAAGACGCCATCATCGCACACGAAAACAACGTCCCCGCCATTTTCCTCTCCAACCACGGCGGTCGCCAAGTCGACAGTTCCCCCTCCACCTTTGAAGTCGCCCTCGAAATCCACGAACAAGCACCCTATATTTTCCAAGATCTCGAAGTCTGGGCCGACGGCGGCGTGCGCTATGGAGGCGATGTCGTCAAATTATTGGCTTTGGGAGTTCGAGCCGTGGGAATTGGCAGACCGTTTATGTTTGCGAATATTTACCCTGATGGAGCGGGTGTCAAGCGTGCCATTGATATTATGAAGAGAGAAGTCGCTATTGATGCGGCGAATATTGGAATTGGGAATTTGAAAGATGCGGATGCTACTTGGTTGGATTTGAAGAGGGGGTTGAGTTGGGCTCCTGGGTCGTAAGGAGAAATAAAGAGAGAGAGAGGATTAGAAGTGGAGTGAAAGTGAAGTAGGTAGATGTTTTACTTTTCTCTGTGGTATATATGTATACTCTTTTTCTCTTTTTCGCCTAGAGATGAATTTTTGTTGAAGAATGAGAAGAATGATCATCCACTCACTCTCTTTTCTTTTCTCTTTCCTCTTCCCTCTTTCTTTTGGGGGGATTTTCCTGTTTTTTTTTTCTGTTTTTCCTGTTTTTTCCTGATTTTTTCTGATTTTCTTTTTCGATTTTCTTTTTCTGATTTTCTTTTTCGATTTTCTTTTTCTGATTTTCTTTTCTAATTTTCTTTTTCGATTTTCTTTTTCGATTTTCTTTTTCGATTTTCTTTTTCGATTTTCTTTTTCGATTTTCTTTTTCGATTTTCTTTTTCGATTCTCTTTTCTGATTTTCTTCATTCAAAAACAAAGTTTGAAAAAAAAACAAGAAGAAAATTGTACAATTCCAAGAGTGGCGACCCAGTCACATTTCAAATATGTATCGTTTTGTCTTTTTTTGCACAAAAACTAGAATACAGGTGCAAAGGGGAAGAAAAAGAAAATCCTCGCAGACTGGCTGCCGCGAGTCAACGCCCCGCCCCCCATTCATATGCAGCAGGCAGGATGCACATTATTTTTCATCGCCTCCACATCCACAATTTCTACAAACAAAAACTCATACACAAGAAGCTCTCACAGTCTCCATCTCTCCCTTTATCTTTCCTCTATTACACAATTCTTTTCCCCACATGGTCGTTGAGGAGAGTGCAAGCCCGCAAGCAACAAACAACTTTAGCGCACTCCCATCGCTCCCATCCCCTGCAGCTTGGCGGCCAGTTGGGGGTACTTCTGTTGCACTTCGAGCTGTGTACGGGTGGCTTCGGCATAGGACAGAGCATTCACAATCTCGCCCTCGGTGCGCGACAGCTTGGCCGCCCGCTCGAAATACTCGAGCGCATCAGTCACCTTGCCCTGTTGCAGGAGAAGTTGTGCCATTGTGGCCACGGCAATGTCGCATTCAGGGTCGACTACAAATTCAAGTCAGTGGTTGCTCCCAATAGCACAGATATATATATATATCGACAATCACAGGAAAGCACTTACTCAAAAGAGCCTTCTCGCACAGCTGCTCTGCTGCCACAAAGTCTTGCTTCCATTGGAAGAGGGCCAATGCCTTGTTGATCAACGGGAGCACATTCATGCCGCCCGTCTCACCCACCGCCTTCTTCTCCATTTCGACCGCCGTCTCGAACTTCTCGACGGCCTCCTGATACTTTTGCTGATCCAGGAGCAGCTCGCCGTAATAGTTGTACACATCGCTCTTGTCACCAAAGTTCTTGATGCAGCGTCGGAACGTGGCCATGCTGCTGGCAATGGACCCCATTTTGTATTGCGTCACGCCCAGCTGAATATGGGAGAAGATAAAGTCCTTGTCGAGGTCGATGGACTTTTGGTAGTCGGTCGCGGCGAGGCTGAATTCGGAGAGAACGAAGTGGAGCTGCGCGCGATGGTAATAGATGTCGGGGTCGTTCGGGTTGTGTTGGGCAGCCGTTTCGAAATCGTTGGCGGCTTCTTCGCGCGCGCCTGAGAGTCTCAGCAAGGTCGTGTCAACTCCGCCAGCACCACCACCTAACTTACTTTGCTCGAGGTGCATGCTCGCGCGCTTGACGTAGCTTTGCACGAGCGTGGGGTCCAGCTCAATCGACTTGTTCAGGTCGTTCAGGGCGGAGTCGTTGTCACCTCGCAGGTAGTGGAATGTTCCACGCATGTTGTATGCCTCCGCGGCGTGGTTGTCGAGGTCGCCCAATTCCACCGCCTTGTCAAATGCCTCGGCAGCCTCCTTGTAGCCCTCCGAGTTCCTATGGCGGATGGCTTGCAGGCCCTTGCGCAGATGCCACTTTCCGCTTCCCTCTGCCAGATCAGCAGTCTCCTCGAGTCCTTCAGGCAGAGGCTTTGCGCGGAATGATTGCAGGTAGTTGGAGACAAAGGTGGGCGACGGCAGAGACTTCTCCTTTCCTTGCATAATGGCCTTTGCCTTGGTCTCAGCCACCTTTTTCAGCAGACGTTCGACTGCTTGAGCAGAGGATTCATTGCGGAACTGGTCGATGATGCAGCTTGCCGTGTAGTCCATGAGCGCCTCGCTATACATTTCCTCCTGCTCGTAAGCATTTGCTCTTCGGTTGAGGGCTTTGACATATTCGTTGTCCAGGTTCAGAGCGGCCGTGGTGTCCTCGATGACCTTGGACCAGTTCGTTTTAGCGTTCCAGCAGGCGGCGCGGTTCGAGTAGAAGACGGGATCGGCTTTGCAGTAGAGGGCTTGCGTGTAGAGGTCAATGGCGCGGTCGTACTCTTTGGCAGCATATGCCTTGTTTCCAGCGGCCTTGAGCTTGGCGGCATAGTCCTTGCGGTCCTGCTCCGACAGGGAGCCCACCGAGTCCTCCGTCACCGAGGGCAGCTCGTCGGCCACCACTTCTTCTGCTGCGGCCGCCTTGGGCGCACTTTTCTTCGTTGCCGCAGCTCTGACATCCTCGGCGGCCTTTTCCGCTTCTGTCGTCGCCGCAGTCTTATCACCCTTCTTCGGTTTCCGTCGATCCTTTTTGGATTTGGGTTGCGGTGCCGGAGGCTGTGAGAGATAGTAGACGGTGCCGCCGATAGTCACGACCGTCACGCCGGCCAGCGTCCAGGCGGCGACTTTGTTGTCCTGATACCAGGCGCCCACTCGGTCGAGCAGCGATGAGCCCGCAGCTTCCACCGCGTGCGCCGTCTGTTCGACCTTGTCTTGCGCCTGCTGTGTCGACGCCATGGGGGAAAAAGGGAGGGAGGGGGGTGGTCGAATGGCGTAGGCGAGGAGGGCAGTCTGCAGATGTCGAGATGGATAGCTTGGCTGGCTGGTGAATGGTCGGGTTGGTCAGCCTCAGAAAATGACGGGCAGGCAATCAGGCAATCAGGCAACCAGGCACTCAGGCACTCGGGCACTCAGGCACCGAAGAAGAGGGAGAGACGATGGGCAATGGAAAGGTCAAATGTCCTCTGTCTTCATACGGGAAACAGGTGAATAATCGCGAGGCTCTCAGCTCTGAGCTCAAGCCTCAAAACACTTTGTTGGAACTTGGAACTCTGAATTATTCTCTCCCGACCTCCGCATCCGCCTATTGGAAGTTAGTATGCTCGATCATTCTAGGTCTAGCGTCAAATCGTTCTTGATGTCACTCCCTGAGCGGAATATTAATCAGCACCGATAATGGGCCGCGTTCCGACGCTCCGAAGTCGCACCCGAGATTCGTGACAGTTAAATACATCTATCCGGCGGTACAGTAGGAGGTATGAGACATCCAATATACATATACTAATACATAAGGTTTATCTCGAGGCTCGATATACAACCCTTTACCTTCAACAAGGGACACCAAAAAATCATCAAATCACGAGACTGGCTGCAGCGAATTGACCCGAAAGAGCTTCGGGGGTTGGGAGTCATATTCTGGAGTTCTGCAGGCAGCGGCCCCAGCTCCGGGTCTTTTATTGAATGATATACCTTAGTTCCATGGAATGACTGATCAATTTCATACTACTACTGCCTTCTCCCGACTACGCCGCTACTACACTCTTCCTGCTTCCGAGAGAGAAGACTTTCTGTGCACATCATCTTCATCTTCATCTTCTCCATCTTCATCTGCTTCATCATCATCATCATCATCATCTTCTTCTTCATCACCATCATCATCATCACCATGGACGGCCATTTTGGCAGCGGCATTGAGGAGGACGGCGAGCCCTATGTATACACCAGCGTGCGCTACGATAAACGACTGGTCCACTCGCCGACGAATACCGCAGCCTCATGCGGCACACCCTGTCCCTTCTACATGCTGGAACACCACTGGACGCGACTGCAGATCGCCAAGTGGAGCACATTCTTCTTTGCCGACGACAGACCTCGACCAAATTCTGGCGGACCCGCCGTACTGCTCAATACGTTGACGAGAGCGATCAAGCAGTGGCATGAGAAACATCCCGACGAGAACCCGGAAGCCCTCCGAATCAAGCTGCGAATCTACGTCGGCGGCAGAATGCGGACCGAGATCTATCACCCCTTGAAGTCCATCCCCCTGACCGCTCTCTTCCCCACCTCGTTCGAAGTCTCGCTCAAATCTTCCACCGACTGGACGATCGTGCTGGATAGTCAAGCCACCGAACCATCGGAAGGGACCATGTACAAAACCCATGATCGATCTTTATATGGTCGAGCTCGCACTTCCGCCCAGATCATGACGTACCAAGAGCCGAAAGAGGTCCTCTTATGGACGCGTGAGAACACTGTCCTGGACGGATCCTTCTGTACACCCTACTTTTTCCGTGGCGGCCAATGGGTGACTCCGGAGTCTGCTGTCGGAGGACTGCAGGGCACCACGCGCAGATGGGCGTTGGAGCAGAAGTTATGTGTCGAGGGATCGATCCCTATCGACAGCTTCCAGGATGGCGAGACGGTGTGGCTGAGCAATGCCGTGCGAGGATATTTCTGGGCCGTGTTCAAGACGAAGTGATTTTCTTTTTCCACTTTTTTGCTTTTTCAACTCTGCCATCTTCTTGCGCGTGTAGCATATCCCCTTTTTCTTTTTCTTTTTATTTTTCTTCATCTTCCGCGGAACTACCAAAAAAACTACCTTACTGGTGTCTTCTGGGGGGAAGATAAAGAGATGACCCTTTCGCTAGCTGGTTGCTACCACTCATAGGAACGTCCCACATCGCGACAAACTTCTCTCTTGTCAGTTGAGCTTGGGACTTCACACCAGAAGAATGAAAATGGATGGATGTCTGATGTCTCTGATGATGCTGCAGGAATGAGAGTCAGAACGGGAGCATCGATACTATCGATACTATGTGATGTGGCTGTGGGATACGACGTGACGTTGTCGATCAGAACCTTGAAGGTAGGTACCTACAGTACCTACCTGTGTACCTAAACTTGCCAAGAAAGCGCTAGAACCTTCACATAGCAACTCAGCTTCATGCCTATTTGGCGCATGAGTCTAGATAGTAGGAGATAAAGGGTCGATGTGTTTGAGGTCGGTCGGTCGAGGGAGTATGTATCTACTGCTAGTCAATCCTACAAGCCGTTAATAAGTGCATAAGATGAGAGATAGGTAAGGACTTAAAAGGTCGCCCACGCTCTCAGGTTAGCCTTATTTTCCTGTTTTTCGCCTACTCTACAACACGCTCTACTACACGCTCTAACAGGTACAGTTCAGGACAACCCCGTCCAGTCTCTTCGCTCAATTCTGCGGCGAGAGAAGCCATCTCCTCCCTCGCAGCAACTTCTTCAAATGGCGTCGCATGCTCAAAATCCACCATTCGTACTACTCCTCGGCCACTCTGCTGCACATCATCATCAATAAGAAAATTATATCGATTCGCATCCCCATGCACCAAACCAATATCCTCGTGCAATCTTCGCAGTACCGCTTCGCATTGTGGCAAATCCGCAATCGAAGCAAAACGGCCAGGTAATTTTTCCAACAGATTCCCTACGACTCTGCCACATTCTGTCAAATGACCCAGTACGCGCGGAGATAAGCTCGCAGGAGGAGAGTCCGCGCTGTTGTGGAATTGCTTCTCCTGTTGTTGTTGTTGTTCTTCTTCGAGAAGCATGTACGCCCAGGTTTCCCTCTCCAGTGCCGGCACTTGCCACTCAAACGTCGCGATTTTGGCGACTGCGGGAGCTCCCTGGTAGATGACTTCGTCGACATTGGATTTGAAGCGTGTGGTTCGCTCGAGAGAAAGGACATCGATGCGTTCGGGGTGCCACAGGGTGGTGATCTCCGGTAACGGATCATTGGTAGTGGTGACTTTGATACTTTCTTCTGCGCTGGGACGTGTGATGAACATCCTGGTCCACTCTTCGGTAGGAAACTCCGGTAGTCTTGGAATCAACAGCCATGGTCGACATAAGGTGTAGTCGTCAAATACATCCGTGGCGATGGTGATGTATCCGACTTTGTCCCCGAAACGGACGCGATAAACGCCATCTTCGTCGTCGATACGCTGGTTCAGAATGCTGATTTCGACCATTGTGAGGGGTTCTGGTCAAAGTGGGTTGCGCTGGCGTGGTCAGAGAATACCTGGTAGGAGGTACTTATAGCAACAAACATCAAGCTCGGATACCTAAACGAGGGCAGGCACGGACCACGAGTCTATCTCTCGATTCTCTCCCAACCAATGGATTTTGAGAACGCGTCGCCGCAAATGGAATTCAAAACAGGATCCTAAGCGCCCGGCTGTGGTCACGTTCCCTCTGTGCCGCCCGCGAACCTGACTATATATCAGCGTCGTGTGTGCGCAACAGCTCAGCTTACTTCACAACTTCCACTCCGATCTTGCAAGATAATAGAAACACCTACTTGATTGCACAGTTGCGTAAGTGAGTGTGTGATGGCACCGACGATCCTGCATAGGTACTCACACTCCCCTAAGCAAGCATCAAACGACATGTGCACTCGGGTCATGCACGTATACCAATGTGGCTGCAGAGAAAAAGGCGAACTCAAGCAGTGCAATCGCCTGTATGAACAAGAATCGAACCTGCAATGCAATGTCACCGACGTCGATCCAAAGATCTCGCGCAACTACTGCTCCAAGCACATGCCCAAAGAGAACAAGGCCACAATGGCCTATGTTGGCCGCAGGCAACAACGATGATACGGTATGATCGGTGCTGCTCGAGGCTTTGCATGAGGGGGCTGACTGTGGCAAAGGCGTGGAGAATCCTCACTGTACTGGTAGCTCAGTGGTACGCCGACTGCCAAGAGGATGTAGATGTGGATGGTTTCCAATACATGTAGGAAGATTGGGAGTGCAGAGCACTGGAAGGTACAGGTACATACCTACCTACCTGTATATACTATACAGGTACATGTACAGCTGTACTTCTGACGTAACCACATTGTTCCTGCCCTTAGCACTCTCCTCAAGTCCTGCCTTCCATTACCGGCGGCTATGCAGCTGCAGCTGCAATTACTGTGCTTGATACCGAATGGTTCGAGAATGCCCTGCGCAGTTATACCTAGTCAGCAGGTTCGTCCGGGCAGCGGAGAGCCACTTCGGCATGGCTGACACTCACAAATCTGTATTGTCCCGCCAGTACACGCGCAGCCTACCTGTATCCAGACCACTGCTCTATGTCCCATCAAGTTCGCCCCTAAGCTATCTCCCCGCGTGAACCAATGACCTTGCTTCTGGGCATTGGTCGATATGGCGTAAAAGTTCTGCTCTTGATCTTGCGATGTCCTGCCTGCTGTCTACCACATTGTCTGCACGGCAACCTGGAAGTAGTAAATGAGCGAGCTGCTCCGGGATTGGACCGTTTGCCGACCAATTTCTCCCCAAAGCTTCGCAACCCAGACACCAGAGTCCATGCTCAACCTGTCGATCAGATCTCAGGTGAGGAAAGGGCACGGATGCCATGCCGCAGTACCTGTCGTTCGGAACATTCGATTCCATCGGCTGGATGGAGAGGTCCAGACCAGGCGGTACTAGTGGAGCCTGCTGCAGGACGCGGAAGGTGTGGAAGTCTAAGATCGAAAGACTGCTTCTTTGGGCTTCCAGATCTAGTCGCATTCGCTCTTGGGATCCGTGAATTTTGATGGAAAGCTCTTTAGCATGCGAGACGGATACCAGTCCGATGGATTTTTGGCGGCTAACGTAATACCCTATGGAGTATTTGCCAGGTATGCTGCGCAATTTGGGCATGGACTTTGCCTCGGCGACGGATAGAGAAAAACACTTTCTAGCGACTGAGAGCGGAATGACCCAAAAGCTTCGATTTTTTCGGAGGCAGTGATAGCAGCATCGCTGGCATGTTGGAAGGAATAGGAATGCACCGTACTGGTTGCATGACGTGCAGGAGGGAGACAAGAGGGCGGTATGGAGGTCGGTCGCGGTGTGGTGACGGATGAGCCTAGTCTTTCCGAGCGCGGCCAGCGCAAGAGGAGCATGAGACGTGAGGTCGCGGTACTCTGGGAGAGACTTGACGACGTCGATACCGCGAAGGCAGGTTGCAGAGATATGTAACAGGGTCTTGAAGTCCAACCCAGCGAAGATGGCGTGGAGTATTTCGAGCGGGAGAGTGTCCAGAGTTCCAAGCATGCTCGGGGATGAAGGAGATGCGCGATGGATGGTCGAAGGCTTTGGCGCTGCTGCTTCTGCTTCTGTGAGTCGAATCATGCCATCTATGATGTGCCGGGGTCGATGACCGATCAGAGAGAGCTTTCGCTCCTCTTCCGCTTCGTCTGGAGAGGCCATGTTGGAAGAGAAACTGATTCGTCGAGGTCGAGAATGAATTGCGATGTTGGAAGGGAAAGGAACAGGAACGCGGCGAGGTCGCGTCGTAAGCGCGTAGTATCAGCCAAGGGATATGCTTTAACCTAAATAGGAGATGGACGTTAATGTACTGTGTACAATTGTACATCCCGCTAGTCTACGTTCATTACAGCAGTCTAACTTCTGTCACCTTGTCGCACTATACCGTACCTATAGGTCCAGCTGTATACACCCCCGGACACGGACACGGACCGGACGGACCATGGGTCGCTCTCTCTTCACCCACATCACGCCTATACCGCCGGGCATCTCGCGCGACACCGCCATCACGCGCCTCCACGACCATGTCGCCATGATCCAGCTGAACCCGCTCGTCATCCGTCAGGAAGCCACTGATGCGCCCCCCGATGCGACCAAAGATGAAGCTGAGCTGGGGACGTGGTACTCCATCACCGACCTGATCAGCTATCTGCCGGGCGGCCTCTACAAGGGCGAAGTCTCCTACAAAGCATGCTTTTACAACCTGCAAAACGGCTTGCAAACGCACGTCTTCGCTCCCGCGGGCGTAGACATTCGAAGCAAGTGGAGTATCGGCGGGAATATGCCTGGCGAGCCGCGCGAGTCGTCGGAGCTGGGAGTCGATAAGCCGCGAGAGGGCTTGTATATCAAGGAAGAAATCGATCTGCGGTGTAATATGTTTATGGGCGCGTTCGTGAAGCGCAACTTGCAAACCAGTCACCAAGAAGTGCATGACAAAATCATCAAAAAGGCGACCGAGTTGGAAATGAGACTGCAATCAGCTCTGGGATCAGTCTCGTCCTCGTCCTCGAACGGTGCTCCTACTACTGAAAGCATAGTGAACAGTAACAACAACCATCTGGTCAGCCGGCTTCCTCATCCTTTTCCTCCTCTAGCTTCATTCTCTGGCCGGGTGTCTCCTCCTGCTGACACTCCTAGGTCCTCCAACAGCCAGAGTCGTGAGCTCGATTACACGTGTACGTGTCCAGGAACTAGTCATTTATCACACTGTTTCTTCTTTCACCCTGGAGACCTTCAACATGAACAACAACAGCATGACACGAGACAGCGATTCGCGCAGCAGGAGCAGCAGCAGCAACAGCCACTCAACTCATATCCTACCATCTCACTTCTACCCGCGTCTACATCCTCTTCTCTCTCTGGTCCGTCCTCTGCTGCTGCTCCTTCTCCTGCGAACCATACCCACGCGCCTTCAGAGCTCCAGGGCTCGCCCGCGCAAGGTCAGTGTCTCTGTACTGGCGGGCTTCATGACCGAACCTGCACCTTTTATCCCGGACTGCGTCTCCCTGTTGCCTCTTCCTCATCATCGTCGTCGTCCTTTTCTTCTCCAAAACAAATTTCTTCGCAGGTTCCATCATTGTCCGTTCAAGCAGCCACGGCGACGGCGACATCGACTCCACCTCCCGCAGTTGCATCTCCGCGTGAAAGTCGCTCACCACCACCACCATCGGGAGATCAGGCCGAGTGGAGCGCCACCACCACACGATCGGCTCCTGTGGCTGGCACTTTGCACAATTTTTCACGACCGCGATCGTCGGTCTCAGCAACATCAGCAGCAGGAGCAGCAGTAGTTCGTCCGGGTGTTTCACAGCGTCAAATGAGCGACAGAATGTAAACACATGATATACCAGATTACTACTAGTATGAGTAGTGAGTGTGTTGGTAGTAACAGGTAGCACCTTCAAATCTACCTTACTTATTGAATGAGTGAGTACTTCTTGATCATAGGGCATGGGTATCTAGATATCTATCATGAATCATTCCAATCCATCTGCACAACACACGCTAGCTAGCTCAAGATCCTGACGCTTCGCCATACTGTCCATGTCCCAGCCCTTCCATGCTTGCCTTGAGCGCCCTCTGCAATTCCTCGTCATCTTCATCATCATCATCATCATTCATTCCCACCACGCTCTGTGAAGAAGTTTCTCTTGCCCTCTCCTCGAGCAGACTCTGCTTCTTGATATACTCGAGCACAATCTGCTCCTCCGTCTTCTCCTGCTGCGTCTTTTCATCCGTGCGAGAGTTTTGCTCTGCACGCTCAAATGCATGTGGCGTGGTGGTGCCTTCCACGTGAACGGAATCATACGCAGGAGGTTGGTCTGCCAGCGCCAGAGTGTATTCCGAGACGGTGGGACTGTGCAGGCCAACATCGCTGTCGCTATCCAGCCAGCCTCTCTGCTCTCTCAGACTTTGCGCAATGACCTGTTCGAGCTCGTCGTCGTACTGGCTGCGTTCTTGCTGGCTGCGCTGTGCATCCGCTGTGCTCGCTTCCAGGGCTTGACGTAACGCTGCGTCTTCCGAGGGATCGATGTGCGAAACATGATGGTGACGCTGCACTGTAGCCAGTTTGCTTCTGATGCCTTGTGCGACGCGAGCATCTTCGGTTGGGTCGCCGTGTGATGTTTCCAGAACAGACAGTCTTATGGCCTCTTCAATGGCTCGCTTTTCCGCTTCTTCATCAGACTCCATTGTGTAGGCCCGATTGGTGCCCATGGCAAGCATAGACTCCTCAGGATCGCGTTTGCTGACATTGCTTGAAGTCTTGCTGAGACTGCTCATATCCTTTTTGACCTTGAGTGCTCCCAGCCAATTCTCCTTCTTGTCCATCTGTTCTTTGAGAATCTCTTTCACCATTTCGTCTGCATTACGTTTCTTCTTGAGATTCTTCTGCAGAACTCCCCATCGCATCACAACGTCCCGACGCTCTTCCTGGGAAGCGCTCTGATACTCGTCAAAACCTTGTGCTGTTCGGGCTGCAATGATGTAGTTCTGTACGCTCGAGCCAGATTGGCTCTGAATCTCCTTGTAGATACCCATCATGGTGTAACCGGGAATCGCAAAGACGGCAGCCTGAGGCTTGAGCACGATGCCGCCAATGCCCTTGCCGATGCCTTTGATGAACCCAGCAGGGCCATCCTTTGCAGCGCCTTTCAAAGGTTGCGTGACCAGACCAGTAATGCCATCATACATACCCAGGCCAAACTCTTTGGTGGCAACTCTCACGCCGGATTGGAAGTCGGTCACCCTCTCGGTCTTCCGCACAGTACTGTCTCCGTAAAGCTTGGGGGCGTTGTGGAAACCTTTGGCCAATCCCATGGTGAAGTCAAGAGGCGACTTCAGCCCAGCTCCAACGATTCGTTGTACACCTTTGGCTGTGTCCGTGCCAGTCGAAAACTGCGACTTCCAGTCAATGTCCTTCAAGCTGGTGCCTGACCTTTGTGGGCTACGAGGTCGACTACCAGCGGCTGTTTGTGAGCCAGGAGATAGCGGCCCGGCGTTCAATTTAGCGAGAGACTCTTGGAAGTTGAATGAGGAGGTCGTACGGGCTTCGGGTCGCGATGGCGCCTCACTTGTCATTGAGGTACCAGTGTTGCTTCTCGGAGTCATTGTTCCAGATGGCGTAGAAGCGTCTGAAGTGGTGGTAGTCTCATCGGTAGCAGTAGTCTCATCAGACTGCTTCCCAGTGTTCGCAGATTTGACAGAGCTGGCAGAAGAGTCCACTGGCTTTTTGCCCTCCTTCTTCTTGCTATCTCTTTTGGCCTTTGCGTCGGGATGGATACCAATGGCCTTCAGTGTCTCGATTGGGAGATCCGCAACGCCTAGCATCATCGTACTCATGGTGCCGATCAAGGCAGACGAAGCGCCAGTAATCGGATCCCACGGGCCTTCGTCAGCCTCGTATTCCCTAGACCGGAACAGCTTGAGGTCTTTGAAGTCAAGTAATCCTTCTTGAGCAAGCGTACATGCAGCCATTGCACTCAGTCGAGCTTGTGTCCGCTTGACTCTCCACACCGCAGCTCGTGACGGCGCCAGGCTGCAACGAAGCTTGTCAACGTCCAAGAACTGGTGGAAGCTTTGAGCACCAACATGACTGCCTTTCTCTGAAGCGATGCTTGATGCTAACTCCTGGGCTCGCTCTTGAGTTTCCGGCTCGAGACACTTGAGTATACCTGCAGCAAGATTGTCAGATGTCAATTGTTTGTTAGGTATGGGATTCGGTCCTGCGCCCGCTCGTGCCACCATCGACCCCCAAAACTGCTGGTCACCGAAGAACGGTACCACTAACGTAGGACGTCCCGCCGTGATTCCTGCTGCCGTGGTTCCTGCTCCACCATGATGCACCACGCAAGATACTTGCTTGAACAGCCAGTCATGGGGAACATTGCCCAACATGTACACACTGTCCGGCTTTCCAAGTTCATCAGCACCCACGCCGCCCCAGCCTTTGGACACGAGTGCTCGCTGTCCAGTCTGTGCGACCGCGTCAAATATCAGCTTCGTCATCGCTGTTGGGTCATCCAAGACGATTGAGCCAAAGCCGATGTACACGGGTGGTGGACCTGCGTCCAGGAAGGCCTTCAGCCCAGGATCTGGAGTGTAATTTGTCGCAAGATCAAGGAAGAAGAAGCCAGAGAGACTTATGTTCGCTCCCCAATCCCGCGGCTTGGGAATCAGCGCCGGGGACCAGCAGTATGTATGTGGTATACGCAGTCGCTGGAGCATACCGGGCGCCCACATTAAGCTGATACTATCCAAGCCGAGACTCCGTTCCCGAAAGTGATTGATGATATCGCCTAAACCTTGCCACGTGAGCATATCGACGAGGGCATATGTGATGTAATTGGTGAGATTAGCGTCGACATTGGAGGATTGAATGTTTGCAAGTGGATGAGGAAATGCCTGGGTTGGTGACCACGGCATGGTGAACATAATGTGAAGCGGTATGCCCAGCTTTTCGGCACAATGGATGTGAGCAAAGGAGGGAGGGTTCGCAATGATGCAGTCTGCTACGAAAGGCTTGTGGATGTAATCGTCCTCGCTTGGTGCATGAGATGTCCAGTCTTCCACCGTGTCGTCCTTTGCCTGCGGTCCGAATCCATTGCCACTCTCGAAACACGACCTCCAACACCCCCTGAGATATTCTCCCACTTCCTTTCGTCTCTTGCCGATATCACCCGTTCTCAGCGCGTCAAAGCCAGGCATCAGACCAGGGTTCTTGACCATGAAGGCCATGAGAGCTTGTGGATCGCCGCCAATACTGAAGAACTCCAGGCCGTTTTCAGTCACAAAGTCCTTGAAATTTGGATGAGTCGCAAGCCGAACGCGGTGTCCATATGTCTCTTTCAACACTTTGCCCAATGCTACGAATGGCTGTACATCTCCACGCGACCCGACGACTTGTATAACCACATTCATCGGTGGAGGAGGTGCCTGGCCCTCATCACCGCCCAGGAAAGGTGGGATGTAGGGCGGTGGTGGAGCATGTTGCTGATCTGCTGCGGCTTGTAACTGCTTCAGACTCGGCACCAACAGCTGCGAGAGTTTTCGATTGCGCTGGTCGATGCGGATATTGACACGTCCATCATCCGCTATGCTAGCCTTCGTGCCAAAGCCGTCTTGCTCTTGCTCGACTACACCATACTGCTCCCCATATGCTGGTGGAGGCACATCGTATCCGCTTGGGTTGGACTCTCGGGAATCGGTGTGCTGGATGGGTACGTCTCGGCCCATGTGTCGGCGTGCGTGGTCATCCAGGTTCGTCTGGTCGTTCTCACCAGCGACGGCTGCCGCAGCCTGCTGCACCATTACTGAAGGCACCTCCATCTCGTCGAGCGCGTCGCCTTGCTGGTCAGCTCGCTGTCGACTGTTTGACGGCGCCATGTTGGCGTTCAGCGAAGGGAGGTTCGCGAGGTTGTCGTGCCGTGCCGTTGGCCGCTGTGAAGATGAAGTGGTGGTCAAGCTCTACGGCGATGTGTATGCCATGGCTTGCGCCTCCACAGCGTGCAGATGACGTGCAGTGTGGGTGCTGGAACCTGCCTGCGTCGTCTGGCGCCATGCATGCGAACAAGTTAGTTGGGCGTCGCGTGAGATACATGTTCCTTGTGTCTTTACGTGTTTTCGTGCAAAGGGATGTGAATTTCCGGTGTCCGACAAGCCATACCTACAATAACTACACATTCCTTATTTAGGTTCAGCGAGACCCTTGAGTCTCGGAAGAGGGATGCCCTGATAAGGAAAGGTATGGTATGCATACCTGACGATGACGTGAGCAGCAAGCATGTGATCGTCGGACTGTGCTCCGTAGGTACAGGTAGTTCTATTATGCTGTATAGGTAGCTACATTACCTATCTCAACGTCTACGCCGCCTTCAAGCAACTTCACTTCAGTCCAGTCTGTACAATTGCTCGACGTACGCTCCCAAACTCTCATCTGAGTCATGATAGAGAGACAGCATGCTCGCCCCTGATTGCAATACGCATCTTTCCAGTTCGTATCAATCCATTGGAGGCTCTGTCACACCATGTGACATCGTGTCTAGAGTCTCGCTTTCCCAACACACACGCCTACGCTCTTTCTCGACTTTCGTTCGCTCGCCTGATTCAGAGACTTTGGGTCCCTTCGTAGCACATGTTCCCAGCAGAGCGATTTATTCGTTGACCTCCTCTGGAGTCATCGCCAGACCAGACTCCGGATCATGCATGTCCAGTCGGCATCCCTTTCCCTCACTACTGAGACAAGGAATGCCCAAGGACGCCTCTTGAGCTTCACTCAAATCGCCGTGCTCGGAGGCCTTGTCGGCCTCCTCGCCAAACTCGTCGTCTGCAGGTTCGTCAGGTTCCATATCGTCTGTGTCCAGCTTCTGCAACGTTTCCTGACGTCGGCCGAATCGCCCACCGTATATGTATTGCTCGACCTCGGATCGCATGGCCTGTATGCACATTTCCTGTTCTTCACTAAGCAGGAGCTCCGGCAAAGATGACATGGATTTCATGCCGGCTGTCAAGCGTTCGACGAAAGCTTTGGTGGGACTGTGGTTCTTAATCTCAGTCGGCAAACGAATGCTGACGTTGTGCACGCGGGTGAGCCTTGCGAGTGGGTGAAGGACAAGTTCGATATCTGGCAAGCCGTGCAGCGAGCTGGTTCGGGGCATGTTGGTGTTGGGATCCCACCAATAGTGCTCGTTGCTCATGATGTTGCGGTGACGGGAGCCAGTCATCGTTACCTGGCCTTGCTGTTCCTGGAATATGACGGTCACACTCACCAAGCGGTCCCTGTGTCTTCCGCCACGCTCAAGAAGGCGACAGAGTGCCTGAATCATGAAAAATGTGTTGAGTGAGACTGCTTTCGATCGCTCACGGTCGGCTGGAGGAAAGATCTGGATCACTCGTTAGCATGTTTTCGAGACGTGCCTCTATGTGACCACTGCAACTCCATATTATAGAAAAACTTACGGAAATCACAATCTTCTTCATGTGTTGAAAGCCATACGCATGGTCGGCGCCACTGAATTTGACAAAACGATCGTCGCCTGCGCTGTCCATGTATGCCAGGGGCTGGTATCCCGCGTTCAACAGCTCCACGCCTCCTGTGCCTCCTTGATGCACGTGAACCTCAAAGAAGCGCTCTTCATACAATGCCAGCTTCATCGTGTACTCGAAGCGCTTGCAGACTGTCATCAGATCGCTCACGGAATTGCGCTGGGGCTTGCGGTTTGCCGCCTTGACTGGCGCGGGACCGCAATGGGGCCTGATGACAGCATCTTTCGCCGGGAGCGAGGCAGCAAAGATGTTGCGCAACACCTCGTTCGGCATGCGTAGCATCGGCATCTCGAATGTATGCGTGGGAGGTGTGGCTGGATAACGGGTGCAATCTGAGTCGGAGTGGTTCGCTGTTGACGCGTGGAGGAGGAGAGAGGAAGGTGGATGGGTCACATATTCGAAGACGCGGTCCCAGACCTCCGGTCCCAGATCAATCGCGGGGCTCTTGATGGCGAGAATGCGGAATAAAGCGTGCAGGCCACGTCGACTGAGAGCAACAGCGGCCGTCGGGTCTGTCATGTATCATTAAATGTGAATCCCAAACGGCGAATTGCAATAGCTGGGTAGGAGGTCCCTCTTACATGTAGGTTGACGCGACGCACCCGCAGAAATGCTAAGTCTGCTTACAGCAAGATTGAAAGCTTGCGACATGATTCGGGAGCGGCACTGAAAAGCTTCCAAAGGCTTTGTACCTGTAATGTGAAGCGAAAATGTCTCTGGGGACGATGATGCTGTTGATACCAAGGTACCTTAATGACTGAGTGAGATGAAAAGACTCCCGCTGCGTGGTGTGTTCGTGTTCTTGGAGTGACAGTGAGTCCATGGATGTCTGTCTGTACAAAGCAGATGCAACACAACATGCAGCCACGCGACGGACGGACGCCCGCACAACTTCCAGAACCCAAAGTGTAGGTAACGAATGAGGCGATACGCAATACGCCGATGCTCATGTGGTCGATAGCAAACTTCCGTGGGTGGACTATTTGCCAATTAGCAGGTACGCTTACAAGTATAAGATATGAAGAAGCTGCGTGGGACGGCGGGCGAAGATGGTTGAGCCAGAAAATTTCATTCCTCATCATATTTCATTCTGTGGATATCGCTTATAGTGCGAGATGGAAGGATCCAGCGCTCTGTAGCTCTGGCCAGCGTCTCGTCAATGTCTTCATAACCGGCAGTCTATGCTCGGACTGTTGTGTCGTGATAGACTTCCTCAATATCGCCTACCAAGACCAGCTCAGTGGCCGACCATCGGGCCTTGTGTGACATTCTTGACACCGTCACGGGCAGCGCTCTGCAGATATATGTCAGCTCCGGTGGCAACATGCACATCTTCTCGGGATACGCACTCCAGTCTCGATGATGTGGCCCTTCTCCAGGATCTGCTTGACCACTTCGTCCTCATTGCTGGTGCCAAATTCATCCTCGAGCGAGCCCTTCGAGGCTGTATCAAGGATACCGGTGTTGCCTTGCCTAAGCGCCGCATTCGTCAGCACATATCTTTGTGTGGGTGTGCATGCCCCAATCACAGCTCTATACTGCGGATATATGCACTTCGGCGTGGAGTGCTACTGACTTGTGTGTCACGAACACCTTCCAGCCTGCGACCACCTGCGACAGGGGAATACTGCTATCCTTCTTCCAATCTTGGACCGCCTGAGCGGACTCTACAATGATGACGAAGTCATCGTTGGAGCCCTTGTAGTGCACCTTGGTCTGTGGGTCGTTTCCGCGCATATTGGTCGGTAATGGGGATGTGAGGGTGTGAGGGTGTCTGGCGTGGAGCGTGGAGCGTGGAGCGTGTTGTGTGCGAGTGGTAGACGAACAAGTTCGAGCTTCGATGGTTTGGTTCGAGTGCGAGTGCGAATGGGAGTGGGAGGTGTTGTATCAACAAGATGGAGGAGGGCACGAGACCTTCTTTTAACATGGAGCTGAGCTAGGCAGGTCTCTTTGACAGCTGCCCCAGTGACGACACCGTCGATCGATCGACAGGGACTCCCGCCCATGGAAAAAACACTAACGCGACTCGGCTCAGGCATGTGAAACGCAACATCGTGTGGCATGGCATGCAACGTGGCCTCGTTTGGGCATCTCTCATCATAATGATGACAACTTGGACGGAGCCAACTACTGCTACATCATACACCTATGTGTATAGGTACAGGTACAGGTATCTACCTAATGGATGTGATGGTATAACCCCCCAATATCTAACCAATTCCGGCTCCCGTTTCCAACATGCTCAAGCCTCAAGGAGATGAACGGGAAGCACACGACCTCGACGGGAACATGTATCCAATCTCGCTCGTTCTATCGGAAGAGGCTTCGGAACATCCTACTCTTGCTTTTGCGAGGCGTCTTGACAGGCAACTCGTTGCCGGACTTTGGCATCAGTGTCTCTTTTCGCTGCGACAATGCTGGAGTCCTGGCACGCTCGGGGGCGATGCTGTACACAGACGGCTCCTGCTTTTTGGCAGCTCGATTCAACGAGGGCGGAACAGGCGAGGGCGCTGGGGGACTGTTGTCATCTCGGACGCTTTGGGCTCTGCGGAGCGACGATTGCTTGTTCTCGTTGCTGAGCAATGGGCTAAAAGGTCGCTCCATGGTCAATGTGAACGTGCGCAATGCCGATCTCTTCTTCGTCTTCGCTGGATCCTGCAGCTCAAAGTCTGCAGGCAAGAATGCGTCTGGGGCTGTATGGAAACTGACGGGATGTGGCAGTGGTCTGGTGCTACGAGAGCTGGCGGTAGTGAAGCTGTCACGACGGCTGCTCTTGGCTGCTCGCGAAGGCGGAACATCCTCCTTACGCCAGGAACTGACGCTGGTGTAGCTTGGCGTTCTCTTCGAATACGAGAAATTGCTGGTGATGCTCGCCATGCTAAATTTGCGGATGACATGATTGGCCCCTGCTCGAATGGGGTCCGATCGGCGCATCATACCGGGATAGGGAAGCATGTCCTTTGACCACACGTCGGACAGCACGGCCTCGAGGCGGTACCTCTCTGCGCGACGAGGAGCCAATGTGTGAACATGGCTTGGCGTCGCCAGTGACTGTGAGCGCGGGATCTGCAGCGAATCCTGGGAGTGGTTATCCTGGACCTCCTTCACTGCCTGGGTGTTCTTGATAATGACCTGGTTGAGGTCTGTAGTCGGCCCTACTGTTGCGGAGCGATGTACTGACATGCGTCGGACGAAGCTCCCTGGTTTGCCAAAAGCCTTCCCAACACTCTTCATTGCCGTTGTCAGAGGAGACTGCAGTTCCAAGACATTGGCCCTGCCCTCTGCAACTGCTCGCGAACTTGTTTCAATGCTAGATCCTATGGCTGTGCGCCACACATCTGCCTCCACTGCTGAGCAGGCCGTAAGAATGATTTCGTACATCTTCGCGCCATGTTCAAAGACGACCTTCCATGAGTGATGTGCAGTATGGCATTGCAACCCTTTGTGATTGTCGGGCTCCTGTATCGTGGCATTTGCCAACGGGACGGCAGCCAGGATGCTGTACATTGACTGATCGTCATCTTCCACCGCCAGTAACAAAGTGGCTTCGAACAGCACGCAGATGACATAGCAACCCCCGATTTGATCTTTGCCGCGATATGCGATGTGGAGACAGCCGCACAACACTACCTGGCCGAGCAGCTGCAGGAATATGGATTTGGGCAATTGACCAGAGCATGACAGGCGGTTTCCAATCAGAGTTGTGGCCTCCAGTCTCTGGGCCCGCATTGGGTTGTCTTTGGCGGCATCCGTGCGAGTGCATATAGTCTTCAGCTGCTCCTGCAATTCACTAATGGAGGCATATGCGACAGGATCATCACAAACTGGGGTAAGTTTTCGGAGGTCCTCGAATAATAATTCGTATCGAGGGATGCGCTGAATAGGCTACAGAGAGTCTGAGTGAGCGGAGATGCGCACTCATGAAAGCACCTATGGCTCACCTTGATCAGGAGGTCTTTGACAGTCATCGCCCGCTTGTGGTTTGCAGCTCGGCTATTCAGTGTACCCACATAGGCCGAAAGAGCTTCGCATCCCTTGTCGTACTCGAGAATCGTGGGTATAGAGCGCGTGATCTCGTCAATGTCGCGCTGTATAAGTTCGTAATTAAGGCCATACTCTTCGTAAGCTTTGAATCGGCCGAGCTATTACACAGTAATTTAGCACGACAGTCAGGAGCATGAGCAGAGAGGAGCGTATACATGTCTTGAAAAGACTCGGCTAACGGCGTTCACGATCTGTGGACTGCATTGTAGAATGACCTGCTCGTCTTCTGTCGATCGGCTGATGTTGAGCGAACGCCTGCCCTGGCGAATTGTCGCAAGCACAGTATGACCAGGAGTCGACCGGGTAGGCACGACATCTACGCTGTGCCATCTGTTATGCGATCTAGCGGGAATGGACTGCGGAGCACTAGCGATGACTTGATCGTACTCGGAAAACGGAACTGCGTGGTGCAGCTCACCGAGAATGTCATCGTGAAGGTGCAAGATATCTGCAATGATCTTCTGCACCGTACGCCGTGCAAAACTAGTCGTTGTCGACTGGTGGCCGAGGACAGTGAAGTATGCCTGTTTTCCTTCGAATGAGCATGACAAAGGTATGGTCAATCGGACACGCTTACGTTGGACAGTGCTTTGATATCTGCAACATAGCTTTCCTCGGTCCGAATGAGCTCTTCCAGCTTATCCCTTCTTTTGCGCGACCGCTGCCTCGCTGCTTCGTCGATGACTGAGCGTACGCTATCGACTGAAGGGCGAGGATCCGAACCTGAGATGATACTGCTCCGCTGCTGTCCTCTTCGCCATTTTGTAGTCCGCCGCGATATTGTGGCGATGCTCGTACTTGCCACAGTGGCTGTTGCCGACCTGATTGACGTGATGAAGCGCAAGGAAGAATTTTGAGAGTCGGACTTATGATGACCTGCCGTGTATCGCCCTTTACCTCGAGCAGACCTTGATCGTGATGGCAGGGGATCGCAATCGAAATCATCCAGTGTCCATCTTTCTTGGCGAGCAGATACGCAGTGTGGTGGCGGATGACGTTGCTTTCGTAGTTTATCAACCCAACGACTGAAGATCGGGCCCTGGTGCGACTGTTTCCCAACCTCTGGAGTTCTCAGAGAAGCTGCAGCCTCCACGATGGCCGTTCCCAATGCTTCTTCTTCATGGAGCTCAGGATTCACGCCTTCTAGTTGATCTTGGTCAGAATCAGAGTCTGGCAACGGAACATCTAGACTGGTCCTGGGCGACCTCATGCCACCGTCGATGCCCTTATGACTGTGTTCAGCCACGTTGACCAACGTGAGCGGGACTGGTTCGGATTCGAACAGCGATCGGGACCTCCATCTTCTGCTCATGACAGACGATGTGAGACTGGTTCGTTGCGAGGCAGAACGCCTCTTCTGGCTTGACACGCCATCGCGAAGCTTCGTAAGACCCAGATTGATAGTCGACGTTGATCGTGCTGATGGCGTGCAGATACTATCCGTAGTAGCGTGGCGGCGCAAAGGCGGCGAGAAGATCGGGCCGGTAGAGGAGAATGAGTTCGTGGAGATGCTGCGATCTGGATGGCGTTGGACTGTGCCATTCGATATGATGCTCGCAGCAGAGCAAGAAGACCGGTCCGGTGTATCATGGCCTGAGCGAACCACGAAAGGACTGTGCTGCGCGAGCGGTAATACATACGCCATCCCGTCTCAGCGGCAGTGCTTGATCAAGGCATAGCAAGTAGAATGAGAATGCGAATAACAAACAAGTGTAGGTACCTTAAAGGGTGTGTCGAGGAGGACAGAGCGGCTCTCTCTCTCTCCCTCTCTCTCCCTCTCTCTCCCTACCGGATCTTGACATAGAAGGCACGTCTTTCGAGAAGATGGGAACCGCAATCGATACGACAATGGATGGATGTTGTTGCTCTCGTCTCACTAGTGTACATGCCTTGGAAGTCCATTTCCATGAGCACGCTCAAATGATGCATACAGGTACCAGTATTTGGCCAACCTGTCTATCACATGATGTTCATTTACTTCACTCTGCAAATCATGCGTCGCTCGCAGGTACAATAGTAGGGAACAAAAGAGACGATAGCCATAGTTTACTATGTACTACAAGTATGCCTTGGAGGTAGGTGTAGGTGGTCAAAGTGAGGTGGCGAAGGAGGCGAAATTTGTACCGCCAAGATCAAAGGGTCAACACCACCCCCTCCCCTGTTTGTTGACCTGCGGGCCTCAGGTTCCGTCTCCCTATTTTTCTCGGCACAATCTTCCTGGACTCCTGAACATGCGAACAGTCACTTCATCGACGGTCTTCACTATTATCTCCCGCTGAACACAGCAGGAAGCATGAGCCTGGCATGAGGGCGTAGGAGTCTTCGCTGACGCGAGGAACAAGAATCGAGCGAGGTTTTGACGACATACCAGGTGCATACTCAGGCACAAACAATACCTACCTTGTCCTTATTGACATCGATGCCAAGCTCAGCGTGTGCAAGGGCAAGAAATTCCAACCACAGGAGACAAGAAACCTAGTGATACCCCGCGCCTCAAGAGCGTCCGTCCGCGGATACCATGATGCTGTCGCAACCCGCCGGCTACAAGAGGGCGCGCTCGCCTGTGCCCCGAAAGTGGCCTAACGAGGGAATCTCCCAGCTAGACATAATATAAGGGCACATCCCAGTCCCACTGGATACATCATACCCGGATATGCCTTACTTACATGCGCAGGCTCTGCCATATTCTCGCTGTACATCGAGTGATTCTTTTGGGACTGCTTGGAAGTTCAGGGTAGCCATCATGAATAAAGGACGTTGAATCGTCGGATGTCCATATACCATGTCACTTCATGCCAAACTAAGTTCCGAAAATGCCTTACTTGGCGATGATGAAAAGGAGGGCTCGTCTAGTGTGAAACGGCACACTCTGTAGAGTTCAGGGAAGCATAACTGCTGGCATTTCGCCCTCACCAACCGCATACACTCACTAACTACACCAACTCCATTTCTCTCATTTTTTTGCAGCCCTCGCAAGCAGTCCTTTGAGAGGACCGCTGCCCACACTCCTTTACAGCTTTCCAGCGACCACTCATTCCTTGCCTTGACGGCCTGCCTTTTACGCCTGTTCTGCGACGATCAAGCACCGCACAAGTAGCAATTCCAAGACTCTCCCAGCGACTGCCCAATCCTTACAATCATGATGATTCTATCACGGATGCTCTACTTCGCCACCGCGTTCGCGGCGTTGCCTTGTGTACTCGCTGCTCCAATGCCTCGATCAAGCTCCTGCGAGTACGATGTACAGGCGCCACCAGCATTTACCGAGAGCATGCAGCTACAATGGTGCGGTATGATCACTAACGAGGTCGCCGGGCTGAAGCAGCAAGAAGCGATATCGACGGTGCTCCCACTCGTTGATGCCATGTACAAGCAAGCAAACATTCAAGCGGATCCGGAGTCTGCGTTTCCCAATCTGGACCAACTCACCCAAGAGCCGTCTGCCCATGCCGCCCTGACTCAGATGAAGGCGAACTACCCGCTGTCTGGTTCGATGGATCTAACGGAAGAAAACATAAGGACTGTGTATGGTGACCATATTCAGGCTGCGTGCGCCGAGACTGGCGTGCCGGAAGACATTATCGTCACCATGATCTGGGTTGAATCCAAAGGCCACCCTCTCGTCTATGGGGCTCTGACACAAATGGACCACGTTGCCTGGGGTCGAATGATGGACAAGAACGTCAATCTCAAGAATCGTTACATGCCGGGAGACAATATCATGGCTGCCGCGATGTACCTCAGGGAGTCGAAGGACACTTTCGATTGCGACTGGCAGACTGCTTACACTCAGCACTACCAAGATCCCACCGCTAAAGCGAGAGGCTACTGAATCACCTGGAGAACACCGCTATTGCTGGTGCAATGGCGCTGAGAGTCAGTAGTCATGTATGATGTTGAGAGGGGCCACTCTGGTGGTCCCGTGATAATGAGCGATAAATTCTTTTTCACAAGACACGGTAGGCGTCTACTGCTCAAGCATTTTGGCACTTGAGCAGCTATATCGCATGTTGAGAATCAGACGATACGAGAGGGGATTTGGAGGCATCATGTAGCATACCTGTACAATACCTATTCGATGCTGTACCTACTTAGTGAAGTTTGTGCCAAGAAGGCCGAACGCGCTGAACGCGTCTTCCTGCCTCCAACCGGTCCTTCCACGCGTTCACACTCTTCACCAACACCAACACCAACATGCCCGCAGAATGTCGTCGCCTCTATCATTCAAGCGGCGCAGGCTGAATGATGCGACTGCTAAGCTGAAAAAGCCGTTCGTTTCGCCGATGAGGTCTAAGAATCCTGCTCAGCTGCCAACGGAGAGTCCGCTGAAGGACATCTCGAGCAATATTAACCCAACATCGCCTGCCTACATCCCCAGCACTCTTGCGCACACGGTCCACGCCGAATATCCTGTTGCCAAACATAATCCTCCTGCCTTCAAGACGCCGAAGATTGCAGTCACACCACTTCGAAAGTCACACTCAGCCACAGTTTCCACGCAGAAGAAAAAGAAGACAGACCCGGAGGAGCTTGCGGCACAGAAAGCCATCACAGCGCTGGAGTTACAGATACGAAGAGTACAGAACGAACTTGACGCATTCAAGCAGGCAGAAGTACTTGCCAATTCCACCACGGACGCTGATCTGGAGGAGTTGAAGGACAAATGGCGTCTAGCATCACAGTCAGTCGCAGAGGAACTGTTTGGCTCTGTTAAGGAGAGAGTCTGCCGAATGGGAGGTGCCGCTGCATGGCGGGAGATGGAAAAGAAGAAGCACGAGCGAGCCAATGGCATGGGAGGATTTGCAGAGCCCGAGGTGGTGGACAACGACGCAGATTGCGAGTTTGACTCGGAGGGCGAAGAGCTCCCCGAGGCCGAGCAGGAGTATCGCAAGAAGATGAAGCGGCAGGCGAAGCAAGAGGCCATGGAAGCTATGGATGAGCCTGACCGGCCGGTGGAAGGGCAAGGCGTGAAAGACAAGGTGTGGCAGGAAGATGGAAAGGAAGATGATGTGAGCATGCAAGACTTGGGCTGAGAACCGCTTTTGACACGACTGACATTTTCTAGACCTTCACAATGGACATGATGTTGCGAAGTCTGAACATCGATATGGCCGTGATTGGCTATGACAAGCAGATGCAGAGGTGGATTTGACATGGCTGCTGGCGCCGCTACACACGAGGAACGCGCTGGAACGATGATGATACGATGCAGGCATGAGTGAACGATTTGATGAATGCTTTGAAGATACCCATATGCTCGATAAGATACCTGACCAAAAGCGCTGTCGCAGTCAAGCAACATGTGCGTGCCCTGTACCCGGAATAAATTAATAATCCCTAGGTTCCGAAGGTGCAGCTGTCGTCATCTCGTCTCACCTTGCTTCCACCCCCGAGTCATTTTCACTTTCACATGCATGCTGCACGTGTTGCTTATTGCGTAACTATGTTTGATCACGTTCACTTTTATCCTATCGAGTCTATATATGTAGTCGACCACATACATTCGTACCTAGTCCACTACATCTCTTACATTCGTACCTAGTCGACTACATACATTTGTACCTAGTCGACTACATACATCCGTACCTAGTCGACTACATACATTCGTACCTAGTCGACTATATACATTTGTAGTCGACCAGGTCCAAACGTCTCCGCAACTATGGATGGCGGTGGTTTTATCCTGTCGCCGCCAGCATCCTCGACCACCTCCTCGAATACCGCGACTCGCCTTCCCCACCCACGCGAATCGCCCCTCAGACCTGGCGGCAGCAAAGAAAGCACCTTCATACGCTACGTTGATCAGCAGATTCTCCACATCCAGCGCCGTTTTGCCAAACGTACATCGCCCCAAACCGACCAGCTGTCAGACATCGACCGCGACAAGGCGGACACGTGGGGAGATGTGAAAGGATATGCATCTATGAAAGAGGCGTGTAAAGACATAGAGGAATTGCTGAACGTGATTTGGATCAGTGGAACGCCGAGCTTGCAAGTGCCATATCTAATCAGCCTTGCGTTGCTGGTGGGTAATGTTGTGCAAGCCATGCCACCTACGCCCAGAAGTCTGTTCCAGACTCTCGGCAAGCTCGATCATGCGTTTGCGAGCCTTCTACAGGGTCGAGATCTTGATACTGGCGAGAGGTTGCCTGGCTTCATTGGAGAGCGAGGGGTGAGCGGGACAGAAAAGGTGAGGATAAGGAGTCTAGCGGAGCGGACGAGAATCAGTGTAGTCGAGGCTTTCAAGAAGGGGGAGTTGGAGGATGATCGGCCTGAAGCCGAGGAGTTCGAAGAGGACAGGATGGACACAGACACTGATGGTGAGCTGGTCTTGGAGAATGCCGAGAAGGCTGGGCTGGACGATGACGATGATGATGATTTCAATCTGAAGATTGCTCGAGTCTACGACGCCACAATGGTTGAATTGGGTGACAGCTTGGAGCAGCCATCCATTGGTATCATCACAGAGGGACGGGGATGAATGGAAGGGGCCCCGTGCGGCCGTGGCCCTCATGATGGAGACGCAGCACAGCAGAGGGACATGACACGGATGGGAATCTGCCAGCACAGGAAGCTGGCAGTGTGTTCCGTCGACCGGGACGATATGTGTCCCCAGAGGGATTTCCCACGGTGATTCGCTCCCACATGGTGCAGACGGACAGGCGGAGTAATAATAGTGTTCTGCCCTTTGGCTTCTCCCTAGAAACATTGAAGTGAATTGAAGCTGCATTTGATGGTGGGAACAGCCGCAGGGGTGAATCGAGATCAAAGTCGACGAGACGCGCGCGTCGTGCCTTCCTCGCAAAAGCTCGAAACTGCGCTCTGCTGCAAAACAACGACCATTGCTGTTCTGAACATCACCATCAACACATATCGACACCATGATGAACTTCCGGTCTCGTGGAGTGAGCGCAGCGCTTTCGACTGCCGATCTGGATGCCCCCCTCTCGAAGACGACGACCCTGCGAACGGGCAAGGAGCGAGCACGCGATGATCAGCCGGTGGAAGACGCGCTTGCAGCTGGCGTCCAGCTTATCAGTCTTACAAGTGGCACTGATGGCGGTGCGGACGGCCTGCTACAGTACATTGGGGACCACGAGGACATTGCCTTCATGATGACCGAAGCCAGGGAGGAAAACAGTCAATTTGACTCATCAACACCACGAGAACCGCGAGCTCTACGTCTCTCGGTGAGTACGAACGAGTCAACACACGACGCCAACAAGAGAGTTAAAATAGAAGTTTATCTCAATGGCGCGCTGTGCGATGTCCATCTCGTGAAGCACAGAGAGGAAGGCCTAGAGGCCACATACACCACCAATGGCACTCGAATCCATGAGCAGGTCGACATGCCATGGGTTTATCAGCCTTCGGCGACTCGACCCTCGAGTGCTCAGACAGCCAAGACCCGATGGTTGGGCACTTCTCTGGCACTCAAGGAAGAAGTGAGCCGACGCGGGCTGGATCGCTGGGGGCGCCGTCCACCAGCCGCTGATTTCCTTGCCGCGCTCGCAGACGTTTCCCTCCCTGCAGGCCTGGTGGACCATGCCCATATGGGTATCGTGGATATCATCGTCGTTTCCGGGACAGATGTCAGAGACAGTGGAATTGGCGGATCCATGGCGCGGTCAAAGCGCTCAAGGAGCAAGAAGCACGATCTCCGCAGCGCGGTCTCCAGCTCAGATCTGCCACAAAGCTCGCCTGTTCGTGGATTGTCGTCTGCTGGTGCTAGCGAGCGTGCTGGAGAGGGGTGGCTTGGGGAACCACCATCTCCTGACGCCTCGAAGTCACCGAGGGCAGACGACAACCCATTCGCAGGTGGGCGAGGAGCAAAGCCTGCAGAGCCTCTGCGATCATATGCTGCACCTGCTCCGCCCTCTACGTCTCCGGCAGGCCCTCCAGTAAGGAGACAGCGACCACGCAAGCCAAATGACAAGCTCAACCTTCCCAGGGCTGCAGCGCGAAGGACAGTGGCCGAGACAGAGCAGGCTGCCAAAGAATTTGCAGAGAACCATGGCATAGCGTGGCGAAAAGATGCTGTGATTGAGAACTTCATGGACCGGAGGGGCGCAGCGAGGGGGAACAGGTCTCTCACGCACAGAATTCTGGATCTTCAGAAGATGACAGCCAAAAACAGAGCAGCCGCGGTACGACACCTTCAGCAGGACTATCCTGCGGAACCAGTGACACCTGCACGTGCCCAGAAAAAGAGGAAAGTCATTCCATTCAAGCCCGGGACTCCTAGTTCGAATCTGCTAGCAGCGTTCATGCAATCGCCCCCTTCTCCCAAGCCAGCAGCAGCGGAGGTGGTTCCCGAGGAAGGTACAACAGGCTCGCGCATTCGAACCCGAGCCGACATGGCCATCGCATACGGCGCGCCACCCAATGGCAGACTCGTCGCGCTTCTCAAGGCATGTTCCTCTCCAAATCTGGACGAGCGCAGGGACACGCCACTGGCAATCGAGAGCAGCAGCTCCGTGGAGCAGAAGACAGGCCGAGCAGCAAGGGTTGCGCCTCTGATTCCTCAGTCATCTCGTCGAACAACTCGCCGCAATCCAGGCAGGCTCGATGACCCAACGCCCGAAGAAGCCATCGCCGGGTTTCTCATTCCTGAATCGTGCTTCGGCTCTGCCATTAGCTACTCCGCGAACCATCCCCAACGGCAGGTGGCCAAGTCGAGACCTGAAAAGTTTGAGGAAGATGAAGTGATCGTAGGCATGCGATTTGTGGTGGTTTAAAAATAAAAGGAGACCTCACGGTATTGGCTGCGCATACTCGATGGAGACTACGTTCGAAGGGCATTGTCAGAAGCAATACGCCGGAAATTCCTTACAAAAACAGCGCTCGCAGGCGCCTTGTAAGAGACAATACGCGGGAAGGTTCTTACATAAACAGCGCTCACAGGTGCAACGTAAGAGACAATCCGCCGGAAGTTCCTTACATCGAAAGCGCTCGCAGGTGCATTGTAAGAGACAATACGCAGGAAGGTTCTTACATAAGACAGCACTCGCAGGTGCAACGGAAGAGACAATACGCTGAGATTTTTGGAGTCTGCAGAAAGAACCCCGGCTCACAGCGTTCGTCAGAGACACAGCGCACCCTTCTGTAGCCAAATCCATTCAACCTTCCGTTCAGTACGTCTGATGTTCCTTGACCTTGTCCCAAACGCTCTCATCCGTCACGACGCGAACCTCCTTGCTAGTATCCAGCTCGTTGAAGCGACGCAGATCCATTTCGCGGTCGAGCAAAGGTTTGACGTATGGGTCGAAAGTCTGCCAATATCTATATACATTACGAAGCTGAGAGTTAGCGGGTGGATAAGGTAGGTAGCGTACCATGTATTTGGCGTAGAGACAGAGAGAGAGAGAAAAAAAAAACTTACGGGTTCTCGAGATGGTACCTAGGTAGATGCAGACAGAAAATCAGATCAATCTCATTAGTCAAAACTCTCTTGTTGCGAATGTGAAGAAGAAGAAAAGAAGAAGACGAAGAAGAAGGGAAGAAAGAACATACTTTTGCGAACTCTCATGCGCATATCTCTCCACAATCGTGAAAGATCTCGGATCGATATGATCTTGCATAACGAACCTAATAGTTTTTTAAAAAACAAATCAATCAGCTAATGCAATAAAATCCGTCCAAGAACACAGCACTCTTTTCCACAGCGACCTTGACATTTTCTTCCCCTCTTTCTTTCCAAATTTTTTCTGTCTTTTTTTTTCAAAACAAACAACTATATATATATTTCACACACACACAAAATCACATACCATCCCAAAGTCTCCTTATCCTTGGAATATACCTGACTCGCCTCTGCGAGTTTAGCTTTGAGTTTGGAGAGATTTTCTTCGCCTTCTTTGGCGTGGAGGTGGACGACGAGGGTATAGACCATTTTGTTCTTTCTCTTTCTCTTTCTTTTCTTTTTCTTGGTGCTGTGTCTGGCGGGGAGAAGGGAGGAGGAAGTCGGGTTTGGATTGCTGGCGGAGGTTTCTTTTGGTGGAGGAGGAGGTGGAAGTGAGAATGGTTGTTGTCGGAAAGATGGTAAGGTAAGTGAGAAGAAAGGAAAGAGGTGACGTTCCCGACAAGGGTTATTTTAGTACCTCAAGGTGAGGTCTCTGCACTTGACGTCTTCAGCAGCCAAGGAACTTAATGTACCTTAGTACCTACCTCCTAGGGTTTTCTCTCTACATTTCATGGAAAAGTGAATCAAATATTGATTAGAGTTTCGAGTGAATACAACAGGAGGTAGATGTACAAAAAGGCCCGCAGTCGGGCCTTTCCTGTTCGTGGGGCGGCGGCGAGTACAACTACGTATTTCTCCATAGTTTCCAAGTTAGTTCGTTGGAGTACATGGTATGGATTTGCCTTTTGCCGACGAGGTGCCGGTTGAGTGAAAGACAATAGTTGAAGCAGATAGAATGAATCTTGCTACTCTACAGTCTGTAAAGTGAAAGTAAAAACGCCTTATGCTAATCCCATGCTCAAAAATGACCGAGCCCTTCCATGAGTTCTTTGCTGTCGATATATATATCTCCCTTCTACCCCTTTCCCCCCATCGTCGTAGTAGTCTCATTAATCGCATACTTACTTTTCGACCGAATCCACGGGCCGTATTTATAAAACACATACGGCACCGGCACCAACGGCACCGAGATACACGCGAGGATCGTGAGCGTGTAATGCGTGCCCAAATTCTCGTAAAAGGGAACTCCCACGACCGTCATGCCGCCCGCCGCCACATAGCGAATCAGCGTCAGCGACGCGAGAGCACTCGCCGCGAATGTTTCGTAAGAGTCGATGATGTACTGGTAGCAGGTGATGAAGACGCACAGGATGCCGTAGCCGAATAGCACGGATGCGGCGAGCGGGGACCAGATGCTAATGTGAGGATAGGCGGTCCATGCCATCCAGAAAATCGAGACGGGAATCGCCAACGAGCCGCCGAGCATGGAGAACCATAGGCGAAATTCGGGGGGAAGTCGAGTGCCGCCTTGCGCTTGAAGCTTGGCGAGGTCGCGCTTTGCCCACTTGTATATGAGTGGCACGAGAGCCGATGCGCCACATAAGCCGAGGATGATGCCGAGGAAACAGACGCCCGTGAGTCCGGGAGAAATTCCGTAGGTATCGGTGAAAATGTAGGTGTACCCGTCGAGGAAAGTGAAGAGGATGATGTAGATGACAGTGAGGTATAATGCCAGCAGAATGATGATGGGTTCTTGGAACGTGAGCAGGAATGGTCGATACAAAGCTCTCCGGAGCCGTACGAAGAGAGAATCGCTGCGGACTTCAATGGCAGCTCGATATCTGTCATCTCCCGTGAGCTCTCGAAGGTGTTGCGCTTTCCACTTCAACAGTGTTTGCGGATACGTCTCTGGCTGGAAGAGCACCACGAGAATGAGGACGAGTCCAGATATGATCAGAGTGATCCATTCGACCCACCGCCAGTCCAGTACACCAGTTGATACAATGTACCCACCCATCACCGGGCCCAGAAGCGGGCCCGTGAAGGCTGCATTTGCAAAGACGGGGAATGCAAAGACTCGTTCCAGCGGATTCCAGAGATCGGAAATGGAGCCTCCAGCACAAGTGAGAGGAGTGGAGCCAAAAAGACCTGCTAGAAAGCGGAATGCGAGCTGAGCACCAATGTTTGGAGAGAGGGCAGACGCCATGATCCAGATCATATAGATGGCCAGTGTGGTGATGTATACCGGGTTACGACCAACTGTCTCGCTGATCGGCCCTGCAAAGAGCGCTCCCAGCCCAAATCCGACCAGGAACAGTCCCGTAGCCATACTCTCCACCACCTCCGCAACGTGAAACTCTTCTGCAGCTGGCGACAGAGCCGAGCTATCAATCGAACTAGCAATTCCCACCACACATCCGATCGATGCAACCAGCATCGTGCATCGTACGCGCTTCCACATGGGCCAATTATGCGGATCATTGGGATCATTGGGTCCTTCATATCCCACCACAAACACATTCCCATCGCCTCCCTCTCTCGTCGTTCTTCTCCGCACTTCCACTCCCGTCAAGACTGTACTCAGAGCATGTCCAGCACTCCGCTGCGTGCTGACTCGTGATAAAGTGCGATTTGCTCGAAGCTCAAAATCCACGTCGTCGTCGTCCTCCTCATCATCCTCGGTACCTGGAACTTCCGGCGGCTCTTCATACTCTTCCTTCGTCGTCGTCCTCGGCTCTCCATCGTCTCGATTGGTCGCGCGATCGCCTCTTTCAACGTCACTGTCGAGATCATCTTGCTTGCTCTCGAGCGAGGAAGCAGGCAGTCGTTGTTGTGGTGGTGGTGAGGTCAATGCCTCTGGGCCATCATTGTGTCCTCCATGCAGTCTCCCAGTCTCCGCTTTCTCACGATCTCGCTCGAGTTGTGCTTGCACCGTGGTCCTAAATCTCTTGAATTGCAGAATGGATTGCATGCTGGGGATAAATAGAGAGGGATAGAGAGCGGGCTGGTGCAAGAGTGCTCTGAAAAGGAAAAGAGATGGAATGGAGAGGAGAGGAGAGGAGGCCGCCACTTACATTGGAGTGAGCTGCGAGTAAAGGGTAGTAGCGATATAGCTCATGTAGGTAGGGTACATGTACCTTACCTGACGCTTGCTGATTACCTGAGCAGACAGTTTTACGAGTGAAAAAAAGAAAGAGAGTTCCATTTGCTGGAGCCGAGTGCCGCGTGTCCGTGTTTGTGGGCGACGTCGCTGTCGCGTCACAGAGCAACAATCTACATGTATGGAACAGATTCAATGCTCTCGGATGACGTGCCGTGGGTGTGGGGGATTCGGACATCTCTCGGTAAATTATAGTATGCCTTAATGCCTTGAAACTATTAACCGATTAAGCGTCAAGGGCAAGGCGAGAAGGCGAGTGACGGGAGAAGATTTTCATGTCTCTCTATCTGATCTGTCCAAGAAAAAGTCTCTATGGCATCGTAGTCTAAAACTTGAAAACTTGCTCCTTCGTGTATCCCAGTTCCTTCAGAATGCCATCGAGCTCGCCTTGGTCTTGCGGACTCTTCTTCGGCCCCGACAAAGCCTTGTACAGACCCGGAGGCCCACACACAAACACCTTCACGTTCTCCGAGTCGCTAGGAGGCAAGACCGTCTTGAGCAGCTCCTTGTTGATGAAGCCTTTTCCTTGCTTCCAGCCCGCAGGAGGATTGTCCAGCACATAGAAGGCGCGGAATCGTTGCGGGAAGTCCTTCTCGAGCTGGTCGAATTCGGGCTTCAGCAGGATGTCTTCCTCGGTCACGTTGCCGAACACGAGGGTCACCTTCGTCTTGTCCAGGGGATTGTTGAAGATTCCTCGTGCAAGCTGGTACATGGGTGTCACTCCAGTGCCGCCTGCAATCAGCGCAACGTGGTCGTGCTTGTTCGTCGACCACGGGTACTTGGGAATCGGGCCCTTGATCTCGAGTGTGTCGCCGGGCTTCATGTCATGCAAATGTGTCGACATGGGACCTCCCTGGTACTTCTTCACCAGCAGATCCATATGTCCCCGATCTCCTTCATCTGATACGGGTGTGTATGGCCTGATCGTGGGCTTCTTGTCTTCCGGGCCCTTGTATTTCGTGATGAGTGCGCTCGTCACGGGCAGTCCGCTCACGGCCTCGGGATTCTCAAATGCGAAGATGAACTTCTTCGTATTGTGATTGACATCTTCCACTTTGTCCAACTTCAGACTGATGAAGCCTTGATCACCACCGATGAAGACCTTGTCCGGCGGACCTCCCTGCGCCGGAGTCTTGTTTTCGTATGCAGCGGCTGTGTTCTCGATGGCCGTTGCTACCGGGTCTTTCGTGCCTGAAAACGCATAGTATCCTCCACCTAGTGCAGCGACACCGACTGCGCCGAGCAGGAAAGGATTGGTCCCGCCACTCTTTGGTGCTTCGGATGCGTATCGACGGACGTGCTAAAAGTGCCATTGAGTCAGCATTTCCGTTTCTTCTCTTCCTCTCAGCTTCATCACAAGGGCCGAGTGGTCGTTACCTGCGATAGCTGCGCAGCCGGACGAAAGAGACGCGTTGAAAACATGATTGCGAATGAGTGTACGATGGACTGGAAGCTCTCAAAGCAACCGAGAGATCGGAATTGAGAACATTGAGCTTCGAGGCGACGTCATACGTAAGTTTGATGGCTTCGAGCCTTCGGCTGATCCGTGTGGAGGCAAGTCCGCGGGAGCCAGGATTTTCCATTATTCAATTCACTTCAAGCTGATCCAACTAGGCTTTGTGATACCGATCCGTCCTTCATATCTAAGAATGCACAATGCGTTGAACTGTGAGGATATGCTCTGGATTCTTTTGGTATAGCTATGCCAACGCGATAGCATGCCGCTCATTACTCTCTAATGCTACAGGTCCCCGTACCTAGTCAAGACCGTTTTGTTCCCCTCTTTCATCCACCAACCCCCAAATATCATTGCTTGTGCGGCGCAGAGAAGCACGTGTGACCACCTGCACCCACAACTTACACTTTCAAACGTGGTAGCCTCAAGAGTGCGCGCTCTGATCTGCATCTATCGGTCGCACCACATGTAGCTACGTCCTTGGCGACCTCTCCTGTCATCAAAGTATCCTCCCTCGACGCCTGCGGAGTCACAGTCGCCGCCGGAGTACGAGCGCATTCGTTCAAGCTCTACCGAATGCTGATACCACTGCGATCGGTGAACATGCGAGTGGCCACATTCATAGCTGCTAACTCCTGGAAGAGGAGCTTCGCAGCATAAGGAATGATGACCTGGGCAATCTTCGTCTTGTTCTTGCACGGTCTGCACTCAAACTGTTGCTTCTTGATCGAAGCGATGGGCGTCATGAGACCGCAAATCTCGCAAATGTGAACTCGGAAGGCGTCGGAGACGTCAAGGAGACGCTCCTTGAGGAAGGCGGAGGCGCCATGGGCAATCATACAATCGCGTTCCATCTCTCCGAAACGCAGTCCACCATCTCTGGCACGACCCTCCACCGGCTGGCGAGTGAGGATTTGCAGAGGTCCACGTGCTCGAGCGTGAATCTTGTCGTCGACCATGTGGCGGAGGCGCTGGTAGTATGTGGGACCAAGAAAGACTTGCGCATTGAGCTTCTTGCCGGTGTGTCCATTGTACATGACTTCGAAGCCACGCTGCTGGAAGCCGGCCGCTGCCAGAATTTGTGAAACCGATGTGACAGTGACATCCGTGAAAGGCGTAGCATCTCCTTCCTGACCTTGCAACGCACCGACTTTGGAAAGTAAGCACTCAATTAAGTGAGCAATCGTCATACGACTAGGAATGGCGTGGGGGTTGATGATGATGTCGGGTGTGAGGCCATCGGCACTGAAGGGCATATCTTCTTGTCGGTAGGTTATACCAATAGTACCCTTTTGTCCGTGACGAGAGGCGAATTTGTCACCAATTTGTGGCACCTTGGTCACTCTCGTGCGGACTTTGACAAATCGAAGGCCTTCAGTATTCGTAGTAAGAAGTACTTGGTCGATGAGACCGTTCTCTGTAGACCTCAACGGGGTACTGACATCGCGCTTGACGTGCAGCTTTGTTCGCTGTCCAAGCTCTTCTGCATCTGGTGGCATAGGCGCAGTTTTGCCGATAATGATGTCGTCTCCACTCACACGAGCACCGGGAGCCACGATGCCATCGTCATCAAGCTTGTCGTATGAACCTTGCTTCATGCGCATAGTGTCGGAACGAGTGGGCTTCTCAAAGGCCTCCACTACACTCATACCAACACGCTTCTCTTGATCCATATAGGCACGGAAAAATAAGGACCGGAAGAGGCCACGATCGATACTGCTCTGGTTCATGATGACGGAATCTTCCTGGTTGTAACCAGAATATGTGGCGATGGCGACGATGGCGTTTTGCCCCGCAGGCAGATCTCGGAAACGCAAGAATTCCATACTTCTTGTCGTTGCAAGTGGTTTCTGTGGGTAGTAGAGTACGTTCGCCATGGTGTCCATGCGCACGTTGTAGTTGGTGAGCGTTACACCCATAGCTTGCTTTCCCATGGCACTCTGCAGACAAATGTTAGCTTTCTTGAAGACTGGGGGGGAAAAAGAGACAACCACTTACCTGATAAGTATTACGAGGCGATTGGTTGTGATCGGGGAAGGGAATGATACTGGCACAAATGCCGAGAATCATGGCTGGATGAATCTCGCAATGCGTCCACGTCCGCACCGAGGCATTTGGCGCGGGCTTGATTCGGCGGTGGGGATCGTCTCTAGCATCGTCCCACTGGATCCCCTGTCGCATATTTCTGTGCTCCTCGAGGTCTTCTGGCGTCATGGAAATCATGGCCGTTTCCTCCTCCTCTGCATCCAGGTACTCGACGACACCCTCTCGGGTGAGACCGGTCCAGCCGTAAATTGACGACTCGCGCTCTTCTTCGGTCACACCTTCTAAACCAGCAAGGATCTCTTGGTCTTGCTGGAGCTTGCCAATGTGTTCTTGATTCAGCACCAGGTGACCACGATTCGAGCTTTTTGGATCATTGTCAACCACAAAGAGTGGGCGACATACACGCCCGGCGTCTGTGAAGACTCTAATCTCGCGGTCACGGACGTCTCGAATGATGGTTACTTCGAAACTAATCGTGTCCTTGCGCCTCAGGGTCCTGAGGACTTCCGCGAGGTGCCCCGGGTTATGGTGCACACCGATCCAAGTACCGTTAAGCATGATTTTCGTCGCTTTTGGATTCATGACAGGATCATATTCCTCGAGCAGGTCCATGCCACGCTGGCGCATGAAGTCAATAAGGGGCGTGCCTGGTGTTCCGACGGTAACATAACACATCAGGGACAAATTCTTGACCAATCCACAAGCCTGTCCCTCGGGTGTTTCTGCGGGACACACGAGTCCCCAATGTGTATTATGCAACTGCCGCGGTTTTGCGATCTTGCCATCGCGACCAATGGGCGTGTTCGTTCTCCGTAGATGGCTCAGCGTTGATGCATATGTGTATCGGTTCAGCACCTGACTGACACCGGCTTTTGACGAAGACGCCTTCTTCTGGTCTCCCCAGTTACCGGTGGCGAGACAGTACCGTAGACCAGATGTAATGATGTTAGTCTTGACGGCTAAAGTGATGTTGAACTCGCGCCCCGTCTCTACGCAGCGGTGGAGGTATTGCTTCATCTCTTTCACTAGTTGCTGGAACTTCAGGCGGAAGACCTGCGCCATGAGCGGACCTGCCAGGTCAAGGCGCTTCTTACCAAAGTGATCACGGTCGTCTTCGTCTGTCCGGCCCAACGCACATTGCAGCATGCGGTTGACCATGTATCCCAAGAAAAAGGCCTTCTTCGTCTCGCTGCCCTCCTCTTGAGAGATGTGCGGAAGAAATTCTTTCTGCATGACTTCTTTAGCATATCGAATTCGCTTGTCTTTTGTGCCTTGCTGTTGGCCTCTGCGACCTATGTAGTCGAGTGCGACATCCTTGTCTTGAATCACGAAAGCTTCTTCCAAGCACGGCTTGAGCATTTCCAGCATTTGCGTGTCGCTCTTGTCCACGATGTGGTTCAGGATGTCTTCGTCAGATACGATACCGAGCGCACGGAAGACAATACCGATTGGAATATCGACCTTGAGGTATGGGACTGTCACTCGAATAGTCTTGCCCGAGACTGCCGACTGCGCGGATTGATTGTACAACCTAATTCCCATGGAGCTGATCAAGCGTGTACCCTTTTCGATTGCACTTCGGAGCTCTGCAACAACTGGTGTGTTTGTGCCTTTCTTCTTGAACACTTGCACAATATTAGCTGCACTACGCTCCTGTGCAATCAAGACCTTTTCGGAGCCGTTGATGATGAAGTAACCGCCCTGATCGAAGGGACATTCTTGGAAGGCGTAAAGCTCTTGCTCGCTGCGATTGCGCAGCGCACAGATCTTGGATTTCAGCATGATGGGTAGCTTGCCAATGAAAACCTGATCCTTGGCCTCCATCGGATTGTCTGGATCATCTTCCCACACAGTTTCGGTCGTGTAACCGTCCCAGCCCACAGGATCTATCCAGTGCGTGCCATCCTCGCTCAAATGACCGCCAATCGATCGTTCACGCGCAAGCATCATTTTCTTCCTCATGTTGATAAACATGGGCGAAGAATAAGTCAGATTCCGTAAACGCGCCTCGTGTGGATGCATTTGTCGCGTGCTACCATCGCCCTCGGTCATGGCAGCTTGGGAGATGGTCAACATGCCCAACTCGATGATGTATCGTCGCTTCACGATAGGCATGTTGGTCTCATCGTCTCCATCTGATGCCACATTTTGATCGATGACAATCGCTGGAGTCTCGTCCACGATCTCCTGCATAGTCGTACTGGCAAATTCATCGAAAGAATCAAGCTGCTGCGAGACCAGGCCTTTGGTGGAGAAGAAGGAGTGAATGACGGTCCAGCAGTCCTCGGCCGTAATTGTGTTGTCTTCAAAGTTTTCCTCCTCCTCTGCCATGGCCGACATGGCATCTCCGTGTGCGTACGACATCTCGAATTAACGCGCCTCGCTAGCCTGCCTGTTACTTTCTGCCGACGCCCTCACACACACCGAGCCACGTCCACCGCCTTCCAGCCTGTCCAGCCCGCTGCTACTCTTTTCTGCTCGTCTGCACCGATGAAGTTGCCGTCACCAGGTGGCGAGGCGCGGGAGTACGCAAGACGCGCTCCACAGTTGCAGTCCGTGAGTGGATGAAAGGGATTGGAATGCCGTAAATCGCAGTCGCAGACGTTACCGAGATAGGTATGCGATGGTGTAACCGAGCGCTTTGCGAGGAATGGAAGTTGGTAGTTGCGACGGAGTACTGGTTGATGATGGTGGTGGTTGTTGTAGTGAAGAGGATGAAGCGGACTTGTCGAGATGCTGGTTCGAGATGGATGCAGGTGCGGCCCTGTCTCGACGCGCTAGACCAATTTGAGCGTAGAGTCGTTTAGTAAGCGACAAACCCCCGGCGCCTCCGAGTCTGGCGGCAGTCCGCGGCAGCGCCGGCACTATCCGGCAGCTCCTATTTGTCTGGAGGAACGGCATTCCCCGGCCCCATTCTGATTCATCAAGTGAATGACTGTGCATATTGTACAAGTTCAGACAAAGAGTTTTTTGCAAAACCTTCATTTTGCGACAAGAGGGGATATCAATTACATGTACGTTGCCCCCATACGTATAGTAATACCTGTATCATTCATCATACCTCATACAAAGATTGAATACATCGACTACCTTATACAATCTCCTCCAACAATCCAAGCATTTCAAAGTCGCGACTTGCCCTCTTTCTCCAGCAACTTCGTAGCCTTTTGGTAGTTCTTCACCAACTGCCTCACAGCCAGGTCCAGCTATAATATGGCACAAAGCACACAGTCAGCGTTGACATTCCAAAGAAAAAAGGAAGCACAACAACGACGATCGTGACACAAGGCAGATTACGAATGTATGAACTCACCATAACATCTTCCGACCCTCCCGGAATCCTCGCGCCAAACACATCACGATAAATGTGCGCGACCAGCTCGCCCTGGCCCGTTTCCGTGAAACCGTTGCCACCGAACAACATCACGCCCGTTTGAGCACACTCGTTGAAGACCATGCCGGCTTTGGCTTTGACGAGTGCGGTCAAACCACCCAGTCTCGTATCGGCTTGACTCTTGGGCAGGTGGTTCATCTGCCACAAGAATTCGTTCAGCCACGCTTGTAACGTTTCCAGCTCTGCGCCCGCTTTGGCGAGACGGTTGCGCACGACGGGTTGTTCGACGAGGGCTTTGCCGAAGGCTTCTCGCTTCATGACATATGCCATTGCTGAGGATAGTGCCACCCGTGCTTGGCGAGTCACTCCGATTGCGATGAGCAGACGTTCGTGGTTGCTGTTGTCATCAGCATCATCATCACCAAAGTCAATGCCTCCCTGAGATCAAAATCGAACATCACATGTAGTCTGGAGGGAACTCACAAATTGTTCATCACGTAAAACATCCCCTTGCCTTCTTCCCCAATGATGTTCTCCGCGGGCACTTTAACATCCTCCAACTCGATAAATGTCGTTCCTCCAGTCTTGCTGCCTGTCACCTTGAGCCTCCTCATATCCACACCCTGGGCTTTCAATGGCACGACCAAAAGCGTCAGACCACCAGCTCCCTTCCCTCCCGTGCGCACGGCCATGGTAGCATAATCGCTCCAAACACCGTTCGTGATCCTATCACACCCATGAATCAGTCCCTCAATTCTCCTCCAACCAAACCCCAACCCACACTCCCCACCATGGGTGGAAGGAAGCAAACAAAACTCACCACTTCTTCGTCCCATTCACAATATAATATTTCCCATCCTTCGACTTAACCGCCGTAGTCCCCACATTCGCAACATCACTCCCAGCATCCGGTTCCGTAATGGCAATACACGCCCTCTTCCTCCCCGACAACAGATCCGGTAAAAATCGATCCTGCAACTGCTTCGAACCATATTTAATAATTGGCGGAATCGCATATGCAAATCCCGCCGTCAACCCACTCGCGGGTCCTGCGAGCCCACTGCGATGTACCTCGTCGATCCAGATGCCCGTGTGCACGTAATCCCACTCTTCCACGGGCGTGCCGAGGATGTCTTTGATGCCCAATTGATGCAGCCATGTGACAGGCAGAGGGGAGGGGAGGTTGGGGAGCAACATGTTGTATTGATTGAATTTGGCGAAGAGATCGTGGGGTAGGTCACCCGAGTTCTCCCAGTCCATGCAGTAGGGGAGAAAGTGCTCTTCGAGCCATGCTCGACAGGCCTTTTGGAACCGCAAATGCTTTTCGGCGTAGAAGGGGGAAGGCAGACCGAGGAGGTAGGGTGGCTCGGAGAAGGGAACTTGGAGTAGAGGATTGGCTGCGTCGATGGAGGAGGAGATGGTGGCGGAGGCTGCCATGGTAGGCGATGAGGGTGGTCTTCGATGGCGGTATATGAGATCTGATCTGCAGTGTGTGTATGGTAGGTATGTTCTGTAGAATGGGGAGTTGGTGTGCAAGAGGGGGAGGAAGAGAATGGAAGAGAAGGAGAGAGACAGACAGGAAGTACCAGGTGATGCTATATCCTACCGACAACCGGACGGCACTGCATTGATGAAGAAAGGATTACTCATGTCGGTAGAGCGACCACATGGTCCAACAAGCAAAACAGCCGCAATAGACATACAAGCATGTGCATAAAGTGGTGAAAGATCCGAGGTCATAAGGTACCTGAGATATCGATGCCAAGAATCTGGGGATACCCTGCAGAATATATGCATGTTCCTCTCTGAGGCTCTCGGCTCTCGCAAGCGACGACTCGGATCTCTCATGTCAATCAATGATCAATCAAATCACAAAAGAATCACAAAAGAATCAGGTGGAACGGTAAGGTAGATACACTCCAGTACCAGTACTGAGTACCTAGGTAACATATCCCCATACAGCAAGCAACAATATCATCGTAATAATTCAGCCTCTCTATATCAATATTCCTCATCAATCCTGACCAGTTCCATCTCGAAAAACACGAGTCAGAGTAGTCGGTAAATGCGGCGTTACCTACAGGTACCACTTCCATTCCCTCCTAACAAGCCGAATGGGTGCGGCCGCAACCGCAGCTAATTCATGTTGGCTGCAACAGGTCATCTGCTGCTCATTGCTTTCCTTCCCCAGTACCACACACACACTGACACGTATTGACAAAATTTGTGGAATCGCGTCGGAGTGAGATATGCAATGGATACAGCCGTGTTACACAAGCTCAGCTACTCATGTTACACGAATCTGTCTGTCGTACACTTTCCGGCAGCGCCGCGCTTCTCAAAGCCCCCCTTTTTCTTCCTTCTTTTCCTATCAACTCGTAGCGGGCGTGAAGACGAGGTCCAGCTGTCCTACGGTCAGGGTGAAGTGATCTAGTAGATATGATTCAGCGACAGTGTTTACCACGTGGTGGGTATGTTTGTTTCGCCATCGCTTACCCTTGGTCTCCGTCAGAATTCGGGTGCCATCTTCACCAGGGGCAAAGGCAATGTCATACTTGAGCAGCAGTCGAGCAGTCAATGTACGCAACTCCATACGAGCAACTAGGTAAGGTGCATGCAGTCAGCAACGGCATTGGCCCGATGAGGCGAGGAACCGGTAGCGTGCGTGCTTACGATTCTTTCCAATGCAACCAAACGGGCCCATTGAGAAGGGTGCAAACGCGTCAGGATGCTTGATCATCTCTGGCTTCGAGTACCATCGTTCCGGAACAAATGCATTCGCGTCGGTGTAGATGTCTTCATCTCGTCCCATGCTGTACTGGGGAGCGAAAAAGGTCACGCCACCAGGGATATACACGTCGCCCACTTGCATCCCTTCTGGCGGCGTCAAGCGATACAACCCCGATGGCACGGGAGGATGAAGCCTCAGAGCCTCGTTGATTGCCCCGTTGAGATGATCGGCATGTTGGATGTCCTTGTCGCTCCAGTCACCAGTTGTCAAGGGTCTCAGCTCCTGTCGGAGCCTCTCTACCTGCTCCCGGCTCTTCGCCAGGTGATAAAACAAGTACGTGAGCGTCGCTGATGTCGTGTCGGATCCGGCAACAATGATCAAGCGAGCATCACCTTGCAACATGAGATCCGCCTCGGGGTGCTTCTCGTCGGCGTATGCCTTGAGCAACCATCCCGTAATGTCTTTGCCAGTCACTTTGCCGTCATTCTCGACACGCCATTTGAGCTCAGACGTGCAAAAATTCAAGAATTTATCTACAAGATGTCAGCGGGCTCCATGTATCAGGAGGGCGACATTACAGTATCCACCAGCAAGACCAGGAACCGAAATGAGTACGCGGAACACCCACGTTGGTACCTTGAACCCACTGATTTCCATTCCCTCGGTCAGTAGATCTACCAACGTTCAGCATTTGTCCCAGTCGTGACAGTACGGCCGGGCACCATGCTTACCGAGGGCCCAGTGTCGTTTTCCATTTTCAATCATATGATACTCTTTGCCAAAGGCTAATCTGCCCATCACGTCGAAGCTGTACAAATTAAACCAGGTCGTCATATTGACAGGCTCGCCTCGGAATCCGTCGATTCTCGATATTAACTTGTCGTTGAGTTCATGTACCGTTTTTTCGTACTCTCGGACCGCTTTGTCACTGAACGCGGGAGCCCTAGCACAATCCGACCTTAGCCAAAAAGCAAGGGACGTGTAGGCAAATCAGTAACAACAACATACCACAACCTTCGACGCCGATCATGCACGGCTTTGCTGCGCACTGATTGCATACTGTGATGCGGTCCCGTGCCATCATACCAGTCCGACTTGGCGGCTTTCGCATTCGTGCCATATGCAGGTTGCATGATCGCCGGATCTGTAATGGACAGGACATTGCTACCCACTCGAACATACTTCCCGTACTTCTGGTGGAAGCCATCAATCACATAATAGCCGTCCAGATTCGAGAGCTTGGTCGAGAGCCACAGGTCGCTCAGTCGTGCTTGCCAGGGACCGGGAAATCGAGCGAGGGGATGCAGCCAAAGTCGATAGACCAGAAGGCTCGAGTACACGCCGACCAGCCAGCTGAAGGCGAGCGCGGACACGGTCGAAGCGGCGGCGAGAGGGGAGAGTCCGGCAACATTGCTCAGGTAGATGCCACTGCCAGCACAAATGAGGAAGAAGAGCTGCATGTACTTGATGGGGTACATGTGATGTTCGCCGCGGTTGAAGAAGAGACAATGGGCTCCCACGCCTGTAGCCACAGCGGACAAGATAGTCCACATCTTGATGCTTTTATATGATCTGATATTGAAGTATAGGTAGCTGAGGTATACTGACTTGAGTAGGAAGGTGAGAGAAGAGAAGAGAAGAGAACAAGAAAGGACAGGACGACTTCTGGACTTTCCCGCAGTTTTGTAGGTATACCTCTCACGGACTGCAGTGTGATTGTGAGTCGATTGATAATGAATTTCCGTGTAACAACCCCCGTCCTCTCATTTTCCCATCCTCCATGTCGTGCGAGTGAATAACGGAACCGCACACGCTGATCAGGCCCCCACCCACGTGCATACAGTATGTACCTAGTGATATCAGTGCTTCGGCATCTTGACACCGGTTTCCAATAATAGTATGGTATAGGGATGATTCTTTGTTCTTCTGCAATTCTGTGAGAGTGATATCAGCACGTAAAGTACCTTACCTATGTCGGATATGAGACGGTCAATCCGTTTGTGGACGCATTTGCATCTGCATTGTGGCTCCATGGGAACCTGAACGTCCCAGTGATCACAACGTCTGTTCTTACTAAGACTGAGGCTTGGCGTTATTCTCTTCTTCTTCTTTTCTTCTTGTTCTTCTTCTTCTTCTTCGTCCATCTTCTCATACACTCTCCCCTCCGCACATCTCTATTTCCACTCATGCTACTAATGCTACAAACATCATACACCTAATGCCAGCCCTTCTTCTCATCGCCACCTAATAAGGGATCCTCTACCTGCGCAGGAGGCGCGTACGTCGGCCGTGGTGCAGTGACAGGCCCCGATCGATCAGCGATGGCATCCTCATAACTCGGTGGAGGCGCTTCGTCGTATTGCGGGACAGCACTACTACCAGCGTGGGCATGTGAAGGCCATGGTGCAGCTGAAGCATCGAACGGAGTGGGCGGTATTTGATTAGATCCGAAATCAGTGTCCATTCTCCCCTGATTCCAGATCTTATCTTGTTTTCGTCCATGGAGTATTCCCGAATTCGCCTCTGCCATGCGCGCAATCACTTCCGCTGGTGGCGCTATACCAGAATAGATTTGACAGTCCATGCGGAGAGGCAGAACGACCTGTTGTGGCTGTGGAACAGAATGTCAGCTTACAATGCAAAGTTGTGCGAGCGATAGTATGGTGATTAAGACTGTTTCTTCATCGAATTTCTCACCACCGTTCGCCACTGCCCAATGCGTACCTTCGCGTCTCGATTGCCGTAGCTCAACCCAATACGAATGTCAAGTTGGTACGATCGTTCAATGTTACAGATTTCAAAGGACGGAGCGACTGTGTTGGGTAGGGTATGCCCGGGACCTCGCCAGAAACGATCATCAAGAATGCTCTCCGCATCCACGGGGTCTGATGGACTACCGAGTGGTACGTTGGTATTGCTGGTGCTGCATATGATCCAGCTGTTGCTTTCCGTCCGATAGACTTCGTGCGCGCGAATTTTGGTGTAACCAATCAGGGAGATTTGCAATGAGTTCATGAAGACCTGGTCGCCGACCTCACTCAGCTTCTTGAATATCAGTCGAAGAGGAATGTCTTGGTTGCAGGTCAGGATGGCAGGCTCGGGGAGGCGTGCGTCGATGCTGACCAGCGGCGGGCCACCCGCTACCAGTGGCGAATTGGGCGTGCTACTCGACTTCTTGCCGAATATCCCTTTCATCTTTTCTTTGGCACTCTCATTCATAGGGCCGGGAAAGCCGTCGAACATATGCTTCTGACGAGCAAAGCTTTCCGATCCCGTCACGGGTGGGCGAGGGTTCTCAATCGGAAAGAAATTGAAGGGTACTTGGGTTCGGGCATTCTCCTTCAGAAAGCCGTGCCGGTTGACTGTGCATTTGACATAGTATCTGATTTCTGCCTCGCCCGGGAATCCGCTCAGCGTGGGCGGCAGCGTCTTCTTGACATGCCGAGTCGCAGGTCTTGCGATTTCCATGCCCACAATCTTTGGCTGCTGCAGGCCGTTCGCGGTGCAGTTGTTGTTGAATGGGATCTATAGTACAGTCCATCAGTGGCCCGTCTCGCGAGTAGAGTCCGGAGTGCTCCATGGTGTACCTTGAAAGAAAAGGGGTACATGTGTTCGCCAGGCGGCAGGCCATAGGCCGTCCTGCCCATCGTCATTGTACTTCGTCCTTCTGCCGCATGGGCGTCAGGAAACACCATCTGCACTTTATACAACAGCTTGTGATACTCGATCATCGGCTTGGGCCTCTCCCCGTTCGGACCAGGCGCACTCATCAGCCTCGTCCGGCTCTCCCCTTCGAGCTTGACGACGACCGAGTTGACATTCTCGCTTTTGGGCGTTCGAATCACGACTTGGCCGGAAATAATGTCCAGGTTGGTATAAGCCACATTGGCCGGCTGGTCCAGGACGACACGCACGAACATATTCCCGAGCGAGCACAGCGACAGCAGGAATGGTCGTTCTCGTGAGCGGATGAGAGTGAAAGTGACGAGAGGTGTACTATGGAATGTTGATACCTAGAGGTGAATGGAAAGTGCATAGTAGGTGCCACCTAGAGCCACCCACGCAGCACCGCCACAGTGGCACAGTATACCTATAATCACTCACCATTGGTTGCATAAGTGAAATATTGTCAAGGTACACGAGTCAGCCAAGAAACGGCACGCAATAGGAAGTACATGTACTTTTCCACGAACATCACAGCTGGAACGAGGACTACAGGCAATATCATCATGACTGGGAGGCCACTATCAAACTAATATCAGATTCATACCACCTTTCCTACTATAGCTTCGTCCTCCCTGCTTCCGAGGGGACTTTAACTTCCACCATCAGCTTGCCCGTGTTGACGCCTTCATACAGTGCTCGCAATGCTTCCGGCATCTTCTCAATGCCACCCCGGATGATGGTTTCCTGCCGCTTGATCTTCCCTTCTGCCATCCATTGCGCCAACTCCTTCTTGGCCGCGGGATACTTCTCTTCGTAGTCAAACACCACGAATCCCTCCATTCGAATCCGCATAGACACAATCATGAGATAGTTCTTGGGCCCTTGCGCAGTCTTGCTATTGTACTGTGATATCCCTCCACACATGACGAATCGCGAGTGTTCCTTTGCTCGGGCGAGGGCCAGGTCCAGAATCTCACCACCAACATTGTCGAAGTAGACATCAATCAACTGCTTCGTTGCGGCGCGGAACTTCTTCGCAAAGTCCGGGTCTTTGTAGTTCAGAGCGTCATCATACCCGAGCTCATCGACCAGCCATTTGCACTTGGACTCTGATCCCGCAATCCCCAGCACTTTCGCCCCTTTCAATTTCGCGATTTGGCCCACTACGCTGCCCGTGGCTCCAGCAGCTCCGGACACGACCACGAAATCGCCCGCTTGGACTTTGCCCACATCGATAATTCCAAAGTACGCTGTCAGTCCAGGCATGCCGAGAGCGCCGAGAGTATCGGTCATTTTTCCATTCGGGGGCAAATCCAACTTCTGCACATCCTTTTCCTTCAGCACCGCCAATTCACTCCAACCAGAGCCTCCGTACACTGTCTCACCCACAGAAAACTTGGAAGACTTGCTTGCAACGATGGTGCCGACGCCGACGCCACGCATGACAGCACCAATCTTGACCGGTGGAATATATGATCGGGTGTCATTGAGCCAGCCTCGCATGGCGGGATCGAGAGAGAGATAGTTGGGCTGGAAGAGAACTTCGCCATCTTTCAATGAGGAGCTCGATGGAGTCTGATTCTGCTTGATCACAAACGTGTCTGATTCGATGTGGTTCTTGGGTCTATTGGCCAGATGGACGGACTTGTACGTTGAGGGTAATGCTGCCATGGTGATAATCGTTGTGGTATGCTGAATGCCGAGATCTCGAACCTATTGACCGAGTTATGCGAGCAACAGAAAAAATCATGAGACGAAGATGACAGGATAATTGTTGAGAGAAAGAAGTGGAAGACAGGGCAATGGATATGTATCTGGTCGAACACCGGTAGTGCTAGAAGTATATCAAGGCGACTAGCCTCGGTTCGGGCTGGTGTCCCAAATGAAGCTGCTCTCCGAAGCGGTCCCATCTATTCTTGTGTGACGAGTGTTCTTTTGAGCTCATCCTTTACGAACATCCGAGACACTGACAATGTCATCGACGTCGCGCAGTACATACGGTATACATGTAGTGAAGCCACATGTAGCCTGAAGCGCATGCAGATGAGATGACCGACGAACGAACGAACGACCCTTGTCGAGCCCCCCTGATCGAACCTCACTCTCAGCAGTGTCAGCACTACCTACCTACTACCTCCCTGCCGAGCTATCGACGAGCCTACGCGCTCGACAGAGCTGTTGGAAGACACGCATCACCCACTCGAGCCTCGGGGCGAGCTGCGGTAACGACTCCTGGGTCGATTACTAGAGGGCATGCGCAAGAGATATCGTGAATATACCAGGTGGCAGGTAGATATGGACATCAAAAGACGGCAAAGTCCCAGAGAGGCGCGACTGGGCATGTTATCATGACCGCGACACCCTGATTGCTCTGGCGCTGTCTATAGACCACGAAAAGAGGCTCTGGACCTCTGGACCCTGTAGCCAGTGCACGGTATGTGCGTGCCAGACGATACATCTGTGGACCTCCTTTTGGCCCTTTGCCATAGATCATTCCTACTTACTGCAGCACCAACTGGGCATCCTCAATCTCGCCGCACTCGGGACACTTCCGACTCGATTCGTCCTGCTGCCACTTCTCGATCAGAGGCTTCAGCTGTGTACCCAAATCCGTGCAGTGGAACACCTCTTCTCGAATCATCGTCGGCCGCTCGTGTTCGCCTTTCGAACAGTACCACTGCAATCGATCCACGCTCTTCTCGGGCCTGGTCCGCTCCATCACCATTCCGATGGTGTCGGCGAATCGAATCGGAGAGTGAGGTGTATTGCCCGGGAGCAAGAACGTGTCGCCTTCGTGAATCTCAATGTTCCGGAATCGGTCGTTCTCGATCACGCGCAGCAGCATCGTCCCCTTGACCTGATAGAACCACTCCTAACATGGTTCAGTACCAACGAGGTGAGAAATCGGGTCTCCAGCTCGAGATTACTCACTTCCGTTTCGTTCACGTGAAAGTCGTTGCGGGCGTTGGGCCCGCCCACGACCATGAGCATGAAGTCTTTGCCCGCGTGAAGACAGAAATTGTTCACAGGTGGCTGCAGCAGGTTCTCATTGTCCCGCAGCCAGTGATGGAATGGCGTGGGATCGGGAATCACACTGGAATTCTCCATATTCGTGCTGATGCAACAGGAAGCATCCAAAGTTCCTCGAATGTCGAACTGCAATATATTGGACACTGAGTGGCTTGCTCACGCTGCCTGTCCGAAGTACTATAACACCAGCCAACAGAAGGTAAAGTTGGATTTGTAATCTGAGGATAAGGCAGCACCTATCTCTTGCTCGTAGCACTGTCAAATATCACGCTGCTGGATCTCTTGAACAGGTTGATCAGACAGAATCCCCTATATGCATTCCGGAAGCTATCCGATCGATGTCTACGAGTTTATACCACTTCCCGGAACAGTCGAGGTGCTCGGCCCGAGTCATCCTAGCTGTCAAGTCTGTGAGAATAGGTAATGAGAACGGACTAGCGGGCTATTGTGCTGACGCAAGATGAATCGAGAATGCGGAGAGTGGGCGAGCAGATCGATACGGGCACAGTATGGGTAGAAACGTAGGCGAGTAAGACAGCTTGCAACGCCATTTAAGGGGGAATGAAGAGTTCGGGGACGAGCCTTGAAGGTGGAGGGTATATTATAGTCGAGACGTATTTATTTATTGTGACTCGCAACGTTGCATATTCCGATATAAGGCTTTAGGGGATACAGTCTCGGCAGGTAGCAGAAGACATCTAGATATTTCCACGAAGTAAATATCAGGACGAAATTTCGCTCATATTTCACTCTTTCAATTTTCTCTCTCGGGTTTTCCCCAGTGGCCTTACTATTAGGCATTGGGCACTACGCAGCGGACGATAAACAACACACAGGAACGATATCTGTTATCAGAAAATATCGGGGTGGAGAGACAGTGAGTTCGTAGATTCGAACTTCCATGGAGACGAAAGGTCTCGGCCCGGGGGGTAGGTAGCTTGAGCTTCTCCTATTTTGATAATAAAATTCAACTGGAGTATTTTATATATTTATTAGTTGATTACGCACAGCAATAAGAGCTGGTCCATTTAGCCATTGCTTGTTATTGTTATTGTTGGGGATTGGGGATTGGTGGGATGGATGGGAGTTTCAATTTGATTTGACTTTATTATGCACTGGATGGGAATCAGAGTGGAAGGGGATGATGGAATGAGACTACAGTATACCTGGTGAAGGGCTTTCGCAATTCAGTTTATTTTATGATTTCTTTTCTCTGACTAGAACGGGATGATCGTACTTTACAAACCTCTACAATACCTTCTCACCACCCAGGAGGTGGACGGACAACACTCATGCAACGCACCTATCTTACTTACCTGATCAGATCCAACCCGTTCAATCTCTCACACAATCATTCATCCCTTCTTCATCGGAGCCTTGCCACAAAACTCCAACAAATCCCTCGGCTGCCACCCCTCTCCCTTATCACAAGTATACTTGGGCAATTCCAAAGGCGCCCCCATCTCGACTCTCGGACAAATGGAGTGGTTTTTCGTCCACTCACCTTTTCGCACTGCCTGGTGACGATTGGCGTGGCCCAGACATTCGCGTCGCTCGGCGGCGGAGAGTGGGTGGGAGTTCAGGGGTCCATTGGGTGCACGTGCTCGGAAGCGGGAATCGGTGATTTTGAAGGGGCCGCTGATGAAGCTCTTTTGCGAGGTTGTAGGGGTGGGAAGAATGGAAGGGAAAGGGGAGTACTTGGGGCTTGATCGAGGGGACAGAGTCGCGCGGGTCAAGGCGTGCAGGGTTTGATCTCGCTCTTGGTTCTGCGAGATATTGTCAGTGTTGTTGTGCTCTGCTTGGGTGAGGTTTGGGAGTGGCCACTCTTCTTCCTTTTGCTCTTCTTCTTCTTCGTCTTCGTCTTCGTCTTCGTCTTCCTCTTCTTCCTCTTCGTCTTCCTCTACAATCGTCCGGAGCCACATACCGTACACGTACGTTGACGGGTATTCTTCAGATTCATCGGAAGAACATGAGGATACACTTGAGTTGTCGCTGTCTGTTGGTGATTCTGGCTTCTCTGCCTCCAAAGTGCAGGCAAGACCGATAGTGGTGTCCTGCTGTTGATCCATCGTTGCGGTTTGCATTGATGTGTTAGTGTTGGATGTCGTGGCTTCACTCTGCTGCTCTTGATCTAGCGTCATGTCTAGTGCCAGCACTGGGATGAAAGTAGGCTCAAGACGTTGAATACCGTTGAGTCTGAGCGATTTGTAATCGCTTGATCAAGGCTGCAGAGGATGCGTGGGAAGAAGAAGGCAGTAACGCGGGCACATGGCCCTATTTGTATACGGCGTGGCCTTGTCTGCTTCTTGGCTTTGTTTATCGGGACAGACTCGTGAAACAAGCCTTTGTGTGAACACAATGTGCTTGTAAGTCCAATATCACATCATGAAAGAAAGCCAAGAAACAAAGAGTCGGTCGCCAGGTCTGCCTTGCTGGAAAGGGGCTCTGAGTGAATCCTCCGCGTTTGTCCAACGCATACGGATTGAGAACGATGAGAGGGCCCGAGGAGTGGAACCTGCCATGGCACGTAAGTGAAGGAAAAAGGAGAGTAGCCGATTTTCCGATATTCTGGCATTGAGCACTGTACCATGTATGCCTGCCTCTCTGGTTACTCGTTCTGATCCGAGTCAATTGTACACTGGAAACCGCACAACACTGCAGCTCCTCTCGCCGCCTCTCATGCTCAAGCCATCTAAAGTTTGTCCAGAGGACCACCGGCCAGCTTAGCTTCCGCATCCTTTGCATTCGCACCAGCCTTCCAGATTCTCTTGATACCCTCCGTCAGTCCAACGTCGTTCGTCTCGAATTCGTAGTATCCCCAGCCGACGATGAAGACCATGAGCACGTTGGCCCAGTCGGCAATCTTGCGGGTCTTTGGCACGCGCCATGTTGGGAAGTAATCCGTTATTGCGGCACTTTTGACAGGGCAATTAGCGGCAAAGTCCATAGCTGGCGCATAGGAAATGTAGCTATTGTCCCACTCACCCAAAGCCGATATATGTGTGGATGATGGTCAAGCCAATCAAGGCACCATCCATGACTGGGTTGAGGGAACCAGCAGCAAAGGGCATTATGGTCAATGGAATGAGACCGATAGAGACGGCTCTGTCATTTCTCCATGTCAGCATGTCTTTTGAATTCTCGGCCGTTTGCCGTCTCCCGCTCTCTTCCTCTCCTCCTCTCTCACTCTCCCTCTCCCTCTCACCTTCCCTCTCACTCTTGCTCTCCCTCTCTGGCTCTCCACTTTCAGCTTGATGCATACCTCTCAGCAGTCCAGTGATAGCTTCCATGGCTCGGGTGCGACTCTGGAACGGGAGCAGGGTCGTTTACACCTCCTCGGACCACCTGTGGAAGCGGTGGCAGAATCTTGCGGGCAGCAGATGTTTGGAAGGCGGATCGTGGAACTCGTGTCGTCAAAGCGGATTGCGGGCCCGTTCGCAGGCTGGAGATGATGGAAGAAGAGGCGCGCTGGGTGGAAGCAGTCTTCTGCACCTGGCGGAGGAGCGTCGGCCGCATGATGGATGCCATGACTGTGAGTGTGGTGGTGACAGGATGGTAAGGGAGTGGTGTCTGTTCAATGGTCCGTACTCTCCCGTCGGATCTCCTGTGGTCGAAGATAATGGATGTGCCAGCGCTATTGCCGGCAGCTTCTTAGGCCCGAGGATGTCATCAATGCATCGCATATGAGTGGCCAGGCCCGGAAGCGGATCAGGACTTTTGGCACAGACAGAGGTGCTTTGAAGTTTGAAGGCAGAACAGCCAAGAACATGTATATACAGCTTCTACAGCATGGTATCGAATAGGAATTAATTAGGCGCACCCACTGGAATTCAATAGCAGTCGATATATCCAATCAACTTGTATCGTTGTGTGATCTCTCTTGCGCGGTATAGATCGAGGAAGTCTGTCCGTACCACCCGTTTCTCACTCCCGACTCGACTTGCAACTTGAGGTCAGCCCAGCCGAGAAAACATCGAGAGTCCTCAGTAGAGAGAGCTTTCACGAGCGACAGCCTGTCCATCCGCGCATCCACCGTTGTCCTCCCTCTTCCACCACCACCACCTCGTCCCGCTCCGCCCCGCCCCCTTCGACGCTTCCCCGGCGATGGCCTCTCGAAGATTAGCATTGAGTCTCCAGACGGGACTGCGTGCTCAGCGCGCCATCAATGCCGTCAGACCCAGCATCACCCGCAGAGCCCTCGCGACTCCTGTGAGCCATGGAGCCACCACCGAATCCACCACGCTGAGCAACGGCTTCACGGTAAGCATCCATATACGCAAGAGCATGGAAATAGTGAAAGAGACAGCATCGCTGATGAGGGCAATCACAGATCGCTACGGAATACTCTCCTTATGCCCAGACTTCTACCGTTGGCGTCTGGATTGATGCGGGTTCGCGCGCAGAAACAGACAAGACCAATGGTACCGCACACTTCCTCGAGCATCTTGCCTTCAAGGGCACCCAAAAGCGCAGCCAGTCGCAATTGGAGCTCGAGATTGAGAACATGGGTGGCCACCTCAATGCCTACACCTCCCGAGAGAACACCGTCTACTACGCCAAGTCCTTCAACAGCGATGTGCCCGCCTCTGTGGACATCCTCGCCGATATCCTGCAGAACAGCAAGCTCGAACCATCCGCCATTGAGCGCGAGAGAGACGTCATCCTCCGCGAGCAGGAAGAGGTGGACAAGCAGCTGGAGGAGGTCGTGTTTGATCACTTGCATGCAACTGCTTTCCAAGAGCAGCCTCTCGGCCGCACAATCTTGGGCCCCAGAGAGAACATTCTCAGCATCCAGCGCAGCGATCTTGAGAACTACATCAAGACCAACTACACCGCGGACCGCATGGTTCTGGTGGGCTCCGGTGGAGTGCCACACGACCAGATGGTCCAGCTCGCCGAGAAGTACTTCTCCAAGGTCCCAGCATACAACCCCAACGCACAAAACAACGCCTTCGACCGTGCACTCGGAGCGAAGCCGGATTTTGTTGGATCGGAGGTCCGGATAAGAGACGACACCATGCCGACCGCTAACATCGCCATTGCAGTCGAGGGTGTCAGCTGGAAGGATGACGACTACTTTACCGCACTCGTCACTCAGGCCATTGTAGGGAACTGGGACCGCAGCATGGGTAACTCCCCATACCTAGGATCCAAGCTCTCCACATTTGTTCACGACCACAAGCTTGCCAACTCTTTCATGTCCTTTTCGACTTCCTACTCAGACACTGGTCTGTGGGGAATCTATCTTGTCACTGATGCCGTCACCCGCATCGATGATCTCGTCCACTTCACTCTCCGCGAATGGTCCCGCCTATCCTTCAACGTGACCGAAGCCGAGACGGAGCGTGCCAAGCAGCAACTGAAGGCTTCCATCCTCCTCTCTCTGGATGGCACGACCGCAGTCGCAGAAGACATTGGACGACAAATCATCACAACCGGTCGCCGACTTGCACCGGAAGAGGTGGAGCGAGTAGTGGGCGCCATTACCGCCAAGGATGTCATGAGATTCGCCCAGGAGAAGTTGTGGGACCGTGATATTGCGGTTTCGGCTGTCGGCCAGATCGAGGGTCTTCTTGACTACAGCAGAATCCGCGGCGATATGAGCCGAAATATGTCATAGAGAAGAGAAAGAAGAAGCAGCGGTAGTCGAAGGTAGGGGCTGAAGCAAATAAGAGAAATCACAGTGTAATCTTATAGAAAAGACCTCCGCCCTCCCCGCCGACCGAGTCTGTAGTTTTGTCTGTTGATCCTCGGGGGCGACTGATGAGATGTAGATTCCTTGTGCGAAGTGTAGATATATACCTATGTTACTCTTGAGCTATTTGATGATTTTCGTTTTATGGTGTTCGTGTCTAGCTCAGGTAGGTAGGAAGTACCTTACCTTGTGGTCTCTATGGACACTGATGAATACCTAAGGTAATCCTGCTCGTTAAGGTATGCGTGGGTCAGATCTCGACTCAATTCTACCTACAGTACCTACAGTACGTACCTTGGACACTTCAATACATCGATTTAGTTTGTCGTCCGGGGGATTATAAGCCCGGTACATATAAGTAGGTACATAGGTAGGTCAGGTAGTCCAGAAAGGTACATGTAGGGAAAGGTAATCAGCCGTTCGTTGGCAGATGAGATCTCCGAGACATCCAAAGGGCGCTCTTGGCTACCTCCTAAGGTAAGGTACGGTACGGTACGGTACGGTGTGCTGACTACCTACTTACATGTACCTACCTACATACATGTACCTTAGAAGGTACTAGGAGGTACGTCTAAGGTACGGAGTGGCGGTCGACAGACGATTAATGAGCGTGCGATATACCTTCCAGTAGCTAGCTACTGCATGTATCACTCACTACCTACTGTTGGCTCACTGAGACAAGGATCGACTTGCATTGTGTAGCAGCGCAGCAAGTTCATTTCGTGGTCATGAGTTTTGCTTCTTCGTGGGTAGAGTTGCGAACCCGCTCTCTCTCGAGCACGACTGGTTCATGTGGAGTAGCGATCGCATTATGGCGCTTCGCTAGGGATATCGCTCATAGGCTGGTGCGACGAGGCACGCTACATTATTGGCTCAGGCGGATACGCAGTCATTCGAAGGTGAAGCTTCTGCTTGCGTGAATGGTGCTTGTTTGCTGAATGAGATTTCTGTTGTGAACAACGTCGCTACCGGGGCAGCTCGCCAAGTAGCATTGTGCGGTCTGTACTTGCGGAAAGGACTGGAGTAGTGTTGTTAGCAAATGCATAGATCCACATCGCGACTAGATTGCATCGTGGACTCACCCATGGATCCATCCGGTGATATGCGCACATCATTCACAGTACCCTTGTGGCCGGGCAGCTTATGCATGAGCTTCCCATCTGTGCTGTTCCAGATGGTCACCGTGCCATCACCACCGCCAGCAGCCACCCTCTTGCCTTCACTATCCCAGCACGCACGAATGAGGTTCTTTTCCAATCCTGCTTGCGCACCATCAAAGGTCTTGATCGCCCTGTCCGCAGGAGCGAATGGTCTCACGTCCCATGTTCGCACGGTCGAGTCGTGGGAATATGAGAGCAAGCTCTGCTGATCTGGTGATATTGCCAGACTGGTGATGGTGTCCGTGTGCCCTGTCAACTCGTAGGTGACCTTCTTCATCCTCAAATCCCACACCTTGATCTCATTGTCGATACCACCACTGAACAGCTCGTTCCCCGCCTCGGCCAAGCATACCGCAGTGACTGGGAAGCTCGTTTCGATAAAGTCCAGTGCTGCCTTTTGCCTGGGATCCCATATCGAAATGGAGCCATCATCACTGCCCGTCACCAAGAACTCCTCTCCTCGTTTGCTTACATCCAAGCAGTTGATCACCTCTTCATGCCCCACGTGTCTTCGTATCCTCTCGCCTGTTTCCACGTTGTAGCTTGCGACATGCTTGTCTGCGCTTGCTGTGTAGACGACTTGGCTATCGCGCGACCACTGGAGATCCAGAATTGCGGACTTGTGACCAGTCAAAATACCATAGTTTTCGCATTCGCCAGATGTGTTCCAGAGCAGGATGCTCCGATCCATAGATCCAGATGCGATATGAGCGCCAGAAGGATCGAATCGAGCTGTGAAGACTTCACCAGAGTGACCTACCGGAATCCAATCAGTACAGTTCAGTTCCTTCCACAGGGTTGACTCTCACCACTCAGTTCCATGACAGGCGCCTGAAGGCTTTTTGCGCCAAATCCCTACTCATCCGTCCTGATCAGCCATTGTTCCCCCTTGGATGCTGCTTTAGCACTGTTTTTGGGTGTCCAGGCTTTCTGTCTGCAAGACATGCTTACCGCGCCATTGCTCTGTATCAGAGCTCCGTTCATATCTCCATTGGATCTCTGTCTCTTCACCAGCTGCGAGCTGCCAAATGTCTGGTCCGCTGAGCGCTTTTCGCCCGACATCTTGAGAATATGCGCCGCTCTTTCTGTCCAGATGATTGTTCGTGTGGCGTTCCGACTCGTTCCAATCGGTGATGTTGTTGTTATTGGGCTGGTTGGCGAGCTTCCACAAAAAATCCTGACCTTCACTCAAGCTTCCCGACCTTAGGATAGGCCGAGCAAGGACCACGAGGCTGTCAACCTTCCCTTCACACTCTAATCACACCTACCGACCTCACTCAATCCATCCTCCGATTGTTACTTTGAGCCCATTTCACGCATTCACAGAACAGCAACTGGAATCCCGTCTGGAGCAATGAAGTGAACCTGAGCAGTCGCGTGTACCATCCCGGACGCGCCTTTCGAATTCTACAGCCATGACCTCTAAAGCAGCTCGTCTGGGCGAAGAGTAAGGCATCATCTTTTCTACACACTTACTCTTGGTACTAATAACTAAAACAACTGTATAGGGTGTGGAAATCGCGCGTCGAAAAGATCAATGCTGAAGTAGTCACTCTCACGTACGGCACAATCGTCGCCCAGCTGTGCCGTGATCTCCTCCTTCCCAACACCGCTGCCCAAACGGACTACACAGCAGTCAACGCCGAACTTGATCGCATGGGCTACAACATGGGACAACGCATGATTGAGGATTTTTTGGCAAAGAGTAATACTGGAAGTTGCTCGAGCTTCAAAGAAACAGCAGAGATTATTAGCAAAGTGGGATTCAAGATCTTCATGAACATCACGCCTACTGTTACAGGTTGGACGGCTGATGGGAAGGGGTTTGGGCTCGTCTTCGAGGAGAATCCTTTGGCGGACTTTGTGGAGTTGCCGGATGACGGGAGGAGTCAGGAGGAATTGTGGTATAGCAACATACTATGTGGTGTGATCCGTGGGGCGTTGGAGATGGTGCGTATTATGTCGTTGGTGGATTTGGGGTGGCATGTGGTATGAATGCTAACCCCGTCGTCTTCTAGGTGCAAATGCAAGTCGAGGCACATTTTGTCAGTGATGTGCTGAGAGGAAATGATACGACGGAGATGCGGGTCACGCTGTTACGATATATCGAGGACGAGTTGCCGCCAGACGATGAGTGATGCGGTTGGAGGTTTGAGAACTTCGCACCACCACATGTCGCATATGTATGCCTCGTCGCATACCAGCGCTTTCCGGACTGTTACATGTATGTGCCTCACAGCATTGAGGGAGCATTGTATGCCACCAACACGAAAGATGGCAGCCTGCTACATCGATACAGTAGCTGAGCGAGAAGGTCGCTTTCCTGCAGGACTGGCCAGTCCATGCAGTTCGCTTTTGGCACTTTGTCGCACCTTTATATCGCATTCGTCGGCTATCGATGGCTAAGGTACCAGGTATTTTAAGGGAAGACGGTAGCGACGAACCCTCCGAGCACATGTGTTTTGCATCCGGAAATATAAGGGCGCGGTGGCACGGTATGCAGCAAGCACCAGATGTAGTCTCACGCCTGAACTGGAACAAGAATGTGTGCACGCTACATGTGATTGTTGATTACCGTATTGACCAAGTGACTGTGGCAATGTGCAAGCAGCCGCCCTTGAGGGCCTCGACACCAACCTGTTCCAGTCTGGACAGCTCTTCACTGCCGTAGGGTAGTTTTTGACGAGTCCGCCACTGCGGTGTGTTGGCAGATAGGCATTGATTAAGGTATTGCATGTATTTGACACCGCTTTGCGATCTGGTCAGTGGTGGGAGAGCTACCTGACCTTTATCCACAGCCACATCCCATGCGTGACAACAACGGGAGCAAGCCGGATCGACCACAGGCACAGCTGATTTGCCCTCGTGCGTATCGGCCGGTATTCCATCGGCAACGCGATAGAGTTCGCAACCCATCCCATAGCCAGCACACATCCACTCACCTGCACGGGACAGAATATGTTTGTCACTTGTAGGACACGCTTGAGAGGTGAGGAAGAGTGTTGACAGCGCCGTTCTAGCCATCATCATCAGCATCATCAGCATCATCAGCATCATCAGCATCATCATCAGGGCCTTCTCCGTACCTAAAACCACGACCCTCCTACTACCTAGTTTGGGCGCGGCGATGTAGGACTGGACCGCTCCGTTTCGCTCGGCGAGGCTCGAGCCTATCAACAGCCTTTCGTTAGTCTACGACTAGGTCAGGTGGCAGATGGCCGGCCAGCACATCCCTCTCAGCAGTGACAAACACATCTCTCTCTCTCTCTCTCTCTCTCTTTCTATCGCCCTCTTCCGCCCTCATCTCAGGCAGCAGAGGCAGCCAGCGGTGCTTGGGCAGAGCTGTATATCGTGCAGTAGTGGAGTGAAGTACATATGTGTGTTTACCTGAATATTGTAACAACAATAATAATAATAATAATAACAATAATAACAATAATAATGTGAAGAGGCCCAACAGAAGCCTCCAGCCTCCTAGGGGATGATGATTGAAAGCTGCCTGTTCTCACGTTCACTTGTTCATCAGTGCAGTGCTCACTCAGTTGCTCACTACCTCTACGGTTCTACCTACCTGATCTTACTGCAACCTGGAACTAATCCTAATTCGAACACATGCTGCACTCGTTTTCCACACGTTTCCCTTGCCGTGGCTCTCTCTCTCTCACCACACCTCAGTCCATGCGACCGACCACTCTACTGTAGAGGAGGACGAAAGCTTACTCCTCGAACGAAGTTCCCTCCCAAATCCCTTCTACTGCCGGCGCGCGCTGCAGCGAGCGCTTTTTTTTTATAGTTCTACTTCCCTCGCGTTGATCGCACGCCGCACGGGGGTTCACATCCGCAGACTCGTGGACGAACTTCCCGTCGCAGTGCTGCAATCTTCCCAAGCTACTGCCAGGAACCACAATTCCCTATCCACCTCCCTGAACCGCACCGCACCGCAACGCACCGCACCGCACCGCACCGCCCCATTACACCGCGCCGACGAGGGCAGCAGGCCTGAAACTGCTCTCCCGTCTCGACGAACCGCCCAGACGTGTGAGCGTCTGTGCGAACGCCAGTGCCCAGTCCCGAGCCACCGGGCGTCGCAAAACAACCCTCTTGGACCTCCGCCAGACACACCATCCACCCACCTGGCCTAGTCTGCCTCCGCGCGCGTGTGCTGACAGCCTTGCTGGCGTGCTCGAGTCCATTATACCAACGCGCCGCCGACGACTTGCGCCCGCGCGACATCAGCGCAGGTGTTGCGACGCGAGTCTCGAGTCTCCATCACCAGCCCCAACCACCGCCCCCGCGCTCCACCACACCACACCACACCGCGCCGCGCCGTATCGCGCTCCCCCTCCATACTACCACTACGCCTATCACGTATCCACGACTGGCCGTTCTTGCGCGAACCAAACATCCCTCCTTCTCCTCCTCCTAACGACCGCGTCGCCCTCGCAGCTGCAGCATGAGCCAGCAGATGCAGATGAGTGGCATAGGCGGCCCGGTGGGTGGGCAACCAGCCAATGCTGGGACGCCCTCGTCCACCTATACACCGGACGCTATCATCAAGAAGCTCAATACCGCCATATACGACTACCTGCTCTGTCGGCAAGAGTACGATGTCGCACGCGTCTTCTCCCAGAAGATGGAAATTGAGACGTCAGACGTGAAGCAGTCGCCTAACCAGCGACAAAACCAAGCAAACGGCATCGACAGCAACATGGACGTGGACAGCAAGGAACACGTCGGCATTCAGAAGCGACCCAGCGATCTCCCCGCTCCGTTGGCACTGTCGAGCGAGGATAGTCCGTTCCTTCAAGATTGGTGGTGCCAGTTCTGGGAGCTGTATCACGGGAACCGCTCCAGAGGCAAGCCTACCACGCTGAACTACGTCGGACAGCAGCGCACACAGATGAAGGGACGCGTGAACGCGATCAATGGCATGGACCCGAATGGCATGCGTCAGCAGTACAACGCGATGAACGGGATAGCGGGCAACGACCTGAGAAAGACTGCCATGGGTAACGGAATGTGAGTTTTTTTGATTTGCGTTCGTTGGCGGATAATGTGGTTGCACGCTACCATTCACTACGGGCTATCACTGATGGTCTTTGCAGGACCCCGCAGCAGATTCACGCTATGAAGCAGCAACAGCAACAGCAAATGCAAAGGAACCAAATGCACCAAGGCGGTAACCAGATGGAACGGCAGGGGTCACAGATGAATATGAGTGACCCACGGTCTGGTTCCCCAAACACTGGTGGTGGTGAGGCACCTTCGCCGAAACGACAACGTCTCGACGGTAATATGCAGCAGCAGCAGCAACAACAGCAGCAGCAGCAGCAACAGCAGCAGCAGCAACAACAGCAGCAGCAGCAGCAGCAGCAGCAGCAGCAGCAACAGCAGCAGCAGCAGCAGCAGCAACAACAACAGCAGCAACAGCAGGCGATGAATCAAGCACGAGGTGCTCAGCCAGGCCAGATACAAGGCGCAAATCAGGTCGGTCATCCTTTCCACCCTCCACCCCATGCGATGCCCCTTCCCCCCAAGGTTGAAGAGATAATTGCTCGAGACAACCTCGATCCAAACAATATGTCACCACAACAACTACAACAACAACATCTACAACAACAACAATTGCAGAGGATGTCCGTCCAACCTACTAACATACAAGCGAAGTCTGTTCAGGGCTACTCTGAAGCCATACAGCAGCAGATGCAAAGTGCACTTCAAAAAACCACATCTAACAGTAACAAGGGCATGCCTCAGAACCCCGCCATGCATAGCGCAGCACAATCGAGTCCCATGGCGCAGTCCAACATGAATGCCAACGCGGGAGGGAGCGAATTCGAGTATAACACGCGCATGGGCATGCCGCAGCAGAACGGTCCTGCTCCAGCCGCGGGCGGCCAACCACAACCGAACAACGGCAACCATGCCTTGCAAGACTACCAGATGCAATTAATGTTGCTCGAGCAGCAGAATAAGAAGCGACTGCTCATGGCACGCCAAGAACAAGATAGCATGGCGCACCCGACGGGTGTCCAAGGCCCCAATGGAGGTCAGTTTGCACGCAACATGTCACCACAGCCTGCTAGAATGCAAGCTCCGTCTCCCAGCTCTGCTGCTGGTGACATGCAACGCGGCACCTCGAACATTCGACACATGGGCATGTCTCCTAACACCAACATCGCAGGCCGCGGTTCGCCACAACCTGGCATGATGGACCCGAATAACCCTCAAATGCGACAGATGGTCATGGGGCCTGATGGCCGACCGATGATGCGCGCTCCCTCGTCGCATCCGATGGCAGGCCAAGGCATGAGTACCCAGCAGATGGACCTCATGCGGCAACAAGGCATGATGCCGAACGGACAGATGTATCCAGGCGGTCCACAAGGGCCGCAGGGCCAGATGATGCCTGGACAGCAACCAGGTCAAGCAGGACCACCCGGGCAACCGCCGAATATGACGCCTCGACCGAACAACATGCCACCTCCGCCAGCACCGACGAACCCAGGCCAAGCGGGTACACAGCCTAGCAGCCCTGCACAGCCGGCTGCACCACCAACACCAAACCAAATGAACAAGGCAAAGCCGGGTTTAAAGAAGGCTGCTGACAACAAAAAGGTAGGCCATCGATGCAAGCAAGGCTGATATCTGCTCTGACAAAGCACTAACATCATCTCAGGGCCCTGCTTCGAAGAAGGGTGGCGCAGACAACCAAAACGAAAACGCACCTCCAACACCTACGCCACCGCCGCCAGTCACGCCGAGCAACGCACAAGCATTCAGTAACAACAAGAACCTCCCCATGCAAAACGGTGCACCAGGCCAAGGTCCGCCACAAAACAATGGCCAGCAGCAGAACAACGTGCAACCCCAAGTGCCCGATATGAACAATGCGCCATTCGGCGACCTCAACGGAACGGATCAGTTTACCGGCATGGACTTCGCCAATCTTGACTCTGGAGATGTACTAGATAACTTCGACTTTGACAGCTTTCTGAACAACACTGGCGGGGATGATACTGGACTAGGATTTGATGCAAATTTCGCGTTTGGTGATGCTATTGGCACGGAGACAGACGGGCTCAATTAGATCCTGGGTGCGCAAGCCCCCTTTGATGGACGCTGCAGAGCTCGAGTGCTTTGTGCCCTCTCACAGTGGAGAGAATCTGGCCATGGCGCATCCTGGGGTACGCACTATCCGCAGGATAATGGGGGAGCTCCGTCATCGTACCGGACACGTGAACATTTCCCTGCATGCCGCAATATCTCAGCCTCTCCTGTAGGGCGGTCGACGCGGGAGCGAATCGACATGGACAGATGCGCGATGCAGCAACACTGCGCAAACGCGACTTGGTCATGAAAGATTTTGCTTTCGCGCTGCCCAACCACGCAACCATCCCAGCCTACCAGCCATTCCATCTCCATGAGAGCCGGTATTTCATTCAATCTACCCACCAACACCACGACGTTCCTATTCTGTCAATATCGATACCCAATGAGAGAGGCCCAAGCTTCCTTTCTACACACACGCACACGCACACACACAACTTTCTATCTCTCTTCTATTACACGGCCCCTTCTCTTTGCGGCTACCAGGGCCACAGTCTCCGCCGATCAGCGTACAAAGCTGTCGATCTCCTCAAAATATCCCGATACCTTTTTGTGTTTATAATATGCCCGCAAGCAGGCGGAAGAAACAACCGGGATGGGCGCATGGGAAGGACCAACTTTTTTTGTTTTGGTTTTTTTGAATATATCACTCGTTACTCGAACGGGACAGACTATATGACGTGGAGTTTTTGGCATTCCAATTCTGTTGTCAATCGGAGTGACATACGGCTGCATTTCTCTTGGATATGTATGTTGTGATCTGTTGATGTACTTTTTCTTTGCCACGCCGGCCACAAAGAGGTGGACGTGAGTAGCAATGGCGCGGGGGGTGGGTGTAGTAGGTATCTTCTTGAGGAGACAAGTCGTCATGACATTCACTTTTTACGAAGGACTTTTTTTTCTCTCCTCTGTTCCTTTCATCTTTTTGGAAGTACTTGGTAACCTTAGCATTGGAGTCCAAAAAAGGTTTATATATCCTAAACACATTTTTGTCACTGCATGTCGCGACCCCCTATCTCATATCGAGATGGGATGGATGGATGAATATGTGTGCACAAACGATAATATTCAATAGCATCTCGACTGTCGCATCTACTTAGGTACTACTACCACAACTCGACCCTCTTTCCCCTCTACACATTTAATAATCACAATAACATTAATAAACATCCATTACAAGCCCCTCATCATCATCATCATCATCATCACCCCGGCACACCCGTCCCATGCGGCGGAAGTATACCCATACCTCTAACGTCTCCCCCAGCACCTCTCGCCGGCACAGGAGGTTCAGCCTGATCATTCAACCGATACCAATGTCTCGTCAACGGCGCGCCCAACGGCCAGCGGTCCTCATCAAGTTTGATCGCATTATCATTATTCAAAAATCTCGCATCGTCGCGCGGCGATTGTCGCAAACGATATTGTTGCGGAAGAGCGATTTGGGAGTTGCGACATCTTGCCAGGATCTCATCGAAAGTGTAGCGTTGCGTGTGGTCGTGTCGGAGACAGCGGTAGATGGTCGAGATGAGGTGGATGGAATAGTGGGTTTGAATTTCGAGTGGGAATGTGGCTGTCATGGGGTTGCGGGCGCGAGGATGGACAAGTGGGCCACCGGGGGGGTTGTAGGGACCTTGACTCATTATATTGGGACCGGCGCTCCAGTCGGAGTGGAGGAGTGCCCACATGGTGATTCCGACTTGCCAGACGTTGGTTTTTTCGGAGAGGTCGTGGGTGCCGTTGGCGTTGAGGGCTTGTTGTTCCTGTAATGTTTCTTTCATGAGCCCCTTTTGTTTACTACTGTGTGTGTGTGTATTGGGGGGATTTCTTTTTTTTTTCTTTTTCTTTGGGAGGGTAAACTTACCGGAGCATGACAGTAATCAGTCCCCCAATGTAAATATTCATGAGGCGGTGCCCCTCTGGTGGCATCATGCGGAACGATCATGGCGCAGCCAAAATCGCCAATCTTGGCCAGTGGGTAACCGCTGTGCAGGCCCGAGGTATTCTCGCCCAGGAAGACTAAACAACTTTCTCGTCAGAACGATGTGTGCAACCACGAATAAATAATATTGCACATGTCAGAAACACGGGCGGTCTCCCCCTTACCGTTCATGGGCTTCAAGTCAGCGTGGATAACCTGTGACCAATTGCCCGGTCCAGCTCCAGTCACGGCTCCTCGTGACATGATCCGGCCAGCTCTCGCAAGACTTTCAAAGACGCTCCACACAAAGGCTTCAGGTAGCCAGTCTTGCTGAGCGGGGGGCGGAGATGGAATACCGCTGCGTGTAAGATAGGGCTGGTACTTTCGAGAAAGATGGTATATATCTCCGTAGCCACCTATGTGCCCACGAATTCATCATCAGCGGGAAGTTCTGTCTTTGTTTTTGTGGATGTGATTTGCAACTTACACCACTCCTGATACGTCCTATACCATCGCAGCTGGTTTTGGTGCCAGATCTTATGCCAGCCTCGCATCTGGACGATGCTGTCGCTGCCAACGATGTTACGCATGTTTTCCAAAGCTCCGATCTAGTCCCTTCGTCAGTACCCTTGACAATGCTTGACGGAGAGAGAAGGGATACACCTCACATACCTCTGCAGGTTTTCTGTCATAGTGATTGTTGGTCGGAGGAATGAAATCGGGATCCCAACGCTGCACGTGTTCCCTTGCGATCGGGTGGGTAGCCGACGGATACCCCATCGGCCACGGAGTGTCCTTGACACAGACACGCTACATAATAGATCAGTCTCAGGGGAATCCTGCTGCTGTTGTGACCTTTTTTTTCTTTTTCCATTACTCACGTCTGTGATCCTGCCAACACGATTCTGTCTCACGTAGACGACAGGCCGAGCTTGACCGCCTGGTGTCAATGGCCATCCTCCGACCTGTAGGACTCGTTATTTGCCTGCGCATGTGACAGCACCATTATGGAGCAGCTTGCTCACTCACCCACACATTATTCGGCGGAGGGGGTAGTCTGCCCCCACCGGCGTGACCACCGTCGTCACTGGCTAGAGGCGGAAGTCCTGCTGCTGCTCGACGGGCACCCTCTGCTACCACGGCTTGCTGGAAATTCCCGGTAAGAGCTGTTATCCGGTTTTCTTCAGCCAAGTAAGCGGCCTCAAAACCTTGCAGCAACGCAACAGTCGTGCCTGAGAGACCATGGGTCTGTCGAATGGTTCGAAGTTGGACTGCGGCCTGCCGAGCAGCGGCCAATGCGGCTCTAATGTTTGCCAGAGGAGTCAAGTAAGCCCGCGCTGCGCCTCGGTCGTCAAAGTCGGTTGGGACTGGTGGTATGGGGTTGTTCGTTCGGACATTGTCGATATTGCCTTGACTGGTTCGGAAGTTTGTGATTTCCGTCGCCATTGCAGTTCGCTCAGCAGCGGTCATGCGATTCCATACCCCACTTCTGGTCGCAGCAATCGGACGCTGCTTGCTTGGTACAGTACTCACCCCTCTTGCGATTCGTGGTGTTCGCCATCCTTCAATTTCGAGTGCGAGCCAAAGGGCCAAATTGGCTGCAGCTGTTGCTGCTGCTGCTGCGGCCATCGTAGTGCTGATATCTGCCGAGAGACTTTTTGTCAGTAAAGTCTGGCAGAAAAATTGGTGTATGATGCTGGACGGTATTATGCTGCCAGTAGACCGCATGCGAATAATGAATGAATGCCACGCATTTCGACGTTTCTTTGATCCCGATCACATTTTCTTCCGTCTTTGGCGACGTGCGAAGAGCAATCGCCATGTCCACCCAACAACAGGCCGCATCCGATCGTTCTTTGTTCGTCAAATCCAGATCTGCCAATTCGCCGTACACTCATGAATTTGGACTTGAGCCGCCGTGAAAAGAACAACGCCATCGCTCGGAGATCCAATCGTCCCATTTACTGAAATGTCTACTCTGTATGGATGACTCCACCTACAGGAATGGGCCCAAAGACACCATCTCCGCCCGGCCCTACTGCCGTCACGGTCTTGTCTGGTTCTGGCGCATCGTCCATGTGTAGTGAGAGCTGTGCATGATGAGGATATCTTTCAGCAGATAGCTTGAGACTGTGGGCATCACTCAGCCACCTCTCATCATTCCTGTCTGCGTTTCTGAGCCCACTAGCACGATCGCGGGCAGTATCTGACCTGGTGGCCGCTCTGATCGTGGCCAATAAAATAGCAGGCGAAGGCCGATCGTCAGGTACAGGCTCCAAGCATTCGAGAACCAATCTTCTGAGCACGCCGCTATACCGTGAGACGTGATCTGGAGACCAGACCACATCAGGACTTCGTGGGTTGGTAGGGACCCAAGTCACCACTACAGGTGGACCGGGATCAACGGTTCTGGTATAGAACTGGAGCGCATTAGTCCTTGAATTCATCAGGCCCCACATAACCACGCCGATACCCCAGACGTTGGTCTGCTCGTTGACTGGCTGTGTGTTGTCGACTTGCTCAGGGGCTCGGCATTTTTCGGTTCCCTGGTAATATCGAGCAGGAGGGAGCACTCTGTTTCCATCATGCGATATGATATTCGCTAGTCCAAAGTCTCCGAGCTTGATTGTTGGATAGCCGGGATATCGATTGGTGATATTGGAGGCCAAGAATATATTCTCAGGCTTTAGATCTGCATGTCTGGACGTGCACAAAGTTAGCCCCGACACACACGCATGTTCGTACAGATTCCATCGCTTACATGATCTGTGACCACGGAAACTGAAGTGACAGCAAGCTGCCAGTCTCCATGAGCAAAGCGGCCTCGGCGAGGCTCTCCAAACAGGACCACAAGAAGGCCTCCGGTAACCAGTCCTCCTCGAGAGGGTCCTCTGGCCGTGGCACCCGACGAATGTCTGCATACGGCGTGTACTTTCGAGAAAGCCCGTACAAGTCACCAAAGCTGCACCACTCCAGATACATGCGGTACTGGTATACTCGATTGTTCCGAGAGATACGGTGCCAATTGCGGAGCTTGATGATGCTGTTCGATCCGGCCAACGCATTGAGTCTGATCAAGGCGCCAATCTCCGACGGCTGCTTCAAATCGTGATTGAATACATCGGGAGCGACGTCGGGATCCCACAACGAATGCATCTCTTCCGCCGATTCAGGGTCATAAGGCCACACGGCATCTTTGACGCACACACGGTCCATGATTTGGCCGTGTCTGTTCTGTCTTAGGTACACGCCAGGTATCGCCTGCCCACCTCTTCCGAGAGCAAAGCCACCAAGCCAAGAGTCAGTGGGAGCAGGTGGCATGTCCAAGGCGGTGGAATTCGCTGCATCGCCACCTTGAGAGGGAGGCGGAGTGTCTGCCGGCCCTCGCAGGCCAGACCAGTAGTTGTTGATCTGCGCAGTCAACTGCGTGTCGGAAGCGAGAAGCGTCGTATACCGTGCGAGTAACCTGGCGGCACAATTGTATGGATCGACATGCAGTGCACGACCTTGGCTCAGCGCCACAGTGCTGAGAGCAGCTCGCGCAGTGGCATTTCTGAGGTCTCGCAGCGCAGTGAGGTAGTTGGTCTTGTCCACCCGGGCGCCTGCATCATCATCTGGTCTGGGAGGAAGTGCATTTTCGACTTCTGTCAGGTTGTCTTCGCGAGCCTGGTTTGTGGTCAACAGAACGCCGATGGCGACCTTCTCAGGCTCGGTCAAGTTGGCCCAAGTCTTGCGTATGGTCTTTACGGCTGTATGACAAAGTCAGATCACACGCAGTCGTTTGACGTGCTGACGACTCACGAGCTCTTTTGATATATCGTTTACGAAGTCCGAAGGCCAGCCAGGCGTTGGACTCCACCTTGATCCATAGCTGCCGTTCTGGAGAGACCATTAGGAAGTATGTAATCCTCTCTTCAGGATGAGAACAGTGCCGTTGAACGGCTGAGCTGCGGTACTGCCGGTCTGCCACATCACGTCCCAAACATGTCTTTGTTCGACCATTTGGCACCAAAGTTGCGCTATCCATTCGCCAGATCCGTCGACACTTTATGGTACAAACGCACAAAGTCATTCTTTATTCCACGTGGTGCTAATTGCTCTCGAGACTGAGGATTGTCAATGGTCTGGGATATCCTATCGTACGCCTACCAAAGCATCGACAGCGAAGCAGGCCATGGTTTTCGTGTCCAAGTTGTGCAAACAATAATCTTTCAGTAGGCTGCAACATATTTGCAGTTCTCCAATAGTGGCCCCTCTGAACACACGTAGTTCTACTCAGCGCAGGCATTACCGAACCTATAGCTTGATAGATATTGCAGTTCTGCATTAGCCTCAGATCTTTGGGTGTAGGACCTTCTAAGCCAGCGCAGACGATTGAGAGACGATGTTGGTTCAACAGGAGAACCACGAGGTCACCAAGTCCGACACCAGCGAACTTCCATGTCAGAGCGAAAAGTAGTAACTATTTTGAGTAGAGAAGATTACTCCGGCCTCATCTTCCCCCTCCTCTTCCGCATCTCCTCCACTCTCCTGCGATCTTCCTCGAATTGGTGCACCAGCCCCATCTGCTCCTCTTTTCGCTTCTCCCTCGTCTGGAAGCGGTAGAAGTCCTCCTTGATTCTCGACTTCTCCCTCTTCTTAAACTCTTCTTCCTTCGCCTTGGCTTCCTCTGCTCTTCCCGGTCCTTGTCTCCCACCTCTCGTCACAGTGATGAATCCATCCTCGTCAGGTTCACTCCTCAACTTCGCCCTGAGCTTCGCTCTCGCTTCCTCTTGCGCCGAATAGTTCGCCATGAAGATATCCACACTCTGCTGCAGTACAGCACGATCAGGGAATCGCAGCTCGTGGTGTGACTTGTATCGTGCGCTCCCCAGATCTGGTAGATCTCGCAGGCCTTCTCCCCAAGTAATTTCTGCTCGCGACTTGATTGCCCGCTTGACCTCCTTCAACGCCAATTTGGCCGAGTCCTGGTCCACAAACGTCACGACCGCCGAACTGCCACTGCGTAGCACATTCCGGCTCCATGTCTCTGGCAGATCACCGCCCTCTTGGAATGCTTCGGCTCCCCGCTTTCGCTTCTTTCCTTGCTGAACAGGCGCGACAGGCGCAGAAATGCTCTTCCCCACTCGTGCGCCTTCGAACGCGACACTTTCGACTCTCGCCCCGCCGAGTTGCGAGGCAAAAAGATGTCTCAGGTGTGGCTCTGTGGTGTCAGTGGGGAGATTGACGAGGAAGAGCTCGCGTGGTGTGGAATCCGAAGGCACTTTGGGCGCATTCGGGCGCATGTAGAGGTAGTGAGTGGCCGTGTGTGCGTGATAAGCAGGCGTTGGAGGAAGCAGCAATGGCAGGACGAGAAAGTCGTTGACTGTGACCGGTATACGGGGTTTGGGCACCATCCTTACTGAGCTAGGTAGGCAGGGTAATGTATGTTATATTGTCAAAAGAGAACAAGAGTTGCCTGTGAGAAATGCAGTTTGGACTTTTCTCAAGACGGCATCTTCTGAAAGTGGATACCTGCCTATTTGAGCTAGTGCAATGTAGCCGCCGATCCACCCCTCTCTCTTCTCTGGAGTCTGGAGCGATCAAGCGACACCCGCAACATGTACGTGACCCGTCTAACCAGGTACTCATTTCGTTACACTCATTCAATCTTCCGTCTCATCACCACCTGTCTCTCCATGGGCGAGCTGCACCTTTTGCCTGCTCTATGCCCTGCATTTCAGTAGGGCCACTGCCACGTGTTGTAGTCTTCTGGATCGAGGCCATTCTCGTACGCATATTTCTCCGCAGACAGTTTTCGTTCGACCAACTTCTCACGCGGACCCGAGCCCTTGTTACCTAGCACTTCCGATAAATGGTCGATCGCCAGAATAGCCAAGGAGTATCGATCTGCTTCGTTGCGGATGGCAAGCTCGAGAGGGGTGTTGATATTGCCCTTCTCTTTGTAGCCGCGCACGTGCATCAAGTCTTGGCCTTTGCGGCTGTAGGTCAAACGGTGTACCAGCCATGGGTAGGAGTGGAAGTTGAAGATCACAGGCTTGTTGCTGGTGAAGAGCGATTCGTACTCAACAGCTGTCATTCCGTGTGGGTGGTATCCGTTTGGCAGGAGCTTGAACAGGTCCACAACGTTGACGAAACGGATCTTGAGCTCCGGTAGATATTCGCGCAGCAAGGCGGTCGCAGCCAGGGCCTCTTGGGTCACAACATCACCGCAAGACGCGATGACGACGTCAGGCTCGGCACCGTAGTCGTTAGAAGCCCAATCCCAGATTCCAATGCCCCGAGCGCAATGCGAAGCGGCTTGCTCGACATCGAGATATTGGAGATGATTCTGCTTGTCGGCTACGACGACGTTCACATAGTTCTCGCTACGCAAGCAGTGATCCATCGTTGAGAGGAGACAATTTCCGTCAGGAGGCAGGTAAATACGGACGACTTCCGGAGACTTGTTGATCACAACATCGAGGAAACCGGGATCCTGGTGGGTGAAGCCGTTGTGGTCTTGTCTCCAGACGGTACTTGTGAGGAGGATGTTGAGGGATGCGACAGCCTGTCTCCACTCGACTTCGGCGCACTTCTCAAGCCACTTGGCGTGCTGGCCGACCATCGAATCGACAATATGGATGAATGGCTCGTACGAGTTGAACAGGCCATGACGACCACTGAGTGTGTATCCTTCAAGCCAGCCCTCACACGTGTGCTCGGAGAGAATCTCCATCACGCGGCCGTTCGGGTCCAGATTGCCACCATCCTCGTCCTCAGGGAGCATACCATTGACCCAGATCTTCTTGCCAACCTCGTACACTGCCGACAGCTTGTTGCTTTCGGTCTCGTCAGGGCCAAACAAGCGAAAGTTGGTCATATTGTCCCGCACGACATCGCGCAGGAACTCGCCAAACTTGGCCATGCCCGAGGTGTTCGTGATTCCCCCCTTCTTGACTTCGATTGCGTAGTTTCTCCAATTTTCAAGTCGCAGTGGTTTCTTGAGAACGCCTCCATTGGTGATTGGATTCTCGCTCATGCGCTTGCCTTTGGCTGGCGCAAGCTCTCTCAATTCCGGAACCAGTTTGCCCTCTTCTGTGAATAGCTCTTCTGGCTTGTAACTTCGCATCCAAGTCTCCAGCACCTTCAATTGTTCGGGGTCGGTATGCACCTTTGGCAGAGGAACCTGATGAGCACGCCAGAAGCCTTCCAGATAGTGACCTCCAACCTTGCGTGGTGCGGTCCAGCCCTTTGGTGAGCGTAGCACGATCATCGGCCATCTTGGCCTAAAAACCTTGCCCGAGTCGCGGGCTTGCTTCTGGTATGCCCGAATTTCGTTGACGCAACGCTCCATCGTACCGGCCATTGCCTGGTGCATGGTCTCGAGATCATTGCCTTCGACAAAATACGGTGTCCATCCGTAACCCACCATCAAGCTTCGAAGCTCCTCTTGATCAATACGCGCGAGTACTGTTGGATTATTGATCTTGTAGCCGTTGAGGTGAAGCACTGGAAGCACGGCCCCATCAGTGATGGGGTTGAGGAACTTGTTGCTGTGCCAGCTTGTGGCAAGGGGACCAGTCTCGGACTCGCCATCGCCAACGATCGTCAGGGCAATGGTTTGTGGGTGATCGAATACGGCACCGAAAGCGTGCGAGAGTGAGTAGCCAAGCTCGCCACCCTCGTGAATGGAGCCAGGAGTCTACTTCAAGTCAGAGTCCGAACCCCATATCTGGCAACCGCTGCGATGCTTACCTCTGGTGTCATGTGGCTGCCAATACCTCCTGGGAACGAGAATGCCTTGAAGAACTTCTGGAGACCTTCAACGTCTTCACTCTTGTGCGGGTAAACCTCGCTGTAGACGCCTTCCAAGTAGAAGTTGGAGATGAGTCCGGGTGCGCCGTGGCCAGGGCCGGAGATGACAAAGGAATCGAGGTCATACTTCTTGATCAGTCGGTTCATATGGATGTAACTGGAGCGGCGTCAGTGCGAAACTCTGCATTTCAATGTCTTTCCGGAGAGCTCACGTGAAGGACTGTCCCGCATCACTTCCCCAGTGGCCCAGCAGTCTCGACTTGAAGTGCTCCTTCTTGAGCGGCTCTCTGAGCAGAGGGTTCTCCTTGAGATAGAGCATGCCGAGACACAAGTACATGGTGGCATGGAACCACTTGGTCATCTTGTCGAGCTCATCCTTGCTCAGCGGCTGCTCGTTGATGGTCGAGCGCGTCTTGGTGTAGACGGACCAAGTGTCCTGCTGTTCGGTCAAGCTGTGCGCTCCATCAGCAGGCATATCGCTCTGCGACTGCACGGGGAGGGAATCCATGTTGTCGCTTCAGCTGCAAAAACAGAGAAGTTTGGGTGGTGGTGATGGGAATGGGAATGGGTGAGAAGGAGGAGGAGGAGGAGGAGAAGAGAAGAGGCAGCTGCACTAAATTTGCGATGATGCAAACAAACAAACTCGTGCTCCCACCGGAGCTCTCGGGTTGAACATGAACTTGAATGCAGTCGGAGTCGGAGTCGGATGGACTCTCAGGTCTTCCTTCGTCGCGTAGAAAAGAGGCAATGACGTCGCCGTTTCCACGCGTCTCACTCGCACCTGCACCCGCTCGCACCGTTAGGTAGAACCGTAGAGGTACCATCACCATTCACCATTCACCATCACCCTCACCCTCCCCCTCACCCTCACCACATCACTGCCATCACCCTCATCACATCACCGCCATCATCCTCACCACCGCCATCACCCTCACCACCGCCATCACCCTCACCATTGCCATCACCCTCACCGTCGGTACCTGCACGCGCACAGTAACGATGCGTGTCTCTCTTGCAGCCGTCGTTCTCTCCGACATCCTGGCGCCAGGATGGGAAAGACGTATGACAAGCGACAAGGAGCATACGCGTGTGGTGTGAGAAGTCTGTCGACAATACCGCGCGTGAGACATCTGCGACACTTGCGGCAGTGCAGTACTTGAATTGGCCCTTGTTGGGGTCCACTTCCCATGGCTAGCAGCAGTACACCATCGTATAGCTGCGCGAGGTCCAGCCTTGGAACTTTCCCTTGCCTCACAGCTCGTGATTGAGCGTAGAAGAGTGGGATGGATACGTGGATGCGGCAGCTTCGGACGACCTACTGTTGCTGTGCTGCCTGGATCAGAATCACGGAACAAATCAGTCGGAGGCCAAGTGGAGAAGTGTTGAATGCGACAAATGCATTCAAGCCGTGAAGAATATACGGCCCGCGGCGCAAGGTTGAATATGCCCAGGCCAACGAACGATCCCTACCTGAGCCATGCCAAGCTTATTCCCGCCAATAGTGGCTAACGATGTGCTCCGTACCTGAGTCACTCGCCTTCGTCGCCTATACACAGGCTTCCCACAACGACTACAGAGAAAAGGCAAGACTCGCGTCCTATGTTCACGCTGCATGATAACACACTTGCTACTTTTGATAATGAGACTGAATTGATTCCGAATCCCTCGACGACTGCCCTCCCGCCAAGCATCTACGATGGAGGCGCGTTCGTCTCCATCCCCGGGTATGCCTTGGACTCTGGCAACTTGTCCCATGGGGCGAAGACGTTGGTCTTCTTGGGCAAGAGCGCTTTCAACTCTGGGAAATGACGCTCCAGTACATCGCTCATGGTAGTGTTCTGCACCCAGTCGAAACCTTCCCGTGTGTACATTTCAGCGTTCCAAGCACCGGCAATGAAACGATCGCTCTTGAGGCGCCTACTCGCCATGACGATGAATATGCGGAACGCTGTGTCGCTGAAACCGAAGCCTTCCACAAGAGGCTCGCTATGAGAGCCGACCAAGGTATCGACTTTGTCAATGTCTCCCCCGTAGACCTTACTCAGCTTGACGGCAAGCTCTTTGTTGCCGCCAGTCAGCTCCTCGAACGTCTTGGGAACAGACATACGAAGCAAACGCCGGAAAGCGGTGTATCGTGGGACGCCACGCTCCCGATCGCGTAGAATATCTACTGTGCCCATATCTCGGAGCTGGCCATCGGGTGTGGGAAGACGTTGCAGTACCTTGGGATAATTGTTGTTGGTAATGGCGCCAGGGTAGTTGATGCCGAAAGAGTAGAACGCATCGGCAAAGCTAGCGCCGGCTTTGATGGCATCGAGAGATTTGTGAAAGATGACATCTTCTGTAGGAATCGTGCTAATGTGCTTGCCACTGACTGCGCCGAAGAGCGCGATGTTGTCTGACTACCATGAGCTTGAGCTCGAGCTCGAGGCATATACAGGCTGGAACCGTGGACTTACCTGGGATCAGAGAATGCATGCGATACACCGAGACGAACTCTTCTGTCAGGGAATAGGGGATGCCGTGGTGGTCTACACCCGAGCCTGGAATGCCGCTAATGTCTTCACTGGTTTTTGAGACACGGCCCACTGCTTTGGTAAGCTGCTCGCCAACAATACCCCTATATTTGTGCGCCCACAGTCAGTGAGGATGTTCCAGGTGCAGCAGGGATCATTTCTGGTGCATACTAACCACCAATTGGCGTGCATCCCGATCTGAAGCGCAGGATGAGCTAGAATGGCGGGAGTCCACTCGACCTGTACAGTATTGGTCAGAGTCGGGGAAACAGCAGTCGGCCATGAGGAGAAAAGTCATACCGTATGAATTTTGGCCATGAGCGCACAATTGACGATCCGTGCCTTGTCAAAGACCTGGCCACTGCATAATGTCAGCCTGCACCTCCGGTCGCATGTATGCAATCACTGCACTCACCCTGTCCACTCGGGATGCGCCTGTTGGATTTTGTCACAGATTGCGTTGTGCTCGAGGGCAAAGAGCGTGTGTAGCAACTCCACTCCGAGCCACCAATTGTCACTGAAGCCCACCTTGGGCGTGCCATCGCTATCGCGTGGAAGGAATCGATCCTCTGTGCCAACCCTTTCTAGGACGAGCTTGCCATTCGGACGATTGTTTCGCAAAGACAGTGTGACGCTCTCGCTTGAGCCATAAATCTGTGAGCCGTCCCACCAAGCAGTGTTGGCGTTGCGGTAGCCAGGACAGAGCTCGTCGGAGGGGTCCAAGACGGTGTCTGGCTTAGTCTGGAACAGCTTCATATGGTCTGCCGGCCACGGATCACTTTTTCGAAGCGGGATATCGTATGCTATATCGTTCTAGGCCCGTTAACTTGATGATTCCTGTGCAGAATGAGTAGTACACTTACGTCTTCATGATTGAACCAGTCATGGACTTGGAACTGGATCCACGCAGCCGCGAGAAGGTTCAGTGTAGTCGCTGGTTTGAAATCTTGCGGCTCTCTCGCCATGAAGGCCAGGCTGACTTCCCTGGGACTTGGGTTCCACAACTCATCTTCTGTCGGCTTCTGACAATACTTGCGATTGAAGCTACGCCCAAATCTCATGCCAGCACATCCCATCTTCCGCAGCTCGAGGGAGTTATCTGTACCATCTGAATTTCGAGTACCGATATATCGCTTGTTCAATCCGGTGATGTCTCCGAGCTTTCCTTGATGATCTGCGGATGCGTACCCATCATGGAGATTGTATTGTCTCAACTCGACTCGGAGGAAACTAAGATTGAACGCCCCGATAAGGCCAGGGAGACGATGCCAGGGGATGTAAAGATTGACGACGTGGAATATGGCAATGAAGATGGTGTCGAACAAGGATGGTTTGAAATTTGGAGACTCCATGGGTCGGATGGGCTGGCCAGAAGAATTCTACATATAACGAAAGGTCTGAGAGAACGAGCTACTGGGATAAGCATATATCAATGAACCTGCTGATGGTCGTGCCAGGCAAGTTTCACGACCTGCGCGTCGACACCAGCTTCAGCTGATGACAGAGTGTGGTACACAAACATCCTTCTCAGCTGTATGCTGTCAGCGACTAGCTTGAACACGAGCTTCAGAAAGCGGCTATGCAGAGGCCAGAGAATGCATACGCAAGCACCTTTATTCCTCAGGACATGGAAAACACGAAGCCCTCCTCTCGACTTTGCTTCTGATCACTGCTCCTTTGCTACGCCAACCGAGATACCTTCTGATAGCTCCTTCTGCCTTTTTCTGTTCGTTCAACTCCTTCACTCACTTTTTTTACCTTCGAGATGCTCCTCGGGCTTACTGATGTCCTCCGGAGCGGTTTCCTGCAAGTTTCAAGCAGTCCCGAGCCACCCACAAACGGCATTGTCGACAGTCACTATGTCCGAGGCAACGTGCAAGACCGCGGCCCTTGTCCAGGCTTGAATGCGCTCGCAAACCACGGTTTCTTGCAAGATGCCACCGCCTGACATGATTTGGCGAGACAGTTTTCTGACAACGTGCAGACCACGCGATGGAAAGAACATCACGATTGCACAGGTCGAAGAGGCATTAATGCAACATCTGCACATGGACAGAGCTCTCGTCTCGTCCATTGCCCGACCTCTCAACCAGATTCTTCACCCTGATCACACCTTCGATCTGATCGATATGCGGCGACACAATGTGATCGAGCACGACGCCTCCATGACCCGACTCGACGCACGGCAAGGGGACAACTACACTTTCCAGCCCGCGATGCTTCAGGCCATGCTCGAGGATGCAGAAGGTGGTCCCGTCACCGTCAAGACACTCGCCACATCTTACAACCGGCGTCGACGCGAACGCCAAGCCGACGGAGGAGCTCCCATTCCGCTGAATCTCTGGTTCGTCAATATTGTCCAGACGGTATCTTTCCTCAACACGGCAGCAGACGCGACGGGCGATGATGGTGGTGGCGAGGCCGAGTTGTCCTCCGATGTCTTGAAACTTTTTTACGAGGAAGAAAGGATATCGGATGTGATCCTGGACAACCATCAGACTCGCACCCTGTCATCGCTCCTGTGGAATGCCTCTAAGCTGATGTTTTACGTGGCGATGGGATACTACAGGTGGTGGTAGATCGAACCGATCGGTCGATCGCTGACATTGCTCGTGTAATAATTTTCTTTGTTTCGAGCATCGATATTTCGAGGAATCGTGAAGAGAAGTAAGCGACTTAGCTAAGATGATGATTTAGGGCTCGATTCGCGTTCAACGGTAAACATCAACAAAAGTTATGTACCTAGGTAGTTTTCTTGGCAAGCTACGATTTAGTGCACACGCATGAACCTCACCTTGTCATTCCATTCCATCTTCAAAGCTCTCTTCTTCCTTTTCTCTTCCCTTCCCTTTTAGGCTGCACCGACTGGCTGACTGACAATATGGACACGCCACGCGAGAGAGAGAGAGGAAAAAAAGAGAGAGAGAGATGGATGGGCGTTCCAACATGTGTGCGTGTGTGTTGTCAAACCGTGTTGGAAAGAGAGGTACCTACGTACATGTATGTATGTACCTCCTAAGGTAGGTAGCCTTTCCTGGTGGTGCCACATGTTGGGAGGTACCCGCGCGCATTCAGTGTTCCCATCTCCTGATGTTTTTATTTTTTCTTTCTTTTCAAACACAACCTCTCAACAAAGCTCATCCATCAGCAAGCAGCAGCAGCAGCAAGCAGCAAGCAGTGACCTGAAAGGGACCCGCCCCCCATGCAAGAATGCGCATGAATCAGGTAAAGGTAAGGTATAGGTAGGTATGTAGGTCATGAAGTGACCACATGCCACCTACGTAGTACATACATACCTTATGGCACATGGGGGGAGGGGGGCATACCATACCATACCCTATTATTGCATCGATACGGCGTGCGTGCATGGCAACACTGCATGGTTGGCCGTTTGTACAGATCGGATGGAGTATACGCATACCCCCTCCCCTTCTCTTCTCTTCCCTCCCCTCTCTTCCCTTCCCTTCTCTTCTCTTCCCTCCCCCATGTACATACGTCGCCCAGAGCGGTACATGTACAAGTACCTTACCTACCTAGGTAGTAGGTAGATATCATTATCATCAGCTCACATTGAACCACTCAGTCGTGTATGTACATGTATGTACCCTTGCCTGTCCCCTTTTATGTACCTCACTAATACGGGAGCTCTCTGCACATCCAAGAAAGAGTCCGAGTTGTTGGTTGATAAGAAGAAAGGCATATTAAGTATTACATTGTCTTTCCTGGCCCCGTGGGATCTTACTTTTGCCGCTGGTAAAGTGTAATAACATAGCACTGCAGCGATGCCATAATCCAACGACTGCTTGAACGCCACGCTTGAAGCAGTACATCCACTCCACAGCATCAGACAAGCCTCCCTCGCCCCCCTCGTCCTCTTGACGTGGAAGGCTCGCCAAGTTCACTGGTACCCCCTGCACTCGTAGTCCGACTCATGGGCTCGGCGCCAAGCCTCCCACTCAGTGCGGCAGCCATGGAGCCTCCAGAGGCACCGTTTGTGATATCTGTCGAAGGGTTCGTCGTCTTGAGTCTGGACTCGATGCGTACCACAACAGGTTGCACGGGAGCGAATCCTGTACGTGGCTCTCGATCGACACCTCTTCCAATCAGAGCACCAGGCCCAGGTTCTAGTTGTGGGAGACGATATGGCGCTTGTACACCGGCAACGCCAAGAGCTTGATCCAGTAGCCTTCGTCGTAGATCTTTGGCCTCATCTGCTGCCAGTTGGTGGTCCATTTCCACGTCTCCATCGGGGTCTGCAGTGTGGTAGTCCGCACCAGCATCATGCATCATTTGAAAGTCATTCTCCATGTCCAGGTTGCTCACCGGAGCGGGAGCTGGAGCACCCGATTTCTCAGCTCGTGATGTGGCGTGAAAGCTGGGCTGTTCAGGTGTAAATGGATTCCGCCTGATCACAGGCTCTGTACTCGAAGCTGCAGCGGCAGCATTGGCCAGGTCAGAGAGGGCAGCCAACGGATTCGCCTTGGCTCCCCCCCTTGTGAGCACTTGATGCGACGCCTGACGCTCCATCCCGACAGCCGCAGGTGGCTCGGACGGTGGAGGGGTGTTCGTCCCATGCGCACCTGCCATGGCCTCATCTCCTTGCGCGTCTCCAGGTTCCACGACTTCGCCATCTACTGAAGGAACGGCAGTTCCGTTGCTATTCGATGACGGTTCCTGCTCTTTTTGGTAAAAGTATTTATACGTTGCCTTTTTCGCCAGATCTGTCGCAAGTGCGAGCTCTTTTTCGGTGAACAGTCTTTCTAAGCTGTATGCTGGTGCTTCGAACTGCGCATACTCTCGGGTGCCCTTTGCCTCTTTAAAAGGACTTCTGCCGCCATAATTTGGTATAGGCGATTCATTGCCAGTATCGTCTTCGGCCTGACCCAGCTTTCGCTTTCTCTTACCATTCTCGGCTTCAGTACCTGCTGGTCCTGGACTCGCTGCCCTGTGATGTCTCAGATATCGCGTTCGCTTGCCGACTCCAACCCCATTCTGACTCGGAGATGCTACATTATTGCCAATGCTAAAGTGGTTCGGGTGGAGCAGCATAGCGTTGCTGTCTGATATGTCTATTTGATCTTTGTCTCGCAACAGTTGCTGGCGTTTCTTATTCAGAGTGGCTATTAATCGTTGTCGAATCGTGTTCGAGAGCTCGCGGTGCTCTTCTTCGGCCTGGCGAAGGCGTTGCTGGTGCAAGCGATCGAGCTCCTGCAGCGCAGCATCATAATTGTTCTGTGAAGATAATTTGATTAGATGATGACCCTTCTCCCGCCAGAGCACATCTGAGGCCACTTACATGAAGCATGGTAAGGTCAGCGTCGCGCCGTTCGATCGAGTCATTGACCTCGCGCGCAAACTCGCCGTACCGCTTACCAGCAGTGGCCCAAAAGTCGGTCTTGACATTGTCGTCGTCGAAAAGAGCAACCCCCCGGCCTTGGTTATCGGACTGCATGACCTGCTCTACGAGCTCGCGGATCCCCTCGTGGCTATCTTCTAGTGGACCATCGTTGCGATAGGGATCCGCGCGTAGGACCAAGGTCATATCGACCTGGACACCTTGCAACTGTGCGCGATAATGCTGATTCTGGTTGGCTGCGAAGCCTGCTTGCATGGCAAACAGCTTGTCCATGATGCGATTGCGTCGAACGTCACGTTTCGTGAGAGGCTGCGGTTGCGGCGATGCTGAACCGTCGAAGATGGAAGCATCTTGGTGGTTGATCGCCATGGTGGGTGGTTCTCGTGAAAGCGTGTGTAGGAGGACGGGCGAGTAGGTAGGTGGGTGGATCGGATGGCAGCGATGGCAGCGATGGCGGTGGTGGCTGTGGTGGCTGTGGTGGCCCAGCGCCAAGCGGCCCCGTGATGGATGGATGGACGGATTGGAACCGAGAGTGAGGTGGTGCAGATCGATGCTTCGTGGTGATCAGCTTCGGGGGGTCGTGGTCGTGGACATGGACAGGAAATGGACAGCGGTGGGTGACGAGGATGAGGATCGAGCGAGACGACCAATGGCTCGAGGAGAGGATGGGAAGGTCAGTGCATGGGCGTGGAGGCTCGTGATGCAGTCAGGCTGTATTGATATACGACATGTATTGTACATGTACCTGACCTGACATGTTGAGGTAGAAGTGAACGATGGGTGAGAAGACAATGTCACAGGCTGTGAAGTCAGTAGCTCGATCTCCGGACCTACTACCCTCCTAGCGCTGGTGGTCACTGAGAGAGAGGATGGTCGGCGCAAAATTTGCCGATGTCATCGGAGTCGCTTCCTTCCTTCGGTCCCGCCATGAAGAACTAGTCTCAGTCTAGTTACATGTACTAGAGTACATACACCTCTTGAGAACTACAGGTACCTGACCTCCTACAGCACCTCCAGCTTACAGTCCTCTTCCTACCAGGACCCAGTAGTACACGTATTCGGAACAACACTACCTTGGTACATGTTGTACCATACCCTCCCCTCGCTTCTCTTCTGTTCCCTGGCCTTCTCAACCCGTCCGTTATCTCGATCCTTCTTCATGCACTAGGAGGCACGGAACACGTCCAACCAACCAACCCACTCGCTGCTCTTCTTCCGTCATGGCCCAATATGCCAGCAACAGTGCCAACCTACGCAGCTCCCCGGTCGGACGGAGAAACGCACGGTAGAAGAGGAAGAGGAAGAGGAAGAGGAAGAGGAAGAGGAAGATGATGATGATGATGATGATGATAATGATGATGATGATGAAGAAGAAAGGGAAGAAGGCTGAACAAGAAGAGAGAGAGAGAGAGCACGCGCAGAGCCCAAGCTTTCTGTGCTGACCTGGGTATACGAACATACCTTAATGTCATGGTTGTGGGGGCGGTTCTGCCTCCTACTGCTCCCAGGCTCCCAGGCTCCCAGGCTCCCAGGCTCCCAGGCTCCCAGGCTCCCAGGCTCCCAGGCTCCCACCACGTTGCCCACATCCTTGATGCCTGATTCTGTCGCTTCGCCTCGCCTCGCCTGTCTCATCTGCGCATGCGAACTGCCCCTGGGCTACACGCTTGGAGACAGACGCTGATGGTGACTGCGAGTAAGATAGTGACTGCGAGACGCGTGATACGATGCTACCTACGCCCTCTGGGACAAGTTCGGCACTGCACGCAGCATCGCAGAGTTCATGCAGCAACCCCATCACCAATCATAAGCCACGCTCTGACGGGGAGTGCGCCGTCCGATGTACACTCCCACCCATAGCTCTTTGTACCATCGTCGACCATGGACCTAGCGGGATACTCGATGAATCGATGATGGCATATGTAGTCTGCTGTCTGCTCGAATTCAGATGCCGGTCAAACGCACCACGTTCTGCAAATCTCTCGTGTGGTTGAAATCTCTTCAGCAACAGCTATCACCTCCGCCTCATCTGGCTGCTAAAGGTCCTTTACGAATGCTGCTGTTTCCCAGATCCCGGATATGGGATGCCAGAGTTTAAAAGTCTTCCGCAATCCTGCCATCGTGTGGGAAATCGGCGTCTGGGTTGTGGTCGGGACGATAGCAACGACTGCCCGACTCTGTGTGCGAGTTCGGGTCAGAGGATGCAAGCTACAAGGCGATGACTACACGGCAACGCTCGCGTTACTATGCTTCTGGGCAACCACTGCCACGTCGCTGTCTGCATACTTCTTGGGCACCAATCCCGCTTCCACCGAGGACGAACTCAGGCGCCTCAGTCACTGCCAGAGGCACCGGCTTCTTCTGAGCAACATATTGCAGGTATGTAACAAGAGTGCAAGTACAGTGGGCCTCGAAGCGTGTGCTGACACAAACACCCAGTGGGTCGGATGGTATCCTTACGCCACTCTATTATGGTCTCTCAAGGCAACAGTCCTCTTCTTTCTCCACCGCCTGTCCTGGGGCCTCCATCAACATCGCCAGATCAAGTTACTCGCTGCTCTATGTGCAATGTCCTATCTGGGAATCATTGTGTCCATTACGACCATCTGTCGTCCCATTCAAAGGAACTGGGCCATCGCGCTGCGGCCTCCGCCGCAGTGCTATAAGCACAATGAGCTCATTTATGTGACCATCATCCTCAACATCATTACCGATGCCGCAATCCTGACCCTCCCGCTGCCCTTGTTATGGCAGATGAAAGTGTCGATTAAACGCAAGATTGCATTGACTCTGCTCTTATGCTCGGGAATTTTTGTCATTACAGCCGCGCTCATCAATATCCTAACGGCGACGGTAGCGAGCTTGAAGAATACCGCAAAGGTACACGGCAATATATGGGCTACAAGGGAACAGGTCGCCGGCATTCTGGCTATCAATGCGCCCATCTTGAAGCCCATTTTTCACCCTTCATTCTGGCGTCGAGGATTCCTTGATCCTTCCCGAGCTCCATCGCTTCCCCTACCATATACAAGCCCCAGGGGACCTATGGTCAAAGCTGACGCGCGACATGTTGTCAACCCGATTCCAGAACAAAAGATGAAGCTCGGGATTCTCACAACAATCGAGAGCTGGGCGACTCATTCATCCATGACGAGTTCGAGCTACAGCGAATCAGCGAGACACGGTCCACCAACTTTGCGAACAGACTCTTGTGTTGAGACGCACAGTCTCGATCCGGAGGCCGGCTGGACTGCGTTAGACGAAGCTACAAAGGAGCTGGCGCGTACTACTCCCCGGCCACTTCTACCAGAGCCAGTATACCATGCGCCACATAGGACTCGAAGTCACCATGGTGGACTGCAGGCTGTAGATGAAGAAGAGCAGGCGCTCGGCACGGCAAAAACGCGCTAATTGCCGTCATGCAGGCCCGAGTCGTAGTACACGTCTCACTCCTTTGGTACCTCACAGTACTCTTCTCTTCCTCTCTCTCTCCCTTCCCTTCTCTCCAGTCCAAGTGAAGTCAGGCAAAGCTTCGGTTTCTAAGTCCGAGCAGAGGCTGCCCACTTACAGCACAGCTTTCTACCACATGGTATCTCATGGCTATTGGGTGCTGTTCTCTGCCTCAATCCTGGATCCGTCTCACCCATCCTCCCATCGCCTGAACGCGTACAACACATTATTACAACCATTCCTGGGGTATCACAAACAATCTAATGTCACGCCTCTGCCGGTGCCGTCATTGAGCGACCACTTCCCGCAACCCGGTCACGCCACATTGCGCCTCGCGCTGTGAGCTTCGCTGGCTCTCAAGCTGCAACTTCAGCTTCGGCGTCCCAGTCATGGCCCCACTCAATGTAATCCGTGGAGCCTTTCAGCAAGGCTTCGAAGTTCACCTTGCTCCCAAACATGATGTTTTCTGTGCTGCTATGCTCGATGGTCCCCTGGTAGTGCTGTATATTACTCGCTTTATCCATGGGTCCTGCGGCTCGATGCTGATTGAAAAGCTGGGGATTCACAGTCAGGCATTTTTGAATGGGCCTTCCATGGGCGCCATCGCAGAGCCAAGCAAACATCAAGTCCGCTGCTGCATCAAGTTTCTTGATGCCCATCTCGTAAAGAAACTTCCGGGCGCCAGCCTGAGAGATTGCATACGCAATGGAGCAGAGGTTGTCGTTGGTGTGGGATACTATACGAGTCGCATTGCCAAAAACCTCCAAGTGTTCCCTGAACCTGCCCCGTATCTTGAGCTTATCGAGCGGAGGGACAGTGTCGTCGTGATACACGGCTCGGCCGATCGGAATGTGACCACCATCTTCAGGCAGGTCTGCGCCACAGTGTCCGAGCCAAAGCAGATCCCAGTCGTCTCCATACGGAGATGTGGTGGGCAAAGATATTATGTCTCGTCCATCATCCACAAAGAATTCGTTTTCGGCGTGGGGCTGTGTTAACAGTCTTGAGGCTCTGGCAAAACTCTGCATTTGCTGCTTGATCCTCACGTCCCAGTCCACGTCGCTTTCCATCACAACGGCGGAAGAGATGTTCTGTTCGACAATCATTCTCAATACATCCATGTGCGCTCTCCACGCTCCCATGGCGTGGTTATGTGTTCCAAATCCGTCAGGATGTGGTGGAAAGGCTTTTTCGTCTTTTGGTGCTGACCTGCCATCTACGATATCGATCTTGAGATCAGTCAATGCTGCGGCCAGCTGAAGAGAGTCCCGCAGATCGGTCCTGGAGGGCATGATGATTGAGTACAGTTTCTCGAACTAGGCTTTCCGTCAGTGTGTGGCACCTAGAGAGAGAGAGTGTGTGTGTGTGTGCGTGGTCGACTTCTGATCGAGGTGTCCTTGGTGAGGATGTGGTGGTGATTACTTGCCCCGAGTGTCTGATTGAGAATGTCATTGTAGAGCTTCTCGCCGCCTCTGGAGGACCGATATGAGCCCAAGGATGCAGGAGCAAAGCCCGATGAAGTGAAGAAGGCAAGCAGAGTCACCAGGCCCAGAGCGACTGCTGCCGCGCGAACTGTTCTTTTCGTGAAGAGGCTGGAAAGGTTAGACAAGAGTGCCGCCGGCTTCGTCGAGGCGGAGTCAGCAGACTCCAATTTCATGGACAACAGCGGCCCCGAGAGCGACATGCTGAACGTTGGGAAGAGATGCAGGAGGATAAGGCAGCTTATGGAAAGCGAGTAAGGTACAGTGCAGTAGTTGGTACATGTAAGGAAGAGAGTCGTGACTCGTCGGAGGCAGGTGTCTCCTACACTTATTACGACACTGCACACACTGCACACGCACACACGGGCACTCTTGCTGTTTGCACATGAAGGAAGGTGCCTCTCACCCTGACCAGGGAGCGCACGTGTTTCAGGCTAGACTCGTGGACATGGCAGTCGCACGGCAGCACGAGCCGCACGGCGCACGCGATATTTAGAACGGCTGTCTTACGGGAGGCGGCGGGAGCTGATGAGGCTATTCAGTGTTTGATGACTTGTGTTGGGAATCGTTGTGTATAGCAGCCAGAGTTGGAAGTCAAATTGGTTCCGAGGCCAATCAGGCTAGCGAGCGAGCGTACAAGGGCGTCTCATCGTGAACGGGTGCTCCCGGATGCTGACGAGGTAGGGTGCAGTGCAGTCAAGCACTGTGGGCCCGTGGGTGGGCAAGTGGGGTGGGATCACGGTGGATGGTGGGTACCTCCTAGGGCCACGCTCTTTTCTTGTTAACATGTACTCATGTAGGTATCGCAGCTACAGTACACTGAGTACAGTACCTGTACAGTACTTGTCCAAACTCCTACAAAACATGCTCCTAGTAGCGATGCTCACGTTGGCACACATCATACTACTTTCTGTCCCAGCTGACATGTGACAGCATCCTGTATGCAATGCATCCAGTATTTCGACCTTTGCTTCCTCGCCTGCTGACGGACATACAATACTGTAAATGACAACCACATGCTGTCGCAGATGGACATGGAGGGAATGGCTGCCTTTTTGACGTGCGGATCCCCTGTTTGCAGCCGGGATGATGGTACATGTATTTTGCTTGACAGAATCACGCTTCGCACGCGAGCCTGTATCGTTCCAGGGGCGAACAACGATTAAGCTTGACCATCACAACACCTCATTTGTTTGTTCTGCGTATCGGCCACGTACGTATCCACCTCGTCCGGCCGCAAATCGAAGCTGTTGTGAAAGCACGCCTTGTTGGGACATGGTACATGTATTCATTCTCGAGAATATATTCTATGTGGGCACCGCTCACCGCAACCTGGCTTTGAGCACAGATCGTATGCGGGAGTATACACTGCCCCCAACGTATTTCTAAGGGGGCGGTTCGCGCGACCGCACTCAGCGCCCTGCCAAAGGGGCCTGGAATACACAGAACGATAGGACAAAGGTGATGACGGGGGTACAAATCCAGTCGGGCTGACCACCAGAGCACCAGCAATCCTCCACTATCTGACTATCATATCGGACCAAGAAATCGAATGCGGTTGATGTGAACGCCAGAAGTACATGGAGTCAGCTTTGTGGCACAGTAGGGACCTGTTACAGTCCCACTTTGCAAGCACATGCACTCCCGTCGCTCGTGTTGACTGTTGCTCCCAAGAAAGAGACGCAATACCTAAGGTACGCATGCTTGCGAACGCACATAGTATCACAAGGTCTCGGGTATAGGCAGTACGGTAGCTACTTTCAAGTACTAGAGCAATTCAACCTGAAGATTGCAAGAGCTACTCGCTCTTCTACTCGCTCTTCGCTGTCTTTTTTTTCAGTGCCCTCAGTCACTCCAGAAGTACAGGTACCCTTCTACTCCTATCATAGGTACATGTAGGTAGGTGCCTGAATGTCCCTTCGATGCTCCAATTTGCGACCCAGCTGTCTAGGTACTACCAGCCCTCGTTCGAGAGAATGCCGTAACCCTTTAACATCCCGGATTTCCAAGTTCATTTCTTGACGATGACATCGAGAACACTGCATTGCAGTGAGCTTATTACCGTGGCCAGTAGTATCGCATACTATGTCGTTCGCGGAGTCCAGTCGTTGCCAGTAGGCTCCCGGCCTCCCCGTTATGCTCGAAGAGGCGAGGGTGCACTAACCGCACGTGACTGGACTTGGCAGGACTTGTCCTTGTCAAGTCCTGCCACCTTGCTCTTCTCCAAAACTGACCCCAGCAACGACGACTTCAGTGTGATCAGTGGACGGAGATAGCACGTTCTCGTACTGCAGACATCGACGAAATGGCAAACTTGTTCGGCACGCTCAATCGTTTCATATCACGTCTAGACTCGGACCCAAATGCGACAGATGCTGCCACTCAGTCTTCAGCGGGTCCTGCCCTGGGAAATCACTATGGCTTTCAAGTTGTACGCAACACGAATAGTCAGATCCCCCTTGAGCCCTGGTTCGACTTCGTGATTGGGATCAATGGCCATAACATCGATAATCCGGACCCCAATTTGTTCATAACTGAAGTCCGCAACTGCGCAGGCTCTACCATAAGCCTAGGAGTCTTTGGCGCCAAAGGATGTCAGATCCGAGAGGTTTACGTATCCGTGCCTCCTGTCGGCGATGCCCTGGGGCTTGCTCTGCAATGGGCTCCTCTCGACATGGTGAATGATGTCTGGCATATTCTGGATGTCATGCCAAACTCGCCTGCTGATGTCGCTGGACTCTTGCCATACTCGGACTACGTGATTGGTAGCCCCGATACGACCACATTGCGGGGTGATGCAGCTTTGGTACGGCTCGTTGAAGGGTACATGAACTCTGCCCTGAGATTGTGGGTGTACAACCAGGAGTATGATGTGACGAGAATGGTGACCATCACACCGGCCAAGAATTGGGGCGGAGAGGGATCGTTGGGTTGCGTTTTGGGCTATGGTGCGCTACATCGCATACCGGCGCCACTTGGAGAGCCATCCACCGACCCTGGCGAGATGATGTTCGAAAGTGCAGAAGCACCAGCAGCATACCCATCGCAATTTGGAAGCGAGAGCAATACATCGCAGCCGGCGCCAATTGGAGGAGATTTTCTGGTTCCTGCGAACATGAACTTCACACCTGGCACATCGCCACCTCCACCTGCGGATGGTACAGCGCCTCCAAAGGCTGTTCCGACTGGCAAACCCAGGAAAGCACGAGCTCATCACGTACCCGCATCTGGTCTCGATGATTATTTCGCAGAAGGAGAGCAGAAAAGCCGCGAACTTGATGGAGGCTCGACTCCGAAAGCGAGCAGCCTTCCGCCTCCGCCTTCGAAGGCAGGAGGGCCGCCAAAAGCTGCATCGCCAGCCCCGCCGACAGAGGGGTGACAGCGGTTGGGATAACACAATCGGCGGATGGCATTGTTTCCCAGGCATGCGCGTGCCTCAAGGAGAGGTGCTGTGAGCATCGACAACGCTACATCAGGCGAGGCCATGTTCTGAACTTTTATATGTAATTCGCCGTTATCATTGACGGTGTACATTGCTCGAGTGTTCGCACGCTGATGATAAGCTAGAAGAGTCCCCAAGAATGTGATGTTCCGCCTGCCATTAGACTAGGTACAAGCCTATCTGCAAACAAATTAATGAGCGGTCATGTCGAGTCTCGGACAGAAATTTCTGTTCGCACGAAAGTTTACGATTTCGTTTTCTGTGCGTCGTTCTTGCCTAACTTGTTGTTTGCTGCGCGTCGTATCGTAAATTTAGGTAGGTACGTCGTATTCCTGGACTTCACCTTTCAATCACCTCACTCAAATCAAGTCAGACCTTCACCAACTAACATGGCTGCGAAAAAGAAGAAAACAACCAGAGCCAACGGCGTGCATCCGGTCGATGGCAAGACGGCATCAGCTCATCTCCTCCCTGTGCAGTCGCCTGTCAATGCCGCCGTCTCCACCGAAACGCACATGCCGATTCTCGCGAAGCCACGAAAGAAAAAGAACAAGTTCAGCAATCCTCAGCCCGCCGACTGTGACGATATCCAGCCATCCAGTCACGGTGTCGAGGCTGTGGTTACCGAAAAATTGAGGGAAACCACCGATGCCGAACACAAAGCTCCATTCGTCCTGGCAGAGGCAAAAGTTCCTGACGAGCTCAGTAGATCCAGCCCGACTAGCCTGGCAACGGAGAATGACCGACACTGGGGTTCTCACGATGTAGACCGCGATGAGACTCGGGTTTCACAGCCGGGGGCCACAGGTGCCGACGTCGACCTGTCTTTCCTGGATCGAGTTGGTAACACTAGTGCTCTCAAAGGTGGAAGAGGCCAACCCCACGCGCGCATTAATCCTGCCAGACAAGAAGCACTGGAAGCTGTCAGCGACTTCAAGAGTAGAGTCCTTCAACGTGCTGCCAAGAAAGCGCTGAACGATACGCCGTTCACTCGGTCCCTCTACCCGAACGATCTCTACCTCTACAACAAGCCTGGAAATACGCCAGAGGATGCCGCCATGCTCAAACTCAAGCGCCGCTTCGACGCAGCGATCATCAAACTCGATCCTGGTCTTGCTCCTGCCACAGCTGAGATTCCACTCCCCATCGCTAAGCGAACGGCCATGTACGTCTGCGGATTGCTTCAGTCCCACGACTGTCAGTTCCGCTGTACAATGGATGGACTTCGAGCGCCGATCGCGGCGGGAAAACAGTCGCTCGCGCCTTGGGTCGCAGATACATGGGAGGAGAGACTGGCAGACAGTGACAGAGACTGGCTGGTCAGTAAGAAGATTGAGGACATGGACAATGACAAGGCGCGCAAGCATGTCGGGGATTGCATGGACTTCATTATGAAGTACAAGCTGTGGGGCCGCATGGTCGAAGCTGAGTGTGCTGAGCTGGGCATCCAGCTCTTTCCAAGATTGAACTGAGTGGCAAGATCGGGGAGGCTAGGGGGCGATGTGGCAAGGGGCTCGCGAGTCGTTGCCTCGTAGTCAGTATAGGGCATGCGGAATTGTGTCAAACACGCCCACTCAGCAATGAAGGGTCCAGTAGACTGATGAGGACACAAAGCTCTTGTCCATGGCGCGACTTGTTACTATGGGAGATAGAGCTGATTCACCATAGCAGCAGAAATTCGTTACTCTGCATGCCGCCATACATCTCATAGCGGGACTGACAAGGCCCAAGAGCCCAAAAAAGTGCTGTACAGTAGCTACTTCCCTACCTGAGGAAGCATTCGCAAAGAGACATCAGATAATCCACCTGCGCCCCTCGTGCAGCTTAAGCTTTCCGCCTAGTTCTTAGAGAACGCTGCGTTATCTCCACACTGTTGCTCCCATCTGCATTCACGACCCGCTGGATGTCAACATGTCCAGCGGCAGGTGAACTTGTGGCATTGACTGCCTCGACTTTCTCTTCACGCTCCCAGTGCTTGACCTCTTTGCCCAGGCCCTTCGTGCCAAGAGGGGGATCGAATCGTGACCGAATGGTCTGTATCATCTTACCAAACCAGAAGATATTCAGAGAGTTGAGAGTCAGGTTCGAAGCAAGGTAGACCAGTCCAAGCCAGAGCGGAATACCTTGACTTCCAGCAAATGCTAACAGTTGGCCTTGCTCGTCGCCATATATTGACATTAGATCTTGGGCGGAGTAGTGCTTGGGTGCTCCAGTGCTGTTCTTTGTGATCTCGGTGTTGCCGTTGAATATGGCATTGTAGATGTCCATGAAAACTAGGACGGAAGAGTAGTTGCCCCAGATCAAGCGGCAGGCGAAAAAGGAACCGACCAGAAAGACACCATTGATAGCTTGAATGGGGCTTCCAGTCAAGTTGAGCTTGTCACAGAACCAATGAACATTGAGAAAAGGTGAAGAGAGTTCGTAGAGGAGGAAGACTGGGGCATAAAAGTAGATGAAGGGTCGCTATGGCACAGGTCAGCTTTCCCTTGATCGGTTGGTGCCGACAATGGCGCCTCTGGTGGACGAGGAGAGTAGAGGAGCAACGATTCTCTGGAGCCAGACTCACATATCCAAGCGCAAACACGCTCATGGCACTAATAGCGTGGGCCAGCATGCCCAGACCAAAGATGTCCACATGGTAGCTACACTGAATGAAGTCCCAAAGGAAGTATCCAAGCGCAAAGCTTTGGCAAAGCCCACTGAGTCCAGTATATTCCCAAACGCGGCCCTCCCACTGGTCTCTTGGACGCACCGCTATCCTCTGCTCATCGTAAAAGATGACATACAAGCTCAAGGCACTGATGAGCACCGACTGGAAGAATGACACCACATGGACATCCCAATTGACCTTGGTCCTGTGGTTCAGCAGCTTGTATTTTTGCGGCACGAAGCGTCTGCTGAGAATGGGCGATACGACACTGCCAACTACAGTGTAGAGCGTGAAGGCGAAGAGCACCTCGTGAGCATGCAGGGCCAGGGTCGGCAGGCCGAGCGAATTGGCATATGGTAGGACCTTTTCGACGAGCCAGACGGGCGGAGGGATCGGGAACGGGTCTTTCATGGTCGCGGCGGGCGAGGGAGGACGACGGGAGTACCTGGACGAAGTGACCGAGGTGCTGTGCTATCGCGGCATGCTCTTATATATAAAGAGGAGGTGCTGTATCGGTGGAGAGCGGTCAGGTCGAGCGAGCGAGCGAGCGAGACCTCCGATGTGAGTCCAATCGTCAGTTGCGCCCCGTCTCGTTCTCGCTTCTGGTCGTTCTGGTCGGTCGGTACCTACCCAACTGAACCTAGTTCTACCTGTTCCGCTCGTGACGGCGGAGGGCGGAGGCAGAAGCAGCGGGTGTGCCGTCCCGTCGAGCTCCAGGGTACTGCATCACAAGTAGACTAGTTCTAGAATTAATGCAAGTCGCGTGTTATGCACGAAAAGTTGCTTCAGCAGCTCAAACACCACCACACCACACCAATCCCTACGCCCACCCACCCGCTCTACCACACCGCACCGCACGCAGAGCCGCCGACAATATGCAGGCTCCGGTAGTGGTCATGAACACTGCCACTGGCGACCGCAAGACGGGCCGTCAGGCGCAGCTGTCCAACATCACCGCTGCAAAGACCGTCGCCGACATCATTCGATCGTGTCTCGGCCCCAAGGCCATGCTAAAGATGCTGCTGGATCCCATGGGCGGCATTGTCCTGACCAACGACGGCCATGCCATTCTCCGAGAAATTGAAGTCGCACATCCTGCAGCCAAGAGCATGATTGAGCTGGCACGGACACAGGATGAGGAAGTGGGCGATGGCACGACGACCGTGATCATTCTGGCCGGCGAAATGCTTGCACTGTCACTACCACAATTGGAGCGCAACATCCACCCCGTAGTGATCATCCAGGCATACAAGCGCGCACTGGCAGACTGCTTGAAGGTCATCCAGGATGTCTCGATTCCCGTCGACATCAACGACAACGACGTGATGCGAAATCTCATCTCCACGTCCATCGGCACAAAGTTCACCTCACGATACTCAGATCTCATGTGCGACCTGGCACTGCAGGCAGTCAGAACAGTCAGCACAGATGCGCATGGTGGCAAGAGAGAAGTGGACATCAAGAGATATGCGCGTGTCGAGAAGGTGCCAGGAGGCGAGATCGAGGATAGCAAAGTCTTGGACGGTGTGATGCTGAACAAGGACATCACACATCCTAAGATGAGAAGACGAATAGAGAATCCTAGAGTTGTGCTGCTTGACTGCACGCTAGAGTACAAGAAGGGAGAGTCACAAACAAACATCGAGATCAGCAAGGAGGAGGATTGGAACAGGATTCTGCAGCTCGAGGAGGAGCAGGTAAAGGCCATGTGCGATGCCATTCTCGCAGTCAAGCCAGACCTTGTCATCACAGAAAAGGGTGTCTCAGATCTGGCACAGCACTTCTTCCAGAAAGCTAACATCACCGCGATACGCCGAGTGCGAAAGACCGACAACAACCGTGTTGCTCGTGCAACTGGTGCTACAATCGTCAACTCCGTCTACGACCTTACAGAGCGTGATGTTGGAACACAATGTGGCCTGTTTGAGATTGAGAAGATTGGAGACGAGTACTTCACGTTCCTCACCAAGTGCAAGGACCCCAAGGCCTGTACGATCCTGCTTCGCGGACCGTCAAAGGACATTCTCAATGAGATTGACCGCAACTTGCTTGATGCCATGTCTGTCGCTCGCAACGTCATCTTCCACCCCTACCTCTCACCCGGTGGTGGTGCAACAGAAATGGCGTGTGCGGTCCGTCTCAGCCAGCTTGCGAAATCGATCGAAGGCGTGCAACAATGGCCCTACAAGGCCATTGCAGAGTCGATGGAGGTCATCCCACGCACACTGATTCAGAATGCCGGTGCGTCGCCAATCAGAATCCTCACAGCTCTGCGCGCGAAGCACGCCGAAGGCGGGTCGACTTGGGGTATTGATGGAGATGCTGGAAAGGTTGTGGACCAGAAGGATTTCGGCATCTGGGAGCCACAGGCGATCAAGCTACAGAGTGTCAAGACTGCCATTGAGAGTGCATGCTTGCTGCTGAGAGTCGACGACATCGTTGGCGCGAAGCAAGCGAGAACTGCTGGTGGTCAAGGAGGCGATGATTGAGAGTGGAACGTAACAGATGTGTCACGAGTATGATCAAAAGCGAATTCCAATACAGCCGCGTGCTCTGTGCAGAGATGGCAGCTAAGATGTGCAGCATTTGACTGAAGATTGCTGTTGACTGGGCAATGCCTCTACACTGTGGCTAGCACATGGTCAGCAGGGAAGTATAAGCTGGCCAATCTTGTGCGTGCATGGAACACACTTATGTACTTACAACCTCTCAAATGAAGCACTTGCGAGGGTAGACTGCTTCTCCATTCGATAGCGATAGCTGAGGGAGAAGGATATACAGCATAGCTGGTACATTACCTTAGATGTAGTGCTATATGTCGTTGAGTGACCTCGGCCAGATGCATGTCGTGCACTAGAACTAAACAGTCAGTATAGGCCTTGGCAAGGCAACAACGTCATCGGCACGCTCGATGAGAACTACAGTATTCTTCCGTGTCGGCCACGGCCACTGCATTAGATGATGAGCATCGAGTTATGCTGACACTGCGGCGCATTGCCCCGACGCCTCAAGCTGCTCTCGGATTGCGGACAACTACTTTTACCGCCCTTGCACACGGTCAGCGAGCATGTCTCCATCTGTCGATACGCCATTGGGAACAAGCCAAGGAGACACAAGCACCAGAAAACGTCCAAGACCCGCGGATCACGAATGTCGAAGACCAGAAGAAGCCAATCGATGAGAAAGGAGAATTGATCGAGGACGATTTCGCTGTGCAGAAATCGAGCTATGAGGCGCCTAAACACCCTATCATTCTAGCTCATGGCTTGTTGGGCTTCGATGAATTGCGACCGCTGGGCAATGCCATTCCGATCCGTGGTATCGAGTACTGGTATGGGATCAGAGAGGCTCTGGCAGCGAAGAATGTAGAAGTCATCACTGCTTCTGTTCCGCCCTCGGGTCGCATCGAGGTGCGCGCGCAACGACTGGCAGAGTCTATCGAACGACAGGCTGGAGGCAAGGCAGTCAACATTATAGCGTATGCTTGCGTGCCTTACCTGTATCTTTGTCGGAGCTCAATACTGACCTTGTTCACAGACACAGCATGGTGGGTCGAAAATGGAACGACAGCATAGGAAGCCAACTAACACAGCCCTGCAGGGGTATGATCAGCTTGAATGAATGGAAGCCAGAGCACTAACGACGAGCAGTGGTCTAGACGCGAGACACATGGTGTCACGTCTGAAGCCAGCTAATGTGAAAGTCCTTTCTCTCACGACAGTTGCCACACCTCACCGTGGGTCCTCCTTTGCAGACTACATCTTCGAGCAGATTGGCTATACAAATGTTCCTAAGATCTATAAAGTACTAGAGGCTTTTGGCATGGAAACCGGCGCATTCCGACAACTAACGCTCAAGTATATGGCCGAGTCCTTCAACCCGAGGACCCCCGACCTGGAAGGCGTGAAGTACTATAGCTATGGTGCGGCTTTCCAGCCGCATTTCACGTCCGTCTTTCGCAAGTCTCACAACGTGATTGAGGCTATTGAAGGCCCCAATGATGGCATGGTCAGCGTAAAGAGCAGTAAATGGGGGACTTACAAAGGCACATTGAACCACGTCAGCCACCTGGACTTAATCAACTGGACGAATCGACTAAGATGGTACTTTTGGCAGTTAACGGGCAAGAAGAAAAAGTATGTGGTACATTACTCGGGTGTAGCATCTTGCTAACCAAACACAGCTTCAACGCACTCGCCTTCTACCTCAGTATCGCAGATATGCTTGCTAAGGAAGGGCTCTGAGTGGCTGGATTGTATCGCGGCGCAAATCTCATTCACAAGCGCGAATGCGCAGCATGAATCGTGGTATCGAGCACGCTCTGAACAACCACCCATGCCGACGAACGAGATGCAACACAAGTGAGGATATCTGCAGATGCTACACCATCGAAGTAGCAAGGGCTCGCTTCGCCGCGTGTGAGCAAAGAGACGTAGAGCTCGCTGCATGGCAGCAGTCTGTGTATCAGAGGGAGATGATCATGTGTACAATCCCGAGCTTTGCATGGATGGTACCGATATTGCGAATTCGATGAACTTTTCCCATGGAATCTTGAAACCTTCCAAGCAACAGCTCCTCTTTTCCTGGCAAGTGGCCTTGTCACCTGCGATTTGTGAATATGTGTCGCCTCCCTTTCTACTTCCCCTTTGCCACATGGAGCCAGGCTCAAGGTCACATCAGAAGGGACTGCATGTTGCCTGATCAGCCTCTCGGTCGCGGAACTTTCTCGATAGAATACGATGCGGGTGTGTGTAGTTGTGTGTGTGTTTGTGTTTGTGTTTGTGTGTATCAGTACTGTGGTAGATTTCCGCCATCCATTGCATTTCACGTAAAGGAGCCCTTCGGAATCTCCATTTCCTGCCGCATTTGGCTATCATCACAAGTTTAATATATATTGCTTACATACTCCTCTTCATACCTACCTACCTTAGCATTGCTACCTACCGTATGATCGAAGATAACTTTGAACAGACCCAATGGTTTATGCAACCATATCTACCTTAGATATAAGGCCGCTTCCCGTCTTCCTCTGGAAAGAACGATAACCACTGGAAGAGTGAAAGCTACCTGACCGACATAACCTAACCTTCAGTATCCGTAATGACCACGACAATCTTGAGCTGTGAGTGGTAAACTGGACTGACTGACTGACCTATACGAGGGCTCTACTCCATGGCAAAGAGACTTGATTAAATCAGTAGGTATGCGGATTCTGGGCTGGTACCAAGATCCGTCTCTTCCTATTCAATACGTTGTGCACACCACGAACCATAGGTACCTTACCTAATTTTTCATTCGATTTCCTCCCGGAGACTTGTATATTTCCTACGTGTCGAGTTTTTGGTGAACAAGAGTTGTACTTGATCCAACTTTTTTTCGCAAAATCACCACCACCACCGCCGCCGCTGCTTGCAGAGAAAAAGACAGCAGACCTGGTCCGATCAAGTCTAAGGTACCTACCTATCAATCAGGTCCACCTTCGCTTACCACCGCCGCCGCCGCCGCCACCACCACCACCCAAAACAAGACCAACCCTTTGAAGCCACGAGCTCCAACCATCGAATCAATGCCTCCACGCCACCTCGCGCCTTCTGGTGCTCCCGTCGGACAGTCGGGGTCGAGTGGTAATAGCGGTCATATTAGCATTACGAGTATAAGGAGGCGTATCGCAGAATTGATCGTTTACGGTAAGTGTCACTCCCCATCTCATCTCCTCCACCTCGTGTTCTTCTCTTCTCTCCTTCTCCCAGCCAAGCAAGCAGACCAGCAAGCAGGCCGAAACCTATCAAAACGCACTCATCTGTGAGAACCTCTTTACTGATCATTCCTTTCTCTCTTTAGCTCAACAAAAACGTCTTACCAAGACGGAAATGGATCGTGTGCACTATTTGCTCGAAAGGACCGGTCTCTCGTACGAAGGGCAGATGGCCCTGCTGCAGGCACTCGGTAATGCCTACGGTCCCGACGCGGAGTAAAAAAGCGGGTGGGGGTAGGATGGCTGTTTTCTTTTTCATGTTATTTGCATGCATGGAATAAGGTACATGTGGGTAGAGTGTGCTTCGCCCAAGGTTGGCAACCTCCCCGTGGTGATCTGTTGCTCACCGATTCGGGGCGATCCATGAATATCAGCACTTGGAAACACTCAGAACTTGGGTAATGAAGTGTAGTTCTCTGTGCGTGTTCGTGTGGCTCTTGGTTCATAGTGGTGGTATCGAAAATCTCATCCCATCCCATCTCATGCCTATAAACCTCGCCCAAACTTTTTCGTATACTTCACCCGTATCATGCATGCCTCGTGCTGCTTCCTTCCACTTCTTACGCTGAGGGCTGATCCACCCGATTCGGCACCTCGGGTCTCACATCCATAACAGCCTTCAACAGATCATCCACGACTTTGGGTCCCGTCTTCTTGCCAATCCCCTTGATCTCGCTGAGTGACTTTTCGGTTTCCTTCTCGGCGTCTTGTTCGGCCTTCTTGTTGCCTGATGTGTGCTGTGTGATTCAAACGGTGTAAGCATGTGTCTGTAAAGGAATTGTGGGAATCGCTGCGGACCAGGCAGGACTGGAATAGTATGTATGTACCTGCGACTCGAATGACTTGAACTCCTCTTCCTTTGAATTTCTGTATTCTTCAATTTCCTTTTGCGCTTCCGATCGGGCGTCTTTTACGCGCTTCGTTCGGTCTGGATAGTGTCAGTAGGATGGACGGCGCATTCGTGGTGGTGGTGGTCGAAAAGGACGGGAGGTTCGCATTGGCGTGGCATACATTCTCTGGCTGTGTACATGTTAGCAGTCCGTCTTTATTCGTCCGTTGGCGTCACGCGCACCTTTCTGTACAATCTTTTGCGCCTCACGCTCGGCCTAGGAAGGTGGTTAGAAAGACAATCGTGGTCGCAGCGGACATGGAAGTCGCATACGTCGAGCAGTGTCTGGATGCCTGCTGAGTTCTGGGCCGCCTGAGATGTTGTTAGTCGTGGTACTCGCGTCGCGGGCCAGTGCAAGATACCATGTTGCGAGATGTGCGGCGAAACGAGTGGTATAGGTGGAGGTGGAGGTGTAGGGAGTGGAATTCGATCTCCTGCAGGCGAGCTGGAGGCTGGAGCTTGGAAGCTGAAGCAGTGATGTCTGCGGTCTCGGCTGTATCCGCAATGATGATGGCGATGGGCCGCGATGGAGGGCGAGGACCAGGTCAGTACATGCAAGGTACCCCCTAGTAGGTAGTTCTAGTGCGATGAACAACCTAGGTACCTCCACAGTGATGTACTGAGGTAGTTTGAAAAGTGCAACCTCCATCAAACACCAACTTCCAAACCACAATCCCACATCACCATCATGTCCACTGCTGCGAAGTTGACTCTCGGTGGCACCATCCTCGGGACCATTGGCATTGTGGTGCTCGTGCATCGCCAGCAGAAAGTAGACCAAGCTGTACGCCCCGACCAGACCTACATCGAGTGGACTTGTGCTAATACTGACCTGGTGCAGCTCATGCATGCCGGTGTGATACGTGACATGGAACAACAAAAAGTCAAGCGCGAACGGCAGGCCGATTTCGAGATGCAACGACAGCTGGAAGAAGAGTACAAAAAGTTGCAGAGCGTGAGCGATAGCACAGATGGCCAGGTGAAGACATAAAAAAATGGAACGAGATGTTCAGACATCGGAAGACACAATGTTCGACGGCGTCATCATCATAGCGACCTTTGACTACCAGGGCGCTGGTCTTGGGGAGGAATCAGAGGCAAGCTGGACGTCTCCCGGCCTCTTCGAGAGGGCGAGCGCATCTATAGGCGAGGGTACAATACCTGCATCGACCAAGTGTCATACTACTGGACCTTCGACACCGTGCCCACCTACGCCGAACTCTCCCGTAACTCGCCATTCATGGCACTAACGAACGACACGCCGCGAGTTCCGCTTCGGAGATCATTACCATCAAGACTAAAGGGCTCACTCACCGAGACCATCTACAATCCTCTGTTGATTCAACGCATCAGCTTCACCAATCGGCTCCAAGCGCCCCAGAACAGTGTCGTCCCTGGGTTTCCAATACTCGCTCCGGTGTTGGAGGAGGTCCGATCGCCAGAAGATAGGGAATTGGTAGAGAGCATATCCGCAGTTCCCTCGCGCAGCAATGCAGCGCGGCAAGTAACATCTAGAGCGACGAACAAAATCAGAAAGAAACCCGCGAAATTGAAACCATGTTTTTGTTTTTCTCGGATCCTAAGAGCGAATTTCTGTTTTCAACCGCTCATAGCTCAGCTCAGGTGAGCAGCGCGCTTGGCCAGTTATGGGTGGGTAGGTAGGTAGGTAGGTAGGTCGATTGAATCAGATCGGAATATCACAAGCGTCGACGAACCATTTCAAATATCTGCAGTCAGTCCAGATTGAAAATGCGCCATTGGCATCGTAAGCTAGATAGGGTTGTCCTCTTGAGACTGTCACAAAAGAAGCGAATCAACCGGCAGCAGATATGATCTATCTATCCTCTGGTGTACGGAACCAAGGTATTATGAATCCTTCCTGCATTGCATCCAGCGAGAGTCTAAACAGGTATCTAGGAAGATTCGCCTGCCCATCAAGAATCCGTGCCGAATATGGCACAGGTACCCTGCCTGCTTCAAGGTAACTTGTAGTGACAACCATGATACCATCCGAACCTCCAAGTCTCTCTCTCTCTCACTGTACGCCAGTAACCCGCCCAAGCCAAAGCCAGTCGTAATTGGACATTATTATCATCAGTGCTGAAGCCTGCAATTCGCTCGGGAGCCATCCAAGGCCGCCTCAAACGCCAGGCTCATACCTCCAACCGCCTTCTCTCACCACTCTCTCCCTCAATTCCATGTCCCTCCTCTTCTCCGCGCTAGTAACAGCATCACCAGTCTCGACCCACATAGCACTGCTCCCACGGTCGCGGAAACGCTTGAGTCGATCCTGGTTCTTGCCATTTTTAAATACTTCCTCCATTTTCAGCTCACCAATCGGTCCAAATACAGCTTCAGGGTCCAGGAGTTGCTGCTCGGTAAGAAGAGCACGCAGAGCCGGCGAAGCTGTCCATGAAGGCGCGCGGAAGCCGCCAGGCTCATCATCCTCGTCCTCTTCATCCTCAGAGTCGGTCGCGATGTCCGGAAGCTCAATGTTGTCTCCTTGAGGGTACTGTGGCGTGGACTTGGCGGATTTTGCTGCCTGCTGAGGTCTTGACGGAGTCTTGAACTTGTGGGGTTCGTAGCCAGGATGATACTGTGAACTTGAAGCCTGCCCAGGAGTTTTCGCGTTATCGGCGAATGGAATGCGGGCACTGGAAGTTTGCACAAGCTGGCTTGGGTGCATAGGCTTGCTGCTCCCGTGCTGACTCTGGTGCTGCGCAGTGACAGCAGATTTAAACATGCTAGCGTGGTGAGCAGCAGGAGGAGGGGCGTGCGCATAGCCGGAGAATTTTGACAGCGGTTCCTGGATGTTGTTAGCATTGCGAGTCGACATTGAATTTGCCAAATGACATACCTTGCGCATCGTGGATGGGCGCTTTGGCGGCGCCATGACTGAAGTCCGCTTAAGAGGAGGCTCATCTTGCTCCTCATTCGTGCGTCGTCGCTTGGGATCTGCCTGTTGGTAGGAAGGTCCATTGCGCAGAATACCGGGTCTTTGTGGCGGTGGGGCATGGTCATCGTCCTCGATGGGAAGCTGTCGCTTGGGAGGCTTGGCTGGGTTTGTGGACGGCACAGTGTTTTTGCTCAATTGGCGTAAAGTACCGGGCAAGTCACCCCGATGCTGCTGGCCTTGCTGGTTGCGCTCGCGGCGGATAGCCTCCGCCAGATCGTGCGCCTCTCTAGCCTTACGAGCATCCTCTTCTTGTCGAAGGCGCTCAATGTCTCGCCGCTGCTGCTCGAGTCGCTCCTGCTCTATGTGCTGCTGCTCGAGGCGATCCTGTTCGCGCTTGTGCTGTTCAGCACGATCCTGTTCGCGCTTCCGCATCTCTCCAGCACGCTTGTCGGCTGCCTTGCGCTCAGCAGTCTGCTTGGCTTCCTGTATTCGCTGTGATTCAGCGGCCTTGCGTTCTTCCTCTGCGCGCTTTTCCTGTCCTGCCTTCTCGGCGCGCTTGCGCTCGAGCTCTCGTTTCTGCTCCGCTTTCTTCGCAGCTGCCTTCTCGTCCGCTTCCTTCTTTCTAGCAGCGCTTTCGAGTGCCTTTACACGAGCATTGCCACCAGCAGTTCCCGGCCTGGGACCCATGGCAGATCCGGCGCGTGGTCCTGCGTGGCTGCTCGTAGATGATGCCAGCGTTTCGTGGTGAGATTTGTTAAACGACGACGGTGCCTGGCCTGCTCGCTGTGCTTGAGAGGGCATACGTACTGCCACAGGTCTAGATTGTGTAGACTCCTTGGTTGGCCGCATGAGTCGTCCAGGAGCTCTCAACTTACCAGCTGGAAGCATGCCAGTCTTCGGCGGTGGTGGAGGTGCCATCTCATTCTCAGAGGTCATCTCTTCGTCAGCAGACTGTGGCCTTGGAGCATTCGCGGCAGCTTTCGCCGCCAGCTGTCTCTCCTTTTCAACCCTTGCAGCTTCGGCCCTCGCAGCTTTCTCAGCTTTTGCAGTCTCTTTCGCCTGTTGTTCGGCAGCTTTTTGACGCTCCTTCTCTCGCACCTTTTCAAGATCCGCGGCAGCCTTCTCTTGAGCTTTGACCTCCTTCTCGCGTCGTTTCTCACTCTCATGAGAAAGTCGTGTCTTCCTGCTTGGGCTGTGAGAAACTATCGAATTCTTTCTTTCCGGGCTCTGGAGCACGTCTTTCGTCGACCACAGAGCACCGGGCATGTTAAAGACCTTGTGCGACTGCTCAACAGGATCGCGAGTCGGAGAGCGAGTGAGAGCTTGCGAGTCATTGTACGCTTCGAGCTTTGCCGCAGCACTAGTGCTGGCAGACGATGCGAATATGTTCTTCGCAGACTTCAACGCTGACCATAGCCTGCTCTTCGACGCACTCAACGGTCCATCGTTGGCTTTTCGCGACGGAGACTCGTGTGGTGTAGTGGACTCGAGGATTTCTGCGAGTATGGGATGTGAGACTGAAATTGCTTTCTGGTGCTGAGGATCGCCCATGTTGGCCCTCAACGGCGAAGGAATATCTGTGGTCGATATCGACTTGGTATGCATGGCAGGCCGTGGCGAGGCTAGCTTCGCCGATGAAGGCTGTAGATCATTATCTGATGATTTTTGTCGCAGGGGATGAGCTGGCTTCTTGGGGGCAATCCAATCATCCTCAGCGTCCTCAATGGGGGCTGCAGTCTGCTCTCCGATCTTCTGCGGGAACTCGAAGTCGAAAGGCTCATTCGGCTGCGCGATTTCTTGCCCGGCTGTAGGCAATTGTGGGTACGCAGAGTGACTCAAAGAAGCCATCTGATGAATGCTCTTTGATGGTCGAGGCTCCTTGGTCTTGCCTAGCATATTGATACGGTCATGTAGGAGCTGTGCGGTAGATTTTCCATGTGGCCTGGACTCTTGTGACTTCTCCTGGCCGTCGTCTGTCATTTGATGATCCGTTTGTCGACCGCCAATAGATTTGTTGAAAACACTATTCCTGTTCAGCTCCATTTGCCCCATGCTGCGCTTGGCTGTGAGCGGCTCTCGTGCTGGTAAAGAAGAGAAAGTGAAGCTACTCTTGCGATTCAGAGGTTTCTCGGGACTGGACGTTTCAGACTGGTCATCTGCAGCGTCCATGTCCATATCGACATCATTCTCTTGGGCGACCGGCACCTGCGCTTGCTCAAGCTCTGGTGTTGGTCGCACAGCTTCGGTTATGTGATCTTCCATGGGCTCATCCTCGTAGATCTGTACCTCGTTGACGTCCTGTAGGGCATTCGCGACGAGTCTCGTCTCCTCCTCATGCGTATAGGGTTGCGTATCACCAGGCGCGTCATCCATCTGATCGTCAGCGCCGTTCTCTGCGCCGCTTTTCTGCTCGTTCGCAGAGACAAAAGAGTCATCGCTAATAACATGGTTGTCTCCATTTCGCTCGGACGGTTGCTGATCGTATCGTACGGGCCCTTTCAAAGGTTGCGCGGCGATGTGTGATGAGCACGCGACGCTCTCATTTCGCTGTGCGTCCAATTCCATCTCGTCTTCAGTCATCATTCCGTGGTATCCAGAATCGGTATATGAGTATGGCTTTCCAACTCGTTGAGGGCTTGTTCCACGCCCAGCTGGTTTGTGTTGAGGAGGTACATTTTCTTCGTCCTTGGGAATCTGAAACTGAGCGACTTTCTCGAAGAAGGGTGTACCTTTCGCGGGCGAGGCTGCTGCTTGCTGTACGTTGGGCGCGAAAATGTCCGTCAAAGGCTGTCGCGGTGCGAGAGCGTTCGCCTTGCGCGCAGTTCGAGGAGTCTTGCCGCGTAGCTTTCCAGGCGTTTTGAACATGTCGGTGAAGTTACTATGGCTGTCAGTGCGTGCTTTGTGTGCTTCAACGGCCGTACGTACACCTCGGTCTTGCTGAAGATATCGGCCATGCGCTCGTTCAGCCAATCCAGCTCGTTCCGCACACTATACGAGAATTCCTCAACATCCTGGCCGACAAAGTCGGCCGCCTGATCCCTTTCATGCTGCACCCACTGCGACGAGCCCACGGGCATTGCCTTGCCCCTCGCAGCCATTCTGTCGGATTATGAGGATATGTATGTTGTTGTGCGCGTTGCTATGCTCTCCCTGCTCCAGGTGCGCGTGTCAAGATACGCCTCAATTGTGCTATACTGTCGATGGCTGCTAGCTGTACATATTTCAAGTGGTGGTCGCTGTCGCTGGGCGGTAAGGGTCGGTCGGGGCGGTGTGGTGGTGTGCGGTGGTGTGGTGAGTGTCGCTGTGTGCAGCGCGTGTTGTTCGTCATTTGTTGTTTTGGTTCCAAGCTCAAAAGTTACCTAAGCACGAGTTCACGTGACCACTGCTCACGGACCCACTCCGCTCCTTCCTTGAATTGCATGCTCCAACTTCACGACACGAGTAAGTGCGGAGAAGAAGGTGCCGTCTCTAACTTCAAGTCTTATTCCCGAGGAACTCACAACGTTACCTCCTAATAAGGTATGCGATGTCGCTGTGTCTGCATAATGAAAGTACATTATAGAGGGCCAGAATTCTGTTCAATATTCGATTAAGTATTCACTCACCTCTATCATCTACACCGTCACTCAGGTACTACTACTACTACTTACCTACCTAAGGTACTACCTTACTACCTCCTCCCCTTCGTCTTACTGTCTCCTCTATACAGCAGATTGGCGAATTCCTGATGGCTCTGCGATTTGCCTCCCGTTCTGCTTCTCGTCCATCACGCACACTGCGCTTGTCAGCATGCACAGCACGACACTTCTCCATGACACCGCGAAGACGGCTGATGGAGACGTCTGGCTTCACCGAAGAGCAAATGACGGTCCGAGAGTCGATCTTCAAGGTGTGCTCACGCTTCACAGATGACTACTGGATGGAGCACGACTACAGTGGCGAATATCCAGGAGAACTGCACGCCGCATTGGCCAAAGATGGCTGGCTCGGCATTGCTCTACCGGAGAGTTTGGGTGGTGCTGGTTTGGGTATATCCGAGGCCACGATGATGATGCAGACTATATCAGAGTCCGGCGCCGGGATGGCGGGTGCCCAGTCTATACACGCCAACGTGTATGCCACGCAACCAGTCTCCAAGTTCGCAACGCCGGAACAACGGGATCGTTTCTTGAAGAAGATTGTCAGTGGCGAATGGAGAACCTGCTTCGGTGTGACAGAACCGAACACTGGACTCGACACGCTGAAACTCAAGACTCTGGCTACACCAGATGGCGACGGCTATCGGATCTCGGGCCAGAAGATCTGGATCACGAATGCGCAAATAGCACAAAAGATGGTCTTACTTGCTCGAACGACTGCCCTCGAAGATGTGAAGAAGCCGAGCGAAGGTCTCAGCATGCTCTACATCGACCTTGACAAGTCAGATCCAGGTTTGGAGATCAAGAGAATCAAGAAAATGGGTGGCCGAGCCGTAGACGCGAACCAGGTCTTCTTCGACAACTACTATGTGCCCAAGGATTCACTGATTGGAGAGGAGGGCAAGGGCTTCAAGATCATCCTCCATGGCATGAACGCTGAACGATGTCTGCTCGCTGGAGAAGCCCTTGGTCTCGGTTATGCGGCGCTGAAGAAAGCAACCGACTATGCTCGTGAGCGCGTGGTATTTGGCAGACCTATTGGCCAAAACCAGGCGATTCAGCATCCACTTGCTTCGGCCTTTATGCAACTCGAAGCTGCCAAGCTTGCAACCTATCACGCGGCGAGGCTGTACGATCGTAGCACACCTGAGCATCCGGACTATGATGAGAGTATCACGCAGCATCAAGTCGGCGTGGCCGCCAATTCTGCCAAGTATGTCGCCGCGGAAGCTGCTTACACTGCCTGTGAGAGAAGTGTGATGAGCATGGGTGGCATGGGCTATGCCGCTGAATATCATGTCGAGAGATATCTCCGAGAGTGCTTTGTGCCCAGGCTCGCTCCCGTCAGCCGGGTAAGTGCACCATCAGAGTAGCTTCCCACGTCATGGTAGTGTGAACTGATGTATAGTACAGGAGATGATCATGAACTTTATTAGCGAAAAGGCGCTTGGCCTACCTCGCAGCTATTGAATGACCTCAGACGTTGCCAGGAAGCGTAGTCACCAGGGAGCGTAGCCACGGACTCCAGCCTGGCTCGAATTGGGTTGATCACCAACTCCTTCTTGCGACTTGGACTTCCATCGCACTCTTGTATGGAGAGACTTTGCGGAAAGGGGGTATTCCACTTTCTTCGGCTCCCAATCACCCTTACTACCGAAATTGGGCGACCTCAAAGACTCAAGCTGCAACCAACACAGCTCGCTGCGCTGAAGAAGATCGCATCGACCACCATCCGAAGCTGGAGCAGCACTATCGTCTGTCTGTCTCTCTGTCTGGAACAGATTGCAAGCCCAAACTCGTCGACACACCCCGGAATGTTTCCACACTGCAAGCGGTCGTGAACTACAGTATCTATCCGTACTTATGAGGTAGTTCCCCTGTGGAATTCACTTGTCATCAGACATACATGCTGTACACCCCCGAGTCATCAGCTCAGAATGTGACTACATATCAGCATAGCTTAAAGTACAAACCAGGTTGGAAAGCCTTCATCTTCAATCTTCACAAGGAAAATATTACACTTCTGGCAGTAAATGTCATAACGAAGTCCAATCAGGAAACAAGTCATCAGCCGTGATTCACACGAATGTCTTCCGAAAGCTGATCGTAGGCGAGTCCCTCGTGCACTGCTGCTACCTATGCAGCTTGTCAAGCCAGCGATCTGATCATTTTGTGTCAGTCATGCCGTGAGCTTGTTCGACCACCTCTGTACCTTAGGATGTACCTATGCCAAGCATGGACTTGTCGTGTTCGATCGCAATGACTTGCATGACGGAGAATGTTCGTGTACTTTCCAAATTCCACCATACGTGTCGATCGATTGTAGAATACCTGAGCTTCCATACAGGTTACGAGATATTCGCGCGCCGGGCTTCTTTCTAGTACACATACCACTCGTACTCAGTCTTTAAGTCTTTGTTGCCAGACAATCAGAGAAAACGAGAGGCGTCGTAGTCAGTTGTTTCTGTATCCAGTTAGTAAACAAACTCTTGGACACTACGTCGCCTTGGGCTGTGCCATTGGTCCGTCGTTCCTAGCCAAAGGTTCCCCATGTAGATTGCCATCAGCACTAATGAGCTTGAAAAGGATGTGAGTGAGCACCATCGTATTCATATGGTATCGTTGACCACGATCCTGTCCTTGGGGGTATAAAACAAAGCACTAGCCCTAACATTTTCGAAAGACGGGCCGCAGAACTCAAGCCAAAAAACCCCAAAAAACTCCATGTGTCGCCAAATCATAGCTTCCGCTCACGATGCCGTAGCCTCGCACAGAGGCGCCTGAAGTTCTATACATCCGCCAAAGTACCAGATTCAGTCAATGCTCTGACTCTCTCGCGTATTTTGTCAAAGCTCTCCACAGCCTCGAGATGCTTATCACGTCCCAGTCCATACACCACCCGCGTCTGATTTTCGTCTCTGGCCGAACGCAAGTAGCTGGCAAATCCTTTCGTTCCATTGACGGTATCGCCACTCTGTACAAGCCACCCGCTCCCACTCTTGATGCGAGTTTCTGCTTCCTGTTCACAGCTCTCAAAATATTGGAGATACGCCTTGTTCCAACTATGAAAAGCAACCAGGTAATTGGCAAACTTCTGATAGTAAGCGTCCCAACTTGTCCTGGTGAGCTTCGTGGGGCCTTCTGGTGCCTTTGGTAGTGGCACGCTCTGCTGAAGATACGACACAGGGCGTGGCATCTGAGTTTGAAGCACAGATGATGCCTTTGAAGTAAAAGGTAGACTGGATGTCAGGTCACCCATACCCTTGAGTCCATCGTTACTTCGTGCAAATGGCTCCGTGTGTCGAAGGTCATCCAAATTGACGTTCAAGCTCGACTCGCCGGCCGACTTCCGCTCAGCTCGTCGTGCAGAACCTGAGGTATGTCGAAGTTGCTGTGGCTGTGAAGCTTGTTGCTGCCGCCACTCTGATGGTGGCACAGAGTACAAACGTGCTTCTTTTGCCAATGGCGTGCCTTCTTCAGCTGGCGCTGCCCTCTCAGCTGGGGGCGGCGTGTCGATATCCATGGCATCACCGTCATCAGGGAACGCAGAACTATTCATTGGGCGGCCAGTGCTGTCCACTCCAATCACAACATCGTCATCTATTACATGTGGCTGCTGCGCGGAGCCACTCGTGGGGCCTTTACCATTTGCCCTGGTTGCTCGGCTGCTCTTCCTGCTTGGAGCTTTGAAACCTGGCGGACCAGGCGGTGGGGGCGGCCAAGCAAAAGCGCCGCCATCGCTGAAAGTCTTCTGCCAAGCTTCGGGGCTGAATGGCGCGTTCGGGCCTGGTTGAGAGGTGTCACCCGTGGCAGGTTGGGGAGCCCGTGGCATTGGCGACGTTCCATTACTGGTTGATGTCGAGTCTGTGGTCGCAGTGCGCTGACTGCGTCGCGAAGATTGACGATGTGCGGGAGATGGCCTGCGTGCATCTCCATTTGCGAAATAGTCTCCAGATCCTTCGAATTTACCGTGGAACCCCCCTGGCGAGAATGTAGTATTGATCTCCTCCACACTTCGACTCTTGCCTTTCGTTTGCTTGAACGTCTCGGGGTCGATTGGGAATGAGAAACTGTGTGTGGGAATGACCTGGTCAGCAAGTTTTCTGTGTGATGCTGCAGATCCGACTGGAAACCGAGCGAGAATATCGATGAGACAGGTATCGAAATTTCGATCCCCAGTAAAGTGTCCGCTGCGAATGATGGCGACTGCTCTTTGGAACATGGCCATGTCAAGCTGGTTGAGCTGCTCAACATCCCCAGACCATCTCCCAAGCTCTGCTCGAAACGCTTGAAGCGCAAGGTCATCGCCAGATAGTTGATGATCTGACAAGTCTGAGACGCGACGCGCTCTCTTGGAGCGCATGTTGTTCAGCTTCGATGGGTTGCCGTCAGAAGCGACCTGTGTGCGGGACTGTTTGATTGCTGGTGACACTGAACTCGGAATTGCCCAATATGGGACACTGGCTTTGCTTGGCCTACCATCCTTTGCTATGCCAGTGCCGAATTGACTTGCAATCCAAGTGCCACGGCTGAATGAAGAACTATATGAAGAATGCTGAATGAAAGGGGCGTCGTACATGTTTTCGCTTTTCTTACGCTCTTGCTTGGTTGCCTGTTCGCCATCGGTATGCGCAGAACCGTCGTTGTCTGGCAGCGGATATTTATTCGTGGCTCCGTTTCTATTCGGGAAGAACCGACTAGGAGGTTTGGGCGTTTTGATATTTCTTCCAGCAGGACCACCTGGCTGCGCGGTGTTGGAAGATGTCCTACTCGGCGGACCTGAAGTGGGTCTCTGCTCTGGTACATCATCTACGTCGTCGTCGTCATCATCGTCGCCGTCGTCGTTGTCGTCAGAAGACTCCTCTGAAGTTGATGTTGATGTGGATGCGCTGCGCATTCGAGCAGCATTTTCGTTGGCATATGGAGGGTGAGTAGGGCTTCCACTGCTGGCCTGAGTGCGTCTTGTCGCAGGATCCACGCTACGCGCACGCGTTGAAGAAGAACTATTAGCACTCTCAGGGGATAATTTCGTGGTGTCGCGAACGCTGGCTGATCGTGCAAGGCCACTGGCATTGAAAGCCGTCTTCTCGCCGATATAAGATGAGTATGGAGTACTCGTACGGTTGGCCTCAGCATACGGCGCATCATCGTTGAACGCTCTACTTCGGGATGGTCGCTGAGTATCAGGCGAGGTTGGCGAATGAGGTGCAGACCCTGGCGGAGGCCCTGGCGGAGGAGGCGGGAATCCGTCACCTCCAAAGTCATCTGACTTGTGCCGATGCACGTAATGACTTGACTGTGGCGCGGGTCTCTCATCGGAGCCCGGGGCGTTGGGATCAAATCCCCCGGGACGCTTTGGTGTTGCAGGTGGCCGTCTGCGCTGTCCGTTACTATTCATGCCAGGCTGACCAGCGTTGCTGTTTTGGAACGACTGCCATGCAGACTGACGACTCGCTGCCTCTTCCGCGCTTGGTCCTGCAGTTGTACCATGTCTCATGCCAGCTCTTATTCTCTCTTCCAGGTTTGTATTCCTCCTAGATGCTTGCGGACGAGCTGATGTAGGAGCGGCGCCGGGGGTAGGTGGCTGCGGTGATCGAGGCGGTGCCTGCTGCCGCGGTGGTACTTCCGGAGGCTGAGGGCGATGCGCAGTACTGGGCTCTTTCATATTCTGCCACGCACGAAATTGCTGTGTCCGATCTGCTGCGGGATTCTTCTGCGGCGCAGCACCAGCGGGGCGAGGGAAGTTGGTGAACCTCTCAGCGCCGGTTGGCTGCGGTCCATGCGCTGTCTGTCCGCCGGGTCTTTGCCACGTCCCAGGCTGTGTGCGCCTTGGAGGCGGAGGGAAATCTGATCGTGCTGCATAAGGACTGCCGGTGGACCCGGGTGCGTTGTTTCTGGTAAAGGATGGATACAGTCCCACTTTCCGCCGATCTGCATCGTACTTTGCCTTCAATGTAGGATCACTCAGAATCTCGTTCGCTGCCTGGATGGCCTGGAAGCGCGGCACGCATTCCTCCTCCCTCCCAGCATTGCGATCGGGGTGGAACTGTAAGGCTAGTTTCCGGTAGGCCTTGCGAACATCGTCGACTGATGCAGTGATGGGAAGATCGAGGTCCTGATAGTCTGCAAACGAGGTCGAGTCAGCGCATCTCGACCGCAAGGCGAACAGGAAGGTGGCTGTGCCTGCGAGTGAGCTGACGAACAGTTATGCTTGAGGTCTGGCTTAACCATGTTTGTCGTGTAGGCCTCAGCTCTTCAAGACATGTAGTAAGGGTGCAGCAGTGCAAATGTTGGCAGGAACAAGCCGATAGCGGTGTTGATGATGGTCGGTATCACGGCGGACACATTGGCTCGCCTGTGAAGCTGGCCGTGTGGTGTTTGTGTTTGAAGCAGTGCTGAGGTGGTGTTAATGTTGTCGGTCGGCGAGAAGGCAGAACGGCGGTCGTTCTTGCGTGCTGCCGTTTCCTCTCTCTCTTTCTCTCTCGCTTGCTCGGCTGCTGGGCATGGGCGTGGGTGTGGGTATGGGTGTGGGCGTGTGAGGCAGCGTTGGCGACGGCGGGCAGAGAAGGTTGGTCGGTGCTAGATGGGAGTGGTTATTTCTCAGTGAGCCGGGCGCTCGACTCGGCGCGACGAGGTTCGCAGCTGTGGCGGATGGCGTTCTTTGACTGTCACCTTGCTCGCGCTGCACGGGATCATGTGCTGGAAAGTAGGTACTACTGGAGTGGTGGTACCTGTGTAGTTGTGTTGTGGAAGCACAGCTGTGAGCGCGATCAACTATGAACTGTGTGCAGCCGGAAGATTTCCGGTGACGTGGCGACCGATCTGTTCACAACATGCTGCCTAGAAGTTTAATATTCTGAGCTACATGTAAATAAACTGCACTCCAACACGGCCCGCTTTCATATGCACAGCTGTCAGAGCATAATAACTGCACTGCCTTTCATCATCACCATCATCAATGACCATCTGCCCCGGCGTCCCATGCCCATCATTCTATTAGCTTCCGTACCAATCGTAGGTAATCGCTGTCAATCAAATCAAATCAAATGGAAGAAAAGGCTTCGAAGACAGAACAAGCTGCCTGCTGGAAATCTGCTCGTGGCATTCTCGTCACGAGTCGGGATAGCATGCAAACCATGTATTGAAGCTCTTTGCGATGGTCGACTCGCTCTGCCATTGGGTGTTTGCCGCCGCAGTGGTGACGTAGATTGGGGTACTGTCTACAACTCCAGTACGGTAGGTATATGTTGTACTAGGTACATACAGGTACCTTATACATCAGCAGACAAGAACTCGACCATAGCTGAGCTGCTCGTTCACTACCTTATAACAGACGGGTTTTGCTTCAACTATCGTGTTCTCTCGCAGCTTGCTGGCGATTGCTTGCAAACACGCTCTCACTACCTCCTAGGTAGTTCTATTTTTCCGGACTGTGTCCCGGAATCTTGGGCCTCGCGTATGCAAGTAGAGGATTGGCGTACACGCGCCGCGTGCGTAACCATGCCTCTGTTCAGCCTCCTTCAGCATTGTACCTCCTAGGAGGTAAAACATTATAGCTACATATGGACCCCAAAATTGCAATATCTGCGCTTTCATCAGGGACGCCTTCCTCGCAGCCTTTCTTTTCAGATATCTACCTACCTTAAGTAAGGCAGCTTTGCTTGTCAACCCGGCCAGCTCGGTGGCTTCTCCTGCACTTACCCAGAGGTACACTACAAGGAGAAGACCCGAGGTGACTTCTAGGGCCAAATTAGTGATCCAGACGCCTTCTTGCCAGTCGGTTCCAGTGCAGTTTCTATAAGTAAGAACCGGGGCAAGCATCTCTCCACGTTAGCACAGCACTCGCAGACGTCCGCATGATTTGGACAGATGGAGCCGGTACAGCTTCTCAAACTGCCGTAGAAGTGTCGTACGATAGCGCCTGAAAAGCAGCACGATGGTCATTCGATACTGCTATAGTGTAAAATCTTGAGAACAGAAAGCCGCTACCGAAGCAGATGCAACTAATCTTGATGAAGCTATAAGCATAAGGGACCTTATTTACCTTGAGGTAGTAAATGAGTACAGGTAGAGGTAAGGTATGTCAAGGGAAGAGCTAAGCTTTCGGTTCTCTACCTGATACCGGTATTTTCAAAACTCTTGATTAAGATACCTCCTACCTCCTAGGTATATAGCATACGAACTATAGCGCTCCTCGACTGGTTCAAAGCGGATTTCAGCGCAACCGATGCGGAATAGATCAGAGCCATTACAGGAGTTAATGGTTGATGATGTTGTAGTAGCGTACCTGAACCAGTATGTACGCCATCACGTTACCTCCTAGTAAAGTCTCACTCACCGCGTATGGACAGCATGCTCTTTTCTCACCGAGGTCGAGCCTCGTGCGACGACAAGGCTTGCACACAGTCCCTCTCGGATGTCCCACGCGCCTTGTGTTTGATACCTGCTGACCCTTTGACTTGCGATTGTGATTGTTGGGGGGCTTCCACGCGACTAGCCGCATCAGTGCGCGTCCGGAGAATTTCAGGATCTATCCGGCCACCATCCTCCATACCAGTAAGTCGGCTGTGTAAGCAACGCGGATATAACTTACGAATCACAACCCGAAGCCATAGCCTCTGTTTCTCGCCGAGCTCTATAGACGACTAGGAGGTACGACGACAACATGGCTGTGAAAGGTCTACGCCACAAAGCAGTTTCGCCGACACGTGCTTACCTCTGACGTTGGTACATGAACTCAGCCACTATGTAGGTACCACCTCCATGTACTGGAAGCGCCCAATTTTGCATAGGCGCGCTCTGTTACAATGATACCAGGACTCCAGGAGCGGGTTTCGATTCTGGTATCAAAGAAATAGGCCGTTCCCGGAAGGTCTCTCCACGGCGTTTCTCAAGGAGAGCGGAACAACAACAGCAACAGGCCAACAGCAACAACAACAACCGCACCACGGCAACAACCTAGTCCAGGTCAGAGGTGCCGGCGACAGGAACAGGGTAGTCTGGGTAGACCGGTAGAGCGCGATCTTGGTGGTCTTGGCTGGTTTGGCTTTGACGATGGATCGCCGTAGTCCGTAGACGTGGGGTTGGCTCTCTCGCATCCAAGGAACGTCCCAGCCATCTGACACAGTAGTTCGCATAAGCAAAAAGTGCCCAAACACAACAAACAATCTGAGACCGCCCACTGCTCCGTCCGCACTCATCTCATTACCGTTAGCCACACACATACTATGAGGTTTCCATGCCCGCCTATCCCGAGGGTAGCGCCAGGATGCTGAGTAGTAGCTGTAGCGGAGAAGATGCGATCAACTCATTCCTCGACAGCTACGAGTCGCCGAGCATTCCTACGCGGCAGGTCGTCAACTGCTGTTGCGGCGCAACGACGTGTGCATATCTTCAACACACAGAGACGGCCTTGTCGGGACTGGAACGCGACCTGCGCAATGCTGCTCAGATTGGCAAGGTACGTACGCTCGTTCATCTGACTGTATTCCATCAATCGTGTGCTCTGTGGTCGCTTTCATGTAACGTTGGCGAGCGACAACGGGCGCGCGTGGACCATTATGATGGCGGCGTCGCTGACTTTTGCACTGCAGGCGCTGTTGATGCGACATGAGGCCTACATCCACGACTCCGAGAAAGAACGCAAGGCCATGGCCGCACACATCCAGTCGCTGGAAATCGAGAAGCAGGTGCTGGAAAGACGCAACGCTACCACTATAGAAGAGAACCGGACCTTGTTGAACCAGCTCGAGTCTCTCAACACCGCCGTCGCCGAGTCTGACACGCAGGTCACGAACCTGCAGGCCACCCTGCGCACTACTCAGGACGAACTGCACAAGTTGTCGTATCTACAGTCCCGCACGGAAAAGCTGGAGCAGCAGCTGGCCGACTTTGAACAAGAACAACTGTCATGGCAGTATGCCCTGGAAGAGAAAGCCGAGTCGGAGAAGTCCGCTCTGCGCCGATGGCAGGAAGCTCAACGCACACTTTCCGGTCTCCAGGAACAGATGGAGCGCATAGAGCAGGAAGCGAAGGAAGAGAAAGAGCGACACGTTGAAGTGCTTGGTCGCATGGAGCGGCAACGTCTCGTCGAGAAGGAACTGGACTCAGCTGCAGGCCGGCTCAAGGGTGCAGCGGCGACGAAGACCGGCAGTGGGACTGTCGTGTCCCATTTTGTGAAAGATATCCTACAGGACAACGCGAATCTGCAGATGGGCATTGTCGAGCTCCGCGACATGCTGCACAACTCCAACGAGGAAGTGGAGACGCTACGGAACCAGCTCTCGGTGCATCAGCCTGTGACTGTGGGAGCCGAAGTTTCTGAGACGACATCGCCGCTGATACGGCCACATCTCAAGGAAGAGATGCGAGCAGCTACATCGCAAGAGCTACATGTTCACCACCACTATCACGCCCCAAGCGTGCCCAAGACTCCTCTTGTCCGGAGGCCGAAGAAGAAGCGATATGGATCGCTGACACCAAACACAGGCACAAGCACGCCTCGGCACTCATTTTCTACCCCCTCTAATACCGCTGCGATACTCTCGCAGACTGCGGTGACCTTGCCAGGAAGCGGGTCTGGGCCTACGAACAGTAACCGATGGTCGTACCTGTCGGATCGATCCTTCGTGTCAGCTCAATCAATACAGAGCTTCTCTGGGCCAAGTTCGCCACAGTCGACCAACCGAACTTCATCAATGTTCGACAGAGTGTTCAGCGATGCCGGACAAGATTCTTCTCGGCCGACCACGCCTGATACGGAGGAACCGGGCTCACCAATGTTCGCGCCAATTGGAACGAAGCGCGTATCCTCTGCACCTCTGCATTTCCAGCGACCTTCGGTATCATCGCATCGCGGCCGGCCATCCCTTGATTCTATTCTCGACAAGAGTTGCGAGGACTTACGCGAGCTAGAGCCGCAATCTTCCTCGGAGGCAGCCATACCGGAGGAAGACGAACTTGACTGGGAGACCTCCGACACACCACCTGGAGAGTACCACCTCGAAGCTGCCTCGCCACTCTCCGAAGAGATCACTCTGGCTCTCGAGCGGCCTGGCAAGCTACGACGAGCTGCATCTCACGAGTCAATCTTGTCTTGCCGCGGAATGGATATTCACACTCTCAAGTCTCGTCCCTCGCAACTGCTTGGTTCTTATGGTGGCCGCTCGTACACTCCGCAAGCCGTCATAAGCGACGCTACTGCATACGCCGCCGTCTCTGCATCGATGTCCCGGCCGATGGATAGTAGTCATCGTATACTGAGCGGCATGGCGCCTGCTGCGCTTCAACGACAAGCACCGTCTAACAAGGGTGGACTCGGCAGTAAAGTTGGCGGTTGGATGTTTGGCAGATGGGGTGCATCTCCTATGCCCACAGTGACGGTCACCGATGCCGTCGCTCCGCCCAAGATGAGTCGCACTGCTAGTGCTGCCTCGGGCAGTACCAGCAAGTCTGCAAATGCAAACGATCCTGATGTAACGCCGAAGAAGCCCAAGCTCCGGCCCCCTGGTATCAATCAAATGGGCCCGATTCCAGGATTTGGACCGGAGATCAAGATTCAGCACCCGCCCATTTTGAAGAGTCTGGATACAAATGCATTGGAGAGTGTGCTAGGTGATATTTAACTAATTGAGGGGCAGAATGCCAAATGGAGCAATTTTGACGACTAATATTTATAAGCGATACCCAGACGACAGCATTTAGCCAAATAGATTTCGTATGTATGTGAGTGAGCACAAAAGGGCTCTCACGGTTGACTCAAGCAGTGCTCTGAAGGCCAAAAATAACGGCGAGACTGAAGTACGCGTAATGTACTCGTAGGGCTCTGCCTACCATTTACCATGATTGCATGATCAAACGCATGCTCTTGACCTCACCCATTTTTGACTCAGGCTTTGACAATATTGAATTATTATTCTAATCGAAGATAGAAAAGGTTGAAATACACGGGAGAGAAATCTACAGATTTGGCTTGAACTTGTATCCCTTCTGCACAGGTTTATTGCCAACTGCAATGGGCTCCCACCACGGCCACGCAGCGGGAGCATCGTTCTGCATCGTGCCTGTGAAGTTTGTCTGTCTCTTCTCCAAGAAGGCTTTCACGCCCTCCTTGTTGTCCTTTGAGGTAAACAGTTCGTACACGATTCTGCTATCCAACAAGTGTGTGGCTTCTGGACTGCCTGGGCCGCGGTACATCAACTCTTTAATCAAGTGTAGACTGACACCGGAACAGTTCTTAACGATCTCGTCGGCGAGTTCTAGGGCTCGGGGGAGGACTGCATCGGGCGTAGGAAGTGTTTCGGTGAAGAGGTCGGACAGCAGTGGATGTGAAGCGGGATAGATTGAGCCCGTTGTGCAAAGATGAAGCGCTTTGGAGGTGCTGTTGTTCAAGTCAGCTGTGTTGCAGCGCCCATGCAATGCAACTTCTGAACTGACCCAATCAGACGTGGCAGGAAGAAGCTGCTGGCCGCCTCCATAACAAGTCCTCTTCTCGCGAAAACGAATCCAATCTTCGCGTCCTTGTACGCGATTCGAATGTTCATGGGCAAGGTCATGGTCACACCTACACCTACCGCTGCACCATTGAGTGCAGCAATCGTAGGCTTTCGACATCGATTGATCGCCATGGTCACGCGTCCTCCGCCGTCTCTGTGATCTCTCACTGCCTCTTCTCCTCCAACAAACCCAGTATCCAAGTCTGCGCCAGCACAGAACATTTTGCCATGTCCAGTCTGGACAATACACTTGACACGATCATCGATATCGAACAGCGTGTATGCATGCTCCAGCTCTCGCATCATCGTGGGCGTGAAGGCATTGTACTTCTTCGGCCTGTACAGCGTAACAAGCTGAACCGGTGTGACCTCTGTGGACGACTCAGGCACATTGGTGACTTTGATTTCCGTGAAACCAATGTCCGCATAGCTTCGAGGGATGGGGATTTCGTGCAGTGAAGGAGATTCGAGGTATTGCGAGCCTTTGCCGGAGCCTGACATGTTTGACAATCGGTCGTGTGTTCTGTTTCGTAGTACAGCCTGAGAGGTGAGTGATATTAACAGTATGTGAGAGGACTTACAGTAGCAATGGACAATGGTGTCGTGAGGATCTGGCAATTCCGCTTACCACGGCAATTGCTGCATCTGGCAGGCATCAGAGCTGTTCAGCCTCCTCGAGTAGTCAGTGTCAAGAGGAGGATTGCCGAGGTGGCTGTCGTCGTGCTGCCAAGTGCCAAGTCGTAGCGTTTCACGTGATGTTCCAGTCGTTCGGGTCCTGGGAAGATCTCCTCATCCTCCTACCTCCGACCTCCGACCTCCGCACCTAAACTCCTACCTCCTACAAGGTGCAACCGTGCAGGTATGTACTCAGTATTCGGCCCATCAGTGCCGCACAGTTGGTACACCTATGTGTGCCAGGCGCTGTGCGTCATAGATCTGGTGGATGCACTGCAGCAGTGCTGCAGCAGTACACCGTAGGAGGTACATGCTGCTGTGTTCCCAGGTCGGTTCCGCTCGTTGCCGAGTGTGGTGTTGTTGTTCATTTACATTGTTTTTTCTCGACTGACAGGTACCTAAATATACGTGCTGTGTGTTCGTGCCATGAGGCATACCTAAGCAGCATCGCCTCTCCTTTCAAGACCTGAAGCAAGATCCCCCAATTGAGCAGTACTACTAAGAAGCCATGGCTCCTCCTCCGCTCATCGCTCTCGAGGAACATTTCCTCTCCACCGCCATTCTCGATGCTTACGATGATCAATACCGAGAACAATACAAAGCCATTCCCGGTGTGAAGGCCAAACTCGGCGATCTTGAAACCGTACGGCTGAGCGAGATGGACAAGGGGGGAATCCGGCTGCAAGTAGTCTCGCACGCATGCATACCAGGTGCCCCAAATCCTGAGCTCTGCAGAAAAGGCAACGATCAGCTTGCTGCTGCGATACGGAAGAATCCAGATCGACTGGCAGGTCTTGCTGTCCTGCCAATGGCCAGCCCCAAGGAGTCTGCGATTGAGCTCGAGCGATGTGTCAAGGAACTTGGATTTCCCGGCGCATTAATCGATAACCACGCCGATGGGAAATACTTCGATGGCGATGAGTACGACGTCATGTGGCAGAAGGCGGAAGAACTCGATGTGGCCGTCTATCTGCATCCGACGTGGCCTACCGAGGACATGATGCGATCATACACCGGGAATTTCACAACTGGTGCCACTATGAGCATGTCCGCTTCAGGGTGGGGATGGCACACCGAGACTGGTCTTCACGTTCTCCGATTGTATGCTGCCGGACTCTTTGACAAGTTTCCCAAACTGAAGATCATCATCGGCCATTTTGGTGAAATGCTACCTTTTATGCTGCATAGAGTGTCGAAGCTGAGCTCCAGATGGGGCGAGCAGCACAGGAAGTTTTTGCAGGTTTGGAAGGAGAACATATGGCTCACGACATCAGGCGTGTGGTCCCTGGATCCCTTGAAATGCATCCTGGGGAATACCAATATAGACCATATCTTGTTCAGCGTGGATTACCCTTTCGAAACGAACGAGAACGGGCTCAAGTGGATGGTGGAGCTCGAGCAAAGTGGTCTTGTGAGCCGAGAAGATCTGGAAAAGATCGCTTATAAGAACGCCGAGAAGCTGTTGAAGATACGGCTACCATGAGCGAATAACTGTGCCAACGAACAGCTTGATAGCAGTGGTATATCGCGGCGCTACTTAGAGAGCGGAATTAGTAGCAGTGAGATATTTAATATCGACAATTGGCTCAAGCACTCCGATTTCTTGGCACGATCCAAAACGCCTCCCAAGGCAGCAGCTCTCATAGCAGGTTGAATTCAGTTCTCGACTTCATTTTTGGCGGATCCGAGATACCTTCTTTCTCCGCGCTGGCCGTGACATATATCGCAAAATGGAAAATCCGTAGATGTAGGTCACCTGTAGGTAGGTACGTAGTTGTAAGAGGTAAGGAAAGATACCTGGTAAGGTGTCTCTCCCGCACAGACCACTTTATGTATCCTTGCCTCCCGCGAGATACATCCGAAATGGCCATCCGTACAGGTAAATATCAGGTTGTGCTGATTTTGCTTGGTCACGAACCCCCCAGAGGTGCAATCGATCTACAAGAATTCTGCATTAGCATTATCTCTGGGCAGTAGGTGTGCGGGAAGTAGTCTTCTTACTCGTTATGCCTGCAGGATTGGGGAGAGCAAGCGAGTTCGTGGCCAATGCCAGGAACACCAGAACCACATTGGCTTTCATTTTCGAGACTTGACTTGTGATCCAAGTGTCTGTGTAGTGTGGAGTTGTGTGTTGATAGAGCCGGAAATGGAGACGCAGCTCTTTCTCGACGCTTGACTTTGCGATTCGAGACTGTGTAGTGTGGCTCCAATGGTGTGGATACCTAGTGTTTTTATATGAGGTAGGTACGTATACCAGGTAGCTGGGCAGGTCCAGGTTCATAAACCATAGGCTTGACGAGCATAAGGTACAGTAGCATTGTCACCAGACACAGCCTGTTCGAAATTCCTCCTCTATCGTCGTTTTGACAATATGTGAACAAAGCTAGGTACGCTTGTGTGACGAACTTCGCGAACAACCTTGATCCTGTGAACACTAAGGTACCTCGTCTTCACATGTACACGTACAATACCTAGCTCGTATCAGTCGCCGCAAGGTATCGAGCTGGCCCAACACTGCAACGGTCGATATTGTCAAGGGGAGCTCACCCCTACCCAGCGATAACTGAGGCCTCTGCAGACCCGGCCCAATAATGCATGATTGTTGCGTGCTCAAACAGCTCTGACCATGGCTCGCATTCAATTCCAGACGTGGCGGAACCTCCAGAGAGCGAGGGAACATGAAGTTGCTGCTAAACATGTAAACATGGCGTCTCCCTCACACGATAGCACCGTGCGGAAGAGAAGAGCGCACTGTCCAAAAAAGAAAGGAAGCCACTAGAAGAGTGTCCTTGTAGCGAGCAGCATGGAGACATGTAGGTAAGGTACATGTAGATACACGTACCTGTAGATTTCGGAGCAACCACATGTACGTTGTACAATTGGGACATCATAGCCCGACTTGCGTAGGAGGTAAGTCGGAGGATCAATAAACCGTGCCCTGGCTCCGGCAGTAAGGCAGGTCAGCGTTCAAGATCGGCGTTTTAGTACAAAAAAAACTGATCGATCAATACCTACCTCCTACCCGGCCTGTTGAAGTCATGCCCGCTGAATGTTGTATACCTGGTACCTTAATGTATTCTCCCAGGCGGGCGGTTTTGTCCCAAACTGCCGGTTATCCTACCTACCGGGGTAGCTCTTACCTTTCCCTCACCAACAGACTACCTGGTACTCAATACACGTTGTCATTGTACTCACCGGTATGCTCTTCAACATCGGAACACAGACTGAGGCTTAGAGTTCCTCCTACATGTACCAGGTACTGTAGACGTCGGGCTAGACCCCATGCGCCACCATATCCACGGCCCACGGTCCACGGTCCACAAAAAAGAAAAAAAAAAAAAACCGCTGCTGCCCGCCCTACTAGGTACAGTATAGAGTATGCACGCATACATACACACACGCGGACTACCTGAATTCTACCTTTGCTACCTGTCTATATCGGCGAGATGGGTCGATGTTCTGTGCCACCAACGGGCAAGCCCGTAGGACATATGAAGGTCTCTTAAGGCGACAGTCTCTTGTCCGTCGTTTCATGTGTACTCACCTATCTCGCCCAAGCAATATTCCTTGCCCTCGAGGCCTGGTATCACTCCTGTGGGAACACTCAAGCCATCGCCATAGTCCACATATACAGTCTCATTCGTAATCCTGGGAACGCCTGGCGCTGGAGGCAGCTCTTTGATCGGTGCGACTCTGGATCTCCACGGAGGCTCGTGACTGTGCAGCAGATTGTCCTGCCGTTTTTTATAATTCCATTCGTGGATCTGGTCGAAGTTGATGCATTTTTTCTGCACAGTGAAGTCGCCTTGCGGTTCCGTCTGTCCCTCCACATAAGAGTATATGAACATTGCAGTGTCTGCATTGCACATCAGGTGTTGCCTCAATATATCCAGACAGTGTGTCAGATGCCATGTCCATACGAGATTGGGGCTGAAGCCGAAGCGAACACCCCAATAGACGTGGTAATGGTGGAGCAAGTTTCTCCGAAGGACGTCGAGGCAGTGAAGATGATGGAACACCTCGAGGGACGCCAGGTAACTGTCCTTCGGCCAGCCCCATTCTTCTGGCGCCTTGACAGCATAATCCGGATCCTTTCCTAGCCGAATCACTTCGTTTCGAGTGATGGGGAAGATCGCCGTGTCGGTCAAATTGACCCATGCATCGTGAACTTCTACACTTTGTGGCTGGCGATAGATATGATCTGGAGCATCTGCAGTAGCCAAGTGACCGGTGCGTATGGTGGCGATCTCATAGTGGATGTTATTGAATAGCCGATATAGAGGTGCTGCAATTTGTCAATCATCGTTCCATACAGTCTGAGATTTCGTCCATTCTTACAGAACTCGGTCGGCCGGAGACCAGGCATGCCTCGCGAAAGTAGGTACCAGATTGTGCATTGTATCGTAAGCGCTATAAGTAAAGCTGCTCCAGCAACGAGTATCAGGACTCCCGAAAAATTACATTTCATAGCTGGCTTGATTTGCCATTTTCTGCGGACTTCTCGCTCTCGTCCTTCTTTTAGAGCGTCTCCAATTTCCGGGTCATCCTCCGTGAGCAGAGAGTTCTGAGAAATGGCAGTGTATTGAGAGCGAGTCCATCGTGTCATCAGCCACCACATCTTGAACGTCTCGCAGCGCTATCGTAACGTGAATATGAGGCTTAGAGGTGTTGCAGGTGTAATCTCGGGGAAGTGCTGCTGCGTCGTCCAGTGGCAGTAGCATGCCGATATCAAGCTCGAATACCGACTCCCGTCGGCAGCACCGTAGACTGCTATCAACAGATACCATGTATACTTCACTACGTCTGAACATCGACGTCGTCCAGCAACTCGATGGCGGTGACACCCCTCGCCATTCTCAGCTCATGGTATCCCCAGCTCCTGCAGCGTAACATCGAGAAGTCGCGCGATGCTGGAAAGCGTCTCGATCGACGAAGCCTGGCGTACAGGCTGTAGGTTGTAGGATTATGCACGAGGCAACTCAAGTGCCAATTCGCCTTATCTGGAACTCCTCGTCAACGCCATGTGGAGTGGTCTCAATCAACGAGGCGGTGGGCGCATGTCCAGGGCGAATGATTTGAAGCGAAGTAACGGGAAGTAACGACGGGGCAGTCTGCTCCTTCTACGAGGAGATGGAGGGCTTCAACTCAAAGGCAGGTCCGGAAAGGTAGGAGGGAGGTAGGCAGGAGGAGGGAGGAGGTCAGGTAGCAGAAGACCACTGCAAGGAGGAGAGAAAGATGTTGGCGGCAATACTACATCCTGATTCGTCTGATCAATGCAGTTTTCCGTCAGGGCTTGCAGTTCGCGCAACAGGCAACTTTGTTTCCCGTTTTAAGCTTTTTCGTTCGGGCAAGAACACTCCGTTAAGCGCGATGAAGAATTCGGGACAGAAATGGACGGGAAGTGCAGTTGTGCGTGCAATGCCGTGCATACGGTACGAGGTAGTGCTGCCAATATAGCCTATAGGCACGCGGTGGTGAGAACAAACGAGTGACAACATTCACTCACTGGGTTCAGAAAATATGTCCCCTGTCTACATTACCTACCTGGTAGGTTTACCACGGGCGTATCACCCTCATCGATGCTGCTCGTGGAAGCTGCAATGCTGAAGAGCTACAGCAGGGTCAAGAGAGCAAGGCATTCACCTCAATATCTCAGGTCTCTTATTGGTGTGGTCGTCTGGCGGCGATGCCGTGATCTCATCCGTTTCGAATCTCTGCATGCTGCTGTGCTCTTTTCCATGACCTTTGACGGGAACTGTAGCAAAGAAGCCTATCATCGCGGCCGAGAAATATCGCTGAAGACAGTCCGAACCGGCCAAAAACATGCTCCCGGGTTGTCCTATACCAGAGGAAGAAGACAAGCAGCCCTTCATAGCAGAGGGAGACGACGAGCCTCCGCGACGAGATGGCCCTTTTCGTACTACATCTTACGCTATTGGAGTAGGGGTCATCATCGCTACGATTCTACTGACATACAAAGTTGGCTATTACCATGGCAGCCAGCAAGCAGGAGGTCCTCGCCTTCCCACACACGGTAAATATATGAGCCTTCTCTCTGCTATGACATGGCCGTAGATCAAAAAAAGACGCTGAGGACTCTACCATAATAGATATCACCAAGGCTGCTTTCCGCCCCATTTTGAAGCACTTTGATATGAACAATGCTGGTCTGGTGAGTCTGCCAGAGAACATACCATTTGTGGGGCCACCACGTCCGGAGCATGAAACGGCCTGGGAGGATCTCCTTAGCGGTAATATTACCTACCACGCCTTTTTTACTGCTAGATTCCGGGTGTTAAGTCAACGACCGTATATAGGATTCAATGTCCGGATATCTCAGAAAGAAGTGGCAGGTGCGCCGTTCGAGTCGTACGAGCTGAGAGACGGCTCGGGGGATCTTTGGGCAACACCATACGTATTCCACAACCTCCACTGTCTGGTAAGCCTTAGCCTTCACATATTTTGTCATAAACACAGGCCATAGGACAGCCAACGCTTATTCTTCCCACTGGTAGAAACTGTTCCGTGAACTATGGTACCCAGAACGATACCCTTTATCATGGGAATTAGCCAAGCCCAAGCCTGATGGCAATATCAGCGATCACCATGAGCACTGCCTCGAAGCGTAAGTAGTGCATGCGCCGCAGTCTATCGCTCGCTGTATCTAACTAAGCGACCGCTCACTCACTCTTGTTTTGTAGCATCCGACAGGCGATTATGTGCCAGGGCGATCTGACACTATTGGGATGGCAATGGCACGAACAAGTGGGCAATGCACCCAATCCGGTCCGGCAGCTGCACGGTTATCCACACCTGTGTGTGGACTGGCGCAAAATCCAGACCTGGGCATCAGACCGGAAGCTGGATGTATGGAATGTTACGGTGATGGGGCCCGGGGTCGTCGCAGATGGTGCAACAAGACTACAAAAGACGACGATGCAGCAAGCAGCCTCTTAAGCAGGTTGCAGGATCTTTGTCGAAGATCTTCCAATATACGGCTGTTCAAGCGAGTCCGTGCTTGCTCGATGCAAGTTGGGAGAGACGCCGCAGAGATCTTGTTTGTCGCGTTCCGGTATTGGGTAAGCAGGTACTGTCCTCTTTGATGCGAAAGGGTGTCTTTCATGGATGAGTAAGTGGACGTCTCGCACCGCTGACACACATAGTCGTATTCAACCTGGAATCAGATACCAATTGCTGAAAACCCGCGCGAAGAGAGATGGGATATGAAGGAAGCGCATCAGAGAGATGGAGTGCGATGATGAGGTACATGTAGTACCTAATCCAAGTTATTATTACCGGTACCCTATGATTCTCGCAACGACATATGCCACCAAGCATGCCACGGGATATTTCGGTTGATCGGTTCCTGCCTTAGCGTTGCGGCTGCATGCAGCCGACCTTCTAAACACCACAAGGTATTCTTGGCATTTGCTGTATAAATTCTACACGACTGCTTGCTGCCCAAACCTGCCGGCACACTGTTCGCATCTCTTCTGCCCGTCAGCTTCGTCTACTCTCGATACGACACACACACACACCCAAGCAACTTCAATTGGTACCTGGTGGTGGGAAGCAGCGGGATTTTGTCTGACGAGACGGGCGTGCAGCGTTGCTTAAACTTGCTTTCACTTTTCAGGAGAAGCGGATCGCCAGGGTTCGGCATCCCTTTGCCTGTGAAACATAGTTCTACATCTCCACCCACCAAAGCCACGATCCCCTCACTTCCCATAGGCTCCCAAACCGATAAGGAGGCCGCCCTTGACTCGAAACAGCAACCTGGAACTGTGTCCCGTGATTTCGTGGCAATATCGGGTTTCTGCCAGCCAGTCAGAAAGAGTCTCCTCCTGCACGCAATCGACGCGAGCCATTCACGTCGACTCGTGACTCTGCCGCGCATGTCGCTTGAGTTCACGCCTGTTGCCTCGTATATGCTAGGGTAATGGGCCTGTATTACTCTCAACGGAGGCTTGATGAGTCCGCGCGGATAGTGTTGCCTAAGCAGCGCCGGGCGCAAGATGCATAAGTACTCCCATGCTCCTCCACCTGGTCACTGCCATTCTGGCTGTCTCACCCTGTTCTACGCTAGTATTCGCATACACTTCCGCCCTTTCATTGCCAGTGAACATGTTCTCTATCAGCAAAAGAGACAAGTCCTACAGAGACAGCTTCTCCCATCGAGCGGGAAAATCGATGAGTAGCAAGAGGCAGAAGTCTTTCAAGGAGTATAGCACATCAAAGCGAATCAGCACCATACAACCGATTGTGCAACAGCAACATCAATCTTCGACTCATTCATCTCCAACCAGGACAGCCAGCTCACCCACATCACCGTACGCAGTGTCGACACATCGTGGAGTCCAAAGGCTGACGCTTTCTAGTAACCTCAACTCCGCGATTGTCACAATAGCGATCGGTCCAGAGCAGCGACTGTTCGCTGCTCACGAAGACATCCTCTGCAAATCGCCAGTCTTCGCTCAACAGATCCGCAAGCAATTCTTCGAGTCAGACGTCAGTGGAAAACGTATCGATATCCCGAACGAAATGCCGGAGGTTTTCTCAGCACTGCTAGAGTACTTGTACAAGGGTGACTACACGCCGAAGCTCGAGTACGATAAGAGTCATCAAACGTGGTTTCTCGACAATGGCGATGCAGCAAGAGGCATGCCAGAGAGCACTGTGTGTACATCCAACAACCATGTCCTTCTCAAAGACACAGTTATCTACGTACGTGCTCCCGGTCATGGATGGATGGCGGGTACACACTAACTGATCTCATAGTGCTCAGCCTATCGCTACGGACTCCCAGACCTCCAACGCCTCGCACTCAAGAAGCAAGGTCTTCAAGCTGGGATCCAGTGCTCCACCATCCTCTCATCGGCTCGCTATGCATACGCCAACACCCCGGCCTCCGATTCCAAGCTACGAGCACACTATCTCGCCCTCATCATCAGAAGCCGAAACACTTTCAAGCGCAGCGGAACCATGCAGATGGAAATGGAAGCTGGAGGCTCGCCCCTCTTCTTCGACCTCTTCGTCGCGATGGGTAAGCCTTATACACCACACTCTTTACCATCATCCTAGCTATCGATAGGAAAACTGACGTTACCAGTCAATCATCTCGACGACATCGCCTCTTCCACTCGCTCTCCGCATACCTAAATCTGCTGCGCACCACCGCTTTCTTCAGCGCCTGACGATCTCATCATCCTCAAGCTGATATCACCTGACTCACGAGGACCGAACAAAACACGACTCCCAACTGTATCGCGTCTTCTTCTTATCATCATCATCCCGCATTCCTGGCTGCCCGCTCGATCGCAGCATCTCGTATCTCATAATACTTACTACCTATTGATACCCCTTTTGTATATTATCATGAAAAAGAAATCTGGAGCAGAGATTTCAATTACTTCTAGCGTGGCGTACGCATATTGCAATAAGTGTGGTGTCGAGAAGCAGAAAACAAGACAAAGGCACAAGCACCCCCCAAAACGACGAAAACCACTGTTGTACTTTTATCATTGTTCTGATTACGATGGCGTTTGGAGGAGTGGAATCAAGAATGCTAAGCTGTGCATGGAGGAGATCAGGATGTCATAATACCTATTTGTTACGCGCGTGGCATTGGAAATGAATGCCAATGCTGAATTCAGCATGCCGCTGATTGGAGTGGAAGGACGTAAACAGCAAACAAGAGTATGTCAAAGAAAAATGTAGGAAATTATCAGAATGAGAATTCATGTCCTTGATGGCATGCAACGATTTTTTTCAATATTTCGTCGCTATCACGGAGGGCGTCTCTTGCTTTTGACCTTCTTGCTAGCAGTCTTGAGTGAGACACATTCCCGCAATACATGTATGCCGACATGGCCATATCATTATTACCTCAGTGAGCGATGCCGTCGCCGTGAATTTCAGGATTTTCAGGCACGCGAGCATGTTCTGCGACCCTTGCCAGTGATCACCAAAGTATACCAGGGGCGACCCAAGTCCAGCTTCAGTAGCGCAGTCGTGACTCATGCGGGAACTGCTAGCGCGGGCGATGTAATGTTGGTACGTGCTGGATGATTCACGGCGAGGACCCCGATCTATGGACCAGACCGTATGCTATGCATAACGCATGTTGCATTCCTTCCAGCGAGGTGGCGACACTTGATGCGGATCGCAAGGCTGGCATCCCGGCTTCTCAATGATAGCACTGGTTGGCAACTGTATTAGGCAGTGGTCATACTCCTGTGCCTGGGAAGGCACCATTCTTGCCCAGCACGACAATACGTCGTTCTCTTGCGATATAGCCTTTCATTAGGTTCTGCAATGCATGTTAGCTAGGGCTGTTCTGCTGCGTCCCATAGCCCAGGAAGGGAGATGGGCGCAGGCGCCGAAAGTAGCCAGAAGAGCAAGGACCAATACACGGACATACCTTGTATATGGCGTTCGCAATCAAGCACTCGACCTCGTCGTAGTCAAATCCTTGGTCGCCATTGGTCACCTCTGCGCCCGCCATTTGCAGTGCAGCTGCAAATTCGTCCAAGGGCACTCTCGACCTCCGCAATGGTGGTGCCGTCTCGCCCTCCTTCGGTGGCTCATAACCACCGGCTAAAAAGACTTTCCGGAATATGTTGCGCAGTATGACATCGCGCCCACGCTCGAGAGTGAGATAGATGCGGCGCTTCACAAATTCTTCCTCGCCATTCTCGAGGGCCGTGTTGAATGCTGCCAAGTCCCCCTTTCGCATAGCTTCGGCAAGAGGTTGAAATAATCTCGCGAGCCCCGGATATTGTGACAGCAGTGCCGCAGAAGGCAGCTTACTGGAAGTCAGTAGCTTTGTCGGTATAAGATATGTCAGGATTAGCTGTATATTCTTTGTTGCTTTGACATGACACAATTGATATGCCTCTTCCAGACAGTCCTGGGCAGCGCTGTAGTCTTCGTCGACGAAGTGAATGACTCCGCGGTAATAGTTGAAAGCGACTTGGTGACTTTTGGGAAACTGGGAAAGAGGCGGCATGTCGGCTTGAGACTGCAGCGACTTCAGAATGTTCTTCGACAAGGATATATGGTTGAGTTTGAAGTGAGTTTTGAACAGCGCAGAGGCGATGTAATAGAGCGCCCACTTGCGTGAGTCCTCAACAGGATTGCTATACTTACCATGAGTCTTTGCTACGACGGCAAACAGCAGTGGCGTTTCTTTGACAGTGAAGTTTGCACGGACGGGAGAGACTTACCGGTCGCCAATGCACAATCCAAAGATTCGATTGATCTGGCGTGCAGCGTCTTCGAGTTTCTCGTTGGCGCTATCCGGGTCATAGGCGTCCTCTTCTGTGATGCCGCCGAAAGTCATGCCGCTCTCTCGCTGGCTGGCGGACTTTTCGTCGGCCTTGATAGCAAATACCCGCAAGTACTTCACACCCACATACAGACAAGGAATGGTCCAGGCCTGCAACGCCTGGTTCGTGTAGCCCTGGTATATGGTGTTGACGACCTTTTTCCATTCATCGTACACCTGAGCCCATTCTGCTTCGTTGGTTCTGCCAACGTTCTGCAGCTCCTCTGCGGCAAGAAGGCTGCCCACGAATTTGTGATAGCAAGTGAGAATGTCAGTCCAGGTACTGGTCTCCTTTTTATCAAGGTGAAGCGCAGGGTTGTATTGCAGTTTGTAGCGAATGTCGGTCTGCGCATTCGATGCACTGATGCCATTGCGGAAGTGGTACAGTCGTCCTTGGTCATGCTTAGGTGCTTCGGGTGAGATGCAACCAGCCAAGAGGTAGCCATTTGGACCGGACGGATCCTCGTGGGCGATTGCAAAGTCTTCGAACAGCGTGTCGATGTTGACCATCACGGCGGCTGTTCTCTGCTGCTGTTGTTTGCTGTTGTGTTTCTGTTTGCTTTTCTTTGTCTACTGACTCGCATGTGCAGTGTGTGGATGTACATGTAGGTAAGTTGGTAGATGTGACCAGGAATGTCCGGGTTGTTCTAAGGTAAGGTAGGTGCCAAGATCGGCGGCTGTTTCCGAGCGGGAACTGAGGTGCCCACACTTTTGCGATTTGCGAAAACCTCAGTTCGTCCGTCTTTGTTCAGGTTCACGACGACAATCACTAACCCCGGCAGGAACAGCAACAGTAAGTGCTGGCGTAACAGGCCACCGTGTGCCATGATGTGCTAACATTGTGCAGATGGGTAAGCACTCTTCGACCTCCGCCTCGACTGCGATTGCGCAACGAGCCTCGCCGACTGGATGAAAAGAGACGGGATTGTGCAAAGACCGGAGCAGAATTGCAATGCGCTTGATTGCGCATAGGGCCAGGTACTGTATTCTCTGCACGAGCGAACAGCATTCGTTGCAGCAGAGTCAGTGTCAAAGTGGACTGCACGAGCTGAGATGGTCGAGACGCATTGGATACCACTTCTACCTATTCTGCTGTCAGACAGCGCTGATATTGTTCTCCAACAGTTCAGTCTGCAAGCACCGGCTACAAGGGCCTGGTCGAGTACCAGGTCATTGGCCGTCATCTCCCAAGTGACGCCAACCCAACCCCAAAGCTCTACCGCATGCGTATCTTTGCACCAAACGATGTCGTCGCCAAGTCTCGTTTCTGGTACTTCCTCGCCAAGCTGCGCAAGATCAAGAAGGCCAACGGTGAGATCGTCAGCTTGAACAAGGTGCGTATAGGGAGCAGAGGAACAAGATGGGCAGTGATGTGGAGGATAGCTATTGATACCTGGCGAACAGATCCACGAGAAGCACCCTCTCAAGGTCAAGAACTTTGGTATCTGGATTCGATACGACTCGCGTTCCGGTACCCACAACATGTACAAGGAGTACCGCGAGATGTCCCGCACAGACGCCGTGAAGGCGCTCTACCAGGACATGGCTTCCCGCCACCGTGCTCGCTTCAGGACCATCCACGTACGTTCCAGCTGCAAGCTGCACTCCCGAGCGCATACTGACACTTCACACAGATCCTCAAGGTCGTTGAGGTTGAGAAGACCGACGACCTTCGCCGCCCATACATCAAGCAACTCACCACCAAGAACCTCAAATTCCCTCTGCCTCACCGTGCAGCACCAAAGTCCGGCAAGAAGGTCTTTGCCGCAACCCGTCCAAACACCTTCTACTAGACGTTTCGTGGACATTGTGCATTTGCTGGGATGGATCACGACTGCTTTGGTTGGCAGTCCTTGGCGTTGCTACGGAGGATTACGCTAGCGTATGATCAAAATGAGGCTCACTGCCAAATGCACAGACATTGATGACTTTCTTCCTGTCAGACTCTTCTCTTGTGCGACGTGCTCCCGTTTTGACAAGTTTTCCACTGGTTCACTGTTGAGCATGATTGGTTTATCGACCTGGCTTCATTCCTCAGCCCAAGCAAGTAACAGCACATCTCTGGAAAACTCTCACTGATGCACACAGATGGACCTGACCTTGCTGCCTTTGGACTCAGGAGAAGAGGCGCGCCACTAACTCAATCTGGAGGACATATGCACATGCAACCCGGCCAACCTGTGTAGCAGAACAACATGTACACGAAATTCACAAACAAGAAGGGCACGTGAACTGACTTGAGCATTCTGCAGCATACACAGGTACAAGTATTATTCTATACACTCCGAACTTGCGTCAAACCAGCTTTCCCCTTATCCAGCTCATTCGGAGGCGAGCCACCATCTTCACTCTCGATAGTTTCTGAAACTGCAACACCCATCTTGGCAGCCTCAGTTTCGGTAAAAGTGCCAAAGTAATCGACATCATCAATCTCTTGCAGTCCAACGGGCGGGAAAGCGGTATTGATGCAAAAGTGCACGCTGAAACTCACGGCAAAGCCCAGAGGAAAAGCGAGATAGTACAGATTGGTACATGCTTCCGGCACTTTGATACTCGGAGTCACAGCATGTGCGAAGCCAGGCAAGAGGTAGGACCAACCGATTGCCCACGAGACAAAACTTCGCCAGTTGATGCCATTCCAGAAATAATACAGACCGTCTTTGCCCGGATGGTAGAGATCGGATAATTTGACTCGTCGCTTGCGCAGGATGAAGTAGTCGCAAATCATGATGCCGACCATGGGACCAAGGAAGACGGAGTATGCGGAGAGTACACTGATGAAGGTGCTGGCGGCACTGAGTAATTGCCAGGGACACATTGCAATGCTGAGAATCAGGCCAATGTATGCTCCACGCCGGATGTTGATGAAGGATGGAAATAGACCTGCCATGTCCATGCCGGTGGAGAATGCGTTGTCGATGGTGTTGATGGCCAATTGACAGATGACGAGGCCGCAACCTGCGAAGAAGCCTGCAGCTCGGGATCGAGAGTTGTAGTCGGTATCCAGCCATTTCTGTACCAAATTTGGAGGATTCCTAGTAGTTTGCTGCTGTCAGCTAGCTGTGTGATGGGTGGTCACAAGCTGGGAGGTGTGAAATTACGATGGTCGTAAAAAAAAAGAAAAAGAAAAGAAAAGGAAAGAAAAAAGAAAAAAGAAAACTCACCAAATCGCTTCTCCGTACACTCCCTGTGATGCAGAAGCACTCAGACATCCGAGAGCGGGCATGAGGACACCCAGCACTATAATCGAGAGCCACTGGCCCATGACCTGATCTCCCGGACGCCTCGCGAAACGAGAGTAGTCCATTTGGTTTGTGAGACCGACAGCGATTCCGCCTATGACGGTTGTGACACCGTGGACCATACTCCAGCCCAAGTCCCAATTACTCAGAGCTGTTGCGGGTTGGCTGAGTAGTGGTCCTCCCCCGCCCGCGGTTACCATGATCCAGATGCACATGGAGATCAGAGTCACTGCTGTCACCATGTTCATCCCCGCGACGACCCATTGCATCTTTTCTGGCTTCACGTACAAGATGGGTACCATGAGTACGTTGAAGACCACCCAGCCAATGAACTGTATATCATTCAGTATGGAGACCAGCAGCGACTGATAAGTGAGTTTTTTGGGCAGTATCGAGGAGAAGTGACTGACCTGCTTCGTGTTCATATTCGCCGAGGCGGGAAAGTGGTTTCCCATGTGTTGATATGACGGGAACATGGATGCGAGTATGTTTTGCACGCATAGTCCTCCGGTCCAGCTTTGCACGGAGAACCAGACTAGAGAGAGAAGAATTCTTTGGAAGAGAGCGAGATAATGGCCATACATGCCCCAGATGTAGCGACTGACGACTGGAAACCCAATGTGCCTAGACAAGTTACGTGAGGAGGTCAGTAAGGAATCTTTTCTTTTTCTTTTCTCTTTTCTTTTTCTCTTTTCCAAATCGGAGAGTCCATTCCATTCAATGCTGCATCACAAAATCAAACCCTTCCTCCCACAATCTGTACTTACCACTCAGCACCAACATATCCATTCGCGACGGCCACCATGGCGATAATGAGCTTGCCAATGAAGGTTGCAATTACAGCTTGCCAGACCGAAAGACCTGCGGCGACCAAGGAAGCACCGAGTTGCCAATTCGAAAGACACATTTGATTAATGGCCCAGAAGGAAATGTAGGCCCATCGTGTCCATGTCCGACGATGGGGTGGAAGGGGTCGAATGTCTTCGTTGATCCATACATTGGCTACGCTGCGAGCGTTGGATGGGAGTCTGCAGTAGTCGATGATGGCTTGAAAAGACATGATGATGATGATGATGATGGTGGTGGGAATAGAAGAACAGAAGAAGCAGTCCAGATAGGGATAGAATGTGTATTATGGTCAGTTATCACACATCTTTGCCGTGATAGTATTTTGGCTCTACCTGCCCTGCCTTGCCCTGCTCTACTTTACTACTTACTCCTCCTATGTACCTCTTCCTCTCCCTCACTCTCTCTCTCTCCCCCTCTCTCACTCTCTATATTATTTCATATCAGCAGTTAGATACCACCTACCTATGATATCCCCGTCGCCACGATAGGCATCCCTCCTCCTCAGTCACCACTCAGCAGCAAAACGAATCTGCCGAGAAGAGCAATCAATCAATATGTACTGTAGATTGGCGTTGTCGGTTGGCCGACGGCCGATAAGAAAGCAGAGAAAACAGATGATGTTGTTGGTGAATCCATCGGGATGTCTACTTTTTGCCGTTCCGAAACAAGTTTACTTTGATTGTACATTTGTACAACATCTACCCAACCACGCAGATAACATCATAATCTATCTAGGTGATACGGACAATACGGTACATCTTTCGAAGAGAATGTATCATTTATGATAGGCCACATAATCATATACAGGGTACTCCCCATACTTTACCTTTTACCGGCTGAAGTGAGCTCTCGCTGCGCGCTCGTCCGATTGTACGATTATAGAGACAAGTATCTCGTTGTAGACCTACGCCGAGATCGCGCAAGAGAGCTCACTCGATTATGCAGCAGCAGGCCAGCAAGTAGCTATGGCATGGAATGGCATATCACCAGCAGCACGTGAAGAGATAGATAGGCCCTTTGTCATGCTATTTCTTTTTTTTTTCTTTCTTTTTGCTATATAAAACGCCATGTCTGCGAGTGCTACTGGTTGACTGACTGACCGACTGACTCAAATTCCGAAAAAATGGCTAGTGAAGGCATAAAGAATATTCGCATTGGAGTGGATGTAGGCGGTAAGCTCTTCCTACCACTTACATGTACTACTGAAACGAAAACAAGCTCATATAACAACACGAATAGGCACAAACACCGACGCAGTAGCCATTGACCCTTCGCAGCAATACACTCCCACCCGAGGTATTCTCGCGCACCACAAAACGCCCACAACGCCCGACGTGACAGGAGGAATTGAAGCCGCAGTGAGAAATGTGCTTGAAAAGTCAGCATTGCCTTCAGAAAGAATCGCGAGCGTCACGGTCGGTACGACACACTTTATTAATGCCGTCGTGGAACAAGATGCGAGACGTCTACGCCGAGTGGCCATTATTCGTCTCTCCAAGAGCTTTTTACGAGAGGTTCCACCCTTTTCGGAATTCCCTCCGGGATTGACGAGTATCATCAAAGGATACGTGGGGTATGCGGATGGGGGATTACACATTGATGGCTCCGAGGAAGCGGCTGTGGTAGAGCAGCAAATTGTGGAAAGATGTGAAGAGATCAAGAAACTGGGTTTGACCGCGATTGTCGTGATTGGCGTATTTTCTCCCATCGATGAAGAATTCAAGCAAGAGGATCGGGTCCGCGAAATTGTCCTCAGAGAGATTCCCGGGGCAGATGTGATTGTCTCGCACGAATGTGCGAATATTGGTCTCATGGAGCGGGAGAATGCTGCAATTCTGAATGCTGCGATATTGCGCTATGCCCGGCGGACCGTTCAAGGGTTCAGAAGGGCGATGAAGTCGCTGAAACTGACTTGTCCGTTGTTTCTGACGCAGAATGATGGTACATTACTGGACTCGGTGGCCGCTGCTCAAATACCCATTCGTACCTTTTCTTCCGGCGCGACAAATTCCATGCGAGGCGCCGCATATTTGACAGGTCACGATCTTGCCAAGTCATCAGCCATCGTAGCAGACATCGGCGGTACCACCACTGATGTGGGTGTATTGCTTCCTTCCGGCCTCCCCAGGCAAGCTTCGGCCTATGTCACCGTTGCTGGAGTGCGCGTGAACTATTCCATGCCTTCGTTGCACTCGATAGGCCTCGGAGGCGGCTCCATTGTCAGAGAAGCGGAGGGCAAAGTCACTGTCGGTCCGGAATCTGTCGGTCACTACCTGACGCGCGATGCTCTGGTTTTTGGTGGAAAGGTCATCACTGCCTCAGACATTGCCGTTGCAGCAGGCAAAGCAGAAATTGGCAACGTTTCGGCCGTATCCCATCTGGACAAGGACATGGTCGAGCAAGCTCAACGGAGGATCAAGGCTCTACTCGAGGGAGCAATTGACATTATCAAGACATCGCCAGAACCTCTCCCCGTCCTCCTTGTCGGAGGCGGCGCCGTTTTGGCACCTTCATCTCTCAAGGGTGCTTCGGAACTCAAGCTCCCCATCTATCACGACGTCGCCAACGCTGTAGGCGCGGCAATCTCCAAGGTCGGAGGCATTGTAGATATCATCCAAGGTGTGGCAGATCAGACTCAAACGCAAGCGAACGAGCGTGCCAAGTCAATCGCCATACAGCGGGCAGTGGACGCCGGCGCAATCAAGGACAGCATCATCATTGCCGAAGTCGAAAGCTACCCAGTCAGCTATATGGTATGTACCAGCATTTCAAAGTTGCAACAGCTTCGCCCTTCTAGAGATATATGCTTACCTTACCTTTCACGTGTTACTTTTGCAGGCAAACCAACTTCGCACAGTAGTGAAAGCTGTTGGCGAATTAGACATCAATAAGCAAGCTGCGGTACTGAATGATGACGACGAAAACGAAGAAGATGGGCTTGATTTCGAAACCGAGGTCGATAAGGACTTTGCAGTGAAGATCATGGACGAGCCTCCCGTGGATCCTCGCACTTACAAGCCCACAATAGTCCGAAACGAAAAAGGAGTTTTGGAATGGGACATCACCGAGACTGATGTGAAATACCTGGCAGATGGTAAGTCCTCTCATTTCATGATCCCAGTGAGAGAGCCTGTACCTGGCGAGACGCTCGGATAATCGACCTGTCGAGACAGCTTCATCAGGATCCTCGAGATACCTCCTTGCTGACGTACCTTTTGATAGGATGCTATGTACTCGGATGTGCTGGCGGTGGATCTCCTGAAGCGTCAAGAATTCAGATGAGAGATATGCTCCGTGCTGGGCACAAAATGAGAGTGATTGATGCTTCGTCGCTCGCCGAGAACGCCGTGGTCTACTGGGGAGGGCACATGGGGTCTCCAGCAACATCCAACGAGGGTCTCCAGTCCATCGAGACCGTGCACGCGTTCCATGCTCTGCTCGAGTATCTCGGGCAAGACACCTTCGACGCCGTGATGAGCTTAGAGATCGGAGGCGCCAACGGTCTCGAACCATTCCTTGCTGGTTCGACGCGCTTCTTTGATCGACCCATCATTGATGCGGACTGGATGGGACGTGCCTATCCAACGTACTGGCAAACCACACTTGCCGTCCATGCTCCCGGGGAGCTCGTACCCTGTGCAATCGACTCGGGCGATGGCAAGACCATCCTCATGACCAAAGCCAGCAACGACGAAATCGTCGATCGCGCACTCCGCGCTTCGTGTTCCGAAATGGGCAGCAGAGTAGGCATGGCCTCCAAGCCCACCACGACGGACAAAGTGAAGAAATTCAGCGTGCTCAACACCGTCTCTCTCGCCTGGCGCATCGGTCGTTGCATCGCTCTCGCCGAAGCGACTAATACCCTCTCTACCGTCGCCGAGCAAATTGTCGAGCAAGTCGGCGGAGAGAAGAGCGCCAAAATCCTCTTCCGTGGCAAAATCATCAATGTTGAACGTCGCCTCTTCAAAGGCCACTCCTACGGCACTATCACCATCGCAAGCCTTTCCAGCGACGAAGAAGAAGAGGAAGAGGGCGAGTCCCCACATTCCCCAGCCAAACGTCTACCCGCCGTGAAGTCGTCCGGCACGCTCACTATCCCTTTCAAGAACGAAAACATCTACGCAGAGCACACAGATGATGATGATGAGAAACAACAACAAAATGGCGTGAAAACAACAACCATTCTCGCCTCAGTCCCCGATCTGATTTGCGTACTCGATACCGTGTCCGGAAAGAGTCTGGGCGTGCCAGAATTCAAGTATGGATTCCGTGTGACGGTGCTCGGAATCACGTGTAGTCCTCGTTGGAGTGATACGGAAGCCGGCGTGAGAATTGGAGGTCCGGGAGCGTTTGGATATGATGATATTGAGTACAAGGCCTTGGGCGAATATGTGGAGCCGAAGAGTGTGATTGAGGAATATGCACCACCACTATAATGATAAATATATAGAGAGAGAGAGAGAGAGAGAGAGAGAGAATTGTAGGTATACAACAGTACATGTAGGTACCTGAGATGGGTCGTTTTCGTATTGCATAGTACATACCCGGTAGATACACATGTAGGTACGAGAGAGATCGACAGTGACCACTGCCGCAAAAAGCAGGAGCGAATTGTCTGCCAAGTCGACATCCATCACTAGCATCGACGATACATACCTACATTGTACAGGTAACACGTAGCCACTGCCGATCTGTGGAGGATCACACCAGCACCATGATTGCCTGAAACAGTTTGCTTTTCAATCCTTCATCTTCAGAGAGAAAAGAAAACCCCCACTACCAGCCACGTTGTAGAGAAATCTCCCTCCCAGGAAAGCTGCTATCGCTTACCTACCTTACTTACCGACCGGACAAACATGACAGGTAGTACTACGACGACAACAACAGAAACAACAACGACACAGCGCATCGGGGCCAACGTTCCAGCTCCAGACGGAAATGGCCCCGCTACGCCGAATGATCAAGACTATATTTCCAAGTACGCCGTGGAGCGAGAGAAGAGACTGGGTCGAGGTGGCCTGAAGCAGTATATCGACCCAAAGCAGTCTGCAAAACTGCAGCATTTGCTCATTGATCCGTGGGTGGAAGCTGCCACGCCGGTACAGCAGGTGGTATCCAATGGGGGCCATCGCAAAGCAGTGATTGTTGGTGCTGGGTTTGGGGGCATTCTCTTCGCAGTCCAGCTCATCAAGAAGGGGTTTAAGAAAGAGGATATTGTCATCGTGGATCCAGCCGGGGGCTTTGGTGGAACATGGTACTGGAATCGTGGGTGACCGCATATGCTCCAGTCTGTCCTGCATGCTGATTTCCGGCAGGCTATCCTGGCTTAATGTGCGATGTCGAGGCCTACCTGTACATGCCGCTTTTGGAGGAGATGGACTACATGCCCAAGCACAAGTATGCCTGTGGGGAGGAACTTCGTGCATACGCTGAGAGCATTTGCCACAAGTATGGACTGTACAGCACTGCGATGTTTCAGTCTTCCGTTGACCGAGCCTGCTGGAATCAGGAGACCAATCGTTGGAACCTCGAGCTCACGCAGAGACCCAAAGGATGTCCGGAGTCTAGACTCGATATCAGCACGGATTTTCTCATCCTTGCGAGCGGCATTCTCTCCAATGTCAAAGTGCCGAATACTGCAGGGAGCGAAACGTTTCAAGGCCACATGTTCCATACGGCGCGATGGAACTATGATGTGACAGGTGGGAGCTCAGCACTGCCAGCCATGACCAAGCTCAAGGATAAAAGGGTTGCAATCATCGGGACCGGGGCAACTGCGATACAGGCCGTGCCACAGTTGGCGAAATGGTAAGTCAATTGACAGTCTGAAGGACTGCACTCACTTCCAAGAATAACTCGCCAAACGCGAATCTACTTCGAAACCATCCCCGGTGCAAGGTCTTGCTGAGACACATTCGCGTTCCCAGAGATACTAGCTTACCTTCGACTTCTTTCCTTCTAGGTCAAAGGAACTGTACGTGTTCCAGCGTACGCCGTCAGCCGTTGATGCCAGGAACAACCGAGAGACTGACCCAGAAACCTGGAAGACGAAAGTCGCCACAGGGCCGGGCTGGCAGAGAGCCCGCAACATGAACTACTTTGGTTTTGTGGGAAATGCGCAGTCAAAGCCGGAGATTGACTTGGTGGATGATGGTTGGACCCATGCGCCGTCCTTTAGTGCTTTGGTTGGGGGTCCCTCATACAATGTGAATGTCGACAGCATGGACGCACATGTACGTCAAATGCATGCTCTCGACAGATCACGTGCCGAGAAAGTGCGGAGGCGGGCGGAGCTCATTGTGAAGGATCCTGAAGTCGCAATGAAGTTGCAGGCGTGGTATCCCATCTGGTGCAAACGACCGACCTTTCATGACGACTATCTGCCGTGTTTTAATCAGAACAACGTCACCCTGGTCGACACCGATGGTCGTGGGGTGACTCGTATCACACCCAATGGCGTAGAGTTCGATGGACGAGAGTACCAAGTGGATGTCCTCGTATGGAGCACAGGATTCACGTCGCCAGGCGTGGGAACGGCAGCATCTCGTGCTGATATCAAGCTGACGGGTCGCAATGGCAAATCGCTGGATCAGCACTATCAGGGGGGCATGTCGACCCTGCATGGAGTCATGAGCAGAGAGTTCCCTAATCTCTTCTGGCCCGGGCCGTTCCAAACAGGCGCATCTCCCAACCAAGTGTTCTTGCTGGAGCTTCTCAGTGCTCACGTTGCGTACATGATCGCGGAGGCCACCAGGAGGGTGGGAGGCACACCGCTAATCCAACCGACCAAGGAGGGCGAAGAAGCGTGGGCGGCGAAGTGTATGAGCGGGGCTAGTACATTCGCGGCGCTGTCCAATTGCACGCCTAGCTATCTGAACAAGGAGGGCGAAGCGGGTATGGCATCCCCAGAAGAGCAGGTGAAGGCGGCGAGGCTTGTGCCGTGGAGTCGAGGCATCGCGGACTTCACGCGGGTGATCGAGGCATGGCAGGCTGACGGGAAGCTCGACGGGCTGGAGGTGGCTGCTCAGGCGTGACGTGAGAGCGGCGCGTCATGGAGTGCTGCAGTGGTGAGGGTGAGGTTGAGGGTGAAGAGAGCAGGTCGAAGCTGCTTATGAGAGCAATCAATGGTGTGTGTGCCAAGTCGATGTGATGCACCTATCACATGGGGCTCCACGCAGGAACGAATTTCTCTCTTCGGCCATACCGGGCGGTCGCAATACTTATCGTGCATGGAAAAGATATCAAAGTGGAGGTAGGAGGTATAGCCGTATAGGTCAGATAGGTGGAGGTGGAGGTGAAAGGTGGTAGGATTAGTTGTTAGTGGATGATGAACAAGCGAAGCGAGGAAGACAGACCACGTCGGGTGTTTTTATCCGCGATCGGCCATTTCTGTGCTCCGTGATCGCCACTTTTTTTGTCCTTCGTGTCAGCATGGCCTGCAGTAGACGCGAGACGGATCGGGATAAAGTTGAGGCACAAGACAGCAAAGAGCATCGAAGCACCAATGAAGCACCAATGAAGGCGCATGGCACCTGGTATCACCAACACCTCGACTTCTACCGCCCTGGAGCTTCGACCAAGGAGATTAATGAGATGATTCCACAGAGCACCAGGTGTGCACGGGCGCCCACCATGGGGGAGCTCTATCTGCATGGCGCATCCATGTGGTAGTAGGTACTGTAGGATAAGGAAACGCGATAACACGTCTGTCACGTCCGTACTGCTTATTATCCATCGCCGTCATTATCATCATCATCATCATCATCATTTCTTCCATCGCTCTCGAATGCTATACCGGCAACCATGGACGTCGAAGATGAGAAAAAGACCCCGATCGAGGTGAATGACAGCAACTCACCCCCACGGAAGAGCAGCCTGAGCCACGATGAAGGCGCCACTCTCGAGGTGTTGGGCTACAAGCAGGAACTGCAGCGCAATCGTTCCATGTTCACTCTCTTATTCCAGAGCTTGGCCATCGCTGCAATCCCCTACGGAGAAGGCTCTCCTCTCATATCGGCAATCTATGGTGGTGGACAATTATCCATTTTCGTGGGCTGGCTGGTGGTCCTCGTTCTGGATCAATGTGTCGCTGTTTCACTGGCAGAGCTGGCTTCGAGGTGGCCGACTTCAGGAGGACCGCAGTACTGGGCTTTCCAAGTAGCTCCTCGGTACAAGACGGTGTTCGCATACGTGAGCTTGTGCCAGTCGCAATGCTGTGGCCGGCGTGGCTGACTTGAGCTTCCAGGTCACGGGATGGGTATGGCTGATTGGAAACTGGACAATCACACTGTCAGGTAAAAGAAAAATGACGCGAAGACTGCAATGGAAATAGGGGTGGTAGCTGATTAGAAGGTACTTTACGCAGTCAACTTCGGATTCGCATCCCTCGTTTCGGGAACCATCGCCATGTATCATCCGGACTTTGTCCTGAACGACTGGCAACTCCTCCTGGTGTTTTATGCCATCACGCTGTCGACATTCGTCATTTGCGCCTTCTTCAACCGCTATCTGCCCATGGTCGACACCATTTGTGCTGGATTCACTGCCGTCTCCATCCTGGTCATCCTGATTGCACTCTCGGTGAAGGCTGATGCCGGTCGAAACTCTGCAGCGGTAGCATTGGGCAACTACGATACATCCTTCAGTGGCTGGGGAGGTTTCACCTTCTTCATCGGTCTGCTACCCGCCGCCTATACTTTCAGCGCCATCGGCATGATCTCGTCCATGGCCGAGGAGTGTGCGGATCCCACAGTCAAAGTCCCCAAAGCCATCAGCTTGTGCATTCCTGTTGGTGGTTTCTGGGGTCTCCTCTTCATTCTGCCCATCTGTTTTACGATGCCCGCATTGGAAGACATCATCGAATCCCCAGCTGGACAAGCATTACCCTACATTTTCCACCGAGTGATGGGCAGCCCCGGCGGCGGTCTGGCTCTCATATTCTTGGTCATGGTCATTACAGTCTTCTGCTCCATCAGCATCACCGTCGCGGCCTCTCGCACGACCTGGGCATTTGCACGAGATGATGCCATTCCAGGAGCAAAAATATGGGCCAAAGTTCATCCTGGCCTCGGTGTGCCTGTCTGGTCACTCGTTCTCGTCACCATCGTGCAAATGCTGCTCGGCCTGATCAATCTGGGAAGTACCTCGGCGTTCACGGCATTTGTGTCCGTTGGCGTCCAGGCTCTGGCCTTGAGCTACGCTATACCGATCGCAATCAGCCTCTGGGAAGGGCGCAGGGAGGTTGACAAAGCACGTTGGCGTATGCCCCATGTGGTTGGACTAGCATGCAACACGCTTGCTCTGGTCTGGATCGCTTTCGAGCTTGTGCTATTCAGTATGCCTACAGCATTACCTGTCACAGCAGCAAGTATGAACTACGCAAGTGTGGTCTTGGTCAGCTTTGGTGTCTTTGCTGCTTTGTGGTACGCGGTCCACTCGAGGAACAGCTACACTGGCCCACCTGCTAGCGAGGGTCTTTGAGAGTAGATCAATGAGGTTCGTTCAGTTTCAACTTCTCGGATAGTGAAGATGGCTGGCACATTGTCATAGAGCATGATGTATGCAAGCACGGCACAAGTCCGTTTGAACGAAACGACCATGGGAAGACTCATGGTCCACGAGCGTTTGAAGTGCTGTCAAGACAACAATGTCACCTGTGCAATAAGCATTCTCAGTGAAAATTGACATGAGACCCACTGGGACGGCATCAATATATCTGCAGAACCTCTCACTGGGGGGGAATAGATCATCGAGGTAATTATATGTATAAAGGGTGGCTTCAACTTCGACCTTAAGCCTAAGGTCCAAGAAAAATCCAAAAGTCCATGTTTGATTGAACTAAGCGCTCGATGGGAAATGTGCCCCATGCTGGCTGCATTCGGATAAGATGACCAGATATATCTTTCTTATACCTTAGTATACATGCGCTCGAGCCGGAGCTCGAAATGTTCGCCAACATCGTGGAGCTAGTACCTCCATAGGTAAGGTACCGGTAGGGATGGTTTGCTCTGGTCGCATCACCCCGCTGTAATCATTCGTACGGTATGCTTTGAGCTCGCAGATACACATGTACATGGACTCTCAACGCTGCTCTGGGTTGTGATGAGACGCCTCTTAGCGAGCTTGTGTGAAAAGTTCCAACCAGAGTCGCTCACTGGGTCTGTTTGATCCTGCACTGGCTGTTGATTGTGGATTTCGTGCTCACTCCACAAGTACCTCTCATTACGGACTCGGTCAAAGAGCTCAGCATGGTAGGCTGAGATCTAGTTCCAGTGTGCCCCTCGAGACAGGCCTGCCACTTTGCTTGCAGCAGTCGTCTTTTGTCCAGAGTCGGAGGAAGATCAGAGATGGTAGGATACCTACTCAGAAAGCTGTATAATAGCATAGACGGGCGCTCCGTGGGAAATCTGACAGTGTTACTACTACATCACTTCAAGGCGCGGTCCGCAAGCTGTTATAGTGCTCTCCGAGTCCAAAGCCATGCTTGTAGTATCCCAGCCATATGGTCTTCGCATCCTTACGGTCGGCACCTTCAATCTTCTCGACACGTCCAAAGTCTTGTAGTACGCTGATATTGGTGCCGTAGGTTTTTGCGAGCGCCATGAGCTCCAGCTGGCCACCCCATTCTCCCGTGTCCCGTACTTTGTGCACGTACTCAGTCAGTGGTTCCTCCAAGAACGGCACAAAGTCATCTTGATGCTCCTGGATGTAGTCTGCAGCCTTGGCTCTGACAAGCTTATACGGAGCGACAGCAGGTTGGTCGCCTGGTGCGGAGCCGAGTGGAATGTCCAGTTGCTCGAGCTGGTCTGCAATGGCAGAGTACAGACAGTGTCCGTCTGCGCGAATCTCCTTCTCGACCAGTTTGTGCTCTTTCATCGACTCCAGCATCCGCGTGCGCTCCTGCGTCTTCATGTCAGGCAGATTTGCCGCCTCTTCTGCTGCTTGACGCGCCAGCTCCTCCTGTTCTGCTGCACGCCGTGCCAGTCGGTCTTTTTGACGGTTACGCTTCTTGCCGCCTCCCGCTGCAGTGGTAGGAGTAGAAGCGGTTTCATCGTCTAGAGCGTGTTCTTCGGGCGCATCGGTAGCAGTGGCAGGCTCGTCGTCGTCGTCGTCGATTTGCAGCGTGAGCTTCTCCAGCTCTTCAGCAGACGGCTCAGCACTCGCCGGTGCCTCGCCATGCAGCTCCGCCATCTCTCGCGCCTGGTTGGCCTTCACATCGCGCTCCAGCTGGTCGCATTCATCGTTCACTGCCTTGCGAGTCTTCTTGCTCGCTTGCTTCTTCTTCTGCGTGATGCGACTCTGCAGATCGCGCAGCTCCTTCTTATGCCGCGCCTGCAACTCTTCCATCACGCAGCCTCTCTATTGTCTGCACATGTGAACGGTCTTTCGTCGATGTCTTACTGCTTTACCTTACTTCCTGCAACTGAGGTGGAGACGACGCTCCGGCGCCGGATGTGCGCTAGAAGTGTGCTATATATTCTAGACCACTCGAAAGTCGGAGCCGTACTGTCCTCTGCTATACTGCACAATGAGCCCTTGGTACATGTATCAATCGGAACGCAAGCTCAATACTACTGTGCAGAGGTAGGAGGTACTACAAACCTGTGATGCTGTCGAAAACCGATGAGAGGAGAGACGGCATCGCCAGCTGCAGCAGCAGCAAATCTTGCGATACGGGCTCTAACATTGCTATAGAATGATAACAAGCGTGGTATGTCTGAGTCAGGAGAATGTTTACCGTCCGCAGTACCACCTAGATCTAGTCTAAAACCGCCGTGGCGCATGCTATATTATACATGCGTTGTCAAGCTTTAGCTTTTGACAATTTACCAGAAGATGCGATGACAGTAACGGTGCTGCATATTTTTCTGTATCAGGCTGTCTAGATTTAGCACAACATACATAGAACTAGGAGGTGGTTGAGAGACAGAGTCAGCCTAGTGGTATGCAGCAGAAATCGGGAGATCTCGCCAAGAGTGTTTCAGGGTGCGTACGGATGGGCATAGGAGGTAGCAGTGAAGGCAATGCCTTACCATAGTGGAGGAACATGTAATGGAGTCGGAGTTCCCATGAGGGTGATAACACAAGAGTGAGGTGATGATAGGTAAGGTATGTTCATGCAGTAAGGTGTGCATCGTTCTTTCGTATCAGTAATATGCTGTATCTATAATTACCCCAATATAGGGACTTGTCTAATCGCTTGTACAATGTACAGATGTCGTAAAAAGATCGTGAGAATGCTTTTACCATGTAAACCTCATCAGACCTGGGTTGAGTGCCACAGGTAATAAGAAATGCCCAGCCACAACAGTGCAGAGGGGGAAAATCGCAATGAACTGATCAATCTTCCAAAAGTAAGGCACACCGATTGCCAGCACAATCATCATTGCGATGCAACCGAAGCAGAAGATGAAGGTGCCCTTGAACTTCTTGATGACATTTGGCACTTCTGCGAAGAAAGTCGTGTCCGTTGCTTCTTTGCTCGTGGCTCCCCATGACATGTCAACGCTGAACAAGTGCGATAGCAGAGCCTGCGAGACGTGCAGAGAGACACCGCCAAGGAAGATCATGAGAAGTGGTACCCAGGAGAAGTTCTCGATAATCGCGCGGAATAGAGTCGCTTCCCCAGTGCGGTACCTCAGGACAGCAAGGGAGACATTGCCAAGACCGGAGAAAATGACGACAATGGCGATCCAGATCTTCCATGACGAGAGATAGTAGTGATCCAGTGCGCCGTTGTACCATCCAATCAGGAAGTAGTTGGCAAGTGTCAAGACCCAAGCAGTTCCAAGCGCGAAGTAAGTACCAACATATGCCATGATCGTGAACTTGGATGCGAGGGGCATGCCAGAAGCAATGAAGCGGCGGAAGAGTTTTGTGAATGGTCCACGAGTGAGCCAGTAGCGGAAGGGCTGGAAGATCAACTCGGAACAGCCGTAAGCATACTTCTCCCAACGTGCCAGTTCATCGTACACTGTCAAAGAAACACCTTCCTTGAAGCCATCGCCCTGGTAAGCACCGAGACGGACGAGGTAGCCAGCAGTTTGAAGACGGAGAGCCATGTCGAAATCTTCGGACACAGTATCTTCGGACCAGAACTTCTCGCGGTCATCACCAAAGTAGCAATCATAGCCAATAGATTGAACGGCAGACCAACGAAGGACGGCGTTGTGTCCGACGAACGGCGCGACATCACCGTTGGCGACAGCGAAACGGATGGCAGTGTAGATCAAATTAGTGAAGAACGTAATTCCCCTCTCGAAGTAGGAGTCGGTCACGTTCATGACACCGGAAGAGTACTGAATGATGGCGACCTGTGGCGATGCCTCCATCTCCGAGACGGCGTCCAAGAAGCAGTCGCTGGGCACACGAGTGTCCGAATCGATGATCAGGATATAATCACCCATGCGGATGTTTCCATCAGCCCAGGTTCGGCCTTGGTCTTCTTCGACGACCTCGGAAAGCGCCTCGCGGTATGCATTGGCCTCATCCTCTTGGTTCCAGCCTTGACGACGTTCCACAACAGCAAGCTTGTCTTCGACACGGTTGCTGACCCACATGGCGTAGTTCATGTTGGAAGCCTTCTTGAACTTTCCGCGGCGGAGGAAGACCTCCTCGCCCTCAGCGGGTTTGGGGGTATGTTTTGGTCGAGCAACCCAGCCGATGTTGTGCTCATCATAGTAGTCCTGGCGAGCGCGGGCGTCGTCTTCGCTGATAAGCTGCATACCATCATCGTTGATGAAGATGTTAGCAGTGCCGCCTTGCATCTCATATGTAGATATCGCGTTCTTGATGGAAGCAATGGTCGGTTCGATGACAGCCTTGAGACCTTCCTTGTAGACAGGCATCTGAATCGTCATGTGCGGGAGACCATTTTCGCCGCGTCGGAGACGCTTGGGCTTCAGACCGGAGTAGTATTTGGTATTGGCAGACATTTGCGAGATGGGTCCAATGAGCTGTGCCAGGTTGCCAATCACCGATTGGAAGAAAAACAAACCAACCCAGAATTGCAATGGGAGCACAACGATCAAGGCCATGCGGATGTAAGACTTGTCGACTGCGGTCTGAATCGCGAGCTGTCTGACACCAAGACCAAGACAGAGGATGGACAGTGCTAGAGTGGCAGCACATAGGATAGCTTGCCACAGCACGATGCTCCTGGGCTTCTCCGAACCGTTGGCCTCCAGATCTGCACCGCTTTCAGAGCCATCTACTTCGTTCACAGCGACGCTGCCTTCTTTCTTCTCGTCGATGGAAGAGTTGTCGTCCCAAATCATCTCCATGAGTGACTTTTCGATCTTGTGAGCGCGATCAAGCAGGTGACGAGGCTCGTCGTCCCAGACGACCAAAAGACCGCGGTCTGCAATGAAAGCAGCGAACTGATGTTTTTGGCAACGAGGAAGGTAGGAGATGTCCGGGAGGACTTGGAGTCGGAGACCGTTCTTCAACGGAACGTACGATCGATCGTTGTTGTGAAGGAAGAGCTTGATGACTCTCGTGTTGACAGTCATGGCTACCTGTGAGGCAGGTTAGATCGTGCTTGCGTGCCTCTAGATATCAATAGCTTGCAAGAACTCACCCTGACGTTGAGAGTCTCAATGGCTTTTGCAAAGCCATATGGCTCCTCGACGATGTCAGCAGGACAGCAGGCGTACTGTCCTCTTGACTTTTTGAGGACAACACCCTCGTCCACTCCCCCTGCAGTCCAGAGACGCTCCATTTGCTGTTGGTAAAGCCAGTTGACCATGACATCGCACTTGATCTCATTGATATCCTCGGCTTGTGAGTTGCGGAAATCGCCCACTGGGTACAGTGATGCTGGTCGTGACCATGATGCTGGAGTAGCGTTGCCTGGCGTTGGCGCAGCTGTGCTGACCATACTTTGTGACGGGAATGGCTTCTCGGTCATCTCTTCCTGGACCGGCGGCTTTGCTTCTGCGTTGCCCTTCTTGGGCTTGACGTACGATAGGAGACCCATCGTTAGGGAACGTTATCAGCAAAGCTGAAGCGTCCTTGTGGTGGAATAGAATCGACAATAGCTCGAAATGTATATGATGGAGTCGATGCTGTGTTGGTTTCGACAATTTGTATGTGGTGAAGGGTGATACACAGGTGGACTGCGAACACCTGCAGAGCGAATGAGAATGTAGGCAAGTGCCTATAGTCCGGAATATGAGACGAGCGGACAAGTGAAGAGCGAAGTAACCATGGATTTGGGGACGAAGAAGGCAGTATATCAAGACCCATGGCGTCTGATCTCCCAGCTATCTGGCAGCCCGCCAAAACCTACTTTGCAGTTGAGCCCGAGCGCAACTCCTGCCTCGTGAAAATCTGGACCGCCACGATTTCATAGCGTGGAGGTAGGTTTCTGTCGCCGGCGGGAGTCGAGAAGCAAGCCATCTTCCCAAATCCCAGGATTACTGACTCGGATCTGTTTCTGGCGTGGTCCAAACAAACTAGGCCTGATCAGTAAGAAGTCGTGCATACGAACCACGATGCCAAATAAGGTTGCTGGCACCTTACTCACTGCCGAGCAGACCAGCGTAGTAAGAGAATTTGCTAGACTGTATTTGGCTCTTGAGTTCGGCAGCCAAAAACTCAAATACTCCTCTGCAGTCAAATCATTATTACCACTGTGCTGCCATACCGCGACGCCAAGCTCCGATATTATTACGTTGAACAGCACACTGAAGCAGTGGGCCCATAAGTCCAGTTGTAGCATGAAGGAATCGACTGCGTTTGCCGCTACTGCACCACAATAGGTCTCAACTGCACACTGTAGTCTGTGATCCTATAATGCCGCCCGTTGCAAGACTCTGCGCGTTGCCAAGAGGCATCGATCGCTAAGACATGGCGTTGTATCGATGAGCGGTGATAGCAGAAGAGTCGAGTTATTCATCATCGCTAAACTCGAGTCCAGAGCACGAGGAGATCGTCAGTCCTGGAAGCGATGCAATACAGCGCAAGCTCATGAACGCCATTCACCATGCGGGCTGTGCCAACTACTACACCAAATGACTGCGCGGCGATCTGTGATGAGAACTGCCTCCAGCGAGCCGTTCCCAACCCGCCAAGATGGATTGTGTTCTGCCAACTACCTGCAGCTGTGCTGGATATGTGTAAAATTTTGAAGCCCTAGAGGTGCGTTCACTGTGCATATCGGTAGTCTCCATGCGGCACGAGTCTACTCTTTCGAGCGCTCGGCTCGAGAGCCAGTTGGTCTTTCCATCTTAGCTTCGAGACGAAGGTCCGATTTGGGTCGGCTTGCCAGCTCGCGGAGACCGACTACCAGGTGCTGAGATGCATGCTCCGAAACGAGTCGAAGCTTAATCCGAGCATTCACGCAAGTGGTCGGCGCTTTTGTGCAGCACGCTTGCTCAAGATAGCAGCGGCGGTCTCCATTGTATCTAACGGTCGATCGGTCATCGTAATGCAGTTCATGTGAAAACTGCAGCAGTCGTTTGCAGCATCGTAGCCATTGCTATCTGGGATTCTTCTTGAGTGCGGAAACGCAGCGTGATGGGCGAGGTTGGCGGCGCGCCGAGTGGGCCGCCTTTGGGGAGTGCTTTTGTCACAGCAAAGGCCGGGATGATGCAGGTCGTCATTGTGGAGGTTGGTGCCATACGGTTCTGTAATGCTGCTGCGCGTGTTTCTGCTGTCGGCGCGGTCGTGAGGCGTGTCGTCGCAAAAGCGTCCGGCAGCCTCGTTCCTCCCGCCCGTCCTGGAGGTTTGTTTGCAATTGCAACCGTGTGTGCCAAGACACCAACCTCCGACTCTCCGAGAGTTCGCGTCAGTCCCGTCTTGCACCTAGTGCCACCTACATGTAGAGAGGTACATGTACCAGACAGACTTTTTCCAGGTTTCAATGTTCAACGCCTCCAGCTGAGACACACAACGCACCGGCTGTCAGGAACTTCCGCACCTTGGTCAGTCGCCAGCGCCACTGCTGTCTCGGAAGAAACATTTCAGCGGTGCTGCATTTCACATCACACTCTGCTGGCGTGCGTTGTCCAGGCCAGAATCCGCTTGCAAATCCAGGCGACAAGAGCCAATTCCAGTAGAGCCGAATACCTATACACACGGGCATGATTACATGTATCTCCTAACTCTTACCTTCGAAGGCTGCGATGGTCCCGACGGTATCTAGTCGTCATTGCGCCCACTTCGCGCTACTCTCGCGCGTCAGGTCCCAAGTCTTCACGACCGGTACTGCCGCTGGAACTAGTATTCGGGTCAAGCTTAGCCCTGCCGTAGGAGGTAGCATCTTCACGATGTCAATCTCACAGCAAGATGCAATCTCGATGCTACCTCCTACGTGTTTCCAAAGGGTGTAAGAGTCGGAGCAATTCTGTAGATGCTTGGCACGCAAGAGGCTGCTGCGTCCGACTCCTGTGTTGCTAGCACACTTCGATCACCTCTCTATGCTCTCCCTCCTCTCCGAAGATGACCGAGCAAACTAAGACCAAGTTCGCCTGCAATCCTGCCACGATGAGGATCTCTGATCGTCCTGTGAAGAGATTTTTAGAAGAGGCAAGCGCGGCAGACAAGCGATGATACTAGGTAAGGTACCTATCGTGTTATCAGCATTAGTACGTGCATCCTCCGAAGCTTCTATTCCGGCATACCTCCTACCGCCACAACCGTGTCTATCGAACTCAAATGTTGAGGGTTGTGCTGCTCTGAAGCCTCGCCTCGTGCTTCATGGCCTTTGGCAAAGATTAAACACTACCTTACATGCAGATGATATTGTCGAACAGATCCTGGTACCTGACCAGATCTGCCACCTCACGTTGAGCCCCACGTGCTGGCATCTCAGATTCTTAACAGCATGTGATAATGTCTGCATCGTAGCTTTCTTGCTACCTTGACGGCACTAATGGTATCTTTGCCCATTGCTGTCGGCTTTACAATGAGCCGACTGGATCTAACCTTAGGTACGCTGCTGCCACCACAGAATACTGCCGACTTAGTGCACCCCTTGTGCTGGAATTGTGCGGACAGCAATATAGGGCAGGTGGCGTTCAACCGTTGGCATCGTGAAGGTTGCAGGGATATGCTAGCGATCAGCTCCTATATCTCGACCGGGCTTGTCCTTGCAGAAGATGGCGGTCTCGCGGCACAACGTGATCTTAATACAGCCACGGCACGTGCATTTTTCCGGACCCTTCTCCTAAACCAACATTACACCGACCAGGTGGCTCGCGATGCGTTCTCCAATATCCGATATCTGATATATCGAGTGCTAATGCGGTGATAGAAGTGGAAGCTGCCATGCTATCACATCACCGCATACACAGCCTCCAAGCTTTTGGAATGCTTCTAGAGTGTCTCGCCACCAGACATCGCCCCATACGTTTGCGAACCAGCGGATTGCATGCCCTCGTGGTCGTTTGGAAATCTACTTTACCCTAGTATTGCATAGCCAGACGAAGCACTTAGCGATCCGATCAGCTCGTAAAGCACAGTCACTACTTAGCAGATTACTCATCCCTCACGTTGTTTCGTCATCTTGTCTGCTACATTCACAGAAATTCGTACAGAGCCGCCGACTTGCTATCGCCAAAGAAGACCTTCCAACATTTGGCTGCATGCTGAGAGTCTAGAGATGAGGTGCTAGTTCAATGGCAGGACACCGAACGCCCGGAAACTCATGAACGGCATGGTCACATTTAAACTCCAAATTCCCAATCAGGACATCGCCATCATAAGTTTGGCATCGTCAAGAACTCCGCCGATGTCTTCGACGTTACTTTCATAACTTATGTCAAAGAGTCATGCTAGAGTCAGTCGGCAAGCCTGGAAGGTGTTAGCGAAAGGAAATAACCACCGGTGAACTCAGAAGCGACGCCATCGTCCGCACTTGGGTCAACATACCTGTAAGACACCACAGTATCAACTCGATGGTTCTGTGTCGAGAAACTTCTCAGCATCACTTTCTCCGCATTCTTCACCTCCTTCGCGTCCGAATCACCCCATTCTAGCGGCACCTCACTGTCCGCATCTGCATAGACTAGGACGTTAAAAGTGCAGTTTCCGTCCAGCATCGGTAAGAAAGACACAGATGCGGTAATCTGTCTGAACAAAGCTTGAATCTCGGACTGAATCTCGGCCTCAGTCTTCTCGGGTCGAGCAGCTTTGCTATCCACAGCAGGCGCCGAGTTCTCTTTATCGCGTGCTGAAGATCGAGAGTTACTCTTGCTGTCGTCGTTGAAAATATTGACATCGAACTGCCATCTCTCGACGTGTTCGCCGGTTTCCTTGGATGTGACCACGATGACAAGTTTGGAGATCTTGGATTTTTGGACCCATTTGCTGAGTTGGGACATGATTTTCTTGATGTATGCTTTGACTTGATCGTCTAGCGTGACCATCATATTGAGGCCGTATTTCTTGACGCTACAACTATATCAGCGAGATTTCCCTGTCCCAGATCGTGATACCGCGCACGCTGTGAAGTCCTCAGGAGGGTAGACGCCCCGCTGGAACAAAATTGTGTTCGTGGCATATTCGAAGAACTCGGTAACCAGTTTCGAGCTGCCTTTGAGCGAGAGCTTGTGTGTTTTCGCGTCTTCGGACGTCTTTGACGATGAAGCTTTCTTCGTCGACGGTTCTCGTGCGGTGGACGGCATGTTGATCGTGTTCTGTGTGGATGCGGCGTGGTGATGTCCGGGCTCGTGAAGATGGCACGCTTTGTTTATATAGTGATGGCGGGCAGGCAGTCGCGAGGGACAACGTGCCAAGACCGGAGGTTCTCAAGTGTCCTCAGCTGTCACCGTCACCAGCAGCAAACAATGGTGGCATCCGATCGCAGTCGATAGTCTCACCACTCATGCGACAATGGTTCCTGGCGACTAGAGGAATCGCCGGCGCGTGTCGCTCAGCAACCCTCAGCGCCGCACGGTATGCGGGAGCTGGACCAAGAGCTGGGAATGGAGCAGGCCAGCGCAGGGCGGCGCACTCGCTCCACGATCCTGTCGCGGTCGAGCAGCGCATTGCGAAGATACCCATTGAGCGCTTCCGCAACTTCTGCATCGTCGCACACGTCGACCATGGCAAGAGCACGCTCAGCGACCGCCTCCTCGAGTTGACCGGCACCATCCCCACCGGCGGCAACAAGCAGATCCTCGACAAGCTGGACGTCGAACGCGAGCGAGGCATCACCGTCAAGGCGCAGACGTGCTCCATGATCTACCGCCACCACGACGGCCTCGAGTACCTGCTGCATCTCGTTGACACCCCGGGCCACGTGGACTTTCGCGCCGAGGTCAGCAGGAGCTATGCCAGTTGTGGCGGCGCGCTTCTGCTGGTCGACGCCTCGCAGGGCATCCAGGCACAGACGGTGGCCAACTTCTATCTCGCCTTTGCGCAGGACCTGACGCTGGTGCCGGTGCTGAACAAAGTCGATTTGCCGACCGCCGACACGCAGCGCACCATCGAGCAGCTCCGGGACACCTTCGAACTGGATTCTTCCAACGCCATCATGGTCTCTGCAAAGACGGGATTGAACGTAGCAAAGCTGTTGCCGCAGATTGTAACGGACATACCTGCACCCGTAGGTGACGAGAACGGTCCACTCAAATTGCTGCTCATTGACAGTTGGTACGACAACTACAAGGGCGTCATTCTGCTGGTACGCATATTCGAGGGCAAGGTCAAATCCGGGGATCGATTGGTCTCGTATGTCACTGGACTGGAGTACATTGCAGGTGAGGTCGGCATAATGTACCCACTCGAGATGCCTCAACAGTGTCTGCGCGCGGGCCAATTGGGTTACATTTACATGAACCCAGGCATGAAGCGAAGTAAAGAGGCGAAGATTGGCGACACATATACCACGGTTGCATATAAGAAGTGGGATGTGGTCAAGCCGCTGCCCGGCTTTGTCGAGCCGAAGCCTATGGTGTTCGTGGCAGCCTTTCCTACGGATCAGGGAGACTATGCACATCTGGAGGACAGCATCAACCAGGTCACGCTCAATGATCGCTCAGTTACGGTCATGAAGGAGAGCAGCGAGGCACTCGGAGCAGGCTGGCGTCTCGGCTTCCTGGGCACTTTGCACTGCTCGGTGTTCGAAGATCGTCTGAGGCAAGAACATGGTGCAAACATCATCATCACGCCGCCTTCAGTGCCGTTCAAAGTCATTCGTCGGGATGGAAAAGAAGAAATCATCACAAATCCCAATCACTTTCCAGAGAACCAAGAAGTACATCAGACTGTTGCGGAGCTGCAAGAGCCATATGTCGAGACCACGATCACCTTTCCTCAAGACTACCTGGGCGAGATTATCAAGCTCTGTGAGGCAAATCGAGGCGAGCAGCAGTCCCTTAGTTTCTTCACCTCCACGCAGGTCATCTTGAAATACCTTCTGCCCCTGGAGCGGTTGGTTGACGACTTCTTTGGGAAGCTCAAGTCCGCCACGAAAGGTTATGCATCACTCGACTATGAAGATGCTGGGTACCGACAGTCCAACATTATCAAGCTTCAGCTCCATGTCAATAAAGTGCCTGTGGATGCTGTCGCTAGGGTTATCCATTACTCCGAAGCTGAGAGACTTGGTAAAGCTTGGGTCACGAAGTTCAAGGAACACGTTGATCGACAAATGTTTGAGGTCGTCATACAAGCTGTTGCTGGCAAGAGAGTCGTGGCGCGCGAGACCATCAAGCCCTTCCGGAAAGATGTGTTACAAAAACTGCACGCTGCTGATGTCAGCCGAAGACGCAAACTATTAGAGAAGCAGAAGGAGGGCCGACGCAAACTGAGAGCTGTCGGCAACGTTGCCATTGACAACAAAGCTTTTCAGAGCTTTCTGGCTAAGTAAGCAGCTCGTTCTCGTATAAAAATCAGATGCTCTCAATTGCCATGCATGCTCTTGGGTCACAAAGGTCATTGTTGCGACATGTCCTCTCGAAGATCAACGATCAACGATGAACTCATCCGATGAATCGTGGTCCAGGTTTCCGCTGCTGTCCTTTCCCCACACGCCCACAGAACTTACCAAGATACCATTAAGACCGGCAAACCATCATGGAGTATCCAGGTGGACGGGTATAACTCGCTATAAGCCAACAGAATGCGCTCACCATCCGTCATGCCGTCGACCTACTGACTGGCGCAGGGTCCTCCCAAGTTCCGCGGTACCAAGAGACAAATTGTCGGGTGCCCCAGCTGCCCGGCATGTCAGAGAACTCAGACATTGTCTCGGATCATCCACCGCACAGGATTCGATGGAAATATTCCGTACTCTTGAGACTAGTCATATCTTATTAGATATTCGTGATCTGCGAGAAAAAAAAAAGAAAAAAAAACTTCCTTGGCCCCGCAGTGACTGAGATGTCTCGGTCGTTCCATATATATTCTTTTTCATGTTCAAGGGCTAGAACCCAGCCCGATGTTTTTTTGGAATTGTCTCAATAATTTGCCTTTTTCCTTAATTTCCACCCAATCCTTTGCTTCCGACAGAAGTGTGTCAATCCATATCATGTCTCATGTCGTATAGGTAGGCGTATACTCTCGTTCCCCTATAGCGGCAGGCGACGGCCCCGCTTGGCACGCAGCACAACCGCATGGCTTGTCGTCATGGCTTCCACTCGACGATTGCCATGCAGTGATGAGCGTCGAAAGGTACATTTACATGTACATGTGATTGGTACCTTCTACCTTACCTCCTAAGTTTTCAGGAGGGAGCTGACATCGTGGACATATACGAATGATGACATAATATCTTACTAAGCGAGTGCCAAGCTTGATCAGTGATCAAATGTCCGGAGAGAGGAGGTCTGGTCTGGTCAGAAAAGAGTGACGAGGGAGCAGTATGGCAATACAATCAGTGAAAGACAACGAATTGCTAGTACATTAATGTGCTTTTCCTTCGGTAGGCTGTTCGCCATCAAGCGTCGACATCGGTTTGCCCGCCAAACCTCACACATGTGTGGAGCGCGATGCAGTCAAATGGTGCATGGGCCCATGTGTTATTTGCGCGCTGGATTGACGCAGCTGTTTACAACAAGAAAAAGGGACTGGATGACCAAGACATTCATTCATTACTCATATGCTAATAAACATTCATGCCTACCAACGCCTCGCTTGCTGAAACGCTCCAATTCTAATCCAAGTGAATTATAATGACCAGTCGATATCATGGCTTTGCTTTGCGCAATGCTCCAACTATTGCCGTGGAAATTTCTGGTTCTACGCGAACACTCACGACGCGGCTGGTGTCGCAGCCGACTCCTGAGTCGTCTTCAGTCGTTTCGCTTCACTGTCCATGCTCTCATCTGCTGTGCGCTTGGCGCCAGCGGAAGGAGACTTTTCGTAAGGAGTCGTCTCCAGTGCAGAGTTGGCATCAGGTGCCTGGTTCGCAGACAAAATTTTGGGTCGTTTCGCTGCTTGGTCCTCATCGCTATGATCAGCCACACGCTTCACACCCGCCGGGGGAGGCCTGACGTCTGTCAATGCCCCTTGGTTCGCATCGTTCCGGTCCATACTTTGAGCTTGGAAGCCATTCACACGCGGCAACGCAGGTGATATTACATTCGAACCAGTCTGTGCAAGCTTTTGGTCAGGCTTGCACTGCTGAGGCGGAACCGGAGAGGACAGCTGGGCAAGTGGCGCTGGTCCACTCGGGCTCGAAACATGCTGCTGTGGTTTTGTGGCGCCACCTACAACATTCGGCGTGGGCCTTTGAAGTGGGCCGAGCTGTGCTCTTGCTTGCGGCGCGGGAGCATGCGCCTGGATGGTCGGACCTGGTTGGTGCGCAGGTACAACAGGAGGCGGCGAAATGCCCGCGTTGGTTGTTTGCTGCGGTCGTTGTACCGGAGGCGGTCTAGGAAGGGATGCTGAGCTGGGCGACGCAACCCGATTCGTCTGCTGCTGCCCATTCTGCGACGAAGATATTGAAGGAGCAGCGGAAGGCTGAAATCTGGGAGCTCCGCCAGCTGCTGACGATGTGCCCGTCTGCGAGCCAGTGGCAAGAGGCCGTGGAGGGGCTACTTGCATCGGTGTTGGAGCAGTCTGAGGCTGAGATTGGGTCGCTGCACCAGCTACTGGTATTATACTCGCATTCTGCATGCTGGCAGTAGATACAGGTCGGGTCGCAGTCGGCTGTATATTCGACGGACCTGGCCCTGACGTTGGAGGCTTCGGCTGTATGCCCGACATGGCGGGAGGCTGCATCTGCTGCGAGAATGGCATCGCAGTGCTGCTGTTGACACCAGGTGCCGCAGTCAAGGGCTGAGAGCTGGTCATATTTTGTGTGGGATGCACTTGTGGTACTGGAGTTGTCGTCGTCCCAGCTATGGCGGGAGCCCCGGAGCCACCCATGACTGCTGCTGGAGCATGACTTGTGACTTTGCCAGGAGCTGCAGGTACAGCATTGGCTGTAGGTGCAGCATTCGGAGCAGGGGTTGGGGCATTACTCTGCGTACCTCTTGTATCGCCCTGCCCATACTGTATGAAAATTTGCTTCATCGTTCTGAAGGGATCCTGCGACTCATCAATTTGTCCCTCAGTTGTGGGCGTGTTGCCAGCGTGCAGCTCAGAATAATGATTCAACGCTTGGTTGAACTGCTCCTCTGCTCTAGCATGTGTGTCCTTACCCACATGTGGTTGCAAAAATTGAGGCTTGTACGCAACGATGGCCTGGACGATAGTCGCAAACGGCTGAGGCGCCGGGGGCTGTTGGGGTGGCATGCGATTGCCATTGGGCGGCTGTGAGCCATAGTGAGTCTGCTGTGGGTATGGTCCGCTTGCAGGCGGTCCACTGGGTGGCGCTTGTGCGCCTCCTGCAGGTCCGGCACCAGGATATGCACCAGGGTTGTAGGGGCTGCTATACATATTATTTGCTTGTTGGTAAGGTACGTTGTATGGCTGAGAGTAGGGAGGTCCGCCACTTCCGCTTTGTGGTGGATGTTGTGGCGGCGGCGTCGCCTGTTTTCGCTTTTTTGGATCCAGCTCATGCTCAAAGTTGATTTTCCAGTATTTGCCTTTGCCACTCTTGCCAGATTCGACGAAGCGTTGACATTGAAGCAAGTTGTGCCTTACGCTACTCTGCCAACCATTGGTGCTTGTACCGTATTTGAAATACGGCCATCGCTTTTGAATCTTATCATAGATGGTCTGCAAGTCTGCTTGGCCATCCAGCGCTGGGTCCTGCAAGATTTCATCAATGATGAAAACATAAGTGATGGTAGGCTTCTTGAGCTGTTCTTCCGTAAAGCTCTCTTGAGCAGGCATGGGCGACGGAGACTTGGCAGGCCGTCTAGGACGAGGACTAGTCGATCGTGCTGCGGATTGCGGAAGGTCGTGCGGACTGTTCGTACCAGCTGGCAGTGACTGGGCTGGCTGGCTAGGAGCGGCTGATGCATACGGCACGCTATAGTTTGGCATGCGGGGGTCCATGTTCTGTATGACCATATCGGGAGTGGCTTCACCCCGGGAAGCGGCCTTTGCGGCAGCATCCTTCTGTCTTTGCTCAACCCGAACCATTTCCAAGAGCTCATTCATAGGTGGTGGTGGCAGATTCTGGCGTTCATACTCTTTGATCTTGCGTTTCACACCTGCATCATCACGCTTCGAGATCAATCCGTTCTTCGGCGGTCGGCCTGGACCTTTGCGCTTTTGTGGTAGTTGCGACGGATCGGCACCAGCAAAGGCAGAGTTTGGATCGAGGTTGATAGGCGCGGGAGGTGACGCTTGGGTAGGAGGTCCTGCCGGAGGTGCCTGCGCGAATTCGACCAGTTGCGCCTCTGTGCTTGGCGCGCTTTGTTGCTCGTCTGCTGCTTTGGTTGTTGCTTTGGAGGCTTCGGCCTCAGTTGGAGGGGGACGTGCGTCTGGTGTCGGCTCTGCTTTAGCGACGGCTTTGGTCGCCTTTGCAGGTGTTTTGCCACCCGTCTTTCCACCAGCCTTCGCCGGCGTTTTGCCTGTCACTTTGTCCTTCTTACCATGAGTATCTGCTATCTTCACTTCCGCATTCTTGCTGGCCTGCTTATTCTTCAATTTCAGCTTCAGTGGCTTGGGTTTCGGTTCCTTATTCTTCGGGACTTTGACTTTGAGCTTCTTCGGTTTGGTTTGCTGTGCCAATGGCACATCCTCCTCAGAAGAATCGGCATCCTCGTCACTCTCAATATCATCAATAGTGTCCGATATCCGTCGTGCTGCAAGGCTGGTTTCAAACTCATCGTCGTCGCATTCGACGCTTTCCATCACGTCGATACCTTCATCTGCGGGTAGCATGAATCTGAAGCTGACGGAGATGATGATGATCTCATCGTCATGACTGAGATCTATGTCGCTTTCGCCTCGGTTGCGAAGTTCGCCGTTGTGCAAGACTCGGTTGCCGATCACGTCCATCACCCAGGATCTCTTGTCTGCATCGTATCGAATGATCAAATGTTCGCGTGAGATCTTTTCAATGTCTTTCGGATCTTGAGGGTGTATTGCCACTTGCGCCCATTCATGCGGATCATGGAGTCTACCCTCTTTGTCCAGATACAGGTCACCTTCCAGCTCGGCTCCTTGCTCAAATTCGTGTAGGCTTCGCGGTGCTATTGAGTGATTGGAAGATGAATTGTGTTTGCTTTTTCGGGCACGATGAACAAGTGGTGGTGAGTCAAAACTGACGAAGTCGTTGTCAGGCTTCACAACATAGGAGACCGGTCCTCCTGCATCACTGTATGCGCTCAAAAGGCCATGAGCAGGCCTCCCCATCAAATCTTCGTCGTCTTCATCATCGCCACCATGCTGTGAGTGATGGCTAGGCTCGCGCGCATAATCATCCAATGTCTGTTGCGCAGCCCGTTGCATCTTCGCTCGCAAGCGTTTCTGCCTCTTGCTTTCGCGATAGACCCGGTAGAATGTCTCATCGCGGGTAATCATGACATTCGTAGACTTGACATAGTAATAGCTATCCGGAAATTTGAGCATCGCGTAGGCTTGATGCACACTAGGTTCTTCTTCAGCGATCGTAGGCGATGCGGTGAAAGCACCTTGAGCGACGGAAGGTGTACTAGGATCTGCCATACTTTCGGTTTCTGGCAATTCTCCATTGGTCGGAGGCCCATCCTGAGATTCATACAGCTCCAGGTTGGCCGGATTACCTGGAGGTACGCTCTCGACTTTGAACACTCCGCAGTCCGGCAAGCTCATGTCCAAAGTGTCGCGGACGCCGCTCTCAATACCATGGTCGACTGTCGGACGCGCTGGGGTGTCCAGTGTGCTGTAATCAAGCTGGCTGCGTTCTAGCTTGGAATCCACCGTCTTCGAGGCGCTTGCAACGCAAGTCTCGTTCGCAGCCGGTGCGTTCATCTGGCCACCCTCGGACTGCCGCACGCCGTCCCCATCACTGGCTATGTTCAGGGAATGGCTGCCAGAGCCCGCTTGTTCTTGAGCACCAGTTCCAGCGCCGTGACCTACAGTGTTCCGAACAGGGGTGGCGAATATGTTTGCTGTGTCAGGCAGGTCCATTTGCTGCATGGCCAAGTGGTTGCTGTTGTCTTTCATTGCTAGCCCATCTGGCAGATATGATGCCGGGGCGGCAAACGCAAGTCCGCTGTCTTCCATCGCCTCTGGTAGCAGTTGAGGACCGGCTGCATTTCGCTATCGCGTCAAGAGCGGAGCAATGGCTTGCAGTCTGCAATTCAAATGGCGGCAGAGGCGCGAACCCGCGGTGGGTGAGCGAGCGAGGAGAGGGCAGGAGACACTCGACGCTCAGTAAGAGGCAGGCACGGGTAGAGTCGGTGGGTCGGACTCGAGACGGCGTCGTCGATGTCCGGTGTGTCGCTAGGGTGCGTCGAGGCCTCCAGGCGGTACTGTGGAGGGCGGAGCAACACAGCAATGAGGTGCCCTATGGTTTGTGCTGCAGGTACAGTGGTGGTGGTGTTTGTCGGTGAACGATGCAGATGTAGATGCAGGTCTTGAGATCCTCCAAGTCCCTCGTCGAGAAGGTGTCGGCCCGTCCCGTGTAAGACGGTCGGAGCGGAGCACAGCGGCCAGGGTCTTTCTCCCTTTCCATCATATATAATCGTAATGTACCAACAAAATTCGCAGAAGCCCAAGCATATACTGATGATGAGTGCACTGTTGTAGCCCTGCCTCGCATATACAGACGTACTGATGATTTGGAGCAGTGGCCTTGCTCATGCTCTGTCTTTGCTAGGGCCGCATTGGCCTCAGGCGGCACAAACGGCGATATTAATTAGAAAATGGCGGGGTGCATATGTGGTCGCATCCTGTTTGGAAAATTTGGTGGACATATTGACGGAAGCTGAATGAAGGTCTCTATATCAACTACGCTTCTTAGCGTAACCAGCTGGCCGACCATCAGGCACAGTCTCCAGCTGTAGAAAGAATGAAAGATCGCGTATGTGGGAATATTGGTGCAACGAGAACAGAACGGAAATTCTGACCAGAGAGTAAGGTAGGTACCTACCTTACCTATGCTATAACATGCTGCTGCTGCACATCCACGCGCGTCGTGGCTGATGGTGAACAGACCAGACCCAGTGCTATGAGAGCGAGCGGCAGGAAGGCACCCAATGAAAATGAGTTCCTAGGACTACAAAGAACTGATGGTATTTCCGACAGCGGCCACGAATGTGCTTTTACTGATGGAAGAACCAAGCTTCGAAAGCTCCACCTGACAATAGGCATCCACGCACCCAGTTTCAAGAGCACGAGCGAAGGTGATACTACTGCGCCCTACGGCAAGATTCGGCAGCCTTCACAACGGCGGGAGGGACAGACATATATATTGTCAGGGTTCACTGGTCTTGCGCGCATGCCTCGCCAAGGACAGGGTCCTCTACGACCAAGATTCACTTTACAGACACACGATCGGACGGGCTGGCCGACGCGTCCACTTCCCACGTCAAGCTTCCCCTCCCTCTCTCCCTTTCCCTCTCTCTTGCCAAATGAATGAATAATGGCGAGAGGTGAGAGGAGAGGAGCTCGTGATCGAAACAACAACCACGCTTTACTTATACCCCCCGTACAAGTCCGACTTGGGGCCACGCAGCAGCTCACATGATCCATAACATACCTCATAAGGCAACCTCTTTCCTGAATGGTGTCATCGGCAGCGACCAGTAGGTACGGTAGGCTTACTCCGCTCTCCCACAGAGAACGTGGGAGTAAGACCGTATTCTTCCGAGTCCCGGCCTCCTCCAGACAAGCTACACTTCTCTTCGGGTCTGCTGGTGGTTAGTCCACGTCTGCATTCTGGAGTGGTGGTGCTACAACATCATCCATCTTCTTCCGCGGAGTCACAACAACCCGTGTGACCACTCCTCGTGCTAACGCTATATAATCATCTCATCTCCTGCGAGCTCACTTCTACCTAACCTACCTACTCTCGCTCCTAGCCCTCATCATCAACCGACTCTCCTCAACGACACCCACAGTAGCAGCAGTAGCAGCAGTAGCTAGCAGCAACAGCAGCAGCAACAGCAGCAATAAATCCAATACAATTTGGCCAACCTAACCCAACCCACTGCCCTTCCCAGCCTCCCCCCCCCACAATGTGCCAATACCGCTACCGCATCTGGTCCTGCGGCTGCGACGAAAAGTTCCTCACCCAACGCTGCTCCTACGCAGACTACAACGGCCACGTCCGACACAAAGACCGGTTTCGCGAAGATATTTACGAAAAGGGGCGTTGTCCACACAATTGCACGCGGCAACCGACGAGAAATGGAGGGAAATTTCAGAGAAAGGCACCCGGGCCGGATATGTTGGATGATGATACTACGGCGTTTATTGTGACTAAGGCGGCGTTGGGGACGTTGAAGCAAATTACGAGGTTTTGAGGTTTTGAGGGAAGGAACGAGGGGAGGAAGGGAAGGAACGAGGGGAGGGAAGGAAGGAAGGGAAGCAAAGGGGAAGGAGGGAGGGAAAAATGAAGGAAGTGACAGGTCAGTTCTATAAGAAACTGTGATCAGAGCTGACGAATCAGGTACTTACCTTACTTTCAGCGAAATCACATGTACACACCTGCCGCCGTTCTGTCTGTGCCCGCCTCGCTCGACAAAATATCCGTCGTCCTCGTCAACCACTTGGAATAGAACAATTCTACTACCTCATGTACCTTACATGACTTGCTTTTGGAACCACACCACGAAAAAGAAGAATTTTAGCTCATCCACTCGTCAGGATTGTTTCGGAATGGAGGGTCGTCGTGATGACTTGACAACATGCGAACGAATTGAGAAGAAGCAGGTTTTTGTACTACCACGGAAAGAGTCTTTCTTTTCGAATCCTACAAATGAAAAAAAAAGAAAAGAAAAAGACAGCTAACGCCACTGAGAAGGAGAGTTGCATAGATTGATTGTGTGCCATGAGACATGGAGTCGAGAAAAGATTCATTCACAGAGGCTTGTTGATGACGAGGGGATGAGAATGTTGTTTGTTATAAGATCTAGAATGCCCAAGTTCTACTCTACACACAAGAGTCACGTGTGTCTCTTCAAAACGAGGCAGTGCAATTAACACGAAATGACTCCATTCTAAGCAGCTCCATTAATCGTAAAGCCACCATCAATGACTAAATTGTGGCCATTGACCAGACTCATACGAGGTGTACTGAGCAAGACGACCACATCTCCCACCTCATCAAAAGAGGCCGATCGACCCTGTCGAGCTTCATAATGAGGCCACGAGTCTGCTGGAATTTTGCCTGCTGCAAGAAATGGCTTGAGAAGGTCTGTCATCACTAGTGGGCGGAGCGAGGGCGAGAGAGGGTTGGGTGTTAGCGAGTACTTCAACAGTTGAAAAAACACTTACGCAAGATGAGGTGAGGTACGTTCACACCACGGTCGGTGATGGAGGCGGAACTTACAAAATCCTGGTGATACGGCATTCACTCTGATATTGTGCTCGCGAGCTTCCAGAGCGGCTGATTTTGTGATGCCTACGACGCCGTGCTTGGCAGCAGTATACGCACCTGTGCCGGCGCTGCCCTGGATCGACATGACAGATGCAGCGTTGACGATGGAGCCCAGTTGTGGCACTCTGCCTTCTTCCCTGTTATGGTGACGAGGCGCATTAATAATGATATTAACAAGGTTAAACAAAAAGAATCATGACTGCAAGCAGCATTGATCACTTTCACACACAACAAATACTTACACGTCGACGGAATTCTGCTGCATCATTTGTTTGAGTTGATGCTTGACACAGAGCCATACTCCCATTAGGTTGACGTCCATGAGGTTTTTCCAAGACTCGAGGGGAGTTTCTGTCGCAGGTGTAACAGGTCCTAGGATGCCAGCAAAGTTTCTATATCATAATGTAGTCAGCGCTGGTTCTGCTCAAGCAGCGATTCCCTCTTTTTTTTTTTCTTTTCTTTTCTATTTATGACTACTGCGGACTCACGCAGCATAGTCGATTCGGCCGAATTCCTTGACAGCCTCAGCAATGGCTCTCTCCACTTGATCCTCTTTGGTCACATCGGCGTGAATGGTAATGCACTGACGTGTGAGTAATCAGCAGATGTGGTGTGATAGGTATTACTACTACTAGATCATGATCATCATGAACGGCTGATCATCATGATCGGCAAGGGGATGGAAGCACATCAGCTGCTGGTCACAACCCACCTTGGTGCCATATTTGGTCACAGCGGCCTTGCCCTGCTCAAACGTCTTCTCGTCCTGGATGTCGACCAGGGCTATACCTTTGGAGCCTTCCCTGGCAAACGAGACAGCTATGGCATTGCCCAGGCCACGAGCACCTCCGGTCACGAAGGCGATGCCTGGAGCGATGGGACCACTGCGAAGTGATGCCATTGTGAGGATGATGATGAGGAGGAGGAGGAGGAGGATGACAAGAAGAAGAAGAAGAAGAAGAAGAAGACGATGATAAAGATATAGTGTGAAGGAAAATGTGAACTTGCCATGGTGAGAACAGAACAGAACAGAACATTGCCCCTCTCCTGCGACCTTACAGCGTGTGACCTCGGTCGGCATTTGCTATACCATACCATGCGCTGGAGGTGGTGGATCCCAGGGCCACAATCATAGGTACAATGTACCTTATTGTCCAAAGAAACACCCCCGACACTCGGCAGTAGCTGGCAACTGCTGGCCGTAAACAACAAGAATGTCGCGGGCTTGGCATTCGCGATGCTTGTCCGTCGTCCGTTTGGAATGCGGGGCGGGGGAGATCCCACCGGACTGACCCCACTCCCCACTATCTCTTATCTGGGGGGTAACGTGACTACGCGAACCTTGCAAGATATTACATGTACTATGTATCTGTGATATCCACCCCCCTCCCCCAGTCGTGTACCTCACATAAGTATAGAAGAATAAACATGAATGTACCAAAGTCGCTTACTTCTTGGTGGCGATGGTGGTGGTGGTACCACCACAACCAGGCCAGGCTTTGTACGGCCTGACCTACTTCTACCCCGCGTCGCGTGATGCCAAAACAAGGGACACAAAGAGAAGGAAAATCAGCTTATGTGATGGATTGATGACGATGTACATGAGACACATCGATGTATTAGTACAGGTAGGTGAGGTACAGTAGGTCACCTCAGGTACATAGTCTACTCCTCTCCCACACAGCATCTCTACCTGTACCTAGTATCCTTCTTGTACAAATCAATCCATCACGCGACATCTACCAGCCATCAAAAAGAAATATCATCAACATCATCACCAACAACAGAAACATCATGTCCAGTCCATCTTCTTCATCTACACCATGGGAAGATCGTCGGGGTATGTTCCAGCGAGGCAAGGATGTCCACGATCCCGCCCGCAGAAGACCTTCACAAGGAGGAGGAGGAGGAGGAGTAGCAGAAGCTGTGCGAAGAGCATCCGTCACGAGCAATAACAGTGACCCATTGGCATCTCCCACCTTGTCGTCGTCATCTACTATGGAAGGTCAGAGACGAAGAGTGAGTTACCTAAAACCTTACCTAAAACCTTACCTCACATTTTGTCCCACTCTCGAAATTCTTTGTGCTAATATATTTTTATGATTGATTAATCAATCTAGTCCTCAGCAGCTTCGACTGGTCTCTTTGGAAATTTGACCCAACATAAGCGGGGAAGCGAAGACTATGCTACTCGACGAGGGAGTCATGCGGAGCAAATGCCGCAATATGGAGGTTTGGTGTCGGGGTGGTTCAATAAGACGTTTCGGGGTATTACTCCTACTACCACTACTGCTACAAGTGATGCGAAACTGGCGGAGCAGAGGAGAGGTGTTATGGAGTAGAGAGGGAGAGAGAGAGAGACGGAAAGTGTATATCAAGCAGTGACCGGTTCAAATGGGAGAAAACAAAGAGTCTTGCAAACAAAAAAAAAACTAGTGCCATTTGCGTAGATATGCGCATCGAGCCGCTGAAAGCTATCTAGTTCTGATTATTTCTACCCGTAGCGAGCCTGTTGAATGAGACGACCGAGTGCTGTGCTGACTCACCGATATCAGACCTTGAGCAATTTCAACAACAGTCGAATCTCCTTCACATCCGTCTCCTCCTCCGCCAGAGCTTGTTCCTCGCCGCTGACCTTCGTGATGCCCTTACTCGCAGCCTTGGCGAACGTAGCGCTCTGCTGTGTGAACATCTCCTCGACTTGGCGTTCCTGCTCGAGCCGGCTTGCTTCACCAACAGCAGCTTTGTCGTCTTTCGGTGCGCCATCCACGCCATCGACGCTGCTGACAGCAAGAACGCGATATGCAACTTGCACGTCATCGGTAGGGACCAGTCCAGCACGTTTGCGAAGACGCTGAATGCGGTTGAGAACTTCACGAGCGAGTCCTTCTTGCGCAAGCTCGGGGTAGGCAAACGCATCTAGAAGCACCAAGACATCACCTTCCGTGCCTGTTTCGAAGTTCTTGGTCTCGGCAGACTCCTTGACCTTTCGCTGCACGCGAAGATCTTCTGTAGTGAGTTCTTTGCCTTCAATCGAGAGCTTGCCGGAGTCGAGGAAAGCTCTCAATTCGTCCGCCGAGACCTTGGGCAGCGCAGCCTTAATCTTTGCGGCATCTTTCTTGAACTTCTGACCCAGACTTTTGACATCCGGTAGGACTGAGTATTCGACACCGTATTTGCTCTCTTCGCTTGTCAGAACAAGGTCACGGACGTTGAGTTCTTCAGTAATGTAGCGCTCCAGTGTCCGCACGTCCTCCAAGAACTCGAGATCCTGATGTAGCACGACGAGTGTCTTGAGTGGTGTCTTGAGCGATACCGTGCGCCGGTCTCTGCATATGCGGCCAAGTTCGATCACCTTTTGCATACGAGTTACGCGTCGCTCAACAGTTGTGTCAAACAACTCTTGTCGCACGTCGGGGAAACGGAGGAAGTGTACACTGCGTACGTCCTGTCCTTTGGAGATCGCTTCAGGAAGGTGCGGTGCTAATCGCTGGAAGATGTTATCGCTCAAAAATGGAATGAATGGTGCCAGGGCACGCGTCAGAGTGTAGAGAACCTCGTATAATGTGTTGAGAGCATGCAGCGTATCGTCGTTGCTACCCTCGTCTTCGTCGGCAACTCCGTTCGCTCCGTTTGTGGTCGGAGCCGTAGCAGGAGAGCCACTCTGGCCCTTCAGTCGATTTCGGTTGAATCGGATGTACCAATTCGTCACGTCATCGACCATCTTCAGTAGTCTCGGCACGACAGTGTATAGTCGGTAGGCCTCCATCTCCTTGTTGACGTACTGGATGAGAGACTGGGTTGCAGCCAGCACCCATCGGTCCATGATGTTGTGATTGGACTTTTGTGCTTCTGGGTTGAAAACAAAATCTTGACTGGTGTTCTTCTTGTACAACGCAGCTTGCTGCGCGAAGAAGTTGTACGAGTTCCAAAAGGGTAGAAGCACTCCAGAAACTATCTGTTTGACTCCGAGCTCTGCAAACCGCAGTGGTTCACCGCGCACCACCGGCGAATCAATCAAGTAAAGCCGCAGTGCGTCAGAACCGTATTTTTCAATGACAAGCATTGGGTCTGGGAAATTCTTGAGGGACTTGGACATCTTCTTACCATCCTCGGCGAGCACAATGCCATTGACGACACAGTTCTGGTACGGGAATGTGTTGAATAGATGTGTGCCTAGAACAGAGAGCGTGTAGAACCAGCCACGTGTTTGATCGAGACCCTCAGCGATGAAGTCACCAGGGAACTTGGTAAATAGCTCCTTTCCGGGGCCCATCTCAGGTGATGTGCCTGAGGTTGGGTCGTCAGCATCATAGCCAGGGTATGCAAACGGGTAGTGTGACGAGGCGTAGGGCATCGAGCCAGACTCGAACCAGCAGTCGAAAACTTCTTCGACGCGACGTAACGTGCCCTTGCCCTGTTGTGACGGAATAGTGATCAGGTCAATGGTATCTCTGTGTAAGTCGTTGATCTCCCCTTCATAGCCGGAGAGCTTCTTCAATTCTGCAATGGACGAGACGCAGACAACCTCCTTAAAGTCATCTGATACCCACAGCGGCAAGGGAGTGCCCCAGAACCGATTCCTGCTGACGTTCCAGTCTTTCGCTGATGCGAGCCAGTTGTGGAAACGTCCAGTGTTTACAGATTCCGGTACCCAATGCGTCTTCTTGAGATTGTCCGTAAGCTGTGTAGAGATTTCTTCGACTTTGATGAACCAAGATGGCACAGCCCGCTGGATGAGGGGTGTCTTCGATCGTGGGCAAAAGGGATATCTGTGGGTAATCTGTCCTTTCCGCACCAGACGGCTATCTTGCTCTAGCTTTTTGATGATAGCCTTGTCAGCAGCCTTGACGTGCTGGCCAGCAAAGTCGGACACATCGTCGGTAAACTCTCCTTGAGTGTTCAGAGGGTTCGGCGGAGATCTCTCCGGCAGAAAGATCTTTTCTCGCCAACAGATGGCATAATCGTCCTCACCAAAAGAAGGCGACTGATGGACCACACCCACACCCTCATCGGACTTGACGTAGGTGTCGTTGATAACACGGAATGCGATGTCCTTGAACTGGTCATAAAAGTAGTTGAATATTGGCTTGTACTTCCATCCTGCCAGATCAGAGCCCTTGATCTTGAGGGGAAACTGCTGGTACTTGTCCTTGGCCTTTTTGGGATCTTTGAATAAGACTTTGAGGCCTGCCTCCAGCATGATCAAGTTTTTGCCACTTTCCTTGTCGAGCACGACGATGTACTCCAACTCGGGGTTTGTGCACAGCGCCAGATTGCTTGGCAGCGTCCAGGGCGTCGTCGTCCATGCCACGAAGTTGACCTCACCACCCACCAGTTTCGTGACTTCTTCCAATTTTGCTCGCACGTGTTCTGGCTGTTGATCCACCGGCAATACAGGGAAGCTGATTGTCACAGCTGGATCCTGCACATCTCTGTAGTCCTCTTGTGCCTCTGACTTGGACAACGCAGTTCCCAGCGCTGTAGAGTACGGCAGGACGCGAGCGCCATGATACACCAACCCCTTCTTCTGCAGCTGCGCGAACACCCACCAGCAACTCTCCATGAATGTGACATCCATCGTCTTGTAGTCTTTGTCAAAGTCGATCCATCTTCCTAACCTGCCAATGACTTTCCTCCACTCTCCAGCATAAGTCAGCACAACCTCTCTGCATCGGCGATTGTACTCTGCAATGCCAATCTTGTCCACAGCCGCCTTGCCCCTCACTCCGAACTCGTCTTGCAGTGCCTTGTCAATGATTTGCTCAATCGGCACACCATGCGTGTCCCATCCAAATCGACGCTCGACATAGCGGCCCCGCATAGACCAATAGCGGGGGATAATGTCTTTGATGGTGGATGCGAGCAAGTGGCCGTAGTGCGGCGTACCGGTGGCGAAAGGCGGTCCATCATAGAATACATATGGCTGCTCGTCTTTGCTGAGTTCGAGTTGGCGGTGGAAGGCGTCGGTTTTTTCCCAGTGCTCGAGTATGCGCTCTTCTTCCGCCGGAAAGTTGATGGAGCCCATTGCGGGCGGTCCTTGTCGGGCAATCAGGGAGCGGACTGTGGGTGAGTTGCGAGACTGTGAAGACTAGACGAAGGTCTAAACGACTGAAGGTCTATTGAAATGCTGCTCCAGTATCAGTCGTGCAGCGTCACCACACGTCGAAGTGGGATGAGTCGAACAGTTACTTAATTAGCTATCAGGTCAAAAGCCAATGCCAAGCCAAGATCCGAGAAAAGTCCGAAATATCCATGCTGTCCATCATCTCTTCGGTTCTATGCCGCTGAAGACGTGTCTCGTCTCCACGACGCGACTCTCAAGTTTCATCGACGTCGTTTGCAAAAACTGAGCACGCGGACGGGCACGAGAGGCGACGATGAAGAGATGGAGCAGAAGAGGTCTGAGATCTCTAGGTACGCGCGAAAGGCGAACGAGATGGACAATACCACCACAAGACTCACACTGCCACTGCCGTCGAACTGGACATCTCGGCTGGTATAGATGTTGTATCTAGGTATGGGCAACGGAGGGAACTTAACGGGCAATGGAGAGACTGAAAGATCACACAAACTCATTCAAGCAAAGCATTTTCGTATGCTTGTCTGCTACCAAAAGACTTCTAGCTCAGCATTCGCGCACTGAGACCCGACAGTAAAACCATCATCATATGGAGACCTTTCGCCATCGGCTCCATAGCCTGCTCAGGCCTCATTTTTGCCGCACTATTGCGCGTTCCATGCTGGTTGCTTCCAGCCCTGCTCGTATCTCGCCAATTCCGCCTCGAGTTCCAAAGCCCTCTAGACCTGATAAAGCGACTCCACCAAGATGCTGAGGTTCTCATCAATTGTGAGCAGATCGGCAGTGGTCTTTGCAAAGGCCTCTTTGGCCAGCTTCTGGAGTTCCTGTACATGATGGCGACCCTTCATGTGCTCTACAATCTTGGCCTCCACCTCAGCCTTGGTCAGACCATGTGTACTCAATCGAGACGCTTCTGACTTCGTGGTAGCAGCTTCAACTTCCTGCTCGGGCTGCACCTTCTCTTGCTCAATCAAAAAGTTCATTTGCGCAGCGAGCATCTCCTTGCTTTTCACCGCCACGTCGTGGTAACCGGCATGTAGAGGAGTGAATGTGGCCGAGATTGAGGCGTTGTGGGTCTCCCATGAGCCTACGACCGGCTCGGCGACTTCTTTGGCGACTTCTTTGGTGACTTCTTTGGTGACTTCTTTGGCGACTTCTTTGGCGACTTCTTTGGCAGCAGCGGCGGCGGCCTTGGTGGCGGCGCGGACCTCTTCAAGACTGCAGGTGGCCTCCTCGGCCTCCTCGGCCTTTGCAGCAGGATCATTTGCCGTCATCTTTCCAGAGCACTCCCAGGCATCTGGCGACACCTGAATGGCCGCTGGAGCAGGAGCGACCTGTGGTGCAGCAGCTGGAGTCGAAACCGAGGACGAGGACGAGGCCGTGCCCGTGCCTGTGGCACTGCCGGTCGACGGGCTCGTCATCTTGTCCTTGGCTTTGAACTTAACTAGGGCGGACTTGATGAAGCTGTCGCTCGACGATAGTGAGGCAGGAATCTTCGCCGATGAAGTCGCGACCTGTGCGGGAACATGCACTGCAACCTTTGAAGGTGGTGAAGGTGGGGCTATGGTATAGTGCTGGGCACGAACTGGCGGTGCAGGAGCACCAATGCGAGGTCGCATGCTCGGGACTGCAGGTGGTGCAATAGCCGGAGCGGGCGAATGCAATGAGATGGCAGATGCCCGCGGTTCCAGAAGTTGATTCTCGCCACGCTTGACTGGGCTGGCCCCCCGTTTTGGCATTGGTCGGATGACGCGATCACGGGGAGCTCTGTTCTTCGCGGCTTCGCCCTTTGCGCCACCACTGGAGCCGAAACTGGCACTCAATGCGATCGCTTCGGCCAAGAGATCTGGGTCGAACGGTGTCGGGCCCTTGGCTTTGGGTGCGAACGCGGTGGCACGGACAGGAGTGCCTGCCGTCTTCGTAGTCTCCATACCGTACGGACCACGAGGAACCGATGGACCTCCGAAGACCACCGGTATGTGCAGCGGTGCTTCTGTGCTAGTGGCAACTGGGCGAGGAGTTGGGTTTGGCCAGGCCATCTGCAACGAAGTCAGCTCAATGCTACGATGTGATGAATTGACGTTTACGTCTCTCTGTACAGACTTACCGCCTGGTTTGGCTGCTTAGGAGTGTTAGCGGGTGGCTGTGCCGTCTATAACGAAGTCAGCTCAATACCACGACGTAAGGAAGCGAGGTTTTTGTCTCTCTGTACGGACTTACCGCTTGGTTTGGCTGCTTAGGAGTATTAGCGGATGGCTGTGCCGTCTATAACGAAGTCAGCTCAATGCCACGACGTAAGGAAGCGAGGTTCACGTCTCTCTGTGCAGACTTACTGCCTGGTGTGGCTGTGTAGGAGTGTCGGCGGGTGGCCGTGGCATCTACAACGATACAACGAAGTCAGATCAATGCGACGACGTGATAAATCTCGGCTCTCGACTCCTTGTGCAGACTTACCGCCTGTTTTGGCTGCGTAGAAGTGTCGGCGGGCGGCGGCGCCGTCTATAAAGAAGTCAGCTCAATGCTACGACGTAACGAAGCGAGGTTTTCGTCTCGCTGTAAAGACTTACCGCCTGTTTTGGCTGCGAAGGTGTAGCAGCGGATGGTCGTGCCGTCTATAACGAAGTCAGCTCAATGCTACGACGTAAGGAAGCGAGGTTCTCGACTCGCTGGACAGACTCACCGCCTGGTTTGGCCGTGGGGGAGGGTCAGCCCAGATGGAGCTTGTGAGGGACATGGCGGCGATGTTCTTTGGCTTGTTTGTTGTTGTAAGAGTCGAGGCGCGTGTTGAGTGGTGGACGAATTGAAGAATACTTTTAAAGTAGTACCCAACACGGACGGCAGGCGCCAGTGGCCACGACAACGCGACGGCAAGAGCCCCAGCAACCAACGTGGAGAGCTGTGTGCATGTCAACAATGGAAGATATAGCATTCTTCGAGGCTCAACAGGAAGAAGAAGACGAAGAAGAAGAAGAAGAAGAAGAAGAGCAGCAGCGAGAAGGCATGGAATGCTTCAGTCACACGCAAGGAACAGTGGCACTATCTGGCAACTCTTCACTGTTCAGACCGACGTGCACTTCCATTCAGACCCAATGGAAGGCCAGGTATAGATCTATACTGTACCTTACTGTAGCATCATCTGCACTGCTCCGAGCGGCGTCACGTTGTCCCTGACACCGTGTCGGAACAACGCACCCAGAATCGCAATACCGGCACACAGTCACTCCCCTTTCTCCCACTTGCTATGATCTGTTGCGCGTGCGGCGAATTGTCCCATCAACGAATTGTCGGCGACCGCATCGCATTCACGGAGATCATCGCACTGGACCTAGCAGCCAGCCAAGCCAAAAGGGAGAAAAAAAGAGAAAAAAAAAGCCGGAGAACTAACTGCGTCTTACAGCGTGTTAGATGCTGTCGATCTGGTCCCATTACGGTAATTTACACTGGTAGAGGCAGAGTCTTGGGCCTCTTGGCTTCTGCTAGTCTCCCATTACCCATCTCTGTCTGTTTCACCTATACCTACACCTCACGCGTTTTCTGTTTCTCGTAACTCGTTCCATCACGACTCCCACACCACCGGATATGGGACACGGCGCTTCCGGGTTATCTAACGTGCTGGAGCCTGGCCAACTGGACCTTGGCGACACCGCTTGTCTGCTTGTCTACTTGTCTGGCATTGTCTGGCATTGTCTGCTGGTCTGCGCCTGCTCATGTATTGGGGCCGAAGGACAGGCGGACCTCTCGAACCTTATTTGCGGTTCGCGCTTGGATGCCCATTGCCATGATACCCAGGTGGAGAGAGTCCAGAGAGCGAGTCGCGGAACGAAGTCGTCAGATACATGACAGGTACCTTCTTTATGTAGGTACATGTATGATCCATAGATGCTGTCAGCACCAGGAGCGAACGATTGCCAAGAGCAAAGAGAATTGCCCAATACACGTCTCGAACACACGTCTCGAACGAGTGCAGTGCAGTGCAGTGCAGTACTTTTAGTCAGTGTTAGTGCGGGTAAAGAGAGTGGAGGGACCACAAATGCCGTGCTTAGGTCCGGGTATATGTTGTATAGTCTTGCTAGTTCGAGCGCGACAGCGCCTATGGACAGCATCTGCCTGGTCCGGGTAGACTCCGGTCAAGTGATGCCCTGTTCCCTCCCATGAACCTGGCTGGAAAGCTGAGGCAGACATCTCGCACCTGGCATGTCACAGAGTAACGTGAGTAGGTACCTGAGGTATTTAGAAATCCGCTCCCCTCCCCTATCTCAAGAAAGGAGAAAGAAAAAAGGAGAAAGAAAGGAGACGATCAACTGCAAAAACATATATTGGTATTGCGGAAGACCCGAGATGCCGCCGCGACGAGGAGTCTTTCGCGATTGTGCGTGCTGTCGCGAGAAGAAGCTCCGCTGCGATCATACATATCCCAGCTGCAAACGATGTACTTCGAGAGGCCTTCGCTGTCCCGGCGTGCTAGAGCAGAGAGCGATGGGGTCCAATGGCTACGAATTGCATCCGGCACAGACTGATGCCCTCAGCACCCTTCGAACCATGCGGCAGAGCAAGGAGACGGTGTTGACGACCTTGTTTCTCGGCCAGATCGCAATCTGCCCGCATGGTGCTGGCCGCATCGCCAATTTCAGTCGCAATGGCCGAGGCATATATTCCAAGACCATCGCTGCCATTGCGCAGCACTTACTGGCATATCGACGCAATGACGCCGCGCTCATGGAGATGGCTCGAGTGGACTATGGAGAAGCACTCATGGGTCTGAATGCGGCTCTCCGCGACAACGATCGCATGTTGGAGGACGAGACCCTCATTACCGTACTCAACATCCAAATGCACTCCAAGGCTACCGACACAGGGAATCATGCGCTGGTGCCTCATCTGCTAGGATCACTGCATCTTCTGGAAAAGAGGCTGCAGACGGGCAAGGGCTCCGCGGCGTTGACGGCTGATATTATCGACTGGGTCTTGCCGCAGTGTATGACCCAGTTACTGGACAATTATCGGGAGGCATCAGCACTAGCGGAAAGTCCAGCCATCTGGAACGGGAATGCTCTACCAGCAGCCCAGATCTTGCAGGAGTGTGCCAATGTGGGTGAACTTCGATTGCATTTCTCATCCATCATGACCAAGCCTTCTGCACATCAGCTATGGGATACGATCCGAATGGCACAAGACATCGACGAGCGTCTGGAGCAATGGTTCCTCTCCCGCCCCACGTGGGCCCAACTCCGGTCCTCCGAAGTATGCAACTATTCGACCTGCCCATTGACCAGGCAGTTTTCCGATCTCAGAGTCTCTCAGGTCTATAATTATGCGCGAATGGCACGACTCTGGCTCCACAAGATCATTCATCAAGCCGCATCAGGCGTGATCGCGCTGGCACCACCGGAAGAGGAAACACGCGCAGAGGCGATGGATCTCGCGGAGAAGAGTGCACTCATGGCTACAACGATGTTGACCCAGTACAATCAGACGATTGCCGCGTGTCGAAAAGAGCTCTGTGCGACGAGTGTACCTGCCGAAGGAGAGAGCCATCGTGTTATTGCTGCACGGGCTCTCCTCTGGCCTGAGCTCGGGCTTCACTGGGGTCAGAATATTCGAGTTCCGGGTAACATTTCTTGAAAGGATGAAGGCTGGATGCAAGAGTACATGCATCCATCTCCCACTCACTGCATCAATCGAGGCGAGCTCATGGTTTCAGTGAGAAAGGCCGCTTAAACCAACAACGACGAACGCAGTATCTGATGTACGATCAGAGCTCTCGACAACGTGGCAATGACTGAGCACGTGAAAGCGGAATCAGCGTACCACGCTAGAGATCTGCAAAGTCATATCCAACTCTACCAGATCCTACTCTGACGGATCTCCAGCCGGAGTGTCCACTCAAGTCCATGAAGCCAATCGCAACACCGTTCGTGATGGACAATCATATCGCGAGAGAAGCAGAGATGCAAAACTTCGCAGTCACATGAAGCTCATCATAAATCACCACACCACACGTGTCCGAAGGCAGCATCCAGATCCCATCCAGTCTCTGACGTCCACGAAGCTCTGACGCAGTAGAGGAAGGTGGAAGCGCATCACGAAGGGGGGTATATCGGCTCCAGCTGAACTTCACCTTGTCATGAGGATTTTCTGCTACGGAAGGAGATCTATAGCTTGGGAACCTACTTCAGGAAATTGGGGGGAAACTAGGTAGGTAGGCAGGATAGACTTGTTTTTTGAGTTCTGTCGTTATCTCAATGTGATGATATACCTAGACCGTAAGGTAGGTAGTGCAAAATAGACAGATAGATAGGTAGTAGTATATCATACCTTATCATAGCACGTAGTACATACGAGGCCTCCGTCAATGTCTACGTGTCACTAAGTGATTCTTATTTTTTGACTCTAACACGACCAAGGGGAGGGGGAGAGGGAATGGGTCTGGGAAAGAAAGACGGAAAAGACAAAAATTTCTGTAATATACTACTGTATTTCTCTCATGTTTATTACACATTTTTATAGGTACGATACCTTGCTAGATCATTCGTTTATCATGTATCGTTAATCGTCTATCGTTCATCATCGTTCATCATCGTTCATCAGTCATTCATCATCAACCTCCCCACCAAGTGCTATATCCTTTCTTCAATCCCGTATCGATACCTCACCGCGTGCTGTAGATCCCCCTCTTTCATTCCCAGATCCTAATCCCCAATACCTGACCACCCGCTTACTACCCCCTTTCAGCCCCTCATCCTAATGCCCGATTCCAACTCCATCTCCCTCCACACCGCAGCCGCCGCATCTTCGCTCGAAGAGTCGCTAGGAGCAGGAGCAGGAGCAGGACCACCATTTGTGCGGAATCGCCCATTGAAGTTCTGGCGAGCTGCTTGTTGACGAATAGCTTGTTCAGCCAGAGCGTCGATGTCGATTGACTTATTGGCAGCAGACGCACGCGATTTGGACGGGTTAGAGTTGGCAGGTGATGGATAGGATGCCTCGGCTGGATAGCGTTGGTCATTGGGAGTGTCGGGCGTACGACGATGAGGCACAGTTGGAACGGCCTTGCTCCGGGAACTTGCCATCTCGGTAGGCTCGTTGTAGCGAGAGTACCGAGAATTTCCATCGCGAAGAAAAGCAGCAGAGACGGCAGTTGCAGGGCGAGCGGGAGCAGAAGGCGAGGCAGGAGGACTGCGAGCTGGTCGCAGAGGCGAAAGCGTCCCGAGCCATATTTGATGGCGACGAGCAGCAGCAGCAGGATTCGTGGCAACTTGAGCCAAAGGTACAGTCGTGAATGCAGGTTTGTTTTCGAACCTTACATTCTCCGGTGCACCAATGACGGGCTCCAAGACGGGCTGAGGAGTCTCCTTGCGATCGATACGCCTGGAGACTGCTCTACCAAGCCGCCTGGCCGCGGCAATGCCAGAGTCCACAGCCTTGTCAGCTGTAGAAAGGGGAAGGACCATCGCAAAGCCATCGATACGTTCCATCAAGGTAGGGGAAGCGGCAGCATCGGCGAACGGAATCCATTCGGGGTTCGACGCCTCGCATACAGCTCCCCAGGACGAATCGATGACTCTTCGTGACTTGGCATCAGGGCGGGGAACGGCAGCAGGGACAGCAGTGGCAGGGCGGGCATGGTTGACAGAGGGCGTTGCCGCAGCACGATGCAACCGTCCAGCGACTTGACCAGCCGGAGAGTTGTCAAAGTGTGGCAGACTGCCATCCCGCACAGGATGACCATCAGGTCGAGCGTGGGCGGGGGTTGCCGGCGTAGGGAACGTGCTGGACCATTGTGTATCAGCAGAATATTCGGACCAAGTATCTTGCATGGCGCGATGTGCCTGACGGGCTTCGTAGATGGGACTCACCGAGCGAGAAGGAGGAGGCGCCATTTTGGGATGGTCGCGAGGAGAGAGACAGAGGTGTTCGTGTGTCTTGTGTAGTCGTATGTGACCAGTTGGGGCTCGCTTGTATCTGGTGCAAGTCTTTTCGCGTGATAGTCCAGCTATCGAGAAATGCCGCGAGAAGGCTTATTCAGATTCAAGCTGAGTCCGGAAAGCTGGTTGATGCTCCGACAAGAGGAGGCGGCCATCGTAGGCGATTATATATTACTCCTCCTTTGTCCGGGAGCCAGAAGACAAGTACATTGTGTCGACATTCGGTCTTTGTCCGAAGACAAAGGAGCGACAGCCAGCAGAGAGAAAGGCTTCATCCAACGTGGATGATCAAAGAACTCGGAGGTTGAAAGCTTTGTTGGCCACGTCAAGGGTGATCCATCCAGGGGTGAAGCCCGTATATTCGACTGTTGTTGCGTTCGTTCGAGACACGCATCTTCGATGTGTATAAAATTCTTGATAATGGATTGTATATAGCGAACAAATGGGACGTATAGATGAAGCAGATGTCAAAGAGAATGGAAGGAAAGCAGAAGAAGAATTTGCAAAGTGCTCGAATATATACTTGCCACATGTCTTACACCATTAAGACGGCCAAGGAAAAGAGGTCTTTGCCGGTCTCTCAATGCTTACACTACTCCGAGACTGTCAATTAGACGGCATCCCAGAACGGGGCCTAGCGAGATTAGCATCTCAACATTGTAATGCGTTGCATCACTTTTAGCATTTCTACGAAGTACATGTACCTTATGCAGCGGAGGAATAAGACCGTGTGCAGCGGTAGCAACCATTTTCGCGGAGCCTCGGGAAGACATGGCATCAACAAGAACCAGCGTGCAATCTAGGCTTCTAAGTCAAACACACTGGAATTCCTGTTCTCTGTAATCATTACCTTTTGGCTCGAGTTGTGCTGTAAACTCTACCACATACATCTCATTCTCTCGTTACTTACATCTGGATTAAAGCGATGCCCACGGGCCAGAGTCTCACACCTACGTCAGGCCATACCACGCCACGCCATACCACTGGCATAACACGCGATGATGCTTGTAAGAGTCTCAGACAGAGCTCGCTACAGTTGTGTGCTTTAGTAAAGCTTCGAAAGCGAGCGTCCTGCTCGATGAAAGGCAAGAGCCTCCCGCGCAAGCTCCGGTCATCGCTACTAGTCCACTCTTTGGCGCTTGTTCGGAGATGAAGCGTGTCCTGTGCTTGTTGGACTTTCGTCACTTCCAATGATGGTTTCAATGACCTCCCACTGAATAGTCGAAGAGCCATCGCGTGCAGTCTGACCACCGCGTTGCCTTCTAATGCGTCCGAGACGGCTATTCTCGATGAGTTCTTCGAAAAACGGCATGCCTCGATCACTCATACGGTGAATCGAGTGTGACTCGCCAGCTTGCGATAATGTCCGTGGCACTGACGCGCATGCTGATGGCAGTTCCTCAAGGCTGGTGTCTCTCATACCTGCAGCAGTTCCTTGCAACTCCCCCTCCGACTCGTCAGAATCCACATCAGCAGGCAAGATTCTGAGCGCCTCTAACTGATCAAGACTCTCGTCTAGGAGCGAGCCAAGCGTGACGTCCAGGTAGTCTGAACTGGTGCTTCCATGGCCGCTAGCATGCGTGCCTTCGTTCCATGCGGTAAGCGTGGTTCCACAGTAGCCGCAAAACTGCCTTCGCGTTGGGGGGAGGAGAGAGTGCGGCGGTGATGGAGTGTGGTATGTCTTCTTAATAGAGCTGTGGCTCTCGTTGTCATAGTAGGCGTAGGTGGTGGAGTGGTACCAATCGAACGGAATGCGAAGCCAGGCGGCGAGAGGAGCGGCTTGCGCTCTTCCTGGTCGGCGGAAGTCAGTCAAGCGCTGCCAACATGTGGAGAGGAGGATCCGGTATGCGATGTGCTGTGTACGGTGGTGGTAAAGCCGATTCCATCCTACTTACTGCTGGCGGAGGAGTTGTCGAAGAAGACGCGGGCGAGGTTGCTGCTCTCTGGACGGACATTGATGACATATCGGAAGCGCTCGCAACTGCAGGACCCGTGAAGCTGTTGCTGTTGTTGAAGCTGGTGGTGCCGTTCGTCTGCCATGGCGCCGTCCTGCGTCGAAGTTATCGGTACAATGGAAGAACGGAAGAGCGAGAGTGGTGGTGTCGGTGGTGGTGATTGTGGTGAGGAGCTACTGTATCATCGCTCTGGGACTCATCTCACGAATTCACGTTGTTGTGAGCTGCATGTTGTGCCCACGAGAAGAAGCTGACTGGAAGGAAGCTTCGCGAGCAATCTCGAAGTTCAATGGGTGACAGGGATTATTATTGATCCCCATGCGCTGATGACGACAATAATGCTCGGCGCTTGTGGACAGTCCCTGGCTGCGATTTTCATATTCTACAGCATACAATGGCTAACACACAGTACCTACCTTGTACATATGTAAGGTAGTATATGGATTGCATAGAACGGTGTACTTGATATACAAAGATACAGACTATGAACACGAACCAAATCCCAATATCTTATTCGCCTCTCTCATCACCTCCTTCTGGCCTACTGTCAGACCTGGCTCGGAGCTATCCCACTCTCGCAAACCGAAAGCTCTCATGCCTTCATCAGGATTCACCTTTCTTACATCTTCAACTCCAGGACGTCCGATATGCTCGCTCTCACCTTTGCCCCCACCAAAGTCGGGACATGGGGTCCCGTTCAGAAAAGCCGCACGCTGACGTGCCGAGAACTCTGCATTTGACACCGTCAATGGACATGCTGGAATGTACAAGACGCTGGAGTCGGATTTGCCACCATGCACCTTGTCCACGGCATGAATAGTATCGCAATGCCAGCTAACGTAGTCGCCTGGGTTCACTCGTGGTACGTGTACCATGGATTGGGGGAGATTCAGGTGAGGATGCAACTGCGCGGCAAGCTCTTGACCATGACCCAATGATGCTCCTTGGAGCCACGAGTCTTGTTCAGTACTGAGCTTCCAATTATCTGGTGTCAGAAAGGCATCCTCGAATGTCTCTGCTCGAGGGTCCTGCGCAGGCTTCTTGGGCGAGAAGAATGGACGTAGTAAATAGTAAGCACTAGCTCGACTCAGGAGGGGATTGACCAGCAACGTGCCCTCATATGGCCCAGTCGAGCTCATCGATAGCCAACCTTGGAACATACGGAACATAGAGCACGCTCCGACTCCTTGGTACAGATCTGACACGACTGGCAGACGGCAACTCGACTCCCACGGGTCGTACTGCTCCCACTTGCCTGCGAATATCTTGTCGTAAACATGACCGCGGCCATAGCCCTCTTCTTCCCACCTCTCGCACGAGCCGCCATCCACGTGGGGACCAAGAGCAAACCGGGCATCGCCTGGTAGGCGCATTCGCAGCCTGTCAGCATAGATCATAGGGTGGCTGGACGATATCAGAGCGTTCTGATCTTTCGAATGCCAAAATTCCATCAGAAATCGCTGTGTTTTGAGCAGGTTGGGGTGAGATCGAGCCCTGATTTGAGATGGACTCCAATACAGCTCATAGACCTGTGGATTGTCTGCCGGAAAAGCCTTGGTATGTGGATTGGCAGCTATGTACTCTCCGAGGTCAGTCTTGAGATCTAGAGCTTCCTTTTCCGGCAGCACGTTGCGAATGACCGCCACACCACGTTTCCTGTGCTCGTCTCGGAACTCCTGGGACGCATGATCAATGTTCTTGAAGTCGATTTCGGGGATGATCTTGGGGCCTTGCTCGATGATGAGCGGGATCTCTTCGCGCAGTGACGCGAGCAAGCGATTCCAGGAGTGGTATAGAGCTTCTTCATTACCCGCGATGAGACGCGTTTTGAGGTCCGCGAATCGTGGCTCGAGCGGCTCGAACTGTAGACCGGAGAGGGAAGCAAAGGCGTCTGAGATATCGCCTTCACGCTTTTGTGCTGTGGTCGTTGCGGCGCCGCGGATTGCTCGATATCCGGGCTTGATGGCTTTCCGCAAGAGTACACGGCTTCCACGCAGGGAGGATAGCATGTATGAGGCCATGGTCGAGCATTAATATCACCATTCGGATAGGCAGAGAATGCTGATACAGCGGGAATTGCTGCAAGTACTATGATAAATACCTACCCATGTTGTACCATGCACGACCTCCGCATTAGGTACCTCGCCTGTGCTCCGCTTGAACACTTGGCTGGAGAATGCGGACGCGGTATGGACGTTTGTCGGGCTTTGCAGAGAGCCAACGGGATTATGGGATTGTCGGATTGTCGGATTTCCCAATAAGGTAGTCGCCGCTATATCCCGAAACGGCCATCCGCCGCCCGCCAAGTGCAAACTCCTCCTCCTCGTCAGTCAGAGAACACGCTGCATAACAGGACCACCATCGCATGCCACTCGAAGCATTTGATCGTCATCACTATCATCAGGGCAGCTCCCAAGTAGTGTGATGTTGGTGTCATGTCCATTGAGGACCACGTGCCAGACTTCTGTGTCCTCCACCTACATCCGAAGCTGATGTGAAAGGTGGCGTCTTCGTCTCGCATAGAAGTCCTGCATGAGTTCTGCGGAAAGGTGCAGCCGTAGTAGTGCACATCACTGCAAGCGTCTAAATGAACTTCACGTCTGGGGACCTAACTACCGTAAGGTCGTGTGGTACTTTGCTGACTTTGATTCTTGTCGACAGCAAAGTTGCGTGTTTTGCTTCCGACCAGAGACAGACAGCACTTCCACTTCTGAGCAGCGCGGAACCTCGCCTCGCCGGTCGAGGTCAAGCTGGCGACCGGAGATGCTCACATTTCTGGAACATACATATCTGCCCGTTTTTTGTTGAATCACGAAGATCCGAGACGAGACGAGACAGGGCAGGTGAGGGATTTGGCTCCCTGAGCTGTGCATGAAGAAATCCGGATTGAAGAACGGATGGGGATACGCGCAAAGCTCGCGGCTGTGCTACCTGGGCTTTGAGAGGTTGATGGACGATAAGGTACGAACCACAACAAGCAAGATCGCAGATGCCATGGATTTCGACTTCGCTTGGCCACTTGGTCTTTGGCGAGGAGAAGGCACGATGGGACTCAGACTCTACTCCATGTGCAACTAGCTCGGCGCTAAAGCAAAGGGTTTCATCAGCAGCCTTATAATAATTATATCCAGGTTCAGTCGGACTGTCGGAGGCGGACACGCGTCGGCATGTGTCAAGCAGGTTTTCAGGTATCCCACTCCTGAGAGACCTGGCTGCTGAGTTGCTGATGAGCTGATGAGCTGATGTTACTGTTGCTTTTGCCTCGGGACCAGCCCCAGATACAGGATCCTAGAATAGGTATCTTCGGTCGTTCGATATCCCGCTCATGATGAGCCAGACTTCTGTCTCATGGTGCCTCTGGCACCAGATTTCATTGGCTGTCATGAAGACCCCCGGCGGTAGTAGAGTTCCTGGAGAAGTCGCATCTTGTTGTGCCGCTCGGTTCAGCAAGCCTGAGCAAGGAAGAAGGCACCCCGCATTTGGTAATTGCAGTCCCGGTGATGACTGTCGAGGAGACTGTGCGAATGGTCGCACGGTCACACTACGGATCCTGGTGGTATGCATCATCTTTCTCCACCAGCAGGGGATCAGCAGCAAAAGGAATGCCTAGACGTTTTGCGGCTTTTCCATCGATACGATCGAGTGAGGTTTGGCTACATACCTGTCGATGTGGCTGTGTTCGGAGTGTCACAAACATCGAACCGGATGTATCGAGCGTGCGTGCCGACATGCATGACTGTGTGTGTGCTTGAGGCTGAACCACCAGCGAAAACCTACACTACGGCGAGTTTTGCAGCACATGGTTGGAGGGGAACTTGCCCTCGATGCTGAGTCGAGGTGCTCGAGGCGTGGCTGTCTGGGTTGTTTTGGCAAGAGCTCAAACAACCCATCTGGAGCTCATGCACTGCATAACCATCGCGCCGGGCTGGGATTCCTGGTTTGTTTTCAGAAGCCAGATGCATGCAAACTCGACTGGCAATCTAGGATTCCTGGTTGTGGACATTCACTTGTTGCCAATGGGGCTTGTAATACGATGAGTAGGGGTAAGTTCAGAAGCACAGTCGCGAAGCCATGCTACAGCTAGTGTTATTGCACGGGACTCCTTATCTTAGTCTCTTCATGTCTGGAGGACGACGACGACGACGACGACGACGAGAGTGGAACTCGTATGGTCTTCACGGTATTAAGGTAGCTCCGACTATGCTGCGGCGTGGAGCGACAACATCAACTTAATGCGGCTGCAATGACTTGTTGATTGCATAGAAACTATCGCTGAACCGCCATTATCGTTCGGGGCCGCAGGCTGGTCAAGCGAACGATTATCTGGAATGCATAGGAGGTACGAGCAACAGGTTCGATAGTAGGGTCGATAATAGGAGGTGAGGTATTGTCCTGAACTTGGTTGGAAAAGCCTATACTCGTCAAGGGCACGCAGTCCCTTTGTTGCCGAGATGAATACACTGCAATACGAAGCCTTTTACTCTGATGTGGTCTGGATTCTGGAGATATCATCGTCGTTGTTCAGGCTGGCAAGTGTACCATACTGTTATCGCCGGATCTAACTCCTGAGCCATCTATGATTACATATCACGAGATGACGTTCCTTGGCTATGTCGATCACTCGATGGAGAGCATGAGAGACCACCGAACTTTGTGAAGCCTTCAAAATTCTCATCATCGCTGCGCAGTCGACCAGAGCAGGGGGGGCGTCGGCCAGGCCCGCGGGTCTGCAAGACAAAATTTTCCGTGGCGCATAGCACTGGCATTATAACCTCGATCAAGATTTGACAGAGGCTTCACTTGGTTGTAACAGGGATGTGACGTACGGAGGTACGCCTTTAAATGCTTTAAAGGATGTGGAACGCTTCCGCTTGATACAGTTAGAGTTCAATAGTGCATTTGCTCCATGATGAGTTCTACGAATCTGCGTATCGACAGCAGATAGTTGGACGACCATGCTGTGACTGCACATGCGGACTGCAACCACATGCGTGCTCCGCTTCAGAAAACAGCCAGGTTGGCGATGTGACCCCAGTCTCCGATCAGCGACGACAGCATACAACAGAACAGTCGTCCTTTCCAACTAGATTCAGCACAACTGCTCGATGAGCCGTTCGGCAGCCGGGCCAGCTGGACCGAGACTTCTTGCATGGCCAAGTGCATTCCCAACGAGGAGGTCGATGCATCGTATAGCCCTCATCTGCCTGATATCTTCACCAAATCGAAAGTGTTGTTGACGAGTGCTCTGTTGAATGGTGACTACACCTACCTGGTATGTATGCACTTTCCAGGGAACCCTACAGGGCTACAACCTTGAAGATCGGCAAACCAACCCAGCGCTGATCCCCGGCTAGGTCATCCTTGCCATGCTTAGTGCTTAGCAACGGGGTAACCAGTACGATGGGCATCGCACAGGGCGCTAGACTGCCAAATCGTCCGCAGCCCCAGATATGGCCCATGAAGGGATGAAGGGGTGCTATAATCGATTGCTCTAGAATGGCTCCAGTCCGCTAAAAGGCGAGCCATTGGTATGAACAAATTGCACAATGTATATGATGAGCACTAAGAAATCCGTCAAATAAATGACAGTGGTGATCAGCACGTCAGCAAGCAAGCGGCGGTGCCCTCCATGCTAACGGAGGCAGTTGGAGGGCGCATCGACCATGCGACAGAGTTCGTCGGTGCAGATCCCATTCGTGATGGAGGTGCCATCTTTTAGGAGGTGCACAAGACAAGGTAGCGGGGCGTGTAAGAGAGTTCGAACTTCCGCAGTTTCTCATGCTGTGATGTTCGAGTTGAGAGCCGATCCATGTCTCTGGAATAGTAATCACGCCAGCAGCCCCCGTTTCGATTGGAATGTCGTCGAAGGCGCTGGCGAGATCTGAACGAGGCCATCATCAAGCCCTCTTCCGCCAGGACCACCCCACCGCGCCGAGAGCTGCACCTCCACATAGGTAGGGAGCAAGCGGGGCATACAGTACGAGGTAGCCTGATCAGGCCACACAGGAGCTGTTGACGTGTTGCGAGGGATAGCGGACAGTTTGCGGGTGTTTCGTCGACGCAGCAATGCCTGAGCGGGTGGCCATAGCGCCCTAGCAGCAGCAGCAGCAGTAGATCCCTCGTTTCATCGTCCGCGGCATACGAGCAGTCGTCGATATCATGCATGCGAGCAAAAACAACCACTGCCCAGGGCGCGGGCGGTGCTGCAGCCTGCAAACGCAGTGCCAAATACCTGGCAACTTTAAACTTTCGTGCCCTGTCACCTCCTCACACCGTGCACGGCATGCCGGCGGCTGCTGCTCCGCTAGCCGAAGCCAAGCCAGAGTGCTGGGATGGTATGGGTATGCCTGTATTCCTGCCTCGAATATGCCGCACGTCGTCGCGATACTGCCGGTCCAGCACTCTGCTTCGCTGCTTGCATGTGTGCTATGTATCTGCGCTGAGCCAATGGGCGGTCGGGGTGCACGTTGAGAGCAAACCCCCTAAGATAGGCTGGTTGATGCATGAGCCGGCAAGCCGTACCGCTCGACCAATCACACGGCTCACACAATACCCTCGGAGCTCGGCAGTGCGGCCGGCTTGGCGCACATGATCAGGCCAGTCTCGCCGATCTTCGACCTCAAATCATTCTCTTGCGGCGCCACGCCTGTCTTGGTCGCAACCAGCACCCCTTCCGGCAGAACGCTGCCGGCTGTGGTCTCACACCTCATCATCCACTTGTCCGCGACCCAGCTGAACGCATACGGTACCACTAGCTAACATGCTGCCAGTGAAGTGCCATGCCCGGCCTCTCGGCTGGACCGTATTTGTCGTGGCGCAGGGTCAGTCTCGAAGAAGGCCAACCCGGATCCTGGATCATGGCCGAGGCACAGAGTTTTCACGGTCGAGAATAGGTAGGAGGTAATCTCGTGCAGGCCTTGTAACGACCAAGCCAGGATGAAGCAAGAGGCGGAAGTACGGGCAGGTAATAATATGAGCTCTGCTATCATATTTGCAACTCGAGTCGCGAATGGTGCGGGAACGCCAGGCACACTGTTGCGCTGATCCGCATCTGGACATGCCGTTCTCCCTTCACTCCAAATGCGCAAGCGCCTCCACGTGGAGAAAAGAGGTCGAGACTCGAAACTCCAATGCTTGCGGCACTGCAATCCTCCCGAGCTGGAACAGCCGCCGCGACGAGCCATGCGCGCTTGTCTATGTTAGGGTTGGTGATCGCGCCAACCACCTTAGTACGCTGCAGGCACCGCAACCCAGGTCCCTGTCATCGCTGGTTCCGCCGGCTGGCTTGCACGAGCCGGCGTCAGGCATCGGGGCTTGCATCTCTGTCTGTGTCTCTGTGACCGCATGGTGCAATTCGCCGGTGTCTGCCGGTGGCCATTGCGTATTATGGCTGCAAGTGAGGTTATTAGCAACCAACGTCTCACGCTTCTGCTCATCATATTGCGCCCTTTTATGAAACTCAGGACTATTTGTTGCTATATACCAATGCTTTTCGATGAGCTTTGGTCCCTACCCATGAGTGCACCATATAGCTAGTCATACCTCCCGGCTTACCACCTGCTCTGAACCCTTCAACTCGCAATCGACAGCATTCAGAGCCGGATATACTGGACGGCGACCTCGAATCAGCTCGACCACTCAGTCCCACGACCAAGGACCCTTGTGTGTACCGATACCACATCAATCAACATACCAACCAGATCAACACCCTCACCCGCAATCCACATGACGTGCGTTCTTCCCACAACACCGTGGCACCCTTTCGATAACCATCATCCATGGTTATCGATGAATTCTGATACGGCGTCGTCCCACGGGGCGCTTGATAAGGCCAGTTCTCATGGTTATGTCTCTCCCGGATCCGAAACACGAAAGTCTTCTACGAGCTCCACAAAGAAGCGAGCTTCTCGAGCCGGTACACGAAGCGTGACCACACTATCTGCTGCGCAGCTGGAGAGGAAGCGTGCCAACGACCGCGAGGCACAACGAGCCATTAGGCAACGGACGAAAGATCATATCGATCACCTGGAAAGGACTGTGAACGACCTGCGAGGCAGCCAGGAACAAAGCGAGAAGATGGTACATGCCACGCAGCAGCGGAACCGAGAGCTCGAAGAAGAGGTTGTGTTCCTCCGCACCAAACTCAACGAGGCCGGGTTCAATTTGAATACACTATCAAACGACGGTGAGTTAGGGGAGTAACTGAAGTGCACTGGCATGAAAGGGTGCTGATCATTCCAATGTAGGACTACGAATGTCTGATTCCGGCCTCCTATCCGTACCGTCCACTTCACCAACGAATCCTGTTGGTGCCAGCATCTCGCGTGCGGGATCCTCTTCAACACCAAGCAACCATTCCGCCGCAACCCAAGACTCTGGCTCCCGCCACGGATCATGGCAGCACGGAGCCAGCTACGGCGGTACTCCTATGGGTCTCCCCAACGCACCTGCAGTTGCCAACGCTTCCAACGTGACGGCATGGCGATCCCATGAGAACGCTCAAAACTTGCAGCCCATACAGACCTCCAGCAGTGGCCTGCAAGATCCAATGCAGGCCCCAGGATCTGCAAACTACCAACAAGGTGAAAGAGTCGACTGGTCTGGCACTCCAACCAGCTACCAGTATGTGAACCAAGAACAACAACGACCACAAAAATATGAGACCACGTCTGCACAGCAAGCACAAGGATATGAGACAGCATCTGCACAGCAAGCCCAAGGATACCAGCCTTCAGCATATCCTCCCATGGGTCCTCAGAGCGAGTATCCTAACATTTCGGTATCATCAAGCCCCAGCTACCAAGTCCAGGGCCAGACTTCATTCCCACAGCCGCCATCGTTCCAAATGGCACCTATGCAGATACCTACCAGTGCAGGTGGTTACACCTCTCCGCACACACAGATGCACGCACCGCCGCTGAGCAACTCATCGTTCCACTCCACTGCGGGTGAACAGACGTACGGTCAGCAGCCAGCACCGCCGGCGATGCAATACCGAGATGAAAGTGCCAACCGAGCCTACCCGCTTACACACTACCCGAATGCATGAGCTGCAGACCTGCTCGTGGAGGTAGATGTTCAACGATAACGTCGTATGACCTGCCCCAACAAACGACATGCACCGCGTGGCAAGCCCATGTGCGTGTACGAAACCTCATTGGTGGCTGCGTTAGGGGACGTCACATGGTGCACGCATTGGCGTATGCGCATCGTTGATGCAGTCTCAGCAACGACCGAAGCCTCACAGAGCTAGAGGCAACCTGCAAAGATCCCGTGCCGGGGATTGGAAGCCAAGACGGCTTTCGCGGCCCGTGGCCAGTCGGGAACAGCATCCCGAAGCTACTACGCTAGGTCCATGCCACTTCTGGCTGCGGACCATCACGACTCTCGATTTACGGCCTCGATGACGATGAAAAACCCCCTGTTATTGTACATCTACTAGTAGAATGATGTACCTACTTATTCTAATGCTATCTACATATGCGATGGGAGGTGGGTGGTTGGGTGTTTTGACTCTGGAGTTGATGTGTTGAGAGAGAAAAAGAGGGGTTTGAGGGAAAAGCAACAAAAAACAGTACTTTTGCCTTTCACAGGCACAAGGGAACACTTCCCCAGAGGGACAGAGGACACGCCGATTTTTGATGAAACTTTTAGCTAATACCCCATCTGTTATTGCAATGCTTCGGCTCTTCTTCTTCTGAATTGCCCTTTTAGCCTACTTTGCTCTTGGATAGAACATCATCTATTGATTACCTGTACCTTACGCTGTTCTTCCCGTATGTCGCCTCGAAGTTCCACATACAGTACCAGGTAGGTAGGTAGTCACATCGGGCAGCAACGTATCGCAAGTAATGTACCTAGGAACAGCAGGTACGACTACAAAATTCTCAGCGTATCAATCAATCAATCAATCTCAATCAAGCGTCTATCATACATGATGTACCTGCATCCAGCATACCAGCATCAAGCATCCAGCACCAAGCATCCAGCATTCAGCATCATGCACCAAGCATCCAGCATCATGCATCATGCATGCCAAGAAAGGAAAGCAACTGAAAGAAGAAAATCAAAACGGCGCCACAAAGCTATCGTCGTCGTCGTCGTCGTCGCCCCGAGGAGCCCAAGTGAGGTACGGTACGGTACGGTACGGTAAGGTAGGACCGAAGATAAAAAAACAAAAATTGTGATTAGTGCATGCATGCATTAGGTTGGCTTTCTGAACTACATGTACCTAGGAGGTAGTTTTTTTTTTTTCGCTAAAAACAATTAAACGAGAGAGGATCATCAACAGGTATCTCTTCCCAAGCTCTTTAGCGAGCGAGCCAGCGAGCGAGCCAGCCGCTGGAAAAGACCAGGTAGGTAAGGTAGCTCTTAGCTCTTTTTGTTAGCTCTGAGCTTTTATCTACTGTAGGAGGGGAGGTAAGGTCAGAGGTTAGGTACCTTTACCCCGTATAATGTGATGATGATGATGATGATGATGATAAATGCTATACGAATTTTTCTTTTCTCCACAAGCAAGGTGCTGGCCTGTTGGCCGGCTTGGTGGATGGATGAATTAGGAAGATCCTCCTGATATCGTTCTTCGTGTTTACAGGTACTAAAGTCTTGGATTGAGAGAATTCGAATGAGGGAAAAAAAGTTTGATTGTCGTTTACAGGTACCTAGTGCTGCATCATCCATCATCATCCATCATCATCATCATCATCGTTATCTCTTTCCTTTCTTCCATTTCATCTTCGTCGTCTTTCTCCTCTTTCTGGAAAATGAAAACCGTACTAAGTAAGATAGCCTGAGGTAATCTATTTTCCGAGCCGCCTGCCCCATGGCAGCAGCCTGTGATGCGGCACGTCATCATGATCGGTAGTATCGAACCTTCCCCATCTCTCAACTACCTCTGTACCTACCTACCTACACATGTAATGTATGTAGGCAGGTACGGGCATGTACAAACGGTTCGGATAGGCAGGTACCGTACCTTAATCCGCCAGCTGTGTGATTTCCCCCCGGCCAAGATAAGGTACCTAAGGGAGGTAGGTAAGCTGACCTTACTTCTGCTCCCTCAACTTCGCTAGCAAGTCCGGGTACCAACGCTCTCCGACATCCGTATGCGACTTAATCCGGTTCATCAACGTCGCTTCGCCCAAATGTGACCATTTGCCTTTGACAAACGTGAACTCGACGTCATCTCTCCTCTGCCCATTCTGGGCTTCCAGGAGGTCGTTCTTGAGCGCTCGGACGTGTTCGGGCACATGCATGGATTCGAATTTGGCATCGTATGATACGCCTTGGAAGAAGGGGATGCTGAAGCGAGGGCCGGAACCGGCTGCGGGACTGAGGACGCGATGGGTCGTGCTGGCGCAGACTCCCGATGTGAGTGCTTCTAGGCCTTGGCCGACTGCGACGACAAGGGCACCTTTTTTGGGGGGACCTGTGATTTTTTGTCATTGTTAGTTGGATGCCATTCCCCGCCGAGATGAACCCTGTTTTTCGTATGGGAGAGAGAGGGGGCGGGAACAAGACGTACAATCAATCCATTCTCCTTTGGTGTTTTGAGCTTGCAGACCTCGATGGTCGGAAGCTTGCAACAGATAGCTGGAGAGCATCGAGTCCTTGTGTGGACCCACGCCTTGTCCTACACCGGTTCCCGTGTCGGGATACTTGACGATTTTCAGCTTATGCTGCTGATCTTTGTCGAAGAAGGCATCAAAGGCATCGGCGGGCAGGTCAATGCTCTGTGCAATCAGACTGGTGAAGAACATGCTGATTTCGCCCATGCGTTTCATATAGTCTTCGAATACGGGGCGGAAGTGCGGGAGGAGCTTCTCGTTGGGCCATTGATTGGGTGCAAATAGATTGTAATACAGAGGGTCTTGGTCGGTGGGTAGTGCGTGAGGGGTGGATAGATCGTACTGCTCTCGCCAGTCTGGGTTTTGAGCTGTAATCTCATTGCCCAACTACAGAAAAGAAAGCGTTGTCAATAAAATGCTTCTTTCTTGCATGTGGGGGAATTTCTCTCTCTCTCACCCGTGAGTAGCCCAGGAAGCTCGGCTTATTCTTCATCTCAATCGCAAGCTTCTCCTCTTCGGGGAGATCAAAGAACTTGATCCCTTGTTCGCAGACCTGATCAAACGTCTCCTGGTCAATGCCCGTATTCTTGAGATACAAGAATCCGACATGAAGGAGTGCATTTCTCAGCTCCTGGAGAAATTGCGGCTTCGTCTTCTCATCTCTCGCTGCGGACAAGTCCAGGACGGGAATCTCGCTGAATGATGATGCCATGGCTCTCTCTTTTTTTGTTCTCTCTCTTTCTCTCTCCTCTCCTCTACTCTCTCTCTCCCTCTCTGTCTGCTCGCGCTAGCGAGAATCAAAATGATGTTATGCGCTCGGGTTTAAACGAGTGCCGAAAAAGAGACCAAGGCCGCCAACGACGAGGCTTTGACGATACTCATCAAACAGAGGGCGCCAATGAGGAAAAGGTCCATTTCTGCAGGAACGAAGATTTCAATGTTGTGGTAGAGTGTGCTTGGCCGACGAGGGGAAGATGATTGCACCATACATGGACGGGATTGCTACATCGGTTTTATGGGCGGGGTAAGAAGCAGAAGAAGAAGAGGAATGACGACGGGGTCAGCTGCCCGCCTCACTCTCTCGCCTCACCGACAGATACAGGAACATGAATCCCAGGTCATAGTCAAGTTGTTGCCCATATGTCAACCTCTTATGGATGCTCTATAAGGTAGAGGTAAACAACCAGGACAGCACTCACCGCCGGTCGTGTGGCTAGTCGTATCTGCCTTTACCAGTGGTGTAGTAGAACGAGAGAGGTAGAGAGAAAAGAAAGAGAGAAGACAAGAAAGTTCCACGTCCCCGTCAGACCGCTCGCTTAGTTGCATGACCCTCCCGGCAACTCTCTCCATCTCCACCTTTGTACATTCATCCATTTAGGCAAATGTACTAAGCCTTAGTCTGCGCGAACTTCACGAAGTGGATGGGAGATATGACGATGACATTGCCGCTGATTTTACTTAGTTACCAGGTACCTGTAGGTACCTACTGTTACCTGTACATAGGAGGTAGGTATTCCACCGTGATGACTGATACAGGTATGCAACTCGTCATCCGTCGCCTCCAACGTGTCAAAACAAACCCCCATTTTCCCATTCGTTCGAGAATAAAGAAAAAGAAAAAAAAAATGCTCATTTGATAAGCCTAGAACACTCGGGAATTACAAAATATCAATTGATGAGGTCCGAGGAGCTGGAGTGTAGAATGGATGCCCGTCCCAGTGGCCAGAGTGAGACATGGCCGGCATGATTCCGAACCAAGAACTGAAACCACGAACCGAACTTCGATCGTGTCTCGGACTGAACAGACTTTCGCCCTTTTTCCCACTTCTTGGGAACGAGGAGGGTGAGGAGAGAGGAAGTGGAAGGCCTGGAGGCGCGGCGAGGCGCGGCGAGGCTGGGGGGGTGTGTTGCTAGCATGCTAGCTAGTGCTAGGTCACGATCTGTGTACCAGTAACCAGGGCTATTATTTACTCTTATCGAGTGTAATAATACGATTTCGTCGCACTAACAGTCTAACTTGGGCTAGTGCCTTGCAGCATCCCCCAATCCACCATTCCTCAACTGAACTTCAGACTTCACACACAACAGATGGCGGTGACCTTGGCCAACCGATTCCGGAACAGCTTGGTCCTTTCTTCTCTCCCTACCTACATTACCTACCTACCTCCTACTTCCAGCGCAAGTTTCATCCCATTCGAGTACGACGCGTCAGCGCCACATCGTTCTCCTCTTCGACTGGCCAACTCGTTCTGGCGTGAGCTTGCAGTGGTCCATGCTGATGGAGGGACCACAATGCACTATCACGAGCCGAGTGGTCTCCAGGAGCGATCTGGCCAGACGGAGTCATCACCGAGTGGGAGTTGATCAACAATGACGACGGGCACACACACATATGTGAAGCGCATGAAATCTCGTAAAAGAGCAGGAATCTGGTAGTCCATGTACGGCAGTGAGGATACCTCCAGGCATTGGTCTGGCGACTCTGTTGTAGCCGAGCCTTGCACTAGGCGCGTGATACAGCTCGCATGAGTGCGACCTCCATGCTTCTGCGGGACTCTGCATCTACACCAAGCAGGTTACCCTGTGGGATGATGTCTGGTGCAAACGGTCTCTCGTGCTGTGACTTGGTGAGTCCTGTAGAGCGCGTTGATATGGCAGGATCGGTCATCCCGGTCTTGATACATGTATGTGCGTGCCTGCTTGTGGTCAAAGGTTCTTTCATCAAATGAGGGATCTGATGTTACCTACGTACCTGTACCCCTAGCAATGACACCTTCTCACTGTGAGAAGCGACTCCTGCACTGCATGCCTTCGACGCAGAACATGCATGCATCTCAACCCCGGCGGCCGCCAAAACAATTCGCAGCTGAACCCGATGGTAGCGAGCTTTCCCCCCTCCCCCGTTGATACTTTCACAATCTGTGGTCAAGGTTGACCTTGCTCATCGACACTACATCGGACCAAGATCACATACCACGCTCAGCCACAGATGAAGTCAGCGATGGGAAGCGAAGCGATTCTCATATGTTTCTGCGGAAGGAAGTGCGAGCAAGCTGCCGGCAAGGGCCCGAGCACAAATTATATCACGCTCCACGAGCTTTAGCAGACCTACCCGCGAATGAGATCATGGCATTTTCTAGCCCTTCACAGACGACGGTGACAGACCTCGGCCGCAGAATCCAAATCGAGGATGTTCCTTACGATGCCCCTGTCTTCAACTCCATCCTTTCCCTCGACCGTGACCCTCGCTTCCTATATACCTGTACCTGTGCAGTTTGCAAGGAAAATGACGTTTCCGGCTTCACCCTCGTCCATTGCCATACGAGACTTGGTACAGGAACGAGGGTGCTCGACTCTAACCGAACGCTCCATCCTGTCTCCTTAATCAGATCATGCGCAGGACATGCATGCCTGCCCGATTGGACCTCAGGTCATGCGCTGTAGTCAATGGTGCTTGGATGCCATACGAATGTGAGCTCGGAGAACCAGTCCCGGCGGTTCTTTGATTCTAGCAAACGCCTGTGTCGAAGATCTGGGCCTGGAATGCATTGGGCTTCGTCTTTGCTCACTAAAGGATACAGAAGAATTGGATTTTGATTGAGAAAAGTAAGCATCAATATGAAAATCCTAATGCATCTAGTATGTCTGTATCGTAAATGAGCAAGATTCTTCTATGCTGAAGAGTACCTGTATATACAAATTCATGAAAGCGACAGGCTTGATTCCAAGAAGACTTTCTGGACATTTCCGTCAGGAGAGCTAAATACTTGCAAGTGTGCCTGCCGTGCCACTGGGTTAGACACCAATTCAAATCACAATCATATCGACTGCTAACTACAGTACTCGAGCAATCAGCTTTCGTCGTTGGACAATGTTGTACAAAAGAATTTATCGAAAAGAGCTTAAGATCAATAGCGCTTGTGTGGCCAATCACATCTTCAACACCAATCAGCTGGCACATTGAGTCATCTTTCACGATATACATTTACCATGTTGTTACTCGCAAGTTCGTTGATCGCTGGTTATAGAGTAGAAGGAAAAAACAACAAATACGCTTTAATCGTGGCCAAGGACGTACTCCTGTTGTAACGCCCAGCAATCATGTAAGATTCGTCTTGAGTCCGAAGGGGCGAATAAGAACTAACAACACCATCTTGTAGTATCCATCTATCATTGACTCCTCACGTCCAGCTGTATAATCTATCGAAAGCCCGCCATGGAAAAATCTCTGCAACCAATCCTCACAGAAATAGAATCCGTCTTCCAAACCACCATACTAGAAATCTCCGCGCCCATGTCCGGCTGCAACCACACCATCTACGTACTCACCCTACCCCACAGCATCCAATGGAGTCTCCGCATCGCCAAAAACGAATCTGCAGCATCAGCATCATCATCATCATTAGCAGCGCGCAGTATCGCCATGATGCGACACATCAAACAGATGGAACCTACGCTCCACCAAATTCCGAATGTGATTTTTTCTGCGGAAAAGTATTCTGTGCTGGAATATCTCGGTGGGAATGCGATTGGGTTTGGCGTTTGGGATTTATGCACTTTGCCACGTTCGAGACGTGAGAGGATTTTGGATGGACTTGCGGAGGTTTTGTGGAGGTTGTGGAGGTGTTTGTCTGCTTCATTGCCATTGTCAGCATCACCATCTTCATTATCGATGTCGATGTCGATGTCGACGACGAAGACAACGACAACGAAAACGACATATCGAAGCTGGCTCTTCCACGAAGTCGACTTGGGAATTCGTCGTTCGATCGAAAATCCGGGTTGGGGCGATCCGCTCCATTTTCTGCTTCGTCGGGCGAAAGTCGACTCGCTTCTTCCCTCAATTGCTTGTCCATGCGGCGACGACTGCTTGGGCTGCTTGGCTATTCGGCATGGGGATTTGAATCCTTTGAATGTCCTTGTGGATGATGAGGGGAGATTGACTGGGTATGTACATATCATTCTATACCATTACCGTAAGGTACTCTCTATCTCTCTCTTTCTCTCTCTCGGGGAGAAACAAAAAGGGGAAGGGGGTCGCACTTTCCTTCTTTTTTTCCTTTTTCCTTCCCCCTTTCCTTTCCTTTCCCCTTTTGCCCTTTCCTTGCCTGCCTGTCTGCCTGTCTGCCTGTTTCTGTCAACTCACTTACTCCTCAAAAAATGAAATATCCAGAATCATCGACTGGGACACAGCCTCCTTCGTCCCCGCTCCCGCAGCAATTCACCACCCTCTCTTCATCGCCAACATCCCCGGCTTCTATACCGGCGTGCCCGAAACTATGGATTTTGCCCCCGATCGCGCATATCTAGAAGCTGCCATACGCAAGTTGTCATCATCGTCGTCGTCTTCATCGTCATCGTCGTCGGAGAGAGATTCCGCACATTATATTGCAGATTTACTCGCCAGTTCGTTCGAGCGACAATTTTTTGAAATGGCGCTTCGGAATCGACGGATTAATGACGAGTATGTAAGGTTGAGACTACTGGGGGGGAATCCCGGAGAGGTTGACAAAAAGGCTTTGCGTGATGAGTTGGAGGAGTTTCTTGTGAGGAATGGAGATTTGAGGGGCCATGTTGCTGTTGTGGAGCTGGAGAGGAGGCTTTGTTGAGAGAGAGAGAGAGAGAGAGAGAGAGAGAGAGAGAGAGAGAGAGAGTAGAGAGAGTAAGAGTAAGTAGTAAGTAAGTAAGTAAGTAA